AGTCTGACTTGCAGACCGTTGAGGCAATGGTTTTCGAGGTCAAGTCACAAATTGATGAGCTGAAAATCCCCGATCCTGAGACTCTCCCAACCAAGGAGGAAGTCCAGCACCTGCAGTCCCTTGTCAGCGATTTCCAGGAGAAGATGGAGGCGAACAATGACATGACTGCGCAAGGCTTCGATGCTCGGAAGACTGAACATGCTGGCTTGTTTGAGAAGATTGATGAGGCCAAGCTTGTCGTTGGCGAGCTCGGCGATGAGCTCAAGAGCAAGCTCGATGGAAGCAGCGAGGGTCTTACTGAGCTCAAGCAGCTCCTGGAAGGCCTTGCTTTCTCCGCCGAAAATTTCAGCACCGTCGAAAGCATCAAGGAGCTCACTGACCTCATCAACCGGGAGTTTGAGCGTGCACATGGCGAGGAGAATGCCAGCAAGCTGGACAAGGAGGAGCGAGATGCTGCGGCCATGGTGAAGCATGATGAGACTCGGGCTGCCATTATCGTTGAACTTGGTACCAAGATTGACGAGAAGATCGGAGAGGTTATGGCCAAGTACGAAGATGCTCATAGCTCTCTTCACTCGAAATTCTCCGAGACTGAGGAGCGCGATTTGGCCCATGCTGAGGCAATCACGAGCACCAGGTCTCTTGCTGAGGATATCAAGCTAGTCATCGGTGCCATGGGAGACAATGTCAACCAGACTTGCGAGAGCATCGGGGAAGACACCAAGGCTCTCTTCGGCAAAGTTGATGAGTCTTACAACAGAATGGAGGAGATGCATAGCGAAGTAAAGTCACAACAAGAGCAGTCGAGGAGTGAAAACGAGAGAGCCGCTGCTGCCACTGAACGAGTTGAGAGCAAGCTGCTCGAATTCAGCCCTCAGATCCTCGAAACTGTTCAGCAAATCCTGACAGTCGTTAGCCAGCACTACGACCACTCGCAGAAATCTGCCGACGATTTCAGGACTGAGCTATCTGCTCTACCGAACAATATTCCAAGCATGCTTCCTGCTTTGATGCCTCCTCCGGAAACCAGCCGCGACCTTGAGGATGATCCCGTACACGACAAGCTGAACGATATCCTCGAACACGCAAAGAACACCAAGGTCCACGATGTCCTCAATGCCCTCCTGGAACACTCAAAGAACGATCAACTTCATGATAAGCTTGACCGAGCTTTGGACCAGAGTGCGGGTCCCAAGGATGATATTTATGCCAAGCTGGATCAGCTTCTGGAGCACGCCGCCAACGACAATGGCTCACTGCATGAGAAGCTGGACGCCCTGCTCAGCCGACCGGAGTCCACTGCATCCGACGAGCACTCTGTCACTCAGATGATGAAGCTTGACGAGATGCACAAGGACATCATGGAGAACACACGCAAGATGAACGAGATGTTTGCTGCTCAGTCTGCTCTTGTCGCCGAGGACACCGAGCGAAAGCGACGAGAGGCTGAGGACGCCGCAATTGCTCTCGAGCGAAGAGTGGCTCAGCGAGAACAAGTCGAGTCAGAGCTTGTCGGTCTTCATGAGGAGAAGGATTCACTGCTGAAGATGATCCAGACACTGCAGGCGGAGAAGGATGATATTGCTAAGCAGAACACGAAGCTGAGCAAGGAAGTATCCGGTCTCGAAACCGCTCTTGAGATTCGCCATGAAGAAATGCAACAGATGGAGGATCGCGCAGATGGTCTTGAGAAGCGCATCTTGGAGGGTGTTCTGGACCATGCCCGCACTGTTTTGCTCAGCCGCTCCACCGGCAGCCAAATGAACCTCAGACGCAATCGAAGTGCACGCAGCTCTCGCACAGGCGCACGCAGCCCTAGTGTGACTAGTGTCGCCTCTACTGCGCGAGAGTCAAAGGATCCTCGCAGCCTGCTCGGTAACGGCGTCGGCATGGCCCTGAAGCGCGGCTTGTCAAACAATCTCAACGCCGCAGCTACTCCTGTTCAGCCAAACATTGGCAAAGAGCGTCGCATCCTCAGTTTGAGTCATGTTACAGGCAACCGAGGTGTGGACCGTCAAGCTAGTGGCAACGGCGGTCTCGCGAACCTTAAGCGCAGCCATTCAGTCAAATCCAACTTTTCGCTACGCAAGTCTTCCTGGGCCGGACGGGTATCTATTGCCGACAAGGAGAATGAAACCTTCCGGGAAGAGGATGAGCCTGCCAGCGAGCCCGAGAGCGACGCTGGAACTGAACGTCGGACCAGTTATGCGGGTACGGAGCGCAAGTCTCAGCTACGCCGAAACCGTCACCGACAGCGTGGTGACTGGCGTGACCGAAAGTGTGGCCTCGACTGATCGACGAACCAGTGGTATGAGCAGTACGACTGATGGTCACACTCAAGTCGCCGAAAGCTCAGTCGGTGGAGACGATGTCGAAGAGCAGTCCAACTATGACGAGCATGATGAATCTGACAGGGCATCCGAGTCTGGAACAGAGTCAGACGATGTCCAGACTGCTCGAGGGGATGACGACCAAGAAGAATTTTCTGAGGAGGGGCTCGATGATGATGAGTTGCAGGATCTCGTGGACAGAGATAACTTAGACACTGCTTCTCAGATGGAAGCGCAGGTGTTAAAGCTGCTGGAGCCACCCACTGATAGTGGTCTGGGTACGGAGACTGCGCTTTCCACATAGTGTTCTTTATTTTTTATGTTTGTTTCGGTATGATGCTCCGGAGTTTGGGTTTCCTCTGTTCTGTTTCCTTTTCATATACCACCTGTGTGTTACTGTTTTCTGTTATCAAGACCTTGTATGATTTCCCTTTTATGTGGATTAATGAACATTCCTGAACTTCACTTTACATTGTCATTCTCTGTAGTCATCCAGTAGAAAAGTCATCATCTTTAGTATACTCTTGTGACCGTGGTCACCTGCCTATCATGGCAGGTGGTCAGGTGACGTCCCAACGAATGTGGCTGCCTCAGGCTTGTGCCGAGGCCGCCTCCCTCGGAGCTACATTGGGACCCTTTTCTTTAGCCTCCTCGTCACCCATGGATCCTTCTATGCAGTGAAAGGAGGCCATTCAGTGTGCTCGTCAGCTTCATGGTAGATTTGGGGAACATCCATTTATCCCTTGCATAGTTACCCACCACTTACCTCACCCCCCGGCCATCCGAGCTCCCCACATCGGGTGATAAGCTGCTCGACGGCATCCCACGATGCTCGATCCCCTCGGCCCCCCCTCCAGCATGGCTGCGGAACTTGGTCGAGCCTTATGCTCTCAGTGTGAGCAGCCCAACTCTCCCCGAACACGTCCATGAAGTCTTTCTCGCCTTCGCCTTTTACCAGTTCATCCACTCATTCTTGTCGCCATGGCTGTCGCCGATCCTCTTCCCGAAGCATTACCCCAAGCTGAATGCTCGGACTAGACTGAACTGGGATATCCATGTCGTTTCGTTGGTCCAGAGTGTTCTGATCAACGTTGCTGCGTTGTGGATGATGTTCGCTGATACCGAGCGCAGTCAGATGTCGACTGGTGAGCGTGTCTTCGGCTACACAGGCGCTTGTGGTTTGATCCAAGCGCTTGCTGTCGGATATTTTATCTATGACCTGATTGTCAGCGTCGTTTATATCAATTTGTTCGGTATTGGTTTGCTTTTCCATGCCCTCAGCGCTCTCTGGGTATTCAGTCTCGGCTTTGTGAGTTCAAAATACGCCCCTCGGTGCCTTTACACATCTACAAAGAAAGACCCATTTCTAACATTTAAATTCCTTGACCAGAGACCATTCCTCAACTACTACGCCCCTGTTTTCATCCTCTACGAGCTTTCCAGCCCATTCCTCAATATCCACTGGTTCCTTGACAAAATCGGTATGACTGGCAGTCGCACTCAATGGTACAACGGCATGCTTCTCCTCTCGGTCTTCTTCTGCTGCCGTCTCGTCTGGGGTACGTGGCAATCAATCGTGGTCTACATGGATATGTGGAACGCTTTACAGCAAACCTGGTCCGCCGCATCATCCCCTCTCCAGACCCCAACCACAGTCAATGCCAACGTTTTCCGCCCGGACTCCGGCACCATGTGCATTGACGAGACCTGCGCACGGGCGAATGCGGAAATTGCTCGCTTCAGCGACTTCACCGCAAATGGCGTGCCGACTTGGCTGGTCGTGACCTATGTCACGTCGAACCTGATCCTCAATTTCCTGAATTACTTCTGGTTCTCCAAGATGGTGGAGACTGTTCTCAAGCGATTCCGTACCCCTCCCGCTTCAGAGAAGGAGAAGAAGGAGGGTCAGGATGGCCAGCTCAAGGGGCTGCAGGAGAATATCCCGCAGGATGTTATCCTTGAAGCGGCAGCCAAGCTCGAGGAGCAGGAAGGTGGACGTGGAGAGCTGGGACTTACCCCGGAACAAATCTCCACGGCAATCGACGCGGGATTCGGTGAGGAACTGCGCCGGCGCAGGGCCGAGTTGGTCGCCAAGGTTCCTCTTCCCGGATCCTGAACAATAGACCCGTTAGAATTGAAGGGTTCGGTGGCAGCTTTGGGGGTAATTCTATTTTTTTTCTGGGAATTACCAGTGTCTCGGCTTTGCACTGTCTCTTGCTAAGAAATCTATGATCGATTTACCTGGCCTCACGAGTGGAGACTTGTTCGTGATTAACTCGTTGCTAGTATGCTCTTTGTAGCGGCATCTGGTGTTTACGGCCTTGTTGGTGTTTTTGTCAGATTCTATATTTGTTTTATATGCTTTTGGGGTCGATGAGTGCTTGAGCTTTGTGTCTTTGCTATAGCATACAACCGTACATATCTCATGCTTAATGACAATCCTATTGAAATGTCTAAACTGATGACCCTTAAATTTAATATCAACAGAACACAACTCCCTCGAATCCAGGGAGAGTAAAGTATACCTAGTAGATCGGCTTCCAAAGCTGATGTGTAGTCCACTTCCACAGAATGCGATCCAATATGGTGAGTAAGTTTAAAGATAAAGTTGAATTCTATATCGGAAGATGTCATATCAATTGAGGTAAATGTAGATATTCCTCGAGCTAGCTACAGCACAAGTCTCTGCAAAATTCCATCCACGTCCTCGTCAGGGCTCCTATTATCCACAAGCCCAATAGCCATCGAAGGCTTCGTATAGCCCAGAAGCTGCAACATCTTCGGACTCATTTTCAATAGCTTGTTACGAGGCACCGTCAGAAACTGATTCTCTTCAGTTCTGTAAATTCCCCTGACAAAGAACAAACTATACATAGTGCGAATCGAGTCTGGGACAGAGTTGTGGCCCCCGCCGTGGAAAGAAGATCCAAGGAAGATCAGAGCAGAACCGGCTTTCATCTCTTTTTATGAGTAGCAGGAAGTTAGTAACGGCAGATTTTGGAGACCGGCGAACTCTTACCAGCAAAACAGACTTCATCCGCCGTCGCCATGCGATGATCGTTCCATTTATGACTTCCAGGAACGAACATTGTCGCACCATTCTCTCTAGTAACATCACAACCGGCAATCAAGCACCCAAATTGACTAACACTTTGGAAACTCCAATCCTCAGGCCCAGAGTGCCGGATGCGATGAATATTATCATCTCGATGAAGACGTTGCCTGGGAGCCCCATACCCAATATTCATAGAGAGACTCAGACTAAGCAAAGGGTCAATCCTGATAGGCTCTACCCAGTCCTCGCGATAGACGGTATATTTCTCAAGCAGAATATTTTCCCGAAGACTATCCAACAATGGATGCTCGCAGATCTCAGAGACCGTGTCAGACTTTCCGACCAGACCTGGAATCAGAGTAGTTTGAGACGGGATAATGTGAAAGGCGTCACCGGATCTCGTGTCATTTGATGCCTGGTCAGATTTATTTTCTTTCCAGGCTTTCAGTTCCTCTTCAATTGTGACCATTTTGTCCTTTGAGACTAAATCACTGATTATCACACCGCCATCCCGCGCAATGACGCCCAGAATATAGTCCACTGATGCAGTCGCAGGAACAGTCACTATGCTCGTCTTGGGTCTGTATGAGGGGTCGATCGGTGCGGCTGGTGCAGGAACATGTGTCCACTCAGTAGTAGTTTTCATCCTGATCGACTCGGACTTCCAAGAGAAATAAGTGAGAAAAACAAGGGATAGGAGGAGTTATTTCATGAGTCGAGAAATGTCTGTAAGCAGGATGAAAGGCAACATCGGAAATATTTATATATGTAGACTTCAAAGGTCTCCTAGATGTGGATATCTGATCGGGTTCAAGTTTATATCCGATCTACTAGAACTGCTAAGGTTAATTGCGGGGACGACACAATCTAACCGGAAAAGGAGAAAATCATGAGAACCGTCGGGCCGAGGCACTATGTTCTCTAGAACAATACCTCATTTAGCAAATGCCCAAGGAAAGATATACTTAATTTGGTTTCAAGTTGTTGTACTAGTACTCCCACCTGGGTAGGTGGTATAGATTTATACCCAAATATCACAACCGATCTTTCGCGGACCTTGGGAAATATCAAGCTTCAAGGTTTTTTATATATTATTTTGACGAGGAGTAGACGACCAATGATACTACTAGTAGCATGGAAACTTGGCATTGGAACCTTAGAAGCTTCTCGATCATCTTGTGATAGTAGGTTGTATGGCAAACCTTGAAATACTCGCTGGTCATCGGCAAGAGTACCCCAACCTCATACAACCATAATGGATCCAGTGAATTTGGGCACGGATTATTTGGAAGACCCAAATATACAGGCAAGTCAAGAAAACAAAATAAATAATCAAGTAATATGTCATGAACGTCAGATTTTGAAATGGATTAACCATACCTTACATACCCTAGCTACACCAGACCAAAAACACCGCATAAGCGCCCCTAAAGGAATCAAAATACAACCAACACTATGTAAATCTGCTTGAACAAAGCAACAGAAGCTCTACCTAGCAGCTTCAGGCTTGGCCAGCATGTACCGCACAGCGTCCTTCGCCACGGGAGTCTCCCATGCACTGTTATTGCCTCCCCGGCGGAACTCGGGGCCGTTTGTATCTGCAGAATCTCCAACGATAGTCTCGAGATCACGGCGCTGGGAGTTGACCCAGCGACGGAGGAAGGCCACGGGGTCCTTGCTCAAGGCTGTGTAGAACGAGTGGCGTGCGTGGGAGTGCGTGAGCGCTTGGACGATGAGAGCGACCTGGTCGTCCAGCGAGGCGATCTGCCGCATGCCAGCGGTGTATTTGGGGTTCTGCGTCAGAGCCATCATCTTGGTGCGCAGCGGATCTTCGACGGCAACACGAATATCATAGATGGTGGGGGTAGGTTCCTTGTGGAAGTCCTCGTCGACGCGGATAGTGTAGGGGAGCTTGATGGGATCCATAGGGCTGGTGTGAGGTCCAATGCTCTCTGGGATTTGAGGGAAAAACATTGTTTCGCGGCCGAAAATCTAAGGAAAGTTAGACAAACGAATTTCAAGGAATATACTAATTCCTGCTCAGATTGTTACTCACCGAACGAAGACGGTGGTCACAGCGCACCTGGCGCTTCTCCTCATCCTCTTGCAGTTCCATTGCGCGAATATAATCCCAGATGCCCAACACAATTCCGCTGCGAGTCTCCTCTTCCACATCCAGCACTTCAGCCAGCTCCTTGCTCAGCTTGTACCGCTCTGGAGTCTCGTCCCGCACAAGGTTGACGGTGACGTTCAAGTTCTCTTGCGATCCGCGCGAAAACTGAATGCTATCGAATTCGGCGTTTGGCGGGGAAGAGGGCGCGTTCGGTGGTACCTGAGGCTTGTTCCAGGTAATCGGCTTGACTTCTTCGGGAACAGCAGTGGCCGGCTTGTCGAAATCGACGGTGATGGTCTTGAAGAAGTGAGAGAAGCGCTGGGATTGTTTCTTCGACTCAGACTTCTCCTTTTCTCCTTCTTCCTTGTCCTGGTTTATCGCATCGTCACCAGCGCCCGCGGGATTTTCCTCATCAGTTTCTGGGACGGTAGGGTCGTTGTTATCATCCAAGAGGCGGCCTTCGATGCGCACCTTATACCGACCGGATCCGGGAGTGCTGCTGGCGTCCTGCCAGGGCTGGCTCTCGACGGTGTTGGTGATCCAGATGCGCATCGTTCGGTACTTCTTGACGGTTTTGCTGATAGAGTCCTGGATGTCTAATCGCTTGCGTACGACGGCGGCATCCAATCGCTTCTCCAAATCGCGAAGATTCTTGTATTGTTCGACACCCTCGCCGATGATGACTTCCTCGATTCCGTCAGGGATATTCTTGTCGGTTGGCTTGCGACTGCGGTGCAGAGCAGGATCATTGGGGTGTGGCATTGCGCGCTGCACCGGCATGTATTGAGGGTTGACAGCGTGTTGCGGCATGGGCATGGGCATCGCGCCTAGACGACGTTAGATGGGGCTGGATGGAAAGGAAGGGTAAAGGGAGCTAACCAGGCGCCGGGGCACGACGAGGTGCGGCTGGAGACCGCTGGGCGGTCGGGGGAAAGCCCCGGGCAAAATTAGGCTGCATGGGAGCGTTCATTGCCAATCCAGAAAGCAGTGGGCTCCTGACGTGGAGATGGGTGGAGGATGAGGTCGAGCGAGGGCGACGGGAGGTCGCGATTCTTTTACCGCCTTACCCGATTCGGAAGGTCGCGAACAGCCCGTTACCACAACAAGAACAACTAGTGGTTGGATAGGTTGGCTTAGCATTTTAGATAGCATTGTCGGATAGAAGTCATATATTTAATTGCCATTATTCAAATATATTATTAGCACGGCACTGGCATAGCCTAGAATTACGCATTATGGCTTGGATGGAGGTAGAGTGATGGTCGTTATAGATCCATTAGTTTCCATGATCTAATATCATTGCATAATCCTACTCCCAGATAGTATTCGCTCTACTCCAGGAGCGAGGCCTGGTTAGTATACAGTCCTTCCACCACATTGCTCAACTTCTCAATCGTGTCCAGCGCTGCATCATAGGCCTGGTCACGTTCCGTCTCATCGTACACAATCAGACACCCAGAGCCTTGATCCAATACACCGATGATCACCTTGTCGAGGATCATCTGCGACAGCTTGCGCTCCACCTGTTGGACGTCCAGACCGACCATCTTGGCAACGTGATCCAACTCCACCCGGCTGAAAGGCTCAATAACCTTGATCAAGTTCTGCTCCAACATGGCATCATAGAGGCGGCGAAGGTGATTCCGGATAAAGGTGTCGCTGCCGAGTTCATATCGGTAGTCTGAGAGTGCCTTCTCATATTCCTCCAGAGAACGATTGGCGTGGGCGCGGGCCACAGCCTTCATGGCCTCCAGACGTGCACTGGCATACTTCTGGGCCTGTTTGGAGCCGAGCAGCTGGGTCACATCATCCACCAGGTTCAACATAATCTTACACAGCAGCATGTACTGTAGAGTGGCCGTGGCAAGCTCGCCCTCGTCGAGTGAGCTGTATCCCTCCAGCGCCTCGATGAAGTATGAGTAAGAAGTGTTGAAGTCTTTGTCCTCGGCGTGCAGCATACCGCTCTGCATATCCAGACCGGCCTGCAAATTGGGAGGAGTGTAGACGGACGCAGCTGACGTTCGTGCTGCTGTGAGAGCAGCCCGGGCCTTGGCTTGGTTGCCTAGGGCATGGTACACACGAGACTCGAGCAATTGCACTTCCACCAGCATCAACTTATCATCAAGGCGCTTCAGCTCGCGAAGAAGGGAGTTGATGAGAGTAAGGGCATCGTAATAGGTCTGCTTCTGCATATAAATCGCGACGAGACGGGCTTGGAGGTTCTGTCGCAAGAAGGACCGTCGTTCGGCGACGGCCCACTCTATGCATGAATTGATGACGGCGATTTGAAGATCGAGGGTGTTCGGGATTCCGCTGATGAGATCAAGGAGCTGACGGACTATAGAGAATGGTTAGTTACAATCGTATCAAGCCTTTGATGACGCCGCTTACCCAGCTTCGCTGTCTTTGCTTTGGCAAATGACGAAAAGGTGTCTCGGCTGGTCTTAATGAGGTCCGCAATCTCTTGCGGCTTCTTCGCATCCCGATGCAGCTGACCCAATCCAATCAATGCATGTTCATAGTCTCGCGATGAGGCTTCTGTGGACCCTGGCCCTTCGGAGAGGATCTTCTGATAACTGCTAGCGGCTTTCGAGGGGTCCTGCTTCGACAGGTCCCGGACCTCCTGTATCCGCGGAGACACCTTGGTGGCAGCCGACATTGTGGAGAGAGATGTGAAGATAGAAGCTCAGAAAACAGGCAATTCAAGGACTGTAGGAATGTCAAGGGTAGATGATGAAAGGTTGACTGGGCCTGGCGTGAGTCGGGGAGCTTGGTAGCTGGCAGCTGCCGCCGGTCTCACCGCCCGCTTAGCAAATCATCCCGTCAACAGAAAAAAAAGTTGTCTCCGCCCGGGATTTTCTTTGCATACAATACGCCACCACAAAATGGTCAGTTAGGACGGCACTTGTCCCCTGTTTAGTCTTAATACTAACTTATCGATAGAAAATCAAAGCTCTTTCTCGCTCTACGGAGTCGCAGCAGGCCCCCGGGTCTGGCGTCGTCCGCCAGTCGCGCAATCTCGACCCATCTCAACATCCATTCGAGCGTGCTCGCGAGTACACTCGTGCTCTGAATGCGATTAAGATGCAGCGCATGTTTGCCGCGCCGTTCTTGTGTCAAATGGGTGATGGTCATGTGGATGGAGTGTACAGCATGGCGAAGGATCCTGGCTCGCTGGAGCGATTTGCCAGTGGCAGTGGTGACGGCATGGTGAAGGTGTGGGATTTGACTACTCGCGGAGAAGTTTGGGAGACCCAGGCGCACGAGAACATGGTGAAGGGTGTCTGTTGGACCCCGGACAGGAAGCTTCTATCTTGCGCAAGCGATAAGACGATCAAACTATGGGACCCGTACAATTCTTCACCGGATGCACCTCCCATGACCAGCTATCTGGGCACTGGTGCCTTTAACAGTGTCTCGCACCACCGAAGCGATCCAGCCTTTGCCGCTGCCTCAAACATGATCTCCATCTACGACCTTTCTCGGCCCTCGTCCTCGCCATCGCAGACTATGCACTGGCCTACTAGCGTTGATACAATTACCTCGCTTGCATTCAACCAAACCGAAACTTCGATTCTTGGATCTACTGCCCTTGACCGTTCAGTCATCCTGTACGATTTGCGGACATCTTCGCCAGTGCAAAAGATGGTCCTCAAGCTGGCCTCGAACGCCATTGCTTGGAACCCAATGGAGGCTTTCAACTTTGCTGTGGCCAATGAGGACCATAATGCTTATATCTTCGATATGAGAAAGACCGACCGCGCTCTGAACGTCCTGAAAGATCATGTGGCTGCTGTCATGGATATCGAGTTTAGCCCGACAGGTGAAGAATTGGTTACTGCATCTTACGACAAGACCATCCGTCTCTGGGACAGAGCACGGGGACATTCTCGTGACATTTATCACACTGGGCGGATGCAACGGTATGTGAAAATCGTAATACCTTTCAAACACATCTTACTTATTATGACTATAGTGTTTTCTCGGCCAAATTTACACCGGATAGTAAATATGTGCTGTCTGGATCCGACGATGGTAACGTTCGTCTCTGGCGTGCCAAGGCCTCTGACCGCAGCGGGATCAAGAGTGCTCGTCAACGTACCAAGCTCGAGTACGACCAGGCCCTCATCAAGCGATACTCCCACATGCCCGAAATCCGTCGCATCAAGCGGCAACGTCACTTGCCCAAGCCTATTAAGAAGGCTGGTGAGATCAAGCGTGAGGAGCTTAGTGCTATTAAGAGACGCGAGGAAAACGTGCGCAAGCACACCAGCAAGGCCAATCTGAAGTCGAGGACGAACGAGCGCGAGAAGATGATTCTTGCTCGCGAGCAATAAACCGACCCACAAAACCTGTTTGCATCTCAGACCGGCTGAGAATTGAGCTGATATTCACATGGCTGCCAAGATATGCAACTGTACAGAGATGTGCAACACCAAATCCGTCTTATATACAGGATAGATTCACTCGCCCCATTCTTTCTTCACATGTGCAAAATTATCAATCCACTCGACGCTTCTTCGCCACTCTATGGTCATTACGATTCCCCGATGCCACAGCACTGTCAATACCGCTCACATAACGAGCCACCTGCTGTATGGCACCTGGCAAGATGGCGTAAAGATTCACCAGTTTTGCAAAGGCTGGCAATCTAAGCACCCCACCATGCCCGCTGTCGATCGCAGCAACAATTTTACGAGCCACTTCCACGGGCTGCAGGACTGGAGCAAAAAAGTGGCTTGGTGTCCGGACCCAGTCAAATAACGGCGTGGCCATCTGCCCCGTCTCTACCAGTAACATTTTTATTTGCTCATGCTCACGGAGCTCTGATTCCATAGTTCGGTGCAGCGCGCTGAGGCCAGCCTTGCTTGCCGAGTAATCGGTCAAGCCTGCTGGAGACAACTGGCCTAGCACCGAGCTGATGGTCACAATGGTCCCTCCATTCTCGGCCTCGGCTATGATCCCCGGCAGAAAAACTTGATACAGATGAAATGCGGCCATAAGGTTGGTGCGCATCGTCTTCTCAAACGCATCCACGGGCAGATCCAAGAGCGCAGCACCGTTGATTCTTGCCGCAGCGCAATTGATAACAATAGTCGGGGTACCCAACTATAGCCAATTAGCGAATCAGAAAATAAGCAAGGAATCAAGTCAAAACAAATCCCTCCTAGATCCAACATCCGTAAAGAGAGATCGATATCACAAAGAAAGAAATCAATAAATAAATGTAAACATACCTCCTTCTCAACTCTCTTCTTAACATCCTCCACCTCCTTCCTCACCCCAACATCGCACCGATAATAACAAACCCCTTCACCCAAAACACCTTCCTGTTCATCAATCCCACCAAACTCCCGAATATCCAAAACAGCCACCGCACCCCCCTTCATCGCATAACTCTGCGCAATCAACAGCCCCAACCCACTAGCCCCGCCCGTGATAAGCACAACCTCTTGATCCGAATCCACCGTCCGCGGAAGACCATGCGCAACACGGTGATTGATGGTCTGCGCAACGAAGAGCGCAGATAGGAAGACCGCGTATGCGACCGCGCCTACAAAGGCCGGCGCCGTGGGTGGTGTAACCTGGGCGCGGAGACAAAGGACGACGATCCAGGCGATGAAGGGGGAGAGGAGGGTTCGTTGGAGGACGCGGTAGAGGGTATCAATGGTAAGGTGGTGAGACCAGGATTTCTGCGGCGAGGAGGCCGGGAGCACCGAGCTCGTCGTGATGACCTTCGGCGTAGACATTTTAAATAATATGGCGCTTAGACTGAGCTGTTCGAGGTTTGTGTCGTTGTCGTTAGGGTCTGCTGATGGCCTCTGTGGTGGGATGTTTTTCGCGCTAAGAATTGCGGCGGGTTTTCTCAAGCGGGCTTGGCGATTGACGATTGCACGGTGGGTTTAACGCATGGTTGGTGATCCTGGTGATTTAACCCAAGTTTGTATTGCTGTTCGCGCTCCCTGCTTGGAGAGCTGTTGGGTTGGCTTGGGTGTGAGTTCACAGCATGAACTCGGGGAAATTGGGCCTAGGCGCGCGTGGGGCTGATAAGATCGGGGATCGGCCCATTGGCACCATTAGAAGTCCCAGATACTCTACAAATTAACGGACGACATTGCTAGCTAGATCTCTTGAAATGGGTTGGTCATAAAATTAATACATCAGATCATCAATAAGTGAGCACTACATAAAATGGGACAGTTGTTTCCTCCCAAGCTTTCCCCAGAACTCCATCTGGATGTCTACCCAAGAAGATATCTCCCCAAAGTCGTAACCTGACCCCATACTCTCCTCGGAGTAGATGAATCGGAGAGATTCAAGGTATGACTGAACGTTTTCGAAGCCGGGTCTTCCTTCAGAATGTCTAGGTCTGAAGGTTCCCGAGAGAGAGCGAAGCCATGACCTGCCCGTGGATGCTTTCTATATCCCTCTTCATCCTCAATCTTTGGTTTAGGACTAGCGGGAACTGGACTGAAAGTCTTCTGCACTATTGAAGCAGCAGAGGGCATGGTGAGCTCTGGATTTTTCGATGAAATGTCGACCAGGAGGTCAACTAGTTGGGCATGAGAAAGACGGGAGAAGTAGGCACGCTTCTCATCCGTATTCATCGATGCACTTCCGAAATCCGATAGACCTTTTTGTTGAACTGGAGTGCTTGGTTCCTGTGCCTTGGGAGGACGAGTGCCGGTGGACCGACGCTGACGATGCACGCAACGGTGACAGTGCCACTCTTTGTCCTCGTCCAGAATGGCATCATCAGGGATCTCAGGATCATGACACTTCTGGTGCCAGGTCGACTCACACCCACTGCAGAATACAATTGGATTTGATTTGGGGGTGGTGCCACGGTCACATTTGGCGCAGATGATGTTGGCCATTTTCTTGCGAGCAGACCTTTGGCGTTTGCCGGCAACGGGCACAGGGACGGGACTGGGGACATAGGCTGTGGGTGCTTTGATAGCTCTCCCAGAACGACTCATTCGAGCATTGGGTGATGGGAGGACCTCATCGACGGAATCTTCGCGTTTTATGCTAAAATCCTCTTGCGATTTCTCCTGCTTGAAGGTGATCTTCAGCCGCTTCGCTGAACGGTCGGATGACTCTTCAGACACATCGGCATTGTCTCGGGGAGAAGTGGACATGGTTTTAGGGAGGCAGTGGCTGCCTGTGTATCTTCTATAGGTAACAAGAGGTCGGCCTTGCGGGAGACGGGAAAGATGGCTCGGAACCTAAATCGTGGTTGAGCTGGCGGATGGAAACGTGAAGGGTCGGATAATTATAAGAAAAATTATTTAAATAATCGGGTCAAACAATGTCGGCTCATTCAAACGCGGCTCGGCATGGCAAAATGCAGGCACTGAGAAGGAAAGGAGATGTCGTCCCGCCCAAGGTCTGTATAGCCTCACGTGATCGCCAACGAACCCTGAAGTTCTGAAAGCATGAAGTGTTCAATTGGGATAAATAAGTGATTTTGGTACTCTGATATAACTCAAAATAAGAAAATATACGTGGTGCGTATATTTGACTCGTCTATGTACATTTGTGCAAGTCTTGTATATCTACAATGCATTTTCCGCTGGCCACTGGCTATGACAGCACACCTTCCTCCTTCAACCGCGCAATATCCGCCTCACTATATTCCAAGATTTCACCCAAAATCTCATTGGTGTGTTGCCCAAGGGTTGGGGGAGGAGTACGAACGCCGGGTGTCGCCTCAGAGTATTTGATAGGAGTGTTGACCAACTTAATGGGACCACAAGCCGGGTGGTCAACCTCTGTTACCATGCCTCGGGCTTTCACTATAGAGAGAATATTAATGTCTGTAGTTTATTTGTGGTGAACAAGAGTAACATACCGTGTTCGTGGTTCAGTGTTCCTTGAATGTCGTTAACTGCCGCATATGGCATTCCACTGCCTTCAAAGATGTCCAACCACTGCTTAGTCGTCTTCTGTTGGGTTGTACTTTCAATCATCCCATCAATATCAGCACGATGCTGCACGCGGTCGCTGTTAGTGACAAAGCGAGCATCGGTCTTCCACTCAGGGAAGCCTAGACGATCACATAGCACGCCAAAGAGTCGGTCATTGCCGCCACCAAAAAGAATGTCGCCATCCAGTGTCTTGTAGCTTCGGTAAGGGACAATCGACGCTGATGATTATTAGCATGCCGCTAGTCCTACTTTCAGGGTAGAGACCACTTACGATGCGCAGTACCCCATCGGCCGGAGTCCTTCTTGCCACTGATAAGGGCAGAGCTAGCCAGATTCGACAATGTTGCGACTTGGCAGTCGCTGAGACAAGCGTCAATATGCTGTCCCCTGCCTGTGCGAGCACGCGCAAGCAAGGCTGCCATAATAGCATTGGATGTATAGAGACCAGTGGTCAGATCAGTCACTGCCACGCCGACCTTGACAGGCGCACCATCTCGCGCTCCGGTGATGTGCATCAAGCCCATCTCGGCTTCCACCATGACATCGTAGCCAGCACGGTTGCTATACGGTCCAGTTTGGCCATAACCGGTGATACTGGCATATATAAGCTTGGGGTTGATTTCTCGTAGAGTTTCATAGTCCATTCCATATTTCTTCAGGCCCCCGGGCAAGTAATTTTCGACTAGGACGTCGCATTCCTTGGCAAGCTTGTGAAGAATCTCAACGCCTGACTTGTGCTGGAAAGACAATCCAAGGGACTTCTTGTTGCGATTGACCTATCAATACGGTCAGTATATTGAGTGGCATTGATTTCAGATCAAGGAGCTCATACGGCCAGATAATAGGCGCTCTCGCCCGGTCCGGTCTTAGATGGGTCTTCGTATTGGGCATATGGCGGGCCCCAGGCTCGAGTATCGTCACCACGCACGGGGTGTTCCACTTTGATGACATCCGCTCTAAATAGTATGTTAGTGTTTGAATTTTAATTTCGATCAAGTAAGCGTGAATGAGAGCTTCTAGTACCCCCACTTACCCCAGATCACCAAGAATTTGAGTGCAGTACGGCTATATCAGACGAAACTAGGTCAGTACAGAATCACAATATGTCCAGGACGTACTAGTATATACTCACACCAGCCAGCACTCTGGTCATATCAAGCACTCGAATACCCGACAGGGGTAGCGTATCACTCAAAGGCGAAGCAGCACTGGAGTAGCTCCGCAGCGGCGTGCGACGCCAGGCATTGTAGGAGCAGCCAAGGCTGGCGCGGCGAGAAATTGCCTGAAACCGAAGGGCGACGTTCATTATATAATAACGAAAAAGTACAGCGCGGCCAACAAAAGAAGAACTTGAAGAGAATGAACCACAGCACAACACCTCGCACAGCACTCGTTTAAAGGAATTGGGATAGATCGAAATCCCGCTAAAACGCCGACACCGCTCGGGCAGCGGGCCCTGAAGCCGAGGTCGACCGAAGTAACCCCAACTCTTCCCCCCTCCTCCAATCCAATCCCTTGCAGATCCACTCCGCAACAATGTTTACTGGTCTTGTCGAGACGATCGGGAGTGCGTGACATCTTCCTGCTCCTTCTGTATCATGTCGTCCAGACTAACAGACCTCCCTCTTCAGCCGTCACGGCCCTAGAGCCCCTCGATACCTCGCAGAGCGGGGGCGGGGGCACTTCGCTTACCATCTCCGACTGCGAGGAGATTCTCTCCGATGCCCATCTGGGCGATAGCATTGCTGTCAATGGTACAATCCTCTACAGATAAAGCTCGACAATCCCAGTGGAACATGTCTGGCTAACACTTATCGGAACGAAAGGAACTTGCCTCACAGTCACCGAGTTCGACAAGACCTGGTTCAAGGTCGGCGTCGCCCCAGAGACTCTTCGACGCACGAATCTCGGCTCCCTAACGACCAGCTCCAATGTCAATCTCGAACGTGCGGTTTCGGCAGATACCCGCATGGGTGGACATTTTGTGCAGGGCCACGTCGATACTGTTGCACAGATTCTGTCCGTCACACCTGATGGCAATTCCTTGGTCTTCCGCCTGCAGCCGCGTGATAGAGATATCCTCCGCTACGTCGTTGAGAAGGGTTATGTCACCCTGGACGGTGCTAGTCTGACTGTCACCAAGGTCGTTGACGGCGAGGACGGATACTGGGAGGTCATGCTCATTGCCTACACCCAGGAGAAGGTCGTTACAGCTGGTAAGAAGGCCGGTGAGTTCGTCAATGTTGAGATCGACATTGTGGGCAAGTATGTTGAGAAGAGCGTCGCCGGATATTTTGCTGGCACTGCCGGTGGGGATTTCGCCATTCTAGAGAAGATGGTAGCCCGCCTGGTTGATGAGAAGCTGAAAAAATAAGTATTCTTAAAAAAGAGATGCATGCATTGATGTCATTCACGAGGATCTGAATTAAACAAGAAAGCTTCCAAATTATTCTATCTCAAAACTTTTTGATTCATTCCGTAAATCTTGTACATGTACATTGGGCCGTGAAGAATGGGTATAAAATGGGGGTGACTGCCTAGGATGTGGCTGTTCGATCCATGCATGGTAAAATCGACCGCAAGCCCGAACTGGACTGCATTTTATATCCCGATCGGGATGGCAGTCTTCGAAACATGCTGATTATCACCATGGAATAGACCTTGAAGACTTGGGCAGAGTCGAGAACCATGTCCGGTCTTGGAGGTGTTTTATGGCCTTGATATTCAAGACCATTCGGGGCTGGCTGGTTGGCGGATGAAAGCTCACCTCCCAGCCTTGGTTACTGACAATTATGAAATCATCAGATCCTTCACTCCTCCATAGACTCATCCGAGTCGTCTTCGTCCCCTCCTTCATCATCAAAGTCATCGGAAAGCCAATTCTCGTCGTCCATATCAACATCCTCCTCGTCGTCTTCATCATCGTTGACCTTCTCGCCATTGGCCCTAGCCTTGGCCTTGTCCTTCTTCTTCCGCTCAATGTTCTCCTTTTGCTCCTTCTTGCGCTTCTCCTTCTCCTTGCGACGAACTGCCCAGTTCTGATCCAACTTCCTAACTTCGGCAGCAGACTTGGTGACATAGTCGTGCCACATGATCTTGCCATCGCACACACCATCCTCGACCTTCATAAGTCGAAGCTTCAGGCGAGGTCCAAGCTCGACCAGCTTGACTGCACGCTTCTCAACACCCGGGGTAGCGTCCTTCTTATCGGCCTTCTCTCCCTTCTCGTTAGCCTTTTGGCGTTGTGCGTCCCGCTTGTTGAGGATCTTCCGGGTTGTGCTCTCCGCAATCTCCACCTCGGCATCGGTATCAAGCTCGGTCTCACTCGCAGACGTGTAACCAGCAGCAGACGGGTCCAGCAGATAGTCAGCAGCATCCTCGAGTTTACCCAAGTTGGGAACAGCGGCCTTCTTCTTTTCTCTGTTGCGAATCTCCTTGGGGTCCAGGCGACGGATACGTTTTGAGACGCCGGTTTTCTTTGTGGCAATCGCATAGTGTCGCAGACTCAAGACGTAGGAGTCGTCTCCTTCGGACTCGGCCGGTTCACGGTTCAGGAGCATGACACGACGAATTGAAGAAAGGGGAGTAGCTGTGGGGTTGATCGGGGGGAAGAGTGATTGGAAGATGGTAGTAGTGAGCGCTTCCAGGCGTTTCGGGACTTTGGCGTCTTCATCGACATCGGCGGTATTGAAGTTGTTCATGACCAGCAGAGGGGGGGTCTTGTGGTCCTGGCCACCACTTTGAGGGCGCTTCATTGATCGCTCCACGTCTTTGCAGAGTGAGTAGTTCTCGACTTGGAAATGGAGGGTAGGGCCACGAGGTGTAACCGCGAGTCGCATGTTGGTGTTTCCGGTCTTAGACTTGGAGAAAAGCATCAAATGAGTGACGCCCAGAGGGCCAGCCATCACAGTGTAGTCGCGCAGCCGGTTAGATTTGCGTTCCTAAAGATATAAAAATTAGATGCCGTTGAAATTGACCAAAGTTGAAGATTTTAAAACTATACCTTCAATCGCACAGCGGTATCGGGCTCCATCATTCGTCGGACATCTTTGACAAGCTGAGTAACACTAGTACCAACTTGCGAAGCGCCGACTCGAATGACCATGGACTTCGGAGTCTTGGTCAGAGCAGCCGCGCCACCCTTGGGTGCCGCAGAGGCATTTTGGGGGCGGGTGTGAGTGCGCTTCTTAACGCGAGCCTTTGCCATTGTGCTTAGTTATTGGTGATTTATGAAATCACCGATAAATAAAAGGAGGGTTGGGATTGAAAGCTGCAGAAAGATCGGTCTCGGAGCTGGAAGTTTTTTTGGTCTCCAAAAAATCCAGCGGAGAAGGCCCGGATCAACAATCATGCGAATAGCCAGACCCACTTAAATTATTTTGAGATCGGAGTTGACTTCTCGACCAGCGTTACTTTTCTTCTCTCACCAACGACGCAAGAATGCCTACAGTCAAGAAGCGCAAGGTCGCCCAAGAGGTGGCCTCCCCGGTAGAAGATAGCGATTCTCAGTCCTCGCGCTCCGAATCTCCCGCGGCTGAGAACACCACCAACGATGACGGCAGCGCCGAGAATACAACTACACCCAAATCGTTTAGGGAATTGGGCGTGATCGACTCGCTGATCGAAGCTTGCGAAACCCTTGGATACAAAGCACCAACTCCTATTGTGAGTATTTACACCAGAAACCAGCGGGGTAGGCTTAGACGAGTATGATTCGTGGTCGGCATTTACCAAAATGGATCTTCTGCGCCCATGTCTCTTTTTGGTCTCGATCTTTTTTGGTGAACTAGGCTGACAATGACAAACACAGCAAGTCGAGGCGATTCCAGTTGCGCTTCAAGGAAGGGACGTCATCGGTTTGGCCGAGACAGGTAGTGGAAAGACGGCGGCCTTCGCACTTCCAATCCTACAAAAGCTGATGGAAAATCCCTCTCCCTTCTTTTCCCTCGTTCTCAGCCCCACTCGAGAGCTTGCCTATCAAATCGCCCAGGCCTTTGAGGCCCTTGGATCGACTATCAATGTTCGCACGTGCTGTCTTGTGGGTGGTATGGATATGGTGCCTCAATCGATCGCACTCGGCAAGAAGGTTGGTCTTGAATATGATTTTCTCAATTTCATATACTAATATTCTACTTAGCCCCATATTATTGTCGCTACCCCTGGTCGTCTCCTCGATCACCTTGAGAACACCAAAGGGTGAGTCGGCACATACCCATAAATCAGGATCAAACTAACTCTACGTTCAGCTTTTCACTCCGGGCACTGAAATACCTCGTCATGGATGAGGCTGACAGAATGCTTGACCAAGACTTTGGCCCTCTCCTTGACAAGATTCTCCGAATTTTGCCAGCTAAACGTAACACTTTCCTTTTCAGTGCTACCCTTTCCTCGAAGGTCGAATCCCTACAAAGGGCTTCCTTGTCCAACCCGGAGAAAGTCTCCGTGAGCAGCAAATATTCCACTGTGAAAACCCTCCAATCCTACTACTTGTTAAAACCGCACAAGTGGAAGGACCTCTACCTCTGTTACCTTCTTAATGAGTTCATGGGTCGGTAGCCCCTCTTTAACCCAAACATCAAGAAGAAGAAGACTGACAAAAGAAACAGGTCAAAGTGTCATTCTCTTCACCAGGACAGTTCACGAAACTCAAAGAGTCGCATTTTTACTTCGAAGCCTGGGCTTCGGAGCTATCCCGTTGCACGGTCAGCTTAGCCAGTCTTCTCGACTTGGTGCACTTGGCAAGTTCAGATCGAAGGCGCGTGACATTCTCGTGTGTACAGATGTCGCAGCCCGTGGTCTTGATATTCCAAGCGTTGATGTTGTTTTGAAGTGAGTTGATCGTTCTTGAGTTGAGATGGAGTCGTCTCACTAACTGCCATTGCCATAGCTTCGATCTCCCCACCGACAGCAAGACCTATATTCACAGAGTCGGGCGAACTGCACGTGCGGGTAAGAGTGGTGTTGCCATCAGCTTCGTAACTCAGTACGATGTGGAGTTATTCCGTGAGTTCCCCTATAAAAACGAAACATAGTTCGTTGCTAACGAAATATCAGAGAGAATCGAGGATGCTCTGAACCGAAAACTGCCAGAATATGAGACCGAGAAGGATGAGGTTATGATTCTGGCGGAGAGGGTCAGCGAGGCGCAGCGTTATGCCATTATGGAGATGAAGGCAATAGACGAGAAGAAGGGTACCAGAGGAAACAAGTTTGGTAAAGGCAAGCGCACGCGTGATAATATGGATCAAGAGGAGGGTTGATCAAGACCATGACGTGGCTGGCCCAAAAGTACTATCGCTATATGTACCTAGTATGAGTTTAATGTCAATAGAAAAGTTCCTCTTTTATTATGTTTGCCCCTGCTTGGTTAGGTGATCCAGGCAGTTCTACCATTGTCGCATACAGAAATACTAGTACTCACTAGTACTTACGTCGGCATGTCATTGACAGGGTGTCTACCCAGCTGGTTAGCATCCCCGTAAGGTCGACCCCTGTTATCTCATTCAAAATTAGGACCTTATGCCACTTCCAGCTTGGAAAGAATAACTAGTATACGTGGGATATAACATTCAACCATTCTGATCAAAGAAGAAAATGATAAGCATGCAAAGAATTTCATTACTGCATGAACATGATATTGACTATGTTGCTAAGTCATACTGCCCTCAAGTGGCAGAAAGGAAACGCTGTCGTCATATTTTGGTTGTCACGGCTCCCTATAACCGCGTCAAGTAGATCGAGGGAAGCAAAGTCATCCACTGTTGTATTCTGCGGTTGAACAATTAAGCCTGCTGACCGTCCGTACCCGCCTCGCGCACAGCGTTAGCAACGCGAGTGGCAAGGTCATCAGCCTCAGATCGACTAGCAGCCTCGGCATAAACTCGGACAGCATCCTCAGTACCACTGGCACGAGCGAAGCTGCGGCCCTTGTGGTAGCGGGACTGCAGGGACTCGATCTTGCCCTGAAGACCGGCGGGCGACTCAAGCTTGCGCTCGGCGTCGTAGGCCTTGAAGATCGAGCGGTCGTTCACTTCGACACGGACAAGGCGCGAGGGAAGGTCAGTGTAGGTTCCGAGCCACTCCTTCGGGGTCCAGCCCTTGTGAGCGAGGATGGCCTCGACGAGGAGCATGTCAGAGAGAGCATCACCGACAGCCTGGTTGATCAGGTCGGTGAGGGCCTGCAGGCATTCCAAGGCACGCTGCTGGGCGGGGGACTGGGGCTCAGTGTTCTTGATGGCCTTCAAAGCATTCTCGGAGAAGGTAACGGTACCGTGACCGTTGGCCTCGAAGTAGACACCAACATCAAATCGCAGGGCGGCGTGGTGCAAGTGCTTGACACCAGTGTTGGTGCAGATGATGGGCAGCTTAAGCACCTTCTCAATATAATCAGTGCTAGCGCCGTTGGCGTAGGCAGTTTGGACGACGCCGATCTTGAGCTTCGAGGCGATTCCGGCGCTGCGGGCAAGGTCGCCAATGAAGGAAGCGGCCAGAGTGGCAATGCGGTCACCGTCGAGGAGTCGGAAAACGTTGCTCTCGTCGCTGAAATAGTAGACCAGACGATCGGCATCGCCGTCCAACGAAGCACAGCGATCAAGGGGGCCGGCCTTAGACGAGGGAGGGGCACGTTGCTTGGTCTTCACGTAGTCGGCACCACACTAAGAAAAGGTCGGTCAATATATTGCGCCATATGGGAAGAATAGGGCGTGGTTTTACCTCGAAGTTCAGGCTGTCGGGGTTGATCACATCATCGTTGATGACCTTGATGTCGAGAGGGGTATCAAGGAGCTTAATGAGCTCCCTTAGCTTAGGGCCACCGACCCCATTGGCACAATCGACGGTCAGGGACCCCTGGACCTTAACGCCTCGCATAACCTTCTTGAAGGAGTCTACCAGCTTCTGGTAGTATCCAAGCTCCGAGGGCTCGCCATACTCGTATTGTGTTCCAAGGGTGTTCTTACAGCGCACGACGTAGTGAAGCTGAGGGGTAGTCATGTACTTGAAGTCGATGAATTCAACCTCAGTTGCGGTAAGGGCGGCATTCAGCACGCCAACAAGTCGAGAGCCAGAGGCGCGAGTATCTCTAGCAAAGACCACACGAGCGGGGTTGGTCATCTTGACATCGATCTCCTTCACCAGCTCATCGTAGACATCGGCGATTTTGTCCAGAGGGGCATTTGCGAGCTTGGTAGCGTATGCCTCCCACTCGGCCTAAATATCGGGTGTCAGTACGGGGGGGGGGGTATGAGGGTCTATCCGATAATTCGAGGATTTCTCACCTCGAGCATCTCGCCCTAGATTTTTCCATGTTGATTAGATATGATCCCAGTCAGAATGCAGGGGTCGTGGGCAATTGTTTACTCACCATTGGGTCAACCAGCTTGACGCCGTTGTCCTCTGCGGGGTTGTGACTCGCAGTCACCATAACACCAATCCATTGTCCACTGAGCTTCTTGGAGCGCAGACCAGCAAGTAGGCCCACAGCAAAGACGACGGTGTTGAGAAGGTCACTATTCAGATCCGTAGGTTAGGACGACACCGACGTCAACAAAGGACGATCGCGGGGTGTGTGTGGAGGCGGGGCTGATCGAGGCTGAGAAAAACTTACGCCTTCATCCGGAACTATAGTGGCAAATCGAAAAGTGATTAGCTGGAGTTTGTAGGAAGGAGTCTCTTTGGAAATGCGGACATACCCCTGCGGTGCCATACTCGAAGACCTTGCCCTCAGGCTTCTGGTACTGCAGCGCAGCCTCTGAGATTGCTTTCTTGACAGCTGGAGACGCCATTGTGGCGCGAAAGGCGGCGATCAAAATAAATTCAGCGGATAGAAGATGCGAGTCAAGGAAGTCGAGCAATCGCTAAATGTTGACTGAGAGAGTGAGGTGAGAGGGGAGGTACTTTGAAACAAAAAAAGAACGAGGGGCTTTTGGGTGAGACAACAGCGGCTTAATGCGACGGCCATAGCGGTGAGCCAATAGTGGGGGAAGTAGGCGACACGCCGCAAGGTCGGTGCGTGGAATTAGGGCCATGCATACTGGTCAGTGCGTGTACATTACTACGGTATTATGGGGCGCGGCTACGAGAGGAGGACCGAGAGAGGTGGGGATGGGAGGAGTTCAGAATTGCAATTATTATTAGCAACAGGCCGCTGGGTCCTGGCTCGGCTGTGTTTGTCATACTACATGGGGAAACCCTGACTCGGAAATTCCCACCGCACTTTTTGGGAGACTATATTTGAAACAGCCGTCTCGATTCACCCAATATTTAGGCTTTCAGTCGGTGGCTGGCGATATCATCTTGCGTATCTTTGATGAGGAACCTGCCCGCAGATACAATACATTAGTCACAGGAAATAGGAGGAGAGGGGAACAACGCATCCACAATGGAGTAGAACTCACGAGTACCACCAAGCGGTGGGGACTACAGTTCCCAGGTGCCAAAGGCTGTGGGCATCAATCAATCCATTCCATGGGGGAAAGTCGAGCAATTCCAAGCTCATGGCCAGGATGAGCCATGCAACGATCATACCAGGCCAAGCTGTCCAGGACTTGAGATGCTTCTTGTATCGGACGATACTGAAGCCCGTCCACATCAGATTCTGGATGATACCAACTGCGACGTTGGCTGCCATGTTGTACGTGTAGTCCCAAGACCAGAAGGTGAGATAGGAAACATGCAGCGTGTAGAGCAGAATACAGATTGCGGTCCACAGGCGACGCAGGGTCGGACGGTGCGGGGGGGTTCTCCAGATCCAAGCGCAAGATTCGGACCACGGCCAAGTACAGACCGTACAAGACGCTGGCGCCAGCGCCCCAGTAGTCGAACTTCTCAGTGATGGCGAAATCTCTGGTGTGGAAGATCATGCTGAAGGTCCAACTGGCCAATCCGAAGTATCCAAACGCCATATAGTATTTCCGGAGAGAGTGCCAGGCCGGGATTGATTCCTGGATTCGAGACATGCCATGCCAATGCGCCGCGAAATTGAAGAAGGAGAAGAGCACCGAAAAGGGCTCCTGCATCCCCAGCATTCTGCGGAAGGGCCATTTACCATGGAATTGAACCACAGGGCTCAACATTGGAGGGTCCCGAGAAACTCGTTTATCGGTGATGACATGTTGGCAGGTATAGTCGCATTCGGCCGGGCAGGTCCATAATAACAAACGGTGGAAAAGAGCTGGGACGAGTCAGGGGGTTGAACGTAAGAGGGCTAACGCGATAGGGGGGACCGTACATATCACCGAGTTTCCATCCTGGCAGTTCTCGCTTTTACAGACCTGTGTTTGTTAGTCGGGGGGTGAGGCTCATGGGAATCGGCGAAAGCAACGGTACCTGGACACATTCTTTGAAATCGGGGAGATGATCACCCAGAGAAGCGGTGGAATGACCGACAAATAGAGCCAGCAAAAGGAAAGCGAAAAGTATGGCGGGGTTTACTCTTCCGCCTAGATTCATCGTGGTCCAAGGGTGGTTTAGGCCAGCAACGCGTAAGCTTTAGGGAGGGAATGGCAGTTTGCGGAGCTGCGGGCGGCATCACCAGAGCCTCGCGTGAGTCTTGGCAGTCATTGTTGACAGCTCCTCCCAGTCAGCTCCGGGGTAAAGAGTAGTACCAGTAGTAGTACGTACATCCATGGATGGTCCCCAGAATTGAACTTATATGTACCCAGCCATCCATCGTGTCTTGAATAAATACTTCATATTTTTTGTGTAACTTTGTATGGTTTTATAGCCAAAATAGTACTCCAAAAAGGATCACGGCTAACTTGAACATCACGATTGGCCAATGACAGCTTCTACTGGTACTTTGAAATTTGAAGATATTTAAATCTTGGGTTTTCGCCCACCAGTCTTTTCAACAGCCCTACACATTACTACTTCATTTGAATGATAATATTGATTTTGGTTGACAGATCAATAGATTCAGGGAAGCCCTAGTCACGTGATCAAGTCATGTGACGCGGGACATCCGAAATCGGACTAGTGCGGGCGGGGATTTTGGAGGAGCTTGGCGGCGAACTGGAAAAAAAAAGTCGGCTAGTCTTCCATCTAGGTTCTGACTCTTTTTCTCCAAGTCTTTGTTCTCCTTTTGTCCTGATTTTCAACTACTTTCCTACCGACAAAATGGAAGGAGCCGAGAACACCCAGGGAGGTAACTCCAGCAGTGCCGAACGCATGGTTGGCATGGAGCACTCCGAAGTGCGCTATTTCACCAGGTATGGATTCAAAGCCTCACATTTGTGTCTTGCTTGCATACTAATTAAAAACTTAGCTACGATCACCACGGTAATCAACCATTATATCCCATATCTCTGTTACGTGATTATTCTGGGAGTGGCCTGACTAACAAACAATTTTCTACCTTGTGCAGGTATCCACGAAGAGATGCTTGTAAGTACAATCAGACGAAACCCAGCGTGTTTGTCAAGCCAATTCGACAATCCAATGATCTAACTTGCAATTCTCTGCATACAGAAAGACGATGTTCGTACCCGCTCTTACCGCGACTCCATCTACCAGAACCGCCACCTCTTCAAGGACAAGGTTGTCCTGGATGTTGGCTGCGGTACCGGTATCCTCAGCATGTAGGTGGCCATACATTACAAAGAAATGCGATTCCATAACTTGCGACTAACCTACTTGGAAGGTTCGCTGCCCGTGCTGGTGCCAAGCATGTGATTGGTGTCGACATGTCCTCCATTATCCAGAAGGCCAAGCAGATCGTCCACGTCAACGGCCTGTCCGACAAGATTACCCTTCTCCAGGGCAAGATGGAGGAGGTCCACCTCCCCTTCCCCAAGGTCGATATCATCATTTCCGAGTGGATGGGTTACTTCCTTCTCTACGAGTCCATGCTGGACACCGTCCTGTATGCCCGTGACACCTACCTCGCCCCTGGTGGCAAGATTTTCCCCGACAAGGCCACCATGTACGTCGCTGGTATTGAGGATGGCGACTACAAGGACGACAAGATTGGATGTGAGACAGCCCTTTTATCGCTTTATCTCGTTGAATTTGCGCTAATGATCTACAGTCTGGGACAACGTCTATGGCTTTGACTACAGCCCCATGAAGGAGATCGCGCTTACTGAGCCCCTCGTTGATACCGTGGAGATGAAGGCACTTGTCACCGACCCATGCCCAATCATCACTTTTGATCTCAACACTGTCACCGTTGCCGACCTCGCCTTCAAGGTCCCCTACAACCTCACTGCCAAGCGCAGCGATTTCATCCATGCCATGATCGCTTGGTTCGATATCGACTTCAGCGCTTGCCACAAGCCCATCCACTTCTCTACCGGCCCCCACGCCAAGTACACTCACTGGAAGCAGACCGTCTTCTACCTTCGTGATGTTCTCACAATTGAGGAGGATGAGCAGGTTTCCGGCTGGCTGGAGAACCGCCCTAATGACAAGAACAAGCGCGATTTGGACATCAACCTGTCTTACAAGTTTGAGATTAACGACCCCACTCGCTTTGCCGAGGGCAGCTGCTTCTACCGCATGTATGTTTTCCTGAACATCCCTTAACACCACCGTCGCACAGGCTAACATTATATTTTCAGGTGCTAATTTTTGACGTTGATGGCTTGTTCTGTTCTGAAATGATCATAATCATCTAGAAGCTGTCGCGTGCTTTTGAGACAGCGTGCAGCCTAGAATCTTCAGGTCTGGATTTGCACAGTCCTATTTGACATATTTCCGGTCTCGGTTTTCTTTCACAGGCGTTACTTTCTTGGGTGGCAGGGTAAAAAGCATTACTACATGGCGCGATACGGAGAGATGATCATGAAGCTCCTCGAATCAAGTAGATACCCCCGAGTCGATGCTTAGTCTAGCAACTCCGACGCATCTGATGTCCAAATCTTGGAATGTTTGTAGATGCATGCAGGGGAAATATTTTCTGATTTGAATACGCGTTTCCGTTTTCTTTCTCCGTAGAAGTTGAGTGATTTGTGTAGTACTAGTAGTTAACAAGAATTCGCCAAGGAGCTGGCGCGTCTCGTCGGCAATTACGGTAACTAATCATTATCAGATCCTCGGCTCAGCGCCGCCCCGCAATTCCTCAATCCTACTTTACCTTCTTCTTCTCCGCAGCATTTTTCCCACACGCTCTATCTTTTTACTCCCCCCTTTTCTTCTCCTCTATATATCAGCATTATATATTCATCATGTCTGCCCCCGGCGCTAGTCACGAATTCCCTGCCAAGCCAGTCTCCTGGCAAAAGCGCGATGTCCTGTTGTTCGCCAACAGCATCGGCTGCAAGGCCGACGAGCTACAGTTCCTTTATGTATGTCCAGCGAGCCAATGGAGTTAATGTTGATTCCCTAACACGTCTAACAGGAACTTCACCCCAGCTTCTCAGTCTTCCCGACCTACCCCCTGATCTTGCGTACGTTGCACCTCGAGGGAATTTTTGCATCGTTGACACTACGACTGACCCACTTGAACAGCCTTCAAGCTCACAGATCAGGAGGTCACGAATTTCTATGAGCGCCAGTCGGCCGTTCACATCCCTGGGGTTCCGAAATTGGATCACCGCCATGGAGTCGATGGCCAGCGCAAGCTGACCATCCTCAAGCCGCTTCCTCCCACTAGCGCTGGACGCAAGTTTGAGCTGCGCAACAAGGTCATCGGTGTCTACGACAAGGGCAAGCCCGGAACCGTCATGGAAACTGAGCAGTCTATTGTCGACGCAGAAAGTGGTGAGGTGTACAGCAAGGTTCTGTCAAGCGGCTTTTTGGTTGGCCAGGGTAACTGGGGTGGGCCTAAGGGTGAGTTGCAGGCACGATTCCTAGCCTCACAGAAAAATACTGATATTCTTTCCGCAGGACCCTCCACAGTTAACTTCCCCCCCTCCCGAGGGCAAGGCTCCTGATGCCACTCACGTCATTCAGAGCACCAACGAGACTGCACACCTGTACCGGTATGTTTGGGAGTCTAGAATCTAAGACACTCGGGCAAATACTCATTTTTATCTTTAGTTTGAACGGAGACTATAACCCTCTGCACGCCACCCCCGAGCCCGGTCAGAAGATGGGCTTCGGCGGTATCATCATCCACGGCCTGTTCAGCTGGAACTCTGCCGCCCACGGCATCCTGCGCGAGCTTGGAGGCAGCAACCCTGACAATATCAAGGAATTCCAGGCTCGCTTCGCGTCGCCTGTTCGTCCCAATGACAAGCTTACTACCGAGATCTGGCGGATGGGCGATGTTCAGGCGGATGGGTTTGAGGAGGTCCGCTTTACTACCAAGAACCAGACTGGCAAGGTTGTCCTGAGCAATGGCCGCTGTCTGCTGAAGGTTGTTAGCCCCAAGAGCAAGCTGTGAAGATATATAAAACTGCTATATCGTTCTTGGATACTTTTAGTGTATCAATTGTATATAACAATTTTACCAGAACTACCCCGTTTGCATTTTCATGAAATGCGTGCTCTTTTGTAGCTTAGAGCTTTGAAGATAGTAGTTCGCAGGAAGGTACTCTCGATTGCCAAATTGTGGGTTAAAAATAAAGCAGCGAAGGCAGTGCCCGTATTACAATCAGTTTGAATAATACTAGTATGCCCTCCAGGTAGTATCTGCCAGGAATCTTATGACAAACAACAATGGTTCCCAGTTCAGCCGTTATATACTATCCATCACAGGATAGTACTGGGTCAGGGTGCCTCAAGGTGGGTCTGGATCCAACCGATAACTCCGCTTGAAATGAAAGTTAATTAACACTTCAGAATATTAAAAATTCGGTCCCACTGTTTTGTATGGATTATGGCACACCCTGCGATACGCATTTACTATTTAGTGTTAGTGTCTCTTATCATACGTTGTTTGTCTTGGCAACGCTTTGTGGATACACGTGACTTCCATCGGCCGAGGCCATTTCCCCGGAGTTTCGGGCTGCTCCCGCAACACCTTCTCCTGCATTTGCATTTTGAGTACCAGAAATACGGAGGACAGAGTGCAAGATGAATTTTCGCAGCTCCACGGCTATCTCAATGGCTGCTTGGCGAAGCACTCTGAGGTAAGATCAATTGGTCACGACTCACAACCCACCAATTTCGGGTGCTGATCTACCCCCCCCCAGAGGCAGCATTGCGCGATCATATGGCTCCAAGAGTGGTGATTTGGTACGTCAATTAGGAATTCGGTCTTTCAGTGCAAGATTTGCGTGGTAGAACTACACTAAGTTACAGTAATAGCCCATTCGGACCGTTGGATTGAACAGTCGCTCCTTTCCCAAGAGAAGAGCTCATTCGCCGACATTCATTGTTAGCAAGCGTCTAATTTCCACCAATGCCCCAATGGACACATCAGAGCTTCCAGAACATCTCAGAATGCTTTCCAACGATCCCGATCTTATCGCCGGCGCTGTGAGGGACTTGAATGATGGATATGTGATGCTAAAGCCACCAAATACCACTACCGAGTATTACAAGTTGTGAGTCGCCGTCTTAAGCCCAAAAAATATTTCATCGCTATAAGTGCTGATAACTATGGAAAGTGGATCCTTTTTTCTAAGGTAAGTCGCAAGAGAGTGTGTGTTCGGGAGCTCAGTCTCTTGGAAGGTCTATCGCTGAGAGGTCGTGGACTACTAGAGAAAATTGTCAATGCCCCAAGTGTGTTCACCCGGACACGAAGCAGAGGATTGTTGAGATTGGCTCGGTATGTACCATTTTTACCTTAGGGGTCATTATCATTATGGAGCAGAGGGGCTAATCCAATATAGGTCCTACCAGAAATTACTCCTACCAAGTTAAATTGCGGAAACCTCCAAGAAGGTGCTCAAATCACATGTATGTATTCAATCGATATTTCATACCAGATTTATCAACTAATTCTTGACAAGGGAATGATGGCCATGAGAGTGTCTATCCGTGGGCCTGGCTAGAAAGACACAATGTACTCAAGCGAAAACTGAAGTATAAGGTGTCTGTATATGGTGATTGCAGGCCAAGGTATGAAAATTTTGCGTTTACGTTATCAGAAACTTCTCACTGACAGTATTAAATAAAAGACATTTTCGCAAATTTGATGCCGCGAGCGACTCCTATCCTGAGGTCGAGTTCGAGAAGGTGATGTTAAGCGATGCATCCGTTAAAGACTGGCTGAACAAGATTGTAAGTTCCATATATAGTACTATTATCCGAAACTCTCAGCATGTTTATTGGTGAATCGTTCAAGTTTCTGATGATTAACCTTCTCGCTCGAAGCAAACTCTCGGATTCTGTTTCATCAAGGGAGTCCCAATTGACCCAGAAGCAACTAAGACTCTTATCGAGCGTATTGCTTTTGTGAGACACACTCACTATGGTACTTTATCAGCACGGAACCCTTTCTCGACCGAATTCTAAATTGATATATAGGTGGCTTCTGGGACTTTACGGCCGATCTCACCTTCAAGGATACGGCATATACCAATGAGTCTCTTGGTGTCCATACAGATAATACCTATTTCACGGATCCCGCAAGACTCCAGCTTTTCCACCTTCTGTCACACACAGATGGATCAGGGGGCGAGAGCTTACTTGTGGATGGCCTATCCGCCGCAGACACACTCCTGAAAAAGCACCCCGAATACTACAGAACTTTGATTCAGGTTAGACAACCGTGGCATGCCAGTGGCAATGAAGATGTCTGTATCCAGCCATCCTTCACGACCCCTGTCTTTTCTGTCCACCCGGACAGAGGGCGACTCTATCAGATTCGCTGGAACAATTACGATAGAGCGCCTAAATCAGACTGGCCATTGGAAACTCAGAAGCAATGGTACAAGGCTGCTCAGTGCTACAACGACATCCTAAATGAAAGTCGAAGAAGAATCCAAACACAACTCCAGCCTGGAACAGCACTCAGTAAGTAGAGAATTGCCACCGTATACTTGCTCAATTATGAACTGATTCCTTTCCTAGTTTTCGACAACTGGAGAATGATGCATGGCCGCACCGAGTTCACCGGGAAAAGAAGGATGTGTGGGGGATACGGTATGTGTCAAAATACGCCTTAAGCCCCCTTAAACACAAGCTTGGCACTTTTTGATACTAATTAATTCTGGACAGTCAATAACGATGATTACATTTCGCGACTTCGTCTGCTTAGTTATGGCCGAGAGGAGGTGCTGAATAGTCTGGGAAGCCAATACCATCCTGGTGCGGGGAAAGGCCCCTATTCGATTATCTAGACTGGGTCAAGTATTTAGTCGCGAAATTTGAATGTAGAAATTCTATAACATAGAAAAATGTGGCTACCATAGCGGACATAAAATTCGAGAGTATTACTAGCACCTCACTGTTGACCGACTCACGTGACTGGCTGACGTTGTTGGAGCTCGGCCACCGACAGCTATTCTCCAACCTTCTACGTCCTCTTCACCTTCACCTATCCCCCCCAAACCGACCATCCGCGTGTGGCAACCCTTGAATCCATTTAATCCGATCGGTCATTATCCATTAATAAAACGCTCGTCATGTCGACCCTCGAGGACTTGGACGACCTTGAGCACGAGAACAGAGACAAGAAGGAAGACCAGGGCGATGACGGCAAGAAGCCCAGCGGCGACGGTGACGCCGAGATGGAAGATGCTGAGAAGAAGGACGATGAGGAAGAGCTGATGGACGAGGAGATCCTCCACTCCAGCACGGCAGACATCGTTAAGCGACGACGGATGCTGGAGAACGAAATGCGCATCATGAAGAGCGAGTTCCAGCGTTTGACACACGAACAGAGCACAATGCGAGAGAAGGTTAAGGATAATCAAGAAAAGATCGAGAACAACAGGTATCGTCTCATTCATCCCCCAAGGGGATACTTGCGGATTGTCCAAGACAGCAGTCGCTGCCCGCGGAGCTCGCAAGACCCTATCAATTGAACCATCACCTTTTCTATTTACTGACATCCCTGTTTTACCTTGCTAGACAACTACCATACCTCGTCGGAAACGTCGTTGAGCTCCTGGACCTTGATGTGGAGGCCGATGCTGCAGAGGAAGGAGCCAACATCGATCTCGACGCCACTCGCGTCGGCAAATCTGCCGTTATCAAGACCTCAACCCGCCAGACCATCTTCCTCCCGCTCATCGGACTGGTTGACCACGAGAAGCTGAAGCCCGGTGACCTGATCGGTGTCAATAAGGACTCATATCTCATCCTGGACACCTTACCAGCAGAGTATGACAACCGCGTGAAGGCGATGGAGGTCGACGAGAAGCCGACGGAGAAGTACACGGATATCGGTGGTCTGGACAAGCAGATCGAGGAGATCGTGGAAGCTATCGTATGGCCCATGAAGGAGGCGGAGCGATTCAAGAAGATCGGCATCAAGGCGCCGAAGGGTAAGATCACACTGTTCTGAAGGGGTTCTCTTTTTTCTCGACGATATTAACCTTCTTTCTCTTAGGTGCTCTAATGTACGGCCCCCCCCGGAACTGGTAAAACCCTCCTTGCCCGTGCCTGTGCCGCCGAGACGAACGCCACTTTCCTGAAGCTTGCCGGACCATCCCTCGTACAAATGTTCATTGGTGACGGTGCCAAGCTGGTGCGTGACTGCTTCGCCCTGGCTAAGGAGAAGGCTCCATCAATCATCTTCATTGACGAACTTGATGCCGTGGGTACCAAGCGTTTCGACTCCGAGAAGTCCGGTGATCGTGAAGTCCAGCGTACTATGCTGGAGCTGCTGAACCAGCTGGACGGATTCGCGTCCGACGACCGCATCAAGGTCCTCGCCGCGACTAATCGTGTCGATGTATTGGACCCTGCTCTGCTCCGATCCGGTCGTTTGGATCGCAAGATCGAGTTCCCCCTGCCGAACGAAGAGGCTCGTGCGAATATCTTGCAGATTCACTCGCGTAAGATGTCCGTCGAGGATAGCGTCAACTGGGCTGAGCTTGCCCGCAGCACGGATGAGTTCGGTGGTGCTCAGCTCAAGGCTGTCTGTGTTGAGGCTGGCATGATTGCGTTGCGGAAGGGCCTGAGCAAGATTGGTCACGAGAACTACGTTGATGCTATCGCCGAGGTTCAATCGAAGAAGCGCGACGCAAATGTCGGCATCTATGTTTGAATTGGTGATTTCCCCCCTGAATGTTACATCTCTTTTCTATTTTTATCCCCTTTTTTCTTCGTCATGTCATGTATGTACGTTCAGCGGCCCTCAAGATGAGGCCGGTAATTCGCTATGCATGCAGGCGACTGCCTCTAAACCAAATAACATTATGATCCATTCTAGACCCCGTCGAGAGTTGAGTTTACGCTCGCAGGAATCTGAATACTACTAGTAGAAGTCTGTATCACTCCACGGCTGACACAGATGAGCACTTGGCATACTGCCTATTGTACTGAGGACACCTTTATTCGAATCCTATATTATTCTCTTGATGATTGGGAGGCAGTTTATGCGGGAGAAGCGGTTTATATAGGCAAACTGTTTTGATTGGTCGATTCTAGTTTAGCAGGCTAAGCCCCATTTGGATTGCTGGCCGATATCTTCGTTTCGAGACGCAGGAATAGCTTCAGTGTACACTTTGCACTCTCGCAGTTCCGTCCTGATAGTTACCGGCCTAGGGCCTTACGCTTTGGCGGCAGTTTTGGTGCCATTCCCATGTTCCATTCGACCCGCACGTCCCTCCCCGTCTCACTATATAGTACGTACTACTAGTACTAGGTAGCAACACAGGTAATGGTGAAATAAAGTCCACTCGCTCCGGAAATGTATCCATGGATTTTTTCTTTTGTTTTGGAATAAGACCAAAGAAAATAAACTAAAAACACATAATGCAATGGTCATAAATCCATATAAAAGCCGCTTATCTAACAGCCCAGGCACCACCTTCAAACGCTACACTCCACTTATTTCATATTACCAGGCCTCGCTCAGAGAGCCCTTAGTTCTTAGCCTTGTCATCCTTAAGCGTAACGATGCGGTTCAGAATGAGCTTCTCAGGCGTTGTCTCCCGGTCAACGGCATAGTATGCAGTACGCATACCCTGGAATCGAATAGCGTGCTTGTTCTTCTCAACATCCTGCTCAGCCGCAGACTTAGGCCAAGGAGCCGACTGCGAGATATCAGTAAATCCAGTCTCAACCATGGCATCCGGGAAGATCTCCTCGGAATCAGGGTTGATATCGGCCAAGAAGCCCTCAGGGTGAGCAGAGGGGTTTTCGGACTTGAATAGCGGGTTGGTGGCCCGGACCTCGGCGCGGATAGGACTGTTTTTCGCGGGGCAGTCGGCGACCCAGTGGATGAAGCTCTTGGGCTTCTTCGCGGCCTCGCCTTCGGCGGGCTTCTCGTATTTGGCATGCACGACTGTCACGTTGCCGGCGGCGTCTTTCTCGAAGGTTGTGGCGGTGATGGGGTAGGGGGCCTTGAGGAGACCGACAGTCTTGCCGGGGGCGAGGCGGAAGTAGTCTGGTGAATCGACTTCGCGGAAGTCGGAGCGCTCGATGTAAACAGTCTTCGTGAAGGGGATGGTGTGGGTGCCGAAGGAGGCTTCCTTGGAGAAGGGAACTTCGACCATCTCAAGGTGATCGTCGGCCAGATCGTCGATGACGACCTTCAGAGGCTCCGTTACAACCATCAATCTGGGAACGGTTGTCTCGAGGAATGTGCGGACCGACTGGTCGAATCGGTGCATTTGGACGTTGGTCACGGCCTTGGTAACTCCGAGTTCGCTAACGAAGTTGAGGATAGCATCGGGAGGAACACCACGACGACGGAGAGCAATGAGTGTGTACAATCTTGGATCATCCCAATCACGGCTGCTCTGGAGTTAGTTTTGCACCGACGTATTTTAAGTTCAAGAATACTTACACATGTCCCTCCTTGACCAGCTTGATAATCTTTCGCTTGGAGAGAACAGTGCCTGTGATGTTGAGACGGCCGTATTCGCGCTGCATTGGTCGGTAGACATCGAGCTTGTTGTTGAGCCACTCGTAAGACTCGCGGCCTATTAGTGGAGTTAGCGAACCGTGTTTCACGAGATATGTGAGTAAAAAAACTTACTGTTCTCGAACTCAGTCGTGCATAGTGATGAGGTAATGGATTCCAAGCTATCGGAGAGACCTAATAAAAGTTAGTATGGAATCACCAGGCGCAGAATCAAAGATCAATAAAACGTACCATGGGCCATATCGTAGGTGGGGAACATCTTATATGTCGGAGCACGGTGATGTTGCTTTCCACCCTCGGGAATTCTCCATGCAAAGAGATCCCACATTTGGGGGTTGGGGTTATCAATGTCCTGTTTCATGCGCAGAGCCGCTTCTCCGGCCTTGTACTTTCCATCACGCATAGCACGGAACTCAGTCAGAGACTCCTCAGTGGGCCGGTTGCGGTGAGGGCAAGCAAAGCGCTTACCACCCTGCTGACCGTCCTCGGTCTGACCACGCTGAACCTTGACCTCGGCCTGGGTACAGTGGCAGACATAGGCGCCGTCACGCTTGATCAGCTCCTCGGAGTATTCATAGAGACGATCGAAGTGATCACTGGCATGAGTCTCGCGCACAGGCTTGAAGCCGAGCCAATTGACGATATCCCGAATAGCAGTGTAGTAGATCTCGTCCTCTCCTTCGGGGTTGGTATCGTCGAAACGCAGGATGCACTCTCCACCGTGGTACTTTGCGAAGCCGAAGTTGACAGCGATAGCCTTGCTGTGTCCAATGTGGAGATATCCGTTGGGCTCGGGCGGGAAACGAGTGCGAACCTTGGGGTGGGTTTCGGAGACGGGGCGCTCGTTGTAAACGTCATTGAGGAAACCGAGTTTGAACATGACTTCGGGGTCGCGGGGAGCAGCAGCCTCCTTAGCTGCTTTCTGGGGCTTGGGCTGCTTCGCAGGCTTAGGCGCGGCCTTGTTCGCGGCCTTCTCCAGTGCCTTCTGCGCCTTCTTCAAGGACTTCTTGGAGGGGCCTTCTTTCTCTGCGGGTGGGGCGGCCTCCTTGGGCCGCTCAGGCAAGTCAACAGGCTTTGCTGGATCCATGATTGAAAGGTCCCAGAGGTCCAGAGCAGAGTGAAGCAATTGGTGGGGTTGTTATTTTTCACGAGGGGCTGCGATGCTTATCAGTCTCCATTCGCTAATCGGGCCGATGAAACACCGGATGAGTCATGCGCCCACTTCCCCAGGTAACTTGAAGTATACCGGACTATATACTTACGATAAGACATGGAAATGCCCATTGGTATTGAAACAGTGGCTGGAATGAACCTTGATGACTCAAAAATAGACATTGTAGATTAACGAGTAGCTATTGATACATGGTAAATTGTAAATGCTGTACAGGTGAGTAATGTACAAGCCTCAAAAGGGCCAAGCGATCGATGGAAGACAAGAACCAAAGAACCAAACCAGATGAATCAGCCAAGCCACCCATTACCTGAAATCTCGGGGATTTACGAGCCAGCGAGACCCCCATGAAAGACAAAGGACCAATGAGACAAGGGAAGAAATATAGACAAAAAGAACCAAGGAAGAGTGGCCGTCATAGCCGCACATGAACCGATTAGAGTCACCCGTCATGCTCACATGTGCATTAAGACCAATGAACGCCAGATGCCAATGATATCTGGCGTATGTATATGTACGTGGGGAAAAAGAGATGTTGAGAAATGAAATCCAAAAGCACCAAAACACAGATTTGACCAGAATGCGGGGTATAAGGCGTGATAATGAGACAAGGGAGGGTGCTGAGAAGAGTGGGATAGAGAGCGTGTGATGGTGGTGTGGGTAGTATAAGGAGAGGCGGATCGTATATAGGAAGACGGAGAGGGCGGGTTTAGAAGAGTTGCTTCACATTGATGAGTTCTGAGTTACCGGGGCGGTCGCGTTCCATATGGAACCACCAATCCCGGCCCATCTTGTGGTTCCAGGATCCGGTGCAGGTATCCTTTTCCCAAGGCAGGGCGGAGGACGACGCATGGCTCATCGGTGTGATAGGTGTTGTGGGTGTTGCAGGGGTGCCGGTAGACCGGCTACCCAGGCTACCCCAACCGAAACGCGAAGTGGTAGTAGATGAAGGAGATGCCAGTTCCTCTATAGGTGGATTGATGGGTGGCTTGCTATTCGTGTCAAAGCAATGGACACCCACCCCGGCCGCGTATGATAATGACTGATTGGATGCGAGTAATTGCTTCCACCCGATCAGACCACCTTCCGATTCTTGACCAGGAATATCAGGGCGAAGGTGGAATCGGGGAATTGATGCCCCTGTTAAAGGGTCTCGAACGCCGGAGCGGCCCATGAAAGCCGGCATTCGAAATTTGTAAACTGTCTTGGGTCCGTCGCTGTCCGACACCGGGGGGTCGTGTTTATACCGTTCGGAAGCTTCCCAGATTCCGTAGTCGTCGATCTCCGGTTCTGGTTCTTCTTCGAAATTTCCAAGTAACGCGTTGTCTGGTACGTAATTATCTGAGTAATCCTCAATCAATACTGGCATGCCTGATTCGGTATCCTTGACGGCCATGTCAATGAAAGTTTGCGCTCGGATTCGAGACGAGGTCAGGTTATTTCCGGCAGGCAAAGCAAGGGGTCGGATGCTGACGGAGCCATGCGAGCTCCGGGGCAAACTATAACGGTCTGGTCGAAGTAACGCTTGGCCCTTTGTGATAGGTCGACAAACCGCTTGCAGGGCTCCAGGAGGCTGGCAGTCGTTCGGCGCCCGGAGAGTTTCCAGCCATGGGAACCCCGCAGCGAGAATACTTTGAGCAAGATGGAAATTGGGGGTATCGGACTGCTTCGGGCTTTGCTGAAATGGTAGGGAATCGAGTTGAGTGAGTGCTGTGCCAGGGTCCGGGCAAGCCACATCCCAGTGGAGATACTTCAGGCTGGACGAAGCGAGAATGGGTTGGAAAACCATGCCTTCCTCTTCCAGCGTAGGGCACTTATCGCTTTGGACAAATTTGAATCGCTCAAGCTGTCTGAGTGATGCAAGCAGCTTGGAGATGACTAGCAGAGACTCAATGTTCTGTTCCGCTAAGATAAACGACTTAAGCGACTGCGATTCCGGACGCATGGCGTACTGCGCGATACCTGCATCAGTCACACCAGGCAAGTTCTCCAATCGCAAAGATTCCAGCGGAGGCAAACACAACAGTGTGCTATCAGCAAATGCATCCTCGTTGAACGAGGAGATGCAGAGATTCCGCAGAGAGGGCAAAAGATCAAACATGCGCAGGAAAATACTCGGCTCCAAGGCACCGTTTCCATTGAGACCGTATAACATCAATGTTTCCAAGTTGCCCCATGAAACATGATAATCCAAGAACTCGAACATTTGAGAGGGCCCCAAACTTCCAGGGCAAGAATCGTCACGAGGCGACAGTTCAGTAACCTCCACTGCCTCGCCCAGAACCCAGGTATGCTCCTTCAGTCGCTTGCGCGTAGACAGGGCGTGGGTAAGACGGTCGAATTCATGGTGGTAAGGGATAGACAGACCCAAAAGTCGCTCCAGATTGGGACAGACCATCACTACAGATGCGACTAGGTCTCGATATTCTTGCCATTGCGCGCTTTGCTTTGTTGTGGTGAAGAGTAGATCCATCTGGGGCACACGTAGTTCGCGGACGAGATTGGCCAGCATGTTTCGTTCGCGTAGGGTACGCCTCAACAACTTCAGACGGCTACCCCTCTTGAGACGGTACCGTTTTAATTGGGCGGGGAATCATTTCCGACTATATGAATTTGTGTATATCTGGGGGTATATGGTATCAGTTTCTTGTTGCTCGAGATCAACAGGGGCTGTTGTATGGTTGCAACTCACAGTCGTCCTCGAACAGCCCGTTCCCAGGACCGACAAGTCAGGGACAATGCATGCAGGTCGCGATGGAAACAAGTTGTGCAACCTGTCTGGTGCGGCGCCTTATGTAGCACTTCGAGGTTGTTAAGGATGACATCGTAAACCTCCTGGGGGATTCGTCGCTGAACGGACTCAATGCTATTGGGGATGGATCCAACGGAGTCGAATTGGCGATAAGAAGAAGCAGGCGACGAAGGTGTATAACCTGTTGTTGGCGCGGTCGAGGTTGTATAGTTGGTGCGATAGGAAGAAACGGACGAGGTACGTGAAGTTACCGGCTGTACCGCAACAGCGAACTCCTTGCAAGTTGCCGCATCCTGAGGAATTGTGTAAGGCACAGCAGGGTTTTCTGGTCTACTGGCAACGACGCTCATGGTGAATTGGCGTGCCTGGCATCGGAGGCGCGGCGCGTGGAGGAGGGAAAAGAGGAAAAATACGGCGAAGACAGGCGGGGGTCGAGGAATGTAGGGGGGGGGTTGGTGGAGTGTGGTCAGTTGTCGTAATGGCCTGGAGGGATCGTCGAATTCCAACTGAGGTCAGCGTTATTGTGGTAGTGGAAGTGGTAGTGGTATTGGTAAATGGTCGTTTGATTGTATGACCTTTGGAGGAGGTTGAAGAGGGTAGGTCAGAAGGCACGGGAACAAGAAGGATCACGGCACATCCACACTTTCCCTCTTACACCTTCACACTTCACACTTCAAACTTCAAACTTCACACTCACACACTCTCGAGGGGTCCGGGAAGCGTTCGATCGCCCCCCCACACCCACTTTGCTCGTGGTGAGCGGAGAACCTGACAGGGGTCGACGGTTCAGGGGTTGGACTACTCAATCCTCTAGACCCGAACCGTCAGGGATCCGCCGCGGTATTGGAGTTGATCCATCCGCGTCCTCCAACCAGCACCCTCATCACACTCGCCATGGCACTTGATTCCTTTTTTAGGGCTACTCGAAATGTCTACTTGGCCTGTCAATGCGTCCAATCTGCCCTCTTCAACGGCGGTCATTGCATATATGCCTGCGTCGAACACGAACGGCTCTGCAGCCATGTTGCTCGCGGACGGTTCGTGAGCTGCAGCACTATTCCTTTATTGGCATAGCATCATATTCGGTGGGTCCTTGGACCTGCATGGAGTGGGGCCACTGCCCCTTTTTTCGCGGCTTTTTCTGCTTTGCTCTGCATTCGCACCTTGCACGGATGTTATTGTATTGGCGGCACTACGACCGGTTGGGACTACGGCGCATACGACAGCCATCCACATTGTACTCTACCCTGAGCCTTCGGCGGTTTCAAAAAGCCACAGGAATAGTCTTGGCCAACGAGGATCCTCTCGAGTCACAAAAATGCCACTTCGTGTGCCCTGTCTGACTCAACCTGCGGTCTAAGCGTGAGACATGCGGCGCCCCTCGTCAAAATAGGCAATGGTTCAGGAACCACGAGGTCTTGTTCTAGACGTTGCTATATCTGACGTTCGCTTGCATCCGATCTCGCCACCCCGGTCTCAAAAATTGAACCTGCTCGTGTAGATTATTGGCAACGGAACCCCGAGATCGCGATCGCGGTGGATCGCCGCAAATTAACCAACCAACTCCCATAGCTCTCAATCTCCAGTCGTTTCCTCGTAAGAAACGGGCCATCCACCTCAGTTTCGGTGCTGCGCAATTTCTACACGAAATCCCAATCGTATGTTACTGGCTATCCCACGCGGATCCCACGGCACAGAGCTCTCGGCAGCCTTAGCTTACTTGGGAATGGTCCCAGTCTCCCGCATAGAGCAATGTGGACAATTCACAGCTGAAGTCCGATCTGGTGGAGACGGTTCCCACTTCATCGACTCTACGGAGTACCATAATAGCCAATTGCACTATTGGATGGTAGCCTCCTAATCTTTACACAAGAATTAATGCCGCTCTATCGGTGTTGCCATGTGAGATTTGGAATTCCGCTGGTCCACTTCTCCGCCTCCACGACATGATTCGCAGTGCCCGGTTTTGTTCTTAGAACTAGTAGGGTCTCCCACGAGGTCGTCGTACTCTATTTCGGATGGTGGGCAGGTGGGCTCCACTGTTTTATCTGTTTTCGTATATTGGGCTGAAGCAGCTCACAATAATAGCAGCCGATCTACACAATATGCCGTGCAGATATACGGAGTATGGGAGATACCGAATCCACCCTTGTGGATCTTATTGACCTGATACCTTTTCTAGAAGACCCGAACATCGCCGACACGAGCTGAACACCAACAAGCGTGGAGGTTCAAAGCCGTCACGGTGCTTTAGGGGTTATACGGACCCTGATATTCCATCGCCCCGCCCGTGCGCCGCCGAAGAGGGTCCATCTATATCGGTACGCAGTACAACCAAGCTTCGCACAGCCCATGTATATATTAATCTCGAGCCTCGTTTTCCACTTCTGGCCCATGCTAGGCCAATGTTCACGAGGGTTAAGCCTACACTACTAGGCCTGGCTCCCAAACATGAAATCTAAGCTTGACACGGGTGTAGATATATATAGACATCGTCCCGTGTTTCAAATGGATGGTCTTCAAACTTGACGTAGTACCACGATAATTCTGCGTTTCAGCAGATTGTCAACTGCTGTTTCTAAGGTTTGCTTAATTGTCCATTAGTTTGGGCCCCATGGTGTTTCTGGTTGTGTCACTCTCCGACCAGTTAAGTCACAGAACCTACTAGTAGCTTTCTATGTAGGGGGCTAGTACAATCTTTCCCAAACGTTCGATAGGAATGGTATCCAGATGAGAGCAACTAGCAAGATGTTATCAAGTCCTTACAAAGGCATTCCGGTGGATGGAATGCTTCAAAGTAACCTAGTTTGAGCCAATGTTTTTGTCTCATTTTATCTCCGATTGCCTGGAATGTGGGATGCTACTAGTAGTAGGGATCTACTACTACTACTACTACTACTACTACTGCTATTAATACCAGTATGTAGTACCTAGGTACTTCAAGTTTTTACATCATATAACTCACTTCTAATCCGTTATTGAATAACATTATATAATACTATATACTCACGTACTATAGTGAAACTATTCATAAAAGTGCCGCACAACTGGCGAATGTGTCGCATTTCCATACGCCGAGCCTCCGTAAGTCAGATACCCAGACCCAACAGGCCCTGATTGCGACAAGACATCCTCCCGATCCCCAAACATAAAAACTGTCTGCATTCCCATGACCATATGCTGAAGGATATGGCAATGGTACATCCAGACACCTGCATCCGTGACTCTTATCCGCCAAGCTCGCCATCCAGACGGGGCGAGAGGCTTCGTCTTCTCCCGGTACCTGTAAAGCACAGAGGTGTCACGTTGAATTGGACGATGGGAACCGATAAGCTCCTCATTAGCGGTGGCATTGTACTGCCCATCACCTCCCCCGATATCATAGTAGTGTCTGCCGTGGGCGTGGAAAGGGTGGGCATCAACACCTCCATTGTCAAAGGTGCCTTGATTCTGCCAGACAATTTCGATGACTTCGCCGATTTTGGCGGGGAAGGTTCGGGTAATATTGTCGAATCCATTACCACGGGAAATCGCTCGTTGGTAAGTGGCAGAAGTGTCAAGTTTTCCATTGTAGATGTCGATCAGGTATGGTGATTGCGGAAAGTTCTGCACCCAGTCATATCCGTTTTGGAGCCAAATGACATGATCGCTGACATTCTGGTGAACGTCGATGATTATTCTGCGTGTGACTTCTTCCAAATTGGGGAATCCGTGGTCCGGATGCAACGATTCTAATTCATAATCAAGCCACCCTTGAGCGATCTCCGCTACAGGCAGTGGTGGCGGCGAGGGGACAGTCTTCAAATCGACATCAGTTCCGCCAGAATATTGCAGAACGGCAAAGTTTGTTAGAGTCTCTGGTCTCGCGAGAGTCGTAAGTTGAATATAGAAGTGTCGTTTGTTGGCATTTTTCAACTCTGCTTCAGATTTTGCAGTCAAGAGCACGCTATATCTCTGACCGCTTCCAATTTGCAAGAAGCTAGTATTCAGAGGCTTGGTGTTGTGGCCGTCTGCCTCGATGATAGTAATATCGTGACTTTCGATGGCAAGAGAAATAAATGACAAAGCGGTGGCCCCAATGAATCTCAAGCGATACGACAAGCCCGGCTCGATAGAGATTGAGGCCAATTGGCAGGATCCTGTATCATTAGTCGCCTGACGACTTTGTCCATTCACCAGTATTGCCTTGGTCTCCCCACTCCATGTAAAGTTGGTCGATGTCAGTCCGTCGATGATATGCTTGTCAGTCTCATTGAAGAAATCAGATAGCAGAATCGTACGCTCCTGGTCGTAAGAGAAGGGCGGAGGGTCGCATGAATCCACAATCAGGGGACCCTTAGCAGAGACAGCTTGGAATCCAACGTGGGAGTGGTAGAAGTAGGTTCCTGCAGTACCAACTTCGGGTTTGACTTCGTAGTCAAAGAAGTGACCTGCAGGAATGGGCCACTGACTTGCCGCCGGTGCACCATCGGAGAAGGGGGCCGTAAAAGCCGTGAGGCCATGCCAGTGCTGTGGTCGAGGTCAGCGAGAGGTGTAAAATGCATAATTTTCTGGCTGCCTACTATCGTGGTATTCTCATTCTTCATGTCATTATAGACGCGGATCCAGTTCACCTGCCCCTCCTTGAGGCGCAGTTCCGGACCGGGTGATGATCCATTGACAAGAACTGAATATCTATTCGTACATGCTTCAGTAAAAATTTCAGATGTGACTCGCAGAACGTGATCCGGTTGAAAGGAGTCGTCATGGTGAAAGACAGATCCTAGAGATGCTGTTGCCAAGCCGAAAACCAAGGTAAGGCCAATTCTTATGCCCTTCATTTTTGCGGAGGGTGCACAGATTGCATCATTGGAATTGAAATAAGCTTACTCCACAATCGAGGAGGCAAAGGCATTTTAATAAAGGCGCGCCAAGAATGTCGTAGCGGACGTATCTCACCACAGCCACCAAGGCGTATTTCATTTCATTTCAATTGACAGCAAAACTATTCTCTTGATTAGGGAGTATGAGGCGCCGCTTGACTGTGATTGGATTCGTGCGCAGATCAGGCCTCCAAGCATTTGATATTGACTCTCGTTCGGGAAATGATGAGCGGTCAGGTATGGTGAGTGTTTACGAGCCTAGCAGGCTCATCCCGACCGCCTTTTGGATGAATTCGTTATGAATGCAAAGTAGAATCTATCTTATACAGTCGTTTCAATTTTTCTCTCGTATATTGGGGAGTAAATCGATTATGCGTAGTTATTATGACCAGCCAAATATTGCGAAATGGTGTCCCAAAGATAAAACTTAAACTGCATCGAATGTCTTATTTTCGAACCTTGCTTTTGAGAATTTCGCCCCCAAATCGAACCCTGGAACCATCGTGCGCGCGCTCTGGCGTTGTATAAGGGCTTTTAGGCGTCCTCTGCCTTTTTTAAATCAATTTCCTGATTCATGTGCATGGGTTCTCTAGTGTTTTCCAAAGTTGGACAATTTTATACTCACTTATTTGATGCTGTGGCCATGCAAGCCATTAATATCATCGATCAAATCAAGGATGGCCTGGCGCTTCCGCCTCTGTCTCAAGCATATAATCCAAATCCAAATCTATTTGCAAAGCCTCATCATGGGAAACAGGCGCCGTTCTATGAATTCCGCTTGAAGTTTTCGACCTCTTTCGCGGAATAAAGAGTACCTCGTCACCCCGATGAGGCTGTTTAGATCGTGTCCGTAAATCCCATTGACGCTGCAAACCAACCAAAAGGTCTCTTGCCCTATGGGCACTTTCCCAGCAAATAGCGAGCTCATCTAAAGCTCTGAAACATGTCGTCAGAATAACTGCGATATGGCTTCGAGAGTAGGAGGGGATATTCAAAAAAGTGGCGAAAAAGAGGAATAAGATGGCCGAGGATGTGATGGAAACTGCTGGTACGTTGATCCGGCGTAATGTGTACCGAGATTCATACATATTGAGGATTTTGGAGATAGCTATGGCGGATTGGATACACATCTCGCGGGAATGTGTATATCCAGGTCCTTTTGGCGGTTGCGGTTGTAGACCATGATGGCTTTTTGATATCCATGGCCTGTGAGAATAGATTATGCTCTGGTGGTATTGCATGCTTTAATGCCAGTTAGTTAGAGGAAATGAGATAAATCACAATTTAAGAATTGACGTACTGAATAATGAGGACATGTGGAAGATATGGCGAAGTAACGTCGTCGAGATTAATTTGTAAAGTAGGTGGAAGAGTAGATTTTCACTTGCGAAGCTTGACGACAATTTTGGCATTGGGCTCTTGAAGGGTCTCTTTGAGATACTGCCGGTGCCGTAACTGTTTGAAATGTTAGGCAGGGTAAAAGAGATTGATAACGGGATTCCTACAGGATATAACCACATGGAGCCATCAGTTCGCAGAGAGAAACTAGTCGTTGGCTGATTACGTCTTGGCTGTCCAGCAAGCCAGAACCTTGGGTGGCGGAAGAAGGTGACTCGCAGGTAGACCTGTGCATCTGGGACCCATGGGAGTAATAATCGAATCCTATCCCATTTGCCAAGAACCCATGGGACTAATTTTTAATCCTATCCCATCCCATGGGACCCATATAATTCCCATTTATTTCATAAATTATTGCACCTTTCCCTTTTTTGCACCTGTGGGGGTGTATAAAATAATGAATCTTTTCTTTGTAATTTTGGCGGTTTTTATTATACCTATATTAATGCTCTTTCATAGCAAATTGCTGTATGTTCTTTCATTTTTGTTTGTGTATAAGCTCTTTGATCTCATCCTGCCCGAAAGCTATAAGAATCGGAAGCATTTCATCACTATTTCTTTTCCGATACATACTTTGATATCTATTTACAATGCCGGGAGCAGTTGATAATAGCGCTTATCTTCCAGTTGCTCGGATTTCTCAGGTTTGGATCCTCGCGTCTGGTTTCACAGGCTGGATTTCAATGGAGATTTTCGATCGTGGCAAGCGGGATAAAAGCATCCAACCAGAAACTGCTGCGATGAGGGGGATAGAATCATGGAAAACTCTACAAAATAAGCTGAGGTTAACCTCATAAGATTTACTGAGAGAAAACAAGGTTCATGGAATGCCTTGTTATTTCTTGGGGTCCAATGGGTTCAATGCTGCATAGTTACAGCAAGATCGAGGTGGCACATGTGGATATAATTTCGATCGCCATGAGGTAATGAATGTCTATTTAATCTTGTTAGTGATTCTACACAGCTGAAAGCTGCTTGAAAACGACCTTGCTTCACTTTAATGTAAAGGAATGGTGTGTGTATTCGATGTAAATGCGTCTAACTAAGGTGTTACATACCTCAACACAAGAGCGCTGAGGACTTAGGTCTAAGGCCTCCATCACATGGCCCCACCCCACCCATTAGTTAACAATAGGTAATTCAGGTTACGCAGTACTGACAGCTCCAACCTCCAACCTCCGTCCTCCTTCTTCTCTCAACAGCACCCCAAGGCTGCAGAATACCGACCGTGATAATTTTTCTTGGCCTATTTCATTCGATGCAGCGCCCAAATCCACAGAGAATGGGCGACAGGCCCCCATTACCGCCTCCATCGTTGATGGTTCGCAAATTTCTCATGGACGATGAAAGAGAAGATGCGATGCGAAGACTCGGACAGGAGCCTGATGGATCCGCTGAGCATGGTTCGCCTCGGTACCCATTTGAGAGATGCTATTGTTTTTTCTATGGGACGCTGATGGATACAAATACCCTGTCGCAAGTTTTAAAATTGTCACGGCCAATCTCCTCCATGCGGCGTGCACAAGTGATAGGCTACGAAACTAGGCTTTGGGGACCCTATCCCGCCCTCGTAAATGGGGAGCCTGACCACCCAGTTGATGGTTTGGCATACGAAATCACGTCAGAATCGCAACTAGAACGGCTCAAAACGTATGAGACGGAAAGCTACCGAGTTGTACCTTGTGAGATTGACCTTCTAAAGGATGACGGTGGCCTCGATAGGATCATTGAAGGGATCACTTTTAAGTGGAGAGGCTCAAAAGATGAACTACAAAAAAGTTCATTCAACCTCGAGCAATGGAAAAGAGAGAATGAGTTGCAACTTGATCTAGTCTGAGGCCTCTGGCCTCGGGCACAATACCGAGTCAGCCCACTTTTATGTTTTTTATACTTTGTCTACCAGTCGAGTAGCTTCGTTTATTCTTTGCTTTTGCCATGAAAAACATCCTTACTAGTATCTCTCATTTGTCCGATATGCTCTATCCACCAACTTTTTCATCCTTCTCCGCCATTGCTTTACCCGGGCCTACGCCACTAATTTGAAAGAACAAATTGGATCTCAGCCTATTCTACAATTAGTAGACACAAGTCTCGCCGAGGCATTGCCATAGTAGATGAATTTACGCCTAAACATAGGATCTAGATTACAAACTTTCCAGTTTCTTCATAAACAGGCCTTTCCTTCCTTTGTCGAGACCCTTTGCCTGGAACAGTTCTTGTTCCGCTGGTGTCAGTCCACGAACAGGCATTGGATAGATATACCCAGGTTTGCCTCTGAATAAGTTTTCAAGAAGCGAGCGCTTGGAGTCGGACACACTGTAGCTCATCAGGGAACTTCTCAAATCCTGGTTGCTTAGCTATTCGGTTAATTTCATGCCTTCTGCGAGGAAATGGCCTTCCAAAGGTTGACGATAGTGTACTTGAGGAGGACAAGTGATAGACCAATAGTTGGGAAGAAAGAGTATGGCGCTCCATAAGCGCAGGGTGGTCAGTAGTTGTATATAGGCGTATTTCACCTGGCTGTCTTGAAGACCGTCCGTAACTTCAGAGCTAAAAATTACATAGTGTTCCCTTTATAAATTTGGACAAAAGTACAACGGTACTGTAAAAATTTCAAACCCCTAATTGTCTAGTATCATTGGCCCTCTTCTAATAGCAGACTAGTACCTACCAAATATGGAGTAGATTAGCTACCCCGAAATTTATTTGATATGATTTGATAAGAAAATTGTATTCCTGTTAATCTATGAAAAGAGATTGCATTAATTCAATACGGCTACCCTAGAGTGAGCATTGTTATAGTTGGTTGATGGGTATCTCAAGCCAACCTTGGAACCCAACCAGGATTAGCCCATCATTGGTAGATGAGTAATCGAGGTACTATCAGAAGCAAAGAAAAAGCAAGATCAAACTACATACTACGAACTACTGCCAAGCCGAGGTTGGAATACCAAGAGATAAAATGGATGATGGATGATCGCCAATGAAAAGCGGGGCCCATCCCTAGTGGTTCCTGAGACCCTTAGAATCTTCCACCACCTCAAAAGATTCGGGCCCATCTTCATCTCCGTGCGGGGAAGAAGAAGCCGTGAATTGGAAATGGTTGCATCCACACCCGTGCATGAAGAGCAGCTAAACCTGGTTGGGCACGCGGAATGTGAAATGTGTACCAAAGCTGCAACTCCTCCGACGATCCCAGCCCTGCAAGTTCGCTGCTCATCACATCACGCGCATCCACCTGTGCCATCGCTTATGCATTTTATCTCTCCGACCCTGATGGTTTGTTCCAAGCTGGGGTAATGATCATCTGTGAGACCCGCCCTCCGAAGCTTTAGAGCAAGCCTTCAGCTGTGCCATCCTCTAGGGTTGGGATTTAAGTACTCGCGTGCCTCCGCTTTGCGCGCCTTGATGTCATCATTCGTCCTTCTTCCTTGCTTTATATACCGCCATCACTTTTACTATGGCTAATCTGCGACTGGGGACGGCCTTTTCCGGGCTCGTGTTGACCCTCCTCGTGTTTATGCAGTTGCTGGCAGTGGCTCGATATAATGATCGAGTCCCCGTCGGCACTTTCGATCGCAACTTCAACCAGTGGAGGAGCAGAGCCAATGCAGCTGCAGACGACGGTTTATTCTTGATGGGCGCGGGCAAAGCTGATGTGACTGGGTATGACCTAAAGCTTGTTTTATTCTATCGACTACTCCGTCGTCTGCCACTAACACTTTGTTTGTTTGTTAGCCCCGTCGTCGAGGTGGATTTCAACGGTTATGCCAGCTTGGATCAATTGGGCACTGGTCTGCGACAGAGAATTTATTCTCGTGCATTCATTTTTGCCGATCCCAATAAACCCGAGGACACCTTTGTCTACCTGGTCCTCGATACCCTTGCGGGTGACACCGCTGTACGACATGGAGTTCTGCAGGGGCTCGCAGCCTTAGGTGGTGACTACGAGCGCTACGGCCAACACAATGTCGCACTTACTGGGACACACTCCCATTCCGGTCCTGGGGCTTGGATGAATTATCTTCTCCCTCAGATCCCCACCAAAGGCTTCGACAAACAGAGTTACCAGGCCATTGTAGATGGCACGGTTTTGTCTATCAAACGGGCCCACGAAAAACTAACCCCCGGACGTCTTTCTTTCGGCTCTATTGACCTCGAGGATACCAATATAAACCGCAGTCCATATTCGTACGACCACAACCCTGAAGAGGAAAAGGCACGATACTCGGCGAAAGTTGACAAGACACTGACCCTCCTTCGCTTTGACCGGGAATCGGACAACAAAACTGCCGCAGTCTTGACCTGGTTCCCTGTTCACGGGACTTCCATGTACAACAATAACACTATCGTGACAGGTGATAACAAAGGCGTCGCCGCGTACCTGTTTGAGCGGAGTGTTGACGGAGATTCCCGATTCGCGGATGATGTTGTCATTGGGTTTTCCCAGGCAAATGTTGGCGATACTAGTCCAAATATCCTTGGTGCTTGGTGTGAAGATGGCTCTAACCAGGAATGCTCATATGCGGACAGCACTTGTGGTGGCACTAATGAGGATTGCCATGGTCGGGGCCCTTACTTCCGCGAAAAGGATAATGGTGCAAAGAGCTGCTTCGAGATCGGAAAGCGCCAGTATTCGGCAGCAAAGAAGCTCTACGGGCAATTGGACTCGAATCCAACCACTGTCACGGGCAGCTCAGATGTCAGGTCTTTCCACGTTTTCCATGATATGAATGGGTATACATTCGAGTCTCCGTTCAACGGCAGCACTCTGAAGACATGTCCCGCGGCACTTGGTTACTCTTTCGCTGCGGGGACAACAGATGGACCAGGTATGTTCCTAAGATATGTTACGTCCTGAATTATTGCAGCCACTGACGTTTTAAAGGTGCATTTGATTTCACCCAAAATGCAACCGGACCAGCCACGCAAAATCCGCTGTGGATGGTAGCTCGCGCAGCTATCCACCAGCCATCACAGGAACAGAGGGAGTGTCAGGGCGCCAAGGATATCCTGCTAGACGTCGGAACACTTACAGTGCCCTATGCTTGGGCGGCAGATATCGTTGACATCCAGGTTCTTCGTGTCGGGCAACTGTTCATCATAATCTCAACCAGCGAGGCCACTACAATGTCAGGAAGACGATGGAAAGAGGCCATCGCCAAGGGAGCAAAAGACGCACTTTCTGTGAATAACCCCCTTGTCGTACTTGGCGCTCCATCAAATAGCTACGCGCACTACGTCACGACAGAGGAAGAATACAACGTACAGCGATACGAGGGGGCATCCACTCTTTACGGGCCCAACGAGCTGGCGGCATACATCAACTTGACTCTCACATACCTGCCCTACCTGGGCAGTGCAGCAAGCAGTTCCAGCCTCCCCGATATTCCCACAGGCCCCAGCCCTCCCATCAACACGAACAACTCGCTAAGTTTCATTACTGGAGTCGTCTATGACGAACATCCGATAGGAAAGTCTTTCGGAGAAGTTACCTCAAACCCGGACAACAAAACCTACAGCCCAGGCGACACGGTCAGCACAACCTTTATCGGTGCTAACCCTCGCAACAACCTTCGTCAGGAATCTACCTATGCGGCAGTGGAGCGCAAAGATCCAAGCTCAGGTGACTGGAAAGTGGTGCGCAATGATCGTGACTGGAACTTGGTTTTCTCCTGGGAACGAACCAATCTAGTGCTGGGGTATAGCGACGTTACTATTTCATGGCAGATCGAGGACGACTACTACAGCGTCGACGATCCAAATCCAGTGCAGAGTGGCACTTATCGTATGCATTACTACGGTGAATCGAAGAGTGCTCTTGGGAGAATATCGTCATTTGAAGGTATTGGAGGCACCTTTACGGTGTCGACATGAGCGTGTCGCTTGTGGTCTCCGTTTAACGAACCGGCAAGGATTAGCCAGTATATGAATTTAATGAACACATGGAACGGATGGAGACCACTATCATCTTGATATGATTATGATGCTTTTCTAACAATAAATGGAGAGAAAGATGGCCAACACCTGGGCATATACAATTTGCAAAATGCTATTTGAGATTGCTGTTGTTGGCCATCTCTGGTAATGTTGCAAACGAAAAGATAATGAAGCCCAGCTTTTTTGGGATACGGGTATATAGTATTACTCCATTAATCCAGGACCTAATTGTACTGAATATCGTTCTCGTTGTACAAATGGGAGTTCAGTGAAACAGTGTCCACTGTCCAGGTCTTGCCTTCGTCAGCAGTGCGCAGACCTGAGGTCTTCTGCCACTTCATATATAAACCCTTCAACCAGGAAAAGTCCGCTTCATTAAGAACAATAGTGGTATCGACATATTCTAGATTCCAATTAACTTTCTCCCCGACAGAGTTGATACAAGGTCACATGACAGACCCACCGCCGAGCCCGACGCCTCAAGAAAGTCAATCCGATCGCGATCAAAGATTCCACCCCCAATCACCCTCAAAATGTCTCTCATTAGCGAAGCACACGACTCCCTGCCATGTAAGATCCTGCATCCCAGGCCACAGCCCAACAGAAACTAACACATCCCAGACGTCGACACCCCGCCGACCGAGGTCGCGCGCCAAAAAGCCCAGCAACTCATCAACGCCGAGCTCTCCCCAGACCACAGCACAACCCTGCACCCCTCAATTCCAGCAGAGCCAGAATCGCACATCAGCACATTCTTCCAACAAGAAATCGACCGCAAAGCGACTGGTGCCCCGCTGTCAGGCGGCATCGACCTATCCCGCTACGAAGCGCCCGAAGCCCCAACCAGGGCCTCAGATACCGATGCACCAGACCTAGATGAATGGCGACAGACACTACAGAAGGCATATGTCTCCAGCTCGCACCTCACCAAGCGCCATGAGAATTTGACCCTGCTGGAAGAGGGCGGCAAGAATGCTTGGTTGATTGGAAACTCACAGCTGGAAGATATTCTTCGCGGACTGGAGAAGGTGCTTGCGGACACGAAAGAGGCTGCGGAGGAGGTCAACCGCCAGCGTAAGATTGCGCAGGAATCTAGCCAGGGCGAGCTGGCGGGTCTGCAGGATACATGGAGGCGCGGGGTTGGTGCTGTTCTGGATGCCGAGTTGGCGTCTGAGGGACTCAGGATGCAGATTCTGGAGCACAGGCGCATGGCGGCCCAGCAGCAGCAACGCTAAGAATGGGACTATTTGAATTTGATGTAGTCTCTTTATCGGGGCTTCACACTTCTCTATATTTTCGTCCCACCTGCGTTGCTGAGAAATCACGCTTCATCCAAAGTACTGCTGGGTTGTGGCTGAGATTCACTTGTCAGATGCAACACACATTTCGGCTAGAAGAATTGACATGGGCCTGCGGCTGACGATCCTGCATCCAGTCCCGATCACTTTTTGGGAGTGCCCAAATATCGCCGGATCGATATCTGGACATCCCATTCCTCAAACATTATCTAAGCCTTGAGCTGTCAGCCTGGGAATAGATATTTTTTCAGCAACGTGCGTGGTTCGATCACTGTATTTTGGCTACCCTTGCAGCCTGATTGTACTTCTATTTCAGTTTAAACCCCCGGGGTCTCTTAACCCAACTATGATACCAAGAATAATATGAATGTTGAAACACTTCCAATTTGACCATATTTGACTCCGGATATGCTATTAAATGCTAACTATTACAGTAAATTGCACCGTGCATCAAATCTCCGATTTAGATTGAAAATTCCAGGCCCTCCATTCAGATTTTCACCTCGGGCGAAACAAGATTAACATCAACTCCATTCTCCGTAACAGCCACAGGGCCGATTTTCTCAACGGTCTTTACTTTACCGGCCTTAGAATTCCAATCCACAAGTTCCTTGCACATTCCCTCCAAGGTAGTTAAGGGCGGATTGTAGCCCAGTCCACCCAACTCAGGCGCCTGTTTCGCCCGGGTATCATCCGCAACGCAGAAGACGTCGGAGATGGAGAACAGCGATGGTTGTATTTGGTTCAAGTCACCTTGAATTTTTGGCAAGAGCCAAGGTAAATACTTGAACTGAATGACAGTGTACAACTCGATCAGGTACGCGAGTAGGAAGAGCGGCATGGGAGGAATCGTCGGGAACGAGACGGGAGTCTTCGACAGAGTCTCCAGTAGCGTATAGATATCGCTGAAGGAAATGGCTGGGTTTGGATCTGTCACGACGAAGGACTGTCCGCCCGTATTCGGGAGCATAGAGCCAGGCTGACTTTGCTCGAGAAGTCGTTGTTCATAGAGGAGGTGGGCAATGGAGACGTTCTCTGCATTGACGAAGCTTTGGATGACGGGGCGGACCCAGCTGCATTTTTGTCAGTGACTATTCTATGTTCTTGGGCACAATTCTTTCTTCTTATTCCGGTGTTGTGTCTACTCACGTTGGACTTCCCTGTTTGCGCAGGTATACGCCGGTGATGGTCATACTTGCATCGCTTCCGATTCCATATATCCCATTTGCAGGCCGGATACATCCAGTACGGAAATTCGACGAAGGATCATTGGCTGCACGAACCATTCGCTCCGCTTCCACCTTGGTCACGGCGTAATTTCCAAAGAACTCATCATGACGCTCCGGTAACTTCGCCTCATCGCTGAGAACCTGGAATGCGCGCTTGGGCAGTTTCGTCCATGGGGTTACCCAGAATCCCAATTTGTGAAGAGTGACGGAGCCGGAGGATGTTGAGACGAAGCATGACGCTTTGGCTTGTCTCGCAGCATTGAGAACGTTGCGAGTACCATCGATGTTTACCTTGCCACATAGTGGCAGGAACATCTCCAGCCGCTCTTGCGGTCGAATCGTGGCTGCTGTGTGATAGACCGTCAGGGGGAGCTGGGCCACGCCCTCTGCCCATGGCTGCTGAAAAGCAGTGGTGACGTTTAGCTCATCCGTGATATTGGTCTTGACAAACTCGACACCTTTGTCGAGGATATCCTGCGTGGGTGACAAGAGATCTAGCACACGGACCGCAGAGGGGTCTTCACCCCGCGCGAGAAGGTGTGAGACAATCCAGCCACCGACAAGACCTGCATGAGATGATATGTCAGAATGGCTCGTCCTTCGGAAGTTTCAATATGTTTGCTTCGTTTCGTGTTTTTTGCTCGATGTGTTGCATGCATGCAGAACGTACCTGATCCACCCACAACCACATATCGTCGGGCCTGTTTCGGCGGAAGGCTCTTGTTGACATCGATGGGAGTTTTAAGGGCCTTTTCATAGCCGGCTTTGACTTCGTCCACGGTCCAACGATGCGGAGATGCTGCTTCTGCCTCTGGTGGGACTGCCTTCATGACAGAATTGACATGGCGTAGGTAGAGGCCGAGCCCCAGCAGCGCGATGAGGATCGGGATGATCATACTGAAAGAAGTTCGTTGAAGTAAAAGGTTTGGGGCTTCAGCAACCTTTGCCTGGTTATACCCAGACCCCCGTGGGAAGGAAAGGAATAGGAAGCTCAGTGATCGGTGCTCGTGAGGATTCGTAGGGATGTGTTTAGGAGATGTCCCGATGTGCAGCTACAGCTCGTGTCTAAGAGGAAAAGATGTGAATCATGAAACTGGATCCAATGCTTTTAATAAATTTAATTAATATCGATAATCATAAGAATAATAAGAGACTTTTCTTTTTCACCATTTTTTCTCGATCTCCAATTTTCGAGGCGCAAGATTTGTAGGGTCGCTTAGAGAGCGAACGGCTCGGTTAGCTTTAAACGAGATGAGGCGTCGTTTGTGGTTGGTTGGTGCCGCCAGATCGGACGAATTTCCCCGAGGTTTGATCGATCAGGCATGGGATAGCGAGGCCGACTCCAACAGGGCCGCAAGTAGTACGCAGTCGGTGGGGTGGGTTCGTGTTCATCTTGATGTTCAACAACCACTGCTCTACCATCTCCATCTCACTCCTCAGCCTCCAACACTAGAGTGCTTACTTTAATCAAGGATGGTGAGATGGCGAATGGAAAGCCAGGACATGGTCCTCTTAAAAGACCCACATACCCCCTTTCCGCGGAACTAGAACAAAATTCAAACATTCTTCTTTGATCTCACCAAATTGACCAATCCCCTCAAACTGTATATACTCCCAGCAATAATAGTACATACCACCCTGCATATTTCCAATCGAGAATACTGGCGACATTGTTATTTCACCCACCATTATAGTGCATGCAATATCTCAGGCTGCATGAGGGTGCACTGAGAACATCAAGTTTGATTGAGGCAACCTTGGAACACAGTATCCAACCGTTACTTTTCATCACCAAGGACTACGAGTAGAACTCACAGGTAAATATGCTGCCTATAGATTATTGTGCGCAGCCCGTCAGCGAACAAGGGTAGCCAAGCAGGTCCCGGAGAATTGACGTTCAAGTACAAGTTTGATCATCTCCCGGCCGTCTTGGAGATTCAGTGGATTCGTAGCCGGTGCACATTGTATCATTGAATAGCATAAGTGCTGCGATCATTGATATCAGGGTGTACCCTGTGGGGATCTCTTAGTTCATGAAGAAGTTCAGCGGGGATTTGTCTACAGTCATGCATATTTTGTGGCGGGGAAAATCCCGACAAAGTTCTGATTTGCCCAAGCGGGTTCGGCTCGTCGTCGCGGAAGCATTCCGTACAGGATGAATATTAGAATGGGCTTGCCATGCCATCGGCATTGCGCCCATCGGCTTTCCGTGTTATTGTTTTACGGGATGTTCAATTTGCCGACATTTTGGCCCGATCATGGCCGTCTACAGAGTACCATTGGAGCCGAGGGGTCGTCTACAAAGCCCTAACATAAATCACGAGCAGAGAAAACTAGAACAGATCGCAAAGAACACCGAACCCCGCAGAAGCAGAAGTTTAGCCAAATCGCCCAGACTTGCCAGCAAGCAGCAGCCAACCTATGGGTTCTTTGTTAAAACATGACAACAGCAGGGGGTTGCGCACCTGGGGCGTACGAGTATTCGGCAAACCGGCACGCTATACCCACCCGAGGTCTGTACCCACTAGCACCAGCTTCTCTAAAGTCCAGACCAAATAGGGGATCCCACGCGAGTCCAAAGACAGAGAGACAGCCAGAACCAGAACCGCTTATGGGGCCACTTCAAGATGGAGTTCCCATGGGGAATGTCTCCAGACGGAACGGGTACAAAGCTTGGAGAGAGGGAGCCAGGAACGAGACTGGGTAGCCTGCTCTTGATACAATACCTTGGCGACGAAGAAGGTCGCGTATTGAATGTCTTTGAGCACGCACTCTGCACATCCAGTATTGACCTTGGTAACTAAGGCTCGCACTGGCCTCGGCCTGCTTTCCGAATCAAATCACATCACTCGGCATTAGGGAGATTTTTTTGGCTCTCGTCGTCGCAGAATTAGGCTTATCACTGCCCGAGCCCCACCTCTTCAGGGCCGAAAATTTTCTGATCCAGAAGCTGGTGCAAAAGTGCTACGATTTCCACTTTGCTGGCCCTTTTCTTAGGTCTCTCTTATATTCGGTCCTGGCTGTGATTGGGCCTAGTCAGGATAACCTCGGCGGCAGGGCTACCCTATTGATAACCTAGGTTTTACTTGCTTCTCCTCTATTTCCCGTCCCGCTAGCCATCAATTCGCGCATTTCTTCACCTCGAAAGGAGTGCAACGGCCCCTGATATCTTCATCAAGAATTAAAAACGGGCCGCTATTGGCGTCGTTCCCCATCGAGGATAACAGATACATGCCTGTTGTACAAGATTTATAATCTTCAACCTTGAACACTATAGCCGGATCTATAAACTCAAAATAACCCCGCTCGAACTTTCTATAGTTCTGCCGCCATCGCTCGTCTCAAAATGCCCGGCATGGCTTCAGACGACTCACGTACGTCCGAGGAGTATACGCAGGAGAAATGGCCTCGCAACATCGAACAGTCTCACGACTCAGACTCAATCGGCGAGTCCATCTCCTCGGTCAATACCCAAAATGATCACGATGCGCTGGGCAAGACCCTCACCGTTCGACCATCTCGAGCATCAGACCATATGTCTCTCTCGCAGCGTGTCACAACTATACCAACAAATATGACCGCCGACCCAAACTATGAGGTCGACTGGGATGGCGAAGATGACTTTGAAAACCCGAAGAACTGGACCCTACGATACAAGGCCATGGGATTGCTCTTTCTATCTTGGAACACTCTCATCGTGTAAGTTCCGCCGTGAGACAATAAGGGGGAAAAATCAATGTGGAACGAGACCAAGCTAACAAAGGACAGTGTGCTATATTCCACTTCATATACATCTGGCGTTTCTCAAATCGGCGAGGAGTTCAACGAAAACTCCACAGTCGTCACTCTCGGCTTGACATTCTACCTGATCGGGCTCGCAATGGGCTCAATGTTCATGGCCCCGCTGAGCGAGGTCTACGGCCGAAAGCCTATCTGCGTCATCTGTCTATTCCTCTTTACAATCTTAATTATTCCCTGCGCGCTCGCCAAATCTGTCACGGCTTTGATTGTCATCCGCTTCCTTGGTGCTTTCTTTGGCAGTGTGATGATTTCCACCGCTCCTGGAATGGTGGCGGATTTGGTCGACGATGAGCACCGAGCTCTGGCCATTTCAATCTGGAGTATAGGACCACTTAACGGTCCCGTTCTGGGGCCCGTTATTGGTGGATTTGTCACACAATACCTAGGTTGGCGATGGATGTGTTGGATTGCGCTCATTCTGTCTGCCGTGGCACTCGTTCTGGCAATTATTCTGAAGGAGACCTATGCGCCTACCTTGTTGCAAAGAAAGGCTGCCCGTCTGCGCAAAGAGACTGGTGATGAGCGCTGGTGGTCGCGATATGACCGGAAGGAGAGTCTATATGAGATCTTGAAATTGAATCTCAGTCGCCCCTTTGTTATGGCCGTCACTGAGCCAATCTGGTAAGTTTCATTCCAAGAATTTAGGTGTGGAGTCCAATGAATGCGAGCTAACATGTTTTTTCTAGCATATTCTGGAATATCTACATCGCTATCGTTTACGGTATTCTCTATCTCTGCTTCACCGCTTATCCCATTGTCTTTGGAGATATTCGCGGCTGGAAACTTGGTCTATCAGGGCTGGCTTTCCTGGGTATCGGCATTGGCGTGCTGATTACCATCGCCTGTGAACCACTCGTTCGTCGACTCATCAACAGCCACGAAAAGGACCCGGAGACAGGAAAAGTCCACCCAGAAGCAATGGTCTCTTTCGTGTGCATCTGTTCGATCCTCATTCCTATCGGCGAGCTCTGGTTCGCGTGGACCTGTGCCCCAGCCTCGATTCACTGGGTTGTCCCACTGCTCGCGGGTATTCCCTTCGGCGCCGGCAATACGGGTGTTTTCATCTATGCGTCGAATTACCTCACCTACAGCTACGGAATGTATGCCGCCAGCGCCTTGGCAGGTAACTCTGTTATCCGCAGTGTACTTGGTGGTGTGCTTCCGCTGGTTGGATCGTATATGTATGACAGCTTAGGGCCGAATTGGTCGGGAACTTTGCTGGGTCTGTTGGAGGTTGCTATTGTTCCGATCCCCTTTGTTTTCTACAAGTACGGACACAAGATTCGCATGAAGAGTAATCTCATTATGCGCATGCAAGAGGATAAGAAGAAATTGGAGGGCAAGCGTGCGAGAAGAGTTTCAGCGCAAGGAACCGCACCTCCAAATGACGAGGAGAAGCAGAACGAGGCGATCTGAGCTGGATGCATTTTGAGCCTGTTATTTTATTTCTGTTTTCTTTGCCTGATACCTGATACCCCGTCTTCCTTGCATTGGAGGTGCTTGAAAAGTTGATGAATCGGTCTCTTGAGAAACTGCAAAAAGTGTTTCCTTGAGCGAAGTATTAATGATAATGGTAGTTAATGGGTTAATCCAACCAATGTTCGACCAGAATTTGTCTGTTCTAGCCCTGTAAAAAAATGACTGGTCCGAAGGACAAATTTTCCGGCTGTCGAGTAGCAGTCTTCAACCAACAAAATGCATACGGCGCTCCACGTCCAATAGATTGCGTAAGATGCGCTCGTACTCTCCTAGAGCAATGGCACCCGCTGGATAGACTAACACCGCGTCGATGTACACCGGTCGCGACAGGACAGTGCTTGATACCCTGGCGGACGAAGACTCATTTGAATGTTGTGACAGCGCATCAAGCTGGCTCGAGGAGAAAGAGACAGACGGCGAGTGACAATCTCGGACATATCCTATCACATTCAACCAGGTGCCCACACGCAACTCCTCCGAAGTGACATCTTCAAGAACAGCATTGATGTCGACCGAGACTGTGTTGGCTTCTTCATTGCCTCGTAGATAATCGTGTTCGAGGATAAGATGACCCTCGGTAACATTATATTGTCTCACACTGTAGTCAGTATTGAATTGATTAGTATATATCATTTTCGTGAACCCCGATTCGACGAATCCATCAGACGTACCAACCCAGAAATCGGACCTTCGTATCCGCCGGGAGACAGCGCAGTTCGCAAAGAAATGCGCGTTTAGAGGCACGCGGCCCATTCATCCTGAAAGCCCGCTGGGGGATGAGAGGAAAACAACAGCGCCTTGCCTCAGCGAAGACCGGCCAGATCGGGCGCACGTGACCCGATCGGCCTGCGATGTCATAGGCTCAGCGAGGGGAGTTTCCCCTCCATTTGACATTTTGACATTAGACATCGGGTGACTTGAAACTTGCACGCGATATCGATTGTCCTCTTCAAAGCCCTACCTCGACTCCTCAACTGGTACTCTTACCACAGTCACACCATTCTTGGTCTACTGCGCGCAGTTGGCGTTCTGCCTGGAGCCTATCTTACCCACCCACCTCCGTCTCACCTGCTGCACGCCGCTCGGCGCAATACATTCTGGTCTTTCATTACCGGTGCTGCCTGATCGTCACCAAAAAGGGCCAGCCCCCATATCCAACGACAGACCTTTGTCTTCTTCGCGAACTCCTTACACCACCCCCACCCGCCCTCAACGATGTGGTCCTGGTTCGGCGGAGCCGCCGCTCAGAAGCGGAAGGATGCACCCAAAGAAGCGATCCTCCTGCTGCGTAGGCAGTTAGACATGTTGCAAAAGCGGGAAAAGCATTTGGAAACGCAGATTGAGGAGCAGGATACCGTGGCGCGGAAGCATGTCAATACAAATAAGAACGGTACGGACTCTTTCCCTTATCCTCTTACCAGAGTGTAGGCAAATGGGCACATTGTCTTGTTGCCTCGAGGATATCTTTATCGCGGGGAAATTTTACAAAGTCTATGAAACTAACTCGTTACTTGCGCACCCTTTTTAGCTGCCAAAGCCGCACTCCGACGGAAGAAGGCCTACGAAAAGAATCTCGAGCAGACAACGGCCCAAATCGGCCAGCTGGAGCAGCAGGTGTACTCGATCGAAGCGGCCAACATCAACCACGAGACCTTGAAGGCGATGCAAGAGGCCGGTAAAGCGATGAACCAAATCCACGGCGGAATGAGCCTCGATCAGGTCGACGAGACAATGTATGTGATTGCAATAGTGATCGTCCTATCCTATGATTATATCGAAGGCATACCCCTTTATTACGGACCGGAACCACTGACTCGAAAACAGGGACAAACTCCGCGAACAACACCAACTCAGCGAGGAGATCGGACAGGCGATTACCAGCGTTCCGCTTGGCGAACAGCCCGACGAGGAGGATCTGGATGCCGAGTTGGAGGGACTGGAGCAGGAGGCCATGGACGAGCGTATGCTCAATACTGGCCCTACACCTGTCAGCACCCAGCTGGACCGGTTACCGGCTGCTGGAAATACAGAGCGTGAGTTGACTATGTTTTCCCTTCTCCCCCTTCCCTCTACTGAAGAAAGTTGAGCGCAATACTAACTATATCAGTGGGCAAGAACAAGGCACAGGCAGCCGAGGAAGACGACGAGGAGGCAGAGTTGGCGAAACTGCGCGCCGAAATGGCCATGTAGTCTCTTCCCCCACCTTTGCCATCCACACCTCTTCTTCTACCTAACAAGCCACCACTCAACTATTACCGCATTTGCAAATCCCCCCTATCTCGTCTCCTTGGCTGATTGATGTCTCTTACCACCTATGCATTGGATGCCTCTTTCGCAAGCAAGCCCTGTTTTTTATCTTTTTGTATCCTGGCGCTTTCTTTCTCTCGCTCTCTCTCTCTCTCTCTCTCTCTCTATACACTTCAATATGGTTCTCACCTACTTTTCCTACCTCTCAATCCGCTACCCTGCCTGTTCCTATGGACATGGACACGGACTTCCCTTCCCACCTTTTAAGCAGTAGACCTGCTAATCCTTCCAATCTAACCCCTCAAAGTTGATCCTGCGCGGCGTGATGTATCACGTTGCCTTCGCAGTTAGTCTGGGACTATTCCCCTTTTTCTTTCTTTCCTTATTTTGTTAGCCTCTGGATCGATTCTAGATGGATCTTCATTATAACCTTGGAACCTATGGTTGTGATCTAAATGGAGAATTCAGTTTACTTGAACTACAGCTAAACAATTCTCTTGATTAGACCTTTCATTTAGATTGTATCTTCTTTTCCATATTCATTTCCTTCCTGGCTTTTTAGGTATCCAGCTTGCGTAGCATAGCGTCAAGAACCCAAGACATCAAAGGGAATTGAAAAAAAGGCCAGAGGTAAAATGAGAGAGCGAGAGAAAAAAACAATGAACAAAACTCCCCATGGCATTTTCACCCGTCATGAAAAAAAAAAACCGATTCCCACCCATGCTAAACACCATCTCGCCATAAGAACAGAGAAGAAGATAGAGAGAAAAATTTGAAGAACGAGATTACCACGAGCAGATCACCGAAGCCAAAAAAATAACCATGGGTGCGTTGCAACAGAAAATAATATGATGTATCAATACTTCCACTTCTGCTTTCCCTCCTAGGGATACCATGCATAGCTCTTAGAAGGCACGGCGCGCTGGGTATCAGTTGTTTCAGTCGTCCACTTCATCTTCCACTCGACCTCGCGCGTGGCGGAATCGAGAAGAGCCTCCTTGCAATCGTCCGGGAGGAGGGCGATGATGTCCGGAGACATGAATTCCGGATGGGAGGGGTTCGCAATGCTGACCAGACCGTTTGGTTGGAGATTACGCAGATCTCCGTCTGGTCCGGGGACGCCCATGTTTGAGTATGGCGGGGATTCGAAAATGATGTCCTGCACGACGTAGCGGTTGGAGATGTGGGCAGGGACGGGAGGGAAGACGGGGGCTTGCTGTTGCTCGGCTTGAGGCTTCTCGTCTTGGGTGGTGGGTTCGTTGGTGGAATCTGTTGGCTCTTGGGGGGTTGGGGGGGTTGGTGTCGGGGTTTTGGTTTGCGATGCTGAGCGATGACATGTCGGTCATTAAGCTGCGGTTGTCTGGTGGTGGGACGCGCTCGACGCGGCAGTGTGTTGGCTGCATGACCTGGGGGTATTGCATGGAGTTGGTGTGGATGTCGTAGACGCCGCCCATGGTGGCTCGGCGGTGCTCAGATAATTTCGAATTGAAGGTGCTAAGGTGAAATGATTAGCCTTGGATGAGGTTTGTGGTTTTCTTGATTGAGAAACTTACCTGGCGGCGCGCGCGTGCTCAACCATCCAGTTATCGTCGGTGACTGGCACGCGTCGCTTCTTATGATCTACTGGCTTTCCACCTGCCATGGGTACTGATGGTGCTCCTGTGTGGTAGACGGCGCTTGCTCCGTGCCAGGCGACGTATTGGTTGCGGTTGTATGGCTCACCCGGACCTGGGAGCTTATCCTCAGGAACGGCCAGCTCATCTTCAACATCGCCCCGCTCCCGCGCAGCCTGCTCATTATAGTCGTCGGTAATCTTCTTGCCGCCCACGACGATCTTTGCGCCAAACTCACGGAAGACAGAGCGCGCAGTGACTACACCAATCGCTCGGCCTTTGTAAGAGTGCGGAATGATATCACGCTCGATTAGATCCCGCTTCGCATCGTCATCGATAATGATCTTGTAAAGCATCTTATGCTTCTGGAAGAACAGGTACGAATCACGGAATCCAATACATCGGGCAGGTTCGGTCGAAAGCATGTACAGTTTGTCGCCGCGGTTGAGAATCGTGAACGTACGCACACGGTATTCACGTCCTCCGAGCAGATGGCCATCTGGATTGACTTTGGCGTCACCGGTAGGGTTCGGAGGGAGGGACACTTCATCCCCGATGACATCCATCATGTTTCCTTCCTTGTCAATTGGGATTTGGGTCAGGTGGTTGGGTCCGCGGTTGCGCGCCCAGCGTCCGCCACTGGCAGCCGGGCGACCACGGCGTCGTTTGACGGGAGTTGTAACACGTAGTGCGGACTGAGCGCCGTCTCAGGTCGAGATCCTCAGGCCGGGGATTCTTGGGGGGGACGGCCGATACGTCGTTTGCGGGGGATTGCTGGGCGGCCTAGCGCGGGGCTGTCGCCCTCGAGAACCGTACTTTCATCTACAGCGGGTGTCACGGCGTTGGTTTCTTCCTCTTGTTTCGATTTGGCAGGGGTCTCGGCCTGCGCATCGGGATCCGCAGCGCTTTCTCCCTCAGCTTCAGCCTCGACATCGGCTTCGGGTTCGGCATCCAGATCTTCGTCGGGGGAATCTTGATCTTCTTCTACCGCGGGAGATGATGGGTCGGATGGTGGCAGATCGAGCATTTCATCGTCAGAGCCATCGGGAATTACTGGCACATTTTCTAGAAAGTATTAGTCGCGAAGCGCGTCCAAAGGGGTGCGGTTGCGACGAGCACAATTTCTCCAGTATTATGGGGTTAAGGGGTGAGATGGACTGACTCATTGATTTGGCTGCCGCCTGGGCGGCCGCTCTGACCTTGCGAGGCATAACGGCAATGAGACTAAAGTCGCAATGCTTCAATATAGTCGCAATGTTCGACGGTAGGCAAAACAGCTTGGCGGATGGACGATAATCCGATACGGTGGCACGTGATGTGGATGACCATTGGAGGTGTGTTGCCTGATCAGTAAGGCGTAGATATGCTGACTCATTATATTATATGACTAAGCTGACTAAGTTAACTAACTAACTAGTTAACTAGGTTGGCTTGATGACTAATTAGTGCCTGAGAATTTGGTCCCATATTTATGACGTCACAGCCCTGAGGAGGCGTGCGGATCACCTTCGAGTCTGTTGCGTTTGCCGGAAATGATCAGCAGACAACACACCCATTCGATTCTAGGCCTTTGATGGCCTTCACTGTGGCAAGTTCTCCGTTGGTCGCGTTCGATTCCCGTCGAGTACGTACATACATATGTACACATTCAGAATCTGTATATTCCATTGGCAAAGGCTACCGCGTTGTGCGGAGTTCAACGGCCGCACGATGAGCTCATTTTTGAAGAATCAGCCACACCAAAACGCTCACCGGTCGGCTAGCACGAACGAAATGCGCCGTTCTCTCCCGATTCCTTATCATTGGCGAGAGGCTCTGGTTCCCGGGGTTTGCTAGGTAAAGCTAACAGGGATCAGAGCCAGTTAAGGCCTCTGTGCACTCCGTTTCCCTTTCACCGATTTTTCGGCGGCCAGATAACGGTACCGAGAGGTTTCGTATAGTATACGGACTAGCTCCTGAACCTACACCGTTCTCCGCGATCATCTATGTGCATTGGAATGTACATGTAAGTATATAGTACTACTCTTACTTGCCGCTGCTGTACATAGGCAAGCCGCCAGTGCCTATCACATGCATGCAGTCTCCAAATTCCTTTTTTTTTTCTGGCGCTTAAAGCACAGACTATGAAAAAAGAAACCAGCTTTTCAGTGCAGAAACTCATCGTCGCTTAGACCCTCCGATGGAAGGTTGTGCTAGTACCCCGAGTCCCGTAGATAGACCGGCACGACCCTCTCAACGCTTCCTGCCCGTGTCAACCCCGTCATCCCGCAGAGCAGATCCAATCTCGGCACTGACACAATGAATTGGGGTTAACCCTCAGGCTCCCCACATCTCCAGATATGTTCAATGTCTCCGGGCGACTGTGCTCCATCGCGGTGCATGAGAGATGCGGTGGCCTCGGGAGCAAGAGTCGGCTGCATGGTTGCAGATCGTGGCACAACTTCACCGCAGCTCACGCAGATGACCTACGAATTGAGTCTCGGGTGCCCTTTGCGGCCCCGTGGCCCTACGAATAAACTAACATGCATGCAGATTTATGCGACTAGGGATGATGCAGAGGCTTTTTCAAGTTCTTTTGCGTCTTTCTTCTAGAGTCCAAGTTGCTATGTAGGGAAGCGCTGCATGTGCATCTTCTTGTGAATCCTTGGGCTGAACCGAACTATTGCTCTATTACCCCCCCGCCGATATTCAAGTTTAACCCCGATACATAGTTCCAGGCGCGAACGGAGGATGGGGATTCCTTCTCCAATGGCATTGTGATTTGTGCATCATAAATACCCATGGTGAGGGGGATCTTGCAGATCCCCTCCCCTCCCCGCCTCGGGGTTCGGATTGGAGAAGGCGGAGGGAGAGGGAGAAGGGAGAGGAGGGGGAGACCCGGGAGGGGTTGTTGTTTCCGTACTGGACAAGCAAGCTCAAACAGTCATGAGCTATGTAACTGTTGTTGTTGTTGCTCTACTGCTCTGCCCTAATTCATTGGATTTTCTTCAGAGTTGCAAGCTCACATTTGTGGCACGTAGGTTTCCCGCGAGGAGCGCGCCCGGCTCACATCCATCAAACCAAAGAGGGCGGATGATAAGCTCAGGGCCCCCCATAGCGGGCGCCCTATGACGCAGACGGTGGGGATTTGCTCAGCATACCGCAAGATGGCGAGTCAAAAGGCACCACGAGAAGGGAGTGAACACAGACACAGAGCTTCACTGGTATGCAGCTGCAAGGGGAGGCAAAGCTGGGCCGGGCCATATTGCAAGCTGCACGATCACACAACGGAATTGCCGATCGGACTCGATCTATGTTGCACAGGTTGAGAGGGAAGCATTGTACCATATAGGGTAATAGTCATCATCAATGGGGGAGCAGAGGGGGGCGCAGAGGGCGGAGGGGTGAGGGGGCTCGGATCAACGACAACCACATGGCATATAGTTCATGGCCGATGTAGAATGGAGATCCTGTAACGTCGGAGGTCTAGCGCGATGGACCAAAGGATGTACCCCGCCAACTTGAACGGAGACAGCGGAGATGGCGGCGATTGTTGGTGCGGCTGGGCAGATGCGGTCAAGGGTGACTGGGAGAGGGGAAAAATGAAAGTGAAAGTCAAAGAAAAGGGAAAGGGAAAGAAAAGGGAAAGGGAAAGAAAAGGGAAAAAGCAAAAGCAAAAAATGCGATATGGACAGGAGGCGAATAAATTATTGCGGAAGAATGGGGAGGACCATGTGGGCGATCGATCGAGTGGAATTTGAAGGTGTCGGGTTCGCCGAGGTAGAAGTATGTGATATGAGCAGTAGAGCAGAGTACAGAGTAGAGTACAGAGTACTGGATGGAGTACTCTAGAATACTCTGTACTCTGGATAGATTGATGCCATCGACTCCACTTAATATCCTGATCTAAATGATGGAGAGTATGTACCAGTATAGAGTATACAGGTAGACACTGGCAGTATAAGTATTATATTACGAGAATGACCAGAAGAAGAAGCACTAGAGTCAGTCATTCAAACCAGTCCTTTCTGTAATCTCACATGCTCAGCTGATGGAACCAAGTCAGCCTCTCAGCTGTTCAGTATCTATTAGTAGTACTAATACTACTGTGCTGGTATCTCTGGTTCTACTTGGCTTCAACTTATTTGCCTCACACAGCCCCAGTCCCAGTCTACTGCCGATACCATGACCATGACCATGACCTGACCATAACTATTAAACCATAACATAACTGTTAAATTCATTCTTCATATCTACTCTCACTCTCACTTCCTCCAATTTACTCCTCCCCCACCCCCCAACTGTCTCACTCACTATCACCCACCGGGTTCAACATCCCGCAATCTCCCCTTAGCTCATCATCGGGCGGCGTCACAAAGTTTCTTTTTTTTTTCTCTCCTGCCTCTCCCGTTCATCTCTCCATTCACTCCATCCCCCGCCTCTTTTCTTCCCCCACCTCGTTCGATCTTCTTCATAAACTTCGTTTCCTAGCGGAGGTCATTTCTCTGCGTTAAATGGAAGCGCAATGGCTGCTGCGCAGAGTGGAACCGAGTTGCATGGCGATGCCAACATGAAGCCAGCGTGAGTCTCACTCATCTCTTGTCTATATGTCTATGTCGATGTCGAGACTGGTCCTCGAACATTGGACTCGAATCTACCACCTTAGAGAGTACTCCCTCTCTCCCCCCCCCCTTACACTGCATTGCATCCCCCTCCCCTTTCCCCCCGAGGCGACCCTGCAGTCTGCAGATACTTTCATCATTTTCCCCCTCCCTCTCTTCCCCCCCCACGTTGGGTTCACACCGGACTTTTCCCGCTAATTTCTCGGCCACCGGGGAATCTGCCGGTCGCGATCGATGTCTTACTTCTTTATTGCATTTTCCACATCTTCAACCATATATTTGTGATTTTTCCCCTCACAGGCAACATGGCTAACCTGACCGGGTTTGATCTGATAGCTCCAGACCAGAAGACGACAACCAGGACCAAATCGGGTCGAACGGGTCAACTCCTACGGGGATCGCAACTCCTCAACCGGACCCTGCAGACAAGCGTCTGCCATCAATCATGCACAACTATTTCCAGGTTGGTTCCTTTTCCGGTGATCATCATAAAGAAGCGAGTCTGCCGCGGCTGTGGTCCTGTCTTTCGAAGCCCTTCTCTGCGGATCCCCACTCAGACACCCACCAACCCCACCATCAAACCCAACATTCCGATGCTTCCTCTGACTCTTTCGTCATGATGGAACGAGAGGAGGCATCGGATCAAATGGATGATTTGTCGCATCATCATCATAATCACAATCACAATCCTCCCACTCCTCCCCATTCCCTCCTGCAGACGGATCCTGATGAGACGGGACTTGACTCGAGTCCAGACGGGGGGGTCTCCATCTACAACACCCTGAAAAATTATCTCGTTCCACCCACCCGCGCTGAGAGCCCCTCTCCTTCTCGTCGTCAGACTTCCCTACCAGTCTCTAGCGTCTCGGATGACCCCGTTCTTGCCACCCACTTCTTCAATCCTTCTCTCTCTCCTGCCTTCAACCCGTTATCTTCCCTAGCCGATCCACTGCCACTGCCTCTGCCGCCGCACGACGAGAAGTCGCTCGTCTCAATACCGTCCGAAGAACTTGTCAAGCTGACTCTCAACGCACCCGATGGGGCGTGTCTTAAGAATACCCCGCCGCTGACCCCCCGTGCTATGTCCAACGAAGACCAATCTGCGGATAAGCAATCCGCCACCTCGGCCCCCCGTGAAGCCGAAGAACCTCAACCCACACAACCCACCCAAATCACCCCTGACGAGCCTGAGGATATGGAATCCTCTACCGACGAAATCACCATGAAACTCGACGAAGCCTTCCCCCGCGAATCTTCGGCATCCCCGACCAATGGACCCCCGGTCGGTCCTCTCAAGGGTAAATTGCTCGTGAAGATTTCCGAGGCTCGAGGTTTGCGTCCTAGTTTCGACCCGTATGTTGTGTGTGTTTTCGAGTGGAACGAATACATTTCCAAGGGTGCTCGTGATGGGGAAGAGGAAAAGAAGCGACGTCAGATGGAATCTGATGCCGAGGCTGGCATGCCCATGGCCATTCCAATGCGAAGTCGCCAGAGCAGCCACAACACCGCCGTCGATGCTCAGAATCACAAGGGCAGATCCCCCCGTGACCGATCCTCACTGGGATCACCAGGCGACATTGTAAGTCTTACCCGCTGTTGCAGGTTTTTTTTTTTTTTTTTCGTTCTCATTACTTGTTTCATCTTACTTACTGTCTTTCTTTTTTCAAGTGATGTTCTGGGTGACCAGTCTGAAGTCGACGTCACCGTTTACGATCGCAGCGATTCGGAAGCCTTCTTGGGCCACGTCCGTCTGAGCATCAACCTGAGAGAGGACCACAGCCGGTTAGAAGGGTGGTTCCCCTTGGTCGCCCGCGGAGCTGGAGATAGCCAAGTGTCGGGTGAAATCCACCTTGAAATGCAATTCGAGATGACCGACCGAAAGAATGTGGGCCCTAACGATTTCTCAATTCTAAAGCTTATTGGCAAGGGAACTTTCGGCCAAGTCTACCAGGTCAAGAAGAAGGACACAGAACGCATTTACGCTATGAAGGTTCTGTCCAAGAAGGTCATCATCCAGAAGAAGGAAATTGTGCACACACTCGGAGAGCGGAATATCCTCGTGCGTACCGCGATGGCGGCTTCTCCGTTCATCGTCGGGCTTAAATTTTCTTTTCAGACACCGACAGATCTGTATCTAGTCACCGATTACATGTCTGGCGGTGAGTTGTTCTGGCATCTTCAGCGTGAGGGTCGCTTCCAGGAAGCCCGGGCAAAGTTCTACATTGCGGAGCTGATTCTGGCGCTGCAACACCTCCACGACCACGACATCGTCTATCGCGATTTGAAACCGGAGAACATCTTGCTTGACGCCAACGGTCACATTGCGCTTTGTGACTTTGGTCTTTCCAAGGCCAACCTTAGTCAAAATGACACTACCAACACCTTCTGTGGTACTACCGAGTATCTCGCTCCCGAAGTTCTGCTCGACGAGCAAGGTTACACCAAGATGGTTGACTTCTGGTCGCTGGGTGTTTTGGTCTTTGAGATGTGCTGTGGCTGGAGCCCGTTCTATGCCGAAGATACTCAGCAGATGTATAAGAACATTGCCTTTGGCAAGGTTCGGTTCCCCCGGGATGCTCTTAGCACTGAGGGTAGGAACTTCGTGAAGGGTCTGCTCAATCGCAACCCCAAGCACCGTCTGGGCGCCGAGGGTGATGCAAAGCAGCTTATGGAACATCCATTCTTCGACGACATTGATTGGGATGCGCTTTGCCGTAAGCAGGTCATCCCGCCGTTCAAGCCCAAGCTACAGTCCGACACCGACACCTCCAACTTTGACCCAGAGTTCACTAATGCTCTGGAGAACAACAACTCGCTGAATTTGCGCGCGGCCGCTTTGGCCAACGGGCTGATGCCAGGCTCCACGCCTCTCTCCCCCGGTATGCAAGCAAATTTCAAGGGCTTCACTTTCGTGAACGAGACCTCCATCGACCATCACCTCAAGAATGAGCCAGATGAGATGGAAGAAGACTCAGTGCACGACGGGGCATGGCAACCAACCCACCGCCCGACCAACTCGGCCGATCAGCGCATGAATGGCACTGAGTCCGGGATCTTTAACGTTGACGACAATTTTGACATGTGATTACGTTTTCCCTTTATTTCGTCTGTCTCTCTTTGCATGATCATGGAGTCTTGATCCGGCATCATTCAGCCTGTACATGCTTCGGATGCATCCTGGCCCCGCAGATATGGGTTTTGTTCTTGTCCCTTCCGTCCTCTTCCCCGGGTAGCGTTTTTCCTCTGGTTTTCTTTTTGCCTGTTTCCGTTTGGACAAATGATACGTGATGAAATGGCCCCGATTTTTTTTTTCTATCACTGCCGTCTTCACCAACGTTATGTTCACCCGCTCCAGCCACATACCCCGTTTTTCCAGGCAGACCTGCATTTTTGGCGGAGACTGTTTCATCTCTGTTCCGGTGTGAATACTACCGAGAGCTTGAAATTCCCAACAAGTCTTCATCTCAGCGTGAATCCCCTTTCTCTTTATTACTGTGACTCGATTTGAAATGGTTTGCACCCGGGTTTCGTGCCAGCGTCTCTTATCCTGTTTCCTCTTTGCACTGCCTTACTCTCCATCATTTTTGAGTCAACTCTTGATTCCCAGAACGATAACTTATGTGCAACTGTCTCTCTTCCTTCTTCATTTTCCATTCTATCTGTCTCTCTGCATGGCAGTAATATCAACTGGTATCTCCCATCTTCTTCTCTCTCAGGAGCGGGCAAGAACGGGCTAGCTCAGCCATACCTAGCACCATCATTCATCCACCTAAACTGGCATCCCACCCCACCCTCACTCTCTCAGTCTCATCAGACTAGGTCAGGCCGATCAAGCAACGATCATCTATCTGGCTTAGTTCTTGCTCTTGGCTTTTCTTTTGAATCGGACTCATTTCCCATTTCTCAAGGCGTTCAGAAACGGGCAGCATGGGCGCGCAGGTAATTTCTGCAGGAGAGCTGATTTTCTCGTGTGCTTTTATGTGAAGAAATCTCATAAAAAACAATCCATCCATCCATCCATGAGATCCATCACGGACGAATGGACATTTTGTTTCCCATCTATCTCCGAGTCCTGATTAAGATTGTAGATCATGTAAACTTTTGAATGGGACAAGTTCGGGACTTTCGGCATTGAGACGGGAAGAACGTAAGATAAAAAAAAATGGTCCACTCCAATCACGATACCCCGTCAAAGACTTCAAAACGTTGGCGAGACTGAACGATTTCTTGTAGATAAGCTTGGCATCATCATTCTCCCCACTTCCATTATCCACTGATTCGCTATAAGCCAGCCATCCACCCCATCTATCCATGCAAGTGGCGGGATGGAAAAGCTTTCTCAAAGGAGAAAGAAAGTCCATGTCGTGCTTTGAGGGGGGTTGTATGTCCTACGTAGGGCAAGCAACCAAAAACAATACATAAAACGCAATGCTCGATAGATTTGAGTAATATACCACCATCCATCCCCCGAGTACACCAGCGCGGCGCACAGTGGAACCTGAACACTCAGGCTGGCAATTATTCGAAGACTCAGTGAGATTTGAAACCAGGTGCATGAACCTTCAAGCCCAAGTTCAAGCATTCAAAAACTCCCAACAAACCCCATGGATCCAATCTATCTCTCTTTGTGCCAGGAAAAGGCACCCAGCCCCATACCAGTACCAGAGGACAATTCAATCAAAACCCTCAAAAATAAGAGGCAAAAGAACATCAAAACTCCTGCCAGACCTCCCCCCCATACCCCCAACAAAACCAACAATAATCCCAAAAACATACACAAAAACAACAACCCCCGAATCCTTCCCCTCCCCAAAATACGGCCAAGTAACATGGCACACCCTAATCTCCGCTCCAACAACAAACACAACAGACCTAAGCGCCGGCATCGCAGTCTGTCCGCCAGGAACAGGCCACCTGTGCGCGCACCGGCACGAACAGGCGGAAATTTACCATATACTTGAGGGTGAAGGCGAGGTTACGATTGATGGGGTTGTTAGTCCGGTTCGGGCGGGGGATACTGTGTTTGTTCCTTCTAATGCTGAGCATGGGGTTGTTAATACTGCTACTACTACTGCTGGGACTGGGACTGGGGAAGGGGATTTGAGGTGGTTTTATGTTTTTCCGACGGGGTCTTTTGGGGATGTTGTTTATCGGTTTTCGAAGGATGAGTTGGTGGGTGGGGATGAGGGAATTAAGGCGAAGTTATAGGTGGTTAACTTTCGAGTTATCTATGGTTCGGGCGAATGCTTCGTTTGGGGGGGTTTGGTTTTAATTTTATGAGCGGAAATGTTATTCGATGTCACGGTCTAGGGCTGCTTGATATCATTAGTTTGGGACTGAGATCGTCTTGAGAAGAGGCTTAGGAGATCTTCATTTGACAGTTCTTACGAAAAATGGATTAGTTCTTTATTTATGTACTACTATTGATATGGCTATGTTCTTCAGAAAATCTTTAATCGGCTCATTGTAGCTCCTTTCAGAAATATTATTTGAACTCTGAAATTTGTCCTTGTTCTTCTTGTGTGCCAAGTTCAATACAAATTTGAGCAAAGTTCAGAGCTTCGAAGATGTTAGTGTATATTACACACTACTAGTGACCTAAGATACCCCATAAAAGTAGAAGTATGGACTTGGCAGTTCGCCGTCCGTTGAATTTGAACTGAACTATGAACCTAGGATCTGGAGATAGATGTCCAGCATATTCCAGTACCTATCGTCCATAGCCAGAGGCTGAAGAAACCCCCCTGCCGCCGCTCATATAAGCCCAAATAAGGCGCTCAATATCACTATCCTGCGAGGCAGCATCACCATAAGCCATAACCTCATTTCCTTCTCTGTATCCCCATCTCTTGCCCATGACCTCCTTGAAAGTCTCAACAGTCATATTACCCCGCACGATAGTATCAGAGAAATCCCGTGTCGGGGACCGGGTATCCATCGGCTGCATTTACACATCCAGATCAGATGCAACGAAGAGCACAGCACCCAGTCGACGAACACCGGGCATACGACGAACACGGTGCTTCGCAGCAGATATTCGACCCCCGCTCAGGACAACGACACACCACCCTGTCAAAATGACGTTCGCGTCTCCGGGAGCCGGGACCCAGACGCCGGGTGCTTCTTCGAGCTCGAGGCCAGAGACACCGTCCTGGAAGATTATGGAAAAGGTTCCATAGTCTGTGCGCACCACAGCCGTTTGGAGACTCCGGGACTGCGGTCTCGGGGTTGTAGTCGCAGAGTCGGAAGTTCATATTGTAGGACTTGTGTGCGATGGAGAGATCCGCGCCAGCGAGAATACTGAGTTAGGATTGGAGTGTTGGAACGTAACGCTCGCTGATTGTGTTGAAGAATTCCAGGACTGAAGTCAGGCCGTGAAGTGATAGGGCATCGTGGAGAGTGTGTGGGATGCGGGCGTTGCGCAGAGGTGAGAGGTCAATGGGGAGCTTCTGGTTTGAGGAGGTCTTTTGCAGAGCGGTGTTCTCCAACCAGAGTAAGTTCCGCTGAGCTTGGTGGCATCTTCGGGATTGGCCTTGAGGTGATCGAAAAGGGCCTTGATAGCTTTGAACGGCGCCTGCTGGTCCAGTTTGACAGAGACGGTGGTGGAGCTTGAGCTCAGCGGAGAGACAGACGCGGCTACAAATGGGCTGTGAGAAGGTGCAGCAATTGGACTTGCGTCGATGGCATAGCCTGCTGCGAGTTTGAGGGTAGCCATCAACTTGATGGTAACTTGCTGGTTGCTTGAGGTTCTGAATATCGGTGATAGAATGGAGCTTTGTTGGTGTGGGGTGGGGTGGGAGCTGTGGAAGCCGAGAAACTTTGAAGGATACAAAAGAAGAAAAGGTAAGAAAGGAGACGAAAATGATTTAAAGATGGAGCGGTCGTTAAGGAGTGTAGTGTTCAATGATCAACGTCACGTCAGTGGGGTAGTTTCGAAGTGATCATCTCATATTTCTATCGGGCCTGGTCAAATAAATATGCTCAGAAGGAACCCTGAGAGCGTATGAATCTTTAAAGAGAGCTATAATAGTTTAATGAAGGTGCTGTACAGGCACAGTGCCCTTTGGTTGTAGCAGCCAGGAACGACATCTCCGACGTCACCGAGAACCTAGCTCTATTCAGAAGACCAAGCAACATGGCCGACTTTGGAATGGAATGAGCAATTGGTTGAGCTTTTCAAGGAATATCTTCAAGGAAGCTTTTCAATATAAGATTTCCAAGTTCAGAATTCGAAATAACAAAAATGGCATTAATCGAGTAGCGTCTACCAGAGAGTTTTATAGTTGTGCCGCCTTGTGCTCGGACCCGGCACTGCTCCGCATTCGAGGGACGAAACGAAGCATACAAAGCAGAATTGCATGGATATACTTGTATCTCCCGAAAGTTAACCAATGAATCATACAGTCGAATATCTCAAAGCTACGTCTTAGACATCCGCCATGTACACGCATAGCGCAGTATCCTTTCTCCCAGTACATGTATCTATTCTAAGCTATGTTCAGTACATACGACCATAGGGTGTGGAGAACAGGGCTTCCCGTCCGCTCAGCCGTACTTAAGCCACACGCCGGCAGGTTAGTAGTATGGTGGGTGACCACATGCGAATCCCTGCTGTTGTATGTTTTGGTTTTTACATCTTTTTGTTTGCCCATTTTTTCGATTCGTTGGGAAAGTGCCCTTGCCGCCCTACCCCTTCAGCCCTGAACGCCCTGAATGGATAACGTGGCCCCTCGGGTGGGATTTATTGTTTGTTTTATGATGGCAGTCGCCTTATCTCCTTTGTCTTTTGTTACTGCGAGCGTGCGTTAGGATGGTTCTGGTTCTCGATGGAGGGAGCGCCTACATAGCTACGGTGCTCACTAGCCAGGCTGCATTAGGTTAATAGAATCTAGAATTGAATTGAATTGAATTGAATCGAGCCATTAAGAATCTCTGAGAATGTTGTCGAGGTTTGACAAATTGAATTTTTTGCGAACTTCTCACAGCTCGGCCCAAGCGGAGATACTGCCAGAACAACATCCAAGGTTCTAGCCCCACGACCAGTATCCTAGAGAGTGTACCAGAGAGTGTGGAATCGGATTAAAGTATCACTTCTGACCTGTTCCATATTGACCTGGAGTTTTTACTCGCCGCCGACAGTTGTACCAAATTGGTATATGTGATTTTTCAAAGGAGAGAACCTTGGAAGGCGCTTGATTGCTTCCCACAATACAGCAAAGGCGTCCTTACACAGCTATTTTCCTCCTTTCCACTTTCTCATCACCGAACTTTCAAGGAGAAACACCTTATCAGGTGACGAAGTGGGAAGAGAGTATAAATAAGGGCAAGGTGATTGCAACTGACGGAACCTTCAAAGCACCAAAGGTTACGGACAGACTTGAAGAAATCGTTTCTAAGAAAACAACATTCGTCACTTGGACGGATTTCAACGATGGGGAAGACTTTGGTATCGCCGAGGTCAAGCGGGCTATCCGGACACCGAACAAGGATCCTAAGATTCTTTACCGCAAGGCTTCTGAGATGGTGCGCTGGATTTTGCACGATTATTGCCGGGAAAGAACACAAGAATGCTCTTCCCAGTTATTAGTAAGTAACCTGAGATGTTTTCATTTATCGTTGACGGAAGCTAACATGGTGTCTTAGCCGAATGCTCATCTCTCAGTATCGTCATGAGATCTTCATCACCCTGATCAACTGCCCCGAGGAGTACGTCGAGTACGTCTATCAAGAATACCTCATCCAATGAGACACGCAGCTAATCAATAAACGAATGTATTATTACACTCGCAGATCCTCAATTGGTTCCCGAAGCCCCCACTATCTTGCATCCCTATCCCACACATTCAGATTCCAAATAATTTTATGTCGTATCTAAGTTCAAGCCCTGCGCGTTCGTCCCCTTGACGCTCCACAAAGTCCACGATCAACGAATCTTTGACCGCAAAGACAGAATCATTCTCGAGATATTTGTCCCTTCGATCGAAGATCTGTGTAGTCAAAGGACGATATCCTTCTTTCGTCACCTGGTCTCTGTTAGAAGATAGTTCCAGCCGGAAGATCAAGACATACAAGAATATGGATATGGGCCGGGCGGAAGGGGTGACGGTCCATCAATTGAAGAAGCTTGCCCGCAGGTCCTGTAGATCGGGATTTTCGTTAACCCTGTATATCCGTCCAATTCAGGCAAGGGGGTACAAACCATCGTCTGGGACGGGATAAGGCGTCGGTCGCAAGCAGTAGAAGGAATAAGCGCCGCCCTGGTCCGTCTGGAACTTGCCTCGTAAGTTAAACTCGGTTTGTTCCGAGTCCTGTTGTTCGTATAATCCGTTCGTTGACGCCTGCCAAACTTCGACGGTTGCACCCGCCAGGGGCTTTTGCGTCGAAAAGTCCGTTACGCGACCGTGCATGAACGACATTTCCCCATCGTCGGGCTTATTGAGGACGATATCATCTCCATTCTTGCGATACGGAGTATCCGGACGAAAGAATGGGCCCAGGATCGCGGTGGCAGTTGGCGCATCTTTAGCCTCATCGGCTAGTGTGAAGGTGATTTCATCGACAAGACTATTGGTGTGAGTTGGTGCGACCATAAAGATGGTAGGGATATAGGGATATACCTACGATTCAAGACCAATAACGTCGCAAACGAGCTGTCCTTCGTTGCGCTTGTGATCGCTCATCTGGCCGGCCCAATTCATTAACTGGACGCCAGCCATCCATTCGTCGATTGTAAGCTCATTCTCGCGCGCAAAATCATGGACATGCCGGATCAAGCCGGTCATGAGCTGGCGTAAGCGAGGCGGAGTTTTGGGACCCATCGAATTAATGACATGGTCGGTAAAGTTGGGGTCAAAGCGGTGCGCCATGGTGACCGATTGAACCTGGAGTTAGATTTGGACTTGCACTAGAATACCTTGATAAATATTCTTAATATCTATTTCCTGGGGGTTTATCTATGAACCCCGGGCTTTCGAGCATGATTTCTGATTTCCCCGGACTTCCGAAATTGGAGAAACTGATCGGATGGGACGCGAATTATAGACTTTATGCTTCCGAATAACCTAGCCTTTTAACTTTTCGGGCCCTGGGAGAAAAAACCTTGTTCCACGCTATAGTGACTGATTATATCGGGAGTTAGATTTGAACTTGTACTAGAATACCTTGATGAATATTCTTAATATCTATTTCCTAGGCCTAGGCTTTCGAGCATAATTTCTGATTTCCCTTGACTTCTGAAATTAGAGAAACTAATTAGATCGGACACGAATTATAGACCTATGCTTCCGACTAACCTAACCTTACACTTTTTGGGCTCCGAAGAGAAAAAACCCGTTCTGAGCTATACTGACTGATTGTACCTGGAGCTAGAATTGAACTTGCACTAGAATGCCTTGATAAATATTCTGAATATCTATTTCCTGGGGCTTTATCGATAAGGCTTTCGAGCATGATTTTAGATTTCCCCGGACTTCCGAAATCGGAGAAACTGATCGGATCGGACGCGAATTTAGGCTTTATGCTTCCGAATAACCTAACCCTAAACTTTTCTTCGGGCTTTGAAGAATAAAATCCCGTTCCGATCAGGGCATCGCAATTCCCGAAATCTGGGGAAAGCAACACTGTTGCTTTACCCGTAGTATCCGATAACAATCCCCGAACCTGAAAGGAGAGCTCATGATTATATAAATGCCCTTTGCCCTTTAGAGGTCTCATGGCGATATCACATTTGGGCTTCTTACTCCGACAACCTCACCTGAAAATATCATGACGCCCACTATCGCAGCAAAAGAGGATCATGTGGATGTTCTCATTGTCGGTGCCGGGCCCGCGGGGCTGATGCTGGCGAACTGGCTAAGTCGCTTTGACGTCAAAACTCGCATCGTGGACAAGCGAGGCTCAAAGGTACCTTCTTCCCCTTGCCGCTGCAAGCTGCAAGCTGCATGCTGACTGGAGCCCAGGTCTTCAATGGTCAGGCAGATGGTCTGCAATGCCGCACTCTGGAGATTTTCGACTCGTTTGATTTTGCTCATCGCCCTTGGCGTGAAGCGAATCACATGCTCGAGATTTGCCTGTGGAATCCCGACGAAAACGGCCAACTCTCCCGTTACGATCGTATTCCAGACACCATTCCTGGAATTAGTCGTTTCCAACAGGTCGTGCTCCACCAGGGCCGCATCGAGCGCTTCTTCCTTGATTCAATCAAGGAGCATAGTGACATCGCCGTGGAACGCGGTGTGTTGCCGACCACTTTTGATTTCGATGAGGCCAAAGCAGGCGATTTCGAAGATTACCCTATCAGCGTGACGCTTCGAACCCTGTCTGGTGAGGAATCCACACCTCAACAGCGGCAGCAGCATCAGAAGTCTGCCGATGGTCAGCAGACGGCTATCGAGGATGGCTTGTTCCGAAGCAACTTGGTCGCCGATGACACCGAGGACCTTATTAAATCGATAGAGGCCAAGTCCAGCCTGAATGCGAACCAAGAAGAGCACATCAAGGCCAAATTTATGGTGGGCTGTGACGGAGCTCACTCCTGGGTGCGTCAGCAATGCGGTTTCCGCTTGGAAGGTGACTCGACCGACTACATCTGGGGAGTGCTCGACATTGTCCCTATCACTGATTTTCCCGACATCCGCCACCGATGCGCCATTCACTCGGCAAACGCAGGTAGCGTGATGGTCATTCCGCGTGAGAACAAATTGGTCCGACTCTACATCCAGCTCCAGGCGACGGAATATCAGAAGAAGGGCGCCAAAGCAGACCGATCCTGGATCACTCCTGAGATCATCCTACAGTCTGCCCAACGCATTCTGCACCCCTATAAGCTCGATTACGCGCATTGCGACTGGTGGACTGCCTACCAGATTGGCCAGCGTGTGGGCAACCAATTTTCGCTGCGTGATCGTGTCTTCTTGGCCGGCGATGCTGTCCATACGCACTCTCCTAAGGCTGGTCAGGGTATGAACGTTAGCATGCAAGATAGTAAGTCTATCACTCCCGAGACTCATGGATGAACGTTGACAGAGTCACAATAGCTTATAACTTGGGATGGAAGATCGCGCATGTGGTCAAGGGCCTTGGCGACCCGTCCATTCTCTCAACCTACGAGTCTGAGAGAAGGGGCATTGCTCAGCAGTTGATCGCTTTCGATCATCGCTTCTCGCGACTTTTCTCCGGGCGCCCGACTAAGGACGTCATGGACGAAGAGGGTGTGAACGTGGAAGAATTCAAAAAGGCATTCGAAAAAGGAAACGAGTTTGCCAGTGGTGTCGGTAAGTTCTTCATGCGACTCGGGGCACATCAAATACTGATATTTATCACTACAGCTGTCAACTATGACGCCAGTGTCCTTGTCGCAAAGGAGGAGGACGCCGCAGCTGAAAGCAACGACAACGACATTTTGGGCACCCAAGAGCGTCGGGCAATTAGCAAGCCCCAGCTGGCCACCAATATCAATATCGGCAAGCGCATGCCTAGCTTCAAAGTGGTGAATCACGCCGATGCCCGACCGTGGCACCTCCAAGAATTGCTGAGGAGCAACGGTCGCTGGCGAGTGATCGTTTTCCCTGGACGACTTGGCGACACTCAGAACATGCAACGCTACGAAAGTCTGGGTAAGTCGCTGGGAGCTCCGGACTCGTTCCTCCGTCGCTTCACACCACCTGGAAAGCCGATCGATAGCGTGATCGAGGTTTTGACTGTTCACTCGGGACCACGAACGGGCATCGAGCTTTTGGATCTTCCAGAGCCGTTCCACCCTCATCACGGCGACATGGGATGGGACTATTGGAAGGTCTACAGCGATGAGGAGTCTTACCACGAGGGCCATGGACAGGCTTATGCCAATTACGGAATTGATCCGAGCCGCGGTGCCAGCGTGATTATCCGTCCTGACCAGTATGTCAGTTGGATCGGAGAGGTGGATGACTATGTGCAGATGGTCCGCTTCTTTGCTGGTTTCATGAAAGAGAAAGAGGATGGCAAGCCAAAGATTCAGAAGTCGGTGCTATAGTTGGAGCTACGCGATTGTAATAACGCCCAGTAGTCAGAGTCCAATTGTCGAGAACAAATGAAAGTGCTTGAGTGTTCATAATTTGACAGTGATGCTGCTCAGGGGCAAGATATTGAACTCCTTGGCGCCATGTCTGGAGTGAATCACTCCCTTTTCTGATACGAAAGTTCCAGTATCTTAGTACAATTTTGATGAGATTTGCAATAAAAAACTAGCTAGCAGAAAATACCACAAATCGATAGTGCTTTGAACTACTATCTCAAGTGTCAGACAAAACCCAGCCTTCGGCTTTACACTCTCGATAGGAGCTCAGCACAACTTTACCTGTTGAATGGATGTCCACCAATTAAATTCCACTCCATGATCTCTTCCGAAACCGGGTCATTACACAGCAATATCCATAGTCATTTTAGGTGCCGGGGCGGAGATATTCGTGATAGACACTTTCGAATCCTGCCCCGCATACGAGCGGCTGCTAGGATTGGATAGAAACGTGAAGCTCTTATTTCCCGTACTTCCCGGGAACGGATCGCCAGGGTCACTACGGCCTGCACGTGTGGCGAGTTGATTCAGAGCATCAGCCTGCATGAGACCTACTTTGTAATGGCGTTCGTCATGATTATCATCTCTCGAATCATCAATGTGCCAGACTGCCCATTGAGGTTAGTTGAGCGGAATTCTGTCAAATAAAGGAATGAATATCATACCCAGAAGACCGAATCCAGGAAGTGACTGGTCAAACCCGATGGGCTCGCGATTCTCTAGCAAGAAGTACTCCTGACTTGCACTATCGCCATTCTTCCACAGCCGGTGGACTTGCAGCTTGTCCTCCACGGCGTTCAATGTGATAGATTGGGGGTGGGTATCCAAGACTTTGTCCACCCAGCCCTGAGTAACTTTGCACCAGGCAGAGGGGTGACAAGGCTTAACGCCCGGTGGCGATCCACCCCATGAGCCTCCGGCCATGAGACACCAATATCCAGCACCTTCGGAGCTTGTATCGGTGTCGTAAAGATCCGGCCAACCGAAGACAAGATGGCCCAGCTCATGGGCAGCCACGCCAACGTAAGCATTCTCTGGGATCGTAAGAAAGGCAAAAATATTAACTCCGTTGACACTAGTGACTGCTGGTAGTGTCCACTTAAGAGACCAAATATCGCCCTTTCTTCCACTCTGCTCCGCGCCGTCTCCAGCATGCACCACCACGAAGGCATCGACGTAACCATTTTGGTCATTATCATAGGGAGCGAAATTGACTTGACCTTTGACCGCATTCAGCGCATCCGCAGCCATAGTCTGAGCATTTGGAGCAGCATCGGTCATCCCGCTATTGCCGTGTGCGTAGGCAGATAGCATACGGGGCATGCGCAGAGGGCCAACAACCTCGCCGCTGAGGCGGATCTTACCACCGCTAACCTCATTGTAATACTCAGTGACACTGCCAGTGCGCATCCTTCCAACGGAGAAAAAGAGATCATTGAAGTATTGGGCGGCATTTGCACCCATTTTCTTATCCGGGAAGTCAACCAGGACCACGGCAACTCTATTGTCGAGCATTACTGTCAGCAAAAATACCAGTTCGCACTGATATATTGGCTGATTTACTTACCGAATAGTACCACGGAGAGGAGTTCTTTCTGATGCAGCTCTGCTCAAATGGCTCGCAGAGACAGCAGTCTCAAAATGAGATTCAGGGAAGATACATCCATCGTTCAGACCTGTGCGTGTTCCAGTCCTGGCGCTGAAAGAAGGACGTCCGGGAATCTGTGTGGAGATAGAAGGAGTAGAAAGATAATTCGGTTCATATTGGAGTCGGGCAAGGAGATCTGGGTGGGGAGGGACAGGGCACGGGCTCGCGTCATCACATTCATGTCCTGAAGTCATTCTGCCGGTACTAATTCCCTCTCTTATGCCCTAATTGACAGTATGTATGAGATTAAATGTGTATCAATAGATCCTGTGGAGCTCGATAGGGATATGAATGACTGTCCAGAGAAGGGGGGGGGGGGAAGCCAACCTTTATAGAGGACCTGGCAAGAACATTATTTGCAAATATGACATTAACAGGTTGAATCTTACATCTACAGTGAGTGGATGAGTGTTATGCCAGTTACCTCCTGATGAATGGATCCCAACTATTCTCAGACCTTGGCCACCATTAATCACTTCTTAATTGATACCAAGCAGTCATTAGAGTTGATCTGTCCGTTTTCATCTTTAGAAATTTGAGACGACGGTCCATGTGATTATATTCCGAGTTGTTCTTCTGAATCTGGCCTAGAGCCTGTCGTAGGTGTAGGTAACAAAGAAACATATTCTAGATTCTTGGTCGCCGCATGTGACACAAGCCACTCGTAAGTATGATCTTTGCCAGGGAACTTCCGCTTCTCAACTATTTGCGGCTCGTGGAAGTTTATATCAATAGCGCAGGGATTGGAGATTTAAAGATTGAATTTACAGTCCTAAGGGTTTAGTGTAGGACATACAACAAGGTCATCGTAAGTGTGATCTTCATTTAGCGTAATCTTCCGGGTCTCAGCTACATGCGGCTCTCACAAAGAGTTGAATGATCTAAACCTACCAGTAAATCTACAGGAGCTTCATAAAGTTAGGGAAATTGATGAACCTGACATAGGTATCTGCCGTCTATTCCATGTTTGTTTTCATCTTCTAGACACTTTAGTCTCGACTAGATTGTTCACGCGACCGTAATGCGTGAAAGCGGAGTTTCCATTGTTTAACTTTAGCATTTATCACCTGCCAACCAAATTCCCCCAGAAACCATGAGTTTAAGTTCGTAGCTGGGCAGACCTGGCCGCAAGCGGTCATCGAATTCTGCCAAGCTAACAAGTGAGACCTCATGATATTATTTTTGGGTCTTGGCATCTCTTCGAGGGATTCTGCCATAAGGATGGCTGGCTTTTATTTGCCACGGCAGACTTGGCATGTCTCGCGATTCCCATACGAAGATAACGCTCCAAACTAATCGGCGCAAGGCGGATAGATACAAATCGATCAATTCTAAAACTTAGCCGGGCCAGTTTCTTAGTGCAGTCGATCACCTGCTAGTGCGATATCCGGCCATAGGATACACTCGCAAGGCACTCCCGCTGGTTCCCAGTGCACGAACCCAAATGATGTCTCTCGAGTCGGCACAACCTACAACTGCCCATCTGATTTCACGAGACTGCGAAAACAGCCGTGGACGGGCGCAACTCCGTCACCATGGACTACTTGCCAGACCTCATCTGGATTCAACAATAATACCGATGGAACTTTGATTGACAACCGGTATCAGTACACCGACATGGTTCTAGTGAATATGTACTGATCGCCCGGTAGCCCTAGGGAATGACTCGAACCTTCTGTCCGGTTGAAGTGTGGCTGGCCCCGAAGAAACTCTGATCAAGCTAAAGGCCCAGCCAGACCATGCCGGTTAGGTGCTTAACAGCAAAACAGACAGTTAGGTCTTCAAACTTAAGAATTTTGGAAGTGTGAAGCACTGATCAAATGACGCCCCATTTTGAATACTGTCAAGCCATTGAGGCATCATGGTGACGAAAACAACATCTTTTGTTCTCTTTGGTGTTGAAGAGTGTACTAACTATTGGGCAAATTGTATCCCGCAAAATACTATAAATTCGCCATGAAATTCCTCAAGTCCTTGGATGGAGATTGGTATCTATCGCAAGCACACTTTTAGTGAACCAAGCTGGATATTAGCAATACAAACTGGTGTGGGACATCCACTGGTCCACCCAAACCATCTATCATGATCCACTCTGAAAAGACTATCAACCCTCTCCGGGCCAAATTCTTCCGGGACCTGAAGGATGATCTTGGTCCTGAAGCATTGGAAACCCTGGACCCAGAGGAGTCCATCTCCCAGAGCCTGCCACCTGAGGCAGGCTCCTCTACAACTAAACTTGAGAGATATCCATGCATAACTCAGAAACCCACGCCTGCGGCAATCGCAGGCAGTGTTGGTGTTGCGGCCCTTCAAGTTGGACTTGGAAATGAGATACCCCGCTGGAAGACCGGACCGACAAAAACCGTCAACTTCGCCGTTCTTGCTAGTGGATATCCAAAGCCGGAACTCGCTTTTCTGGCAGCGAACAAGTTGCATGAAGCCGCCAATGAATGGAATGAGCTGAATCTCGGTGTGCAGCTTGAATGGGTTTACAAAATCGAAGATGCCGCATTCGTCCTCACTTATGCAAAGGAAGTCAGCCCTGGGACCCTTGCTGAGGCTTTTTTCCCGAATAATGTGGATTTGAACGTGCTGAACGTCTATCCTGCTGCTTTCGAGGAAGGAACAGTGCAATACCTGAAAAATATCTTCTTGCACGAGCTGGGTCACGTCCTAGGACTCCGTCATGAGTTTGCCCCAGAGAAGGAAACTGATGTGAAGTCCGTTCAAATTGGTCCACGTAACCCAACATCAGTGATGGCATATGAATTTCCTCCCCAAATCCAGCCCTCGGATATCGACAGCACCAAAACTTTCTATCAATTCACCGGAAAATATTTTGGAAATATGCAAAAAACTGGTAGGCTGCCTATTGTGGACTACGATGCAAATAACTAGTTTCGCACACTGGGTGATTTTAGTATCCTGAATACTACTCAATTATCACGAGGCAAAGTTAATGTTTTATGATATTTTTACCGTCAATCAAATTGAACCCCATGTTGTTTATCATGCTGCCATAACATTTGAACTCCGATGTTGTCTGAGTCACGATATACTAGGCGTGCCAGAAACATTATTAAATCCGTTATACACATAGCGTGCAGTATTAAAATTTGTGTAAATGCGGGGTATGTCAGTTTCGGCTCTTCAGGTGAAGGCCTGAACTTGACGGTACCCCTGCTAGGGCGACAATTAACTAATGGCAAATTCGCGGGCGTTAGGTGACTGACATACTAGTACAATATCTGTTGTATGTTGTATGTTTTTTTTTCTTTTTCTTTTTCTTTTTGCTTCTTTTTTGCATTAAAGAATTCCTCCTCCTACCACTCCAGCCACCTAATGGCGGACGATAGGCCTTCGGGCTACCTTTTTGCCGACAGATGACAGCAGCGGAGGTATTAAACCATTTCAACTTCCTCCTCCCTCAAGAACGAGGCAACTCCGAGTTCCCCAGACACCACAATCGACTGCCCACCGTGATGCCCATCCCCAATAAATCAGTAAATATTGGGGATTATTCGTGATGCACCAATTGCATCGCTTCGATACTTCAACAAAGGGGAGAAGAAACAAAGAATTTTAATGGAATGGATTGAAAGAACGGGCTGGCTTTAACCTCCAGTCAGGGCATTCTGCAGGCCATTTGAGGTGCAGCTATAATTAGCCTATTCCCCCGGATACTCGCGATGATTGGTGCAGAGGGGGTGTTGATTGTTTGAATAAAGCCGGTGGGTCCGAATGGCAGCCAATCCGCAGCCGCAGCGACCAGCTGCAGCGAACCGGGCGCCAACTGCAACAGCGAACGGGCTTTGTTGTGCGCGCGCGCGTCATAAAGAGCTATTCCTGTGAATCTATTTGCAGCAAGACTTGTTGTTTCGCAAAGCGCCCTGATGGGGGGTCAGTCTTTGTTTTTCAAATTCTGGCTTGGGCCCAGGCCCAGTCGGCCACAGTCCTTTATATTGCATTCTATTACTACTTTACTACTTCACTACTTCATAAGGACTGTCCTGGCGCCTCGTATTTGTTCGTCCTTTTTTTGCTCATTTTTCATTTTTTCATTTGTTGCGGCCGTGTGGGATTGTTAGGCTGCACTTCACTTTCATTCACTTTTTTATTGACTTGATTTGATTTGATTTGCCTGGAGTTGGCCATGCAATACTCTCGTTGATTCTCTCTTCTTCCATTCACTTCACTCTTCCTCCTCGATCATGATCTCGGTCTATCATTTGGATTGATCCAGGTTTATATCTCTCTCTTTCTCTCTCCTCCGCTCTTCTTCTATACTATCTTTCACCCTGCGATGCGCCTCGCCCGTATTGCTGTCTTCACCACGCTGGCGTGGTCATGTTCCTGCTCGGCCGGTCCGATTCTTCGCTCTTTTGCTTCGACGCTGGGGTTTGTATCTTCCCAGCATGACTTCTCACTTCCTCTAGCTTCGGTGGAGGAATCACGACCACAATCCTCTGTGGTGGTTCGACGGGACATCACAGTCATCCCCGTTCCAGCTCCTTCAGGTTACCCTGGTTATACGGAACCTGCTACGACTGCCTTGACTACATCTTCAGAAGAAAGTACTACTAGTACTACTAGTACTACTTCATCAACTTTGGGTATGTTCCCACTGGTTCCGCTTCGGCAAACCTTTCGACCAAACCTTCACCCGTCACTACATCGTCAGAGACCGTATCTTTAAGCGTGGGAGGCTCATCTTCATCTTCATCAGAAATCTCAACCACTTCATCTTCGACGCCCATATTGGAAACGACCATTTCCTCAAGCAGCGATACGGTATCGTCTGCCATTTCAACCACAGATTATTCGACGCCTACATCGGGAACGGCTACAACCTCGAGTACTGTGCGGACGACATCTTCACAGTCACCATCGCCAACGACAACGTCTTCACAGTCCCCACTGCCGTCGGCGAGCTCGACATCTTCCAGCAGTGCAGGAGTGTTATCCTCCACGTTCTCGTCCACCTTCCCGGATATTGTATACCCATCATCAACCGAGGTCGAATCTTCCGAAACCCCCTCCACATCGCCGTTAGTGTCGTCTTCGGCTATACCTAGTGCTGTGACTCCCTCATATACACCTATGTCGGTGTCTAACGGGCTATCTTCGACTCCCTCTTCAACCTCATCATCTCTCCAAGGGTCTTCGTTTTATCCAGATTCGCCTAATTCTAGTTCGGATCTTTCAAGGAAACCTTCGACTACATCTGTGCATTCTATTTCTCCAGTTACTTCAGCTCTGACTACTTCTGCTACACCATTACGTACAACTTCAAGTTTTCTGCCGATTTCAGAATCACTATCCAAGACTCTCTCTTCTTCCTTATCTTCCTCCTCTCCCTCTTCTACATATGTTTCTTCTCGTTTGTCTTCAACCTCTTCCTCGCGCTTTGCGTTCACTTCGCCGGCGGTTAATACATCGACATCTACTGCTACCAAACTTTCTTCTTCGCCCAAGACCATCGTCGCCTCGACAACTGAACAAGAAGCTCCATATGTTTCAATTGCCCCCGTTCATCTGACAATTTACCCTCATTCTTCCACGTTCCGAGGCGTGGGATCAATCCATCCGCTGGTAACCTCTACAACCCCGGAATCCATGGAATCCGGGTCGGCGCAGACGGATTCTGCAACTCTCCAGACAACAGTTGCTTCATCGACAGCGTCGAGTACTATGAGCAGCATTTCTCCAGCTGGAGAATTGACCAGTTCAAGCCTTGGGGTGGTTACTTCTCTTGCCCCCAGTACAATTGAAACTTCCAGCACACCCGCTGGCGCAAAATCTACATTGAGCTCGAGACCAACTCCCGATACAAGCGAGATGTCGCCTATTACATCCTCCGCTACTCCGACCCCGGAACAAGGTGCAGTCACCATTCAAGCTACTCGCACTACCGAGGACACTATCACCGTCCCTGGTACGACTGCGACGGTGACTCGTACTCCGACCCGGGATGAAGATACGGTCACCGTCCAGGCCACCCGCACGACCGAAGATACTCTTACTGTACCAGGAACTACGGCGACAATCACTCCGACTCCGGCTCCGAATTTGACCCCAGAAGAGGATACACTCACAGTTCATTCCACGCGAACCACAGAGAATACCGTGACAGTGCCCGGTACCACGGCGACAGTGACCCGCACTCCAGCCCCAACGTCAGAGCAAGTGGAGACAATCACCATCAAATCAACAAAGACAGAAGAGCAGACGCTCATTATTCCGGGATCAACAATAACCGTAACGGCAGAGGAAAGCACTTCATCATCGCCGGAGCCAAGGAAAGCGACCGTCATGCCCGAGTCTTCGTCTTCGTCTTTAGCTTCATCTTCATCTTCATCTATCGACTCCTCTCTTTCCAAATCCACGTCCACCAGCAACAGCGACCCCTTGTCTATGAATACATACACACCTCCAGAAACAGTGACAGTGACAGCCGACGCGGTGACAGTAACCGTCAACCCTGCCACCGAGACTACTCCAACTATCACAATAACACCAACCATCACCGTTATAGGATCACCCGCCGCCCAAACCCAGAAGATCGTCCAGGCAGCTTCAAATGCCAAGTTGGGCTTGAGTTTGAGCTCGAGCTCGAGCGAAGTTGATAATGATATCGGTATTAAGTCTGTTGTTCCCATGCCAGCGCCATACACTGTGACTGTTACTGCGCACTGATCGTTAACGCTAAGAAAATGGGTCGGGGTCCGATGGTTTTGTGTGACATTATTTTTCTTTTCTCTTCTTCTTGCAAAGCTGTTCTCTGGATACCATTGATTTAATACTATCGAATAAAAACCTGCAAAAAATGACCAAGTTCTGAGTCCGAAGCATGCTTCCTACCCTGCCTGATAAAGATGGCTTTTGTATTAGTTATGTCTTGTTTTACCTTCGAGCAATCGTCCAATACTACTAGGTACCTACTAGTACTATTATTAGTACCTATACATTCTATACAAGCAAGTTTCTGAATAAGTGCACAAGTCGTAGTTTGTAGCTCTTAGTAGATACCTATCGGTGGGCCATGATCCCTCAATGTGAGAATGTAAGCCTTCAAGTAAGAAAAGAGAATCCATCCGTCATCACTGTAAACGTATTAAATATTTGAAAATTAGATAGTACATTTCACGACCTAGATAATCCAATCCCTAGATAAAAAGATTTACAACTCCGACAAAACACCCCCAGCCTCAGCAAATTTCTGCTGATACTCCTTCAAACTCGCCCACTGACTCAACTCCTCCTGATCACGCTCGTAGTCACTAAGATAACTCATAGCCCGCCCATTTGCGCGCGGGCTCACGCCCTCAATCACGCTGCCGGGATCCGTTGCCGCGGATGAGTAGCCTTCGAGTCGGATAAGGGTGTCGATGAAGGCGTGGAGGTAGGATTCTGCTTCTGCGGGTGTGAGTATTGGGACATCGGTTGAGGTTGAATTGAGTTGGTGGTTTTCTCGTGCGGGTTCGGTGTGTGGATTTTCGGGTGGGATGGCTGAATTTGAATCTGGATCTTGGGTCGTTGGTTTTGGGTAGTATGGCATGTTGAGGAGGGTGGAGGCTATTTGGCGAATTTTTCCTGTCTGTGCTTATTGTTAGTTCATTGAAATTGAAAACTTGGGGTGATTAGAGTTATCGTACGATGCTGGCACCATTTGGTTCCATGTTGACTTCGTTGACGGTCCGTAGAAGCACGAAGAGGTCTTTGATGACGAGTTTCCGCTCTTCCGCCATCATTTGGCCGATATGATCTGTTTGCGCCTGTATTGATATCTGAGCAGCTGAATCTGACGAAGCTCCAGGCCTCTCAGCTGATGTTGTTTCTGCAGACCCCTCGAACTTCGTATTGAAATGCGGCATGCCGGTGTCTCGGATCGAAGGTCTTGCTAGATTGCCATACTTCGCGTATGTCTCGAACAGGTTCCAATATTTCTCAACCAGCCATGACCTGGTGCATAGCTGGCTGGCGTAAATATTCGCCTTCTGAATTTCATACTGGATTGCGCGTCGTTCTTGGTGGATGTGGTCCACTGGATAATTGAACACTGAGCCGACTCCGTCGTGCCCGGCTAATCCACTAGCTGAGGCTCGTTTGGGATGGAAGAGTGATAGTTGAACTGGAACTTTGAGTAGAGCAGACTTAACCGTTTGAAGACACCCCCATAATGATGAGCGTTGGTGTTCCCAGTCGAATATTTGACCACTGCCGAATGCCGTCTCCCAGGCAAGGAGAGAGTTGTATGAGCCATAGACACGGACATTGGCATTGAATCCGACCATTATTGACACACGGTCAGCGGGTTGGGGGTTTATATGAGTTGGAAATAGAAACTCGTCATCAACCTCAAGCGGATATGGTGGATATCGATCAGCTGGGGTTTCTGGTGGGACGTGCATCTTGATATCAGATGATCCAAGTTGGAGCAGGCTTTGATACCCCACTAACGAAACATAGAAGAGTCGCCGCCCAAGTTCTTGAGAGATCAAATCTACGGGTTTGTTATCCGTAAGATGCTGTGTTTGCTGATCTTGTGAGATTGCCGACACCGTTGACATTGGGCTGGTAGCGTTCATTGCTGCCATGGTAGGAGCAGGCGTAGGGGCGCGGCAAAGATCGTAAACCTGCAACATAGTGCGACATTCCGCCAGGTAGATACGACAGCGGCGCATACTGTAAATGTAGCCGGCACAAACACCCAGGAAATAGCTGATGGCTGCATCGTAAACAGTCGCATTTCGATCAAGATAGCCAACTCCTCGAGCTTGAATAGCAACGTCATGGCATCGCTTGACAAGCGCAATCGAATTTGGAAAGGCGGAACGTTCCGCCTCCGTATTCAGGCGCAATTTTGGCCGCCGGGGAAGGAGGCGACTAGAAACCCGATCATGGAAGCTAGAAGAGCCAGAAAGGTACCGCTAGAGGCATCCTCCCGGCGCTCAAAAGCCGCACGGAACGTGGGCTCGTGAGGGATCGGGACTAGAGGATGGATGTATGTGAAGAAATCATCAAGGAGAAGTTGCACCGTGTGGAGAGAGCAGATGGATTCTGCTGAGATAGAAGCTGAAGAAGCAGGCCCCGAGAATACAGGCGTGGGCAGAGCTGCCGGTGCCGGCGTAGGCGTAGATGCAGGTTGAGTCTGCGGTGTGCTCGCTAGCGGATAGTCGGATAGACTTGTCGGCGATGCAACCGTCTCCAGCTTCTGCTTCTTCAGCGCCTCGGCATGGCGGTTAGGAGGTCCCCGGCGCCTACTCGGCCTTTCATATGTGCATGGAATATCCAAAGTAGCACATGACCGACATGGTGGACCAGCAGTATCACACTTGAAAAGGAGATCAGCAACTGGACGAGGCAGGGTTTGACGGGTGCAAAACGAACCTTCACTTTCCGGATGCTGCAGGCATCGCAGGCCTTGCGGAGCCTTGTTTTTGGGTCCATTTGTGAGCTATATACTCAAGCAAAGCGCTCATATTCTGTACACTCAGACCATGGTCATGACACTTAGAGTGGTGAGATCAGTTGAGGTAAAAGTCCCGTACATCCACGCGTTGCGGGGGACCCTGGATTGACCCACTCGCTCGCAGGAGTTATGTGGGATTTCGGGCCGATGGTCCCCAAACTTATGTGAGAGGATTCTCTCCACAAATTGCCGGGCAGCCGGATGCAAGCTTTCTCTGCGAAGATTAGCAGAACTCGGCCAGGTACACAGAGCCTCGGCCAGAAGCGGTCAGTCGACTGGGCAATGTCGACCTGGGCGGGTGAATGTCGTGTGGGATGGCCGAAATGACTTCAGAGCCAATCTGCAATGGCCTGAATAATAGTTCCAGTTTGCCCAATTTACCCTGCAGGATATCAAGATCAATCGCAGAGTGAAACAACGGAGAGTCGCAGTCGCAGTCGCTGGCCAGTCTTGCCTCGGGAAAAGTCACGTGCAGCACGTAATCCCTCCGGAGGGTTCGAGGGTTCGAGGGTTCGAGGGTTCAATTAAAGACTAAAGTTCAAGTTGGTTTCAATACGAGAGGACCATTCGCAGGACCATTTTAAGGGATCGACCAATACTTGGTTACCCACTTTTTATACTACAATTAAATTTCAAGGGGTGGCGCGACAGGAGATGCCGGAAAGGTGTCTGGATTGGTAGAATAAAATATGCACGCTCCGCGTAAAATTAGACATTATGCCGTATAATCATCATGATAGCTGTCACCTAGTCGCCTTGGTCGCTGTTCTGCAAGCTGCCGCTTAGTCTCGAGATCCGACGCCCACAATGCAGCACCGGCTGCTGTAGTCATCAGAAAGAACATCGAAAAGGGTGGGATCAACTGCAGGAGCAGAGCAACCGTTCCAAACCTATGATATAATGGTTAGGTCAGGGTTTGAGGGGTTCCAGATCAGTGGAAGGTGACGAACGTAGTATATTGGAGCTGGCGCCTGCTGATACTCTCTTTTCGTTGCTGCTTGGAATAGTCCAGTAGCTGGTAATAACGCCAGTGATGGAAGGGTCCTCCCCGGTAGCCGGTCAACACGAGGAACATGGGAGTTCCGGCCACGGGGATGAAGTTGAGTGGGAGTAATAGGATGAACTCGAGGATCTGTCGGAGAGAGAACGGCGCATAGACGGCGCTGGTGGTCGGTGTACCGAGTCGACTCGTTGGGTCGTCGGCCTCGGGGTAGATGACGCGGGAGGCTAGGACAAGCTCTTCCTGGCCCTCATTGACGAGAACTGAATCAAATATATCGACGAGAGTCTCATCAACGAAGAACGCTTCGAACAAGGCGGCGACAATCGCGGCACCTTCGCCGAGCACCAAGAATGCACCATTGATCCAGGCTCCAGCACCCTGGAAGATGGACAAAAATGCAACTTGAGGGAGATATGTGAAGAAGAAGAGTAGGAAGTAAACGAAGCTCGACAGGAGGACGATTGGGACTAGGCGAGCCTTGAATAAGGGCCAAAGGAAACGGTGGGTTGCGAAGTAATGGATACCCTGGGACAAGTTAGTTGAGATGGAACAGAACAGAACAGTAATTGTAATGTGAGCCTACCCGGATGGGATATAACCAGGCCGACCTGGTGTGGTCGAAGATGCGAGGCATCTTGGAGAGTTCCCAGTAGGTTGTGGAGGTGAGTGGAGGGCAGAGTTGGTCCTGCCGGATGCCTGGAAATGTTCAAGGAAGCTCCGCAGTTTCCACTTTCGGAGCTCCACTTATCGATAGCAAGTCACGTGCTTCCCACTATTAAACCCGAAATTTTTTGCAACGCGCGGGCCCTTTTCTTTTCTTCTTCAAAACTGAATTCCTCCCTTATTCACTCAGGAAACCACATCTCTCAATGGGTTCTTAGAGGGGAAATGGGAGGAAAGAACGATTCTGCTGGCTTACCCCAAACTCTTCTTTGTGACGTGGAGCGTTTGGAAATATTTTTCAGCGGTACATTCCTTTTTCATCCCTTTCGGGGCGTTTATGAAGGCTTCGACTATCTGCGTCCCTGAATCTCCTGGACGATCTGTTCCAAACTGTGTACAATCGCCGACGGCCGTAGCCCTGGTGCCACCGCATCCTGCCATCCCCTATTTGCTCGATCAACCCAGATCGCCTGCATCCCGACACTCCGCGCCCCGACAATATCGAACGGGTTACCGCTGATGAGCCACATTTGGTCCATCTGTGATTCCTGTTTGCTCATTTTGCGGGCCAGATGATGATAACTCGCGGGCGATGGCTTGTAGCGTTGGATATCGTCGACGGTGATGAGATCTTGGAATACGCTGGCGTGTGTCGAGAGGTCTTTCGATCGCAGGACAGAATTGGAGACCATGGTCTTGGATCCGTTGGAGAACACCACGGGTTGAATTCTCGCATCGGCTGATAGTCGAATAAGAGCAGGATTGACGTCGGGGAAAGTAGATAAATGGTCGTAGGCCTCCATTAACGCGGCGATGTTGCTGTCGCTCAACTGCTCGCCGTGCTCGGCCAGAGCATGAACCAGAGCATTCTTCGTAACGATCGAGAAATCCTCGTAGCGTTCTGCTCATGGTTAATAGCCGTCTCCGAATGCCAGGTGCCAGTTGCCTACCCATGCTGTTGAGTCTCCATGTATACTCCAGCTGATAGCGTCTCCAGAGAGCGGAGACAGCCTCTGCTTTGGGACCGACATGCTTCTCTAGCTGCTTCGCAATGGATTCTGTAGACAGCAGCGTACCGTACAAGTCGAAAGCCACGATTATTTTGTCTGCCATGGTAAATGGTGTTGGTCAATTTGAACAAGCTGGGTGAAGGTCTAGCTAGGTCGAGGGATGCGGATGATGTCAAGCGTCCGTGACGCGGGGTAGAACCTCCACCCCCAACCATCTGCCCAATCCCAATCGCGCACAAAATAAGCCCAGGGAACACATTCCAGGCACAATGGGAGAGTTACATGCCCAATGACCTCCGATGATAACTACACCATCTTCCGAGAGTGTCTCTCGAGCGCCATCGTCGCCCGTTCCGAAGGGCAGCCAAAGACCTCCAAACGGCGGGGCAAAGCAAAACGCAATGGACGCAAAGACGTGACCAGCACAGAAGTCGTCATAAATAAGAATGAACGAGCGGATCCGGAAGAACTGGCTGAGTTTATTGACGTACTGATCAATTCAACACAACAACTCCCACAACTGCAAAGCTAATACCATCCGTCTCCAGTTTATAGCCAGTGAAACTTTTACGACATTCCCAGACGATCTCAAAACACTCTCCTACTCCGCAATCCAGAACGATGCAGTTTTGAAAGCTCGCTACGTCCCAGAAGACCAAGATATCCCAATGAATCGCACTGTTCTGGACAATCTTTGCTCCCCGATCCCGGTCGAGGTAATAGACACCCTCTCGGTATACGGCCTCATCCCGGACGCAAATGATCTACCAGAATTTATATCACCCGTGCTGAGCGAGTACATTTCAAGCGTGACGACTGGGCCTCCCGCGTGGGCGAATACACGAACAGATGCGTGTGAGATTTGCGAGCGCGACTGGATCCCACTGTCTTATCATCATCTTATCCCGCGCGGTGTGCACGCAAAGGTCATGAAGAGGGGGTGGCATGAGGAGTGGATTTTGAATAGTGTTGCGTGGCTTTGCCGGGCTTGTCATAGTTTTGTGCACCGCATGGCTAGTAATGAGGAATTGGCGAGGGAGTGGTTTACCGTTGACAGGATTTTGGAGAGAGAGGATGTACAGGACTGGGCTAGGTGGGTTGGTAGAGTTCGGTGGAAGGCAAAATAGGTATTTTCCGAACTGTCCATACCCTAAACCACGCCCATGAAAGCTAGTTTCGCAACATACTGGATGCCAAAATGCCACAGCTCTTTGTAATAAGCTCGAAAAATCCAAATTTGAGATCACCGGGCCCAAGAGTGTACCTTACGCTAGTACTTCGGAATCCGGATCATGTAGAATACATTTTTAAATGGATATAAAGACTATAAACTGATAAAAATGGCAAGAAGCTGGTATCTCGGGAAGCCAAGCGGCTTTAAACATATTGCTGAACGCTCAAGATAACCTAACGTACGACCATGGACCTGGAAGAGAAGGAGGGTCTCGAGTTCGCCGTTAATGGTTCCAGGGACGAGAATAACAACCTCAAATTCAAGATTAGGGGATGGAATACGCGATGTCTGAGCTACGTTACTAGCATCAAGCATTTCGGCAATCGGCATTCAATTGACACAGAACTTGAAGCTTTCATCATTATGTTTTACAGTAGTGCCAGTGCGAGACTAGTACTAGTATGACTGTTGTTGATAGATATAATATCGCAATGCGAAGAAAGGAACCTTGAATTTTCTTGATTTAGGATTAGAGCGATGTATTGTCCTATTAACAAGTGTGCCTTTTTATATCCATTGATGATTACAAACAAACTCCACCAGATGCAGACACGAAAAGCAGAATATAGTACAAAAATATAAATACATGCACACGTCCACAACATCTAAAAACGAAGATTCTTAGAGATAACGCTTTTCAAAGATCTCTTCATAGCATTGGACATGATCGCCAACCGCGAAGTCAGTCCAGCCCTCGAATCCAATACCGCACTCAGTATCTTTGCGCATTTCGGTGACATCCTTCTTGACGTTCTTGAGGGAGTTCATGGTACCTGGGAGATGTTAGTAGGAAACTTTGAAGCGTAGCTTTGCGGGTATATCTTACCGTCGAAGATGGTTTCATCGTTACGGGTCACTCGGACCTTCCGCGATTTCTGAACCATACCGTTACGAACACGGCATCCCGCGATCGCAATCTTCTCGCGACCCTTGAGGGTGATCTCGAAGATCTGTCCGATCTCGGCTTCACCAGTCACACGCTGGGTGACTGTTGGCTGAAGATGCTCGCTGAGGTTGGCTTTCACGTCGTCGATGAGCTTATAGATGATGTTGTGGTCCATGATTCGGACTCCCTCCATCTCAGCCATACGCATCAAATTATTGTCGATGGGCATGTTGAAGGAGACTACGATACCATTGGCGCTGGCAGCGTGTTCGATATCGAACTCTCCCACGGGACCAACTCCAGAGCGGATCACGTTGGCGTAGATCTCATTGTTTCCGATGGCGGCAATCGAGTTCAGAACTGCCTCGGCGGAGCCGTCGACGTCAGCCTTGATGATGAAGTTTACTGGCTTAGGGCCAGTGGGCTCTGCCGTTTTGGTAGCTGCCTCGTCAGAATCCATATCCTCAAGTCTGCGTTTGTCAAGAGCCTCTCGTCGGGCAACGTTGATGGCTTCCATGTCTTCGCCCAGCTTCTTGTTGTCGGAGCGATCCTGGCGGTACTCCACGACCTCCTTGGCTCTTTGTTCAGTGGGGGCTTGGAGAATCTCGGTGCCAGCCGCTGGCTGATCTCTCCAGCCATCAATCTCAACAGGCATGCCGGGGGTGGCTTCTTCAATGGCAAGGCCGGCTTCATTGCGAAGTGTACGGACACGAGCCCACGTTTCACCGGCAACAATAACATCACCAGTGCGCAGGGTACCACGACGGATAAGAGCAGATGCCACACGGCCATAGCTTTTGGTGGTCGCTTCGAGAACCCAACCCTCTGCATTGCCTGCAGTATCGGCACGGTGGTCGAGCATCTCGGACAAGGCGCCGATCGCCTCCTCCAATTCAATCATTCCTTCGCCAGTCTTACCACTCACTCCAATGGCCTGAACATCACCACCGTAGTCTTCCACGTGGACACCGTGAATAGAAAGATCCTGCTTGACTCGGTCGGGGTCGCGACCCTCCTTGTCAATCTTACTCATTGCGACAATGATTGGAACATTAGCTTGGGTTGCGTGCTTGATAGCCTCGATGGTCTGCGGCTTGACACTATCATCGGCGGCCACAACAAGGACGACAATATCGGTAACATCGGCACCACGGCGGCGCATTTCCAAGAACGCAGAATGACCAGGAGTGTCGAGGAAGGTGATCGTTTTTCCCGAAGGCATTGGCACCGAGAAGGCACCAATGTGCTGGGTGATACCACCGTGTTCAGTGGCCGCGACTGATGACTTACGCAACCAGTCCAGGATAGTAGTCTTTCCGTGATCGACATGACCCATAATGGTGACAACAGGGGGGGCGTGACGGGAGCAAAGAGGGATCTTCTGGCACCGGTGCAGCCTGAAGGTCGGGGTTCTCTGTATCAAAAAGAGCCTCGAAGTTATACTCTGCGGCCACTAAGCCAGCAGTCTCCGCGTCCAAAACATGGTTGTACATGACATCTTCAAAGCCCATTTCTTCCATCCGCTGCACGAATAGATTGGGGCGTACACCAACGACGTCGGCCAAGTTGCTGACGCTGATGAACTCGGGGAGGTAGATGGGCGTGGGAGCTGCTTCGACCTTTGCAGATCTCCCCTTCTTCTTGTCTGCCTTGGCCTTCTTGAGCCGCTTGCGTTCATCGCGAAGTCGTTCATGCTCTTCTGGGTCAAAATCGTCTCCCTCGGACTGGGACGGTCGTTGACCTTTGCGTCCGGGCTTCTTGGATGAGGCCGCTTGCTCTAGGGCTTCCTTGGCTTCCAGCTTCTCCAAAGCAGACATATCCCAGTTCCACTGATCCTCCTTTGCCTTTAATCTCTCCTCCTTCCTTTTTTGTCTTTCCAGCTTCGCCTCTGCCTCTGATACAGCATCAAGCGGTTGTTGTTGTTCCTTTTCGTCGGCCTTCGATTCCTCTAGCTCATCCTTCAGTCCCCGGTACTTCATGGTCGTTGCATCCGGAGAAGTGTCTTTGCCAAACCCTTTCCGGCCAGTGGGTGCTCTGTCCTTCCAAAAAGTCTGCGGTTCGCGTCGGCGGGCGACATCCGGTCGAGGAGCACTGCAGAATGGACAAGCGACATGCTTAGCAAAGACATGACCATTACATGACTTGCACGTCCAATCGTTGTCTCTCCTCTCTTGTGTTTGTCTTTGGTTTCGGGGGAACTGTCCATTCTGCTCACGCTCATGTCGCTCGCGAACACGATCTCGTCGGAATGAGGTCGGCTTGTCGTGGGATCTGAGTGAGTGGTCACCTGGGCCATTCCTTGTAGCCCCCGGATGCCTCTCAAATGGCCTTCGTTCTCGAGATTGGTGTTTTGGTTGTTTTGGTTGTTCTGGTTTGGGAGGTGGTTGACTTGCAGCTTTGAGGGAATCGCGTAACGACTGCTCAGCGGCACTCAACCCCGTCGGTTTACTTACTAATTTCGGGCCCCATCGATTCCCAAACTTGGGAGCTGGAGCCGATGAGCTCGAAGCAGTTCCATCTCCATCGCCAGAGCCAGAACCAGCAGAATTCAATCGGATAGCGGACGATCGAAAGGACCGACTAACGAGGGCCGAGGAGGGGGTCGAATATAAATCGACTCGGCGCGGGAACTAGAAGGAGAAGGAAGGCAATCCGTCAGTATATCAGAGAGCAACCACTACCGGACTCAATCCAAGAGATGCAAGACTAGAGCTAGAACGTACCCGTAAAACCGTGCGCCTGTGCATACTTGCGCTGCTCATGTCCAGCTCCACCTTTTTTGCGGCTGTTTGGCAAGCAAGGCTTACGTAACTAGTTTCCCGACGGCAAACCCGTTTCCCTCGGCGCTGCCCACCAATCATCGTACGGATGGCGCCATCCCGATAAGCTGTCCCTGATAGTTGCCCTTCCATACTTATAAAGTCCGGAGCCAGAAGTCCGGGGTGCTTTCTTCCCTCTTCCTCACCCAGTGGATACCCCTGCACACAATACAATGGAGTCCCCGGCTTTCGACGATATTGAGAAGGGCGCCGATGCCCTGCGCACCGTTAAGGATCTGGCCGCGGGCGCTGCTGGTGGAATAGCTCAGGTTCTGCTGGGTATGTGTGTGACGAGGGGTCACAGGATACCTGATACCCTCTTCAATCCCCTCCTCCCAATTGATTGAAAGCAATTGCTAATACAACTTGTCTCTAGGTCAACCTTTCGGTTCGTGATCGCATTCTTCCCAATCGCCAGTCTCATTCGTCTCAATCGCACCCCGCTAACCCACCCCAGATATCGTCAAGGTGCGCCTGCAAACCACCACCCAATACTCCAGCGCCGCGGAGTGCGCCAAGCAGATCTTTAAGACCGAGGGCCCTGCTGCTTTCTACAAAGGAACTCTGACTCCTCTTATTGGTATCGGTGCCTGCGTAAGTCACAATTGCAACTCCAATGCCCCTCCTCTCCCCCCACCAACCACCAACCACCAACCACCGAGACTAACCGACTTTGTAGGTGAGTGTCCAGTTCGGTGCTTTCCACGAGGCCCGCCGTCGCCTGGAGGCCTTGAACCAGAAGAAGTACGCCGATGGTTCCCTCTCTTATCTCCAATACTACATGGCCGGTTCGTTCGCCGGTGTGACCAACTCCGTCCTGTCCGGTCCCATCGAGCACGTGCGTATCCGTCTGCAGGCCCAGCCTCACGGTGCCGGTCGTTTGTACGATGGCCCGATCGACTGCATTCGCAAACTCTCCTCGCACAATGGCGCTATGCGCGGTCTCTACCGCGGCCAGGCCGTCACCATCCTGCGTGAGGCCCAGGCCTACGGTTCTTGGTTCATGGCCTTCGAGTACATGATGAACCAGGATGCCAAGCGCAACAACATCAAACGTGAGGATATTTCCGCACTCAAGGTCGCCACCTACGGTGGTCTGGCTGGTGAGGCTCTCTGGTTGTCCAGCTACCCCTTCGATGTGATCAAGAGTAAGATGCAGACCGATGGATTCGGCGCCACCCAGAAGTACAGCAGCATGCGCGACTGCTTCGCTAAGACCTACGCTATCGAGGGACTGGGTGGTTTCTGGAAGGGCATTGCGCCCACCCTGCTGAGGGCTATGCCTGTCTCTGCCGGAACTTTCGTTGTGTATGTCTTGCCCCCAATCCATTCACCTTTTTCATTTACTGATAATTTTCATAGTGTCGAGCTCGCCATGAAGGCCCTTGCATAGACTTGTTCATGATGACTTAATCTGCTTTCTTATTTGGGGTTTAGGTATGATATCCAGCACCCGGTTCATCAGGAAATCGATGGGTGCAGCACAAAAGTTAGAACAGCTTTTTAGAGGTTACACTGGTCTGTATCTATGGCATCTGAGTATCATTGGGATATACAACCCAATTTATGATTTTTCTCAAACTAAATGTGGAGCTTCGTCAAGTAACGTACACCCAGACCTGGGCACGATTTCCCCTACTAGTAGATTACATAGCCAAGGAGAAATCCCCGAAGAAATCCTGCCATGCAGTAGGGAAATAAAACAAATTCAATCCCGGGAAATCCCACTCTGACACAAACTGTTCCGGCACAAACCACTGAAGGTCTGCCTGGGCATCGAACAATTCCCAGAATGGCGATGTGGCCGTAGAGCCGCCGCCGCCGCCACTATTGGGCTGTTGAGATTCCTGCAAAGCCCGACCATACTTCTCGATACTCACCTTCAAGATCTGAAGATAAATATTTCCCGCTCCAGAATGGCTCCCATTCGAGCCGGCTTTGTTCAATTCATACAATAAGCGATTTCCATGCTCAAGAAGCTCTTGGTTCTCGTCATCCCGTTCGGGAAGCAGGCGCGAGAGCTTGAGAAGAAGTAGGAACGAAAACGCGCACTTGGCCCAAACAAAATCCATTGCATATTTCAGTTTGGCAAGGTAGTAGTCCGGCTCAAGGATGATGAGGCGAAGATGTCGACGAGCACTAGACTTGGCCGTGAGAAGAATACTTCGTTCGGTTGCCGACATAGCGGCTACATTTTCGACGCCCATGGCTCGTAAAGCTTTGCAGTTGAGCATCATTTCTGCCCAGCATTTTTGTACTCGTAGTGCAACGACGAGGAATGGCTTTTCCTCTCGCGCGGATGTTGAGCTTTCGATTATTCGAAGCCAGTCGTCGAACCATAGGTCTAGGTCGATTTTCATCTCGTGGACGAAGTCTGAGATTCTAGGCCGATCTAGTGTTGTTCCCGATCCCAGATTGTCATTGATCGTTGCTGTTAAAAGGCAATTAGTTTCTGATTACATCCACATGTCGCGAATTAGCCTACGGCGCTCCATAAGCGCAGGGAGGTCAGTAGTTGTATGTAGGACAACTGTATTTTACAGTGGTGTTGCAAAAGCTTGAACCCCCCCCTATTGCCCACCATTTCTGACCACCTTCTAATGGCAGACTAGTACCTACCCAAGATGGAATAGATTGGCCAATATCTTTCATCTCAGTAGGTGCTAGCCCACCTTAGTAGGAAGGCGGAGACCAGGCCGGTCAACAAGGGCTTGGAAACTTTGCAACACCACTGTAAAACAACCCAATAAACAACTACTGATCACCCTGCGCTTATGGAGCGCCGTACTAACCTTACCTCGCAGGATATTGAGCTATAGACTTGTTAGATCAATTGGAAATACTAAGTTATTCGTGCGATATCACTACACAAACTTACCTCGACTTGGGAAAATAATCGAAGATCAAGAACTGTAGAAGATGGATGACCGAGTAGAATTCGGCAGCGTCGAGAATTCCCTATCAGCCTAATACCCGGAGGCTTCCCTCCATCAACTCGAAATCTGACATATCAGAATTTAGCCAAAGGACTGTCAAATCAAAGTACTAGTAGTACTCACATATGCTCAAGCACCAAAAGCCCAAACCACGTTCTCGATTTCCTCATGAGATCCTGCTCTCGCTCAAAGTCATGGTTCGGAACTTCATATAAATTTTCGTCATTCTTCATCGCAAGTCGCTCGGTAAGTTCCTCGAACGCCTCATGTAAACCTAGATCAAGCGCCATTCGAGTAGCAAAAGACAGAATAAGAAGCCGCTCTGAAGAATAACATGCGACCACCAACATTGCTTGTACTGATTCGAGACAATTCAGGCCTTTATTTTGAATTATGACGTTGATCCATTTCTTCAGTTCAGCGTGTAGCATGTCGGACATCTGGCCCCCAGTACCTGTGAGAGTTAATCAAGGCCATCGAGTCATGCTGTAGTTTAGTAACTGACCTATTTCGACCATGCTTCCAATGGTACATATTGCATTGAGGAGAATGCTACTTCGAGATCTTACCGATTCAAAAGTATCCCGCTGAGGGTCAAATATTGGAATATATCGATCCTATATGGATGAAGGGCGTTAGTTTCCGGATATTGGCGTATGTCTGAGGAGCCGATGAGAACATACACAACCTTGAAAAAATCTGTGGTCCCAATTCAGTCGTTATCCTGGAGTTGGAGACGGAGAGGAGAGGGACATACGTATCAAAACAAGAGACAGCACACTCCACTGTAATGAGGCCTTTATCAATAAAGTCTGCGACTGAATCTTCACTAATCTCAAAGCAAGATCGTTTGCGTTTTAGTGAAGACAGTTCACTAATGGGAGCTTCGTATCGTGGTTGAACAGAGGTTTCATGCGGAGAAGAAAGATCTGGCCTTGATCTTGGATAGGAATTTCCAGACTGAGTACTCAAGTAAATCGGATTATCGGGCACAGCAAGAGTCACAATATCTTCCTCTGCATGGGTGATCTGGGAGTGGGATGAAGGGCATCCGCTATCCCCACGTTGTTGCGATTCTAGGACTTGGCGTGGCGACACATTTTCTTGAGAATGAACCGATGGGTGGGATTGATTATGTTGCAACAGGTTTTGCATCTCATCTAGCTGTCTCCTAAGGTATTGAATCTCGCATTCAATACCTTCAATTCGTCTAGTGCCGTTAGAATATGGTCTGGTCTCTCTGCAAAGGTGCCAATGGCTGTAGCGCTAGAGTCTCTTACTCTGAAACGGGATCTTTTGGAATCTCAAAGAAAACGCATTGCTTCTCCAATCTTTCGCATCTACTTTTTGTCAGTATTGGGGTTGTAGATGTGTGCATATCGATCTTGCTGGCGTTACCTTCCACACGGTCTCTCTCCATCGCATCGGACCTGATAGAGTGTTAACTCAGAAGTGTACCCAGAATGCCAGTGGAAATTATATATATAATCACCTTGGATAGTCTACATGCACTGCATGCTTTCTATATAGAAATAAACCCAACTATTAACCATTGTTCGGCCTCCTGAGATGTACCCACATAACATGGGGGCCGAGGCACTTGCTGGAATGCGCTTTTTTCCAAGCGGCGCAGGAACCACGTGTAAGGTATCGTCGTCCTCCTGCATATTAATATCGTGAAAGGCTCAAGCGGCCCCGTACTCCGTGGGCGTGAAGAATTGTCTGCTTGGACCTGGGGAAGGGGAAAACGCGGGGTTCGGCAACTGCACCGACGATCGGCTATTACCAGCGGGCCCCGATGATCCGGAGTAGCACGACCAACCTTGGAATACTTCTTGGCGCCACCAATCAATATCGACTCGGAGCCCTGGAGGGGAGAACTGTATCTGAGAGATTTATTTTCCAAGGTTGTTTGTGAGCGGTAGTCATCACTAAAATTCAAATATTGTGCATTTACAAATATCTCGCTAGATTCCTCCCAGGCTCCCAATCGTCGGTCCATCTGAAACTAGTATACATAGACAAAATCCTCGTTTGCCCAGTCGGTCAGATCCTTAAAGGCGTTGTCGTTGACTACTTGCTGGACGGGTGCACCCTCCTTATCGGTTTCCACGGCTCCAACGGCGTGCATCGAGTGATCTACCACTTTGGCGTCTTTTCCAGCAGCAACACGCTGTTTTTCGTGTTTCTTGTTAAGGAAAAACAGATAAGTCATGTTCAAACTAGATCAAGTTAGCTTTTGTCCTTCAGGCCTGGTCATACTCTCGACATGAATCTTACAAAATTAAAACAATTAGCACGCAGAATAGAGCGAGGCTGTTCAAGAATTAGCAATGTATATCGACGATGAGCCTTTGCTTCTTACTTTGCGGTAAGGCCACGCTTGTACAGCGGTGCTTCTTCCGTAGTATAAAGAGTTGGTCCAATAACCTAGCGGCGTAGCCGTGTTAACAAACTATAATTTCTTTCGGAGGGGGGTGGGAGACTACATACGTTACCAACGCATTGGCCAACAATCAGAATACCGGTGGTGACCTTCTTTTTAGTCTCACCGGCTGTATTGGCGGCGGACCATGAGTAAATCAAAGGTGCTGGACGATATTAGTTAAATCTGCGACCGAGTGAAGGAATTGGTAGCTTACTGATTCCAGGGTATACGGAGATCTAGATTTTGAATTGAGGTTAGCCACGATGACGCGGGACAGGGGAGGGATTGTTCACTCACAATATAGTAACCGACTAGAAGAGGTCCCTTGTGGGAGTCATCATGAGGAAGATTCAAAAGCATACAGCATCCTGCAATGGGCGGAAGGCACAGCAATGCCAGAACTGGGCTCTTCATTTTCCAAGAGGTAGCTAGCCAAGCGCCACCCATTGTGGCAACCAGCTGCACTGCTCCGAAAGGAACATTCAGCAAAATAGTATTTAGTTGATCGAATCCGAAGGATTCTACAATCAATGGGCCGAAAGTCGTGATTCCACCACTCGGGATTCTGGTTCCAGTTAGCAGAAACATTTTCCCATTGAGTTAAGTTTTACTTACGAGATAGTAAGCATCAAGGAAAACCAAAGCCATGACTTGATGTCAAGAGCGGCTTCCTTCACGTGGTCCCATTTCCATTCATGCGTCTCCATGCCCTGCTGGTTCATGCGAAGTCTATCACCAATTAGCCAGAATCGAAATGATATTTAGAGGGATGAGGCACCTTTCGATCGCCACCAGTTTATCTTCTTCGGGTAGGAACTTTGCAGTAGTTGGAGAATCGGGCATGAGAAAACTATAGTAATTGCAACCGATTAGTGTTTATCAACCACGTTGTTGACGTAGGATCCTGTCTTACAAGATTGCGGCAGACATGCCCACAGTGATCAGTCCGAAAAAAAGGAAGATAATCTGCAACGCGATCGGATTAGCCATACTTTCCAAGGTTCTTTCCCCATTGTTGAGACTTTATTACCTGATATGGTTCAAATACAGAAGAGTTGATGTGTCCCAGTCCATAAGTTATGAGACTTCCAAACTGCACCATGGTTAGAGACAATTAACACAAGTCCGACTAGAGGTACACACCATGTTGACCACTCCGTTCATCGCATACCATGATCCCAATCTTATTGGCTGCTCGCGACGTCGATACCACATTTGGGTCACGGCGATGAAAGCCGGTGCTGTGTTCATCTTTCGTCAGCTCAGGAACCAAGGCCATGCCAAGCGATGAGAAAGAACTTACCAATACCAGCCTCGAAGATACCCAAGAATAGCCGACATACCAATAGGCTAGCGAAAGTATTCGCGGCAGTCATGCAGGACAGAGCAATACCCCAGAGCAGACAGGATACGGCTAGGAACTTGCCTAGTGGCACCTTGACCAAAAGGTAGGACACCAAGGGCTGGAAGACTAGCTGAGCCAGGTAAACCACCGATCCTAGCCATGAGTACATCTTGCCATGGAGATGGGCTTTCTCAATGAGACCAAAGACAGATGCATATGACAGGGTTGATTTGTCGAGTTGTTGGAGAAAGTAGATTGCCAGCAGGATAGGGAGAAGACGCAGATCGATCTTGCGCAGCACTTGCTTGTTATTCTCAGGGGTGAGGATAGTTGAGTAGCCCATATCCTCAATCAGCTGCAGCGCATCATTCTTTTTTGCCCCTGTGGCATCTTGAGATACAGGAGCAGGCTTGGTGGACTGTTCAGCCTCGATGGACTCGACATGCTCATCCTGCTGGTGTTTTGGAGAAGCAACCTCCACTTGTGACATCGCTAATGACAATAGAAGTCACTCAAAGATTCGATGTTTAAGGACAAGGTAGACCTTGTTGAGATGGATGGAATAAAAGATGCAAGGAGAAGAACAAAGATACTCGTCTCACAAGATTGCCTGCACCCCCCGTGGGGAAACCAAGTTTATGATATCCCCGGACTTGCACTAGACCCGTCTAGCACGGCCGGCTTCTGATAACTTTGTTAGCCCCTATCATCCCGGTTCATACGCCTCATGCCACGCCTCTGGTCATTCGATCTGGCGGGAAGCGGTACTTGGCTTGAAGAACGGACAACTTCCGGTGTATCAGAGCCAATCAATCCCTGACCGTGAGGGGGTCGGAAGAGGCGAGCGAGAGCCTAAGAAGCGGAGATGCCTATGTTGGGCTAGCGGTCGGTGTTCGGTAGGCAAATCCGAAGCGGGAGAGAGGAGTTTTGGTGATCTGAGTCTGGGGATTGTGGGGTTGACAGGCAATTGTGGAGTAGAGTGAATGGTCGAGTTCTAAGGGTGCTGTCCTTTTCGACGGGTGTCGGTGAAGATCTCCGATCTCCGCTTCTACACCTCCCCATGCTGCCCCATACCCGCCCCACGCCTGCAACCTCGACGCAGTCTACGCGGGGTTCTTGCGGACTTCTGCGCGAATTCTTGGAGATGTAAAGAGTCCTACAAATATGCTAGGCTGCCGAGACTCTGCTCGTTTGTCTTTTGTGAAACACAATCGTGAATCCAAAGCACAATGCCTCAGAAAGAAGTTTGTCCCCGTGGGTACCAGCAGGTCTCTTCGACCTCCCAACAAGATGCCTTCGTGGACTTGCGGAGTAGCTCCAGCAGCAAGACTGCCTTTGACTTTCGTTTCGAAACTATTCGTCAGAACCTCTTCCGGGTGACCTTCACCTCCCCCGAGCACCACCTCCCGCCGTTCCCTAGCGTTAAGAAGCCCGAGGTCAATCTTCAGGGTGTCAATGTCTTCGCGAAGAATGAGGGTAGCTCGAAAACCATCGACGTCGGCGGCGTCACTGCAAAGGTTGAGTGGGAACACACGCCCGTTGTCTCGCTCTCCTGGACCGGATCCGACAAGCCTCTCCACCAAGATCTGCCGTTCCGCTCTTATGTCGCCGACTCCACCGGTATTGCGAGCTACTCGGTTCACGATCGAAACGCTTTGCACGTCGGACTCGGCGAGAAGAGTGCTCCAATGGACCTGAGTGGCCGCACCTTCCAGCTCTCTGCCACCGATTGCTTCGGCTACGATGTCTACAACTCCGATCCTCTCTACAAGCATATCCCGCTCTTGATCAAGGCTACGCCCGAGGGATGTGTAGCTCTCTTCTCAACAACACATGGCCGGGGTTCGTGGTCTGTCGGATCAGAGATTGATGGTCTTTGGGGTCACTTCAAGGTGTACCGCCAAGACTACGGTGGTCTGGAGCAATATATGCTTGTTGGCAAGAACATTCAAGATGTGGTTCGGTCATACGCCGAGTTAGTGGGCTTCCCTATCCTGGTCCCGCGCTGGGCCTACGGTTATATCTCCGGTGGATACAAGTACTCGAGCCTGGACTCGCCACCTGCACACCAAGCTCTGGTTGAGTTCGCGGAGAAGTTGGAGGAGCATGGAATACCCGTTTCGGCGCATCAGATGAGCTCGGGATACTCTATTGCTGCAGTCGAGCCAAAGGTCCGCAATGTCTTCAACTGGAACTACAGCCGCTTCCCCAACCCAGCGGAATACGTTGCCAAAATGCACGAGCATGGTATTCGACTCATTACCAACATAAAGCCTTTCCTCTTGGAGTCTCACCCTGACTTCCAGCGTCTTATTGATTCTCGTGGCTTCTTCACAGACCCTGATACCAACAAGCCTGGCTACATGCGCCTGTGGAGCTCGGGTGGTGCTACTGGCGGTGATGGCTGCCACATTGATTTTACTTCCGAAGATGCTTTCAAGTTCTGGTACAATGGAGTTCAGAGCCTGAAGAAAGTCGGCGTTGATGGCATGTGGAACGACAACAATGAGTACACTCTGCCTAATGACGATTGGACTCTAGCATTGGACGATGCTATGGTTGATGCCGGCGCAAAGAAAGCCGTCCCAAACAACGTGGGAGAATGGGGTCGCGCTCTACACACTGAGCTGATGGGCAAGTCTTCTCACGACGCTCTTCTCGACATGGAGCCCCAGTACCGCCCCTTTGTCCTCACCCGCAGCGCCACTGCCGGTACCATGCGCTACTCCGCTAGTACCTGGAGCGGAGACAATGTTACAAGTTGGGAAAGTATGAAGGGCGCCAATGCGCTCTCGCTCAATGCTGGAATGTCCCTCTTGCAGTGTGAAGGTCACGATATCGGTGGATTTGAAGGTCCCCAGCCCTCGCCTGAACTTCTACTTCGCTGGATCCAGCTGGGTTGCCACTCTCCCCGATTCGCGATCAATTGTTTCAAGACTTCTCCCGATAACAATGAGGTTGGCGACGTTATCGAGCCTTTCATGTACCCTGAGATCACCCCGCTCGTCCGCGATACTATCAAGCGCCGCTACGAAATGCTGCCATACATCTACTCATTGGGACTGGAGAGCCATATGAAGGCGACCCCACCACAGCGCTGGGTTGGCTGGGGCTACGAGTCTGATCCCGAGGTATGGACCAAGGCACTGAAGGCTGGTGAGGAGCAGTTCTGGTTCGGTGATTCTCTCCTCGTCGGCGGTGTCTACAAAGCTGGACTCGACACTGCGGATGTTTACCTGCCCCGCAAGTCTGGGGACGCTTTTGACTACGGCTATGTCAATATGAATGCGCCGTACAACTACTTTGCTTCGGGCCAGTGGGCTTCCATCCAGTCCGAGTGGAAGGATAGCGTCCCTCTCATTGCCCGCGTTGGTGGAGCCATTCCTGTCGGAAAGAGTGTGCACACTCGTGTCCCTGGTGATAATACCGCCGCCTCGCAGGGCGTCAAGGAATTGGATGACTACCGTGGTGTTGAAGTCTTCCCGCCAAAGGGTACCTCGCATGAGCGTGTCTTTGAGAATGTTTGGTATGAGGATGATGGCATTTCACAGAAGCCTCAGACCGCCACCTATACTCTGCGCTACAGCTCTACCGAGGAGAAGGTCTTGGTAGACTTTGTTCGCGACGAGAAGAGCGGCTTTGCTCCCGCTTGGAAGGAGCTGGACATTATTCTGCACAACGGTGATTCTCGCCGTGTGGTTTCTAGCTCTGGGCAGGAGGCTTCGCTTAAGGGCACTGACTCGCGCGGTCGTGTGGTGTATACCCTCAAGGCTTGAGCAGAGCTTGATGGGCTGCCTTCATGATCTGATGAGACAACCCACCAGTGTTCTCTATTTGTAACGGACTATAGTAATGAATAGAATGAATATAGAAATGGTTATTCAAGAACACCTTCCACCATCCTTGTACTAGTCACCTTTCTCCGGTCCTCCTTATTGGATATAAGCTTGAACTTGAATGTCTATTAGTAACTAGTAACCAGCCTGAGGCAGATAAGTTTAAAATCACAGCCGGGACGTGGCCAGACTGGCCTTCTGCTGAATCAAAATGCCTCATTGGTACTATCTCCAGGGCCCCAGCCTTGTTTGCCTCGTTCATTGACGATCGTTTCTTTATTTTATCAAACATGGAGGTCATCAGCTTAGTTTTCGGGGTATTAGAAGTGTAGAGTTTGCGACATGAGTAGCTCGTTACAGAGAACAAGGGCTAGGAGTCGTGATACCGGGGTCACGAAGAGCAGGAATTGAGTAATATGCTTCAGAGGCATTCGGTATTCAAATATCAATAGAAACAACTGTTAATACACGATGAGGAGATAACACCCTAAGACCTGGCTGGAATCATCTATACAGTACAAAAAGGCCCGACGCTCACAAAAGTCGCCCGGATGCCAGAACATACAAAAAGAAACATGTCAAAAAGAAAGCAAACCCGCCAAAGCCCGAATTTAATCGCGCTTGGGACCCTTGGTTTGCTCGGCACCAGGTAACACACCCGTGAACGGATCCAGACGCAACTCACCCGCCGTAACAGGCTTATAAAGAGTCTTTCCCTCCTGGGCCATCTCAATACGTCTCTTCTGACCCGCCTCACCAGCACGGCCCAGGATACCAGCAATCAGATTCGTACCGCGGAGGGAGTCATCGTTCGCGGGAATCGGGTAGGTGACACGGGTAGGATCGGCATCGGTATCAATAATGCCAATAGTAGGAACATTGTGCAGACCACACTCGTGAAGCAGGACAACGTTTTCAAGCGGGTTAAGACAAACAACCAGATCAGGTTTCACGGACGGACGATCCGCCAAATCGGCCTTGAACTCCGGCAATTCCTCGTCCATAGCATTGACAACCTTTGTCGCGCAGTGGCCGAGAATCTGCTGGCCGTTCGTGAGAGATCCTGGAATCCACCGCTCGAAGATATGATAAGCGCCGGCAAGTTCGGCGGCCCGAACGATCGATCGCTTCTGGCCCTTTCGCGTGCCTGCGAAGAGAATTATGCCGCCGCGGGCGGCGACTTCTTCGACGACCTTTGCGGCGCGGCGGAGGTAGGCGGCTGTCACGTCGAGGGAGATGATGTGCACGCCTTCACGGATACCGTAGATGTAGCGAGAGTTTTGGGGGTTCCATCGTGAGGTCGAGTGGCCCAAGTGTGTTCCTGAGGCGAGGAGGAGCTCGAGGGTAATGTCGGAGGGACGGGGTGGATTTCTGAGGAGACCTTCAGGGTCGTGAGAGTCTGTGACGGCAGTTCCGAGTTTGTTGAATTTGGATCCTGTGCAAGGAGGGAGTGGTTAGATTGGATTGTTTGGGCCGAACAGTTATATTTGCGGAGCTGGCTGGGGTGTGCTCACGTTGTTGCTCCTGTTTCTTGAATTGCTTCTGCGCCAGGCTCCGGGGGTTCTGAGTGGCCTGGACAACCTCGTGCAGGGGATTTGGCGAGGCAACAGGTGCCTCCTTCTGTGCTGTGTCGACTGGGGTTTGGGTCTCGGTAGATAAAAAGCGACTAGAGATCGGAGACCGGCGATTCAGGGCGAGTAGTTGGCGGCCTGGATGGGAGGTGCAAAGGTTAGTTTGACAGGTTCGAATGACAGGCTGTCATCAATTGAGATCACTCACTCTGCCGCACACCAAATCTCCGGACAATCATGCTGGGCTATATGGGAATATGGAATGGAATTGACCGGGAGCAGTTGCTGCGGTGTCGAAGAGTCCGCGCGAACTTTTGTCGGGCTTGGCATTTCCTGTTGCCTGAGGCCATAATGTTACAACACTAAGCCCGATTGGGAGGTGGTGGCCTGAGCCCCGCGGGTGGCAAATGTTTTGTTGTTGTTCTGCCGATGAGCGATGATCCTACCAGTTTACAGCGGGGAGCAGATCGTGGGGGAATGGTTTTGAATGTAGATCCGATTAGAATCACGAAGCTAGTCTTCATTATTGATGCAAATCTGTGTCATGATACATTCCTCGGTTCGAGGCGAAAAAGAAAGATAATGATAAAGAGGATAGACAAATAAGGTAAACATAGAGATCTGATAAGAGGCACACGCAAGCCATTCCCACAAAGATAAAACGAAAAGGAAATTCATGAGATTTGGAAGGTCGTCACGTTGGAAGAAATCACGGGCGCAGATGAACAAGGAAAATGGGGCGAAAGCCGTCTATTTCTTGAAGAAACCGCCGAGCTGGTCCATCATGCCGGAGCTACCGCTGTTGGAGGGGGGAGGACCACCTCCGTAGCCGCTGCCACCGTAGCCGGGGGGGGCCATTGGGGCTCTCGTCACGGTTGTTGTTGCGGTGCTTCTTGATGGCGTCCTCGGCAATGCTGCCCATGATGGCTCCACCGATCGTTCCGAGGAAGCCGTGGTTAGCCTTGTGACCGGCGAAACCACCGGCGGCACCACCGGCGAGAGCACCAGCAAGACCACGCTCGCCTTCCTGGGCTTCACCGGGAGCACCCTGCTGCTCGTAGCCACTGTAACAAAAAGCACGAGTCAGTATCATGAACTGCAATGATGTGATGGAGGGGAAAGTGGGGGCAGAAATGTAACATACCCTTGGCGGTTGTAGTCTTGGCCTTGGCCTTGACCTTGACCATACTGGGAGTTCTCGCCATAGCCGTGCTGCTGCTGGCCGTGCTGGCCCTGGTTGTAGTAATCCGACGAGCCACTCTGTTGCTGGCCATACTGGCCCTGACCCTGTTGGCCTTGGTTGTAGTAGTCCGAGCCACCCTGTTGGTAGCCCTGCTGGCCGTAGGGCTGCTGCTGCTGGCCATAGCCTTGCTGGCCATAACCCTGCTGACCCTGCTGACCACCGTAGCCCTGCTGAGGGGGGGTAGCCACCCTGCTGGCCGTAGCCGCTCTGGTTGTATTGATCGTAACCGGACATTGTGTGGATAGGGAAGATGAAGTGAAGAGAAGTGTAGAAGTGTAGGTTTGATGAGTGATGAGTGATGGAGGAGATGGGAAAGGGAAAGAGGGGGAGGGGAAGTGTGTCTTATATGCAAATGACCGGCAGCCACAGGGCTGACGGAAGCACCCCACATGGCAATTTTACGGAACTGCGAGGCGCAGACTTTCCATTCCTCTGACTTACTGACTGACTGACTTACTCTGCCTCTGGACTCGTACTAGTGCAACCATCGGTGCTGCACCGCCACAGGTGTGAGGCACTGCAGTTACTTATTACATACTGTATACAGTATGTACTGCGCTGCCCTGCATTGCACATCACTCCCTCATCGCTACGTCCCACCTTTTCTAGTGCGTATCTGCAGTGGCGATGCACCCAGGGCTACAGGGCTGAGCCACCAAATACCGCTAAATCGCGCGCTACTCGTCTTGCGGCCGTACGCGTATACCCGGGGTTCCCGAAAATAGCATCCTTCGATCATTCTTCGAATCTTCTATGATTATCTCTCTCTCTCTCTCTCTGCCTAACCGCGCCTCTCTCGCTCTCGCACTCACCCTATTACGGCGCACATTGATGCAATTCTCGTGGCGCCAAGTTCATTTCTCCCCGCCCAACTTCCTCGGCATGCGGTGCGGTTGGGAATTTTATTTTGGCTGCCTATTACTCCGTCGAGACTAAGCCCCTCACTCCATCTTTTCCTCTTGGCTCGGTGCAACGAGTACGAGTACCTTTTCGGCCCCCACATCCGTTCCAGTCCCTTTCTTTGCCATCCCTTCTCCACGGCCTTCATATTGTGGCTGGTGGCTGGACATAAGCAACAAAAATGGCCCCCAAGAGAGCGTCCAAGAACTAACAGGGGAGTGCGAGAGATCGGATGCTCCGATACCGTATGACGCAACTGTCATCTGCCTGCTGAATTCTCACTCGTCCCCGGCCATCCAATCCAATCTTTGGGGCCGATACATAGTCCCAGCCGCGATCATCAGCCAAATCAGGAGACTTGTTGCGGTCGCATACGAAAAGCTTGACTTCTCGGACTTTGTACTAGCTGGAACCTTCGAGCATGGTCGTTCCGCCGGTGCACAAGCACAAGTCCAAAAGATCAGCCACCGTCGCCTGTCACACGGCGGTCTCTCGCATCGGCTGGCCGACTGGTCCTGTGACCGCGACGGCGGCTTTGGATCGGTATCCCTGTCTCTAATTAGCGTAGACAGTATGGGGTATTTCCTAGTTTTTCAGTAGATATTGCCCCAGGTATAGTATCTGTTCCGGGTTAGCATGAGAAACGTTCGCGTTTTGATAATAGTTTCAAAGTCTCCAGGAATAGTCCTAGGTTTATAAATCTAAAGTTTTCAGCTTGATTTTCTCCTTGCAACTTTGGTAGATTTGCTTTTTCTCAATCAAGTTCAACGCGGGCGATCGGTTGGAATGATCGTTCCTTCAAGGATATTTTAATGTGGACTACATGCCCAGGTGGTTGGCTCAGGCTGTTTGCGCTGGCTGGTACTATATGCTAACACATCCAATAATCATGGAAATATATTCGCTTCTAATAGCCATAAATCCGAGTCAATCACACGTCATTCCTGCCAGAACGCCAATACCAGCTTGCACCAGACCTCAATAATGAGACTGATTCGTCATCCCCTGCATGCCAGTCGTCAATCACACAGTCAGATCTGCAAACCCTGCAGACACGATCAACAAGAAGCCCTGAAAATGGCCGCCGATTTGAGGGGATGCTTTAATAGCTCACCGCTACAGTCCAATCAAAACAATCCCTCACGAATAGTTCGTCACTCGACCGCACTCCTTCAGCCCAAACGCCCCATCTGTCCAGGTGCCGCTCACTCATTGAACAAACTACCCGGAGATCCACTTGGCTGGCAATTTTCTTTTTCTCTGTGCTACAGAATCTGCAATGGCTGGCGTATTCCATATCGGAGGGGCCCAGTGTATAAAGGAAGAAGCTAGGCCGATCGGCGGCAAGGTCTTGCTACTCTTTTAAGCTTATATCCTCCAGCTTCTGCCCTGTTTTCCCCCTTTAACTTCTCCTTCAAGGGTTCTGGGGTACTACGTAGTATCACCACCTTGTCGATACTATGCTTTTCCCGTCAGCGATCTTGGCCTTCTGCCTCCTGTGGACCGTCACGTCCGCCAGAAAGCCCCCTACTGTCTACCTGATTCGCCATGCCGAGAAGCCAGCCGATAAAGCAGACCACCGTCTCACCCACAAGGGAAAAGAACGAGCGCAATGCCTGCGCACTGTCTTCGGCGCAGAATCCGAGTACAATATCGGCTATATCATTGCGCCAACCGTGAAGAAGCGTAAGTTCGCGACACCACAAAGCAACCAACCTTTCAGCCGCTTAGGCGAGAGCGTACATCGCTGACACTCCTTTTCTCCTACTTTATACAGACGGCAAACACAGCAGACCCTTTGAAACAGTCCGTCCACTCGCGAAAGACCTCGGCCTCAGAGTTGACACCCATTGTTCGCGCAAAAGTGGCGCGTGTGTAGCCGACGCGATTCGGGACTACGATGGGCCTGGAAATATCTTGATCTCTTGGCGGCACGGGACGATTTCTGATATTCAGTGGTTTTTGGGCTCGGAATATCCACTTGAGTATCCCTATGATCGGTAAGCGAGCTTTATTCTTTCCCTTTGTACGGAGTACTACTTAGTAGTACTACTCCGTGTGTTTTCTTTTCAATCTTATTGGTTCGGTTGGTTCGGTCGCGGAGCTCTCGGCTTGCGAGAGATCGGCATCCCTGGTTTCTTGGCGAGATCGGGCTTCGGCTGCGGGCTCCTTGTTCCGATTTGTGAACTTGTATAGAGATAAAGTGCTAATTTCTATACAGATATGATTTGATCTGGACATTCCCTTATCCATATGATGTCATTACGGAGGTTAGGGCTGAACATTGTCCTGGAATAGATATTCCTAGCCCCGGGCTTGTGGTGCAGGATTAGAAAGTACTATTAATTAATTACCCACACACCTGGCATGCTGCTTGCGATATACAGAGATGAATGCCGATGTAATCTCAATTCGAAATGGAATTAATTTTTAATTTCATGGGTTATTTGTCGAGGCTTAGTGCAATATGTCTGACTGCAGCTTTCAAGATTGTAATTTGGATATACTATTGGTTACAAAGGAGGCAATGGAGATGAACACTGACTTATAACCCGGACCGATTGCATTGCATTGCAGTAGTTTCGACGTAGTGTATGACCTCAGACAATGTCATCCAGTCTAAAAGCTAGCTAAGGGGCTTTTGTTCAAATAATTTCCAAGATCGCTTCATTTCCACAGGCAGCAGCGATGTCCAAGCTTGTCCGCTGCCGTGAATCCTCAAGCATGGGATCTAAGCCCAAATTCATAAGTACTTTGAATCTTTCCACAATTATTGGTGACAGAACTTCTCGGATCTTTGACGTGCACTCGAAGGAAGCCAGGAGATGAAGTAGTGACGAGCCTCCCTTACTTCGAGCGAAGAAGTCTGCTCCATTTTCCCGAAAGAAATCAAAGTGATGCTCGGTAAGCTCCGAGTCTAGCATTTTAGCTGGGCCGAGAGATTGAAGCCCTCCATGGGCTCCCAGACCTGTATTAGCAATGTATCGAAAAAGAGGTGTCTCTCCCTCGCTATTCCGAGCATTGATTTCAATCCCCAGATCTAGAAATCTCGGGAACATGCCTTTGCATTCGCTTTTTTGAATACTTCGAGCAAGATAATGAAGTCCCGTATTGCCTTCGCGGTCAGGACGAAGCGCATCTGCGCCGTTTTCAAGCAGTAAGTTGATATCCTGAAGGGAATGGCGTTTTAGGGCCGAATGAAGAGGTGTGTTGCCGTAATGATCAGGTGTATGAACAAGATTTTGGTTTCGAATAATGATGGATCTCAAGGTAGTTTCGACATATTTTTCATTTAGTTCGTCCCGGGGGTCTCTGGGGCAGAAAAGATGATGGAGAACAGTTTTCCCCGTTTTATCTTGTGCTGCTGCATCACAGATTTCCCCGATCGAGGAATGCCTTTAATCCAAAGAGGTCCACTATCGTCGCCTTCACGCCAATGCTTGAAAGTGGCCGCGGAAGTGAGCCATTTGCCTGTTCCTGCATGATGAGCTGCACGGTGTCGGGAGTATTCACTTTGCTCAAGGTCGTAAGGTGTTGGCTGCAACCAAGCTCTGATTGCATCCAGTTCTGCAACCGACAGAGGAAGAATATTCGCTGGGTTGAAGTTCCCACATCTTCCACCCCCACGGCTATCAGATCATTATCCTCAGAATCCGAGCGACTCATTGTATATCAGGTAGCCGGTTGCTGGATGTTTGGAAAAATCAGAAGAATCTAAGTCTTTTCCTCCTTATGTTGGGGGGGAAACCAGGGTGAATAATCAAGCGGGAGGTGGGGGCCGATTGAGCCGCATCGACGATTGAAGCCTGATGCATGCGACATACGTCCAAAGGTTTAGTCTATAGTTGTAATCTGGTTGTACGCATAACTATTATTTGTCAAACGACTGGATTGAAAGGCTTTCTACGTTTGCCAATGTACTTGGAGCTGGTCAAGGAAGTCATGGTATTTCGATGATATTTCGGAGACTGGACTTGGGCTATCAATGCAACAGCTCGCATCCATTGCCCAAAAGGGTAGTGGGTGCGAACTATGTGCACTATTTAACCGGACAGAGCAGTATAAGTGTCTATTCTTGGCTCTATTGTGAACCTCTTTCCGCAGTGCTATTTAATTTATACGCAGATCACTGCTTTAACAGTGGATTATGCACCAGCTAGCGGGCGGGAATCCGAACCTAGAAGACTCTGAGTGGGTGTTTTACTAGAGAAGCTTGGAAGGTCACTTGGTAGGCTACTTTACAGTCGAATCTGATTCAAGTTCGTTCTTCAGTGTTTTCATGAAGCGATAATTGAGATATGAGAGCAGTCGTAAAATTTTCAATCGTCTATCTCATCCTGGTAATTCTAAATAAATCACTCTATCGTCATCGTAATGAAGCCTTATAATAAAAACAAATAATTTCGTCCATGCATAATCAATACCATGGCCGCAACACTAAGCATTCTCCTTCTGCTCAATCGCACCCTTCTCCTCGGTGTGCTTCCATACCTCGACCTCGGCAGCCTCACCCTGGGGCAGGTTGCGGGCCATGGAAACAATGTGCCAGGGTGTTGGGGCATCGCGGAAGACGGAGTTCAGGGCCTCCAGGTTGCGGTTCATTGTCTCGGGGTAGAAGAAGTAGACGGAGAAGGGGATACACGCGGAGATGACCGCATACATGATGTAGTACTGGTATCCAATAGTGTCAAGGGCGACAGGGGTGATCATGACAACAACGAAGTTCCACAGCCAGTGGTTTCCGGTGGAAATGGCAGCCATGGCGACACGCAGGCGCATAGGGGCAACCTCGGTACAGTAGAGGAAGTTACCGCCCAAGAAGCCGACGGGGTAGAAGGAGTTGAAGAGGAAGATGAAGACGGCTGATACGACAGACGCTTTGTGGTTTTCGCCGAAGCTGCTCGTGATGGCGAGCACAATCATACAAACGGACATACCAGCACCACTGATCATGAAGATTTTGCGACGGCCCAGACGGTCAATGGCGAAGAAGGCAATGAAGCTGCAAAGGAACTTCCATGTCATAGCACATGATGACAGGATACGTGCCAGGTCGCTCGTCATGTTGAGATTCTCCTCGAAGATGGTAGAGACATATGTTGAGATGAGGTTTCCACCGCACATTTGCTGGAAGAACTGCAGGGCAACACAGAGGCAGAAACGGTAAAGAAGACGCTCCTCGTCAGGCTTCTTGGGGTTGAAGATGTCCATCAGCGAAGCGCTGTCAGCGCTGACCTCGAGGGAGGTCTCGATACCAGCAATCTCGATACCGACAGCCATGTCATCGTCAGGGACACCCTTGTAGGCGGCAAGGCTCTCCGTGGCTTCTTCGACACGGCCAACAGAAACAAGCCATCTAGGGGATTCGGGAAGGAGGAATACCGATGCCAGGACGACCACGGAAAAGAACAGAGAGATGGCGACGGGGATGCGCCATTCGAGGTTGCCAGCAACCTTGCTCATACCAAAATCGATCCAATTGCACAGGACATAACCCAAGCAGATACAGATACCATCAACGACAACGTGTTGTCCTCGATGCTTCGCAGATGTACACTCGGACTGCCATACTGGCACGGCGACACTAAACTGGCCGACGCCGAACCCAAGAATAACACGGCCGACGACGAACTGTGGGAGGCCATACGCAGCCGTCTGAAGGACTGAACCAATAATAGTGAGAATAGCACCGATGAAGATGACCTTTCGGCGACCCAGTCGGTCACCCAAGGCTGTACATGAGAGGGCACCGATCAGGGCACCGAGTTGGTAGGATGCAATAACGGCACCCTTAGCGGTAGAGTTCTTTGATTTCAGAGCACCTTCGGTATTGACGGTATCGATCTGCGGGAAGATGCCAACCCAGCTCTGCAAAGTGGCCAGAGGGCCCAGCCCTGACTGGTTGTAACCGAAGACGATAAAGGCGGGAGCAACGATGAGAAGTGCTTGGGCCAGGTGCAAGGCCTTGCCACGAAATAGCCACCCCATCTTGAGAGGAAAGCGCAAATGCGTTATGTGACGAACAAGGGAGAGTAAACAGAGAGAGAGAGAAAGAAAAAAAAATGGGAGAGGGTTGTGATTTAAATCCAACAGGGTCGCCCGGTTTCGGTTGGAGAACCCCCCAGTGATATTCGTGGAGACCCCGCAGAGGGAAAGCAAAAAGCACAATTCCACCAAAGTGTGGTTAATTACTTGGGTGGGGAGTATTTAGACGTGATCCAAAGTGGCAATTTTCAACGGAATACTACTGGTGCACAGCACCGATTCCATTGGGGTTGGTGTGTCCCAGGAGAGGATCGGTATGGTTTTGGCCCCTTTCGGGAGACATCTGCCAAGGTGGCTCGGGGGCGAGACAACTGCATCGTTACGGGACACGGCCGCATAGCATAATTACACTGGATGGAGTGCCGACCTTCGGAGAAAACCCGTAAATTGTATGATTTGCGGGGCGTGGCTTCGGGTTGGACCTGACCCGGACGGGAATCACGCGCGAGCCCACTCGGCCCGATTCCCTGATTTGCATCTGGGTGTGTCGGTGTCGAGCTGGAGACTCACCGGGGACTGAGACGGTGTGCCAGCGTTCCAACAAGTATGAAAGTCTTGAAATGGTGAATGTTGCCATTTTTTTGGTTCATTTTAGAGAACTATCCCCAGATGTTTCAACGGCAGTGGGAAGTTTGACGCAGCCAAGACTCGGTGTTATCCGGGCAGGCTTGCCTTGTAAAGCTTGGGGTCTGTCGGGATCAGACCAGTTCGGTCCGGGTAGCCTATAAGCAGGCGTGGTATTGCTCATGTAAGGCAAACTCGGGAGGCTTGTTTGTGCTTTCGCGTGGCGCCAAAGGTTTCGCAGGAGCCCTGCCAAGGTATCGGAGAAAAATTCTGAATCCAATCCGGGGAGGCAACCTGGGGCCCCTGTGGATCGCCAAGATAAGATGGAGATGCAGTGGACGTGGGATGGTAGGTGAGTGGGGGGTAGTGGAGAAAGTGAAAGTGGTTGAGACGGGGTGGTCCATGGAAAATGAGTTGACAGTGAGAACGAGGCTGGCTCCACACTCATATCGGCCACCTTCCGTCCTTCGTCTTCGTCTTTGTCTTTATTCCATCACGTAATTCCAGTCCTCACCTCAATCTTAGGGCTGCATGCTTTACTAGACAAATACTGCAGCACTTCATCAACCTCGAGAGCCGTAACAAAAAGCAGTTCATTCATCCAGCCACCACGTCATTGGCCACCCCTTATATTCCCAGTGGCCAACCATTACCGAAACTCACCTCAAACTCACACGGTACGGCATATGCTTAATCCAGGAGTGAAAGTCTATTTCCAAAGTCAAACTGACCTCAGATCTATAGAAGCTTCCGAAAGAACCCGGCGTCAGCGCCTCGACCTCGTTCAAGTTATCGTCCGAATGGCGGCACTTTCTCAACGAGGCTCCCTAGACGAATACCCCGCAAATTAACTCCAGCTTTCGTATGCACCCCGTTCCATCTTGAAGGCTTAATATCGGGGAAATATCTAGCAATGACGTTTTAAACTGGTGATGTACACCTCATGTTCAGTCTCCGAATAACCCCGATGCGGTACCTGGATTGAATACTTTCTCCACCTTTTCCTGAAGACGCAAATTCAATAACCTACTCGTAGCATACGTACATAGCATACCCAATAGAGATTGAGATTATAAATCAGCTCTCGGGAAATTTAGCATGTTCCACTGTGTCTCAGCTTTTGTCAGTGGCTTACCGGGGGTTCCGACTCGGAAGAAGATGCAACTACTCCGTACATTGGGGGGGAAGGGGAAGGGGGGGTAAGCCTACGTAGCTCTCCATCCTTTGATCATCCTGTCACTTTTAGTACCGTCCAATGAACGCATAGAAGCTAACACGGTGTCTCTCCTAATTATTCCGTCTTTTCAACTTTAATATTGCGAACTCCTGGAAAATCAATGTGCTCGTAGAAACACACCATGCTGGTCGCTACACGCGGCTTTCCAAGTTGTCTGTTTGGCTGACGTCGTCCTGGTAAGAGCACTAAAGTTTCGACACCCTGATTCAAGGCTCCGAGATATAATTGGAGTATCCTCGCATATTCTAGCTTGCTCATTTCATCTTGGCGATGGAAACCCAGCGCAGACCATGGCGTATTGGATCTTAGAACCATAACTCCTGCCGTGGAGTAAGAAACATGATGTGAACATATTTGAAGGTCTCTTGAAGAAGGGTCTTTGTCGCATGAGTGTCGTTGAGCTTGATAAATTACCCTACGATCGGGTTATTTCCATTCGCAGGGGAAGTTCGGGGCCATACTACGTGAGGAAGCCTCCGGAGAAAGGGGCATACCCTTTGGATCACCCATAATCTGGAACGTATATAGTGTTTTTGAGTAGCAGCAACAATTAAAGGCTACAGTGGTTTTTCAAGCGTGTGTTCACAACTAGTTATATACAAGCTATCTTATGTCCAATCCGGAGAACCGATTGCGCAAAAGGTTCGAATTCTCATCACGGACAAAATATCTATGCACGGCAGGCAATTCATGAGCCCGGCACTACCTACTACTAGTACGTCATGTTATCCAATATCTAGCCATTAGACTTAATTAAATCGGGTAAGCGTGGCAAGATAAAGTTTATGCATCACCGTCCGGGCGTTTTATTGGTCTGAGTCTCAGGCCACCCAGATCGTTTTATCTGACCTCAAATGCTCTTTACTCAGGGCAGAGCCTCAGGTGGTACTACAGATTGGTCGGTTCTGAGGCCTACGGGATGAAGGACGACGATAATGAAAGATTTAGATGATGAAAACAAAGGAGAGAGGCTGATATAGATCGATCTTGATAGCCTGGGGCCAATAATGTATCGGTATCGGGATTCTTATCTTGAATTTCTATTATTAAAATGGGTGTCGGTAACTGAAATGGGGTTTAGGGTGTCTTTTTTGCTAATGTAATGAAGAAGGCAAATTTGGCCAACGGGTTTCGATATTAATTGTGATAATTGTGAGGATGCTCAGGTACGACGCAGATCAAGACACAATGAAATACCAGGCAGCCTGTAGTAGATGTTCGATAAATGTAATAAGCTTAGGGAAGAAGAAGAAGAAGAAGAAGAAAAAGAAGTAGAAGAAGCAGGAAGCAGGAAGCGAAACTATGTACAGATGAATGGTGGGTGCCGGAGTGGATGCCATCCGATCAAGGCACCAAGGCATCAATCGAAACAAACCACTAGGAACCAGGGTTCGTTACAATAATTGTGGCATTTGTTGCTACTCCTCTTCCAATATTGATAGAGAGAAAGGCAAGATGATCAAATGATAGCGTGTAGCTCAAAATGAATTGAAAATGGACCGGGCCATAACCTGTTGTGGCCTACGAATGAAGGACGAGGGTGATGAAAGGTGTAGATGATGAAGACAAAGGAGGAAAGCTATTCTGGGTCTAGAACAGTCAATCTACACCGCTATATCTAGTTCCTTTGATCTCAGCTAGTCCGAGTCCTTCATCTTACACACATCTCTCTGTGATCGTCTCCCTCCTCCATTAGTACCCTTCAGCTTGCATATTATCGCTCTCCCTGTCTAGGAAAACTGATCGTGAGCTCCTTGTCATTTACTACAGCCTGTTTTTTTTTTTGTTTTTTTTTCAACATGCCCAGCAAATCCACTATTCTTTTTATTCACGGTTCGTGGCATACGCCAGTACACTTTAGGCATATCTGTGATGTCTTTGAGCGAGCTGGCTATCAGACATCATGTCCTCAACAGCCTAGCGTGGACAACTTACCCCCCAGTTGGTATGATGGACGATGCTGAGCGAATCACAGATGAGCTAGTCCAAGTAATCGATATCGAGCACAAAGACGTGGCCATCGTGGCGCATTCCTACGGAGGTATAGTCGCCAGTTAAGGTGTCGAGGCACGTTTTAACAAGGCTTCTCGTGAAGCCCTTGGCAAAAGCGGTGGTGTTGTTCGAATTATCTACCTCACAGCTCTCCTTTTGCCTATTGGGTCCAGTTTGTTATCACCTCTCAGCGGGCTTATCCCACCTTGTGTTCTCGTCGATGTGAGTGACTTTGCCTTCTCTATTCTTGTTTGGTATTTTCACAGTATCCGTTTGACTGACGCTAGCTATCAACCAGGAACAAGGAATGTGTATCATGTCTGATCCTCAATCTAGAATTTACGACGACCTTCCTGAGGAGGAACAGGTTCATTGGACAAAGGAGATGCGGGAGTGACCTGCATCTACGCAACTTGCCCCCATCAGTCAAGCGGCTTACATTTCCCACCCAGTTTCCTACATTTATTGTGCACTGGACATGGCTTGTCATATTCAACGCAAAAGGAAATGGTTGCTGATGTGAGCGCAAAATATGGCCTGTCTATTTCCACCGACGTACTACAGGCAGGTCATTCAGCTTACTTGAGCAAGACGAGCGAGATTTTAGTCGCGGTTGAAACTCAACTACGAAAAGCAATCTAGGTATTCATTAGAGCCATAGCTTCGATTATGGCATATCTCATAAAAACACATAATCATTACCCTCTCCGTCATATTGGCCATAGCGAATATCCAACAGGACTTTGCATCCATAGATGTTGTTGGTCTTGCCTGTTGTAATGTATTGCAATTTCATGGTCAATACTGGCTGAGGGGAAAGTCCGGCAGAACCACTTGACCATAATCGAAATCGCTTGAGTTTTTGATTTTCGGCCAGACTGAAGCGGCCCTCACCGCTACCCAGACCGCCGGTAATCTACTGCCTCGACCATGTAATTTTTACATGTTTCGGACACGTTTGTTTTGAAAAATTGCTTTGACTTGACCCTATCCCAGCCAGTGCTTTTTTGAATCAAACGTTTCACTAGATAGATATGCAGATACAGTCGCTATAAAAGGTCCACTCGCTGCCACCAATCGCATTTTTAAAAAAAAAATCCCAGCCAGACTGAGTCAAGTGTCAGGTTCTGCTGCTGATTCAACGCCGATACAAGTCCGATACAGCAGCGGCCAACCCGAGCATACCGACGACCTTCTGTCTCCTCGTGTTTATTTGGGCCTAAAACGTGGCATGTTTTTCAATCTGTCAATATTTCGAGTAAGTCCTCGTTTTTTGAATTCATCCATTCTGATTTTCTTTCGATTTCCCCAGTCATTGACCTCGCGATTCACCTATAACGGTAAAGTCACGTGCTTACATGGATACCCAGTCAGATACATCGCTGTATTGTCTGGTTTTATCATCCTTAAATCTTTCTATGACAGCCCGAGTGAATAGAGATGTCGACTCCGGGTCGCCGGCGGAATCGCTCTTTAGCTTCCTGCGAACCATGCCGAAAATCGAAGATCCGTTGTGATCACCAGCAGCCCGTTTGTGCGTCTTGTCGACGACGGGGCCGAGAGTCACTCTGCAAGTACCATCCGGCGCCACTCACCAAACAACATAACAACACCCAGGGTCGAGCTGCATCACTTCCATACAATTCTGTCTCCGTGGAAAAGAACTTCACTACAGATTCCCCTAGTTACCTTGGAGTTTCTAGGCCGAGTTCTTCCATAAGAGCCCCAAGCTTCCAGTCATGGCCTTTTATACCTGATCGGAAAGGCTCGCCAAGTCGGGGCTCAGTCTCGGAAATTCATAACGAAAAGGCTCGCAGTGAACAGCTAGCTTTATTGGCAGATATAATATGTGCACTCAGATTTCTTCCGGCTATTAAGAAACTACTACATGATTACTTCGTCTACATCGGTACTGCACTCGTTCCAAAGACTATCGTTCACCAGCTTTTGGAGATGGTTTGTAACGATCTGACCAAGTCCGGATACATCAAACAGGAATCAGAGTCATGTACCAGCGTTCATAATGTTTCTCAATTGGCCGAGAGTATACTATACTCGACTTCGACAGAAGTAACCATCTCAGCTACTATGGATGTCAAGAGCTTTTGCGCCATTTTCTGCGAAGACAATCTGCGCGTCGAAACGCTAGGTCTGCTATACACTCTCGCAGCACGTGCATCTCTTTACAGCTCAAATTACGCCAAGGTTCGAGGCGACGCATTTATACGAGAGATGTGTTGGTGTAGTAATTCGAGCCTACGGCTTGCTCGTGAGCTTGCGCCACAGGCGACGGATCCCGTTATATGGCTGGCTCATGAAAACTTACAATTAATGTCATTACTCGAGGGAGATGCGAGTGAGTCTGAAAAAGTAATACGAAAAGCCCAGGTTGGTATTAATAGATATCCTAGGCTTGAATGTCTGGCGTCGAATTGGCGACCTTGCCACCGATCTATTTGCATTAGGTCTGAACCGAGAGGAAACATACTCGTCGGAAAGCATACCATTTTTTCTTGCTGAGTGTCGACGAAGGACATTCGTCAGGGCATATTACTTGGATAAGATATTCGCAACGGTCTTCAATCGCCCTCCGAGGATCTCATCTAGACATGCGGACTGCAAATTGCCTCTTGATATACCAGACGATGCACTTTTCACCATATCGCCAGAGGCCTTGAGCGAAATAAAAACAAGCTTAACACACGACAGTTGGAATACAAATGGAATCCGCAGCACGGCGACATGGGCCCGGCTACGCTACATTTTAGGTGAATTTCGAGAAGAGACCGCCGAATATCAGATCCGATCAACGCCATCGATAGATGCCACCAAGCTCAGGTATATTGCCGCTCTCTTATATTAGTAGCATTAATATAAGCCTAATAACTTTCAGGGATCTCTCCGACCGATGCCGTCAAGCTTGGTGCAGTCTTCCAGCACATCTAATGTACGATCCAAATTGCTGGACCTCCGACTTACCCCCTGCAGTCTGCTACCTGCATGGGAAAGTATACTTGTCCTATCTTCATATTCATTTTCAGATATATCAAATGCTTGACGAGTGTCATATATCTACAGTTCCGGAGTTACTAGAAGTTTCTGCAAACATGCTGGAGACAGTCATATTGATGGCGAACTCGTTGAATCGCGGCAACTGCCAATCCTCGCCACGCGATCTGCCTGGAATTGTAATATTTGCTCTCTTTTCTCATTATATTTCGAAGTCTTGATTGCTAAAGTAATGTCGCTCCTAGTTTCTGATATATGGATTACCATCCGCAATCGTTCTGACGACGGCATTGGAAACCAACATCCGAGATCCCGCACAACCACTTCCACCCAACATCAAATCTTCCACCGTGATCCGAAATATTTCCGTTCTAGTGTCTCGGCTTGAGAATGTATCTAGTCCTGATGAAACGAATCATGGATTCTGTGTACAGGCCTCAAAAGCCATTGCTCGCAAACTGGATACCATTTTAGACACCTCGACAACGTTTGCCCCAAGAGCCGATATTATCACTGGCTCTGGAAGGGGGTCTGAACTTACCACGCTTCAAGAGCGAGACTATTCTGATTCAGAAAATTATATAGTCAACTTCTCCGAGCTCGATCATCTCGATTTTTCAGCTTGGGTTATCGACTTCGATTTGGTGACCGATGATGGAGTCTGGGATACTGTCTGAAGATTCTCAGGAGCGTCACGGTGTCAACTAGGACTCCGACGTTGTTATAAATGGTCATTTGTCAACTATAATACCTAGGGAACTTGGTAATAGACACCCTCGGCCCGGAATATTCATTACCTACCGGCCTACCGGCTACCCATCACCTTCCTTACACTGTGCTCCTGTATCGGTTTACCTAAATAAGTAGACAACACCGAGCACAAAAGACTAACGGACAGAACTAGGCCATTTCTTAGATAAGAGGATCTTTCAAAGCACAGTCAGATGAGTGAAACGCTATGGCTAACTACATCACAAAGCGTTTGCGGTGTCAAGTTACTCGGTAAGACCCTATCACTCTGAAAACTGGGACTGTCCTCATTGACCGCAGTAGCGTTAGGTCTTCAAGCCCCGAGGATGAAGGCTAGTTTTTCTCTTTTTTTTTTCGAGACCAGTAAAGAACTCGACGGAACCATTCGTTTCAATAAATCAAACAAGCAGTGAGAACCATAAAAAAAGAAGAGGGAGAAGAAAAAAATCATTCAGACAAATCAAGTTAACAAGGAAAAAGGACCCATGAGGGGCAAATAATATCCCATACAAGAATGAATTTTGACCCGGTTCAGATATCAAGACGCTCTGCCCAATTTCCAATCCACATAATGACAAACTACATGAATGAGCAGAAGAAGAAAGAGAACCCCGATTCCCTTCGAAGTAGCCAGGGCACAAGTTGCGGTGCCACAGAGGGACGGGATAGAAAGGTATAGGCGGGTGGGGAGATGGAGAGAAAGAGCAGAAAATAGAAAGGACGATGTATTAGGATTCAACGCGGTACGTCCGCTTAGAGTAGGGAATCAAGTCTGGTGAAAACACTCAAGCATGCAGCGACGATCTGGTATTTTATTAGTATTTGTTTTGCCACAGTCTAGGTCGATATGGGAAGGGGGTCAACATACCTCCATTTGGAGCTCCCGGTCCTTGCGGTTCACTTCGTCGTTGATGGCCTGGGCCAGGTTGGCACCAATTGCCTGCGAGCCACCCGCCCTGCGTGCGAACGGATGTTGAGAGTATTCCGCGAGCAGCTCGTCGACCTGAGCGAACGCTCTCTCCCGCGCCTCGTGACTCATTGTAACCAAAGCATTTTCCAACACGTTGGCCGCATATGCGGCGCAGACCATTACGACCGTACGGAGGTAGCGGAACTCAGCATCCTCGGGCAACCATGTGTTTGGGGGGATGATAACCGTGCGGTTAGTGCAGATGTTGCGCACCCGCCGGTGCAGGTCGTCCTTGGCGCCACCGTCGGCCACCGGGTGCGTCGCCATATCGAAGAGGAGGAAGTTCCGTTTCTCGGTCCGCAGAATGCCCTTATCCACAAGGCCCTTGGCCAGTCTCTCGCGCACTTGTTTCAATTGGTAGCCGATCTTCATCAGGTTCCAGGTCTCGCCTGTTGGGGTGAAAAGAGATATGGGGTCAGCATTTTGGAGTCTTCCACACATCGTTATCGCCATTGCAAGGGTCCTGGCGTACCGCTCATCAGATCAATCCACGAGTTAACGCTCATCTTCTCGCTCGACTTCATCATCTTTAGTGCCTCGTCCAGCAAGACTTCCCCGGTCAATGTGTCGTCGATAACCTCGATCACGCGGTCGGCCAGGGGAAAGCGTCGCCGCGAAGAATCCTTCTGCATGCTTATACGGCCACGGAGGGCGAGCTCTATGACAATGCATCCTCGTAGGGCGTAGGAAATGTTCTCGTTCCAGAAGGACAGGTAACCCTATCAAGAGACCGCGGGTTAGCGATCAGAAGTCCGATCGGGCAAGATGGGACAAAGCCAATCCGCTCCAAGATTCCATCCCTCTGGACTCACCTGCTTATCCTTAAGTCCCAGCAACAGTACCTCCTCCATTAGGGTCAACTTGGGTTGCTTGCTCCGCTCTTCGGTTTCGCTGAGGTCGCGGGGGTCGAATGCGATCTTGTGACCATTCTCTCCACTGGTGAACGACGTCTCCGGACCACGTTGGTCCATCGCGGAGCCATTCCTTGACACAGGCGACGACACTCGACTGTCATCTTGTTCATCTGCGCCACCGGCTCGACCACCGCCTCGTCGGCGAGTCAAGCCCCCCGGCTGACATGAGGATGAGTGTAGGGTTTGGGGGGGGGGGAGGGGCGGTGGAGGAAGGCGAGGGGGAGTCTCGGCGAAGAGAGACAGGCAGATTTAATCGCTGGAAGCCGAACTGCGTGCCGGTCGCAGGAGGGCGTTTAATTGACCGTGTCAAGAGAGGATGTCAGAGGTACCGCTTAGACCGAAAGTCTGGCGCTACCGCTACCGCTGCCGCTTTCTGGAAGTGGGACTCTCGGCGTCAGGGGAAACCAAGGACCGAGTGGGTTGAAAAGCCCCGAGATAAAGGTGAGCGATCAATCCAGTTTTATAAACCGTGAATGGTATTGGACAAGGGGAGAGCGAGGTGCGGAGGAGGTCTAGGTCCGAGTCCGTTTAGGGAAGGATGATTGGGTTTGAGTGAGTTGAGGTGGTTCAAGTTTGAGTTGGGCGGACCAGAGTGGCTCGTCGGCTGCGCCCACGACAAAGGCAGCCGAGTAGAGTCCACGGGTAGTATATATAGTACTACTAGTAGTACTATCGAAATATATAGTTGGAATTCATTCTTTTTTTACTAGTCTTGTGCTTGGATTGCAATTTCCCAATTGAATTTTTTTTCTTTGTTATTGCGGCTCGGACTGGTGCGAGTGGGCATATATAGTACTGGGTAGTTTCAGATATATAATGCAACACATTCCAACTTCCAACCTCAGAAACTTGAAATTGAACTTGAAGCCCTGTACTACTAGTAGTCTGTCAACCATTTTACATATTCGTTAGAACTATTTCCGCAGGTCACCTGGGCACAAATTAAAAGTAGAGAAGAGAAGCGGAAACCCGCAGTCCATCAATGTTTCAAAACTGCATTCAAGATGATGTACACGATATAGAAGGAGAAAAAAAAGCCACTGGCATGTATTCAGCATACAAAGCGGCGCTTCAAGTCATGGAAATCCACCCGCGAGTGAACACCCCGACTCACGCCGACATCCCGATTCTTTTTCTATCCGATTGCCAGACCAATTCCCAGATTTTCAATTAGGTATCTAGTTGGCTGTAGAGATGTTGTCAGTATATTGAGTCAAGACAAAATTCGATGGAAAGGAAGCGTAAAACATACCATCGGGCTGGGCCAGGATATACTCGACAGCCTTCTCAACTGTTCCCGCATCCATGCACGTTAGCTATCACGATCACAATCCCACTCGCGCATCGGCGCATCGGAGTCGACACCCAACTTACCACTGTGAATCTGGTCGGCCTCCTTGTCGGGGATCTCAAGGCTGAACTCCTGTAGATGTGGTCGTTAGATATTTTGGAATATTTTGCGATAAGCTTTTCCCGAGGGAAACAGTGTGGGCGCATACCTCCTCAATAGCCATGACGACCTCAACGGTATCCAGGCTGTCCAGGCCAAGGTCGTTGGAGAAGTGAGAAGCACCGTTGATCTGATGGAGCAAAAGTGTGTTAGTAGAACTGATCGATGTCGGAGGGCGGGCCCTTGATGGAGCTTCGCGGCTTTGCGATTTTGGGCCGATTTTGGGCCGAGAATGGACCTCGGGTCATCACAAAGAATCAAGAACTGACCTTGCTAGCATCGGAGACCTATTTATGAAGAAAGAAGTTAGTTATTGGGGCCTGGGGACGGATTACCCGCGAATCCACCCGGGCATGGACACGAATTCTGACGCACCTTGTCGAAGTTCTTGAGCAGGTTGACTATCCGACCCTCAACCTCGTTCTTGTTCAGGCCAGCGGGAGCGGAGTAGGCGCGAATAGACTGGGAGACGAAGCAGGGAGTGAATTGAGGGACACGAGCAGCGATGGGAGAGCTGCGAATCTGGAAGGGAGCCGGGGTCTTGATGGCGACACGGGGGGCGGAGGCCCGCAGGGAACGGAGGACGGCGGAGCGGAACATTGTGAATTGAGCAATAGCACGGAGCTAATCGAACAAAAAGTGAAGAATAAGAGAAGAAAGTGGTGTTTGGGGGGGGAGGAGTGGGAGCGGAGGAATCAGCAAGATCGAGAGATTGGGAAAGGGAAGAAGGTCGGAAGTGCTGCACCCACGCAAAATCCTGCCGCCCGCCAATCAGCAAACGGCAGAAAGGAATGACCTAAGCCCAAACCTGCAACGCCAACGAACCTCAGTGCGACTCCTCCTCCCTCTTCCCCAATCTGACCCAATTGTCCCCTCCCCACCACCTCGACTTCTCTCCTCGTCTCCCCCTCACCTGCCACCATGGCATCCACCCGCCAGATCGCCAGGCTGGTCGCCTCTCGTCGCTCCCCCTTCATGCCACTGGGTTCGACCGCAAACTTCTCTTCCTCGGCCATTCGCGCAGCTACACCCGCCGGCCCCCCCTCAACCTGGCTTCCGTCTGCCCGCTCAAAAGACCTGGGAGAATGATGGAAAGAGTGCTATGAACCGTGCCTCCGAGTACTTCCTGCTCATGGAGATGTTCCGCGGCATGTACGTCGTCATCGAGCAGTTTTTCCGCCCACCGTGAGTACCACCCTTCAATATCCAATATACGAGTCGGGTTTCCCCCCAATTCGGGATACCAGGCCTCAATTGCTCTCAGATGGCCTAACAAACCTTTCTTGCGCATCATAGTTACACTATCCTCTACCCCTTCGAGAAGGGTCCTATCTCCCCTCGTTTCCGTGGAGAGCACGCTCTGCGTCGTTATCCCACCGGTGAAGAGCGCTGCATTGCCTGCAAGCTTTGCGAGGCAATCTGCCCAGCCCAGGCCATTACCATTGAGGCGGAAGAGCGTGTGGATGGAAGCCGCCGGACGACCCGTTACGATATCGATATGACCAAGTGCATCTACTGTGGCTACTGCCAAGAATCCTGCCCTGTGGACGCCATTGTTGAGAGTAAGCACCTAACCTTCAAGCCCATGATTCCCTATCAGATTGGTCTAACCAACCACCTTTTTTCTAGCCTCTAACGCCGAGTACGCCACCGAGACCCGCGAAGAGCTCCTCTACAACAAGGAGAAGCTGCTCGCCAACGGTGACAAGTGGGAGCCCGAAATTGCTGCCGCTGCCCGTGCCGATGCGCCCTACCGATAAACGCGTTCCTTTTCGTCTTCGATGTGCTGTTTTCCGGCACACATCCCAGCAAAATGAGAATGAACTGTTGGGTCCAGTGATGGAGACACGGACCTTTCCCAGTCTCGCCTACGGGCGTGCATAAAAAGGAAAAACCCAGGAAGGGCTTGGGATTCTTGCCAGCTCTCCCTTCTCCCCCTCATACTTTGTACATAAATCACCCTTCGACCTTTTGCTATCAACTCTGTACTAGTCGATTCCCAAAGGAAGCCTTGGTTTCTACACCTGGCTCCTTTGTTCGTTTTTCACCTATTTCCTTTGTCATGGAATATAGCAGGTTCTTCTGTTTCATTAAGAGTTAAACCAATGCCACAATACTTATATTTGTGATTATTCAGGTAATTTCTGAAATTTTGATCTTCAATCTTCGATAGGGCTGCAACCTTGCAAGCAAAATAGGATAGTGTGGATTGACCTTGAGATACATCCAAGGTTCAACCCAATGCATTACTAGTAGAACTAGTCCCGTTCACGGCTGAGTAGTTACTAGTACTCAGGTATTTGAGCTAATTCCTTCGACTAAGTATACTCGATTCCAAATTAGATTTCTGTAAGTCAATTCTACGATAGCTTCCAAGGCTATAGGCAAATAATTCAGGCAGAATGACGTTGTATTCACAGAATGAAGATAAATCGCTACCCATGCTGACATACATACAAGACATAACGGACAACTCATGCCGCTGAAACAGCGCGAACACCAAACTCCGTAATCCCCGGATGGATATTTCCCAGTCGATGTCTTAAAACACTTTTCTTTTTGAGGTACTTCGTGCATTCCAGCTCCTGAGAGAGAAGGGGGTTTCCCGAATCCAAGAGGCCCTTGGGTATAGGCATTGGATCGGGCCATATAAAAAATGGAAAGGGAAGCACAAAGGAATGGTAGAAAAAGAAAATAGGCACAGGAGAAGAAAAGAGAGAAAGGAAAAAAGAGAGGAAGAAGAAAAGCTGGAGCTGAGGCTGCTCGAGCTTATTTCTTCTTACCACCTCCGTTGGTCTTGAAGCTTCCCTCAAAACCCGGACGGGCCTTCTTCTTGCCAGCGGCGGGCTTCTTGCTCTTGCTCTTGCTCTTGTTGCCCTTGTTGTTCTTCTCTTCTTTGCGCTTGCGGAGATTCTCCTCGCGCTTGGTCTGACGCTGGTCCTTCGAGCGGGATACGGTGTCGAGACGTTCCTTCCACTCACGCTCGGACTTCTTCTTGGCGGTTTCTTTGCGCTTGAGCGCCTTCTTGAGAAGAGAGGTGTCATCGCGGACGCGCTCACCGTGGGCGCGCTTCTTAGCGTTCAGCCAACTGTCCTTCTCCTCAAGCTCGGCACGTTGCTCAGGGTTCATGCCCTCGAGACGAGCCTTCTTAGCCTCAGCCATCTTGAGCTGGGCGGCGGCATCGGTGGGGCCACGGGACTTGTGCCCCTCACGTGCGTTTGTCAGTGAAGCATCGGTATGCTGACCATCGGCGAAGATGACACGGCCGAAAGAGAAGTTGTTGCTGGGGGATCCGACAGACTCTGCAGGGGAGCGGGGAGAAGCCAGGAGAGATCCAGAGCCACCGGGTGAGAAACGACGGGCCATGGCCTCGTCCTTCTTCAGCTGATCTTCGTCCTTGGCTTTCTGTCGCAACTCCTTCTTGTGTGCTTTGCGCTGCTCGGCCTTTTGGCGTCGAGCCTCGATGAGCTCTTGGCGGTTGCGTGCAGGCTTGCCATTGAGGCCATCCGCTTGGCGCTTGGCCCTCAGTTCATCAAGACGCTTTTGCAGGCGTTGCTTGAGATCTTCTGGTGTGGCCTTGAGGGCCTTGGGTTCAGATGATTTGGCATCTGTGTCGGCGGAGGGAGGAACAATAGAGGAGATAGAGGAGCTACCGGACTGAGGATTGGAGGCATCGGGGGAGTTGCGGGTGGAGGAGGCAGAAGAAGGGTCTTCGGGGTCCTCGTGGAAATCGACGGAGAAACCGGGCTCTGCGACACCCTCTTCGATGTCGTCGTCGTCGTCTTCGTTATCAGACTCCTCGAGCTTCTCGGCAACACCGTTGGACTTTGAAGAAGGCTTCTTCTCTGTCTTCTCTGAAGAATCGGTCTTGCTCTCTGCTGACTTTTCCTCTGGCTTCTGCTTATCTTTCCTGGCGGTTTCCTTGGCCATCTTCTTTTCCTTTTGGGCAGTCTTCTTTTTCTCCTTCTTCTCTTCCTTTTGCTTCTTCCGGGCCTCAGCCTCCTCTGACTTGGCAGCAGCGGACTTTTCTGTCGGCTTTTGCTTCTTGGTCTTGGCATCGCCTCGCTTCAACCCCTCCTTGGGATTTTCAGAGCCCAGTTCTCCGTCGGACTCATCGGACTGCAGAGTGCCATCCTCACGCTTGCGCTTGCGAGCATTCTCGTCCATGATATCCTTGGCGGTCTTGTCGGCGGCCTCGGGGTCAAGCTTTGCCCGCTTAGCCTCGCGGGCTTGTTCTTTCGTCTGCTTTTTCCGTTGCCATTGGTCGTCCTGAAAATTCGCACGGCGGTTAGCCGAGCTCTCTCAAGAGTAAAGGGTGATATAAAAGAAAAGAATCTAGTATCCAAGAGGAAAACTGGAACAACAGAGCAGAAGGGTGCACGTACGGTATTCTCATCACCATAGTAGTATTTAGCGGGGATTAAGGACAGCAGCCCATCGAATGCTTGCGCATGGCTGCGCAGCCGATCCTAGGTCAAGTCAGTACGATAGCCGAGAATATTACACTTGCACACGTACCTCGATATCATCCATACTGCCTGGGTATTGGCCGTTTGGATACAGAGGCAGAAGTCGGCGAAAAATTTGGGGGTGAGGAAATCTTGGCAGATCTCCACTCGCTTTTCACCGCCCGCGCACAAACATTTTCGGTGTGATGGCCCGTGCTTTTATATTCACTTCTCCTACAGAGAAAGGGTTTATTGTCTTTCATCATACAAGCTTCTATGAACGAAGCTGAACAAAATGTGTCCAATGACAGTCTTAACATGTGTTTCAAAATTCAAATTAGGGCATGAAAGGTCTATATTACCACTGCAATTAATTAACCCTCACAACCATCATCGCTCCCCGTCGACTCCCAGCAGAAGCGGATGCTCTCCCTTCTAGAAGCTTGCTGGCATGCACAAGATCAATGACCTGTTCTTCATTGCCCCGAACCATATTATCATCAACTAATTGCGCCATACGTCCCAACGCTGCAGCATCGGGATTAACTGGAACAAACCTACTTCGAAGTCCGCGCTTCCTTCGCCGAAGAGCATCTTGACCGTCCACAGGGACCTGCTGTTTTGCTGGCCGTGGATCCACCGCTGTCAGAACAGCGCCGTGATCCTTAACCACAGCTGGTGAATGTGCTTCTTGAAAGACTTCATCACCAGTACAGTCCAGCACAACGTCCACAGGTTGCAATCGGAGGGCCCGAAACATAGCACCAATGTCGCATTCATCTCGAGTAGGTAGATGAGGAATGACGAGGACTTCATCAACATCCCAGCCCTGACGGATGATGTTCTCTTCAGCAGAGGTGCAAGTCACACAGATCCATGGCCGCGTATCAGAGGAAAAGAGTTTCTCTGCTCGAAGTAGCTGCACGGCGATGCGGCCGACTTCACTGTCCCGCGCGTTGGTGACCAGCACGCGCAGAGTTGTATCCTTCTTCTTTTTGAACCCGGCCCCATTGTTGAACGTATGACCTTGGATAAAATCAATGCTCTTCTTCCGCCAATTTGAACTGTTTCCACTTCCGCTTCCGCTCGCCTCCGTAGAACTCCTGCTGATGCCCCCAATGGACCCATTACCAGTTTCGGTTTTGTTTCGGTTCAAAGCATGCATATTGATAAAGTCAATGCTTTTCTTCCGCCAGCCATATCCATACCCCTTGCCGCTACTGCGTCCACTACTCCCACTGCCGCTGCCACTGCCACTGCCACTGCCACTCCCACTCCCACTCCCTTTGCCGCTGCTAGCTCCACTCTTTCTAGAGCCAAGTCCAAGACCGCTCCCACTCCCATTTCCGCTACTGTATCCACTGGACATCCCCTTCCAGTAATTGTGAGGGTCGTCGGGATCAAGCCCCGCGTAGCGAAAAAGCGCTTGCCACGCCGTCAAAGCCGGCAAAGCTAAAGCCGCGGCTTCAGTTGCAGTGATACTCTTCGGTTTGAGAGTCAATTCGCGTTCTGTTGCAACGACATAGTCCGCCGCACCTCCATCCCGTGTGTAACTAAGGACGCCGAAGACCACGTCGCCAATTTTAAACCTCGGACCAAACGGCCGGCCATGATCCTGTGCCGGGGTACTAATGACAGTCCCACAGAGACTATGGAGCGGGATTTGCGGAGTCATCTTTGTTGGATTCAACTCCGATGCGAGACGCAGTTCGTCTTGACAGAACGCCGCCGTTTGGACTTTGAGCAGATATTGGTTCGCCGAGGGCCGGGGGGTTGGAAATCCCGTGTCGAGAACTAGCCCTGTATGCGGTGTTGGCATTGCCGTTTCTTGAATATCAACATCGGAGCTATCGACACTCTGTGGGAGGCCATTCGCGATTGCTTTATTAACAGCTGGAGCGGCGGAGTAATATAGTGCCCGCATCTCGTTAGGAACCCAGCTTTCTTCGTCTTTGTTTGCGGAGAGCGGCTTTTGAGGATCTGGCTGGCCCATTGATCCGAGGTAAGAAGGCCTTGCTGGCTTGGGCTCTAGATCCTCCACTACCGGGGAGAAGCGTGATGCAGTCTGATTCGCCGTTGCTCTTGGAGACAACGAATCTGTGGGTACTGTATCTTCCACCCCAGGCGATTCTTGCTGTGGGCTGCGCGGATTATCTTCACCCATTCGTGGAGAAAGTGGTTTTGAAGTCGGTCTACTGTTTCTCGCTGGAGAGAATGGGTGAGCGGTTGTCCAGGTCTGCTCTCCTGGCCCTGGAGAGGATTGTTCTGCTGCTGGTTGCCTGCTCTTTCCTGCTGAGACAGGTGCCAGCGACTTTCTCTTATTGAGTATTGTCGGGAATTGTCTTGATGGCGTTGGCCTGCCCATCGCTGCGGGCTGACTGCCCATCCCCCTTGGAGAGAACGGCCCCGTCGACCTTTGCTCGTTTAGGCTCGCTGGGAATGGCCTTGATGATACTGGCCTGTCAATTTCATCTGCCGAATGCTCTCTGGATGTTTCGAGCGTTGAAGAGGAAGGGTCTATGGGTTTTTCATCATCATCTCCCACAGAGTCACGCGGCCTGTTCTCTTCCTCTTCCATAGCTGGAGACAAGCGTGAGAAAGTGGGCTGCTGCTGCTCGACACCGTTATCGGCTAGTGGTCTGGAGAAAGACCTTGCTCTTCGGGTATGCAATGGAGAGAAGGGCTCCGTGGGCCTCATAGGAGTCTCAAATGTATACATCTTGTGCGGTTGGTTGTTGTCAAAGTGGCGGGGATTTTTTTTTGGTATTGTATTTGGTATTATCTGGAGAAAGGGAGGGTGTGTCTACCTCCTTGTTCTTCCCTGATGCCATACTTTAGGAACTTGATGCCGGCACATTTGTTCACATTGACGTAGGGAGGCCCTTAGGTCAGTATGACACGGTTGGTGTGAAACATAGTTCTCAATAGCAGCGATTGAATCAAATGATTGGCTATTATTATCAGGAATAACAGAGAGAAAATATCTATCCAATGTCTTGGTGTTCGATTAGTTATAGAAGGCACTGGTAGAGGTTTGAATAGAACCGTGACTGTTGGATAGTAGATAATAGCGGACAATAGCTCGACTCGGTCACATCAGCAGTGTGTGAACTAAACAAGTCAGGTGAGATCAGCATCTACCAAACTGTCAGTTTCCAAACGAAGAATCATCAAGCAGCCGATCCTCCGGTTCGCACCCCATCATAAAGAGCGTCTGACTGCCGTCATGTGGCTTTCCTGGGGTGTCTTGGCGGTGAGGAAGCGACAAGAAATCCCGTAGAGAAAAGAGGATGTACTTGGCATATCTCGGCAAGACGTCAAGTACTGAGTGATGAGATGGTTAGGACGACAGTTCATTAATGATATAGCTCTTAGCAGTTGGGTTCGATGGTGAGTGATCGATCGGTGGCGGGAGTAAAGTGACCTCGAAAGGGTCCCTGCATTTTGTATCTTTGTACCTTGGTACTTCGAGATGACACAGCCCTGAAAATGCGCCTTGACCTTGACACCATGTCTTTCTTAGCTTCTAACCTAGCAGGTTTCTATTGGGAAATCACTCTTACCCAGGTTGAAGAACGATCGGATCCTCTCTTCTCAACTTGAATGTAGTAGTTGACCTCTTCCGCTCGGCCCCTGCAGGGTACGGGCTGAACCTAGAAAGAGGCTTCTTGCGCAATCCGTCTGATTTGACTTAATGATGATCATCAGTCACCAGTCACCGGGGCATGGGGCATGGGGTATGAGAAGCGCCTGTTCACAGCCCCAACACGGGGGGCACTGCGATCAGATGAGGAGGGGAGGATTGGAGCCCGTCGCCGCTAAGAGCAGATCGTCCGCGCTATATGATCAGCGCCGTTTCCCCTGATGGCCCATGTGCACAGCACTCTCGATACTTTCGGCACTTGCAGGTTTCCCGAGTCTGGCTTTCACACTTTGAGATATCCAAATCCACTACTTTCATCCCGATCCAACCTTCACCTTTCCCCGGGTTTGGACTACACACGGGGCTGGACAACGCGACCATGGCCCACGACCAAGAGTCTCCGGCCCCAGACCCCAGACACGAGAGTGATGGAGTCGAACCTACGCCGCACCTCGAGCGTCGAGGATCTGCTTTCTTGAATTTCTTCTCGTCGTTTATGGGCTCGAAGAATCCCCTCGCGAAAGCTGCGGACCGACATCAACACACCGTGTGGTTATTCGACAACACGGCCTACCAACCCGTCGTAGAGGGGGATAACTCCCCATCTTCATCATGGCAAGCCGAGGTCGTCGCCTGCATCTTCGAGAAGAATGGTCGCAAGGATGCCGGCAAGTGGATCGCCGCTATCGCCGATCATATCGGTTTGGACGGTGAGATGGGCCGCGACAAGGATGCACACGAGCGCATTAAGCAGCGCGTGCAGCCCTTCCTCGACCAGGTTTCACCATCGAAAACTCTGACCTTGGAAGCTAAAGTGGATGGCGCACTGCAAACGCACCCGATCGGCCCCTCCGATAGAAATGGCATCATCAGCCAGATTATTGACCTAGGCGTAGGTGGCGTCCAGGATGGCACGGTTTTTTCCCCGCATATCCATGGCTTCAAGCTCCCTGCTGCCAAAGCTGAGACAAGATTCGCTGCCCCGGAGGGCTGGATGGTGATCTCGGACATTGATGACACAATCAAACGTACCATGACGATGGAGACGACGGGAATTCTGCGAACCACCTTCGCCGAGGAGCCTGTACCTATCGCCGGTATGCCGGAGTTCTATCGACATGTGCAAGACGAGTTGAATCCGGCTTGGTTCTACCTGTCCGCATCGCCGTACAATCTCTACCCATTCCTGCACTCGTTCCTCCATGAGCATTATGCGCTTGGTACACTTATTCTGCGAGACTACTCGTGGATGGACGTCGGCGGATTCATCAGGTCCTTCACCGAGAAAACACAAGAGTACAAGGTTGATCGGATGGAGAAGATTCATCAGTGGTTCCCGCTTCGTCGCGTGCTTTGCATTGGCGACTCGACCCAGAAGGATCCAGAGGCTTACGCGGAAATCTACCAACGCTATCCCGGGTGGATCCATGCGATTGCAATCCGAAAGGTTACAAATGTTTCCAATATGGAGGAGAAGAACAAACCCGAGAGGTTTGAGGAGGCTTTCAAGGATGTTCCGAGTGATGTATGGACGGTTTTTGAAGACCCGATCGAGCTATATGACTTTGTTGATGGGCTTGGGATGGAAGATCAGGACTTTTAAATGCCAGAGTTACTCACTGTAGATATTATTCTGTTCGTTTACATGATTAAATTGTATATCACTAAATTGGAAGCGAGAAATGCGCCATAGAAGAAGCGTGAAAGGCCTAGGATCTAAGTAAGTACTTCCCCGCCGCTACAAGTGACCTCCAAGTTGCATGCATCGCTGCATCGTTTATTGTAGTCTAGCCTAAAAGAATTCTATAGTTCAAGAGTATACACAAGACAGTTAGAAAATCGACCATCAACCTCAACATCGGCTCATTGAAGTCAAGACCTCTATTTCTTGAGGTTTTTGATGGCAGAGGTATCGACACCGATGGTGAGATAACCGATCATACCATTCTTGACATCCTTACCGTCGGCAGGGACAACAGAGATAATAGGGCTGTATCCATCCATCCTCGAAGCCGCCAGAGTCAAAGGTATCCTTGCCATTGGTGGTTCGGTTAATCTGGGTGTGAGAGACATAAGACTCCAACACCATAATCTTCCCCTCAAGCTCCTCTGCGAAGTAAAGCTGACCAGTGCTGACCGTGTTGCCCATACCGATTGGACGTGAATGTGGATAGCGCGTTCGACATAGAAACCTAACAAATGCATCAGTGATTGGCTCCTATACTTTTAGAGAATAAGACGGATTCAATCCCTACCGGGGGAGATGGTCTTCATCTCCATCATGCCGTGCGCATCTGTAGGCCACATTCCACGCAACCAGGTGCTATCGTCGGTGTGCAGATCCGTGACGCCGGTTTCAAAGTCGTAAATGTCCATGCTCGAGAGAAGTTCCTCGAATCGGGTATTATGGGACAGGCCAGTGAAGGAAGAGTAAGATCCAGTGGCATTGCAGTGCCAGAAATCAATCAGCGCATTGGGAAGTGGTTGGCAGGTGTTCATATCCAAAACACCAATGTCGAGCCACAGTGGGATTCCAATTTGGTCTTCGGTCATATCTTGGCGCAAAGTTTGAGATCGAGGCCAGACGTAAGGTCCACAAGTCACTTCTGGGGTGAGAACGCGGGTCTCATTCTGAATGTTCTCATAGTACGGAGCTTCGGTCTGGATATCGAAAGTGGTGTTGTGGGTATCCTCCCAACGCTTGGTCAACGAGCGTTTATTCATGCGACGCTTGTTAAATGTGGCAATATGATCTGCGCAGCGTCTGCCAAGATGGCTTTGACGCTGAATTGTAGCGTGGGATTCAGGTTCATGATGGCCAGGATGGGCCAACACAGTCATTACCATACTGGCCAACAGAAGGAAGTTCATGTGCATAGCGGAAATTAAAAAAAAAAGGCAAAAATACAAAGGTAAGTTATAATAAAGCCTAAGCTTTTGGATAAGATGAATTGAATAGAAATGGCATTGAAACTCGGGGTAATAAGACTTTTATAATGTTGTTGTGGTTGTTCCTCCGTGACCAAGGAATAGTAACTGAATTCGCATTTGGAGCCATCCTACGCGTCTACAAAAGATGATCTGCACGCCTCCAAGGAACCTTATGCTGGAGATTAATTACGCGCGTGCAATATCTGATCTATAATTGATCAAATCATGTTCCTGGGGACTACTTGCACCGCCGCGGTGCAGGTGCCAAGCCTTTATTCCGACTACTACGCATTCTGGCAGTGTTGATACATCCGCAAGACCCACTAACGCTTCGTTTTATGGCCCTCATGATTGTCCAACTTAATATATCGGTTCCCTCGGGCGGGGCCGTCGGGATTACATACTATCGGTATAGGAGTAGGCCTGCCAAGGCACGTAAGGTTCTTCTCTTCCCCGTAGCGGACCCGAGGCTTTGCCCAAATGGCTAGGTTTCTACAGTAGTCAATATACGGGCTGGCCCAGAGCTTCCATATATTTGTTTGCCTAATTGAGTTCATAGGTTGATGTCTATATTGGCGTCATTGATAGTGAGCATTGTACTTATGCCGAGGTTTTGAACTTGGACGGAGAGTTCTGTCAATTAGTTACCATGCCATAGCCTCTGAGGAAATGGGTTAGCAAATTGTTAGCGGGCAAGGCTATAAATCGTATAGTTTGATCGCACATGGCTGTAACCAGTATGGAGTAGGCGTGGTGGATAAACCCCCCTTTTTTGACAAATGATTTCGAAGTGCTATCACAGACTACATGCACTCAGAACAAGCTGAAACATTGTGGAAAACTGTATCTGAGAACAAAGGGTTTTATACTGGAACATTTGTGGCTTGCCTACTTACCTTGCGGCAACTCAACCCTAGCCACTTAACCGTTGCCACCCTTGCATCTACGGTTCGTAAGGAACTACATACCAACCACCTTAATGACGCACCGTGGCAATAGCCTCTATCCCTTTAGCTGAGAATGAGAGTTACAATGCTACATATAGTCTTGCATTTTCTTCTTTCGCTCACTTGCCTTCTGTCTGTCATCTGCCGCTCTACTACATAGAGTAAAAAGCCATTCTTTGACACCGACTGTTCTCGAAGAAGGGTCTCACTTCACTTCATCTTTTGAACTGAATTTAAAAAGCCATTATAGGCAAACCCACTATGCCTTCGACAATCATCCCAACAATTCCCCTCAGACCCAGACGCCAGGGCAGATACCCACTCATAAATGAAGCCCAACATCGGCGGCCAATCGCACTGCCTAGCTACAACGATGCGAACCCACTTATTTGCAACACGACGGCACATTCCCTGACGCACGCATGGCCAAGACATCGAGGAGTGGATTGCACTAGGTGTCAAAGATACCAAAGTATCAGCTGGGTGGAAAGGAAAGCAGATTCGCGCAATAATATAACGAAAACAGAGAGCCCAGACTGCTCCAACTGTAAGATTTATTATGCCGCAAGATAAGAAGGCGATTGCAGTGATCAAAAAAGTTCAAGTTATTTTATTGAGTTCGCCATGGAAATGCCTGTTCATGAGCCGATTTGTCCTGTCCTGAAGCATTTCTCTCTGGATGATAAATCAAATATATCATAACGCCTTGTCCATCGGGTGTTCATAAACGCATCAATTTTCATATTTCATGATGGTAGGAATTGGCATAGTTTTTCTTCATTTGGTGAAAAGCACTAGTGGCTCTGCGGAAGTATATATTGCATATAAATCCGGGTCTGAAGTTGAGATAGCACACCCCGAGAAAAAGAGGCTGTGCTCAAAGTGACACAATATCGTAGTGATTTCATTTCATTATGCCTCCTTGCCATCACCATCTCTTGGGTGCCGAGATTTCAGCCCGTGAGAATGATGCGCTGACTGTTTCTTGTCCCCGTCGACGCTGGATCTCCTTGATACCGGTGCGATCAGTCACTGTGGTCGCGTTAATGATATTGTCAAAGTCTTCGTCCTCGCTTCCGGCCGAACCAGACTCTGCATCGGAATCCACATACAAAGGCTTTTCCGGTACCGCAATCTTTTCGGGCTGTGGCTTATCAGATGCGGAGGGGTTCTGGAACGACTTGGAGTTGAGAATCTTTTGTCGGATTTCGGCCATCTGGTCCTCTTCTTCAGAATCGTCGGAGATTGCGAACGGGTCTTTGTCTTCCTGTTCCTCTTCACTTTCGTTTTCCTCCTCGCTTCCATCTTCACTGTCATCATCTTCGTCATCGGAGCCGTGCCTGGCCGGCAGTCGGTTGGTGTTTCCAGTGGTCCAGATATCGTTGGTACCTTCGGCACGGCTGTCTTCGTATTCTTGTTCGATCTTGGCCAGCCATTCTTCCTCAGTCCTCTTCACCTCTTCTTCCGAGTTGCATGCAGCATAGCGTTTCAAAAGCTCGTGATTGATCTCTAGAAAAGCCTCGCCATATCGGAAGGGTTTGAGTACCTGCTGCGCCCACTCTTCGTGACCGCAAATGAAGAAACAGGCGGCGAGCGCTTCGACGCAGTTCAATCTCCATGGCTTTCCGTAGTTGACAGTGTTGGCTGCGATAAGATAGGGTACTATGGACATCCCATGGATACGTTAGTGACATGGTCCTCGAGTCAGGCACATCAAGATCACATACGCAGTCTTTCGCATTTGCCGCCAATGCGCGACCAAGGCACTTCCTTGACTCGAACCCACGAGCACTCCACCACTGCAGCACCATGTTGCTCCATGAGCTCTCGATCAGCCGGGGAGATAATCTTCTTCGCATTTGGTCTAAATGCCCGTGGATTAGCGAACACATTACGTCAAAGAATCGTGCGCGAGCTGGTGGGCATACGAAACAATCACACCGGGGTGGCGCTGGCCAATGTGTAGATCGCGCATCAATCCCAGCCTCATCAATCGTTTCCCCGAGCATCGCTTGGGATCGCAATGTCCCATATCCCAGCATGCGGCTTTGAACGCTGGTCGCGCCGAGATTGCACCCTCCTCGCCATCATCATTGCCATCACCGCGGGGCACCGGTCGAGAGCGGGGGTTGGAGAACTTCTTGCCACCTCTCGCAAAGTTTTCCTTTTTATGGCGGACCATTTTGAATTCAAAAGGCAAGGCCCTTAATGCGTAGAAAAGAAGATCGTTAGGAGCTTTGCGGGGTTTGAGTTGGAGAAGGGGGGAAAAAATCCCGTTGAAGCACAGCAGAAGCGCCACACGTGCAAGTTGCTCCGCCCGCTCGTCTCTCCTCCATCTACAACTCCGCCAAGGTTGGGGGCAGCTGTTTCTTCCCACATCGAATCCTCCACACAACCACCCCTTGGTCCTTCTTTCTTCTCATATACCCCCCCTTGATTTCCTTACTTCATTCCCCCACCGTCACCCTGGAGGCTGCATCCGCACGTATGGCGGCGAGAGACCGTTTCGGTGTCTATGCTGAGCCGGGGTTATCACCACTGCAGCGGGCAATCCGTGAGTTGAGCCACTTGATCATTGGTTGCTCAGACCAAATAAGAGCAGACTGCTAAATATATTATCGACTATAGGTAATGCCTGCGACCCGCAAAACTATGAACCCAACCTCGCCCTGAACCTGGAAGTTGCGGATCTGATCAACTCCAAGAAAGGCAATGCGTCAGTGCCCCTCCGTCAGGCACCCCCAAAGGCCGTCGCCCAGGTCGCGCAATGCTAATTACCTCTTCTATCAGCCCTCGCGAATCCGCCGTCGATATCGTCCACCTTATCAATAACCGGAACCAGAATGTCGCGCTGCTGGCGTTGGCGGTATGTGATACGGACCGAGAGATGACAACTGGCGCGGGCATGGCTGACATTCGCTCCAATTAGCTTCTAGACATCTGTGTGAAGAACTGCGGATACCCCTTCCACCTCCAGATCAGTACAAAAGAATTCCTCAATGAATTGGTTCGGAGATTCCCTGAGCGACCACCTATGCGGCCCTCGCGGGTCCAGCATCGCATCTTGGAGTCGATTGAGGAATGGCGCCAGACTATATGCCAAACATCGCGCTATAAGGAAGACTTGGGATTTATCAGGGATATGCATCGACTGCTTCTCTACAAGGGTTACGCATTCCCAGAGGTTCGCCGTGAAGATGCCGCGGTCTTGAACCCGAGTGACGTATGTGTTTATTCTATGTCGCCTGTTTAATTGCTGCTAACAACTCGGGCAGAATCTTCGATCCGCCGACGAGATGGAAGAGGAAGAGAAGGAAGCACAGTCCGCTAAGCTCCAGGAGCTTATTCGAAGGGGAACTCCGGCGGACCTGCAAGAAGCCAATCGGTTGATGAAGGTCATGGCGGGATTCGACAACCGACATAAAACGGACTACCGCGCGAAGGCAGCTGAAGAAGTGTCAAGAGTGCAACAGAAGGCTAAAATTCTCGAGGAAATGCTGCAAAGCCAGCAATCTGGCGATGGGCCACCTGGGGGCGATGTATTTGAGGTTGGTCTTGAAACAAAAACTGTGGGGATAGGCCTGTTTACTGACTACGTTGTCTACCAGGAACTTGCCAACGCGCTTCGAAGTGCACACCCTAAGATCCAGAAAATGTGCGAAGAGGAATCGGACGACCCGGAAGCAGTTCACAAGCTGCTCGAGATCAACGACAGCATACACCGTACTATTGAGCGATATAAGTTGGTCAAGAAGGGTGACCTGGATGCGGCGTCAAAGATTCCCAAGGGCACTCTCGGTACCACTACTGGTGTTTCGAAGAACGCCAACAATGAGCTCTCGCTGATCGATTTCGACCCTGAGCCCCTACCTGAGCCCATTAATGGCGACGCTGCTGGACCGTCCCAGAGCGGTGGCAGCTCGCTGGAGAATGATTTGCTTGGACTGTCCCTGGGAGAACAGGGCCCTGTTTCTGGTGGAGGTATTTCTTTGGGAGGCCCTGGTAAGCCAAGAATCTTCATAGGAGAGGTCACCCGCCGTCAAAGACTAATGTAAAGCAGTGGGATTTCCTCCAATGTCAGCTGGCCCATCTCCTCAGGCCGCATCGCCAACACCTCCCCCACAGGCACCTGCCGGATTCAAGCCTAACTATGATATTCTTGCATCCTTGAACTCGTCACGGCCTGCTTCCCAGTCTTCTACGCCGGCCCCGGGGCCATCACCGCAGGTTCGACAGACAGCCACCCCACCCCAAGCTGCCGATCCCTTTGCATCGTTGATGTCTGCTAGTCCTCGCCCGACCAGTAGTGCATTCCAACCGCCTGTCCAAAGCCAGTCCCCTGCATCGTCATCCTTGCTAGACCTGGCCGGTGGTACAACATCACCTCCGCAGGCACCAGCGCCCGCCGCTGAGGATGATGAATGGAACTTTGCATCCTCGCTACCCCCAAGCAGTGCCCTACCCACCAAGAACCAAGTACAAGTGCTGAGCACCCAACTTCGTGTTGACTTCCTCGTCCAGCGAGTGCCGGCCCACCCTCGCCAGATCTTCGTGAAGGCCCTCTTCTCCAACCCTAACAGTCAGCCGATTGGAGATCTTCATTTCCAGGTTGCCGTGGAAAAGGTAAGCCACTTCTTGTTCTATGAGTCCTGTCTGGCACTAACAAACAATCAACAGGCCTATACCCTTCACCTCAAGCCCCAGACTGGCCGAGACATTGCGCCACAGCAGCAGCAAGGTGTATCACAGGAGCTGGTTTTGGACGGAGTTGATTCGGGCAAGGGTAACTCGGTGAAAATCCGGTTCAAGGTCGCCTACAAGGTTGGGGGTGAGGCTCGGGAGGAACAGGGGATGGTACCGGCCCTTGGCGTGAACTAGGAGGCCCGCGGAGAAATGACAGAGAGAAGTGAATGTGCTCGCTTTGTTGACACGCGTTCCCGAGGGATTGGGCCCAAGGGTCAGGCTACGAGTAGTGGTCTGATGCAAGGCTGAGGCTATGCGACGCCGCCCGGCCGACCGGAGTCGCATGGACCTCGAGATCAGATTACACGTTGCTGCCCTACACCACCCTGAACTAACCTACTCTACTCTTCTCTGCCCTGATGTCTGTTCTCTTGATTGAAAACTTAGCGTCCCCTCTTCATGCTTGTTTATAAAGATCTGCGCATATGCGATACAAATTCAGCCCATTTGTCCCCTTTGGAATTGAAGCAAACTATAAATCCTACAGAAGTATTACTAGTAGTGGCAAGGTACGCCAATGGCACCTGAATCCAATCAATACCACCCCCAGGTGCCCGCTGCCATGTTCAACTCCCGAGTCTCGCTGCAAGCATTAGAGAAAGCCGAGGTTAGGAGTTGAAGTGACAACCTCTCCATTCGCCCCTCCTTCCCAACACAAGCGTCTAATATGCAGATCACCCGCGAAACTCAACTCAACTCAACTCAAGCTCAAAACTCAACTCCAGATCTGATCGAACGGAGATCCTCGCGCATCACAATCCACTTCATGTCTCGCAGTTACATACAATAGAAGTGCCGTTCCAAGCAAGATGCACTGTCGATCCCGCCGATCCGGCACTCCTCGTGTTCCTTACGGGACCCCCGCGCAAGGATACGATCTTAGCCCTCGGGATGGACCCAGTCACTGTACTTGTACCCATGATTCCCTACGAAAGGCACCCTATCAGGCTTTCAGGATACCTAGTAGGATAGTGTACCAGGTTGGTCAGACACGGATCAAATCCAATGCGTCATGTCCTCCGTTTGTCAAAGATTGGTCAAGCCCGAGGCCGTATTTTGAGCTCAGATTCGGATCAGATCATACCACATCACATCACATCACATCAGTCAGAGTAGCGGAAATTAGTGGAACGGGCACATATATCCTTACCCGAGGAAAGCAATTGCACTGCATACATACTGGCATGCACAGCGTTTACCAAGGCATGCCAAATTTAGCCGCCGATGATTCCCCGAGTCCACCAAAGTTCATCGTATGGGTTGCGCATCAACCCGATAACTTCCTGCCTCGTTGAGCAAGAATTGTGAGGACCGAATAATTCGGACGAGACTACTCTACTCAGCCTCAGACTCGATCGGAGAACATTTGCGTAGGGATGTGCTTAGTGTCTCTTAGTGCGAGGCCAATCTGACCCTAAGGCGGTGGATATGTCGATCTTTTCCCCCACTGCTCGTGCAACGTCTAAACCGGCCTTTTCTTTGCGAGTGGTGTTACCCTAGACTGGAGCGAAGCAGAATCTGCAATTTTTGTCTGTTTCGGTGCCTCGATTTTCCAATTTACTTCATGGAAGGGGGGAATGGAGTTTTCCGAGGACTTTTCCCGACTGTACGGGATATGGCTTGCTGGCTTCCATACTCCCAAACAATCAACTTGAACTTGGAGCATGTGAAAGTACAAGCGAGTGGCGAGACAGGGCCTATCGCTCGAAGGGGCAATGGTTCGGCCGTAGAATCGGCGCCTATTAGAGAGGGTAATAGTACATAATACTATGGCCTAGGATATCCCCTATCGCTCGGCAGGCCTAGGCCTCTGGACCGGGGGTGGCAACGAGGGTATCCCGCGTGGGCGCCATGGCCTTTTAGACAGGTGGCTGGACTGGGCGTATAGAATAGGCAGTTGTGAAGCAAGATGGTATCACCTTCTTAACTAGGATTGACATTCGCCAATTGATTTGAGGGCGTTTCGCGCTTGTTTGGTTATCTTCGTTTAGAATTCTCCGGAGCTAGGCGCACAGTGCCAGTGCCAGTGCCAGTGCCAGTGCACGGTGCAAAGCGCTTGGAGTACTCCGTACATCCAAACCAGTCCCCCGGTCATTTTTATGATAGGCTCGCTCGATAGTAGGATGGTGTATTTCCGCCCCGGATAAATATGAGCTCGCAAGTACGACGATCGCCGTTATCCCCACAATCCCACCACCAGCTCTGGGTCGGGTCTCTATGGGCAAATCAAATAGAAATCGCTGCAGGAACCAAACTGCGTGTGACCGTATGCTACATCGAATCGAGGATGATCGAAAATTCTCAACCATCCCCAATAGCATCTAGATTGGCCCTGTCCGCATTAAGGAACTGACTGATGGGTACGGATACAGTCGCATCGTGGGGGGGGCGGAAGGGAAAAGCAACTTTTCCCCACTGCACCATCCACCGGTCTAGACCCAACGCAGCTCCAGATGGCGCTGCTGGGTGCTGCACTTTTTTTTTTCCCTGCTATGGGCCAAAGAGGCTGCAGAATCTCACTATGTCCTTTTTCTGCAGTAACCGGGGAAGAAGTATCCGGGGGCGAATCCACTGGTCGTCAGCAGCCTGGAGGGAAAACCCATCCCATAGGAGCGGCAGCCTCTTATCCAGATTCCATAATCATCGTATCGGGCTGTGGCGCTTTCGAACGGACTCGCCGTGCCAAAGTCAGATCCATGGGTCGCCGGGCAAAAGAGACTTTTCTCTTCGCGGCCGACCCAAAGTGGTTCCCTTGGATACCAGCGATCGCTGCGGGTCCCATGGTTCTGTCCAGCAAAGCTCTGGAGGGGAACAGGAAAGACCAGAGGGGAACACTAAGACGAGACTAGCAGACGCCTGACAGCTTTCTCTCTCTCCCCCCCTCCAGTCGGGAAAACTCAAAACTCAAATACTTTCTATTTAATTGTCCCTCGCCCCATTTTACACCTTCTTCGCGTTATCTCAAGTATACTACTACTCACCTTGTTGTATACATCCCCATCACCCCCAGTATACCTTCGATAATGGGCGCACTGGATCTAGATCAGGATATTACTCCTATCCCCCGGTCTCGGGAGGAGAATCAGGAGAGGTTTGTCCTACCTATTCCTCGCTATATTCTATTCGTTTCCTCTTACTCCTACTTGAATCTGTTGCTGACATCCCTTCTAGAGCCTTTATTGCTGCGTCACGCCGCAAGGATCGCAGCTTAGATGCTCGTCTGGAATCTGCCAACCGTGCCTCCCTGCTGCATAAAAAGCGCACTGGCAAGGCTTTCCATATCACCAAGGAGATTGTCGAGAAAGAAGCCATGTATGAGGAAATCGATGAGCGCTACCAAGAGAAACGCATCCGCATGCTGCAAGCACAGAACCTGCAAATCGAAGAGCAGTTCCACCGTCATTTACTAGCTGCTTTCGCCGCTCGAGCCAACAGTAGCTCAGCTTCTTCTATTGCGAGTCGACGAGCCAGTGTCGCTCCCCGCGCCTCGGTCGACGGTGGCTCTGGTTCTTCGCGCAAGATGAGCCTGGATCTTTCTAATCTACGGTCTCCCTTTCCCCACGGCATGGATACAAACTCCTTGACTAGCCCCATGACGAACAGCGATGGCTATATGATGTCGCCCTCGGCAAACTACGACCCCAATGCCCAGTCGTATATGAGCTGCATGGACGGCTCGGACGGCTCGGCCTACTCCAACATGGTTGCATCTGCAACTACCGCAACCCCCTCGGCGCAGATCCCAGCCTACGTCGCTCAGCAAAATCAAATTCCAAGCTGGCCAGCACAAATGCAATGGGCAGCCATGCCCCATCAAGTTCCCACCCCCAACCAGACCCCGACAGACAGCCAGGCCGTGTACATGTGGCAGCAGCAAATGATGCAGCAGGCGCAAATTCCCACCAATCCGGCAAACCAAATGCGCCAGTTCAGAGATCGTCTTGCGTCTGCCCCAGAACTCCCAGTGCACCCGGCTGCTGCACAGCAAGCTCCTGCCGCCTCGATTTCCGGCCCCAGTGGATTGGGTCACTCCCGCGGCTCTTCCCATCCCACTAATAACTTCCACAACCTGCAACTTCTCACTCAAGGCACCCACCTCGCCCATATGGGTCCGTCCAATACCAGCTCGCCGAAGATCGAGGCCCTTTCCGCAGAGTCTCAGTCCACCCCGGACTTCTGCCCAACTCCAAATACCCCCCCTCTCGCCTACTACCATTGGTGTGATGCCTGCTACCATGCCCACTACTAAGGATGGAGAGACGGTCTTTTCCCACGAGGAGTTAGATCCGGACTATAATGAGTTCAGCCAGTTCGCTTTGGGACTAGGCACCTCGTCTCCATCGGAGCGGGAGCCCTTTGGGTTCGACGAGTTCGTTGCTCTGGACGAGTATGGTACGGTGACTTGCTGATCCTATTCCACACTTCTGCTTCTACCTTCTACCTTCGACCGTCTTCCGTCTTGCCTTATCTTCACTTGTCCTTCCTTGATTCCCGGGGCCTGTTATCCTTCACCGACACCCCACTGTACATGACTGGCGTTGGTTTGTACACTGCTCTTGTATTATAGCTTTCCATTCTTCTATTCATTTTTATCTTCCTGTCACAATGTCTTCTTGGTGCTGCGTGACCCATGGCGTTTTCTGATTGACTGGATCAGGTTTGATTTTGATTTTGGTTTTGGAATTTGGAACTAGTGTCCCACTGTACAGACAGAGTTCAAGTGTCTTGCCTGGTTCCCTGTCGTTCCAGGTAGATTGATTGCACAGGGGATCCACGTTTGCTATTTCCACTGTCACGAAGAAACGAATCATTTCAATTCATTACATTTTGAAAAATATCTTCTTTTCAAAAAGTATTCTGTATTCTTTCTTTCCCGCGTTCAAGCAAAGCAAGCAGAGCAAATTTCCTCTTCTTTCTCACTCTCTTTTCTCTCTTTTCCTTTTACAAATAATAACCTTTTTTTCCCTCACAACCCTTGGTCCCTACCATTGCAGGCGAACCCTACCATAGTATCCAGACCACAAGCGAAGAACCATAGATCCGTAGTAAGTAAGTACCTCTAGTGGAGCCCGCGAAAAAAAAAGAGTAAAAAAAGCGATCGTTGCATCACTCCCGCCGAAAACAATCAACGCCTCCACAACACCCCCCTTTCCGGCGTCTCAACCTTCAAACAACTAGCATACTATCTCCATCCCAGTCCTGTCTTCCTTTGATTTCCTTGAAGCGGGGGATCCACGCAACTCCACCATTCCCAACTCAACCCAGCTCTACAGCCCCGCACCTCTCAACGGGCCGTGGCCGTGCCAGCTATACAGCTACGGTAGAAGCTCCCTCTCTCTCGTCCTCCTTTTCGCTGTACCCCATTTCGCTCACCTCTACGTCAAACTTTGGACCTTTCGCGCGCATCGAATCTGACTGGCTTACCTTGGGGCCAAGCAAATCATCCATCCGATCACATCACATCACACATATAGTGGATTGTAAATTGTTGGCGAGGATGCGAGCGGAGCAGCCGGAACCTTTCTCCACCTCCTTCCCAGCCCTCCATCCATCCATGCATCCCCACCTTTACCCTTGCCCTTCGCTTCGCTTAGCTACTGTACTCGACTCGTACTCGGACACTGCAGATTAAATTCCCATCCTGATCCTAATCCAAAGAACCGGGCAGGTAGGGTAGTGGGTAACTAGTGGACACACACCCACACACACACAGGGCACTAAATCTCGAACTGGATCAGTGTTGGCCGTAACTATACCCCGACCAACCAGACCCAGTCCAAAGTCGTTTGATCGACAGAAGGTAGATTAAAAAATAATTCCACAAAATTTCCCCACCCCCGCCTGACATCACAGTGCATTCACCCCTCACGCTTGGAGGGGGAAGGTCTAGCGAACTGATTGGGTCAGAAGATTAACTAACGGCGATTCGGGGCGTAGACAGCATGGAGGGGGGATGTGGAAACAGGGCTTGGCTAGCTTCAGCACGCGTGCTTTAGCCTGATTCAGCTCGTGCTAGGAACCTTGGAAAGAGAATGATAAATGATAAATGATTTCATTGGATGGTCTGAACCCCCCCTTCAATACATACTCGTACCCCTTTGCGAAGTAAAGAAATCGCAATCGTGGTCTCGCATTCGTTCGGGGCTTTGTCACAATTGAGTTGAGTTTCGGAGCTTAGTAGTCTTTGGCACCGAGAATTAGCGCTAATAGGTGCTGGATACTCGTAGTTACGAGTAGAGCGAGAGCGAGAGGAATTACTCAACAAGGGGGGGGGGGCGCAGCGGATGGCTACTTTCCCTGTTCCCTTTTCCCTTTTTCCAATTGAGAGTTTCGGCTTGTCTTCCTCGTCCCTTCTGCCGTTATTTTTGTCGTCCGTGGGTTCACACGAGGGAGATGCAGAAACGAGGGCACAATTTAAGAAATAATACTAGAACCCGACTGGACTAGGCTGGCTTGGCTGCTCGGGGGATAATTCCCGTGAGAGAGCGAGATTCTACAGTTAAAGGGGGGGAACGCTTGGACCATGCCTCGTAACTGTGCAGAACACGGGACTCACACTGCCTGCTTGTACGGAGTAGGGAACTAGTTAGTAACTAGCCCATCCTTCGGAGGTATAAACCCCAATTTCTGGTGAGGCTGAGTTTGTTGCCCGGCGCCATGCTCTGTTTGTGAGTGTCAGCTGGCTGATTCCATATGCACATGCGGGCGGGTAGCTGAGTACCTTGCAGTGTTATTTGGAGATGAGGCTGGAAGAGGCGTTTTGGAACCGAAATGTTGGGTCGAGGCGCGATTGATCGGCAGGGATTGGATGGAGGGCGGGATTGTTGTGCTACTTGCTTACGGGTTTACCTTAGTTGTACAACTACTAACCATGAACTATTAATCACAAACCTTGGAAACTACCAACTGATAATGATCTTGTGGCGGTTGCTTCTGCTGTCAACATCCTGCCTGTAGCATCTTGCAAGTCTATGGGTATACGGAGAATATCAAGTCCAGACCTTTCACCATCCACCATCCACCATCTTTCTCTACAAAAGCACAGCTACAAATTGCGGGGTTAAGGTTGCAGCTCCCGCACGGACCACTCCGCATCGAGACTTCCTGCAGAGCAATCACAACTTTAAACTGTGCTGGGTCTGGCTCTGGTGGAGCCCGAGATACGACAGCGCCGCTCATCCACCATGGTTCCTTAAGGTTGGCATTACCTGACACTGGGCACTGGGCCAAATGATCCAGCGACCCCCACTCACCCGTTAAGTGGAATTGATGCGATCGGAACCCCGTGCACGTATCCCGGCGGTTCATTGGTTTGGTCCCTCGCCTCTTATCCTGGGCTCAGCTCGAGCTCGAGGCTCCCGTTGTGGTGGGGGTGGCCTGATTGATCCCTGAGGACCCTATAGTGCGTTTATTGCCGATCGGCCATTCGGCTCTGGGTCTATGGTTCATGCCATGCTGGATACTTTAGCTGTCGATATTCTGATTATTTGATCTGGTGCCTCGGCCAGGTCCAGGTCCAGGCCATCCCATGGCCTATCTTGATGTCTATCTTGTGGCACATCCTAATGGATCGTAGGTAGCGTGATACTCTACTGCAGAGTGCTGCTGATGAAATGGTTGGTAAGGCAATGGCATGATAAGCGCTTTGACCTCGACTACTCCAATCGTGGCCGTTGAAAAGCCACCACGCATATGCAGCTATCCGCGACTTTGATTTCGCTTGTTTTTCCTCGTCTGGTCCCGTGTTGCGATCCTTCGGGAACTATGTACGGAGTCTGCATACGTTTGACAAATATATTGTCAAAATGGCGTATTTCTTTCGCAACTGCCAGCGCATCTCTTATAACTGCCATACTAGGTATACTGGTATACCTCCCATGTCATACTAGTTTAGTAACCAACCTTGGAAGAGGCTCAACCGTGCGTAAAATTAGTCATCAATACGCACCTCCCTTTCAATTTTTGAGACACTTTCTTCAAGGCCAGTCAAGAATCCAGAAAGCTAAGTTCCATACGAGATTCCCTGCAGCAGAGCGATCAGCCAATCATCGAATCCCGGACCAGGGGCAACGACATCCAGTGGCCCGATCCACTCGGGGCAGACAACGAGACAGACCGGGCTGGACTTGGTTCGCTCGGAATATGTCAGTGGATCATTTGGGTCCGGGGTCCTTCCCCCCAAGGTTTCGAGGTCTTGTTCGACAATTTGGTGGTGGCGTTTTGGTGCCTTACCTGGGTTCTCTTCTCCCCTCAGGCCCTCAGGCCCTCAGGCCCTCGACCTTACTATCCTATCTAGGCAGTTGGCCTGGGACTTGGATTGGCCACCGTTACGAATTAAAGTCAAATCAAAATCAAATCAATTTTCTCCTTTTCTTTAGCATGATCTCGGCGGGGGGGTGAAAAGACGTTTGGACCATGCATGATAGTTCGAAGATTTGCGAACAAGGGTGTTTCGATCGGCGGCGTCAGATCGGGGTACCTATGCCAGACTTTCCTAAATAGGGAACCCTGCTCGCTTCTCCAGGTTTCACAGAAACTAATGCCAGTAGACATACCAGACATACCCGTATATAGATAGGTCAAATCTGATTAGCTGATAGATACTGAGCAACTAGATATTGTGCAGAACCAAACAACAGGGTCCAGGAAGGCGTAAAAACGAAAAGAAAATTGAAAAAGAAAAAGAAATGAAAAGACGAAGCGAACACCCCTCCGCATCCGGTGACGGGCCTCCTTTCCTCCAACCAAAACAGGAAAAAGCGACATGAACCAGGAGACAGCTGGAAAATATCTACACAGGCAATCTAACCACTCAGCATCATCTGCCACCGTACTGCAGGAACAAGCTGAGTGGCTGAATTACCGGCGGACCCGCTGCGGAAACTCTGTCATGTATGTAAACCACTGGCACATTTCCATTACTATTGGTCGGGGATGATGGAGGATAGGGCAGATGACCGGTATGATCGACAGCCACGAGTCATAGGGGCGACCATGCTGTTGGAGTTCAACGCTGATCTGGGGATGGGATTGCATGTTGACGAGCCAATAGCTCTAGATTCCAATGCTGATGTTGAATACTCCGGTAGAAGAGGTGATTTGGTAGAGATAACGCGAGCGTGTGCTTCCATTTAATTCCCTTGGTTGAGCTTCGGTTTTACGAACCTGGCTTGTGAGCACATCCCTGAGGCCGAACTTCCAGGGCAGAGGGGAGAGAAAAGCCAGGTTCGAGTCGCCAATTTCGTTATGAGATATGCCATTTTAGAACACGGTCAGCCGGGGAGATACTGAGGGTTGATCTAGACGGGCCAGTTCGTGCTATGTTCGCGCTATATGTGATCTCCAAAAGCCGATGGGGCCGGACGCCTCAATTCAAGACTTATTTTCGGGGGTAAATACTCCCTGCCACTTATCGAGGGATATCGGGCCTAGTCGATTTGTACTTTTGTCTTCCGATCATCCACCTGGTCCGATGGTAGCCGCTTCGAAGGATGAGAGCATAGGGCGTCTGCTATTACTAATTGGTGGCTTACTTTTGCTGGGCATTTCCTGGGCTGATATCATTCTCAGTCGGGTCTTCCGAGTGGTAGACTTGAGAATCACATTCGCCATTGCTTCTGGTTGTGGGTAGGCCGTTTAAAAGATAATATTTGTTGGCATGACACGTACACATGTGCTCGCTACGCATGGCGCATGTAGAAAAGTGATATGAAAAACTTGAAGCGGAATTATTATCCACAATGACAAGGGTTAAAGGAGGTCCCCCGGTTTTGAACACGAAAGATGAAAATTTGTCAGATCGAGGAAAATTCGAAAGGAAATGTGACAAGTAGCGAGCAATCGCCGCTTTCAAGACGGATTGAAATGTAGAAGTATGTGTTTGTGTGAAGAAGAAATGCGGCGAGACACAATTGATCAAATTTCAGACCGGCGCATTACAGCACAACATGCCTTATCCATAACACCTGAGATATCAACAAAATTTGAAAGTCATCGCTTTCACCCTATACCGCCTGCCTATGAATTTCCTGTTCAAATACCACGACTAAACATCTCACGGCCAACCTCGCCGCTGCGATGAACGCTCATGCTTGAAGAACTGCTGCGTCGTCGGCGCCGGAATTCGGCCGGATCTGCTGGATTCAAACCACTGGCACGAGCATGGAGGTTCAAAACGTCCGTCAAACTCACAACACCAACGAGACGCCCCGAAAGGCGGGCGCCTGGCAACGCAGCAGCTGGAACAGAGGGCACTAGGGGCGGTGTCGCACCAGGGGTTGACTCTGTATTAGCATAGAGATGGGGCGGTGTTGGTAGATGGGGTGTGGCCTGGCTTGATGCCGGGATGGAAGTCGCGGCTGGAGGAAGTGGAGAGGCTGGAGGGGATATTCCAATATTTGAACTGTTGACAGCCGTACTAGATGTAGCGGCCAGAGGAATGTGCGCAGACGAGTGAGAAGGAGTCGGGGGTCCTGAGGAGGCTGGCGACAATGGATCAGTCACCCAAAGGCTATCATAGTTAGCGTCCGAGATCAGCATATCTTTATGGATGGATTTACCGATGGGATTTTGTGGCGACAATCTTCGCAACTGTATGGGCCAATGTAGATGTTGGATTGACATGAAAGACTGGGTATGAGTCTTGACCTTCGATCAGCCCCCGGGTAGACAAAATCACGGAAATAAAGTGCGTGCATGTATTTTGGAGTAGAGGCAGAGAGGATGACCGAGTCAATAGCTAAATCACGATTGTTAGTCTTTGTATCCTTTCATCCTTTCAATCGCTTGATTGCATACCTTAACATCCGTAGTAGATATATTGCCAACCACGTTGGAATGATTGTCTACCACAACCAGAGATGTTATACCCTCGGCATTCATCAGCTGAAGAGCTTCACTGAGGGGTTTGTCGCCGCTGAAAAAAAAAAAGTGAAAAAAAAATTAGTATAGCCTTGCTTTGAGTTGTTTTGGTGCACTCACTTGATAGATATCACATTGTGCGAGCCAATACGTAATTGGGCCAGCGCCTGCGGGTAAAGCTGCTCAATTGCAGGGAAGCTGCGTCCATTTTCCCAGAGGAACTTGACCAGTCTAAACTGACTGAAGATGCCTACGACCTCTTGGTCATTGGACTCTTTAACCACCACAACTCGGTGGATTCCACCACCAAACGTCTCCACGGCGGTAAGAACATTCGCCGATGCGGGCAGGGTGATCAATGGCTCTTTCTCCATACCCAGGCCCTTGACATCTTTGAGAGGGATTTTCTCGCCCTCGCGTGCTTTCTTGGCAAGCTCATCGTATGATGCCCGGTTGTGCTCCTGCGGAAGGGCCAGACCCGCTGCCAAAAGCAGATAAGTGTTCAAGTCCGAGTAGTCAAATGTGGCAACGGCGGAGGTTTTCTCTGTGGATTCGCGGATAAGCAAGACCGGGGTACCAGAGTCGATCAGTATCTAAAAGCAATTGCGTTAGCTTTCCCCTTTCGCTACATACGAAGCATATCCCCCAAAATGACTCACGTTTGTCGCTTCCTCAATTCCTGTGTCCAGCTCAACGAAACGCAGATCCTCTGGGCTAACAAGCTCGCCAATGGAGATCTGCTGCCAATCCCGACCAATAAATGCGGGGTCGGCGTTCTTTGGAGGAGGAGGGTTATCGATCAAGCTCTGGATAGCAGACTGGTTCAAAGAAGGTTGTCGCCGAGAGCGCGGTGATCCCGGAGGACCACGGAGCGTCTCGCTCAAGCTTTGGCGATGTTGATGATTTGCGGGGGGCATATGTGACACGCGGAGCTGGTTGTGATTGCGGGATGAGGAGCGGGATTCGGTGCTGGACCGGGGTGACGCGATCTCTGATCCGTTATTGGGGTTGGCGAGGGCGTTGAGAGAAGAATCAGAGCCCTCTCTATGAATCGGTTGGTCGGACATAGCAATGAGAGACCACACAGCGAGCACACAGTGACAGAGAGCAGTTGGAGAGGTAAGTGTGTATCAGGTGATGGACGATGAACGCGGGGGGTTGGCTTTGGTTGCCTTCGGCCAATCAACACGCTTGCGTTTCCTGACATCATACACTTAGTCATCACCACCCCACAGCGGTACTTTGAGGGTACTTACGTGGACAGCTAATTAGAGTGTGTAGATATGTACCCTTATGTACCGAGCTACCTAGAGCTAGCACAGGTTGGCATACACTTGAGAGAACCATTAGACAATGCCCTGCAGCCTGCAGGAAATATGTTGGAAACAAATAATCTGGAAGGTAAATGAGGCATCTACTAGTAGTCTCTTAGAAACGTTGAAGAACAAAATCAACTCACGTGTATGCACAGCACGTGATGTCAACATATCACAAGTTCACAAACGGCAATTGCGGTCTTCCACGGTTTCATACTTGCGATGGTTGACTCAGTGACAGGACATGGACCAACTTTGGAGATGATCCATCTTCGTGTTTTTACCGTCACACACCCAAGACTCCCGTATCTTGCAATAAGCTGGGAACTTATGTCCTAAACAGCACCCTCAACCGCACTTCATCAACATGTCTGGAACCGCTTCAAGTCGGCCGACAATGTCTGTCATTCTGCATTCCTCAGGGCCACAAGCAAATTTCAAGAAAGGTCCCCACTGGTACCATGAAAGCCCGTTCTTGCCATATTGTTGGGAGGACCGTCAAGAGCCCGGAGCCCCTTCCCTGAAGCACACGGCCAGGCAAAAGGCACTCGAAGACCAGTCGGAATTGAGACTGGAAATGTTTGACAATATTCCCTGGCCTATTGCGCTGGAACTATGGGAGTACTTGGGTCATTGGTAAGCTCTTGCTCATGCCACAAATCTGCTTCGAACCCAAAGCTAATTGCAACTCCAGCAAGAAACAAACATTATTTATGTGGAAGATCATGGCTGCATCTTACCCCCGCGAATTTCACACTGTCAGCTCATACTACTGTCTATGGACTAACCGACCAATGGAGCCCTTGAAGGGATATGTCGATATCATGAGCAGTGCAAATTGCGATTGGCGTGCGGTTCTCTCCCTTTCATCCGGTTATGCTACGGCGGAAGACCTCCTCGCAATCGGCAATATGAAGAATCTGGTGGCTCTAGACATTTTCAGGACTCCATGGAAACTACACAAATACGCCCCCGATATAACACCTCGAGCCTCGAACGAACTGGAGAACGGTGTCATTCGCACCTGGGTTGATTTGGCAGAGTCAACCGGATCACTGCAGCATTTACGTGTCTTACGTCTTTATCACCAGGGTATGATAACGCCCACGGCACTGCAGCTTTTAGGAAAACTTCCAAATCTGCAACTCATCATTGTCTACCAATGCGAGTATTTTACTCAGGGCTTTCGTTGCGAAAAGAGACCATCCTCAGGCAAAATTGAGATGGAAGGATGGAATGTTCTCAGGCTTGATTGGGCTTTGAAGGATGCCACTGAAGATGGGCAAGCTTTCCAGCATTTGGGTCCGTTGTTGGATGTTTACCGGGGTACACTTAAGACACAGCCCAATTCCAGTAGTGTCGAAGATCCACCCAGTCCTCCTACCCTAGGGGCCGATGTGCCGATTATGGAGTTTGGCCTACCGGCAATGGATCATAGCGACACGATGAAGATCGAGGTTCGTGCACAGTACTCGGGAAAATCAATTGGAATCCTCACTCGGGTGCCCATTTCGACCAGAAAGCGACCATTGCCGTTGCCAGCGGAGTCAAAAAAGAATGGGAAAAGGGTCATGAAAGACAGAGGTGCTAGAGACATGACGGATTTGCTGAAAGACTTCCTCTGATTTCCTTTTTTGCATAGCGACTGGATTGGTCAGGTATCATCATGGGTTCAGGGGTGATGGGCGCAATTGAGGTCCTACCAAGTGGCAAAGCCCTAGGGCTCATTTCATATATTGCCAACTTCCCTCTTTCTTTAATGAAGAATAAAATCGCTCGCGGGGCCCCGCCCCCGCATTGTTATTCTCATTCTATGGTAGGTGTGAGCGCTAAGTTCCTGCAGGAAGTAGCATTACGCCACAATCCTACGCTGTCTATGGCCCTAGTCCTGGCCCAATAGTTGGAAAGCTTTCTTTCTTCAACATGGTTACCTATTTCGGTTAATTACTTTACGGGGGGGCGTACATTCGGCAAAACCCCGGCGGCACAAGATGATCGGCTTTTCTAAGCCATAGGAATGGAGTTAATAAACCCTAGTCCTGTTTCACATGTTTTTAACACCCCGTCTCATGCAGGATGTCTCCGAAGTGGCCGAGAAAAGCTCCATTTGGCGAGCACCGTCTCTCTCTAGCGATGGAATAATAAGACCTCGTGATGCTTCAGAATACATGATATTAAAAGCAACGGAAGAGTACTTTCCGTCGGCATTGAATCACATGGCCTCTCAGAGACGCGCATTCTTGTTTCCCCGCAAACTAGAACGGATTTGTATACAAATTACCCCGCCCTTTCACTAGCGTGATGTGAATGCTGGTTGTGGGCGCCGCCTATTGCTTGCAGATTACCATCGGCTCGACTAAACTCAGGTCAGTCCCATGTGGGGAATCATACTGTCTGTTGCCAAATGCCGGTACACTATGCCTCGAATATTGAATTGAATGACATAGGAATTGCGAAGCATCGCCAGCTTTGAATGTAAAGCCTCATCTTGTCAGTACTCTTTCTCTGTACTGATAAATGCAAATTTTAGCTTTCTTGAAGCTAGTTTACCGCAAAACTCAGTTAACCTATCCTAGTTTAGTAACTTTCCGTCCGTGAGATCTTGAAGATGTTCCTGAACCTTATAATTGAACCTTGGAAGCTAGCCGCATGGTACCAAACAGCCCAAGTGCCTTCGCTTAAATCTCAAATGTGATATCTTCGACATATTAACCGGGCCTTTAAAACCTTGAGCTCGCTTATGCTACTTGGTATGGAGTGAAGATGGTGGTGACTCTCAGTTATTGGAGGGAAATCCTTACCCCTTTCGCAACAAGTGCCTCTCTCCACATAAAGAACGGACTTTATGCGAGTGGAAGAGAACTATAAGAAGGAAACTAAAAGTGCTCAAAGAAAGTATGCATCAGATTCCTCTCCCAGTAGCGACTTGAGCATCTCCTTCCTAGCTCTTAAACTCGCAGCCTTTATTCACTTTCTCGAGGCAATCGAGCAGTCAGCATGTTGTCCAAACCTAGTGTTGAACGCGCCAGTGCCCTTGCATTGCTAGGACTTGTTGGTACTGCTTCGTTAGTATCCGCTGGTCCCTGTGATATCTACTCATCCGGTGGTACTCCCTGCATCGCCGCACACAGCACTACTCGCGCCTTGTATAGCTCCTACAGTAGTGCACTCTACCAGGTTCAACGTGGTTCTGATAGCACCACAAAGGACATTTCGCCTCTGTCTGCCGGTGGTGTTGCAAATGCTGCAGCTCAAGATACCTTCTGTGCCAATACCACGTGCCTTATCACAATCATTTATGACCAGTCTGGCAAGGGAAACCACCTCACCCAAGCGCCTCCCGGTGGATTCCAGGGACCAGAATCCGACGGGTATGACAACCTGGCCGGTGCCATTGGTGCACCTGTTACTTTGAATGGCCAAAAGGCATATGGTGTCTTTGTCTCGCCCGGTACTGGCTATCGCAACAATGTCGCTACCGGTACAGCTACGGGTGACGTATCGGAGGGCATGTACGCCGTCCTTGATGGAACTCACTACAATGATGGTTGCTGCTTCGACTACGGAAATGCTGAAACCTCCAGCACCGATACAGGCAATGGCCATATGGAGGCCATCTACTTCGGCGACAATACCGTCTGGGGCTATGGTACTGGTAGTGGACCTTGGTTGATGGCCGATCTCGAAAACGGCTTATTCTCCGGTTCAAGCTCTACGCTGAACTCTGCCGACCCGTCCATCTCATACCGATTCTTTACTACGGCTTTGAAGGGTGGTGCAAATAAATGGGCTCTGCGTGGTGGTAACGCTGCGTCAGGCTCACTGTCGACCTACTATAGTGGCGTGCGTCCCACCGCGACTGGCTACAACCCTATGAGCAAGGAAGGTGCCATTATCCTCGGTATTGGTGGTGACAACAGTGTTGGTGCCCAGGGCACTTTCTACGAAGGAGTGATGACTTCGGGCTATCCGTCAGATGCCACTGAAAACTCGGTGCAGGCCAACATTGTGGCGGCGAAATACGCTACTACATCTCTTACCAGCGGCACAGCACTCACTGTCGGTAACTCGATTTCCCTGAGAGCCACCACAACTGGGTATACTACACGCTACATTGCCCACAACGGTTCCACTGTCAACACGCAGGTTGTCACATCATCAAGCACGACTGCATTGAAGCAGCAGGCTAGTTGGACAGTTCGGACTGGCCTGGGAAATAGCGCCTGCTTCTCATTCGAGTCTGTTGACACTCCTGGAAGCTACATTCGGCACTCTGGCTTCGCGCTTTTGCTTAACGCCAATGATGGTACCAAGATATTCAATGAAGATGCCACCTTCTGCCCACAGAGTGGCCTTAGTGGCACGGGTAGTTCCCTTCGTTCTTGGAGCTATCCGACACGCTGGTTCCGTCATTACTTGAATGTTCTTTATATTGCGAGCAACGGCGGCGTTCACACATTTGACTCTGCCACTTCGTTCAATGCTGATGTCAGCTGGGTCATTAGCACAGGATTTGCTTGAGGGCTTGTCGAAGTATGGATAGCGTAGGCGAACTTAAATTAGTATTTCAATATATTGGCTCACATCTATCAAGGGTTTGACTATCTGGAGTGTTCCATCCCACGTAAGAATACCAACCGGCCGTGGTTTCATTACCACTTGGATTTGTTGTCAATTTGACCTAATCTGTCTAATTAACTATGAGTCGTTTCGGGTAAAGCCACAGTAAGGAAATTAAGTTTCCAATTTACTAGTAATGTTTTGACAGGGAGCGGAACCCCTTTGGATAAGGTGAATATGCACAATGAATCTGGCCCAAACTTGAGCTATTCAATTAATGCTTAGACTGTTAATATGAAATAATTCCTGTAATCCTCGCTCTAACAGAGAATCTACCCTCATATGGATACGGCAGTGCCATGTCTCTCCCTAATCGAATATTATCCTCCGTTGTATTGACCAGGTCAACATTAAAGTTTCGGGCAAACATAGCCAAGGTCAGATACATCTCCGCATATGCAAGGCTTCAAGTTTGGTATAAAGTCAGCAGTGATCTGTGGGATCTGCAGATAATGGGAACATACTTCATCCCAAGGCATTGTCGGCTTCCTTTATTAAAGGATACCATGTACTTCTTTAGGTTGATTCCATCATTTGATGCCCTGGTCCATCTCTCTGGGTCAAATTTCTCGGGTTCGGGGAAGATAGTCGGATCATGGTGGACGAAGTATATCGCTTGGCTAACGGGGGTCTATTGCGCTGAATAAGCTTCGTCTAGATCATATATTCCGAATCATTTGAATGTCTTCATACCCCTGCCGGAATTAGATGGTTCTTGTATACGAGATCTTCTGTTGGTGCGATCCGAGCTAAGCGGCCACTCAGGCCGTATGACAGTCGAAGTGCTTCTTGAATGACACCCCCCCTGGCAAAGTCACGTTCAACAGATATCCTTTCCATCTAAGGGGCAAAGTGTTACTTACTAGAAGCGGTAGTTTCTCCAGTTGAGACCATGTCGGTTTACTACCAGGCGAAGGCATAACGAGCTTCAATTCTCCACGCAGCTTCTCCAGGAGAGTCTGATTCTTTGCCAGGTAAAATGCTGCGATCGACAAGGCTCTTGCTGTTGTCTCAGTTCCAGCTCCGAATAAAACAGAAGCTTCGTCTTCAAGTCTATTCACCGTTCTCTCCTCTTCCGGTACACTATCTGCTGTCAAAGCGTCAAATAAGGTCTTTGGCCCTGTCGTCTTCTTTTCTGTAGCATCTAACGCCTCGGCTGCTCGCTGTCGCGTTTGAAGCCTCGTATCGACCAATTCTCCGATTGTACCGGAAAGAATGCCCCATTTCTTCATTGACTCCAATGGGAGCCTTGACAGCAGGTGTGCAAGCGGTGGGATAAACCGGTTAATATGAAAAAGAGTGAACAGGGAATCCAATGCTTCCATGTGATTATTCTTGAAATCAGGTGCGATGAGATACCCACGAGACTCGCCGTGACAATAATGCGTAATCATGTCTGCTGTGAGTGCTGCAAATACAGATGGTAGGCTCAAGACCGTTTCCTCGTGGAACGCTCTGTTGAAGCGTTCCTTTAACGTGTCGACCTTGTCCTGGATAACGCTCTCGAGATCGGTAACGGACTTTTTGGAGAAAAAGTTACTTAGCACTCCGCGTCGTTGTCGGTGTCTTTCATGGTCATTTGTCGATGCCATTGCACCGGGCGTCAGGAGAGCAACAGTGAATGCGGGGTCTTTTTGACGAATTCGCATGCCGCCGGCGTATATCTCATCGTAGAATGCGGGATCCTTAATGTGAACTTCGCGTGGATTGATTCTGATAATAGGTCCTAGAATTGTTCGTTATCCACCTGTGCCTCTCTCATTTTGACCGACATAGGGTAACACTCTACCTACCGTATTTTTGATGCATCTTTTCGATCTCCCACATATACATTCCCTTTCTAACGACATCGTGGTAGAACTCGGGTAGATACGAGATAGCAGCGAGCTTGGGGCCTGGAATTTTAGAAAGCGGGTGGAAGAAAAGCCGGTAAGTGTAACGCGCGATGAAATACGCAACTACCCCCGCCAGGATCGTGGATATACTAGACGCGAAAGCCATACCTCGGTAGTGAACGCCAAAAAAGGCGATTGTGAAAACTCAAAGTCAGACGTTGAAATAGCTGTATTACTATCTCTTTAAATAAATCTCAGAAGAAAAGCTGTGCATTTTTGTAGCTTTCCCGGGCCGATCCTTCCCCTCACGCTAATTTGGAACAAGGCAGCACATCGAGGTCATAGCCAACGGTGTGCATTCCAGTCATTGTCATTGGTTGCTACCTATCAACTAACCAAGAAAGGCTGTAAACCAATCGCTTTTTCGATCAAGCTATCTCGTCTTATGTCAGATTATCGTGACTTTTCCCACTCCGTCTAGTAAACTTTTGATCACATGTTGGTCAACAATATCTCCATATAACTACTAGTAACTATGGACTGTCAAAAATTATCTCTTCGCTATGAACCGACACAGCATCGAAAAATATACCCCCACCCCTGAGAAAGGAAAAAAAAGGTCACTTCTCCCCAGTTGGGGCATACCGACTCCATGTCCACACCTTACGGCCCCAAATATAAAGCAAATACGGCACAGGCAGAAAGATAGTCGCAATAGCCCCCTGAACAGCCAGGGTCCAGTGCGGGCTAAGTTTATCATACATGATATCTGCAATAACAGCCATCACCCCGGCAGCGGTAAGACGAAACATCTGAAGAGACGCCACGGCATTTCCAGGATAATACTCATAGGCGGCCGCGACGTACTGGTACGCCGAGACGAAAACACAAACAACGCCAAAACCAAAGACCACCGAAGAAATAATCGGCGACCAGATCGAAATGGACGGATACGCCTCCATCCCATCCAAAAGAGACCGATTGGTATGGCCGGTGCTCCGAACATGGCCATGGAAAGATTGACTCCGGTTCGTATATTTCATGCTCAGCGGAACGGGTAGGGCGGATGTAAGCACGCCGACTACGATTCCGAAAAAGCAGATGCCGGTTTTTCTATGATCTATGTGGTATATGTTTTCGAAGATTGAGACATAGCCCGCAGAAAAGGTATAGAGAATGATGAAAATGACAGCCACGTAGCAGCTGAAGATGAGAATGATCGGCTCCCCGACGCAGAACACGAATGGGCGACCAAGAGCTAAAGCGATTCGTCGTGGGAAGTAAACCCGGTTGAATTCCATCGGGGCTCGGTAACGATCATCTCCTCACCGTCGTCAGGTTCTCGGTCTTCGGAGCCGAGTCTTCCTTCACCGTGGTACCAGTAGCGACGTTCGTGTGTGCGAACATCTCCAGGTTGGTCGTGTTTGATCACGATCTGTTTATTTATATCTGTTTCTAGATTTGGCGTTGTTCTAGGAACGACTGCATTGTGAATTGTCTGGACGGCCGAGGTGTGTCAGGAAAATTGCCCCAGGCGACTATGGGTCTCCTTTAGCCATACCAACTGGCCAACCTAGCCCATGCCCAGGTGAGAGGCTCCATAGTGGCGCTAGATGACTTATGATGATATTGTGCAAAGGTGGAGGCCCCGGGCTTTCATCGCCGGCACTCGGTTCCCTTTTCCGCCAATGGTGATATTGAGATGCCAGACATGTCAAGCATCATACAACATCAAACGACCGATAAACAGGCTTATCATCGTCTCCATTTTGATCCAGAGAATATAAACTCATGCTAGGTGAGCAAGTGTTAGCATTCGGGGTATTCTCAAGGTAGGAAGTAACAGTACACATTGGCGTGGTCGTGCGAGACATGTTTTATCTACGATCATGTCAGGAAGACTAATGGCTGTAGTCAGCAGCCGATTGAATATAAAATGTTGGTAATCACATGTTCAAAACGATAAATCACAAGCCGTGCAACCGAGTCATCCATACCAAGAAGCATTACACGGACACCAAGCAATGAATTACATACATAGTTCAATTCGTTACACGCAGAAAATCAGATATCATCGATGACTTGAGAGCTAAATTTTTCCCTCGTAATCGCCGCGTCTCACGATTTTACATCACATAAAGGAGGTTTGTGTCTGCAGCACAAGAGTCAGCGGAAATCCAGTCAAGCAATACCAACAAAGGGCTGGGGAATGGGAGTGGAGTGGGGTGGGGCTGGGTTGGTGCTTACCCAGAGGATGGCTGCAGCTCAGCTGCGGCTTTTGGGAATACTTGGCAGAAAGCTCCTCGCGAATGCTGTTCAGCAGCTGGACATAACTCTGCTGGGGGTTCTTGCGGAGAGCGGCGATGAAAGCCCACGACATGGCACCGGTGGCTTGGCCGGCAATCTGGGCATCCTGACTGGTTTGGTCGTCCTTACTGCCGGACCACATGATCACATCTGCAGGGCTGGTCTTGGTCTTGAGGTTGCGCTCGTACACGTCGTCACCTTTGGTGGCCTTCTTAATGAAGCCCATGGCAGTCGACATCATACCACCCATATCACCACGAGCGTACGCCGACACGACACCCAGCAGACCCTGGCCGGCTTCTTTGGCCAGATTGGGCTCCTTAAGGATACCAGACGTGGAGTAGACGTAGGGCAGATCCATGGCAGAGCCAGAGTGGCAGGAATCGAAGATGGCTGTAAGGCGCACACCAGGGCGCAATGACTGGACCATAATGCGGTGCATCTCATCGTCGACGATATGGCCGGCAACTCGGAAGTCCACTGGGTAGATCACTTCATCATATCCATCATCTTCATCACCGTCGAGATCTGGTGTCTGACCACCGTGACCTGGGAAGAAATGTTAGTTCTCGATCATAGTCTCCCCAAGCCTGTCTCTTGTAAACGTAGTCAACTCACCGGAGTAGTGGAAGAAGAGTGAGTCGTTAGGCTGCGCATCCTTCACCAGCCAGTGCATGGCGCGAAGGATGTTCGCCTTGGTTGGTTGGCTCATAGGGTTCTGCTGGTCATCCGTGAGGAGGACCATATCTTCACGGGCATATCCGAAGTTCTGGTTGAGGTATGTCGACATGTTCTTAACATCGTTAATACATCCTCGCAATTGGCCCTTCTGGCTGAAGTAGTTAATTCCAATCAACAGTGCCTTTCTCTTGCCGGTACAGCGCGAGTATTGAAAGCTATAGCCTTGCGGCGCACCGTGTCCGAACGCCACCGGATTACTGGGAGGAGCAGATGGGCGGCCACCACCACCACCTTGGGGATAGTTGTTCGCTATGAAACTGAATGTCAGCGCATGTCGGATAGGAGAAGGGCGTAGCGTAATGGGGTGATATGCGAACCTGGAGGGCGACCCTGCTGGTACATCGGCTGGCCACTAGGTGGTTGTTGATATCCGGACGGAGGGGGACCCTGCTAGAATACGAGATCCATGTCAACGATTTCTGTTCCATCATAGTATGGTGCGATGCGAAACGCGTCTCCATCGAGGTGCGAACGTACATTGTATCCATGCTGCGGGGCGGGCGAACCGTATTGTTGCGGCGGCTGCGACGAATGGCTATATCCGTAGGGGTTGGAGGGGGCGGGCGCCTGTTGGTGATAGGACTGGCCGGGGTAGCCACCGCCACCGCCGCCATAGGAGGGCTGCTGCTGATGGTTCATCGGACTGCGACAAAGAAAGGTCAGTTTCATGGAAAACCCGGGGTCAACCGAGGAGAGAAAGCGATCGCGTACGGATACTGTTGCTGCGGGGGGTACGATTGCTGGGGCGGGGGATAGCCTCCCTGGCCGCCTTGGTATGGCGGGTAATAAGACATGTGAAGAAAGATGTGAGAAGTGAGATGTGGGAAGAAGGTTCACAGTTCACAGTTCACGGGGCAAAAGAAAGAGAGAGGTCGGATTGTGGAGAAGGGCGATCCAAAGCAAAACAGAGCGGGAAGGACGGAGATGCCGCCAAGCCAGATTCGTAAGAAATGACGGCAGTAGGCAGTGGCAGCAACAATATAGTAAAGGTAGAGAGGTAGAGAGGTAGAGAGGTAGGGAGGTAGAGAGGGGAAAAGCAATGGAAATATTGAAAGAAAAAGAAAGAAAAATCCAGACTGCAGGAACGAGGGGAGTCGGAGTCGGGTTAAAACGCGAACTGTGATCGACCAAAGAGATAGGAAGCTTACCTACTTTGGATAATAACTACGAGAGTCGATCCCTGTAGGGCGCGGCGATCAGATTATCAATAGCAGAAGAACTTGCACTAAAATACAAAAACAGGAAATAGAAGGCAGGACACAACATCAGTTCGTGTCAGACTTTATATTCGAACAATGCCCAGCCATCGGCCGCTCCGAGAGGCCACCCCTGCAGCCCAAAAGCCCACGCGCCAACGAACTGGGTGGATTGGGCTGAACCGAGAGAGGAATAGGCCGGGTGTCATGATTTGCATATTTCTCGGCCCCGGAAGTCGTGTTACACAGGGTTTAGAGGGAGTCGGAGTACATATGGGCCATCATGCCCAGTCAGTGGTCCCATTGGCGTGGATGGTGAAGAGTGGAGTTAGTTACCTGTACGAAATGAATAGCTGAAAATAAAAATAATAATGGATCGGACACAAAAGCAAGAATACTGGTAAATATCGGCTGCAGGAATCTTCACAATGCACACCTGGTTCCATTAGATTCATCGCCTGCGGGCGATCTATCGACGATCTATTCAGGAATCGGAGAAGAAGCAAAAGCCAATGCGAGTCCTATGTACCTTGGGAGAGACTAGTTATGTCAAAAGTTCAAAGTATGTCTACACCTTTTTTTTCTATTCTCCCCATGCTTTCATATCGCACAGGCCCCCCTCCCTCTTCGTAACCATCCACAACACACACACTCAAAGCCAGCGCGCGTAGAGAGATGGCTCTTGGTTCACTTCCCCCTCCTCCCAGCAAGGCTCGTTTCATTAGAAGCCTGTGGTTCCTTTTTGCTGCACTCGTAGACTTTCATCTTTCTCGTAGCATTAACTCGTTTATCGACGAGGCATTCCGCGACCACGGCCACGGAGCGCACGCTGTGCAGCACCAGGCGGCATACCGCGCTGGGGACCGCTTCCAGGCTGGGCAGATTCCTCGTTCTCTGTTGGGCGAAGATTGCATTAGCCAGGTACGATGCGAAAAGAGGGGGGGGGGTGAGGGGTAGAAAACGAAGAAAAAAAGAAAAAAAAGCAAGAGAAAAGTGAAACATAAAGACGGGGGAATGATAGATCACTTACTGATTGTCTCGTCGACACTGAGAATCAAGCATGCTGCTTCCACGGCCGCTTGGATCGCGTTGACCTTGACCAGGCTGGGCTCCCACACGAAAGCGACCATGTTATCACGGACACCCTCGTTGTCGAAGTCAACACCGGCCCAAACGTTGTTCTTACGGTGCTCCACGCGCAAGCGGTTCAGAATATCAGTCGCGTCGAAACCAGCATTGTCGCAAAGCTGGCGGGGAATAACTTCCAGAGCCTTGGCAAACGCCTTGACCACGGCCTGCTGCTTGTGGGGGACATTGCGGTCGGCGTAGCCATGCAGGTGGCTTGACAGCTCCATCTCGGTGGCACCTCCACCGGCAACAATGGTGGTGTTGCGCAGGGCGCGCTTGACAATCATGATAGCGTCGTGCAGACTGCGCTCAACCTCAGCAATGAATTGCTCAGCACCACCACGCAGGACGAGAGTGCATGTCTTAGCGGCAGGGCACTCGGAGAAGACGTTGAAACGTTCTCCACCAATCTGGCGCTCCTCGAAGGCGCCGCAGGTACCGAGGTGACGCTCCTGGATGTCGGTGCATGTCGACTGGGTGGCGGCAGCGGTGGCCTGGCAAACACGGTCCATGTCGTCGGATGAGACACGACCAGCACAGAAAATGTCACGGTCCGCGAAGTATCTAGATAACACAGTGATTAGTACATCGAAGAGAAAGTCCCTTGATTCCAGCGGGTGCTTACTGTGTGGCAAGGTCACCAATGGGCAACTTGCTGAGAACAACCTTGGCCCCGGTGTTGTAGACAGCCTCCAGCTTGTTATAGATGATCCGCCATTCCGCATCGACAATAGCCTGGTACTCGGAGACTTGCTCCACGCGGACCTCCGCATTGTCCTTCTCGCTCTTCAATTCCAACTCAACATTCAGGCAAACGATCTTGGGGTTCGTGAAGTACTTGGGCTGCTGCTCGAAACCGGCGTAGGAGAAGGTCTTCTTAAAGGCGACACCGTTGACGAAAAGAGATTCCTGGAGACCACCACCAGTCACCTTCTTCACACCGATCAATTTCTCGTTGAGATCGTCCTGGTCTAGAGTGAGAACCGCATCGACAACCACTATATGTAGAAAATCATTCAATTAGCCATCCGAATGCCACACATCCAATCCCCACAAAATTCAGGGGATCCAGCGGGGCACCATATGCTCACTCTTTGTGAAGAACTCCTGATTCCGCTTGATAAGCTTGCTGTTCATGGCGGTTCCAGCTAGTCGCCGGAGAGTCTCATTCTTCTTTTCCTCGCTTCCTGCCGACTCGATCATCTCCACCGCAATCTCCTTGATCTTGTTGACCGCCATGGCGCTGGCTCTCCGCAGACCCTTGATGATGGTCTGCGAGCTAACACCTTGCTCGACGAGGTCTCGGACCTCCTTGAGAATCTCACCAGCTAGGACAACGACGGAAGTTGTACCGTCACCGACTTCGGCATCTTGGGATCGGGCAATGTCCGTGAGGATACGGGCGGCGGGGTGGACAATGTCCAGAAGCTATCAGGGGGGAGACAATAAGTCAGCATCGTCACTTTTTCCTATCCAGGTTCTGTTGTTAGGTTGTACGGAAGAGATACAAACCTTCATCACAGTGGCTCCATCGTTTGTGATGGTCTGCTTGCCATTGCTGTCAACAAGCAGGAGGTCACCACCGTAGGGGCCGAGGGTGCTCTTGACTGTGGACTGCACAGCAATACAGGCGTTGATGTTGGAGATGATTTGACCCTTTCCTTGGGAAGCGTCGGTGCCTGTACATCCAAAGCGAAAATGGTTAGCATGGCTCGCTGGAATCCCACTAAACTGCCGCCGGGGGGGAAATGGGAAGAACACAGACCCTCCTTCAGCACGACGATGGTGGGCGTTTGGCCGGCGAAGGCCATTGTAAAATCGAGAGCGAAAGCGAGACCGTAGACCGTTTGGTTTCGAATATAGGGATTAGAAGAAAAAGGAAGATGGTCCTAAGTCGTTACGGGGGCTCGGAGGGGTTCGCTGATCTTCGACCGCCAAAATTTCCCAGAGCTTCTGTTCCCCTCAAAATGCCCCCCGAAGCCCCAAGGCGGTGACAGCACACACTAACCAGTGATAAGCACACTCCTTTTACTTTAATTTACGCATACTCTGTGAAAAATCTTGAAGTTATTTTCATTTGTAAATTGTAATGTACCATGCTGATGAAAATCATAATCAAGCTGTACAACAACGATTTTGGGTTAGCCCGACACTTCCACAAATACAGTCGTCACAGAATACAAAAAGGGTGGTATCCAAGGGCCTCAAAACACAACGCCAGGGCGATACAAAATCATTTCAATATGAAACAAGTAGAAAAGATAGAACTAGAAAGTCCAGCTTAGGTAAAGTCGTAATTTCCTTCCGACGGACTGCCATACTCGAACTTAGCGAGAAGCTCTGCATCATGTTGCAAGTCATGGGAAGGTGGGTTCATCAATCCAAGCACCTCCTGTCGAAATGGGTCGGAGCCGTCGTCAACCATCATTTGATAGGCATTATTGGCCGTATGGTAACGCATTAAATCGTCGAAATTGGAAATGTTCATATGTGGGACTGGGGCAAATCCACCGGCCATGGCATGCTGCTGCTGCTGCTGCTGTTGGTGGTGATGGTGAGGATGTTGCTGTTGATGTTGCTGGTGTTGCTGCTGCTGCTGCTGCTGCTGTTGTTGTTGATGTTGTTGTTGTTGCTGCTGCTGCTGGCGTCGAGCTTGCTGCTGGAGCATGATTTGAGGATCAAGGGGCATTTGGTTGAAGTTCGCCATGGGATGTACCGCCCAGGAACGGTCGCAGGGGGCTGAGGATTCATGAAAGGATTGTGGCTGGGGGATTCGTCTGGTGCTTCATCCATCTCCTGTGGGATTTCAATCGCCTGCTTTGAGTGATCAACCTCCATACTTTGATCCGGCACATCTGAAGCCCCGACTGAAGGAGACGAATCCTCCTCTTTAGTGCCAGGGATTGGTGGCAGTTTGAGTGTCTCTTTGCATTGCGGACAGTCTCGAATCACTCTGTTGACGGTCTCCTTGATCCTAACCCAGTGATATTTGATGGCAATGGCTGCGGTGGTCTTGTTGATGCCAGCATGCTGCTTCAGATGGACCTCCTGTGCAATCTCATACTGCTGCTGTGGATCTGATACCACTTCCTTGTCTTTGAGCATAAGTCTTTCAGGTTCGCCATCCTCTCCACCCGTGAGCTTGTAATGAGTGGCCGCGCTACGGAGTCGGCTTTTTTCGGCTCGATCAGCACCACGAGGATACTTTGAATGCTTGAGATAGTAGCGAATCTTCTCAAACCGATCCTGTGAGACGGAGTCCTCGCCATCGAGACTAAGCGTGCGGCCATAGATAATTGCGTCGACATACTCGCCGGGCTGTGACTTTAGTTGACCTCCACCAGGGACTCTGCCGATCCGCTTGAAGCCCAGCGAATCCCACAAGCGACAAGATGCAACGTTAGACTCGTAAACCAAATTGAAAACAGCATATGTGTATCCCTGTCAGAATTGTTAGCCAAGTATCGAATGTGGGATGTAGATAACAAGATATTCGCCCAGGCACCTACCAATCGAGGAGACCATTCCAGGTACGACTCTCCCATTAGTCGACCAACACCCTTGTTTCGAGCAGCATCTGTCACGATGAAGGTACCGTTGCATACATGGCTACTCCTACCGGGGTAATTGGGACGAATGTGAAAGCCACCGAGGCAAATCTTAGTCCAATTGGCACCGGCCCGGTCCATAGAGTGCGTCTGCTCGGCACTCTCAATATCACCGAGCAACATTACCACACCAAAACTAGAAAACCAATAACGGCCAAATTGGGCCAATGGAATCGGCTCGGACATGGCATAAGTATCTCCCTTTTCAATTTCCTTATTGAATTGATCAGAGAGATACTTCAGTAACGGCCGGGGTACATCGTCCGCGGAGGCGAAGGGCACCAGGGTCGCCACCGTCACCCGATCACGAAGGGTGACTTGTCGCGGAGCCAACGCAGGATACTCCAACTCAGGGCCTGTTGACACGACTTCTGCATCTGCTTGAACTTCAGACATGTTGAGATGGATTGGAGGCGTTGATCACGGGACTGTTTTCCATATTAGTCGATCTGGGGGAGTTGATCCATTATTTTACGCCGAAATCGCAGGGAGAGGACAATGAGGGTCGTAGGATCGCCACATCAGGTGAATGAATAGAATTGCAGCGATATTGCACCGCCAGCTCAGCAACAGGGGGAAGACACTGACATTCTGTACAGCTTCTAGAAGCCGTTTTGGCACTTCGAGGACCGCGTGGGTATTCTGGAGTCCGGAATGACTGCAACGCAAGTTGTCGAAGCCGTCGTCCTTGCTGACTCATGGGTCACCTGACTAAAGTTAGTGCCTTAATGCCTTGGTGCCTTGGTGCCTCCTTCTTCAGGCGTCAATTCCCTCCCGTTCCTAATCCACAACAGGCATTGATCGTCCACCACTGCCCATCGCTGCCCCACCATTTACTTTTTACTCTCTGCAGGCTGGGAATTCGATCTACTAGTATCCCACTGGTCCCTCCAGTGGAGCTGAATTCGACACCGACATTTGCTCATTGATTCCACTCTCAAGCGAGCCTGCAGAATATGACGCCTTCCTTGGCCTGAGGCTTCCAAGCAAACATGAAGGAGGGGTTCGCCCTGATCTGTCACTCCAGGGATCGGTACTAGCTCCGATCCCCTCCCCCTCCCCGGCGAACATGAACTCGAGCACGCCACGCAGACACTTCAATCGTCATCAGTGCATTGAGGTTACGATTTTATATCCATAATGGGAGACGCAGGTCCACCTCAGTACTATGAAAACACTCTGATCCCTCTCCCCATCAATTCGGAAACACTGGTTGAGTCTTTCCGGGAGTTACGCGATGCTGTTTATATCGGTTCCGAGTTGGTTCACGTCAACGAGACGCTGCCGGAGAAATGGTCTGTTGGGGGCATGTTTAAACATTTTCCAGGTACAGTCAATAGTCTACTCTAATTCAACACAATCCTACCGAGTAAACGGCTAACCTTGTACCTACGAGCAGGTGTCGCCCTTGCATTCCTGCGCCTTGACTACCAATCTTCCGTACTAGCAAATGCTGGTAAGCCTTCGCCAGATTATCGCGGCTTCGCCTTGCAACGGATCCCGTCAGGTTTCCCCGATTGTCCTCTCCGGCCGTCTCGCCTATCCCCAGCTGGATCTTTCTCTCCCATAGCTGCTGCTACATTGCATATTCTGTCCAAGGTGGCACAGGCCAACTGGCAGTCTGATTCCAAGCCCAGCTTGGCTCAGGAGGATATCGACTTTCTATTCGATGCCGCAAATCTAGCACTGCAAAATGAGCACCTTGTTCCCCATGACGATCGAAAGATGGGAGGAGACGAGATGTTGTACGGCCGAGCAGGCCTACTCTGGGTCCTACTAAACATTCGAACTCATGAATTTGATGAGGGTACTCGGAAAGCTCTTTCCCCGGTTCTCGATACTATTCCTCGTTTGGTTGATGTAATCATCGATGCCGGTCGGCAAGGTGCGAAGGAATATATTCAAGAGCATGGAGAGACGGATGCGCATCCATTGATGTACCCTTGGATGGAAGGCCGCTATTGCTTTGGAGCGTGAGTCAAACTTCGATTGATTATTCTTACGTGCTTCAACACTAACACCTTGAAATCAGGGCTCATGGAATTAGTTAGTATTTTATTTGAACAAATACCCCTCTAGTAGAACCCACTAACCATTCATTATCATCACAGCTGGCATATTGACTATACTTCTTTCATCCAAGCCCGAAGAGCTCGAAAGGCACCTGAGCATAATTGGGTCCACCATCACAGCGCTCTGCAAGCTCAGCAATGCCACGAACGGACATCTTCCAATGGCACTTCCTCCAATGAGCTTTGGCCAAACATCTGAATTTGTTCAGCTCTGCCACGGCAGCCCCGGGATTCTTATTTTACTCTCTGCAGCCTTGAAAAATGGCCCACTTACTCGGGACCATTGGTGCCCAGATTGGGACCAGACCATCTACCTGGCCACACAGCGTATTTGGGAAGAGGGCATCCTATCCAAGGGAGGCAGTCTATGCCACGGCATTTCTGGAAATGCATGGCCGTGGCTGATGTTGCATGACGCTTTTGACTATCATTCAAGCGATATCAACGAAGCCAGATCCACATATATCCAACGAACTGGAATCTCGTCTCTACCCCCAGATTTCAGCGAAAAGCTCACACCAGACTTCTTCCTCTCCAAAGCTCTCGCTTTCATGCTCCATTCTCGTGAAACTCGTCCGTACAACACTGCATCCACAAATTCGGACAAGGAGTACCGAATGCCTGACGACCCTTACTCCTTGTATGAGGGTCTTGCGGGCAATATATGCGCGTGGGCTGAAACTTGTGCTGTGCTCCAGGCGAAACTTCGCAAGATTGAACTGAGCGCAAAGGGTGTTCCTTATGAAGATGATAGTGTTTTCCAGCAAGCCATGAATAGTCAGTTGGGATTTCCCCTTATTGGTGGGAATGGGGCTGTCGGTATTCTTTGAAAATTCGAATGTCTCTTACATTGCTCTCGAAGGAAAGCACTTGAATGCTGTTAGCTACCTCCTAGAGTCTGGTGCAGACCCAAATATAAGAGACGACAATCAAATGTAGGACTCGCAGTACTAGGTATTTGAACCAAAGCTCTGAAATTAATTATCCTCATTCTAGTCTCCCCGTTTTTGCTCTTATGGGCATGTCATCGGATAAGACAAGGGTTTTTCAGCAGCTTCCTCCACGATGGGATGCTTGGATTCAGGTCTTACAGCTTCTTATAAAACACGGAGCGTCCGTTCATGGAGTCCTCCGCGAAAAGACCCTGAGTATGCTCAACATCAACCACCCATCGGGAGACGAGCAAATCCTAGATTTCTTCAGGATCTTGCTATCAGAAGGCTATACGTACTGGGAAACGACCGACCGGTTCGGATGGTCTGCGGCTCTTACCGCTTTGAGAACCAGAGGCCATACTTTACACGCTCTCGAGTTCCTTACAAAAAACGGTGTCGATATGAGCAGAATCATGAATGACGGGAAATCACCACTTCATGTCTCTGCCGAAGTTGTCGACGACGTGAAAGTCCTGGAATATCTTGGAATATTGGGTGCTCAGCCGAAATTAACAAACAATATAAATGGGGCTGGACCCCATTGCATTATAGTATCGCCTGTGCATTTATAAGGCCGTGTCCGAATTCAATGCAAAAGATCCGCTTCCTTTTGCGCAAAGAGGCAGATATCAGCTTGAAAGGCAGGCGCCAAGGTCTTTTTTGGGGGGAGAGAATGCCTAGTGATGACTTCACTCCTGGCGGGCTGTGTCAAGTAATAGATCCTTCTTTATATTCTAAACTTTTGGAGGAAGTCAAAGCCACGGGAAAAGCTCGCCAGGCATAAACGTGAAATAGTCACTAATACCACTCGGCGTATCGTTTTGAACAGTAATCGAGCTTCGTATCAAAATAAAACATTTCAATTTTCACAAATTGCCGATTACATCAAGGTAAATTCGATGTTTAGGACTTGGAAGTGGTTCGGGTTTTGACGCTTTTGACAAAACCCGGATTGGTAACGGATCTTGCCGACAGGGTGGTCTCGGACTCAAGAGGGGCCGAACTGTGAAATCGTTCTTCGAGATGAGAAATAGCTCTTGTTTCTTTTTCGTGCTTCCATGTCTCTTTTTTTATTATTTAAGATATCTCTAGATCGCTCAAAAATGTACTGTCAAATACCAACAACCGGCTAGATCATTATTCTAGCCAATCTTCACTTTGAAGAACAACTTTTCAAAAGATGCCGCTCCTTGAGATCATACAGCTTGATGCGAATTCGATTCTCCGTGAGGATGCATCGCTTTCAAGTCCCAATGAGAAGATCCAGAAGCTGGTCCGAGCCATTGAACAGGTGAACCCTTCCGTCGATTTCGTTCTTGGCACCCACCATCAAGACAAGAACGCTATTCAAATCACATTCGAGCACCGCGACAATTCAAAGTTTACCACCAGTGAGCGTGTTCTGGGACCTGTTTCTGTTTCGGAAACTATTGCTGGTTTTTACGATGCACCCTTCAGAATTTTCCGTGTCAACCTTGATCATTCTGTGTTCGGACCAACTGGATTTGCTACGGCGAACGCAGTGGAGTTCGTCCTATCTTATTTTCCAACTTCGAGCTTCAATGCAGAACTTCAAAAGAAGATTGAAGACGACTTTATAAGGTTTGATGAGATATACAGTCCGGCTACGACGGGAGACCAGGGCTTGGTATATGGTTGGCTGGAAGAGGAGCAGCCCCATGAGGATGTCGATGGAGGATCCGCAACGTGTTTTTTTGTCATGAGAGGATGGAATAGCATGGACAGTTTTGAGGCCTCGATCAAAACTGAAGCCTTTAAAGAAGCCATACCTTTACTATTTGGCTGGAACGCTCCGTTCAAGATGGTAAGTCCTTTTTCCTTTCTCTACGTCAGTGGAGGCTAATGAGTCCAGTGGCATGTTGAGCGTCAATCTTGAAATCCCTGTATGAGCATTAATTTATCTATAAGCTAAATTTACTACTGGTGCTAGCTTCTATTTTGGCTACAGTGACGGATATTCAATTAGACGCCTTACGTATAGGTACCAATGTAGGGCCAGGCCACATATCAGGGTTTGCGCCACCCCTGACATTTCGAACATGTCATCCAGTGCTTTTTTATGCCCTTACTGCCTGAGCCCTCAGCATTATTACCAGCCCCCCCTCCGAGTCTTGACTATAGACGAACGTTCAATATCATCATTGGCTTGTCGCTTGGCGGAGGGTGCCATGGTCACCATAGTGAGGAGAATGTGTTTAATAGCTTCGGAAATAACTATGGCAAACGATACGGTGGATTCAAAGCGAGAATGATGAGAAGTCCTCAATAATTTTGTGTGTACAAACTTTGTTTGCGTCTGCTTTCATCCCAAAGTCAGACTCACACATAAAAGCAGACAGATATAGGCCTGAAAACCAGCATGGCTGGTGACTACCATAGGTACACTCTCAACTACACCTTGAACCATATTTAAAATTACTAAAAGAAGCATAGAAGTCTGGAGAGTAAGATTTGCTAATAAACTCTTTAGTGGCGATAGATAGGATGTTGCTGTGGTACATCATGGATGACGGATGGGGCCAAAGCCAGGCCCGACGGGGGAAGTGCGGGTGCGGGGCGCAACGTGGCTGAGTCGAAGTCGGGCAACTGACCAGATCCTCTTCAACGTCAACACTGGCAGCAAGGAAGTGACTGGTCCAGGAATCGAGATACATAAATGATGCAGGTCATCCTCCCACAATATATGGCCCCACCCACCTGACAATGAATCCGATTCCCCCGTCATACGAGTCGGCGACAGACCGAGATGCATGGGTGATAATTGCCCACTACATACCATCCAGCGATCTATGCGCTGCTTCACTAGTTAGCCATCGATGGCACGATCTCTTTGTGCCTTTTCTGTGGGGCGATCCTGCCTCTCATTTCGGCACGGACAATGATGCTGTTTATGGTAGATTCCCGCGGCCGTCTACATTACTAGTAGGAATGGCCCAAAGACTGACGCATGCGAACAGTGGCCCTTACGCGGTTCAGAAGAACTCTCAAATATGCCAGACCAGAAGTGCGAGCTTTGACACATACGCTTCACCTTCCGCCTGCGCTATCGGAGATCTATGGTGGCCCACGACCAGGATGGCTGCGCGACATTCTAGAGTACTTACCTTGCTTGCAGTGCTTGATGGTATCGAAGTTACCTTTCTTCGACCACAATGCCATGGTTGCACTCAAGAGCCACCAATATATCCAATATAACGTTCGTCTTCTGCTTGCAGACCATGAGCCAAACACTACGTCTTCGGGCCTAGCGGAAACAATTGTGCGGTTTCCTCTATTGACTTACCTGGATCTCTCATACACAAAATCATCAAGAGATCGCAGTGTATTATCTTCAATCTCACAGCTAGAACATCTACAAGTACTCAAGTTGCGCGGTATAGGCCTGAAGGATAACGACGCTGAATTCCTTGCCAACGCAATCGGGACTCGCGTTCGTTTTCTCGACTTGAGGAATAATTTACTCACTGATATGTCTGTCCGCTCTCTGCTACAAGCTTCTTTTCATCCTCCTGGTCAGTCAATACAGCAACCTTCGAGGCGGACTGGTACCTCCCCCGACCCATTCTCTCAATTCATAAGAATGGGTGAATCCGACTTCTTGAAATCCCCGCTGTTGGATGAGCAGATCATCAAGTTCTTGGCTCAGCCGATCTCAAACAATCCTTGGATTGAGGACCTTCCGCATACCGGTGTCACGCACCTTTATATCGCAAACAATCAAATCACCGTTGAAGGCGTAGCTAGCCTTCTAGCTAGCTCCCGGCTCCATGCTCTCGACGCTGGAACTGTGCATACAGCTGATCTCATACACACGAAGACTCTATCACAAAAGGCTGGGAGGTATCCAGGAGCGGAAAAGCTTGTCCCTCTTTTAGGTAACTTGGCTGGGGTAAATTTGACGTACTTCCGAGTGAATCATGCTGTTCTTACCGCAGAGCCACCAGCAAAGGATGCTGCATCAACAGCTGAATTTCTACCAGAGCTTCCATCTGATGATGTCAGTCGTGAAGTCGAATTGGACGCCAGCCAAGAAGTTCATGAAATGGCTGGAGACGAACTGCCCGTTTTCGAATTGGCGGACACCTCAACATTTGATGCTTCAAGCTCTAAAGAAACCATCACTCTAGCTCGACCCCGTCATTCGGCATCTTACGAAGACGAGGCTATGCCATCAGTCAGACGGGGCTCTGCTTTCGCCCCGGAAGTCATCTCATCAAACCGACATGAAGTGGCTAACAACGACTCTGCGAGCTTGAGCCACAGCGTGTCCTTGGGCTCAAATGGATGGGGCATCCGACGGGAGAACACGATGTCGTCAATATCAATCAGTGCTTATGGTGACTCAATGAATCCCGACTCTTTAGGTCCTATAGCGCAGTGCAGCTCCCCGATATCAGGAGATGATCCTCGCGCCCAAAGTATACAAGAACTACTTTCCAAGCGTCCGCGAAATCAATCGATCCCCCTTCGAGGTGGGAAGGAAAGTCGATTCCCATACCTTCATCCGTCTCACATTCCACACCTGGAGACCCTGGTCTTGACAGATGTCCCGTCACATATCCCACCCAACTCCCCAGTACTATACACCCTCAAACGGTTTATCACGGCTTGTTCCAATGAAGCGCTACTTGCGACACTACAGGCGGGCTCGGACTACTCGCTTCCACCAGGCAAAGCCCGACTACAAGCCGAGCAACAACGATCTCGCTCTTTGTTCGGCCTACGACGAATCATCCTTGAGATTACACCTACCGACATATGCACTCGACTTACCACTTGGAAGCCCGCCAGTCAACATAACGGTATATCTAACTCGAGCACCGGCGATCGTGACTCGGAGAATCTCTGGGAAGCAGCAACAGAAGACTTTAGTTTCTTTGGCGAAGAGGAGTGCGGTATTCCCGAAAATGACCCGGGCAAATACTTCCCCATGGCCGTTCTGAATGAGAAGGTCTCACTCATGCATTCGGATGATGACTCCACTTACTCCGGCAAGGAATCTCCCTTGCCTCGTGGTGTCTCGCGGCAGGGTATGGCCTCTGTTCCGGGGCGGACTCCTAGCCCCTCGGGCCGCGAGGGAAGCCCAGAGGGCGAACTAATTCAGAACGTTGACGTGGTTGCCGAACTTGCTGCTTTCCGCCGAACAAAGAAAGCGGAATATGAGCAAATGGTGCGGCGGGAGAGAGGACGACGGAGCACGATGGGCAGTGGTATATCCAGTTTTCTGCCTGTGTCTGCACCTCAGATCTCCATGGCGCATTTCGTTGAGGGTCATTGGAAGGGCGAAGTCAAGGTGGTACGGAACCCAACGCCAAAGGGTCGCACTGGGACGGTGGATATGTATGGCAACTATTTTGAGAAGGGATATCTATACCCATGACGGGTAAATAGAAGATCCAAATCGCATGTCGAGCAACAGCAATATCAGACAGATAGAAACTACGAGATAAATACTAGTTGTAACCATAAAATAAAGGGTGATTTTTTGGTATTTTCTAGCCCAATATACGGACTCGTCCTTCCCTCCAATCATGCAGAAGCCATCGTCATTTGGCTCAATTCGTCAAAAGACACAAAGACAGGTACGAATGGAACGTTTCCTCAAAAGAAGAACCCAGAAGGATCACCTTTCGCATCCTCATCCGCCCATTTGTTTGATCAACTCGTGCCCATCCATTTTTGTCCATTTTTCTTGGTCTTGCGCAGTGGCATTTTGACGGGAAACGTCCATCACAGATATCGCCCGAGGAAACACCACTGCGATCCGTCGGTCAAGAGCACGGGAAAGGAAACAAAATAAAAGAAGTGATTTCATTTCAGACTAGTTCCATTTTATTTTGTTCGTTGTATCACGTTCCTCTCCTTTACAGAGCCTTAGCGGCCTGGGTGGGTTGCAGCTTCTTGCCGTCCTTGTTGTAGCGGATGCGGGGAGGGGGAGCACGGTTGCGGCGGCCTTCGCGGGAACGGACACTGTAGAGCAATTAGTTAGATTTGGAACGGTTCGGGCGATTTGGGGTTGCGAGCAAAGGATTGCGTACCGAACGATCTTGCCGTGAATAGCGCAGGAGACGCAGTACTGCAGCTTGAGGTACATCTTGGGGACGGAGTACTCGGCGAAGACGGAGGCCTCGGAGATATCACCTATAGATTGGACAATTCGTTAGACGGGGGTTTGTTTCTTTTTTCGCGTATTTTCGTAAGCAGGGCCAGCGGGAGCCTCCAAAGTTAAGTCAAGTCGTATATGGCTTCGAAGTCTCCCGGCTGGTGATAGATAGTGCGTGGATGGAATGTTGTGAGGGTCACATACGGATGGCGGCGGACTCGACCATGTTGCGGATGGTGAAACGCTTGATGGCCTTGTCCTTGGGGACGCAGCGAGCGCAGTTGGAGCAACGCACGGGGTTAACGTGGCCGCGGCCGTTCTTGTTACGACCGCTAAAGAATCAATCAGTCATCGTGTTCCCTTGGGTTTATGTTCATGTTCGAGTTGTGCGATGTGTCCCCAGTTTCCCCATTCTCCGTCGTCCGGCAATGCGCGTTTTTGTGTCGTGTTCTGTTGATATGTGTTCGATTTGGAGTGTAATAGGCGAATGTTTCATCGAATTGGGTCGGCGTCATTGCGGAGATGTCGAATGGGAGACTGAGATCGCGAATTCATTGGGAGGGATAGGTCTTACTTGTTCGCCCGCTTCTTGACCATTTTGACGGATTTCTCTGTGGAGGGTCAGATGTTGGATCCTTCGACGGAAATGTAAAGGGGGGGAGGTAGCGTACGGTTGATTTGTCGGAGGTGGGTTGTCGAAGCTCGCTCACTCAGTGACTCTTCCGGAATGGATGGGAGTTGATTGTGTTGTGGGAAGCCCTAAGCCCTTAAGCGAGACCCACGGACAAAGTTCACTGCCTTACCGCCTTGTGGCCTTGTAGCCTTGTTGCCTTAGTGGCCTTAGTGGGTCACCCCGTCTGATGTCATCAGATATTTCTGTCTGACCGCCTTTCTGCCTTACTGCCTGCCCATCAAGCGGTGAGCCCATCACGTGGACAAGTCACGAGAAGACCCCTCCCAAAAAGGGACTAGCGCCCGGGACAGCGCGAATGTTTACGCCCGTGCATCTACCGAACCCCCCCCTGGTCGAGGATCGTCCGACGACTACCCTTTTTTCTTTCCGGCTGGACGAACTCCCTTGCTTTTTTCCTCATACCAGCTCTTGTCGTTTGTTTGCTTCACCCCTCTCTCTCCCTCTCTTCCCCCCCTCCGCCCTTCTTTGTTGTGTCCTTCCCCTCCTGGCATTATTATGTCGCATACAGGTACTTTTAGGGGAACGCCCAATAAAACTATCGGGAGAGGAAGGCTGCCCGACTTCGACAACTCAGGTGGTTCACATATCCCTCGTCCTCGTTCAGACCGTCCCGAATCCGTTGCCACTCCCAACACCCCGGCTAGCGACGTCGGAAGCGGCACCATGAGCGCCGCCAGCACCAGACAACGACAGACTCAGTCGAAGCGTGATGAGGTGCGTGATGGATGATATAGGATCGACATGCTTCAACATGCCTCGCCCATCTACCCAACTCCATCTTTTTTTTCTTAGATTGCCGACTAACTCACTGGGTTTTCGCAGGCTATCCGCCGCAAGATGGAGGCCGACCTCAACAAAAAGAGGCACAATCCGGCCAAAGCTCGCAACTCCCGCAAGGCCCCTCCCGGCACCGTGCTGGCCCTGAAGCCAAGCCAGGCCCTCCAGATCAAGCCCTCCCTCAGCATCGCCGAGGCTGCCCAAATGATGGCTGCCAAGCGCGAGGACTGTGTTTTGGTTACCGACGATGATGAGCGCATTGCTGGTATCTTCACTGCAAAGGATCTTGCCTTCCGTGTGATCGGAATGGGATTGAAGGCACGCGAGGTTTCTGTCGCCGAAATCATGACCAAGAACCCATTGTGCGCCCGAACGGACACTAGCGCTACTGACGCCCTCGATCTGATGGTGCGGAAGGGTTTCAGACATTTGCCGGTCATGGACGAGAACCAGGATATTTCCGGTGTGTTGGATATCACCAAGTGCTTCTACGATGCGATGGAGAAGTTGGAGCGCGCTTACAGCTCCTCGCGGAAGCTTTATGACGCATTGGAGGGTGTTCAGACTGAGCTGGGTTCGAGCCAGCCCCAGCAGGTTATCCAGTATGTGGAGGCCCTGCGATCCAAGATGTCCGGCCCAACTCTTGAAACCGTCCTTGATGGTATGCCCCCGGTCACTGTGTCCGTCCGAACTTCGGTCAAGGATGCTGCTGCATTGATGAAGGAGCACCACACCACTGCTTTGCTTGTCCAGGACCAGGGCTCCATCACCGGTATCTTCACCAGCAAGGACATTGTCCTGCGTGTTATTGCCCCTGGCCTTGACCCCTCCAACTGCAGCGTTGTCCGCGTCATGACACCTCACCCCGATTTCGCCCCGTCCGATATGAGCATTCAAGCTGCTCTCCGTAAGATGCACGGTTAGTTTCGCCCATTGACAACCGTACCTTGCAAGATACTAACATGTAAATAGACGGCCACTACCTCAACTTGCCTGTGATGAACGAGGGCGGCGAGATTGTTGGCATGGTTGATGTGTTGAAGCTCACCTATGCCACTCTCGAACAGGTACCACTCCCTACTAGAAGGCCGGCTAGAATATCTGTAACTAACGCAAGTGCTAGATCAACACCATGGGATCCCAGGATGACGAAGGACCCGCGTGGAACAAATTCTGGCTTTCAATGGACCACGAGTCTGATTCGATGGTCTCTGGCAGTGCCAGTCACCAGCCCCATACGCCACACCGCTCCGTCATGAGCCCCGACCTGACCAGGTCAGGCTACGACAACAGTGTTCTCCCGAACGAATCCGCCTCTCACCATGGCGGCGAAGAGCATTCCGAGGTTGCTTCTCACCAACACCAGCAGCAGCCCGCGGAGGATGCCCCATTCCCATTCAAGTTCAAGGCGCCCAGTGGACGGGTGCACCGTGTGAACGTGCTCGCCACGGCTGGTATCTCTGATCTCGTAGCACAGGTGACCGCAAAGCTTGGCTCTGAGCTTGAGGCTGTTGGTGGTGAGGCTGCGGTTGAGGAAGGACGTCTCAGCAACACCGGTTATGCTCTCAGCTATATGGACAATGAAGGCGACACCGTTTCAATCACCACGGATCAGGATATGCTCGATGCCATCAACCTTTCACGCCACACGCGCCGCGACAAGGTTGATCTGTTTGTCCATGACCCAACCCAGCCCCCTATCCCTGCCACTTTGGACCCGCAGCCTGCCAAGCCTGCAACCCCTGTGGTGGAACAGAGCAGCCCTGTCCCCGAGGAGTCTCCGGTTGAGGAGCCTGTCACCAAGCACCGCCCACAGCAATCCTTCTCCTCGCAAAACCAGCATTCTGAGGAGCAACTCATCGCGGGTGTTCCGAATGATCTGCTTCTACCCGGAGCTATTGTCACTCTGGCCGCAGTCATTGCTGGTGTCTTCATCCTCAGCCGGCCCAGCGGTCGCTAAATTCCCCCTTTAGAAATCATCATCATCATCTCTCTTCGGTCACATTGTTCTTCTAGCCCCTCTTTGGTTTCTTTCCCCGTCAATGGATCCTCCCAACTCGACCTTGGTTCCTGTCATCTTTGAGAGTGCATACCCCCCTTCTAATATTGATATTCTGTGTCGCCTTCAGATACCGCTGTTCAAGTAATGATCAGTCGCGGCCTTAGTTTAGCCTTCAATGCAAATACTTACTATCTAGAGTGCTGGAGAATGTGGTTCAGAATGTCCGTTGCATATGCTGAGGTAGGTACGAGTACTACTAGTAGTACTAGTAATTACTAGCTGGTGATCGTCGGTTATACATATATAACCGGACCAATGGTGATTAGTAGTAGTAGTATGCTTCCAAGATTGGGCGTGAACTTGAAATGGCTGATGGTGAGGTACTACTAGTAGTAGCCATGTGAAAAAATCAGTTTCAACTTGAAGTATTCAAGTTCTTATAATACCCGTGGGCTAAAACGAATTAATCTGTTTCAGGTCTAGTTTGATGCTGGGGTATGAACTGTGGATTGTGCACCGGGGGGGGGGGGCAAGATGATCACCAAGCCCAATTCAGAGTGAATGAAAGCCCTGGAGACTGAAACATAACCTTCAATAAATTCTCTTTTACATCTACCTGAGTGAATTATTCATTTACCACCTCCCATTTCCCCAGCACTGCTTGATTCTTCCCCAGGCTGACCAGATCGCAGTGGTCCCGGCGCTATCGCATATCAATTCCCCCTAATCATCAATCTTTTTTTTCCTCCCTGCCCGCCCCACCAAAAACAAAACTCCTCTCTTCTTCCACCCCTCTTCACCCCCACCATACACTCCCTTGTCAAGAGCTCTTGATCTGGGTTGATTTTGTCTGTTGGATCTTGGGAACAGACACACCCACCATGTCCCTCCTTCCTCCCGAGGTCCACACCGCGCTGTCCCAGCTGCTGCGCGCTTTGAGCACACCCGACAACGCTGTTCGATCGCAGGCGGAAGACCAGTTGAACAATGAATGGGTTCAGAATAAGCCGGATGTCCTACTGATGGGCCTAGCTGAGCAGATTGGTGGAGCTGAAGACACATTAGTGAGTTCCCTCCCACTCACCCTCAACCTAAGGGAGGAGGTGGTGGTGGTCCGGCCAACGACCACAGGAGAAAACCGCCCAACTGTGGAAAAAATAAGAACAAGGGCGATGCGAGACTCTCACCTCCTCCATGACACTGAGCAGACGGAATAGTATCACTAAGACCATATCTCCTTCAAAACAGACCCGTGCTTTCTCCTCTGTGCTTTTCCGAAGAATCGCAACCAAGACCCGCAAGGACCCCGCCACTGGCGAGGCTAAGGAGGTCTTCTTGAGCCTTCCCAACGAACAACGAGTCGCCATCCGCGAAAAGCTAGTCACCTGCCTCACCACCGAATCCGTTCTCGATGTGCGCAAGAAAGTTGGCGATGCCGTCGCCGAGGTAGCCCGGCAATACACCGACAATGGTATGCGGATCATCACCCTTGATACAACGTGGGATCTAATGTCGGCTCTAACACGCTCAATCTTCTCGTTGCAGGTGATCAATGGCCCGAACTTCTCGGTGTCCTTTTCCAGGCCAGCCAGTCTCCCGAGGCTGGTCTGCGAGAGACTGCTTTCAGAATCTTTACCACCACCCCTGGTATCATTGAGAGGCAGCATGAAGACGCCGTGGTTGGTGTGTTCACCAAGGGCTTCGAAGACGAGAATATCTCTGTAGGTTCGATCGCAGTGTAAATGGGCTGCTTTTCTCGAGCGGGACATTTTGATCGCTAATACTGTCCTAGGTCCGAATTGCTGCCATGGAAGCCTTCGCCGCAATGTTCCGTTCGATCAGCAAAAAGTCCCAGAGCAAATTCTTCGGCCTCACTCCCGCCCTTCTTCACATCCTCCCTCCCCTCAAGGAATCCAGCGAGAGCGAGGAGCTGTCCTCCGCTCTCCTTGCTCTGATCGAGCTGGCAGAGATTAACCCTAAAATGTTCAAGGCTTCGTTCAGCGACCTTGTCAAGTTCAGCATTAGTGTTATTGCTGATAAGGAGTTGAGCGACCAAGTTCGCCAGAATGCCCTGGAATTGATGGCCACCTTTGCCGACTACTCTCCAAACATGTGCAAGAAGGAGACGAACTTTGCTCAGGAGATGGTCACCCAGTGCTTGAGCTTGATGACTGATGTCGGTGCTGATGATGATGATGCCGAGGAGTGGAACGCGTCCGAGGATGTAAGTTACCATATTGCTCTAAACCTTTTGACGATTTTCTAACAACCCTCAGCTCGAGCCCGAGGAGAGCGATCTCAACCACATTGCTGGTGAGCAATGCATGGACCGCCTGGCTAACAAGCTCGGCGGCGAAGCTATTCTCCAGCCCGCATTCTCCTGGATTCCCCGCATGATGTCTTCCACCGCCTGGCGCGATCGTCACGCTGCTTTGATGGCCATCTCTGCTATCTCCGAGGGCTGCCGCGACCTGATGGTCGGCGAGCTCGACCAAGTCCTCGCCCTCGTCGTCCCCGCCCTGCGCGACCCCCACCCCCGTGCGATATGCAGGCTGCAATGCTCTCGGTCAGATGAGCACTGATTTCGCCGGTACCATGCAAGAGAAGTACCACGGTATTGTCCTGAACAACATTATCCCTGTGCTGGGCAACACCGAGCCCCGCGTGCAGTCTCACGCTGCCGCTGCTCTGGTCAACTTCTGCGAGGAGGCTGAGCGCAGCATCCTCGAGCCCTACCTAGGAGATCTTCTCGGTCGTCTTTTGGAGCTTCTGCAGAGCCCTAAGCGCTACCTCCAAGAGCAGGCTCTTTCCACCATCGCTACCATCGCCGACTCCGCTGAGACCGCCTTCGGCCAGTACTACAACAACCTCATGCCGCTGCTGACGAACGTCCTGAAGGAGGAGCAGGGTAAGGAGTACCGCCTTCTGCGTGCCAAGGCCATGGAGTGTGCTACTCTGATTGCTCTGGCCGTTGGCAAGGAGAAGATGGGCCAGGACGCTCTGAACCTGGTCAACATTTTGGGCAACATCCAACAGAACATTACCGATGCCGATGATCCTCAATCCCAGTATCTCCTTCACTGCTGGGGCCGCATGTGCCGTGTCCTTGGCCGCGACTTTGTCCCCTATCTGCCCGGCGTCATGCCTCCTCTACTGACTGTGGCTGCCGCTAAGGCCGACATCCAACTCCTTGATGACGAGGATCAGATCGAGCAAGTTGAGCAAGATGAGGGTTGGGAGCTGGTTCCTCTCAAGGGCAAGATTATTGGTATTAAGACCAGCGCTCTGGAGGACAAGAACACCGCTATCGAGTTGATCACCATCTACGCCCAGATTTTGGAGGAGGCTTTCGAGCCTTACGTTCTCGAGACCATGGAGAAAATTGCCGTGCCCGGTCTTGCCTTCTTCTTCCACGACCCCGTCCGTGTTTCGGCCGCTAAGCTCATTCCCCAGCTGCTTAACTCCTTCAAGAAGGCGCACGGCGACCAGGCCCCCGGATTTGCTGAGATGTGGAGCAAGGTTGCCGAGAAGATCATTGAGGTGCTCAGCGCTGAGCCCACCGTCGACACCCTTGCCGAGATGTACCAATGCTTCTACGAGTCCGTCGAGGTTGTTGGTCGCAACAGCCTCACCTCTCAGCACATGCTGGCCTTCATCGAGTCCGCCAAGTCTACTCTCGAGGACTACCAGATGCGCGTGAAGCAACGGCTGGAGGAGCAGGCCGAGCTCGAGGAGGGTGATGAGGAAAACCTTGATTACGAATTCGCCATTGAGGATGACCAGAACCTGCTCAGCGATATGAACAAGGCCTTCCACACCATCTTCAAGAACCAGGGCAATACATTCCTACCTGCCTGGGAGCAACTGATCCAGTTCTACGACAACTTTATCACCAGCCAAGATCCCACGCAGCGCCAATGGGCCCTCTGTATCATGGATGATGTTCTCGAGTTCTGCTCCGCGGAATCTTGGAACTACAAGGACCACATTATGCAGCCCTTGGCCTCTGGTCTCACCGATGAAAACGCCGCCAACCGCCAAGCTGCCGCCTATGGTGTCGGTGTTGCCGCCCAGAAGGGTGGTGCGCCCTGGAGCGATTTTGTTGCCGCCAGCATTCCCAGCCTCTTCCAGGTTACCCAGCACCCGCACTCCCGTACTGAAGAACACGTTTTCGCTACCGAGAATGCTTCCGCCAGTATCGCGAAGATCCTGCACTACAACGCCTCCAAGGTGCAGGGTGCTCAGGACATCGTCGTCACCTGGATCGAAACGCTGCCCATTATCTACGATGAGGAGGCTGCTCCTTACGCCTATTCCTTCATTGCCCAGCTGATTGACCAGTATGTTTTACCTACCTCTTGACTATCCTACTACCTTTCAAAGGCCACCTGCTAACTTTTTGTTCCCAGACAAAACCCCGCCGTCATCAGCAAGGCTGACCGTGTGTTCGGATTTATCGTGCAAGCTCTTGACGCGGCGACTCTGCAGGGACAGACTGCCGCCCGTGTTGCCGCCTCGGCCAAGCAGCTGGTGGCCGCGACTGGTCTGAATGCCGAGCAGATCCTGGCAGGCGTCAACCCAGACAACCAGGAGCGAGTTCGCAAGTACTTCCAGTAGAGATTTCGGGTTTTGTTCTATATCCGTGGCACTGTTTCTTGCCCATCCCGGTTGCTCTTTTGTTAATCATTCCCCTTGGCCATGTGAATCCGATGCTAGTAAAAGACCTGAAATGTTTTCGTTAATTTCATATCCCAATTTCTTACTCCCCTTCTTCTCTTCTCCCCTCCCGTACACTAATTGTCGAGGTCTAAATGCCGCTTTCTCTCTGGTCTAGCCATGGATGTAGATGGAGTCAATATCGGGGCCTTGCTTATGCTGATGGCTATGTACATTTGCCCCATTTCAATGGCTCTTTCCACCTATCTCTCTTTCTTCCCATCTCAATTTCTGTTTAGAGTGAAGAAACTCGGCGGATCTCATTCGCAATCACCTCTTGCAGACCCATTACCTTGGGCTCCCCAATAAGCCCATTATCCCGCTGCTCATACAAAGTGCCTCCCTCAGTCCAGATGCGGCGCAGAGTGAGCACCGTCGCAGCTCCATTTCCAGCGTCCCATGCGGCTTTCTCTAGCTCTCGCAGTCGCTCAAGGGAGGTTTCCGAAACGGACTCCCATGGCTGACCAGTCGTCTGACGCTCAAACTCAGCCTGAATTTCAGCCGGGGTAGTGGTGAACGAGTTCACGCGCAGAGCTCGGTTGCGAGCCTCAGGACCAGCGTTGAGAAGAGCGGACAGAACGAGCGTTCCCACGCTGTTATTGCATTAGCTTAGTTTATCCCGAACACCAAGATGCTTTCCATTTCCCCATGTCTTTTAATCCAATGTAAATGCAAAATAAAACAAACCAAAACAAAACAAAACAGGGAGATACTTACTCCTTCATGGTAGTCAAGCTAATCCTCGCCGCCCCCTTCTCACCAAGCAACACAGCCTTCCGTCCCTTAGCATCCCATCCACCGGCTTCTTCCAGCCCGGGCGTGAAGGCAAGATACATTTCTGCAAATGGACCCGTCACGACGTACGAGTAGTCGAGGTCACTGCGTGAAATTTCCCGCTCAAGCACAGCGCGAACCTTCAACTTTTGCTGATGGGGCTTTTCATGTGCCGAGGCAGGGCCATAGGCAATATCTGTGCCATACTCGGATGGGAAGAACCATTTCACATCGGAACTTGCGGCTGCGAGGCGAATGAGAGAGATCTGCTGGGCGAGGGTGTTTCGACCAAGGGCTGAGATGACGGTGTCGATTCCTGGATTGATCATTTAGCCATTGTGATGTAATTGAGGCGGGGGGGGAGGGGAGGGGGGAGTATAGTAAGTATATTACTATGATAGAGTGTCTTATACCATTGTATGCAGCCTTTATGGCACTCTCATCTTCAACATCTCCAATGATAATCTCGATTTTCTGCTGCTTTAGCTTTTCCAGATATGCCGATTTGGTCTCGGCAGTTCGTGCGGAGGTGAAGATGGCTACTCGGCCGAAGGAATCGCGGGTAGTGAGTATGGCCTCCAAGATGAACGAGCCGATTTGGCCAGTCGCGCCGAAGAGGAGTATGTTTTTAGCAGCCATGGTCTCGAATAGTCTGATACTTTTTAGATTCTGATGTTTGGGGTTATGATTCAATTAGATCTAGTATCTAGTACAGTAGATAACAGACAAAAGAAAAAGAACCGCTTGGAATCAACGTGGGGCGCGGGGCTGCTTAGCAATCGAACGAGTTGACCCCATCGACTTTCATACCCAGGCTGATACTAGTACCAACTAGTAGCATACTCTAGACTACCACCATCTCCAGAATCTCTAGTACCTGTTTCTTCTCCTTCAATGGCACCGGATTGGACTGGCACCACCGATCGTGTAGACTATGCGCTGCCAATGCATCCAGCTTATCACGGCCAACATGTACATCAGCAAGGGACCGCGGCATACCTAGCTCACGGATCACGCCATCGAGGATATCACCCAGATCGGCTGTCTCGGTATCGACCAACCGAGCATGTAGAACCTCAGATACGATTGGGTCGTTGAGGAGGAATTCGCGAACTCGCGATTGTCGATCCCGATTGGCATTGTGCTTTGCATTGAACTTACACACAGCTGGGAGGAGAATACAGCTTGTTTCGCCGTGACCAACGCCGAGAGGTCCGAGCTATCATTCTTCGTTAGTTTTTTGTTCCCCGGACGCAGATAGATAGAGTAGTCTTGTTGGTGATATGGAATAAAGTGTAACAAACCTGATGTCCAATTCCGTGACTAGCTCCCAATTCCACAGAGCCACCCGTACAAGCTGCCATCGCTTCCACTGATCCCAACTGGCACTGAAGATGAGCATCACGGTCTGCGCGATCTTTGCGACAGCGAAGGAGGCCAGGGACCAACATGCCGAGCGCGCGTTCCGCCAATTCGTCCGACGCAGCTGTCGTCCCGACGATGGCACAGAGCGTCTCCACACAATGATCTACAGCACGTACACCCGTACTGATCCAGATGGAGTCGGGCGTTTTTCCCGCCAGTTCGGGGTCCAGGATGATCAGTTGTGGTCCACGGGTGGGTGGTTGAAAGCTATACTTCCGGCGTGACTCATCTTCAGTCCCACCCGCGAAGTTGGAATACTCTCCCGCAGAAAGGGAAGTTGGGACAGAAATAATGGGAATGGTAGGCTTCTGGATATTTGTTCTTTGATCCGGGCCTTCCGCAAGCGTTTCGAGCTCGTCTGGTTTGCGAACTTCATTGGCGAGGGCCTAGATTGGGCCAGTCGTTAAAACACTGGATTGGGTTGAGAATGAGGGTGTGGATGTAAATGTGAATTTGACACATACCAAGGCAACAATCTTCGCTCCATCAGTCAAGCTGCCCGCTCCCAGTGTGAGAATTAGATCAGCCTTTGCATTCCGCGCTTCTTCGGTGATCTCAAGGACCTCGGACCAGAGCGTGTGGCTCTGCATCCCGACACGACACCCAACGACCTTCTCCGGTCCCAGTGCGGTCTTCAATTTGTCAAGAGAATCGGTATTCCGAGCCAATGAGCCTGAACAGATTACATATACGCGTGAAGCGTGGAAGGTCTCGGTGACATGTCGGGCGGCAGCGGCGGGGAAGGCAATGCCGTATGAGAGCAGCGGGCGCTCGCGGCCGGAAAATGCAGGACGGACGGTTTCAGACATGATAACTCTGGATATTGTGAGAGTTGCAAAAGAGACAAATCGGAATTTCAATAATGAGTTTCCAGCAGACCGAGGTCATTATATCATCGCGAGTATAAAGTCTCCATGTGGGAGATGGATGTGGGGCTGATATGTGGGTTCTTCATGCTTCGTCACATCGACAATCTACTACTAGTACTAGCTAGCATACTATCAGCCCTGTCTATGATAATAGAGCATGAATTGATTATTAGATTCGGTTTATTTTATAATTTTATTCTCCAATATATGGGAAATTATGGCTTCTCCGCGTAGCGGAGGAAAGAGATTCTTAGGGCGCTAGACATCATAGTTCTAGACTTTATCATGGTAATTACCACTACTATACACTATTTTATTAGATCGTGAAGAATCAGCTTTGAATTCACATTTGACGAAAAGGTTGAAAAGCTAAGTGTCCAGCTCCCGATGAAAAACTTCTTGGTGGACGCCTGGTTAGTCCAGGGCTAATTAACAACAAAGGTATGAGAGCCACCCTTTTTCACGGTGATAGTAGCAGTTGAATCCCCATAAACCACTCCGGTATGGATCTTCGCGCCGTTCATCTTAATCGACGGTCTTTTAGATGGAGTTGGATATGGTAGAACAACATTCCCAGTCGTGCCCTTGGGAACCGAGAAACTCAGCGAATACCCATCAGACTTCTTCTTCCAAGAAGCTTGAAACTTTCCAAGTGAGGTTACAAAACCGGCTTGGGCATATTTCAAGTCTGCAAATTGCGGTGCAATGGTCCATGTCTCGCCTAGCCGTGAGGTCACCGAGAGACCGACAATATACTCCGTCAACGCTGATGTGGGGCCTGACGACCAGCCATGTGCGTGGGAAACGTATGAAGGGTCGTAACCATATCCTCGGCTACTTCTGTATCCAAATGTTCCATTTTGCAGGTAGCCCTCGATAACTGTACTCTCTGTGCCATTGGGATTATTGAGGTACCAGCCCCAGCTGCGCCGTATCAGATCCAAAGCACGAGTGGGGTTCTGAACGGCGAAATGGCTTTGGATCTCGAATGATGAAATAAAGGAAACCACATTCTCAGGCAACTCGGGGGCTACTGCTCCGATTGGAGTCCAGTTTTTGGTTAACTTTTCTGAAATACCTGCTGCGCGGTCAGAGTCGACTACTCCAAAGAGAATGGCCATGCTGTTTGCGTCTTGTGGGTGAAGCGTGGTGTCTGTGGCGTTGTCCTTGAATGCACCGTATCCATCATCCCAGCAGTATTCATTAATGGCTTTCTTGAGAGATTCGGCTCTTGAGTTCCACGTGTTGGTCAGATTGGTAGTGTCGCCGGCCCATGTTGCCAGCTCGGCTCCAGTCTTTAGGGTTTGATAAAGGCTATAAGCTTTTAGCACGATATTTCGAAGAGATATTCAATCGAATCCAACCTACATCATCTGAGCTTCTGTGTTGTTATATCCCTGTTGCCATCTAGCCCAGTCCCGAATCCCGGTCACATTCAATAGACCGCTGGGATATGTCACTTTACCGTAGATAAAATCCATAGCAAGAAGATATCCATTCCAATTCGTCTCCAGAAAGGCCGTATCATTTGTGTACAGCACATAATTGTGTGTGCCAATCATCGACCACATATGATACGTATCCGAGCCTTTCTGACTGAGCGGTGGCCCCGACTCGTCAAATGCACCAGTTGACTTATCCTGCTAAACGGTTAATCAAAATCTCCTAAAGCAGCATTGCCTCACTTACCTGAGTGTTATACATAATCTGCAGCGCATTTTTGACACTATCAAGATCTCCCAAACTCACGAAAGCAGACGGAACCGCAATGCCCATGTCACCAGGCCAGACCGCACGATCACGCTTGGCACCATCCACAATTATTGTATCACCAGGACCGAGGGTACCGTTGTTCAACCAGCCAGAGGTGACCCCACTGTTAATGCGACCAGTGGTGACAGGAACCTCATTTGTCTGCAGCGTGTACGCCCCGCTGTACCAAATGCGGTTCAACAATTCATCACTGCAGTGAAAGTATCCCTGGTACGCGCGAAGATTTGACCAAGTAGGCTGAAACGCAATTTCAAGACTAACATCCTTGAGCTGCACAGTCGTAGAATCTTCTGTGATCAGGAAGAGTGTCAAGTATCGGAATCCTCCACGGAGGTACTTGTCAGGCATGGCATAGGAGTGGCTCCCAGCTGATGAGAAATTCGCATAGAGGGCACCGTCATGATATCGGGCATTTGAAGAGTCCGACCATTCTCCGATCCAGTTTTTACCTTCGGTGAATGCAAGTCCTAAAGCGCCACTGCCACTTGAAGTGTATTGCAGGTGGACGATGCCTCCTACTTCTTTCCCGAAGTCGAAAACCACGAGCGACCCATTTCCGTGGAGTTTTGCTGTCGCCGGATGAGCTGAGTCTGCAATTGCATTGGTTTTTAAATCAGAGAGAATCGAGGCTGGTCGGACTGTTCGTGATGATGGCGCATAGATGTTCTTATCCCATACTCCACTAAATGCACCTTCTGTTGGGCCGGAACAGGAGACATCTCTCCAACATGATTGTGCATTGGAAACATGAACTACTGAATAAAGGCTAAGCAGTAGCCCGATCCAGCATATCATCGACATGCTGTTCTTTAATAGGTGTCTAGCGTCTTCGTCAATGCAGAGCAAGATTAAAAATGGGGCTACGGACCCCGCCGTGCAGGATTACATATAGAATTCAGGTCCAGAAAAAAAAACTACAAAAGTACGGTACAAGCAATCTCACATTCGGTCTTGAATATAGCGAGCCTTATTAGCTAAGCGAGTTTGGTCAACGTGGGGAAGCTGGTCAGGGATAGTGAAGACCTGCACTCATTGGTGGAAGAATCACCGTCAAGCAATATGAGTTCCTGCATAATCAGCCGGGATCAGGGAAGCGATCGGCATACAAGCAATAATGTGGCTTCAATGCACCAGTAGCATCAGAAATCAAACCACATACGACACCTTCTGGGCGCTTTCCCCGCAATCGATTTCATCCGTAGTCCGCAGCACCAAAATGCATTCGGTTCAAAGACACCCGAGGTTGCGATCATGAGGGAAACGATGCGAAGTATTTGAAACGGTTATATCCTAATTCTCCATAAAAATGGTACATCAATACTAAAGAAGTGGGACAATGCGGGGTCTCCAAATTTCTGCCGCCGTGCTTCATCTGGGGTTGTTGTTGTCGCCTGTTCTCGCGGCAGTGACAAGCTCAGGTCCGAAAATTTGCACCGTCAAGGCAAATGGAAATAAAAAAGACGATGTTCCTAATATCCTCAAAGCCTTCCATAAATGTGGACATGGGGGCAAGGTTGTATTCCCCGAGGATCAGTCTTACTGGATTGCGACTCGGTTGAACCCCGTCCTGAAAAATGTGGAGATTGAATGGCGAGGAGAATGGACCGTACGAGACTTCCGACTTTGATCCAACCGCGAAATGTTTTACTTATTCAGTTTTGTACAGTTTTCTGATGACCTTGATTATTGGAGAAATAATTCCTATCCCGTCGCGTTCCAGAATCACGCCGCAGGGTTCATCATTTCCGGGAATAATATCAAAATCAACGGACATGGGACCGGGGGTATTGACGGCAATGGAAATGCTTGGTATACCGCCGAGGCTGGTAATACTCAGCCAGGAAGGCCGATGCCCTTTGTATTTTGGAATGCGTCCGAAGTGAGTGTGGACAACTTCCACATCAAGAACCCGCAACTATGGAGCTTGAATATCATGAACGGCAAGAACATGCGCTTCAACAATATCTACGTCAATGCAACCGCCGTCGATGCGCCATACGGTGATAACTGGGTGCAGAACACCGATGGTTTTGGTGAGTGTCTTATCTCAAGGTGAATACAATTTGGTTTCACTGCTGATGACGATTAGATACGATGGATGTAGATAACGTCGAGCTCACCAACCTAATCTACCAAGGCGGAGATGACTGCATCGCGATCAAGCCACGCTCCTACAATGTCAACATTCGAAACGTTACTTGTCGTGGCGGAAACGGTATAGCTATCGGCAGTCTGGGACAATATCTGGAAGACTCGAGTGTTGAAAACATTACCATCGACGAGGTCAAGATCATCCGATACAACGAGGACATGCACAACTCTGCATACATAAAGACCTGGATGGGAGGTCTCACGCCGCAGAGCTCGTACGAAAGCGCAGGGCTTCCGCGTGGGGGAGGCTGGGGAAGTATAAAGAATGTGGTTTTCTCCAACTTTGAGATCAACGGGGCAAATGCTGGACCATCGATCACCCAGGATAATGGAAACAATGGGTCGTACAGTGGTACGAGTAAGATGAGCATTTCAGATGTCTCTTTCGTCAACTTTACTGGGACCATTCAAACCAGTTCAACTAAGATTGCTTCGGTGTCGTGTTCGAACGTTCATCCGTGCTACGATATTGACTTTGAGAATGTTGTGCTTTATCCAATCAACTCAACGACGCCAGGAGTCGGGTCATGCAAGTATACGGCAGAGGGCGGAGTTGAAGGCCTTGAAGGCTGCTGAGAATCTTCTATCTAGAATGCTGAAATGATAGTGATGGGTACGATTTGCCCAGACGTTCATGATATGAGGAAATGGAAATATCATTGTAGCTACTCGGCGTCAAATGTACAATAAAGATTCATGTGACAACCGTCCTATTCCAATGATTGGAGAGGGACAGCTACCAGGTGCCCAAGCCGAGCTGTGACAAAGGCCTCGCTTTCCAAAGCTCGGTGATTTCCATCATCATAGCCTTCATTTGAGGCGGTTTTCTGAAGGACAGTTGACTTTCTGACTTCTCTTTCTTTGGTGCGTTTCCGCTCCTTTGCCTCGGCAGCAAGTTTCTTCTTTGTGTCAGCAGCAAGTCTTTTCTCTGCATTAGCGGCACGTTTTGCCTTTTCATCGGCAACCCGTTTTTCCTCCTTGATCCTATTTTTTCCAGCCCATACATGCAGTAAGTGCGGGTTGCACATGCACCAAAAAAGAACATCTCGAGTTGCACATGCATCCTCTAAAGCACTGTGTCCCTTTCCAACTTGTATGTCGCGATTCAGAAATTCATCGACAAGAGGCTTTAGGCCCCACCTGCGGCTCATTCGCGTGGTGTGAGAAATGGGGAGGAAGACAGCCTCCGCGGTCAAGATAGCAGTGTCCACGATATTATGATGCAGTATTCCAAGGACTTCAAGATCATTATCAAGGGAATGGCCAATGAGAATTGTGTCCGCGTCCATAAACTGCCACAATTTTTGACGCGCTGCTTTCCACCCTCTGAGTGCCTCTCCGGAGGCACAAGCACGGCGCATCCGGGCTAATGAAACACCGCTATATCTGGCTCTCCAATCAACAACCTTCTCTGTCGGATTAACTATATCGTTGATCAAGACCTCTCCGGTGCAAAAATCAATTGCGCTGAGAGAGACGACCGCCGAACGGCCGCCCGCGACCCCCACCATCTCACAATCGAGAACGATCGCCGTTCTGCTGGAGGCAGGGAATGTAACTTTGGGCGACAGGAGATAGTCTTCATCCCTGAGAGCACGTTTACCTGCTCTCTGGTCCTTGGTCATATACAATATCCCCAAAAAGTATCCTTCTGCCTGAAGACGAGCTGGCAAGTGGCGTTTCGCCTTCAGATATTCCAAAGTGATCTCATTTTGCGACATGGTATAGTGTTGATTATCAAGAGCCGTTGGGATATTCATCAACCGTGCCTCTTTTTATTTGAACTAGGTGAGAATAGTCCCTCGGTGAATAAAAGAGCATGGGCCATACCTTTTGTACACACGGGCGTGTTGCCGATTGATAAATTTCTGGTTGACGAACTCATTGAATCAATCTCCTTTGGTGTAGGTTTCAGGACGAAATTCCGATTTGAGCTTTTCGTGGTGTTCCTTTGCTGTATGCTTGTCTGTTGTGCGTTTGTCGAAATAGTAACCTGCGATTTTTCGATATTTTTTGATCGCTTTGCCTCTTCATTGGCAAGTGGTCTTTGTGGCGTGACGCTCCGCTGCGTCTGAAAGTAGGCCATGCGAAACTTTCCTTGGCAGAATAATCCATCATCTCTATTGCAGTGATTTAAGTAAGACCATGCGTCGTCGAATAATATATTACAATTGCACATTTGACACGAGGGAACATGCTGTAAAGCCTCGAAATGAGCACGGAGGGCTTTCAGACTCTTGAATCCACCTTTTCTGCATTCCGGACACCTGAAAAGAGGTTGTTGGTACGGAACTGAGCGATCTGCCATTTTGGTGCTATAAGTCCAAAGCTTTGAGTGAAATGTTTGATGAAAGAAGCAAGTCGGAGTGGCCTTGAAGAACAAGGGGTCCCCGACACCCAGATGGGCATGGGCGGGCCCTCGGAATTTCGACGTGTCATAGCAGTCCGTTACCGCCCCACCTCGTGTACCTTGAACACAGTGATGCCCTACAACAGGTACGTTGAAACTGCATTTAAACAGGTGTCCTACTGCCGGATTCGAATACATATCATATTCTGTACAAAATATGGCAAAGATTTAGTAGTATTGGTAGCTATAGGGTGTTCACGCAAGCGAACCAACCCTTCAAGGCCCTGGCTTTCAGCAGACACCAGCGCAGTATCTCATAGGATCATCTGCATTGAATAAGCATGATTTCCTGCATCGTATATATTCATCTTCAATCGCCAATTGACAGTAAACTGTATAGTTCGGACGAATCAAAACAGTCCAATTATATCGTCTGCGTTATAGATCATGCCATGTCACGTGGATCCCCACACTTCCAGCTCCCTCCGCCCCGAACCGACTGGAGTGCCGATTAAAGATTCCCTCTCCAACTCACAATCCATACATAGACACACACCATGGCCTCCCCTCTTCGAGCAAATCCCTGGCGGGCATACCAGTGCCTTGCCCGTCAAAGGGTCCGCACCCCTCAAAACACCCGCCACCTCTCCTCGACCACCCTCCGATCCGTCAACAATGCCGCCAGCAATCCCCTCCGGTCCGCCGAGCGCGCAAAGCGTGTACAAGAGGTCGCGAAAGCGAAGCGCTCAGTCGTCATCTCTACCGTGGGAATTATTGCCTGCGCAGCGACAATGTACGGATTGGTCACGTATGACGTGTTTGGAGTCGAGGCATTGAAGAACAAGGAGGAGACCCCATCAAACAAACAAGCCGACGCCACTACCCCGACGAACAACGGTGCAATCAAGATGGATGGACCAACCGGCTTCCCAAGTGACGGCGGACCCCCAGTGATCCCCGTTCACGGCCAGGACCTCGTCGACCAAATCGCAACGGGCAACAGCTCAGTCCCATATTTCCCCACCACCATCCGCCTACCGTCCATCAAAGACGCCGACAAAAAACAAGCCGGCGACGAACTCTCCACCTCCGACGGCGACGAATACCAACTCCTCGGCCTGGGCATTCGCAGCGTCTCCTTCCTCTCAATCCAAGTCTATGTCGTAGGTCTATACGTCGCAAAAGCAGATATCACCGAGCTCCAGCAACGTCTAGTCCACACTGCCGTCCACCCACCCTCCAACGACACAGGCGCCATCTCCGGCATCGGCGCCGACGCAGCAACATCGCTCGTCCCGCCAGAACGTCAACAATTAAAGGAAATGCTCCTGGACCCGGAGAACGGCGACGCCGCCTGGTCAGCTATCATCAAGGATGACGGGATTCGAACTGCCTTCCGCATCGTGCCTACCCGTAACACGGACTTCATGCATCTCCGCGACGGCTGGGTCCGCGGCATCACTGCTCGTGCGCAACAGAAAAAGCCTGCCCCAGGCTCGACTGAGCTCGGCGAATTCCAAGATCAGGAATTCGGAACGTCGATGAATGACTTCAAGGCTGTTTTTGGCGGTGGTCAGCGGAAGAATGTTCCCAAGGGACAGACTTTGGTTCTGATGCGTGGTGCACAGGGTGCGCTGGATGCGATTTTCCAGCCTGATTCTACTAAGCCTATTCAGTGGATGGGGAGGGTTTCGGATGAGCGGGTCAGTCGGCTTGTTTGGTTGAATTATTTGGCTGGAAAGACTGTTTCTAGTGAGGGGGCGCGGAAGAATATTGTTGATGGGTTGATGACTCTTGTTGAGAGGCCCGTTGGAACTGTCACTCAGCGGATTGTTTAAGGTGGATGTAGATCGGGGCAATGTGTTTGTTGTTTCTGTGTACTATTAGGTGATTGGTGATTCTCTTTGTTCTGTCTCCTGGGATTGTTGTGATATCTTGGGTTCGATAGCTTGTTTCGCATCTCATGTATTGTAGCAAAGCGTTGGTTCTATTCGGGGGCTACACTGGATAATCTCTACCTCCCAACTCAATTACTATCTACAACTACTGTCACAGTTATCCGTGAGGGGTGGAGGCGTACAATTTAAAGATACGAAAGAGGGGCAGAGGTAGAGAAAAAAGCTTGCGCTTGCGCGTGCATGTGCAATAATAAACCAGCTAGCTAGAAGATACCATTCCTTCATCACCCTTTCAATTCAAAGTCTATGTTATGTGTTCATGTATGATCGAATTTAAAGGGCACCAGCATCCTTCAGGAGCTGGGGAAGCTGGCTCTTGACATTCTGGAGGTCGGAGTTACCGCCGATGTGCTTCTGCTTGATCCAGATGTTGGGAACGGTGCGCTGACCGGAAATCTCGTTGAGGGCGTCCTGGATAGCGGATCCATCATCTAAAACAGATAAGAGATTGTGGTCAGCATCCTATTCCATCACGTATGCATTTTTTTTTAACTCCGTAATATTGCATCAGATGCATGAAATATCGCGTGCAGGGAAGGGAAGAGAGCGGGGTCAAATAAGCACGGCGGAATGGAAGAAAGGAAGAAAGATCCAATCCCCGTACAAAAACATTCCATTCCATTCCCCGCGGCGCAAAAAGGTGTCACCCCATTCCAGGAAGAACGCAGTCAATAAAGAAAGGGAAGGAGGAGCGAAATATATCCGAGGAAAGGAAAGAAACACTAACCGATCTGGTCCAGTTCAACGAGGGTGAAGTTGGCATCGAAGCTGCTGAGAAGGCTCTTGCTGGAAGTGCAGTAGGGGCAGTAGGACTTGGAGAAGACGACGACGGCGTTCTCGTCGATGAGCTTCTGGGCCTTGGTCTTTGCGGCGGACATAGCGGCGGGAGATGGAGCGGCGAAGGAGCCGAAGAGACGTGTGAAGAAAGAAATGGTGGGCGATGGGAAGGAAACCGAGCGGGGGAGGCGGTTTCTTTTTCTTTAAAAGGGTTGTTCTGCTGGTTGCGGGAATGGAGTTGTTCGCCGGCCTTCGATTCGGTGATTCGGTCATTGCGCGGCGCGATGATGTCAGGTGATGATTTGTCATCGAATTGGACTGAGTATGGGATTATAGTATACATTAGTACATTTAATACGAGTACAGTTGAATAATTCTGATTCATGAGCACAGCTATAAATGCTCGCTAAGCTCAATAAGAGTTAAAAGACACTAGACAAGAAAACAATAGAACACGCTCGTCAGGATGGGAATATGGCAAAAGTGGCAACAAATGTGCGCAGTGGAGCAGAAAGAAGATGGAAAATAACAGTGGGGATAAGAGGGAAATATAAGATCAGAGCTCCATCAGATCTCTCGGTCAAAAAAAGAAAAAGGAAATGAAAAAGATATACACGGGTGCAGTAACCTCGCTCGAGAATGGTTCGGTAAACATCCTTTTTTTTTCGGCTTAACTTCCAGTCACACCGACTGGAAGTAAAGAAGAATGATCACAGTAGAATGGAAAGGGAAAATGTATGGAAAGGAGTGGATGCATATGTAAAGGAAAATGATATGCTCCGGTGAGAATAAGGTCCGAACCGAATTAAAAGGAAAAGTTTTGTGCGATAGGCTAAGAGTGGAAAGGAAGAAGCCGAGTAAACACCATCCCACCGGGTCCGCTGAAAGGTTAAAAAGGGAAGGGAAGGGGGGGGAGAAAAAAAAAAAAACTAGTAAGCATCAACAGAGAAAAAGAAAATCGAGGCCAAGTTGTTGGTTGGTGTTGGTGTATGGGTTGTGTGCCAATATCAAAGGTATCGCGGTGGTGAGGAGGAATGAACGTCCATCACATCACAATGCAGCATCCACAGCTCTTTTCTTTTTTGGGCTGCTCCTGTGCAGAGACCACTGGAGGGTTCCAGTTGGGGTTGGGGGTCAATCCCAGCGGGGGGGGTGTCCTGTACCTTTGGCATGGTACTATAGCCGGTACTTGTGTTGGGTCTTGGTGGTTCGGGACTCTTGGGGGGTTGAGGTGGTTGAGGTGGTTCTTGGTTCTTCTCCTCGGTTGGCTGGATGGGTTCCCCTGTCTTGGGCGGCACAGGAGGGATATCGTTAGGATACACAGCCAGAGGTGCAAAGTCTCGATCGTAGGTATTAGGCGTCCGGCCTTCTTTCTCCCACTGTTCCTGCAGCATTTTCTTGGCAAGAGTGGGAAGCATCTGCTGGTCAGGCGGAAGGCGAGGATCCGGCTTGTACATCGTGGCCAGCCATGGTGGATCTCCCTCGGGACGATTGACTCCGGTGGTAGGCCGGGTTTCTCCTCCTCGGGTGGTTGGTCGCTGAGATGTGTTCCCTGAAACCGCACGCGATCTCGCTGTCGTGGCCGAAGGCTTTCGGTTGGCAGGTGGGGCGGAGGTCTTGCGGTTTGCAGATCCCGTGGCCTTGGCTGGGGTCTTCTTTGGGGTGTTCTGGGTAGTGTTGAAGTTGAATCCGCGGCTGTTGGGGCGGCTATTAGGAGAGGGTGTGGTTGGTTCGGCGTCGGTGTTGAGAGGCTCGCTGGCTCTACGGCCTCGAGAAAACTCGTCATCCTCAAGTTCATCCGTAGCTGCACGACTGCGAGCACCACGGGAATCGCGACCGCTACCCAATGGCACCGGACTAGCCATCGAAATGGGTATCCGGGAGGAACTCTTTCGGAGACCGGGGTTACTGTAGATACTGGCTGCTGCTTCGTCTGCAGCAATCTCTTCAGGTCGTCGAAGATCCCACTGCTGAAGCTTCTTTTCATCGCCACCTTCACGGCTACCCCTATGTTCCTCCCGGAGTTGAGGCCATGGTTCCGAGTGCTCTGTGTTAGGCGATGTCACCGCAGTGCCGCCATTCGTAATACTCTGGTGGGAATCATGGCTCTGGCCACGTCCTGCACTCGACTTGCTCTCGGCTCTCATTCGTCGTTGGAATAGTTTGGCTGCCTGGTGAAGTTCCTCGCTCTCGATTTTGGCGAGTTTGTCTCGGTGAATCCAGCTCTCAGGGTTGAATTCTATCGATTTTTCATCCAGCTCCTCGCCCGTGTCTTTGCGACTCGATGTATCGTTCCCGGGGGCATCACGCATACTGCTAATGTCACTTCCATGTCGGTTTAGACTGTGGTCTCGTCGGCCGCGGTGTGCATAATAAGGGGCATCGTTTCCGGGCATGGTTCGGGAGACAGACGAGCTTCGTGAGCCGTTGGAGTTTCGATTCCTAGTCGATCTCGCACGGACGGAGCTAGAGTCATGGGAGGTCCGTGGTTTTGAGGAATGTTGGGGAGTGCCCTGTGCGAGAAGGAGAATATATCAGTCAGAAGATGCCCCTCGGGTGTTTTTTTTTCCCTCTCCTCTCCGCCTTTCCGCCTCGAAATCTTCCCCGGATAGGAAAGGAAGAGGAAAATAAAGAAGCCAATTCTGCATCAGATGAGAACTTACATCGCTACCAATTGGTACAGAGAATTCCCATTTTTCATTGTCCACGCCTCCAGAGGGCAGGGCTTCAGTCGAATACGCCGTGGCGACGCCCGCCATTCCCAGGGTTTGGGGGTGTTTTGGGGGGTCTATGGGTGTGGTGGGGTGGGATAAGGGAAGAATAAGGCCAGTCCAGCTGGAACCTGCTTCAAAGGTGACAAGCAGAGGGATATTCCGAGTCGATATCCGCTTGTGCCGTCAGAGTGTGTCTCGATCAAGCCATACCAGAGCTTAGCCGAATACCGACACGAACCAGAAAGTGGGCGAAGATGGAGAATCGGGGAGGTGGGTGGTAAGGGGAAACAGTCCCGCACACCGCAGTGGGGAGGGCCCAAAGAAGTAAATTGTAAATACCCAGACACTGCAGGGGGGGCAAGTGGAGGTGCAGTTGACTCGCAGGTGGCTGTTTGAGGCGTGGATTGGGTAAAAGTGGTTCTGGGCAGATCGGGGTTCGTCGCGATCCACGGGTGAGAGCTACCACCGGCGCGTGATGGTTCCGTGGGCGAGTCGAGTTGGAGCAATAAAGATTCAAGGTTCAGATCGGCCACTGAAGGTTGTCAAGTGTCTCGAGGCAATGACAATACTCTGTGCTGTGAGTCGAGGCGCGTACTCTAGTTGCACGCAAGGTTGAGCCACGAGGGGGAGGGGGGTTGGGGGGGGAAGATCGTGTGGTTCCGAGAGGGATAGAAAGAGAGGGTGTGTGTGTATGAGAGAGAGAGAGAGAGGGAGATGGATAGATAGTAGAACACAATTTGATGCAGACACAGACACCAAAACCACCTTTAGCCAGGACCAGCACCGAGAGGGAAATGCGAATGCGAATGATGGGGGGGGGGAAGGTAAAAGGGAGGAACCAACGAGTAACGAGCGAAAGAAGGCCCGGCTGGGAATAGCCCCGTTTTTCTTTTCTTTTCCTTTGCCCACCCTCTACTTTACTCCGTACGAGTAAAGTTTTACATGCTGTCCCCCGTTACGGAGTACTTTGGACTGGTATATTGATTGCTCTATTCAATGGCCCGTCCTGCAGCCATCTATACTAATTGACTAATTGATTGTTGCTACGGTACAGAGTGCAGAAAGGGTACTAGTATCCTCTATCACCTCTATCACCTGGATCATGGCCATAGCCATGGCCATTTGACGGTTGGTCCGTGGTGGAGCTTTTGCCCCCCCTGAACCACGCCGATCCCTGCAAGATCCGAGTCTGGCCCTTCTCAACTTGGACTTCCTCATGTCTCCGGGTTGGAAATGGAAGCAACAATCGATGGTATTCTTATTCTTATTCATATATCTACTCGTACGGAGATCGATCTGAGATGAAGGCATCGAAGAGGAACTGAAAGCCGAGGCCTGAGCGGTTGACTCCTCAGAAACGCCGATCCATGCAATGCCATTCCCGTCCCTTCGCCTCTTGACAGGTCCATAGATCACAAAAGTCCGCGTCCCGTATGCAAATAACAAGTCTATGTGTAAAGGATTCCCTCCCCCGCAGTACGGAGTACATGGTAGCAAAATCCCGGAGAGGAAAGGGGGGAAAGAAAAGAAACAGAGAAAAGGATGGTGAGGTATACACAGAAAATAATCCACCTGTCTTAAGGTTGATCGAGGAGGCTTCTATTTCCCGACCTGGTCCAGCCGGTCCAAGTTTGCCTGCGCTTCTTTGATCAAAGCCTTGCGCGCGTTGCGAATCGTCACGTCGCCATCCGGCACGATTCCGTCTGCCTTGAGCATAATCTGCGCCAGGATCGTCTCGCTGAGCTTCTTGTGCTCAAACTCCCGCTTCTTCGGGTCCGTGGGCGGGTCCGCCACATACTCATCACATAGTGGTACAATCTCTTGCTGGAGGTATCCAAGCAGTGCAGATACCTGCTCCAATGCACCCAGTTCCTTAATGTTAGGCGACGGAGGTGGCATATACGCTGAGCCGCCCGATGAGGTGGGACGCGACGGGACCGAAGAGGGAGGCGCTAGGAAATCATCGCGGGGAGGGTTGCCCTCGGTCGTCTTCTTTCCCTTGTTCTTCTTCTTGTTCTTGCTCTTAGACTTTTTGCGGGACTTGGAGGCCGAGCCTGAGTCCCCGTCTTCGTCTCCGCCGATGCGAGATGCCGATGAATCAGGACGGACCCTGGAATCGCTCAACTGGCCACTGTCACGGTCTGAGTGGTCACTTGGGGTGTTGGCGTCGACCTCTGACACCACGCACAGAACCTCTGAGTGCTGTTTGAGGCCCTCTGCCTTGCATGGTCGCGAGTCATCTTTCAACAGATTCCCTTTGTACAGTAATCGAACACGGTTCGGGTTGTTGGCGCCCACTTTCGCCGCGGCCGCCTGTCGAAGCGCAGCGACTGTCAACACACCATCGTCGATAGCGAATGCGGGGAAGTGTAGAGGGTAGATGGTACCGCGGTGTCGGAGACGAATGATATCTGGCTCGTTGTCGGCAGCACTTCCTGCATATTGACCACCGTGCTGAGGGGGGGGCCACTGCCGGTGGGTCGACAATATAATCCGGTGTGATATAACTAAAATCCTCGTCGCTGACCTGCGGGGCGGTAGCGTAGTTTGGCGAACGGCGCCAGAAGCCAGAAAGGGGGTTACCCCAGCTCATTCCGACAATGGTGAGTATGCAGATAAGGATAGCCGCACAGATAGCGGTTGTTTGTTCGTCGGCGTCGAATGGGAGGGCTTGCGCGACGGAGCGAAAGGGCGTGGGTGACAGGTAAGTCAGATACGGATCCAGTCGGGGGCGGAGGGAGTGCAGGAACTCGGGGATGTTGTCGGTGACGTGGTCCAGGTAGACAGCGCACTTCTCGCCCAAGGTGGATTGAGCGAGGGGAGAAGGCAGGAGAGTCATGGATCTCTGAAAGATGGCGGGACCAGCAAGTGGTGAAGTCATGCTGCCTGCGGTCTCAAAGTTGGCTGACAAGGCGGAGAGCGCCGTCTTTTTGCCGTGGCGTGGAGCCTGCTAGTAGTTACCAGTTACACTCCCACTGGCATACACACTAGCTAGTACGTTTGTTGGAAACCCCACGCTGGAACTGGAATCAGACCGATCACTGTCGAATCCGAATTCGTTCCAAGTGTGAGGTGGGACTCGGAACTGTGGGTGCCTTGTCTCGAGGCTGCCGGTGTGGCGAAGTCGTGGATTGTCTAGCACTTTCTAGGTATATTTTTCTTGTGAACCTTGGAACGGAGCAGTGAACTACTAGTACAATTTGAAATTGCAAAAGACAGGACCTACCCAGGTAACAGACATTCTAGACATGGAACCCTGGGCGCCGGTGTTTTGTGAGTAACTAGCGACCACCACAAGTCTAGTCATGCGCTAAGCTGAGGAGTTGTCAGCCTCTTTCAAAAGTCGTCACTAGTGGCATATGAAGGGGATCATATTGACTCGGAATCATACCATATAGGTATACTAGCAGTTGCCCAAGTGCCCACTAGCACTTGAGTTATCGAGGTGGAGTTCTAGACCCCGAGAGCATACAGCTGCTTGTAGGGACACCCATAACTAAGTCGCCAGAGGAAATATCAAGTAGATGAAAACTTAAACTTAAATAATATAGTACTGTATGGCTATAGTATTATAATGGTTGGTCAATAATATAGTATTTATTGGCGCTTGATATACAATATTCCTATTTTACTCTCATGTTGTTGCCTAGTATGATGGATATATATCGTCCACGGGTGTTCAGATCCTTCTTTTCGTTTTGCGGTCAACGGTAGTACGCATGAAGTCCACGGCAAGTTGCTCTGGAACTTAGGTTTCCTCCAAGACAAACGCCCTCTACTTCAAGTTTGTTCTACTACCCAACAGTGCCTAGTAGTACTAGATTACCCCCCCAGATTTCACTTTGCGGCATGCAATCTAAGGTTGCTTCTAAGGTTTGCTTTGCACATGTCCATGTATCAATGCCCTGCGGCTCACGATGCTTTAGTACTAGTGGATACCGTATCTATATCAAATGCTGCCGTTAGAGTACTAGTAAATACACAAATACTATGTTAAGAAACTACAGTATAGGCTATGGTATTCTAGGGTTCAATTGAATCCTATACGAATACAGATTTGATTTAGAATACTACTACGATGCAAATACCCGTGGACCGTTTGAAAACAGTATTTTGATTTCTGGCTGCCAGCATGGCTATATGTCTTGAAAAGGACTACCGCCCTAGCCTTGTGCTTTATCTTGACAAAAAAAAGAGAGAAATATACCCAGACATGTCAAGAAGTGTATCATCTCGATATAGTAGCAAAGCAAAAAAGTACCTGCCCCCATCCAGGATCGAACTGGAGACCTCGGGATTGCAATTCTGTTACCAGAATCGTCATATGACAAGATATGAGACCCACGTCATAGCCAACTAGACCATAGAGGCTTGGTATAAATTGTGGCGCAGTTTGATGCTATATCAGCCTACATAAAGGATGGCGACCCGCCCCGGCCACTCTATATCTACCACACTACTAGTTTTCTTGGGCCACCTAGGTGTTCAATCAAGTTATATTTTATCCACAGAGCAGCCTGATACTATAAAGAATATATATATTGGAGCAGAGTTTTCAACCCGTTCTTAGCCGGCGATTCTTCCTTCAAGTGGTTATTGCTTCTGACCTCTTGAACTGCGCCTCGCAGCAAACACATTGCTTAATCTCACGATGATTCCGTGATCAAATTGATTTTCTCCTCGGAGCCCTGGAGGTAAATGAAAGTTAGGCTCCACATAAATCAATGCTTCAAGATACACACATGTTCGCTAATCGCCTCTCATTTCCAACCAATGCCAGGTGCTTAATAGTCGATCATATTATCTGCGACGGAAACCCGACCGACAAAACCCCCCGAGTCGAAGAAGGAGAAAATTCACTATAAATCATCAAAAAGCAAGAGTATTATCTGATTCGATTAAATAGCTGTGGCTGGTCAATTTTTTAAAAGGATTTTGGCGATGCTAGCCAGATACTGCCCCCCCCTCTCTTTAGTCACTTCGCAAATATAATCAAGTACCAACTCCGAACAGCCCTAAATTCACTGGATAGTGTTCTATGTCTCTGAAACCTACCCCCGATGATAGCACTTGGATAAAATTCCCACATGTGGACTAAACGCGAGAGATTGGAGAGTGAGATGCGGAGAGGAAAACACCGGTAGAATATGGCCCTGCATCGCCAAACAGACGGACCTTATCACGCCAGCGCTTGTCAATCCTTCATCGGTAAGATTAAAATTAAACGTGCCATAGAATAAGTATTGCGGAGGACAGCACCATTTCCATTATTGATTGTTTTGTGGAGGTGATATCCCACATGGCTTCGCTCAAGACAAGGGCACGATTGAGATAGTAATACTTGTCGTGAGTCAAGAGTTCTCCAGAAAGCTTTTAGTGGCGGGCTGAGCCGACCTCGCTGAATTATGTCAGAGTTTGATTTTCCCGAGAAATGTACTGGCCGAGAGCCAATAGCTTTCAGTTGATATTTCTCAGAATCTAGGAATTAGCGTTGTCGATACTGGTCATCATTAGTACTGGTGATGCTATTGAATGAATCAAAAACGTCATCAAATTGACAATTCACGTATATGCACAGCCGATATTTTGAATATCGAGCCATTCTGCAAGCTAATAACCTCTTGTCTGATCTGAACAATATTTGTTCATTAAGAAATTCCTTAATACGCTCAGCATTTGTCACACGAGGGCTCACACTAGCACGTGACTAAAACTCTCCGCATCCAGACTCAGTTTCGGGAGACCAAATATCTGCCGATGTTCTTCAACCGAGCCTCTATGGTCTAGTTGGCTATGACGTGGGTCTCATATCTTGTCATATGACGATTCTGGTAACAGAATTGCAATCCCGAGGTCTCCAGTTCGATCCTGGATGGGGGCAGGTTCTCTTTTTTTTGGCCTTTGGTGGGTCTGATAATCCGTCTGAAATAGGGGTGGTTATCTTCATGTGTTTTATTTGCTTCCTTTTGCTTACGTGTGGCCCTCAAGAAGAGGGAAAAGGGTTGAATATCTTTGTAAGAATTATATATCGGATAGTCTAGGCTATACTATTTGTTCACAGGTGTTTGCGTACCTAGTAGAAGCCCTCTAAAGAAAACGGCAGAAGAGTAGAGGCGGAGCGGATTGCATGTTGTTTGTTAGCATGCCTTAGCGCTTAGATCACAGATATTTAGTTGCTGTCCCATGTGCTTCTTCTTCTTCCTCCTTCCGCGTCTCATGCTTAGTATTTCGTAAAGCTACTTTGTGGGTGTCTATCTCCATTCGTATCTGAGCTGTACAAGAGAACTTTTCGGAAAAATATTATATGATGGCACAAATACGAGTGGAGATGAACATCCACAAAGTAGGAGCAGTTGCCATGCGTGTTCAGAGTAATTCCTTTGGGCATTCCACTGGAAAAAAAAAACCCATAACATGCTGTCAAGCTAACTATTTCACAAATCAACAAGCAAGCAAAATGCAAAATCAAATCCCAAGATATTGCAGATTCATTATCAATTCAGGATCCAAATCTTCCGGAAAGAAGAAATTGAAAAATCAAGCTCGACTCTCATATCCAAATCTTTATTTTGATTTATCTATCCACCGTATCATTCACGCTCATCAAAACAGTACTGGAGAGTATACCAATCCAGCTACTGACCAGGCCATCTGTGATTAAGTCGACAGCCATTTCCTGAAAGGGAGCGTCCTCGTCCCCGTCCCTGTCGGGGGATACTGGGTTGAGAGCCCTTGCATCTTCAATGCCATGCATGACGATACGCGCGAGGTATGCCTTGAGTGATCCGATTGCCCGAGTCCGACCTGGACAGTCTACTAGAGACTTATTATGACTCGGAGGCTGAATCTGCGGCGGCGTCTCGCGGTCGTTAGGCTCATTTTTGACCTTGTGGTTTGGTTCTGGTTCTGGGGTTTGCGGCCTGGGGGCGTGTCCGTTTGTCTGGATAGATTTACGTCGTTGAGGAGTTGACTTTTGATGACGGCCAGTGAAGTTAGCTCCTGTGATCCATGACGGATATATCCTCGGAAATCCCTTCCAAGGTTCAATGTACATGGTTTATAGGCTGCTGGCAATGTCGCCAGGTATGTCCTGGAGTACCACAGTCCCAGCAGATAGGCCGAGATCGTCGATTCCCAGGCGTAGGATGACGATACTGTGGTCGATATCTATCTGCACGGTGATGATGGAAGGATGCGGACGACGAGCCCCCCCTCCGTGACTCTGTATCGCCCCATGGTACCTCTTGGGGAGGCGGGTCGACCCCGTGGGGTGTTAGCTCTTGTCATTTAGGTGAGTAGATCTCGAGAGCTGGGGTTTCCTCGGAATAGAGTGTGCGTCGTTGTGTTGATATGAGGGATGATGTTGTTGAAGTTTGAGTGGCGTGAAAAGAGAGGAAAAGCGTCTCTTTGAATCGATGTTTGAAACTTGGATTGTTAAATTTTCCGTGGTAGATACCTTGTAGCTATCTTCTAACCATTTAGGTCGATCAACGGGGTAGATAGAAGTATTCTACACAAATTCTAACATACCACTTTCTCTCGACTCGGAATCTTACGAAGGCGTCAAAGACCAGGAGACGATCGAGCTGGAAATGCATGTACATGCAGTAGATAACATACGTAACTAAAAAAACCAGAGTGACCCGTTGCAAAGTACAAAAAAGGAGCCGGAAATAGTAAATAAAGGGAGACAATAACTCCAGTTCAGTCCGCAAGATAACAGGTGAAGACATCCTTAACACAATAAAAAAAACATCGGAGCTAGGGTGAAATAGATACTAACTCATCACACCGAACTGTCTTGTGCGATCGGAATCTCGAACTCGCGATACCCCTCCACCAACCCGTCCTTCAGCTTTGTCACAGCAACCCAAGCAGGAGCAAACTGCCTCACTTCATCCAGAGCAGGAATGACGCCGGGGGTATTATCATCACTCCAGATACAAGAGACACGGCCCTTGACAGGGAAGGCTCTTCTTCCTCCTCAGATGTGGCATCGTGCTTCGAAAATTCGACGTCGACGCTCCATTTCGCATCCCACGTCCGACTCCAGAGACGGATCTCACTGAGACCTTCACTGGCTGGATGACTGAACCGTTTATCTGGGGCAGAGCTGCCCACGACACTGAAGTTCTTGATCGAGTAGCGGTCCATTGTGATACGGCAAGAGCGGGTGTTTTGCCCCGCGATATCGAAGTGGGCGGAGCGAGTCTCGGCGTTGGGAGTGGAGATGTTGAATGAGACCCAGTCTGATGAAGGGCCGGGGGATTTGGAGGAGGTTTTGCTTGGGACGACATGTGGCTCTGGGCCATTCCAGGAACATTGTACGCGGTTGGTGAAATCGGAACACTCTGTTTGTCCCGAAGAGCTGGGAAGTCCGCGGACAACTTCTTCCACGAATGGCTGCATGCCTGTGAGATATGCGGTAGAATTTCCATTGTCCAGATCGACTTGTTGGTGGAAGAAAATCTTCACGCGGTTTGAGTCGGAGAATGGGAAGGCAACGAGGTTGTAGATCAGGGTGCCGATAAGGATGAAGAACAGGAAAAGCGGGACGTGGTAAGTGAATCGATGAATGTACGGCAGCATCGGGGCGAATAGAACAGCCGTCAGAATGGCGATGGATAGATACACGAACAGCTGCGGGCTGCCATCCTGACCGGTTTGATGAAGGGCACTGGTAAGTATGAGACCAAGTGGGGCGACCAGTGTGAGAATGATAGGGACAGTGAGAATAAGTTGCAGAATCCAGGTCCAGCGTGGCATGGACGAACTCCATGATTGTTCGTTTCCATAGACGTTCGGGTCAGCTTCTTCCTCATTGTCCGCTTCATTTTCGGCGGTTTCATTAGAGACATTAACGTAGTTTGCAAATGTGGTCCGTTGACGATTATCACGAAGAAGCGATGTCGATTCAGTTGCCTCCTCCTCGACATCGTCATCTTGGCGTTCTTCTCCGGATAAAAGACCGAGTCGGCTACCGAAGCTGCTGGCTCGCCGCGAGCCTTGCGCAAATTGACTGATGTATTCGGTCATAGTCGGTAGGGAGAAAAGCTCCAGATACGAGATCCATGTCGCCAAGAAGACTCCAGAGAAGTAAAAGAACATGAAGTAGCCACCAGCCAAACCTTCCTCGTTCTCAAAGACAGTGGCCACAACCAACAAAGCCCAAGTGAGAACAAACAGCCAGGTCCAAGTGTAGATTCGGTGGAAAGCGGAAGGACGGGCGAAGTCAGCCACGCAGGAGACAAACCAAGCCAAGAAGATCCAGGCGGATATCATCATGCTCCACACAGCGTAGCTGCTGCTGTGCGAAATGAAAGGGTTAACCTTGGTCACCATATAGGCAAATCCCACAGTCACAGCAGTAGGAACACCGATCAGAAAGGGAAACCGGAAGAAACCACGCAAGCCTCGAAGCGCGAACTTCTCATCGCTGAAATCAAACGACGCCGAAGAACGGAACAAGTACATCCTATCCGCATGCGAAAGTGCGATGCTAGTCACGAGGAGAGTCAAGGGCGCGACAATCAGGATCGTAACCGACAATGCGAAGAGAGTATGCAGTTGGAACACAGCAAACGCAGCACCGAAGAGGTCGAACCAAACAGCCTTCGTCCCCGTACCACTAGATACAAGGCCATCATCCCGAAGATGTCCATCAAACTGGTCACTGGAATCAGAAACAAGTTCCTCGGTGGTTGCCACGGACGCGGACAGCATATGCCAAACAGAGTCCAGGCTGGTATGTCGCGCATCATCCTGATCGGTATGATATCTCGCCCGCGGTTCAAAGAAAGCAAGATCCAGACCGCGCAGTCCGAGCATGCCTTCGAAAACAACATAATCCGTCTGACTACTAATAAGTCCCTTCTCAAACCCATTGGCGCTAAGAACCGTACCGAACGGATTCTTCGATTTCGCATACGCCTGCGTAACCTCCGTATCCGAGCTCCGGAACAGTGTCGCTCGCCCCCCAGCACCAGCACCTTCCAGGTTCAGAAACGTGTGGGCGAATTTCGACAACGGGTGCTGGCTATACGCGCGCGCACCGTTCAGATAATCCTCCTCGCCGTTATTGAACAGCACCACCAGCCCACGACGCGGGGCGTGGCCGGGCGTAGTGAAGTACTTTAGTAGCTGTAGACAAGTCACGACACCGACACCGTCATCTGTCGCGCCATATCCGGTCGAAACGCTGTCGTAGTGCGCATTAACCAGTACCCCTCCCTTGCCAACGGGTGTTTTGCCAGGAACCTCCCACCAATTGTCCGTCTTATCTTCATAGCCGCGAATATAAACGAGGATGTTCGTGCCTTCAAAGTACACGCCTAGACGACCGTCCACTGAGGTAAGGTTCGAGGTGAGGTCGTCGAAGACGAAAACGTCGGGCTTTTCTTCATCGTAGGCCTGGTACTCTGCCGCAGGAGCCGTGGTCTTGGTAATCGCGTCGATACGTTCCAGCAACCACGCGCGGACTTTGTCGTTTCGGCGCGAGTTATATGGGTGGAAGCCGCCCGTGAGGATCTGCAGGTCCTGCCATGCCTCGGTGAGGTCGAGGCCCTTGGGACTGGATTGTGGCGCGGTCGGGACGTTGGTGTTGATAACCAGGATAGGGATTAGTAGGGCTAGGTACACCAACGTCGTGATGATGGTGACCGGCCATGGGGTGAAGGCCAGAGGATTCCTGGCCTTGGGGGAAGCCATCGCCGCGGATGGTGTTGTCGAGGGGGGGATGTGGTGCGGAACAAGTTTTGAGGTTGCTTCAAGAATGCGGGGATAGCTACGGAGCTACCGTCTTTCCGGTCATGTCGTACACTCAGGCTGCATGATGTGATGCATCGCCGGCACGCCATATGCAAATGAAACTGGTCGTCGGGAGAATTTTCAAGAGAACTAGAGGACTTGAATTTAAATATTTAAATAATCATGTTTACTAAAAATATACTGCTCCGTACATGACTGCATACTTTGCCGAGACCCGCTTTCTATACAATTGTAAGCTCAGAATGCGCGACTGAGATAGAAACTCCCAGCAAAACTTGACGTGACAGCTTCCTCATCTACTGGTCTGCTTACACCTCCATAGCTCTACATACACAGAAAAGCAGTACAGAACTACCGTGGCATTCCACATATAGAGGAAGTAGAAAAACCATTATCGCTAGAGAGGAATACATCCCCCGCGAAAACATAGACATAGAAGGATAGAAAGGGTAATAATCTTCGCTCATATGGTTAAAAATAATAACAAGGGCTGTGTCTTGGTCTTGACTTCGGGTGCAAGGCCAAGATCGAAAGCACAAGGGGGAAATAAAAAGCAAGGGATGCAAAAGATGAAAAGATGCGAACCGCCTTTATCGCCCATGGAGTAGAAACTGAGAAGAACCCATAAGAGGACAAGGAACGGATGAAGAATGTGATGAAGGGAATGGAAAAATTGGGTATCGTATCAGTCATGGGCAGGCACATTGATATAGTCGTCGTCACTGATGCCCGTTGCATGCATCAATCCAGTCATTTGCCCTTCGTCTTCGTCCAATTCTTCGTCATCATCGTACATGGTGGCCTCTTCTTGGTGTTGCTGTGGTTTTTGGTTGAGATGATCGCGGAGCCGAGTGACGCCGTCGCCACTGAAGACGCAGAATACGTCTCTTTGTTGCTGCGTAAATTCTGGTGGCGCCTCTCGGCAGAAGGCTGTGAGTTCTGGTTCCAGGAAGGATTGCACACCAGTCAAACTGAGGTGGGTAAGGCGGGGACAGTTATTAATCAGAGGTCGGATTCCCTGCATCATGTTAGAACTAGGCAATATAGAACGCGGAGCCCAAAATACTTACTTCCATGCTCAAGCTGACACAGTAACTGAGATGCACACGCTCCAAGTTGCTAACGGATGGGTGGCCACTTCTTGGGGGGTTTGCCAAACTCAAGATGCTGAGATCAGTGATAGCTTGGCATTTAACCAAACCGATACGGCGGAGCTTGGGGAGAGTAGCCAATTGCTGCACACTCTGATCTGTCAGCCGGTTGCAGCATGCCAAATCAATGTAGCGAATTCGGTTGCAAGACTTGATCAGTTGAATGACGGCGGCATCCGATATATTAGAGCAATGGCCCAGATGGACATAGTGTAGGTTCTTTCCCAGTTTGCAGATTGCAAGTACTGCACGGTCCGTGATGAAACGGCACTTGGCCAAAACCAGGTTTCGAAGACGAGGAGCGGCATTCACAATGCGCTCGACGGCATCATCCTTGACATTTTCACACGCTGTTAGGTCCAGGATGCGTAGACTGTCAAATGTCAGGTGTTCTGGCAGATGCAAAAAGGCGGAGTCGTCGATCTCGATGCAGTGAGCGAGGCGTAACTCTCGAAGGTGTCGTAGCGTGGTGATTAATGACGTTACTGATGGGCTTGTCACAAGTTTGCAGTCATGTAAGTCAATCTCCAGAATAGCTGGACAATTCTCGGCGAAGGACATGATCGACCGATCTGTGACGTGTACAACGCCATTAAGTTTTACCTACAGATCGGGTTAGTATAGGCAAAAAAGGCTAAAGGCAAATTCACTCCAAAGAAGGCCACATACCCTTTTGATTTGACGACAGTTTTGCGAGACAACAAGCAATGAGTCGTCCGTAACCTTTGCGCACCCAGTAATGTTGAGACCCTGTAAGCGCGGACAGTTCCTTGAGACCGCATATAATGTATGGTCGGTCAAGTATTGCAAGTCCGATACATCCAGCGCTTGCAAGTGTCGATTCCCATCTACCAAATCCGACACGCCTTTATCAGTGAGTTTCGAGCAGTTCGTCAACGTCAGGCGCTCAATGCGCTTGCATTGGGCGAACGGGACGACTGTGCCATCGCTGACGTCCGCCATCAAAGCAGACAAATTAAGTCGCTTTATGAGGTCGGCATATGTAAAGAGACTATCTGGCTTGCCAACAGACGAGGCCACGCTCTTCAGGTTATCCCAGTTATTGCAGGATGGCCGATGCCAGAGTATCCCGACGCAGTTGGCAGCCCAGTTCCGACATACCTGCATGCAGGCCAGCATATCTTTGGGTAGGGCCAATTTTGAGAAGATCGCGATCAAGATCTCGGGTGGGAGGCGACCGATCGGTGGCACCGAGACCGATCGAGAGCTCTGCACGTGAACCTCGCGGAAGTTTGCTACGCCGATCGAGGATTGTGAATCGTTGGCCTGGGCCATGAAAAAGTCGGTGTCATCGTCGGCGGCACGTTCCGGAGAGGTAGAGGAGGAGGTTTCGGAGGGGGCTTCACTCGATTGACGAGCAGAGGTTCTCTGGCGAGGCATTTTGGCAGCCGGCGAAGAATCAACACTTGACCAATTTGACTTTCGTTTCGGGTCTTCGCAAGGCCGAAGTCTCATTACTTCCAAGGATTATATCTGCATGGGCGATGGAGGAGGAGATCGGGCAGCTGACGATTGGGGTAGGCGCGGGTGAAGCTGAACTTGGTGGAGAGAGGGCGGCGGAGGTTCGAGGTATCTGACCCGAAGAGCCGGTCACTGGAGTCTGCGCCAGGGAACAAAGAGGCACTGAATGTTGGGAGCGCTGAGTCTTTTTGTTCTTGGTTGTTCTTCCAGTGAAAGTGCCGGATATATCGCGTTCTCGGATGCGGATGTGACGGGCGGAAGGCGAAGTGAGCTGAGCGCTTAAGTCAAGGCTAGCGATGACGGGTGCCCGTAGGACTTTGACGGGAGAAGGTGAAGGTGGAAGAGAGATTATTGCATGTACATTCGCAACCGACCGCAAGACCCCCAGGAGCGAAGGGGGTGTTGAAGGGCGAATGTGTGAAGGGATCAAGGCGGCAATGGAGGGGGGATGAGGCAATGGCGGTCTCACAGGCGCGGCCAAGGGACTTGCTTATCGACGTGATAAGATGGAGAGTACCTTAGTACTAGTAGTATTAGTAACCTGGGTTGAACCTTCGTAGAGAAACAAAGAGAAAGTTCCAAGTCAGCCCTGGTTCAAGGTGAAGAACTTGAAGAGGCAGTGTTCTGATCACCCGGGTTATTCCTTTGTTCCTTCTCGAGAGCGCTTCAACTACTGATGCGGTCCCGTGGGTCTGAGGCTGGTCTGGTGAGCCCCACCATCTACTACTGAGTAATTTACTAGTAGTATACTCCGTACAAGTAACTTGAACTCGAATATAATAGTCATCATGAGCGACGTGCATATATGATATTGGTATTGGTTGATCTTGACCTTGTCTCTCCTTGTGTACACAATATTCATGGATGACACTGGAAACCCCACTACTACTACTACTACTACTACTACTACTACTACTACTACTATTACTAATTCCCAGATACATGTCTACTAGTATATTCAATGCACCCTCTAATCTACTAATTACATAGATGCCTACACATTCACACTCCGATTAGGCCCTTTCACCCATTCCCGAAGCACATTCTTTCGAATCTTGCCCGTACTGGTCTTGGGCAACTCAGGAACCACCTCAACCTCACGCGGGATCATGAACTTGCTGATCCCGCTCACATTCCGAGCCCAGTCAATGACGTCTTTGCCTTCCAGCTGTTGGCCTTGCTTGACTGTGACAAATGCCTTGGGTCGCTCGCCCCAGTGGCTGTCAGGAACAGACACCACGCCCGCTTCGAGAATGTCGGGGTGAGTGGCCAACATTGACTCCAGCGCCACGGAGGATATATTTTCGCCACCTAGCAATTTTGAATTAGTCAACATTTTCAAATTCGAAACGCATTCATCAGCATCGGCCTATACTAATAGGCCTTCCCTAAGCGACTCACCGCTAATGATTATATCCTTGGCCCGATCGAGAATCTGGATCGCTCCATCTGGGTGCCAGACAGCCAGGTCTCCCGAGTGCAGCACCTCGCCCGCGAAGAGCTTCCGGGTTGCATCAGGGTCCTTGAAGTAGCCCCGAGCACAGATGTTGCCGACAAATACAATCTCTCCGATCTCCTGGCCATTCTTCTCTACGTCCGTGACGGTGCCTTCCGGGACCTCGGTCTTAATCACCCGCACGGGAAGGCTCGTGATGAAGCCATGGCCTTGCCGGGCCATATTTTGATACTTCTCTTTCAGTGGGATCTGGTCCCACTGAGGCAGATAGTATCCTTTGGTAATGGGTCCGTAGGTCTCGGTCAAACCATAGACATGGACCGGATGGAGGTTCAGGTCAGTCATTTGCTCAAAGAGGTGTGGGGTCGGTGGGCTAGCAGCGACTGTCACACGGACAGGTTCGGGCAGTTTTTCGGCCTCCTTGGCGTTGCAGAGGAGAGTGTTGACGGTTGGTGCTGCGTTGAAATGGGTAATGTGCTCTTCCTTGAGCATTTTCCAGATCTGAGGATAATCGATCTTGCGTAGACAGTAATGCGTGCCACGAACGGCGGTAACTGCCCAAGGGAATGTCCATCCTATAAAATTGGTTAGCATCGTAACACCCATAGAATATATTCTTATCCCATGAAAAGTTTAAACGCTTAAAACGAATGCACGAACCCATAGCATGGAACATCGGCAGCGTCCAGAGATATCCGGCACGGCCACGATGATAATTCAAGCCCGATTCGATCACGTTACCCAAAGCTGCAAGGTAACAACCCCGATGGGTGTACTCAACTCCCTTCGGACGGGCAGTAGTTCCACTGGTATATGCAAGCGCGATGAGGGAATCTTCATCAGCAGCCTGGCTTTCAAGCGCCTCCCAACCCAGCGCTCCCAATTCCTGATCATGCTTCAAGCCCTCAAGAACAGCGTCGTCAAATGGCCCAGTCAGCTGGCCCTCAGTAACATCAGTATCAGTATCGATAATGAACGGAATATTAGGATGGTCCGCGCGGTAGGCTTCAAGCAGCGGCTCAAATTCTTGATCCACGATAATGACATCTACATCGCCGTGGTCGAAGATGTAGGCGATATCTTCCTTCTTGAGACGGTAGTTAACGGCTATATAGCCGGCGTTAGTACATGTAGAAGAGGAAATTGGGGAAATAATTCCTTCTCCAATGAGGATAGGGAGTTCTCACCGACGTTGATTGCCCCTGCAGCAGCAATGCCAAAGATCGACTCCAGAAATGCCGGGGTATTTGGGCACAAGATGCCAACTCGCTTGAATCCATGTTTCTTCAAATAATAGGCTAAGCCACGAGCGCGATCTGCGAGCTCACTGTAGGATCTGCGGAGGACCTTGTTGTTGGCAGTGATGTGGTAGACAGCTTCCGCCTGCGGGACGTTCCTCCTTGGTTAGACCCAGGGATGAAATGAGATTTGGTGAGATCTCCACGCTTACCTCTGGCTCAATGGCAGCTGCACGAGGTAGAAAGAATGTCGGAGATAGCGTATGCCGATTAATTCGGTGCTCGAATGGGGCGGGTGTTGAGAAATGGCCGAGTAAATTCGACAGCCGGGACTTGACGCCGGACATGGTACGTGGGGAGAGCGGATGATCGACGTAGGAACAGGGTATCGAAAGGGTTGGGTCACACGATTTAAATATATGCAAATGATAAATCTGTCACAGAAACAATCCGTGATATTTCAAGGGGTACGGTGGAGTATAGTAAAGAAGAAGTTTTGGGGATTGGAGAAATGCGGGGAAGACGACTCGGGGGGGTCTCTCGTTTCCCCGGTTAATAATTAACCTAGGTTATGGCGGACATCGGGCGGATCACGGGCGGAACTGGCACTGGGGCATCGGGAACAGCACAAATCAGCGGAGACTTCAAGAACCATGAAATACTTCCCTTCATCCGACTCGATGATCTATTCTTGTTCTGAAATTTTAAAATTGGAAAGTTATACTTTTGAGGGCCCGTGGAGAGTCGAGGACATGGACACTCCGAAGTCAACTGAGTTGGACCGAGACACCGCCAGCCCATTTCTATATAGTAATTCCGGTGACGATCTGTTTGAGACCTTGATTTTTGCATAGGGGGAAATCAAAAGGAATCATACGATACTATTCTAGGCAAACACTGGTCTGCTGGGGAGGAGGAAGACTAGTCAAAAAAGGATTGACTGCATCATCATAAGATCATGTTGAACTCTTGAAAATTGTTTTGGATTAAACCGCCACGGCGCGAGACAAACAGCCAGCTATTTTGAACAACCTTTCATCCCGCGACTCCGTTTTTCTGCTTTTTGAAAATATCCGAAGCCACCTAGGATCTCCGCCGTCCCCGGCCACCCATGTCCGTCACAACCGACCAAGGTCGTGGTATTCATGAAGCGGCTAGGGAATAGGAGAGAAACCGGGGGCCATGGAAATAAAGGTCGATCGGCTTGCCGTTCAATTCGCTGAAACAAAACCGTCCGCGATCCCAACCCAGACCCTTCGTCACTTCACATCAACCAGCCGAACTTTATCAGGTATCTAGTAGCCGTACTCAGCAAGCTGGGACTTGGTCTTGCTGTTAACGTTCGCACTCTGCTCCGCCTTGGCGAGGCCACGGCGAGCGGCCTTCTTGCGCTCGTAGTAAGCCTTGCTCTTAACCTTCCGACGCTCCTCGAGACTGTGAACATGCATGTTAGTATTCTGTAATTTCTGGGTGATTCAAAGTATCTGCTCAATCCGAGCAGATGAAATGATACGTACCGGGAGACGACGTCCTGGTACTTCCAGCCAACCTCGTGGCTGAGACGACCGACAGTGCAGAACTTGCGGCCGGGGCGGAGGCGCAGGATGCGCAGAGCCTGGGGAACGACAACGCGCTTCTTCTTGTCGTAGGGAGGGGGGACACCCTCGAAGACCTTGAGGCGCTCGAGAGCGGCGGCACCACGGGCGGTCTTGTGGGGAATCATGCCGCGGACAGCCTTGTAGAAGATACGGGAAGGAGCGCGGAAGTGGAAGGGACCACCGCGAGTGGGGTTGAAACGGGTCATCTTGCGGAGGTAGGCGTGGTACTTGACTGTTGGTCGAGAAAAGGCGAAGGTCAGTATTCAGTACTTCGTTGGATGTTGTACTTTTCCAAGTCTTCAATGTGGCGTCCACGATATGCAACTCCAAATGTTCCTCCTTTTGTAGTCGTTTTGCCATTGTGCAATATCGTGTTCTGCCGCCGAAGAAATGGAAAGGTCGGATTGGGGGGATGTGTGAACGTACGCTTCGCGCGGAAGAACTCGCCGGAGATGTTGAGGGCCTCACATCTCACAACGACGATCTTCTGACCGTTAAGCAGCTGCTTGGCAACAGTGCTGGCCAGGCGACCCAGGAGGTGTCCCTTGCCGTCGATGACGACCTATATCAAAGCGATTCAAGTTAGCGATTTGCCATCTCGATAAGAAGCGAAGCGAAGCGAAGAGATTCGATGTTGAAGATTTGAAGATTGGAGGATTGGTGGTCGGGGGGTTTGCAAAAACGATCGGAATGTTGAACGCACCACGTTCTCAAAGCTGGACATCCTGCTCTGTCACCGTGTGAAAGTTGGGTTGAGTGGTTGTCGGCGGTTGTTGTCGTTGGAGTCAAGTCAACGCACACAACGAAGTCGGATGGATCGCAGGCGAAGTGGCTAAGCGAGTCCCGAAAGAGCCTACTGTGTGTGGATTAGTCGTGAGGGCCGCAGCCCTAAGCATGACCAATGAGAATGGGAATCGTCTGACCGCCCTGCCGGACTTGGCGGATTATATCAGCACTTTCCAAATGTGTGGTGGGTGGGTCGTGCCTTCCCACCATCTCAGTTTAGGGCAATCCGTTAGGGCTGCAATCATCTACTCGTACTGTATGTACTGTTCTAGAAGGCATCCAGGACACAGTGTGGAATGGAGTGGTGGTGGTGGTGGTGGTAGAGCAGCAGTATATACATGGGTGGTAACTAGTGGTAAAGCAGATATACCTACATCTCAATTAGAATGACAGCCAACTTGAAATTCCTAACTTCTTCCCTACACTTCCTAACCCTTTAGATTCCTTCTACTCGGATCCTTAGATCCTCGAGATCCGGGGACTTAGTGCCTGATCCCTAGGGTTCCATCAACTTATCAACCTGATCAAAGACTGGGTCCGATGACTAATCTCTACCATCGACCTTGACATGTTTTCTCCCTTACTCTCTTGGGTTTCCAACGCGCTTCCCTTGCAAACATCAACGCCTTATGAGTTCCAACTCCGCCCATTCGTCCAATCTCGCTGCAATGCCACCAGATATTACGAGAAAATCTGCATAGCCGTGATCACAATCCTTGAATATCCAACTTTCTGCTCAATCAAGAACCTGAGGGCCTAGACTGAGAACTAAACAACCCAGAGCCAGGCGTCGCAAAACACGTTCCGTTTGCGTCTCCGATACCCATGGCTACACACCTTCTGAAGCAGGCTTCAAACTGCCGGCGGGCGATGTACTCATACACGCGGGCGATTTGACTAACAATGGAAGCATGTCCGAGCTCCGCAGGACGATGGATTGGATCTCCAAGGCCGATTTTGAAATTAAAATCATTGTGGCGGGTCAGTTCATTTTCCCGTTCTTCGACGATACCCAATGGTTGTTCAGTTCGAAGCTGGTGAACTGAAGACCCACATACACACCCTATATATGCACATATATACACAGGATAATGTCTGCCGGGTGGTGCTTTCCTATCTCGGCTGCCGCTGCTTTTATGAGGACTCAGGCTCAGAAGTAAATGTCAACACGGGCTCATGCTCAGTGCTTGCGTACCCCCGAAGGCTTTCACGTTCAATCAGCGTTTGTTTAGCATCCTTCTGGTTATTCCTAAATCAGTATAGCGCAGAGGGTTATTTAGTCTGTGAACAACTTACTAGTTAGCGATTTGGATGGACATAAACATCACTAATCATGGCGGATATACGGCATCTCCTTTCTCCGGGTATTTACCAATCCTGTTGCTCCGACAGGGTTGACAATAGGACGACGAGGTGGAAGGGACTTTAATAATCCCCTTTCTATACAGAAGCGCAGTGCGTCCAGATATTCGCCCGTGCCGAGATCAATCGAAGCATATGACGGCCTTGAGCTATCCATTTCGGTTCACCTCGGGCTAAAGGTTGGAAAAGGACTTTGCAGGGAACAATGATACATTTCATATACACATGTACATAGCTCGACTTGATACATATACATAATGTGTCGCACGCTATCACTTTACAGTTAACCAGCCGTGCTGAACAGCAAGGCCATTACACAACAATCACGGATAGTTTCGCTTGCGACCAGCCATCTCCACGATCAGAGCTTCTCGACAAAGTCCTCACATCTCTTCTCGTCGCCCGCATATCCACCGTTCTCAATCTCCATCTTTTCGATTTCGGCATTGAAGTGAGCCATGCGCTTGGCAAATTCCTCTTCCTCGTCCCACACGAAGGGGCTCTTGCTGGCGAACAGGAAGTCGATCTGCTCCAGCGTGCGGCCGGCAGTCTCGGGGAAAAAACAGTAGATGATGGGGATGTAGGCGAACATGGCGGCACCGAAGACGTAGAAGGTCTGAGAAAAAGAAGTCAGAAATGGAAAATATGGGAAAGGAAAGATATGACTAACCTTCTCCTGGATGCCGGCAAACATGACCGGGACGAGCAACGACCCAGCGCCGTAGCCGACCGCCCAACCCGCAACACCAAAGGCGTTACCCTTGGCGCGCAGCCATGTCGGGAAGATCTCGGTCGGATAAATGAAAGGAATCATCAGCCATGAGGAGCTGAAGACAACTACGTATAGGAAGACCATGGCGGCGGCTCCGGTTCCGTACTGTTCAGCCTTGTCGGGGTTGTTGATGGCTCCACGGTTCAGACCACCACTTGAGGAAAGTCAGCAGGATCAACGTCAGGATGAAATGGGATTGTACTCACATGGCAAAGAGGATAATACTCAAAACGACCGCTCCCCAGTAGAGGGTCCGGCGACGACCAACTCGGTCCAAGGTCAAAGCAGCGATACCAGTTCCCAGAATACCGCAGGTCATACACAAAGCAGTCAGCCAGTTGGACTTGAAATCATCAAAGCCAGCAGTGCGATAGATGTTTCCCGAGTAGATGACCACCGCCGCTATACCCGTGCCATATTGCATCAGAACTTGGAGCCAGAAGGCCAGCTGGATACGACGTCCAATGTGAATATCTCCCGATCCAATGCCCAGGAACATTTTGATGTAGCTGGAGCTCTGTGACTCATGTTCCATCTGCACGACGGCGACGATCTCGCGAACTTCTTTCTGCACCTTCGGGTGGTCGCGGTCGCCATCTCCACGGAGCTTGGTGATAATCTCGAATGCCTCCTCGTTGCGTCCGACCTTGACGAGCCATCGAGGCGATTCGGGAATGAGCAGGGTGCCGATGACGAGGAAGAAAATTGGTATCAGTTGGCAGGCAAAGCAGAAGCGCCATCGAAAAGCGCCATCGGCGTAATCGGTAAAGGAGGTAGCGAAGCCAATCCAGGAAGACAAGGCAATGCCTCCAAAGTTGGCGAGGAAAGTCAGGGCGATCATTTGACCCCGATGGGATGCTGGAGCCAGCTCTGCGGTCCACGAGGGAGCAATGACGATGATGAAAGAGACACCAATACCCGCGACAACACGGGCGCAGAGCATATGGGTGAGGTTCACGGCACTAGCCTGCAGGATAGCTCCCATAAAGCACCAGACACAGGCCATCCAAATACCCTTAATACGTCCGTAGGCGTCGGAGAAACTACCGGCCCAGAAGGCGCCGCAGAGAGCACCGAAATAGTACATGGCAGCGATGCCACCCTGCAGAGAGGGCTTGATGACTTTTCCATGCTCATCGGCGAAGCCCATACGATGCTGCAGTTGTGATCTTCGATTAGTTGGCGATTCCGACTCTGGGGATAATGGCCCAGGAGGATTGCGGTACATACTCCATATTCTGGGGCGACATTGACAGCGCCCATGACACCCTGACTCATGCCCTCATAGGAAATGGCCACGGCAGAGACTGCTGTAATTAACCTGAGAAGTTTAGGTCCAGGGACCGTCTTCCAGAGACCTCGCTGGATCATGATGAGTAAACTTGAATGAGGAACAGAAGAAAGTAGTCAAAGGCAGATTTGGAATGACTATATAATGGGGAGACACTAAGACTCTGACTCGGAGAGTCAACCCCAGATAATTGATAGAAAAAGTAATGGAGCATAGTTGTATCAGGAAGATATGGGGATGTTTATAGATGACGAGTGATTTCCTTCTATTGGTTGTGAGATGTAGGGTATGGGGGTGTGGGGTGGGGGAAGGGCAAACCCCGCGGGGAGAAGATCACGAGAAGTTGGGGCTCTACTAATATGGTTTTCTTGGTTCTTGCTCGACTCGGATGACCGGGATCACTCTAAACTCAAAACCTCGGGGCCCCTTTCCATATCCGTCTCCCTCTCCGCCACAATATATCCCCATATCCCCGAGTTTTCTTCCCACTTTCCCTCTCTCCACACCTCCTCGACCCGAGTATCTCCTGGCTTATTCTCGTCTCGATATTTCTTTTTCGAGACAGACTTACTCCGCTCCTACCGTTCCATTTCTACAGACCTCGCGGATTTCGTCACAGCTTTCGGCACAACATTCGACATGGGAAAGCTTCGCTCAAAAGATGGATGGTCAGTCATTCCCGCCATAATTCCCCACATTACACGAGCTGCACATTTCCGCTGTTGATAATCGGAAGGGAAGGTGACTGGTCCACATCTATATCTGGTGTCTTAGAACGGTCGTTGGGAAGGTTTCTAAGCCGAACCATTGACTGTGTGACCACTGATGAAGAATTGTCCAGGCTTCTTCCTTGTGAATTTTGCTGAGTTTCATCACAGCCTAACTTGCCGGAAGAGGCATGTCAAATGTATACCCTTGAACTGTTCAAGATAAGTTGAATGCAACGACTTACCCGAAAACAGGCGACCAAGTCAAGCCGATCTGTTCGCAATGCCAGAAAAAGAACCGGCCATGTCTTCGAGAAGAACCACCCAAGAGCATCAGGATCAAGCCTTATCAAGTACGAAAGGCCAGGGAAGCCCCCAAGGATGCTCCTGGCTATGACCATGATAAAATATCTCACCTTCCGGAACACGGAACTACAGACACAGTGATTGTTAATTCAACCAGCCCTGAACATATTACTAATCCAATCTATGCGGAATTCTGTAACAATGCTTCGGTAACATCGCCATATAACACACAAGGATCTACTATCCTCCCGAAACCCACCAACGAATCTGTTCCCACGCGTCGGATGGCCTCTCCAGTCAACAATACCACTACCTCGCCATACTTCAGCGTGGTCGGATTCCCGATCTCCCACCAGCTCCGACCGGAGTCTTTAAGTCCGTGGTCTCCGACTTCGCCCACAGGTACGATACATGCAGGGTCTCCACTGACCTACAAAGAAGCTTACCTTGTGCATCACTTTTCGACGCACCTCGGGTATTGGCTCGACTGCACCGACGCTTCCCGCCAGTTTACCCGGAAAGTCCCCACCCTTGTCAAGCAATCGCCGATTCTGCTGCATGCCGTACTTTCCTACGCGGCCCGGCACGTTGGCGATGCCGAAATGGCCGAGCAGGCGCATGAGCGTTGCGTAGAATTATTGATTCCCTCCCTGAGCTCGGAAACGGTGGCCAACGATGATATTCTGTTGTGTGCAATTGTCATCCTGCGGGTGTTTGAACAGTTAAATGGCAAGTGAGAAAGTTTTCAAGCTGATGCCCAGGCTAACTTCCTTGGGTCTGAAACAGTCATGGTAACTGGGAGCGATCAGGAGCGTCATTTAGCCGGCTGCTCGGCTCTGCTCTGGGCGTCGCAAGGAGGGGGAGGTGGATCCATCCACCCCGAGATTGCGGCAGGCGGCTTTCTGGGTGTACATGCGTCAGTGCCTCTACAACGCATGTATACATCAGCAAGCTCCTAATGTGGATTTGAACTTGGTTCTCATCCCTCCCCCGGGCGGAGGTGACCCTCTGAGTGATCTGAGGTCTGAAACAGCCTGGGCCAACACTATGACTTGGATCTGTGCCACGGTGGTACACTTTTGCTTTGGATCGAGTTACTCGGAGCCTTCCTCCAGAACACGCCGATGGCAAGAGCTATCCGACGCCGTCGAGAATTGGCTGATCACCCGACCGGATACATTTGACCCAATCTGGTATAGCGAAGCCGTCCAGGAGAGTGGAAACCCATTCCCAGAGATATGGTTCACGGCAGATTGGCATAGTATGTCTGCCAAAAGCCTTCTACTCTGCATTGTCTAATGTTGTTTGTAGTTATGGCATTCGGATTTTATCATCTTGCCTGTATGCTCTTGGTCATCTACAAGCCATCACCTAAATTTGCAGTCAGGGGCCTACATAGTACAGCTCGTGAGTCTGATGTGAGTTGATTTTGCTCAAATGAAAATGAATTGTCGTTGACGCCAGCAGTTCCGAGTCATGATGCACGCTCGTGCAATCTGTGGGGCCTCCAACAGTTCCCCTTCGACGGTGCCATCGTTAATCACGCTCTGTCATTCCACCTTTATTTGTGAGACATGCCAAGGGTCCGTGGGGGATGCGTTTACTAACATGAACAGGGGGTCCCTTGATGACAGATTCGGCAGAGAGGGCTGGAGTAATTAGACTGCTGCGAGATATGGAAGCGACGCATGCTTGGCCGACGACTTGGATAATCAATTCTCTAAAAGAAGAATGGGCGATGATGTAACCCGTTCACAATGCCCACATCAAAAGCAAAGGGCATTTTTGACATCTATGCGACAAAGAAAATCATCGACCCTCATTAAACGATACCACGGCATACTTTCCGTTCTGGATCCAGGCACCACCGGGCGCCTCCACGTTCAATGCGTCAACCTTACTCTGGGTCGGGACGCCAACGCAAACGTCGGACTTGTTCGTGCGAAGAGACAAGATTTTGACGCCGCTCTGCTTGCCTAGGGGACCCAGAGCCTCCTCCCATGTGGTGGTGTGAGGCCACATTCCATCTCGGGTCAGTTTGCGGTAGTTGAGGTCGCCCTTGAAGATGACTAAGTAGCTGTTTTGGAGCTCCTTGAAGAGGGCCGGTGCCTTGGATGGCATCTCGTGGAATGAGAACGGCGTTGTCCAGAAGGGGTCGCTAGTGGTCGTGATGGCTCCCGACTGGAAGAATCCGCGGAGTCTCGGTACAAGTTGGTCGAGATACTCACGACCTGGGAAGCATTCGGAGGAGTCGAGATGCTTGAATAGCGATTCGACATCTCTGGAAATGACATCGCTGACGAACCATGGGAACTCCTTGGTATGCAGTCTAACAGAGGTAGAAATGCCGGCGTCCAACAGATAAGCGGCATAGAGCACATCAGTGAAGAACTCAAAGCCAGCGTTGTCGAGGACAATGTCAATCTGGCGACTAGCCTGACCGGCAGTGCGCTGAAGATAGGTCCAGACATCGTCAGTGTCGTTGTCGACAATGTTCCGCTGGCTCTTCTGGATGGCCTCACGGCCCTGCAAGTTTTGCAAGTCCTCCAGGGTCAGGTTAGCGAGGAGTGACAGGTCCGTGGCGTTTCCCCACAATGCAATCTCTGTCATCTCGATAAACAGCAACTTCTTGGCCGCCTCCTTGCTCTCATCTTGGGCGAGTCGAGTATCGGCAACGATCTGCACATAACGGCTGGCGAGCTCCTCAACCGCGGCTCTCGACTTGACAAAAGTAGAGTCTTTCTGGCGTTTGAAAACATCGTAGTTCTGCCAGTATTTTGAAGAGTTCAGGATTCTCTGGATGCTTCTAGAGAACTTTTAGCGCAATTCCTCAATCCGATCTTTGCAACAACATTCGTACCTGTACATGTAGCACTCCCCAAAGAGCCATGGGCAGTTGATCCAACTGCACTGGCCAATTGCAGCCAGCTGCTTGTTCCACTCTTGAATATCGAGCTTGCCGTCATCTTGCAGGGGTCTGAAGCGCTGTGAGTGCCTGCGCCTTCGGTTTATGGAGAAGAAGTACGTACGTGAGGGGTTTGTTCTGTTCAATTCCTTTCTTGATGTCCTTCAGGGCAATCTGAATGGCAATGCTTTCCGCTCTCTTCTGGCCGTCAAAATCATTCGCGGCGGCTGTTTCACCAATGTCGTCGATGGTACCCTGAATGATTTTGGCCCATCGGTTCTCGGCCGTCTGTTTAGCCATTGACCCCTTCTCTGATGTCCAAATTGCACGAACTTCTTGAGCGTTCATGGTGGCGGAAGGCATGACGATGTGACTTTGACAGATCCAACTATACAAGGTCAAGGTCTCAAAGCTATAATGAAGCAGTGACAGCAGATTCAGGGGACTCTTTATGTATTCTTATTCAAGGACAACTTGCAAGGATCGCCCCCACCGAAAAAGGTAGCAGAGCTTGTGATCCACAGACCATCATCTATGAAACCCCCTCGACACGAATATGGGAGAACCCTCGGATGCCTCCCGATCTAGGGAGGGGTGGTCGCATGAACGGCCCGAGACTTACGGCTTAAATGGCTCTCCAAGCTTTCGCAATCCTGGGGATTGGACGGTCCGTGCACCTCGTCTCGAAAATACCCTATTAGGCAATTTTGACCTGCATGTCGGCCGCGGAATCGTGATGGAGCTCGCAAAGTGCATCCCGAATTCTCACTTCTGGTCATTTTTTCGTGCGCATAACCGCACGCTTTTGGATTATCACGGGGATAGTGGAGTGTTTTGGATTGTCCAGCAGGAATGGGGCTAGATTTCAAAAGGTATATGAAGCGGTTCTTCGCTCCTCTGGATTACTATTGGAATCCAAATTATTGAGTTTCAACCTTGTATATACAGATTACCAAAATGGTCACTTCAGTTGGATTTTCTGAGCCCAATGGAACTGCTCATGTCAACGGCCCTCGCCATTTTGTCGCAAATGGTACCCTCGACATCACAGTCATGGGGATGAACAGCGGTACGGCCATGGACGGCATTGACTGCGCCCTTGTTCGTTATCGACAGAGATCTCCTGACGCTCCTTTGCACATGGAAATTCTCAAGGTACGACCGCTCTCTAATGATGGTCTTTAAGGATTCAACCTCAGTGGAACTGACAAATCGTCCTTGTACAGTACGACGAGATCCCCATCCCTCGGTACATCAAGGAGCCCGTCCTCACCATGCTCCGCGAGACAAAAACCACTCCCTCCCTCATGTCCCAGCTGAACGTCCAGCTCGGCAATATGTTCGGCGAGACTGTGAAGCTCTTCTGTGAGAAGCACAACGTCTCCCTTAACAGCATTGACCTTATCGGCTCCCACGGTCAGACTATCTGGCTTCTCTCCATGCCCGAAGAGGGCGAGACCCGTTCTGCCTTCTGCCTTGGCGAGGGGACTGTCATAAGTGGTTTGACCGGCATCACTACAGTCACCGACTTCCGCATGGCTGAACAGGCGGTCGGCCGCCAGGGTGCACCTCTTGTCGCTTTGATCGACGGTCTCCTCCTTCACCACCCCAACGAATGGCGCATCTGCCAAAATATCGGCGGTATCGCTAACCTCTGCGTCATTCCACCCGACAGTGAACAGGGCGTCGACGCCATGGTCGACTGGGACTGCGGCCCGGGCAACATGTTCATCGACGCCGCGATGCGTTACTTCACAAACGGCGAGATGGAGTATGACCGCGATGGCGAGTGGGGTGCTCAGGGTACTGTCAATCAGGCAGTCGTCGACAAGTTCCTCGACAGCAATAAGTACTGCAACCACTTGCCTCCCAAGACGACAGGTCGTGAGACCTTCGGTGACAACGAGGCCCAGGCGATCATTGACGAGTGCTTGGCTCTGGGGATGAGTAAGTACGACATCGTCGCCACCATCACCAGAATTACCGCCCAAAACATCGTCAAGCAGTACCGCACTTTCTTCCCCAACTTCAACATCGATATCGACAAGATAGCCGGTGTCTACATGTGTGGTGGTGGTGCCCACAACCCCAACATCATCAACTACCTCAAGAAGCAGCTGCCCAACTTAGAGATTCTCAAGCTTGATGAGACGGGTGTTCCTTCTGATGCCAAGGAGGCTGTCTCGTTCGCTCAGCAGGCTCTTGAGGCTATTCTCGGCCGTGCCGCTCTTGTTCCTATTAACAGTGACACACTGACGCCCAACACCATCTCGGGTAAGATTGCGCCGGGATTGCGATGGAGAGAGGTTATGACAATGGCAATGGAATTCGGAAAGGGTCAAGCTCGGTTGCCGACGGTCAAGGAGATGGTTATTGACCGGCCCTACACCTACGGAAAGCCTTAGCAGGGTATGGCGGTGCACCTATCTATTTGTATGATAAATTACTTGCATTTAAGGGTTTAGCAATGGCTTCATTTCAATCTAGCATTCTCCGCGACTTTGAAGTGTCTTTCTGGTTGAATCCCCTCACGACACCGTAAAGTGAAGATGTAGTGTACCACCGTTTAGTGGGCGATGGACGGTGTTACGTCTCAGAATTGTGCAGAACAAGAGGGATCGGCGTTGTTCATGAATTAGCCTCAATCGAGGCAGGCCTCATTCTTATCCAAGCTTATCTTAAAATTTTATTGTGGCTTACCAGGGCTCATCGTAAGCGTCCCCGAGCAAATCATTACGCGCGTCATCGTGCCGCACACGCGTAAAAGCTCCAACATCTCACACTGTGTCCTCTGGAACCAAACTCGAAAATACGCAAATGAAAACAAAATGATAGTGAGTCGTCGCGGAGTTGATAGCTCTAAGCAAACTACATAGTTCCGGCCGTCGACCTGAGATGGAGAGATATTCTCGAGCTCAACACCTGATTCAAGACCACTGTGTGCCATTTTTGAACACACTTCAGTTCAATAAAAAGTATAATACAACTAAAAACCTTGATTTTGTCTATATCTCCGGGTTTGTTGGTGGAATTACGCTCTTAATCCTGACCTTTGTTAATAGTTGAGTCGACTATCTCTAAAAGAGGAGGATGAATTGTTACGGGATTCGAAGTATACGATACCCCAGACTCTCGAGGCTGATTTATGGACGAATCCCCTTTGAGTCACCTGCATATCGATATCTACCTGAGCCCTAGTGTATTTAAGATCCCACGATCACTCAGGATTCTTGAGCTCCGTGCCTCTGACCTTCAGACTATTCATGTCCATCAGCAGCAGGATTTACCCACAGCGATGGACCCCGCAAAGATGCCTGACTCTGTCCACGCTCCTCTATAATGATACCTCTGGCAAGGTGGAAAGGTGCAAGTGATGACAATTGGTACTCGGTGATGTTGTTCAAGGGTGTGCCTGTCAAGATAATGGATTACCTCGCGAAATACCCAGGTTGACGAGATCCTTCGGTCTGGTCTTCGGATTAGGTAGCAGCAGAAGCTGCAACAACTGATGCTTATATTAAAGATAATGTACACAATAATTGGCAGATCTAGGGAGGCTGAATCGAGATTTAAACTTGGGGGTAATATAATGGTTGAGATTGACATACATTCGGATATTGCTGCCTGGGTGCTTAAGCCTAGGTATTGTTTACGTGGTTACTATTATGGCTGGAAACCTCTCTCAAGAGCCATTATCCTCTCTTTTGTCTCTTCTTTGGCCTCGGGATTCTGTACGAATGCACCCTTTCGTCTGAAAAAAAGCGTATGCTACATTACTACTAGTAATGAGGAGACATATACTCCAGGGCTACTAATAGTATGTGTTCAGGCCTCTGTTTATGGTAATTTTATCCATAGTGTCTCATCGTGGATGTAGAGTATTGATTCAAGTTCATTGAAATTCTTCGGTTTACTTCAGGCTGCTGAAAAGGAATGTGCCAAGATGATTGTTTCGACAACAAGGCTGGCATAAGTTCTTCAATACGGCTCGAGAGAATGTCGTCAATTATCACATAGAAAAAACCAAACACTCATAACTTGAGTATACCCTACTATTTCCCTGAGAGATGAGCTAACACTTTTTTCAAACAAAGAGCAGCTGAATCTTCTGAGCCTTAAACTTGAAATATCTTACCATCCTCAGGCTCCGACGCATTACATATATAATTTTTTTGCAAAAGCCAGCCTCGCCAGCATAATAGCTGATCGATCCACGACGCCCCGGGCAACCGGCGCAGTGCGCCTTGAAGTTTTCCCTTCTCCCTCTCTGTACCCCATGCCAGGTGCATATTGTGGCTTGCAGCCCATCTATCCAGTATCTCAGGACATTCCCACCACCATGTATGATCACCGGGAGCTTTGGCCCCCCAAGTCCCCGATGGTTGGCCGCTTTGATACATCGATACGATGGAATTAGTCGACGGTGGAAAATCCTGATGCTGTCAGACGTTAAGGCTTACATCATTCAAATGCGACCGAGGTCGTGCGCGCGCAAAGACCGCCGTATATGGGCTAGCTGGTAGTATCTAGATGTCGATATGTGCATAGAGCAGACCCGTCGCACTGGCTGATGGTCCCGATGATGCGCTCGTGCTGAGGGCTTGATGATCCTCCGGTTCGGAGGTACGGTAGTTATGTATAGTTACATAGTTACTTGACTCGGACTCGGAGGTCGGGCTACAGAGTATCTCCCGAAAACTACTTGTAGTGACCGGGGCTACTAGTATTTACACATGTGTCTACGGGTGCGATGATATCTCATGCAAGCTCATCATGGTGCCAAATAGGACAGAATAGGCAGCCTTGTTTTTTGCATATCTCCAAGTCTTATTTCTCGTCCCCCCCCCCCAAATCCACCCTCGTATAGATTGTTCATGTGTAGCCTTGCGCCCTTCTTAACCAATCTCATAACCATTCATATCAAACCCCGCACGCAAACTGCCGGAGGAGGGTCCGTATGGTATATTGTATGTGTGCTACGAGTACATGTGAGTGACTCCATTCATCCATCTGACATGTTCGAAATGCCGCAACCTCTCCTTCCCGAAAAGTGATATCACCAAGAACTAAGGTACGAAGTAGATGAGTGTAGAAGTCATCTGCAGGAAATGGGAGAAAAACTCAAACAGAGGTTCCAGAACACCACTCTAGCAAGGATAAGTTCCAACTATCACTCTCAGCGCTTACACAACGGAGCTTAGTGGCTATTTGCCAGTGGTGGAATAAAGTACCCTACAAATAATGGCCAACCAAATCGTGATCCTGCCATCCATCTCTAACTTTGAGAGTGTGACCTATGTATGCGAGGCCGATCATTCACAGAACTTTTATTTTATTTCTTTTTTTCTTTTCGCTGGTGACTTGCATTTTCCGAGATACAGGGCGGGTGGTTATTCAGCCAGGGCAGACGCAGTGGATAGATAGACCAAGCCAGGCCCAAGCAAGACATGGCGGTAGGCTCTCGTAATGAAGAACGACCGGCTAGCTGAGTTCTAGCGGCGTTTCTGGGCTTCTTGTCTTTGGACCTTTGAGTGGCTGGAAACGTGCCTTCGGATTGAAACATGATCGATGACGCAGGGAAGTTTGCTGCCTGCTTAAGTTCCCCCGCTATCTCTTTTCCCATGTGAAGGAAATGTGCATGTTTCAGCATAGACCTTGTCTGGCTTGTTTTGCGACCAAGACAGGCCAAGTTCCAGCTGCCCACTACCAACTTCAGAGCTAACCGACAACTCGTAGTGCCGGTCTCAGTCCCAGCTGATATGCAAATTCTTCTTCTCCAAGAGGCTACGTCTGATGGATTCGGATACGGATTCTCCGAATCCAGCCACTATGAGCGCGGATCATCGCGGGGTACAGTTTCAAAGGACCCAGGGCGGGGGAAGTCCGGTGGATAAGGTTAGAACCCAGTTCAGCGTGAGGATCTAGTCTACAGTAGTCCGCTGCTCCGTTCTCTGGACGACCTGAGCGATGGATGTGATGAGATCGGAGGATTACGAGACTCGCCCATGGCGGGTAGGTTGTTTGCTGTGGTCGGGATTGAAAGGGTGGTGTGCAATCGCATGTTGCCTGGTGGGTTTGGAGGGGGGTGGTGGAGGAGGGGCTGGGTTACTCACTGCACCTCCATCACACTCCGTCAAATGACCGAATTATGGGATCAACCCATCGTACTCTGCCGAACTACTCGTACATGGGCGCGAAAGACCTTGGTGGGGGGAGGGGCTTTGTTTTATTTTCTTTCCTTTCCTGCCTAGCTTGGATTGAGGCTGTGGCGATTGGCACACTGACCGTTGTGATAGAGCGTGGTCGTTTAGCCTATCCGATTCCCTCGAACGAAGTACGGAGAACGCAGTACGCACGTAGCCTCCGTCTCCGGGTTATGGGTTCGTCGCAGTCAGTTTGAAAAGTGTCTCTGGCCGCGCGGACCGCAGGGCCGGGTCTAGATGACAGGCCGAAACTTGGGGTCTTGGGTTAGGTGGTCTTGGTCTCGGGTGGAGTACAGAGGTACATGAGGACAGGCGACACGTTTGGATCATGGGTCTTCCTGGGTGGAACGACGATGGAGAGATCAGAGGGCGATCAGCCCCGGATGACAGGAGGATGCGTGATGTACAAGGTGCGATGAGCGCAATAGTGATGCGCGAATGCCATAGCGTACATAGACTATGAGCGTTGGCTGCAGACGATCGAGACGATCAAATCGAGATGGGGCATTGATTCTCATGATTGAGAAGGTTAGGTAGCAGATGGCAGATGGCATAGAGCATAGACTGAACTCTCCGTACTCGGTACTTTGTTTCTCGCCAGGCACGGCAGCCTATGTTGGTACCATGTTGGTACCCAGTCTCCTCTCCCCACCAAAGATATTGGCCTGGGGACAAGATGGCGGTGACTGTACCCTTTACGTGGGATACCTAAATATAGGCGGTCGGCCTGTCTCCATCATACTAAGCCACAAATTAAGGCCCACGGAACTGCCCGGGGTTTCCACGCGAGGGGGTCGATAAATGGACAGGGGGAATCACAACAGGCACGGCATCCAATAGGGCGTTCCAAAGGCTGAGCTCACGCAGGTTTACGTGGGAGGACGAAAACCGCAAAGGGAAAAAGCAAGGCGAGAGGCGAAAAAGAAAAATCCCGCGATGAACCCGCGCTATGCGGGGGGCTGCTGTTGGAGGGAATTGCCGTATACCCTAGATGCATGGGACTTGTACCCAAAGGCCTCTTAGCTAGTGGGCTCTAGTGGGCTCTGGAGGGCCCTGGAAGGCCCGATGGAATCACCGCATTGAGCACGGCGCAGGGGCGACAAAAAAAAGAGTGAAAAAAGGATAGGCGCGAATCACGGTGAGCAAAGTGACGAAGGGGGGGGCGAAAGTTCAGGGCTCGGGCTGGTCTTCCAAAGTCCTTTCGTGCCTCGTGTTGATTTGATCGCTGGCCCCGCCGGTCGTAGACAGCGATTGGTGGATGCCTGGGGGGAAGGAGTAGACAAATCGGAAGAGGTGCACAGGCCGAAAATGGAGGATGTGAAGGGCCGGTGAAAGCCAGTCTAAGCCAGTTAGGATGGCGGAGCTACCGCTCAGTGAAGCAAGATGGGGGATGAGGCGGGTGATGGTGGTGGTCATGCTCAGCAATGAAGAATGAGGTGAGGAGAGGAGGGTAATGGCTGAAGCTGGAGTGGTTAAAGGAATGCAAAGAACCCAGGTGGGATGAGGTTAGGCTGTAGCTGTGGTGAATGTGAAGCAAGTTGAAGTCCGCCACTGTTGGCTGATCCTTTTGTGGCGGAGTTGGAAGTGCAAAGTGCCAGAGAGTACCGTGACATAGACTCCCCATGCCTATGGAATGTTCTTTTCGCCCCCTAAAACATACTCCAACAGCACCAAACACTAAAAACAATCGGCTTTCTCGGCCTTGCCAGGGCTGCGCTGCTCCCCTTTTCTACTTAACAACTTCCTGATTGACACATTGTTGCGATTCGCTTCGCTTCGCATTTGCATTTGCATTTGCAGTGCCTCACGGCATTGTCATACCCGACCCTATTTCTAATCTTTTGCCTCCCCTGACCAATTTGATCCTAATTTGATCTCAATTTATCATCTGTGAACTCCCGATCGTTCTCGATGAAAGTGGATTCTTCGAAACGTCACCTCTTTTCTTGTTGGCATTCCATACAAATCTCCACCGCCTCTTCCCCTCTTCCCCATTCCTTCTCCCATTCACCACACCCCCTCTCTCAAATACCTCTCAATCCTATACCTCTCTCTCTTTGCCCCCTCAATTCCCTATCGAGGGTTTGAAACCAAGTCATTGATCTTGGTGAACCCTCTTCCTATTTCCCCCCCATTGCCACCCAACATGTTACAGCCCGACGATGTCAAGACAGATCACTATGCCGCCTTGGGCGTCTCCAAGGAAACCGACCTAACCAAGATCCGTGGAGCCTATCGAAAGCTCGCCTTAAATCTCCACCCCGACAAGATCAAGGATGAATCACAACGCGAATCCGCGCGAGAAGAATGGCATCGTGTCCAGAAAGCATACGAGATTCTCTCCGACGACAAAGACCGATCCGCTTATGATAATGGACGAGCCAAGTTTCTCGACAAGGAGGCCAAATTGGCCGAGCTGAAGCGAGAATTGAGAGAGCACCGAAGAAACGATTCCTCATATGCCTCGCCACGAGGGAGTGGCAGTGCCTCGGCCCGTGAAATGCGAAATGGTCATATTGTCGAAGAGCGTGTCCCAATGGAGAGCTACTTCGATGAAGCGATGCGATTCACCGACGAGCCCAACCCAATGGGTCGCAAGAACGATGATTTCGGCCGTCGATCAAAGCCAAAGCCAACTGATGATAGGAAGAAGGCTCGCGTGCCACCGAGCAGTCAGCGCGCGGCTAAGGACCTTCGCGAATCGACCAAGGCATCGATGGCCGACCGAGCCAAGAAGCTCGATCGAGAGCGTCGCCGCGACGCTTCCGCCAAGTATGAAGACAAATTTGACTCCTACGCCCCTAGGATAGTGGATTCGGAAAGTGAGTCTGAATTTAGTGGTCCCGAAATCTATTTACGGACCAGGGAACCCTCTTCCTCGCGACGAACTAGGGAGTCAACTCCTCGGGAGTCACGATCGCGCCCGACGAAGCCGGCCCCCCGCCGCCGCGAAACCTATTATGAGGATGAGGATTATTCCGAGGATGCCTGGCAAAGCAAGGTGTACGGTGCCCAGGAGCATATTCAACGTTCGAAGTATGAACAAGATGTTCGACCAAGGACGTCTCGTTCCCCACCTCGACGCCGTGGTTACGACTCGGGGGAACCAGAAACGTCCGCTTCGCGGCGCGCGGCTCGGTCCTCTCGGTCAACCAGGGATCGCGATCGTTCCTCATCTCGCAACAATTCATATGACAAATTAGACTCCCGCAGTGGAGATTATTTCAACCCGCCAAAGATGCCCTCCGCGACCACCTCGCCTAGCGTGAAGTCGTCAATGAGACCTTCGCTGTTCACCCGTGCAACCACTGCGACCGCCACTGCTTTTACCCGACCCAAGCGGGAAAGCTCCCTTCGCAATGATTCCATTCGCAACGATTCTAGTCTCGACCAAATGGTCCGTGAACAGGTTCCCCCGTCGCGATCTTCGAAGCTGCGCAACAATGATTCCGGTTACTCCAGTTCCAGCACACCGGAGATGCCCCAGCACAGCCATTCGCCCAAGGTGACCGCTCGATATACAATCGATCCCGAAACAATCACCATCGAGCCTTCGAAGTCGAAGTATCGTATGGCATCGCCCGATCGAGAACGTGAGCGAGATCGTCCCACTCGCACCATGCCCCCGCGTGCCAACACCTTTGCCGAGCCATCCCGCATCGAGATCCGCTCCGTGAAGCCCTCTGTGAAGCCCTCCCGAACCTATACCGATGTCGAATACACTCGCCCCGTGGGACGCAGCGATATCAAATACTCTAAGGATATTCGCCCTGGCGATGCGAGCTATTCGCCCAGTCGCGCTCAGAAGATCCCATCTTCTTACTACAACGAACGTCATCCTCCTCCGAGCAGACGCCAGTCTACCGCCGCATAATTTAAATTAAGTAACGACAGCCTTTATGACCATGCAATCTCCTTTCTGTTTTTCCTTTTCTACTCACACACACACCTCATGACCTGAAATGTCAAATGTCTTCTATTCTTGTCGATACTTTTCGCGAACTGCCCAGCGCAGTTCCTTTCGGAATCCGCATACTGGTTTCCACCATCAATTTTTACGGGGTCGGGAGATACATTCTCTGTTCTGTCTCTACTTGACTTCCTACTTCGATGTGGTTGAAGCCCAGTAGCGATGCCAGAGATATTTCCTCCTCCCCCTTCCCGAGCATTGGGACGGTTCGGTTTTTCGCAATGTGCATCCAAAGGCTTTCTTAGCTGGATTATCACACAATGTCTTCGTCGGCGCAATGGGGGATTCGGATCGCATGGGATAATTTAACCATATCAAACATACACACCTGACCGGCGCATGTTTTGCTCTATTGTTTGTGACTTTTCTTTTTCTTGTTCTTACCAAATTTTTATCCATATCCTTATATCCTCGTTTGTTATTTTTTTATCTCTTTCCCACAATCTCCTGTTTCTCTATCTCGCCATCTATGATGTCTCGTTTATTCTTTTTTTTCTCTCGGAATGTATGAATTAGTTACCCTATGTGTGCTAATATCACTCGAAATTCATGACGGATTTACGTTCCTTGATTGATGACCTTTATGATACTGACCTTGTCTTCGTGGTTTATCTATAAATTAGATTGTGATTTAGAATGAAAGATAAGTTGTGTACTTACTGTTCGTGTTTGTGAATAAAATTAATACGTAGCAGGAAATCTGGTATCTGTAACAGCTCAGGGACTAATGAAGATGATCAAGGCCTCAAAAAGTGTAGTACGGAGAGGAAGAAAAAGGAACAAACTTGAAGGACAAAGGACTAGGAAGCACCTAAGGACTCCGTGCATGAATGCCCGAATCAGTAACCATGCCATGTGTTACAGTATCCTAAGAACCATTTGAAAAATTCCTAACATCTGCAGACTCAGCTAATATAGTGAAAAGCCTTGGAAGGCAGCAATGATCCCAACTCAAAGGTTTTATAGTGGTTTCAAGCCTTCTACTACTGCTGCCCCACTTCTGTCTCCAATTTTCGGCCTTCCAACATACATACCTAGTAGGCCTCCCAAAAGCGTGATGGGTATGTCTCTGGCTAATTGAGGTCATGCCACTTAAAGTCAGATTTTGACAGACTAAGGATACCCAGAGAATGGTACCTTGTGAATTTGACGATAGATAATTGCTGATCTTTTGTTGAGTCTCATTATTATACTTCTTAATCTCGGCTAGTTTGCCGACCTTATAGTGGATGAAGCTCCTCACAGATTCAGAGACAGCTGCTTCATTTAACTCAAGTGAGACCGGGGTTATTCCAGTTGCGTTTTGGAGAGGCTCGTAGATCTCAGGCCAGTAGCGACTCGAATCGCCCATTTCACCTACTCATTTGTTGTATAATGAAATCGAGAAGTGAAGATAGCCCTGTCGTGCATTCGTCTAGTGCGTCGATCAACAGGTAGGTGCATGTCAATTCACCCACAATATCAGTGAAAATCTTCGTGAGAGCGTCCCATGTATTAATACCCTCGAAAAGATGTTTTCCGGCTTGTTCATATTTTACTCGTACATGGCAAAGAAGAGATGGTCTTTTCAGGATAAGCGAGTAGATCAGGCCGCGAAGCACCGCAGTTGCGGTATTTATTCTTGGATCAGTTGCCTGGCAGAAAAAGAACGAGATAGTCGTATACTTTTCAGAAGTACCTGTAATTTCGTCGATTATGCCACACAGAAGCATTGTTTTGCCCTTTCCAGGATTCCCCCTGATTCAGAGCAGATTGCCTTGGCCGTTTTGCCATTGCTTAAACTCCTCGTTGTCGAGAATCCATCGGTATGAGTCTTTTAACAGTCCTCCATTAGTCGCTTGAATACGACTCTTGTAATCATAGGAATTGGTCGTCCGAAGGTCTCGTAAGCATTCCTGATTCAATGGGGATTCCGATTGTACTACATCAGACAGCCGCTCCGCTTAGTTTCGTCCGGTTGATACACCTTTACGTATATATAGGGGCTCCCACTTACCAAAGCTTGCAGTAATATTGCCATAGTTCTGCTCCTGTATGTTTGGCTCCAATAAAAACATCTTGAGTAATTACCAATCCATGGATCCCTTTCGTGCGCGGGTACACACCAGGAACTTACAGCCCGAGCTAACATTCACAGGTGGCCAAGGATAGTACAGCGCGAGAAAAAATACTGGCTATAAATGACAATAATAATCAATATTAATATAACTACCGTAACGGTTATGTACAAAACTTTGCCTGTCAAAGCCAAGTGCCAAGTAAGAATAACCAATAGAAGGCAAAAGGGTATTCCAAAGAACAGCAATTTCAGACGCGAAACGATCTAATCACTCGCTGGAATTCGTACTAGCTGAGCTCGATTCTACTGAATCAGTTTGAATCCAGTCCTACGCAAGCTTCTGTGACGTATAAAATAGCACTGACCGTTCAGTCTAGACTAAAACGTAGAAAACACACATCTGCAAAGATATAATGTTAGACTTTGCCAGGTGAAAATGGCTGAAAGAGTAGGAGAACTCACAATCGATAGGCCCGAGATCATCGAGAACCAGAAAAAGGCATTCTAACACAGGATCAGTGCATGTTCGTACAGCAATGAGGGCAAAACTTACGTTGAGGGTGGTTCTTCCCTTGAAGAAACGGGACTTCTGGACAGCGACGATAGGTAGCTGGAGCATCATAGCACCAAAGCCGTACCCGCGCAACTTCTTGGTGATGCAGCTCATGATCAATTCGTGGAAGACGGAGCTCACCAAAAAGGTGATGAGCATGGCAACGGGCTGGGAGAAGCGGGATCGGGAGGGGAAGTAGACGTGGCGGAAGAGGAAGTGGTGAACGGGAACATTCCACTCTCTAGAGAACTCGAGCCTGAAAAGAGATGAGATTAAATACATCCGGGACAAAAGAAGCGTGGCACGTACCAATCGCAAGAATTCCACCAGTCAGAGTAGAAGTGACGGTCCGCAAAGCGAGTTAGTTCAGCGAAGGCGCCTAGAACATACTCGAAGATGACCAGGAACACCAGCAGGAAGGTGATCATGAAGGGGAAGAGGAGCATGCTGATGGTTTCGGCCAGAATCAGTGCCTTGTCGATGGTACTCTCAGAGACCTCGAGCTGATTATGGGCCTCGGTGAGAACGGGAAGGATGAATTCCTCGCTGGTTAGAGTCAATAAGAAGATGCATCCGAATACAGCGAGGCTCTTCCATCCAATCTCCGCCCAGCGGCGTTCTTGACGACGAGGATACTCGAGCTCATAGCACAATGTCGGGCAAAAGAGAAAGTCCACGTAGTTGCCGGTAGTGAGGTTCTGTGGGTAGGAGATGTTACCCAGTGGCGAGACCAGCTCTGTAGCCAGATCTTCACGCAGACGAGCCAATGGCTCCTCAGGTTGGTCATCATCACCGTGCTGTAGCTTCATTGATGGCCGGCGCCTCTTAGGTTCCGGATAGTGGACAGCGGTCGGAGAGCTGGGCGGAAGGGATCCGGTCTTGTCTAGAGCATTCAGTCGGCTCTCAGTCTGGCTCAGATGGCCATTATAGAAGGCATAAGAATGAAGCTTCATGAGGATTGTCAAGGTGTGAAGTGTGAAGAAGACCTGAGAGGTCCAAGTCCAGAGGCGCATGAACGGCCAGCTAAAATCCAAGTAAATATCAGCAATCGATTCGCATCAAGGCAAGGGGAATGCATAAAATCAGGCCACATACTTGACCCACAAAGCAAGCCACAGTATTTCACCCATGCATTGCAGCATCATACCCCCACGAGACCAATGCAGCCATTTGGGGCCGCTCCGGTAGAGCTTCTGGAGGGGCAGGACAAGACCAGAGGTGGCCACCATAGCTAGATCACTGAGACCAAGTTCTACCACATTTGTAGACAACAGGCTCCAGACTCTGACTCGCAGCGGGTATCCTGTATCCTTGACGTTGCGCAGCACGGTTGTCATCACCATGATAAACAGGCTGATCCAAAACAGAACGAAAAACCCTCGGAAGTTATGGTAATCGCTATCAGGATCAAAATGAGATACCCTTGGCACATAGTCAATCGTATAGAATAGGCGATTCCGAGCCCTCACTTGCTTGCGAGCTGTCGAGATCGAATGCGCCGACGGAGGTGCATCTTCAGGAACGGGGGTTGATCGGCCACTATGGTGCGATGCGGGCGTTAACCATTGAACCAGGCAGTGAGCCGAGAAAGAAAGGGTAAGAAGAAGATAATTACCTGTTGTCCAAGGCCAGCTTGTCCACTGGAGTGTTGAGGCTTCCGTCCGACTTCTGCCACTGGAGGGGAACGGGGCGAGACCGCAGTGCGGACGAGTCATTATGCGAGACGGCGCTGGACATTTCCGGCGTAGGAACAGAATTGAAGGAGAAGAAGAACGTTTCACATCAGAAGTTCCTGTGAAGAACCTTAGGAAATGGAGAGAGCCGGAGTGTGTTTATCCAGCGAAACTATGTGACGAATGTTTTGAGGGGAGAAGCGCCGAGTCCGAAAAACGGGGCCGAACCACCAACTACGTCAACGGTCAGCCTTACAGAAATAGCAATACAGTACGGATCAGCTTGGCTTTGATGTGATGCATTTAGGCAAGGTTGAACAAGATTCCAACCTAGTCTAGGATCATGGCATTATGGCAATTTTGGGAATATGGCCAATGCGACCAGATGAGCCTACATATCCCCTGACAATCAAGAGTGGTACGAGTACGACTCTTTCACGGAACGTCCGCGGATCTGCAGAAGCCACAAAGTAATTTACGTCACTGACGGTATGTGAGGTATTTCTCACCGCCGAGCGGGACTCACCGCCCTTAAATTGGCAAGCAGAATGATATAACCAAGACTGGACAATGTCAGGTGACCACCCGCACAGTCAGCATCCCCGCCCATTCCACTTTGGGACTAGCGCACCCTGCCAAGAAGCCAGGTCAACCCAAGTCACGGGCCATAATAAAGCACAATCCAGACCGGACGCTGGATTGCTTCATACCTCGCGTGCCCTAGCTCAGCTCAGCTCATCTTCCTTGGATCCCTTCGCGGATCCCCTTTTCTTATACCCCCCTCGTTGACCACTTCGCCCCTTGACCCCGCCGGGGGTTGTGGCCGCCATGTCATCCCGTACGTTGCTGCCCGCCGCCCCTCCTCCCCTGAAGCTACAAGCCTCTAATGTATTTCTTTCCCAACAGTCAAGCAATTCATTCGAAATGTCCGCTCTGCCAAGACAATTGCCGATGAGCGGGCTGTCATCCAGAAAGAGAGTGCTGCGATTCGGGCCTCGTTCCGAGAAGAAAGCCACGATTCTGGCGTTCGGTTCGTTCCATTTACCTTCTTCGATCCCAATTCCTACCTCTAATTGCGCTGCAGGAGGAACAATGTCGCCAAATTGCTGTACCTATTCACCCTCGGAGAACGGACTCACTTCGGTCAGATCGAATGTCTGAAGTTGCTCGCCTCGCACCGTTTCGCCGACAAGCGACTGGGCTACCTAGGAACGATGCTGCTCTTGGATGAGAACCAGGAGGTGCTCACACTTGTGACGAACTCTTTGAAGAAGTGAGTGGCTCTAGAAGGCAGAGATATTCCAGGGGTTCTTCCCTTGCTAACAGTACGCAGTGACCTCGGTCACTCAAACCAATATATCGTCGGTCTCGCCCTTTGCGCACTCGGCAACATCGCTTCCATCGAGATGTCTCGTGACCTTTTCCTTGAAGTCGAAAACCTCATGTCAACTGCGAACCCTTACATTCGCCGAAAAGCGGCCATCTGTGCGATGCGGATATGTCGCAAGGTTCCTGATCTGTACGAACACTTCCTCGAGAAGGCCAAGACCCTCCTCGGTGACCGAAACCACGGTGTCCTGATTTGCGGTCTCACATTTGCGACGGATCTTTGTGAAGCGGAGGAAGAAGAGGAGGGTCCAGAGGGTGTGATCGAGATGTTCCGACCACTTGCCGGAGGCCTTGTGCGCGCACTGAAGGGGTTGACGACTTCGGGCTATGCCCCGGAGCACGACGTTTCCGGTATCACAGATCCTTTCCTTCAGGTCAAGATCCTCCGTTTCTTGCGCGTATTGGGCCGAGGAGATGCGGCTACCAGTGAAATGATCAATGATATTCTGGCCCAGGTGGCAACCAACACCGACTCTTCGAAGAACGTCGGAAATTCCATTCTATACGAGTCTGTCCTCACTATCCTGGATATTGAAGCTGACTCTGGATTGAGGGTTCTGGGTGTCAACATCCTGGGCAAGTTCTTGGCGAACAAGGACAACAACATTCGTTACGTTGCTTTGAACACCCTGAACAAGGTCGTTGCAATCGAACCGAACGCGGTGCAAAGACATCGCAACACTATCCTGGAATGTCTGCGTGATCCCGATATCAGCATTCGCCGGCGAGCGCTTGATCTCAGCTTCATGTTGATCAACGAAGGCAATGTGCGCGTGCTCGTCCGGGAGCTGCTGGCTTTCCTGGAAGGGGCCGATAATGAATTCAAGCCGTCTATGACAACTCAGATCGGTATTGCCGCGGACCGATTTGCGCCCAACAAGCGCTGGCACATGGACACCATTCTCCGAGTTCTCAAGCTGGCTGGGAACTACGTTGAGGAACAGATTCTTTCTTCCTTTGTCCGTCTAATTGCGACTACCCCCGAACTGCAGACATACGCCGTCCAGAAGCTCTATTCCTCCTTGAAAGAGGATATCTCTCAAGAGGGACTGACTCTCGCAGCGACTTGGTCGATTGGTGAATATGCCGATAGCCTCTTGCAAGGTGGCCAGTACGAAGAGGAGGAACTCGTCAAGGAAGTTCGGGAAAGTGATCTTGTCGACCTTTTCATGAACATTCTCAACAGCACCTACGCCTCTCAGATCGTGATCGAATACATCATTACCGCGTCCATGAAACTCACCGTGCGCATGACAGATGCCTCCCAAATTGAGCGTCTCCGTCGCTTCCTTAGCAGCCGAACTGCCGATTTGAGTGTTGAGATCCAGCAGCGTGCCGTCGAATATACCAATCTGTTCGGATACGACCAAATCCGACGTGGTGTTCTGGAACGTATGCCAGCTCCCGAGATCCGTGAGGAACAGCGTGTGCTCGGTGCTCCGACAGCGAAGAAGCGCCAGAGCAAGATTGTTCGCGGCAAGTCCACCAAGACGGCTAAGCCTACCGGTGATCACGACTTGCTTCTTGACCTGATGGGTGGCTCTGATGCCCCTGTCACGAGCCCGACATCTAATAGCTCAAACACCGCCGATCTGCTGGCAGATATCCTTGGCGGAGACTCGGGTTTGTCGTCGCCTGCCCCAACGCCCGGCCCTCAAGGTTCCTCAGGCAAGAACGATATTATGGGTCTCTTCGGCTCGAACGGTGCTTCGCCTTCTCCCCAACCAAGTCAGCAATCCTCTTCGGGGCTTGACTTGCTGGGAGGTGGCATGGGCGCTTCTGCGCCCTCGCCTGCTGCCTCGCCTGCTCCTGTTGCTGCTTCAACTCCCGCACACAATGCCTACAATAAGGATGGCTTGACGCTTGCTCTGCAAGTCCAGCGTAGCGGCGCCACTGCTCAACTTGTGGCCAAGTTCCGCAATGAGTCTAACTTTGACCATTTCTCCAATGTTGGTCTGCAGGCCGCCGTGCCTAAGAGCCAAAAACTGCAACTGAGCGCTATCAGCAAGGCTGACCTGGATGCCGGTGAGGAGGGTGTGCAGACGCTGCGTGTGACAGCACTTAATGGGGTATGTCATTTTTCTTTCAATTCTGGGTTTAAAAAATCCATCATAGCTAACCTCCTCGCCCAGGCTCTTCCCCCCCAAGCTCCGCATCCGCTTCAGAGTGACTTCTGCCAGGGACGGTGGAGACCCAATCACTGACCAAGTGGATTGGTCCGAGCCATGATCTCAGCAATGAGCAGTTCTGTTTGTGGCGTTGATATTGGCACCTGGCCTTGACCTCGAACGTATCTAAGAGATGGAATGTGAAAATAGAGCCCATAAAAGTCTTTGAGTCTTCTCTGACCGATGGATATTCTTAATGCTTTTTACCCTTTTGCTCCCCAAAACACAATTATGCTCTATACACATCCTAGTATCTTGCCCGCTTTTCATTCATCTTTTTCCCGCCCAGCCCCACACCCTCATCTAGACTTTTATCTTACTTTACTCTTGGTTTCTTGTTGCTTTTCCTAGGGGGGTGGGGTTCTTTCATGTACATGTTTCGTTAGCAGATGATTAGTTAGGGCATGAGCAAGAGTGCATGTGTCGCATGGTGCAAAAAATCTATTCAAATTCGCAGTTATTTTGGATGCAATAGTAGGGGTTTGCTGCCCAGGTGTGAGATGGATGCATCTACTACTTTCGGGCTTTGATACTCCTAGTAGTATGCACTATGATGGGTAACTATTACTCAGTGGTTCCAAGTACCTAGGTAATTGCGCCAAATAACTACGCGACTTGGTGGTTTATTCAGCAATGAGAAATTCTCAATTCTGTATTTGCTTATGGTAGATATCTAGACTGCTAAGAGACCTAGGATGTATCAAAAGGGACCAAAAAGAAAACCGAAAAAAGTCGAAAGACAGCCGACGCAGGTTACGGCTCTATACCAAAACAAAACAGCAGGCCTAATGCAGAAATCGGGTGTATATGAACGAGCAGAAAAAGGGAAAACGGGATCGAACTCCAAAGTCCAACGCAAGAACAGAATGCAATGTCGTATCAGAAGGCAAAGAAAAGCTTAGAGGTAGCTCAGAGAAAATTCTGGATCAGCTAGTGATGCGTTAAAATACCCTCGTGGGGGAAGCGTCTTGAAGGTGATCAGATTAGTGGTGTTCGATCGGATCCTCGGGAAGCAAGACCTCGCCATCCCGTCTGTGGCTCGGTAGACAGGCCTTGAGAGGGGGTTGAATGATGTCGTTGAAGAGGAAGGTGCCGTAAACGAGCAGACCGAATCCGGCGACCTGGAGCCACTTGAAAGATTCCCAGCCTAGGCCCAAAGAGACAAGCCAGATGAACAGCGTACGGCAAGTGTCGATTGTGCTACGGGAGGTGGCAGAGACGGTACGGGTGACTGAGAGACCGAAGAAGTTGAAGCCGCTGTTTGAAAAAACTTTTAGTAAGACGGCCACTGGGGCGGAAAAAAAAAGGAACAAAAAAAGTGGAGGTGGAATAGAACTCACCCAATACTGATCATGATCAAGATACTGGAGATGGCCACAGCGCGGTTGCTGACCATCTCGTACATACCTTCCTTCATGTCGAAGTAGCCGTATTGACCTACGTCCGTTCTTCCAACTGCAGCATACATGATAAGCATGACAATGAAGGTAACAGAGAAGCCGAAAATTCCTTCCCAGCCCACGACCTCAATGGGGTCCATGGCATAGTTCTCGAGTATCCACTCTTCCAACACGAACTGCGAAGCTGTGAAGATCTGCGCTGCCGCAATAAGAAGAACACCTATGACAGTCTGCACCGCCTCGGGAGTCCCGGCAGTTTGGGAAGAGACGCTATCGTCTTGGTTAATATCATGACCACTGTCACCGCTGAACAGTGCACCAGCGAGACCGACCAGGGCCACACCGAGGACAACGACGAAGAGAGCGCTCCACTGGTACAGATAAAGCTTGCGACGGAGGAATAGAACGCTGAATAGACCGACGAAGAGGACTAACGCCCCTCGGGTCATTTGGTAGATGCTTGCAGCAACAAAGAGCAAGCCCACATTCATGAGAGTTGTGCCAGTAATGTCACAGGTGGATGGCGCAGCGAGGAGAAGGATTCTCCATCCACGGAGTGGAATCCGGTCTTCATCTTCGTCCACTGGCTTGATGTGTCCTTGATCAGCAGGCCCGTCGAGCGTACGGTCTTGGTCATCATCTTCGAGGCCGCCGTCCTCGCCGCGGACGGGTCGATATCCACCCGCGAGAAGAGGGGACTGGTCCCCGGACAGACGGGGAGTAACGTATTTCTTGTAAAGAATGGAAAGGCCGATGACGAGCCAGCAGCCCATCTCGCCGATGAACATCTGCGCGCTGTTTGAAGGAACAATCGTCAGCCGTTAAAACTCCGAGTCGTGTGACCGTGTTACAGGGTAGCCGAATAGCTCTAACGAGCTGGCTGAACTCACGTCTGAAGAACCGGCTGTTCAAATAATTTGGGATCATTGGTGTCACAGTCGCGGACACATTGCATGTCCTATAATCAATCTGGTTAGCTGGCGAGCCCGGTCAACTTCCTCCCAGCATGGAGGTCCTCAAGGTCCCCAAACGCACCTGGAATTTGTTAAGAATGGTGTTGCATACCCCGGTCACGAGCATCATCGTGACCAGGAAGGGAATAATAGCCTGGCTCGCCATGGTGTCCTTTCTGTGAAGAACGAGGGGAGATGAGGAGGCGAGGTTGAAACAAAGCGGAGAAGCTTATCGGGCTTGGACCAAGAGATAAGCCAGCTGACCCTGACGTGACCGCCTGAGGATCATCCGAAGCAGCCAATCAGCCAATAGCATCAACGAGAGTTTATTTGGAAGGCACGAGCAAAAGGGAAGGAGCAAAAAAGAAAACCAAGCAAATGAATGCCCTGCGATTTCCACTGTAGTCTGTTAGCCTCGTTACTCTTTCCCCTGTCCCGCTCTGGGCCAATACCACTAGGCCATTCTTGGGCTACGTGACCGGAGAGTCTTGTTTGTTGTTCTTAACGACCCGTATAATGATTGTACACATGATAAGCAGTAGGGAAAAAAACTACTTCATAAATGGCCAAGTTGGTAAACTGCAGTGGGCGTTCCTCCGAACTTCTATCTCTTAACATACGCGAGAATATGCGGTTGTTAGGCGATAACAAGTTGTGACTAATATGTGGTGATCTTAACGATATATTTTGATCTGCAGTTTGTAGTCATGGCGCCTCTGGTATAGTAATTTTCCGGGTCCTTGACTCGATAGAATGCACTGATATTCTCATGGAGGCGCGTCGCCGACGGTAGGTCTATGTCTCGCTGCTAATGCCTCTCGCAGCACCTGCTCCATTGTTTCCAAAGCCCCAGCTTCTGCTAAGTCAAGGGCGTGCATGCGTTGAGGGAATTAATATCGGGATCAACACCAGCGTCTAATAGAGTCTGGACGGTGTTGTCATGTTCGTTCTCAACTGCCCAATGTAGAGCCGTCCAGCCTTCATAATCCTGAAGATTCCTTATCTCACTTATTCCCGAAAGAACCTTGGTAATTGCATCGTCGCCCTCCCGGGCAGCAAGATGCAATGCCGTTTTCCCCTGGTTGTCTCGGGCAGACCTATCAACATCTGTACTGAGAAGAATTTCAAGGACTTTAATTTGGCTCCCCAGAACAGCTCGATGCAATGCTGTATATCCGTCTGAATCTTTAAAAGACAGGTCAATGCCATGTTCGATGAGAAGTTGAACCACCGATTCATGCCCAGCTTCCGCGGCCTCTAGAAAGGCTTCCTTGACGGTATCATCAAGGGTGGTACCGAGGTCAAGAAGCATATTTGCGATCGTCACATTCCCATGGAATACTGCATAGTATAAAGGAGTCCGACCATCGATATCTCTGACATCTGATCTGACTTTATTGCTCAGCAGTATTTTTACCGTATCCTCATGTCCTTCCCCAGCTGTATAATGCAGAGCTGTGCGAAGTTTATTGTCGGTAAGATGTGGATTGCTGCCCCATTGGATAAGCAATTGAACGACATCTCTATGGCCTTTTTGAGCAGCCAAGTGCAGCGCTAATTCCCCGTCTTGATTTTGAATCTGGTCGAGGGCCCCGGCTTCCAATAAAGCTGTCGTTATACCAACATGGCCCTCTTTAGCTGCCCAATGTAGTGGAGTACATCCTGTATGGCTGAGAGCATGCATGTCGGCCTTATGATTCAACAAGGTATGAACCATATCTTCATGTTCCTTTGCTGCCCAGTGTAAGGGAGTGTGTTTCTTATCATTTATGCTATCGACATGTGCTCCAGCTTCTATTAGCATATCGGTAATTATTGCTTTCTCTGAAAGGACGGCGAAGTGTAGTGGCGTGTCCCCATCCTGATCTGGAATTGAAGGACAGCTTCCGGCAGCTAGTAGCAGCCGCACGGTTTCGACTTGACCGGCGCCACTGGCTTGAAGAAGAGGGGTTTCCCCATCTAAACGCTGAGGAGACATATTCGCCCCAGATTCTAGGAGAAGCTGGACAACGTCAACGAAACCCAGTAATGATGCCTGGTGCAATGGCGTAGCATTTTCGTGACCTTGCATAGAAGGGTCTGCTCCCTTATTCAGAAGCTCCTGTACGATAGCAGTATATCCGTTGCCGGCGGCGTGATGCAGTGGTGAGTCGCCTATCTTATCTTGAATGATGACTGTTGCTCCAGCACGAAGCAGCACCCGAGCTATCTCAAGATGCCCTTCTGAAACAGCCAAATGAAGAGGCGTATGACCATAACCATCCTTGACATCAATAGGAGCTCCATGGTTTACTAACATCTTTGCAATCTGGCTATATCCCTTAAGAGCAGCGGCATGTAGAGTCGTTCTTCGAGCCTCGCCGATCCTAACATCCGTAGTGGTGGCTCCTTTATTCAAAAGAACCTCCACAACGCGATCATACCCCGATATAATGGCATAATCCAGTGGACTTAGTCCATCGTGTTGACGTGCATTGATATCAGCTCCAACATCAATGAGTAACGACGCCACGTTGGAGTGACCGAAAGCAGCGGCAAAGTGCAATGGCGTGTTTCCTTTGTCATCAGCGGCGCAGAAATCGGCTCCTCCCTCCAGATAATACTGGACAATGCTCATATGCCCACATATAACTGCGGAGGACAATATCGTTCGTTCATGTTCGCGGAGACCAGACGAATACATTGGGAGAGCGATCTGGGCGAACCCCTCCGCGGCTTGCGCGAGAGCCACGACATCTGAGGGTTCCAAATACTCCAATAGTTCCAAAACAATCTCCGGGGAAGTGGGAGTCCCCACCAGCGGCCCATATTGAGTGTCGTTTCCGGTGAGAGCGAAAATAAGGAAAAGTTGAGTCCAAGTGGCCAGCGGCCATATCTTAGCAGAATACGAGATTTAGACCCATCACGTGTGGAGGCCAGTAAAGTAACCTAAAATCGGTTGTAAAATCTTGAGTTCTTTTCAATTTTTTCTCTCTATATATTTTCTCATCCAATGTGGCCTGAATTGATATTGAACCTTGGAAGAGCAATGGGAGATCTGGTTCAAATAGTTCTAATGCATGCCTAGTTCGATTGTTTGCATGTCACCTGCTTCTTTCGTTCAGGCGGGCATGTGGACCTCATCAGATTTGACCACCAGATTGTGAGAATGCCTGTACTCAAGAGCTGATTTACGTCATGTGTTAGCGGGAAATTTCTCCAAAATGGAAGAATACCTAGGTATCTACCTAGTAGGGAAGGGGCCAGCGAAATGGGACAACATTGCTGAATTATGATTTTACAACTGTAAGGTATAGCATGGGCCTTTAAAAAGCCATATTCTCTTTGAGACCCAGGGTATCTTCCAAGGTTACTTTCGCTATCTGGTTTTAATATAATAGTATTGGAAATGTCAGCCATATGCCAACTACTTTTCTATCAGACAAACCCGGATATCCCATCGAAAAGGTTGAGCGGTGAACAAGCAAACATTTTAATTCTCAGACACTCGACGTGCGAAATACGCTATAACTTTCTCTGTTTTAGTTAAATCTTACACCACCATGACTTATAAGCCAAATTAAGTACTAGTGCGAAGCAAAGCTCATGCTTCACTCAACAAATATCCACCCCAAACCAGAGAAGTCTGCAACTCAGCTATTAACCTCGGAAACAGAATTCTCTAGATCCTTAGTCTTCTTCCTGGGTCCGAGACCAAGTTTCTTCCTCAGATTGAGCTTCCGCACGCGCCAAGCCCTCTTCCGTCGACGGGGAGGATAATTGATGGGACTTTCACCACCAGTGAAGATCGCCAAATCGTAGATGAAGGCGCCAAACAGCGCACCAGTAATATCAGCACACCACGGTCCCCACACCCACCATGCATGATATTCTCGAAACAGCTGTCCACCCCATCCAGCCATGAGGGCAACAAGTCGTGGACCGAAGTCTCTTGCGCAATTGAAGCAACTATGCGAAATCCCCCAAATTAGCTCGCGACAACAAATCAAGTGGAAAGGTATGCACGGAACCGAACTCACCCTCCAGTATTATACCCCAAAGCAAGAACGACAACAGAAATAAGAATCCCCAAAACAAACGCCTGCATACCCGCACCGGGGGGGGGCATTGGTATCATCACCAAGGGCAACAATAGCGCCGAACAAGATCGCGCTGCCAAGAAACTCCGTGAAAAACGCCGTAGCGGGATGCACGAAAGATTTCGGCGCCGTGATCATGGCTGTGGCAGCGACGCTGGCATTCTGTGGCAGGTTTGACGTTGCGACGACTTCGAGGATCGCGTCGTGGTAGATGGCATAGGCAATTCCGCCGGCCGTGATGGCTCCGAGGAGTTGCGCGGCTATATATTGGATGCATTTCCGGGCCGGGAAGCCTCGGAATACAGACATGGCGATTGAGAAGGCGGGGTTTAGGTGGCCTCCTGATATACCACCGGTGATGTAGATGGCTGCCATGAATCCGAAGCCCCAGGCTATGCTTTGCGAGGTGTAACTTCCTGCTTGGCCGGATGAGGTGAAGTTTGATAATGTTGCGCATAGTCCGATTGTCATTGCTACGGTTGTCTGTTGTGGGGAATTGTTAGATCAATCATGTCAACTCGTACATCGCAGATAGTTGTGCGTGCGTGCGTGCGTGCGTGCGTGTGTACATACCCCAAGCCACTCAGCCAATGGTTCCCGAAGATAATGACGGATTCGACTCCAGCTATTGAAGAATCCATCTTCAGGTTTATCCTGTGCATGATGACCAGCGGCCCCATGTCCATTTTTCATACTCTCTTCATCCTCTTTCTGATCTTCTGGCAGTGCACCGTGCTGCATACCAGGTCGAACAATATGAGGAAGCGGCTGAGCCAAGCTCCACGTAGGGTTCTCACCCTGCTTTCCATATTGCGGATGGTATGCCATATACTGGTCGCCAATGTATGCATTACTAGCCGGGTTATCCGCGCCAGGACCGGCTAAGCTGAAAGTCGGGTTATTTCCAGCGCCTTCATACTTGCTTCCGGCCTCCTGGGTACCACCGGGGGCTTCGTGTTCTGGGAAATCATCACCTGAAACTTCAGGTTGTTGAGGCTGATTTTAGCGGATACTTTATTTAGGTTATTTAGGGTTGGAGCTTACCGCCATCCGTGCTCGTGCCATCTTGGCCACGATCCTTCAAGGAACTCATTACAGTGCTGAAATATGCCTGAAGGTCTCCCAGGAAAATAAAATGAGAAGAAGCGAAATGCTTTTTTTTCTCTTCTGCTTTCCAGGCTCTTGTTTTGTCAAATTTATGTGGAACTCGACAGGTGTCAAAAGCTGGATTGCAATCATGGAACTTACGTCACTACTGAAATTTGCATCATGCGTGGGCCCTATGGACCCGTAGACCCTGATTTCGTTAAGACCAATTACTTTGCCCAGACCGATTAAAGCTTGAGTGAGTCTAAATCACTCGATAAAATATTTGACGAGAGAAAGTGATACCAACGGCCGTCACCGGTGCGGCAGCATGGGATACTCCAGTCGAGGAAAGTTGCATAGTATAGTATAACTCTACAAAGAGAAAATAGATAGAATGTCATATGAAACCTATTGTATTAACAGGTATTATGCCATTTGCACATTGAGAAATGGACCCATAACCTAATCGACGGTTCACAGATAAAATTGAAGTCCCATCTTTTCCCCACACAAACGCCATCGCTGGACCAGCTGGATGGGAATCACAAAGAGATTGAAAAAGAAAACAAGTAAAGAGAAATCCGAATGGGGCTGTCGCTGGAAACGAGGAAACGGGGCAGGAAATAAAAACGAAAAGAAAAACGGGAGAGTCCCGCGCTGGGTATGGTACACACGCTTCGCCCTTCCCCTTGAATAAAATAAGTGAAAAGGTGAAAAAAAGGAAAGTTGAAGGGTGATAAAGAATGAAAATGAAAAGAGGAAGGGAAGAAAAAAACCCCCATATGTACGCCAGAGGAACCGCCGAAAATGATAAAGAAAAAAAGAATAGGTTGTCATGACATCCGTCGATCTTCACATCACCAGCCCGAGAAAAAGGAGAAGGCATTTCCATTATCAGCAACATTTCATCATCCTCATGCTGTAGGGGCAATTGGAAGAGGAGCGAAGCTAGTTCCGTCCTTCTGTTGACGCTCGAGGCTTTCCCAGTCGACCTGCACACCAGGAATCACATCAGGGCCATCCCTGAGCATGATCTCGGGAGGAATGTTCATCCAGTCGGCAGTGGCCAGGGTGGTATCTTCATCCCAAGGTACCCAGTCGCTCCAAACAACACCGTCTTTGACGTCTCCCTTAGATGCATCATCCTTGGGGGTCAGAGTTGCTAAAGCAATATCCCATGAGTCGGGGGTGTCCTCGGTTTGATCCTGAGTGAACATGTCTGTGTTCATGAATTCGTCGAAGGGGTCATAACCAAGACCACGACGTCTGCATTCCGAGAAAACAGGAGTGAATGAGTCGTGGACAGTACCCAAGGACATTGGAAATTCTGACCATGGATCCTTGACCTCGCCGTCTTGGATAGTGTGCTTCTGAACTTCTTTTCCAGGAGAAGGCTTGATGGTCTTGGCGGGTTGATTGGGTGTGAGTTGTTGAGCTGGGGTTGCTGGTGATGCACCCTTGGCCCCGAGTTGGCTGGTGGCACGAGCCATAGGCGTAGTGCTGGCAGTAACTGGAGTAGCAAGACCATGCTTGACTGGCGATGCAACACTTGGTTTATTGACGGGGGTCATGGTGGGAGGAAGACCCGTAGTGTGGTTCGGTTTGATCGGCTGACCACTCGCGTCCAAGCCCAAACCCATCGAAATGCTTTCGAGATAGAATTGAAGAGGGTCTTCGATGTTCTCTTCTTCTTCTGGCTGATGGTCCTTCTCGACATGGCTGTCAAGGGCGGCTTGGCTGGGGAAGCCTTGGAAATGGTGCTGACACTCTACCACACTGCATTTGAAAGCACCAGCGAGAGCAGCTGCTGTCGTCTTCGCATCAGCCACAGCCTGCTTGTACTTGGCAGCTGCGGCCGGCGCAGTGGTAGCGGCTTGAACAGGCGAAGCAGTGGGACCGGCATGAGACTGCTTGCGCTTTTTGGGAGGGGGTAGCTTGAGCTTCTCGGGCACAAGACCGCCAGGTCCATAGGCGTGAGGAACCCCGGAAGGTGATGGTGCTCCAAATGGAGCGGCAGGGTGTGTCGCAGATTGTTCGGAGGGACGACGAGTACGACTGGCTTCTTCTTGCTGCGCCTGCAACTGTTGAAGGTTAGATGCATTTAGTTGGGGTGTGCTGCCTGGATTGACCTGGTTGCCGGCGGCGACCGCTGTACCAGCTTGGTTGCTGTTGGGTCGGGCTTGGTTCATACGAACAATCATGACCTGGAAAAGCTTGCGAATGAAGAGAATGGCGCCAGTCAAGTAATCAGGGGTGATAGTAAACTGGTCGTTGACGATCCACTCCTGTGACGGCTTGAACTGCCGCATCAACTGGATGCGCATGGCGAGAAGGTTCTTAACATTTCTCTCTTGGCCCTGCATCTTACCGAAGCCATGCAGAACCAAGACATCCAGGCGGCCCAGTACGTCCAAAGAGTCCTGAAGTTGCTGGGTCATAATAGCCTTTTGGTCTGGAGAAACGGAGATAGGCTTTACCGCCGGAGCATTCTTGGAAATTTCGTTGTAAGCCTCCATGATCTTGGGCGGGAGGTGGTTGTTCCAAGCTTCCTCTGCAGCAGCCCTGTTGAGTATTGGCCCACGGAGCTGACTCTGCTGCTGGCGCCTCATATGGGCCTCAACTTGCAATCGCTGCTGAGGACTCATAGCAGCGAATTGTTCTTGTGAGAACGGAGCACTTGCCCTTTGGGCGTTAACAGGAGGAGCAGCAAGCTGTGCTTGTTGAGCAGCGGCTGATGCAGCGGCTGCCGCGGCCGCGGCAGCAGCAGCAGTATCATCGGTGCTTGGGCGTTTCTTCGAGTTCTGCTTAGCAGCAGCTCCCTTCCCACCTTTTCCAGCAGCAGCTCCAGTCGGAGGCTTCGCAGTTGCCGCTGGTGTTTCGGACGCAGATACCTGCGGTTGGGGCATGGGAGGTTGTTTGGCCGGCTGGTTGTTCTGGGTTTGAGGAATCTGGGGCTGGGCAATTGGTTGATTCTGCCCAGATGCCATGTTTGCGTTTGCGCTCAACTGTTGAGCCTGGGCTCGCTGGTGCGCGGTCTGGATTAGGATTTGTCTCTGTCGGTTTCGGAGGATATCCCGGATTTGATCATCGGTATACGACTGCGACTGAGGTCCCAGCTTTTGGCGAGCCAAGTGGATATCCTGGGCGGTGATGGGGCGCATGGGCGGCATGTTGCTTGGCTGTCCAGGTTGTCCGGGTTGAAGGTTCTGTGCATTCTGCACTTGACCCTGGGGTGCTTGCTGGAATGGATTTTTCATGACTCCCTGGCCTTGGTTTTGTCTGTTAGGGTCCTTTGCTTGAACACTGAGAATCTGGGCGAAGTGGAGCTTCTGAAGTGTCAAAAGTTTGTTTGGGTCAATTCCAGTCGAGGCTTGTGAGTTTGATGAAACCCATTGCTTCAGCTGGCCCCAGGTTTTGATGTTCTTCGGAACTTGCGAATTGTTGGTGAGAAGGGACTGTGGGAAAGTCGCCTGATCCATTTGTGTGGTTTGCTCCGGGGTCATCTCCATGCCATTATTCTGTTGTCGCAGCATCTGGAGTCTGGTCATCTCATTCTGTTGAGCCCGTTGCATGTGTTGCTGCTGTTGGGGTGTCAACTGCTGGCCGCCTGGAATTTGCTGTGGACCCCCGGCATTCATTCCCTGCTGCATGCTAATCGAGTTTCTCATGCGAGGATTATTTCCCATCTGACCGTTGAACATCCCTGGGACCTGACCGGGTTGGGTCACTTTCTGCTGAAGACCACCAGGTTGTTGACCGGGATTATTTGCTCGTTGCATATTGTTGGCAAGGGCTGCGCGACGCTGGTTCAACAAAAAGGCGTGGAGTTGCTCGTTAGACATCGCGTTCAGTTGTTCCTGTACCGCCTGTGGAAGATTTGCAGGGATCTGTGGTCGACCTTGCATCCCAGGCTGAGGAGCACCACCCTGGACACCACCAGGATGCTGCCCCATGTTGGGAGGTCGCGACGCAGGCCGGGACTGAGCAGGCATTTGAACTGGGGACATTTGACCAGGGGCCATCGGTTGGTTCAGCATGTTCATGCCCGGGCTCCCTTGGCCAAGGTGAGACTGTGCCTGAGCATTTTGGCCAGACATCGCCATCTGAGCCTTCTGCGCGGCTTGAGCTCGAGCTTGAGCCTGGGCCTGGGCTTGGGCTTGGGCCTGTTGATTGGGGAATTGCATTCGTCCTTGGGGTCCATTCGAGCCTGCTTGTTGCATGTGCTGTGGGTTGAACATCTGGGGATCGACGCCCGCCCCATTCATGTTCGCCTGGCCATTTTGTCCCATCTGCTGCGAGAACATGTTCTGGTTATTGGAGAATGCCGACTGATTTATCTGCGATGAGTTGGCGGGTACCACAAGCTGACCAGCCTCCTGTGAACGCAGGCCATCGGCCTGTTGGCCCTGTATGTTTTCCACATTGCCAATAAAGGCGTTGTTGGGATCGAGTCCTTGATTGGGGCTCCCCGAGAACCCGTTGTTTCGCTGGAGGTTCATCATGTTTTGGAACATCTGTCGTTGTTGTTGGTTCATCATCGCAGGATCCCCCATCATAGCACTGTTCGGATCCATGCCGGCGTTCGGCGCGCGGCCCAGCTCCTTCGCACGCTTGTGGCGTCGAAGTTGGGTAAGTGCCTGAGAACGGAAAAAGTATGTCATCGGATCCATGTTTTTTCGTGCTAGATATTGACGTTGATCGGGGTTCATATTCGACAAGTTGAGCTTGATTTTTTCCATGTCCTCGGGGGATGTCTTCGAGAGCATTTGATTGGCGAGTCGAGAAACGTGTTCGAGTTCTTGTGCAGAGAGGTTGTTGAGGTCATCCGGGAGGGGGGCGTTGCCGGGACGCTGCTGCGCCCGTTGAGCTTGTTGTTGTTGGAGCATCGCAGACTGCTGCTGCTGTTGGCGTTGCTGCATTAAGACTTGTTGGTTTGGGTCGTTCATTCCCATGCCCATCGCCATTTGAGGCTGACCCGGGACGGGAGAAGTCTGCATGCCTCGACCCATCTGAGGAGGGAATCCACCTTGCATTTGGTTCTGCATACCGCCCGCCATCATACCACCTTGAATAGCGACTGCGGCTTGTCTCTGTCGGGTGTCTTTGATGTGTAGGAGCTTCTCGTTACATTCTTTTTCGTAATCACTCTGTAACCAGAAAGGATCGAAGTTAGTGGAGGGTGTTCCGAGGCATCCCAAAGAGAAGAAAGAGGCGCCGGTGATACTGGGGAATGGGATGAGGGGAGGGGGATGGGGGATGGGGGATGGGGGATGGGGAGATGAGACGAGAAGAGTTGGTGAACGTGATTGGGAGGGATGCGACGAAAGACGAACCTTCTCGGTCGCCTTCTGAAAGGCTTTCTGTTCGAAACTAACAGCCGCCTGGGCTGCCTGATTAAGATCGATTCGGGGTTGAATCAGACGAAGTGAGGTGATCCTGAGACGAAAAGAAAAAAAGGTCAGCGAGGTCAAGGAAATAAAGGATAAAGGTGCAGGTAGTGCCTCGGGGGTTCCATGGTTCGTGGGGGAAGACAGCTTACATCTGGTAAACATTCATGGCTCGAGTCTTGATGGGCACATCGGCCTTCCATCCACCAAATGGGCCCTGGTTCGCGAGGATCTGAGCAACATGGCCCATGATGAGTTGGGCACCCTCCTTGTTTTGTTGCGGCGGCATATTCGGTTTGACGACCCCGGGCATGCCCCCGCCAGGGTTGGGAAACTGGGCGGGATTCATGATCGAGGCCCCATCAATGGGGAGGGAGCAGACCGCGAAGAGGAATAGTTGCGGTCAGCATTCGCCGGGTCGCCACGTTGCGAAGGTCGGGGAAATCGGAGGAGGAGGGGAGACGGAGGAGGGGGTGGGAAAGAGTAGAGGTGGTAAGAAAGGGAAAGAGAATCGAAGAAAGGAAGGATTTACAACGGCGCGTTGCGAACAGATGCAGGGTCGGAATCCTTCAAGGTCGCAGATCGGCGGGAAAAAAAAGGACGTCGGTGCTGGTGTGGAACCGGTGGTGAGTCGAGTCGATCAGGGAGGGTGGGGATGAATTCAAAATGGCCCAAACGGAGGGCGGGAGCGAGCAAGAGGCAGGCGAGCGACCAGCACGGTGGGAAAGCAAGGCGTTCGGGCACCAGCGTCGATTGGATGCAATTCGCTGACAAAAGCCTGGGTGTGGCTTGGAGCGAATGAGGACGACGGGCGCAATTGTAGGGGTGGATGGGATCCGTGACAGGGATGCTGCAGCTTGTCAAGTCGCACCGGAGGTTCTGTGGTGGATGTCGTGAGCAACTGGCAAGAGGGACAGTTCCAAGGTTGGCTTAGAGTCCAGGAGGACAGACGGACTCGGAATTAACTAGCAGAATGAGGTGGGAAAAGGCTTACCAGAACTTGATTCCAGGGGAGATGAAGAGGGCAACGATGGCACACACCGAACAGGGATAGTGTTTCAAGGTGCACAGGACTCTTTTCAGTTCTCGTGTGTGGAGGAGGGGTGAGAGGCAAAGTGGAGTGGAGGGGGGGAAGGAGGAGGGGGGGTTGGGATGGAAGTGGAAAAGGAAGATGGAAAAGAATAAAGAAAAGAGGATAATGGCAGACCGATGGCAACACGAGGAGAGAAGCCAATGGAGAGGGCAAAAGGTACAGAGCACGAGCGGAATCAATTGAAGAATGGTGAATGCGAAGGTCACAAGGCTGCCGTCAGGTACTCAATGCGGCGATCACGGGATATCCACTCAATGTAGACTACAGTATACAGCGTACAATATACTGATACTATGCTACAGTATATACTGTAAGCACCAAAGATATACATATTCTGCAATATAGTATCTACTGTCATCCCATGATGTGTATAATCGCCCCAGGCGTCGTCATAATTGTGGATCTGTTTCACGCGACAGCAAAGTAGATGGGGATGTACGGAGTATACATAGGTAGTAGGTACGAGGTACTAAGTAGTACTAGTACTAGTATACCTAGTATACTCTACTCAAGTTGAAATCTACATTACCATTGACTTTAAACAATTATCCTCATATTCCTGGCATACTAGTATACCCGTACAAATTTGGCTCATCTCTTTTACTCCCTGATCGCCCCATCGATCGACGCCCTGGCCTGATCCGGCCGCGCCTATTGGCCCCGGCTCCTGTCAAAGTACCTGGTACCTCCATTATCATATAAACTACTCATATTTACAAGTACCTCATACCCCGCACGCTTAAGTCAGCCACCACTCCCCTGGGAACGTCAACTGTTTCTATATTCGATCCGGCCTCGTCATCCTTTCTCTTACCGATCCTCCTCCTCCCAACGCCATGAAAAACGCTTGAACGCTCTCCTTTTTTTTTCTTGATTTTGATCGTCTCCCTTCCGCCATGATCTCCGTCTCCTTGCCGACCGTCTCGGTCGGCTCTAACATCTTCTTCGCTCTCGCTCTCTGCCTCATCTCCCTCCTAGTCCTCTTCATCTTGCGCCGTTTCCTCACCCTTCGCGCCACGCCCGCCTACTTGATCTTCCCAATATTCTTCGCCCTCGCTCTCCCAGCCAGCGTCATCCTTCTCGTCCCCATCGACTTGGCCTCAAGTTCCCGCGATGGCAGCGGTGCCAAGGCAATCTGGTTGCCGGACCGCGTGGTTCTCGTTTGTTGGCGCATTGCCTACTGGCTGATCTTCGTGCTCACTTGGTAGGGAATTCCATTGACAACTATTTTGGTAACCATTGGGTTTGACTAATATTGGTATCTCCAGGGCGATCCTTCCTCTTCTCGCTGAATATGTCGACTCCGGATACCGTGAACCCAAAGCCCGGATCATGTACTCCCTCCGCTCCAACGCCCGCTACCAATTGACCGTTCTGGGCTGCGCAACGATCGGATTGATCTACGTGATCATCTCCAATGGCTTTGATTTCCGCTCCATCAAGGGTGTCATCATGGCTGCGGCCTACGTCTGGGGTCTCGTTCTTGCCATCTACCTGATGGGTCACGGCTTGGTTGCCATCCCACGGAATCTCTTCCGCAATGCCAATGTCAGTGGCCGCTTGCGACGTATCCAAACACACGCCCCGAAGGTACACGATCGTCTGATGGACGCAGTCAACGAGCTGGAGAGCCTCAATTCCCAAGTCGCCCAGCTGCAGAAGCGCAAAACCGGAACTGCTCGTGACTTCCAAGAATGGATTGAAGACCTCTCCGAGACCCCTGGGGATTCCGACGTCCGCGCTCCTATTCTTGAGTCCGCCGAAACTTCCGGCACCGTGCCTTCGGTCATCACGGAACGCTACCTGGCTGATATGACGAGACGCCTGCAGCGCGCCCGACACATGAAGGCTCGCTTTGTGGATGAGTGGGATCGTGTGGTTCAGTCTGCCACGGATCTCCAGTCCATTATCAACTCTGCCGCTTCAAAGAAACTCGATTTTGGTGCTGCCCGCGCGTCGGTCATCTTGCGTCCCGCGGATGAAATTCTTGACCCCCTATATGCGCTATCATCTCTACTCGAATGTCATACCGACTCTAAGACTCGCTTTTGGGGCTTTCTTTGCAGTGGTGTCGGGCTGCATCGTCTGGTCTGAGTTGATCAAGTCTTTGGCCCCATCCGTATCAGCCATCACATTGACAGTGGTTCCGCATTGGAGGGATGAGAAACCAGTTGGGTTTTGGAGCCAAGTCATAGCCTCTGCCTGGCTACTTTATATGTGTTCCGCCGCACTAGTCGGTGTGAGCGATGTGAAAGTTTGGGGCAACCGTGCCCTCGTACGCCGCAATACCTACGGCGAGAGTGCATGTTGGTACGCCAGCTTGGTGGCTCGACTGACCGTGCCGATCGCATACAATTTCTTGACCTTCTTGCCAAAGGACTTCCGCCGGACCACCACCTTCTACGAGTTCCTCGGACAGCTCATCAACCTCACCCCCTTGGGCAAGGGATTCGATTTCATTTTCCCCATCTTTATCCTCATCCCCGTCTGCGCCACCCTGTTCAACCTCTATGGCCGCATCAAGAATGTCTTCGGCTTCGGTCTTTCCGATGATGAGGACGACGTGGAGAACAACCCGTCCGGCTTCGGGATGGGCGGCTGGCGCGAAGGCCGTGATCTAATCGAACGCGAGATGAACGGCTTCGGCTCTTTGGCCGTCTCCTCCCGCGGCGCCCGATCGACCTGGGCATCGGATCGCAGTGACGATGGCCCAAATGGCTCATCCCGACTACGCGTTCCCGCGGCGGAGGGCTCTCGATCTCCCCGACCTGCCCAATCGCAACGGCCCATGACGGCTCCTCAAGTCGTCGACGAGGAAGAGGAAGAAGAGAACTTCTTTCAATCCTTCGCTCACCGCGTGCGAAACACTATTGAAACCACCAACAAACCCCAGTGGATTGAAAACGCCCGTCTCCCTCGCTGGATGTCTGGCGATAACAACACCACTGAGGAAGGTGGAATTACAAGATTATTTGGCGGTAGTGCTGTGCCTGGTCGCTTGCGGCTAGGCTAGGTTAGGTTAGGCTGCCTTCTCTCTCTCCTTTTTTGTATTGCATAGAACGCGGTGTTTGGGTTTGCTCCGTTTTGGCTGCTGGACAGCGTAATATAGAACCTACTTTATTTGTACATATCACGTTTTTCTTATTCTTATATACCTAAACCTTGGAACCAAACGGCTTATATATGTGTTCATTTTCATTGCCCGGTAGGATAATACCATAGTAAGAAGCTCATCCCAGGGGTCCTGGAGGACAGATCTCTAAGTCTTTGAATCACCTGCCACTGGCAGTAATGAGTGGCTGGCTGGATCATGGAATACGCGTAAGTAGCTACGTGAGCTCCTGCGCCCCTTACGTCGTGAGGGGAAGCTCAACCGAATTGAAATTCGGAATCGGAATAGAGGACCCCCAGCTCTACTACAATATCGTGCTACTGCAAAGCGACCTGCAAGCAATAAAACACCGAGCCGCAATCCCTTGCTTCGTCAGCGTGTGGAAACAGGTTTTTCATCCATGGACTAAGATGCGGCAATTTGATGCAAGTCTTACAGTAGTATCCAATGTCTTCGGTGCAATTTGTTTTGACTTATAATGCTAATTAAAGAAGCCGACACCTTTATAACATGTCTACCTCTACTAGTTGGTTATTATGTTCATAGCATGCACTTCATGCGAGTTACTAGATGTGATTTAGTATCATGCAGCTTGTGTGCCCCTATCGTTGTATAAAATGGCCCTTACTATCCCCTGGACTTTCTTCTGCTTGTGCTCAGCTTGTATTCTCCCGCTATGTGTTGGCAATGCATTTTTGCTATTGATTAGGCTCATCGAGTTGCGCTGGGTACTCCATTGTCGCTGAAAATTTACTCGCCAAGTATCATCCATGGATCACCCCTCAATTTCAGCAAGAAAGAGTCAGCATCGCTATTGTATATGGGATAGTGGTTCTTGGTTTCTTGCTGCTTTCACACCAATCCTATTGTTTCCTATATTATACAAATTGTATGTTTGGTCTCTCCATCCAATCAAAAAAATTCGATCGAGCCCAGTAGCCTGATTGATTTTCCTCATTCGGACGGTTCTTAGCGCAGGCCCATGAAAGTCATGGTGGTGATGATGATAATCGACGGGACCTTCTCAGGCCCCGACAGGATGGATGGCGAAGGTCCATGGTTTTGGTCGTCATTGCCATTCTTGGGTTCGGCAAGTTCGGTTTGGGATACTAGTAGCTTCCTTGGCTGGAACTTGGGATTGCCAGAAAATAAAAATAGCCTAATTTGCAGTCGGGGCCCGCAAAGTAATACATCATCATTCTATGATCGAATTTTTCTCTCCTCGAATTTTGCTTCCAACACTCGTTCTTTACACCTCGTTCACATTTATATTCCATCACTCAAGATAATTCCATATCTGTCGACAGGATCCTTAGGAAAGATGGACCTACGTCGTGTGGGAATGTACCCCGCCGAGTTGCAGTTGTTCTTTCAGCCAATTTTTCCCGAGCTTACTGGCAATTTCCTTCACCGATTCAGATATAAATACGACGGAAGAGTCTATGAATGCCTATAAAATACAATAAGTGACTTTCTATTTGTTGAATATCAATTTCGAGTCGCTGCTCAACTGAAGGCGGGCTATAAAGTGACGCCAACTATTACGATGGGCGTCAAATACGCTAAGCGCGAAATGAACCTCTTTTTGAAAGAGCTCGCTCTGCCCTCTAAAGTCCTTCCATTAGCTCTCGCAGAACGAGATCCAAAATGGTATCTTTCTGATCAACTTGTTGATTATTGCAGGCGAAGTGGTGGCTGTTGCGGTCGAAACTGCGGTTGTTGCACCAAACGCTTGCCATCAAACCATGTATCAAGGACAGGTACAAGTGTCAGTGGGCATTGCTCTTGGGGATGTCGTTGCTGCATGAAATAGAAAGGTCATGGAGGTTTTTTCTGGCCCGATGACGGGAGTCTTTTTGAACAACAATATAAGGACGCGCTTGAGAGTGACAACCCGATCGTTCTGCTTCGTATAGCGGACGCTTATTTAAGTCCAGAGCCTATATTACGACCGGCTTCAAACCAGGAGTCAGATAACAGTTACACGGGGAAGATAAAATCCAATTCTTTGGAACCGGGTCCAAGCAATGATGTGAAAGCCACATCCAACGAGATCATCCAAAATGGTGTCATGAACGAAGCATCTTACTCTTCTTCACCGCCATATGGACGCGGCGTGGATGGGGATCGCGATATGAGAGGGTGACAGGGCACCCGGATAGACGCCGACGAAGTAAGTTCTACCACGACGATAAGTGCTTCGCCCAACGGAGGAGTCACTAGTACTCTTCCCTGGCTCAAGAGGTCTTTGAAATCGCGCAAATAGCCGGGGTTTTATTTAGCTTCGAACATTTTATTTTCTGAATTTCTATCCTCTTTCAAGGTTGCTAGTAATACGAAGTGATTGTATTGAATATAACCTACGAGTAAAACTTGGATATAAACCGCAGATAAGGAGCTATAGCTCCGCACCCAGAACTTGGAGTAGTAAGTAACGCCCGAGTCTTCAAAACTCCATACTTGACTCATTTTCAAAAAGTCGAGAGTAATCGTCTCTTCGTAGAGGTGTCTCTTCGTAGAGGTGAGCAATTAACGTAACTATTTATAGTTTTCGTTCCGAGTCACAGCCAAGAAGGTCAGAGACCACAACTGCCGGATATTGGATTCTGCAAAAAGCTAGTATCAACAAAAATAGAAAGATAACCAAGAATGTGCAAAAGGCGTATTGAAAGCAAGATTAAGGAATTACTTACCAGTCTGACCTCCAACCCCAGGTGGAGCAGGTAATACGCCCAAAGGCGTGACTTCGAATGAACCATCTCGATAAACCCAAGACCACACCTCACTCGAGAGCTGAGCCTCGTTCTTCTCAATCGAGTTCCAGAGAACGTTATACGCGGCCCGCACATTTGTATAGACAGAATCATCAGTGCAGAACTCCGGAGTAGGCATCACTGCTTTGGAATTATGGCCTCTCTTCACAGATTCAGAACTGGCCGAGAAGTTCGAAGTAACCTCGCATCGACCTAGCTGTAGCTCCAGTCCCCTAGCCATCATTGCTAGCTGCCACGACCACACAACTGTGCCATGGTATGCTCCAGTTGTGAAGTTCTGCGCGTATACAGGGTCCTCTCCGAATGCGGGATTCGCAACGATCATACCAACGTCAGTCATCAGGCCAGCTGGGAAAGTGCGGCGGATATTTGTGGCAGAGCCATTCAAAAATGGAGTGAGTTGTTCATCGTTCGTGGTGTTGAGGAGGAAGTGGCGGAAGCAATCATCCGTGTTCATGACCTCCACCTTGGAGAGATTGTTATTTCCCTCCAGAGCAACTGCATGGAATGTAACATCTGTATCAATGGCAGAAGATTGGTTTGGTCCTGCAAAATGGTCTTTCGAATAGGACGTGACTAAAGATTTGGCCTTCGACTTGGGAATGGTCACGCTGAAGAAGTCCAGTGTATTATCTTCCCAGACCTTCGCGTATTTATCTGCAAGAGAGCCCCACTGCTTTCTGCGTGGGAGTATACCTGCGCGAGACAGGGCTGCTATAGATCGGAGACCTGCTGGCACAAGCGCCGTATTCACATCGTAGGGAATGCGGCCTCCACCAAGGCCTGGCAAGATCATCAGCGAGAGTTATACTTTGTTTAAAAACGAAAACATACCATAAGTGCTATCTCTCCATTCTCCAACAATTTGATCATCATGAAGGTGAATGAGGTTTTCCTTAGTTTGGTTTTTCACAAAAGGGCCAGCAAGACGCATGATTCTCTCCGCATTGGTCAGGGCTAAATCTCCCCAAGTCAAGTCCTTATTTGCTGGATTGACCGAGCCTGCAGTGGTACTAAAAAAAATTAGATATTGTCTCTACATCACCGGGTGTGGGTCATTTACTTGAAGAACTTAGCAGCTCTCTTTTGGCCGACTGGATTTTCCACAAAATATCGCTGCATCAAGACGGGAAGATAGTAATCCGAGTCGACCTGGTAGAATGGTCAGTATTTTTTCAAAGATAGAACTCGTCCAGAACATATGTACCATCTTGTAATCACAACCCATGGCAGTGCTCGTGATATTCTCCTGGGCATTGGTCCAAGTCGCGTAGTCTCTGTACAAGACTTAGTAAATACCCTCAATCCCAATTCCAAAATACTAACCCAATTGTCTCCTCATGACAAACAGTACCATCGGTCCGATTGATTCTCTCCAAAACTGCACCAATGACAGCCTCCGTGGCACTTCCCTCGCCATAGCTCAACACAGGCTCTAGCAATAAAGTGGCGATCATCGAGTCACGGCCAAAATACGTCAGAAAACGCCACGCGCCCGCTAGAAGCTTCTCTGAGTACGATAAGAATGAAAGAGCAGTCGTCTGACCTGACATAGTCGAAGCAAGGTTACTCGATACATTATTGAGTACTGCGGCAGGTTTCAGCGGTGTAAGCTCCGGATAATTGATTGTCGCCGAAAAGAGATAATCGCCTGCTTCGAAGGCGACAGTGCGGTTATCCAGAGAGACACCGCCATCATTCTTGGAAGTAGAATTTCTCCAAGGCTGGAATTTAAGGGTTGTCATCGTGGTGTTGTCCAGCCAGGTACGCTGCAAGGAGACGCTCCCATCGCCCGAGGAAGAGAATCTGACTGCATCCTGAATCTCGGGATAGAGGAGACTAGGACCCTCGACGAAGTCGCGGATTGTGCGGATACTTCCCAGAATGGGAACTGTAAGCCTTGCAGACGAGTTGAATCGCAGGACGCCCTGGATTCCAACGTGGGGCGGTCCATTGGAAGATGCGTTGTAGACTGGGCTCAGAGGGTGGGCGTCGGTAGAATTGATGAGCTCAATTGCCAGCGTACCATTTCCGCCCTTCTGTGGCGCGAAAAAGGTGCAGACACCGCTATTTCCAGCTGGCCACGCTACAATGAGACGTGGTCCGATGATTGAAAGATTGCTGTCAGGAAGCGGACTGGTGACGATAGCCTGGGCGGCGACATTGCAGTCCGAGTAGAAGTAGTTCTTGTAAGGCAAGTCATCCAGCGATAGCTTCGAGGCTGGATTGGGGCATTTGGGGGCCGTGGCTCTGGCATAGATAGCCTGAGATTACTCTTGTTAGACACGAGGTGAAGTTGTTGGAGATGTGACAAAGCGCCACTTACCGCATCATCACTTTCCGCGGCCGCCCTTGCGGAAGCACCCAAAGCACCCAGTAGGTGCAAGATCTGTAGAAACTTCATGGTGAGCTCTGCAGAATCATCTACTCGGAAGATTCAGATATGTTTAAGTAGTTAAAATGCATAGATCGGCAATGTCGTATTGTGCCGGGTTATAGACCTTCCTGAAGAAGTTGGGATTGTACAACAAGTGGGTCATCTCCCCACGGGGTTGTGGGGAAATTTTGGTCTGAAAGTTTGACATTCCCGACATTTTCCCGTACCCACAGTTCTGGCTGCATCTCCATATTGGTGCTGGTAGTGGAATGTAAGATCAGTTTGAAGGTATGCAGCTTGAGGAGATATCCAGCTCGAGGTGAAAGTGGAGCCTGCCTTTCTAGATTCAACATTGTGTGCAGCTCTCAAAAAACGTCAAGGTGGACCGTCAATAGGTAGTAGCAATCAAAGATCATTTTCCAAGCCATTGACGTTATGTTGATGTTTAAAGCTTATACGTGACATAAGTTTTAGGGTTCTTTGCTCAGACTACTTAATCAAGAAGAATGAATTAAGCCCAGTCTTGCATACCCCAACTTCAGATATACCAGTGGAGACAACCAAAAGGGGCCTTGCATAGACCTGCAACAAAGAATACTGCTTTCGGAAAGTTATAGATTTTAGAATGCCGAAATTCTGCCGTCAGGTCTCGGCACCTACGGAACCTGCGATGAAGATTATTCCTTTCGGCAGGCTAGATCTCATATGCCGATAGAAACTTGGCAATTTAATGTGCTCGGCTGGAACTTGCTATAAAGATTCGGAGGTATGACAGGTAGTATACTCCGCTACTAAAGCGGGTATTTGAAGATTGGGAGGGAGGAGAATAACCTGAAAAAAAGGCTAATTGATTTATGCTTGAAGGCATAAATCGCTTGAAACAGCAGGAATAAATTGAATGATAAAGAAATTGAAATCAGCCATATATCCGGCCTCCGGACTTCACTCTCCACGCCCTCTTCGACTTGATAAAGGTTCATAGTAGTTCCTACTAGTACCTACCAGTATCTAGCAAAAGGCGACCATGAATTGAGAATCAGACACCAAGATTTTTCCAAACCATTACCCCCAAAATAACACCACCAAGAAAATGGCCAATCCACTTCCCACGCCACCCATCAAACTCTGCGCCTCCATGATACCAAACTGTAAAAGCGTCAACCTGTGCAGCAATCTTTCAATCTAAACAGCCAACCACACCAATCAGTTCAAGGCCCAGAACAGATTTATCTATATACACCTCCACTCTCCCAAGTATGAATTCGAGCCGACTTACCACAGTCCCAACCATCAAAGCTTTTAACCCTTCCCGATTACTCTGCAGTCCTAGAAGCACATAGGTCAACCCTAAAGCTAACTCACGGCCAGCACTCGCGTACAGAAATGGGGATGGAGGGCTGTTTGGGGATAGCGGGAGACCGAAAAGTCTATAGGCAGCTCGTGGAGCGAAGATTCGACATAATCCCAGTCCTAGCAAGGATGTCGCGAGGAAGGTAGGTACTGGTGGAAAAGATCGCCTGGCCTCGGAGGTATACCGTGGACTCGGAGCTGAGATAGTGATACTTGCTTATAAGGAAAGAATGTATATGACAGGTGGGCTTAGTGAGGTATAGTTCAGCAACGACTTCTGACGAAAATGCCTCGGCGATACGAAGGTTTTCTACTATGTGGTAGTTAGTCCGTGACGGTGTACAAGTACGCTAAGCCAAGCGATGAATCAGCCAAGATGAATACGAGCAGGTCATTGCATTCGGAGTAAGCGGCTCTGCGCGGTCGTCACTTGAATTTTGCCCCGAGAATATCGGGCGTGGATTATGGCCTCGCTGGGGATCTTTTTCCTTTTGCGTTTCTGGGCGATAATTTGGCGTTAGTGATGATGTGTGAACTTGTATGCCATGCGGGGCAGGAGTGGGAGGTTAGCAGGTATACAATTGTGATGATGAGTGCAATGTCGCTTTTGTTTCGTATTTTCCTTCTGCATTTATGCCAAGAGGCCGGCTTACTACCAGATGCCAAGGCAATTGGTTACTTTCAAGCAGTTGATAACATGGGCGCCACCTAGACACCCATATTAAAACCTGCCATGTTTATCCCTACAATTATAAAAGCATTTCCCAAATTCATATTTGTTCATATTCAACACGAGCCAGTAGACTGACCGAATCGGTCTATATACAAGAAGTAGTGTATGTGCAACTAGATCATCCCGAGTCCCCTCGCCATCTGCGCGGGGCGCGAGATATTGTGATTTAAATCACACAATAGGCGAGGGGGACGGGATCCGAAGGCCGGGAGCGAGACCCGAGGGTGAAACAAATGTACCCATGCACTTGACTCAAATTTCAGTGCATGAACAAGGTACATATGTGACCTGTATGGGGTGTTGCGTTGCGGTGGTATATCACATGTGCGTGCGCATGTCACATAAGTCGTAAATTCATCAATGAGTGAAATTATGGTAGAAGTATGTATGGAAGGGTGATATATGTGTGGGTGGGAGTATCAACATCGGGTATAGGGCTTCATCCTGGCTTTTCAGGTATGCTCGCAGGTTGGCGCTGGTAGTGACACCAGGGGTCATTGAAATCGATTGATGTATGGTCGCCATGATTTCTGATATGTGTCCCCGAGTCCCACGAATTTGGGATCTCTGCGCTGCCATTCTGGTCGCGAGACGGGCAATGTTCGAAATAGGCGACGGAAATATCGTCATCCATCCAGGATTGTCCTCGGGTAGTATGTGTTTGCGCGGTTGGGGCGTGGGTAAGGTCCGAGGTGACGCGAGTCGCATCGACGAAATCAGGAAGTTCGCGGGGCACGGAGAAGGACTCGGGTTTCCAGACGTGATTGTGGACAAGGTGGATTAGTTTGCCGAGGACGGCGAACTCAAGCTTCAGTTTAATACTGTAGACGGCGCCTTTCAACATTGTCTCCATAATATAGTAGTCGCGGTATTCGGCGACAAGAAGTCCAATGTCCATAATGATGATAATCAGGTTAATGATGATGAGTTGGTACTGAATCTTGCGCTTAGAGCGGTCCATGTCGAGGTGTATCATGCGGACTGTCTCCCAAATGTAAAGGCCCGAGATTATGAACTCCTGTAGACAGAAGCCAGTCATTTGAATCTTCTCCATGACGTTGTACCCGTTTATATAAGGATGGACATGTCTTTCTCCCGCGAGGTTACTGCCATAGGTCAGAACGGTGGTAGGAAGGTGAAGACAGACAGCGTTGACAAGGATCATGGTCAGAACGCGCCGAAGGATGCGCTGGTTGTCGAGGACTAAGTGCAGACGCGAGTATAGAACAATAGACTGGCCGGTCACCATCGTCCACCAGCCGATAGTGAGAAAGGTCACCGACAGCCATGTCGCAGTGGTGAGTTCGAAGAATTTCAAGAGGAAACCAAGGGAGTATGGGATCAAGCCGACGGCGCAAGAGACGAACAAGCTCCAGAAATAGAGACCACGATACTGGGAAAAGGTGACGAAGATGAGGATGATCAGTTCGAAAGCGTTGTACCAAGTGACACCAGCCAGAGTAGCGATGGTGATCTGCATTCCCAAAGAAGTGCCTTTGATGCCGCCGGTGATGCCCTCGCCGGCGGCGGTGATATTCGCCATGGTGCTTGTCAAGGAGAATAGGACATGATTAGGTGGGGAAAGGAAGAAGCAGCATTAGCAGCAGCATCAGATGAGAGAGAACAGGATTCATATGGGGGCTTTTTTGGGGGAGGGGGGGCTTGGGGCTTAGGTCTTGGCTTCGACTGGGTTGGGACTGGGCGAGTGCCGCGGGTGGGGGGTGAGTCGATCATGAAGTGGCTTACTCCGGGGGCAAGCAGACAAAGCGAGTCAATCAGATCGGAAAACGCCCGACAAAGACGGGTGGATCGGGGATATGTGGGATACTAGCGAAAGGATTCGATCCCTGCGCTTGGGGCGGCGACTATTGGTTGCTATTCCTGGGCCGTGCGATGGACAGTTCAACTGGTAATTGCCGCAAGGCGCAGATGCGATCCATGCTCGAGTGAATTGATAGATTGAAGGTCGAGTCCACCTGATGGGATGTATGTATGGGATATATTATCAAGGAGGCCAGGAGTGGACTCGGGAGTAAATGTCAAAAGGTTCCCCGGTTGAGGGGTTGGGGATGTCCCGGAGTGGGTCAGGGGCAACTTGGGAAGGAACGGGGTGTTACCTTACCTGGGGGAGGCAGGAGAGGCAGGAGAGGCAGGAGCAACCCAGCTAGTCCTCCAGTCCAGGTGACTTCAGGTGACTTCAGGCGACTCGACACATTCAATACTCAACTCCCTCGTATACATGTACCCACTGGTATACTTACACCTACATCTACACCTACTCCCAGGCAACTTGGACGCCTGCCGTCTGTGTTGTTCACCTGCACACCCCAGGATCCCCAGCCCATCCAATCCAGTCCAGTCCAGTCCCACTCTGAGTCACCCTCAATGCGGTCAAGCGTCGGGACACCTGGTGGACGCCGGCAACTTTCGGTGTGCAGGTGCAGCAGACGATCAGAGGCTCTGCAGGCTCATCACACAGGAAAGGACAAAAAACAATCTCGATGACAATATACGTACTACCATAGGTGCCAGAAGTACAGTACCGACTACGGAGTACATATGTACGATACTCGTATGTACATATGGTGGACAGTGGACTGGGGGAGGTGGACTCCAGAGTGGATAGACATGTCATAGCCTCCACTCAAGCTGCTAGCTGCCAGTTACCACCTGCCAACTTCCAGCTACAACGAGTCTCTTTGTGGAGAGGGCACGGCCACCAGCACGGTCGCTTTCAACACGGCAATTGATCCTGTGCTCCGGTCTGAAACACATGCCTTCGCGCAATCTAGCCTAGGTTACCAAAGACTCGGTGTGTCCTTTCCCATGGTCAACGGTGATCGGTCATTTAATCAAGGACCTCTCCAATCAGATCCGCTTGTATAGAGTGTCTTAGGGCAAGTATCGACGTAACCAGTTCATGGGGAAAGTGACTCCTGATATCCCAGCGTACTGCCTCCAGGAGGAACGCCACTATGCAGTGTCTCTCGAGTACATTATCACCACGCATAATAGATGGTCTACCATAAAATACCCCCAAAATCCCGACAAAATCAAATCAAATCACATCCATAAATAGCACCCAGCGCCTCGCTAAACCCTCACAAAGAAAACAGGTCACGACAAGAACAAAGACTCAACAACCCCGGAAACCCCCGACTTGACCCTAACGCCCCATACCCCGTCTTGGCACTCGCCCTCCTCTTCGCCTCGTACTAGTAACCATTCAGATCCGTAGAAATACCGCAAGTCGTATTCTAGCCCCCCAACAACGACATCATTCCATCCAAGGACACAAATTCCCTGGTGGCCTTACATTAAACCAGCATCATCATGAACTCAGAAAAATATCCGTTCATGTCCCCATAAGGCTCCCTCACGCCCATCCATCAGCCCGGCGGTCCAGCCAAGCCCAGATCTCCAAACAACGGAGTATTTCCACCAGGTACCTCGTATAGATAATGGGACCTTAAACTGTAGGCTGCACGATAGTCGCGCGAGGCAGAGACGGGATGGAAGAGGACAGGCTAAGGCTGGCCTGGATGGGTGAAGACCGGGCAATTCAAGAAATGCCTCACCCTGTCTCGCCGTGCCTTTCCTATTCCCTCCACTTCCCGTTCGAACTTGCGGTGCGGTGCAGTGCGTCGCGACGCCCGCTCAACCCAAATCCAAATCTTAATTAGCATTTAGATTTGCATTCGCATTCGGATTTGAACTCGAATTCAATCCCCCAACCCCGGTTCCCCCCGTCACCGCAACAACACGATCAACCTCACCCGCACACTCAGGCATAGCACTCCGCATCTCACGGGCCAACACATCCCGGAACCCGGCGAAAGCCTCCCTTTTCCCCTTCAGATCTTGATTGCCGCGCTGCACCAGCTCGACGAATTCACGCGTGTAGATGTCCGGGTTGCGCGCGCTGTCCACGTAGTCGATTATCTCGGGCGGTAATTGGACGCTTGCGAGGCGCGGGTTTGCAGGGTCGTCGTTTTGTTGATGCTGCTGCTGTTCTGAATCTGTTGCGCTGCCGCTGTCGGGTGCGGGTTGGGTGTGTGTTGAGAGGGTGTTTAGAGTGAGAGTGAGGTTTTTGCTGTGATGATCATGCTTGTTAGCTTGGAGTTCCTTCTTTCTCTCTCCTTCTCCCTCTCCCTCTTCGACTTTTGCGCAAAGAAGAAAGATAAGATTGTAGATTGGATTGGCGGCAGATCCTTGAGCTTTGCTCTTTCACGTACATTTTTCGCACCAGCTCTTGTTGCGTTTCTGGGCCTAGGTAGCCGTGCACCGCGGATTGGATCTCGAAGAGGTGCTGGATCACGTCTTTCAGGTCGTCTGCGGATGATTAGCTTTGGCTTGTGTAGCTTCTCATAGAGGTTACACACCATCGACCGTATTCAGTAGGACTGGAGCCATGATTGCTGTATGTCCTATCGCTGAATGGATGTGGTGAGGTTCTTGGGCGTGGGGTTGGAGAAGGCGGTGGGAAGCTACAGGCGGAGGGAACGGGCAAGCATCCAAGGTTCCAAGGAAGGAATCTGGACCACGCGTTGTCACACTTGGTGGGGAGTACGTATGTAGTACATATGTAGGGTGTAACTATGTCTGTGCTATCTAGTATACTATCTATTCAATGCTTGTGTGCGCGGCAAGGGATAAGTCTAGATGTTTCGTTTCAATGAGGGTTATACCTCATGTCATATGTCACTCACGGTCTATCTATATGCACCCCTCCGAATCAAATACAAATCACCAGGTGGAACACGCTAATATCACGGCAACATTACACCAAATAAAACATCCGTCTAGGCATTACACTTCCCGCGTCTTCAGCTTGGGGAACTTGGGGATCTCAATCTCCGTCTCCATTTCCATGCCAGAGAGACTAGGGAACCGCCGGCTGAAGTTCGTTTCCCAGTCTTCACCCGGACTGGTTGGGTTCGGCTGGACAGAGTGACTTCGTTCGCTGCTGGCACCGGGCTTGGAGGCATCCGGGGCCCCTACGCGCAGGTTCTTAGGCTTCGGTGGTGCAGTTGGCGGTGCGGCCGACCGGGATGCCGGGCGTTGTCCAGACGAGTAACCCGTTGACGTAGAGGTAGCAGTCCGAGGAATCCCAGCGGGGACACTGGCACCCTCGCGACGGTCCGGCAGAGACATGTTTCCTTGACGGGCACCGTAGACGGGTCCAGGAGTTCGGGATGTAGGGATTGGGTTTGATGGAGGACGTACATCGCCCTGGTTTGCCGGCAAATCAGGGGATTCGGTGTACTTGCCATATCCAGACGCGGTTTTCGGTGCGGCGGCGGGTTTGTTAGACTCGCCGATAAGCGTTTGAACTCGGTTTTGGATAGCCCGAGACCGGTGCGATTCAGCACCTGCTTTTCCACCGTCGTTCTCGGCAACCCGGCGTCGGTACTCGGCCGCAGCATTGGCAACCCGCTTCTCCTCCTGGGAGAGGCGACGGCGTTCCAGCTCGCGGCGGGTCTCCGGGGAAATGTCGTCTCGATCCAAATCATCTAGCACAACATCGTCCTCGTACGGCGACATGTCGTCGTTTCTGGCTTCGGTATCACTCATCAGACTTGTCTTGGGGGCCTCTTCTGATGATGGGGTCGCGGGCTTGTCGCTCTCGAATCGGCGGAATGCCTCACCGAAGCGGCCTGCGAACAAGTTCTTGCCGCCTGAAAGTGAAAGTGAAGACAAGCTGCCGCGCTTGCTGTGCTTTGCACCGCTGCTAGAGCGCTTCTCCCTCTTGCGATTGATTTCCTCCTCTTCCTTCGCTCGAAGGTAGTCTATATCCGAAGAAATGTTGGCCCGGTCATGATCGCGATCCAGCTCTGTTCGGACTGATCGCAATGGCGCACCGCCTTCGTATTGGGACAAATCCAACGACGATCTCGACGCCTCCGGTTCCCGCGACACGTACCCAGCCTGCACTGACACTGGACGAGCCTTGGCGATGGCAGACTTTGAACGGCCCACAGGATCATTCGCATCTAGTGCAGATGGGCGTCGTAAAGTCTCCATAGAAGGGCGCGTGGAGCTAGAAAGGTTCGACAAGCGGTCCGAGGACAGACGCGGGCTTGCTTCAGGGCGCAAGCCCGAAGATGGGGGAGATGGTGCCTTCTTCTGTTCCTCCTGTGTCCAGGGCTGACTCGAGGGACGATCCTGTTCAGAGGTTGGGAATCGATAGATTGGGCGGCTGGACAATGTGCGTTCTTGCAAGCGAGGTGTCTGAGCGGGCGATGTCATGGTCCCAGTGGATACCATTGCAGGACGCTTAGGAGTAGGTTGATATAGCGGAGTGGATTGTCTGGCAGACACCTGCTGGGGTTCGCGTACAGGCGAAGTCTGCGATTGTCGACTGGAAGGAGGCTCCTGTCGCGCTGGACGTTCTGGCGAGGTTTGTCGAGCAAATGCTTGGTCGGCCAAAGCATTGGTGAGTCTCTGCGAGAGACCATGGTCATCCGCCTGATCCTTCGCCGTCGGCTCGAAATCAAATTTGTCTCCATTCTCGTGGAGAATGTCAAACTGATCCAAGGTGGGGAAGCGCTTAGAAAGCTCGTCAGACTTCTTGCTTCGGGCTGCCGCGCCTCCATCCAGCGCAGCAAATGGATCACTAGAAGTTGTATCTTTGGAGCCACCGCGGTATGGGGAGGGACTTGCTCGAGCAGAGTCGTGTGACGACTGAGGCTTCCCTGGCCGTCCTCTTCGCATAGGTGCGATCTCAGGAATGATCTTGGTTTCCTCGACAGGGAGCGAGTAGGCTGCTCCCACCGGGGGAGCATCTGTTGGTGTTGGAGGCAACTCCTGATTCTTTCGCGTCTCGGAAACAGTTCGGTTAGAGTAGATCTACTTTCATGTCAGTAAAATTCGAACAGCGGCAGTGGAAAATGATTGCACGAACATCTCGAATCGGAACTTCCTTGCCCTGCATGTGACACATTTCTCGCACCACCTCATATATATTAGGCCGCTTCTGCGGGTTCTCTCTCAGCATGGAAGCTGTGTCCGGTTAGCCAAGTTCTTCGACCAGAGACCTCTGGCACTCACCAATCAACATCTTTAACCGGTCCGAAAAACGGGGGTATGAGGGGTATTTGAAAGTGGCGTTTAAAATCGCCATCTGACCCACCTCCTCAAAGGGGGTTGTATAATAACATAGTTTGTACAGGAGCACACCAAGTGCCCAAATATCACTCTTCTCGTCAATCGGTTGTTTCCGATATACATCAATCATCTCCGGACTGCGGTACTGCAGCGTTGTGTGTCGCTGCACATCATCCTCAATCAAACGACCCTCCGCAGCAGATGTCGCCGCGGGGCGAGGAGGGGCGGAGGATCCAAAATCGCAAAGCTTGTAGATGGCAGAGCTTCCCTTGCCCGAGATGAGGATGTTCTCCACCTTTAGATCACGATGCAGCAGAGGCGGCTTCAGGTAGTGCATACAGGCGACACCCTCAGCGCAGTCGGCGAAGATCTTAATGATCTCCGGCTCCGTCAGGCGGTTCTGCAGCCGAGTGTTCATGAAGTCAATCAAACCACCGCCGCCGCAGAACTCCATGAGTAGGAAGACTTCATACCCGCCTCCGCCGAGTTGGGAGGCATGCGAATCGAAATATTTGACAATATGTTTGTGTCCCTTCAGCTTCTTCATCGTTTCGACTTCGGTGCGCATGTTCGCCAGGGCCGACTTATCAGGCACAGCCACCCGCTTCAGCACCGCCGTCTCCGTGCCATTGATAGGTTGGGGCAATCGAACGACGTAGACATGAGCGAAGCCACCCTCAGACAGATATTTCTCAATCACCACGCGGTGACTGCCGACCTGGACCTTAGTCCCGGGGAGAAAGGTCCCCGCAGGCGCGGTCACAGCGGCGACCGGGTTATAAGCGGGGAGATGGCGCGAAGCGGAGTGGCTCTGGTGAGAGGATTGGAAGGAGGACATGGTGGTCGAAAGACCCTAGACGGGCAGGGGGGGTTGGATTGAGGGGTCTGCGATCTATCGATGCGGCATAGGAGTGGAAGAGAGAGATGAGTGCTTGGGAATGAGGGTGAGAATGGGGCCAAGAGGACAGTTGGCGGGGGAGGCGGAGAGAGATCGGGAGGGGGGAAGAAGGAAGGGAGCGATATCTTCCCAGAAGAGATGAGAGAAAGAAGTAGGTAGTGATGCCTCCGCCGAGGTTGAAAGTCAACAGTAACGAGGCAGAGGAGATGGGAATCTCAAGTGGAAAGACGATCCAATCACCGCCGGCGGGTCACGTTGCGGCACGGTGATGCTCTCCGCCTGCGCGGTGCCTCCTACGTAGTACATACAACACAGGCTTTTTAGCCGTTAGTCTCCTACTTTATCTCTATATCTCCCCCGGTTATCCCTCCGAACTTGAATTTTGGTTTTTGTTAATGACAGGCTGATTCTGTCGGCGAGGGTCAGCGTGCACCATGACTTGCTCAACGGCTTCAAGGGTGTCTACGAGTACGAGTAATCTGCGAGTGCTCTGATCAGGGGCCCGCATCTCATGGCCCCGTCATGGGACTGCGGTTGTCCATGCTTCCCTTCACCACCATGAAGACTCAACCAGTGGCTGCTTATTCTCAGCGTAAATATCCCATCCGACATGCTTGTTAACGTGACCTACGTCCGCTTGTCCGCTAGGTTACGAAGTATACCTCTGAACATGTTTCGGGGAAGTGCCGTTTCGCCTCGAATATCGTGGACCCACTACGCTTGAACTATCTTTCCCCAACAACCGCTTGACCGCAATCTCGACGACCATCGATATGGCTCTCTTTCCCCCACCCTCAACGCTGGATTGGGAAAAGCTGGATGATCGGGGAGGGGTGCCTTCCGGTAGAAGACTCGCAAGAGCAAAAGCAGCACTCCGGGCCACCGTGCACCGTGGTTGGTAACTAACGGTCTCAATCTAGCTTATACGACATCGCTCGTATTGCTGAAGCAGGGCATCCATCCTGCTCCGCTCTTGACCGATCCAATCCGCCTTGAAGCCGGCCGCTGACCTCAGATAGTACCACGATGTGGGAACAAATCAGGAAACCGTAGATAGAGAATAGTCTGGGGACCTAAATATGAATCTTAATGGGATACAAGGGCCTTGGAAGTAGAAAGCAGAGAATTTCATTACATTGACAATATTTTTGCTTAGTATCGACCCATCCACCCGCAAATCCCACTCTCCAACAAACGTAGTAAACTCCATCCTCCCGCAAACTTAAGCCCTTCCGTAAATGCATCCTCCATCCACAGCTTGCAGGTCTGACCTTCAGCTTTCAGCAAAGACGCACATCTTGAGTCCCCGTGACGGTTTTGATATCAGCGAAGATATCCAACATAGGAGTAAAATGAGATATGTTCAAAGATGTGTCGGCGCCGATCAGCATGCCAATTGCTATATGACAGCTGCCAGAGCAGATAAAACTCCCTGAGTCTCCAGGGAGTGAGAAAGTTCCCCCTGCACCTCCACTTACAGAGTGCTCCCAGGTGGTAGTCAACTTCCCATGTGCAGAATCTCTGGCATGATTGATATGCACCGATCGTACCGTTTCCATAAATCCCCGAGTAAATTCGGTTGATTGCCCAATTTTTTGAACATTCTCTCCTTGTACCGAGAACTGGCTATCGGGGTTTATGAATTGCCTTGTTCTGACTGATGGATGTGTAATTGACTATCTAAAGGTCAGCACAAACTTGAACCTAATATTAGCGGAAGTAGAGACTTTCCCATACCTGGTTATGTTTGGGTAATTCATTTACCTTTAGGCAAGCGCCTTGGGTCTACCTTGATAAGCGCCCAGTCGTATCTTTGGGGCCTTTGGTCTTTTGTGGGCAGGATTCTGTGCTGACCACTTCTAGCGTAAACGTATCCCAGCTGGATCCCTTCTTCGAGAAAAATTTTAAATAATTCCTTGTCTCCTTTCAAGAAGTTCGTACTTTCGGCCAAACGATTGAACTGAGATACATCATACGGCGTCATGGAGTCTCCCGATTGTACTTTGTTTTCAAAATCACGGAGTCTAGCCCAGAACGGCGCGTCAATATCCTTCTGACATTCTGAAATTGCTTCTCTTAGATCGCAAGCTGCTGGTTGATCAACTTTCAGCTATTCTTCGGCTCTTTTATCTGTTGGGAAAACTGGATTGAATTCTCAGAAGTTGAAGGCTGGTGAATATGGTTGCTTATTCGGAGAGGGCCACGTGCAATGGAAGCAAGTAAGGGCGAAGGGTTGCCATTTAGGGTCTTTCGCGAACTTGAGCCCCACAAGGGCTCCCAGGGTAGAAGATCCTGTTGGGCTTCCATGGATACCGATGCTAGCTCCAGGTTTCACTTATTGTAGACATGATTCTCTCACTAGAAACATGTCCACAATCCCACCATCTATGCGTGGCATCCTCCACCGTTCATTTATCTTGAAAATGATGTCCAGATCATTTACGCCCTCCTGTGCCAATATTTTTCGGATCTTTTGGGTACTCCTGTTGAAAGTACCCGATGCCGACTCGAGAAGACTGATGATCATGGTGACCGGGTTTGCACTAGGCATTTCCTCGACTCCATACCGCCAACAAGACACCCCAGACCACATTCGAACATCTGCAATACTCAGTATTTCACTACAGATAGATTCCCATTTAGATACATTACGCTGCGGTTGAGGAACAGGAAAGCACAGTGTAGGCATCATCAATCAATATCGATAAGCTCGACCGAAAGTCCCTCGATGCGGGAGCGATACTTGTTATGGATTCTCTTAGCTGCCGTACGCCACCAGAATGATACCGGCGGACAGGGGGTGTCGTGTCTGTCGAAGATGATAAGAATAGTCGGGATAGGTGCGGGCTCAATATTGATAGTAGTTGAAGGCCTTCCGATTATCTCAACCTGAACCTCCTGCGTGATTCTGCAGTCTTGTAAGATTCGACGACTTGTCACAATAAGTTCCGCCCAAAGATCACGGTCAATTTGGCTGTCTCTGAGGGGTATGCTGTGAGTTGGGATTGTGCATAGATATGGTCCACTAGCAAGGTAGTTAGATTCCAAGAATCCTTCATCGTCAACGGTGGAATCGGTACTACAGATGGAATTTGCGGGCGAGGTCGAATCAAAGCTCATCGAATGAGCATTCAATCGAGTTGAGGTGGTAGTGGAGGAGGATCTTGGGTCCGACATTTTGAAAATATTGTCGTTTTTCAAGAACAGACGAAGGAAACTACGAGGGTAGTAGCGACGAGAAGATGGATTCGAAAACAGGCAAGAAAGAAGGTCAGGATAAAACCTACCCTGTAGAAGTACTATATTAGTACTGAGTAGTGGCAGCGACAGCGAATAGAGCGGCAGCCAAACTTGGAAGCACATTTAGGTACTACTAGTACAAAATCGGATCATAATCCATGGATAGAATCACCGGCATAACTGTGTGCTACATTCCCAGACAACCACAAAATATCAATAATAGGATGGTAGGGCGGATCTGCTAGAGGATGAGCCTATATAGCACCCAGTTGATTCCCTTTTGTTTGCCTACTGTAGCTGTTTTGCCATCATTTGATGGCCACTACTGTTTTGGTAACTACTACTTTAATCCAATGAAATTCTCTGTACGTCACTTCCCAGTCCCTCGCATCCCATTCATATTCACATTTAGATCCTTGAATCATTCCCTCCCTATTGTTTCCCGAAGTGTTCCTTTCCCCGAGTGTCGTCAATCCACCTCGCTGCCTCAGGCTTTCATATCCCGCTGACATAAGACAGCACTTCGCCCGAAAGGGTAAAACCAAAACAAACACTTTTTTTCGATTCAATTGTCGAGTCTAGCTTAGGTTTCAATGACAAAAGGTGCAGAATACCAAAAAGATTGGTTCTAAATTGTAGTCTCCCAGTCACAACACCGGTTTGATAATGAATTACCCCTGATTTTTCGAAACGACCTAGACTCGAAGCAAGGATGTTCAAATCGGCCCGCCTGGTATCCCTCGATGCAGTGCCACTGATAGTAGGGCTCGTTACCGCGTGGTTTCGGAGGAATTCAACATTTTTGAAATATCAGATAGCCGTGGAATTTGCTGGTAAAGCGATGCGATCGAGGGGTGGGATTGGACGCGCCCGAGTTGTTTTGCTGTGTGATGGCCACGTCCTCACTGCATGGAGCCGCCGATCCTTAGCGGCTGCCGGGCCACTTCTCTCCTAAACAACTCCCATCTCCCGTTACAACCCTCCCTCGTTGTTATCCGATCACCCATCTCTCGGTTGTTCTTCGGAGATCAAGATCGGTTCTTCGTTTGGCTTTATATAATTCTTCTTCTACCTACCCTCTGACCGGCTTTCTCGAGCACTGTATGGCCTAGGGCCTCAGTGCACATCTCTCATCACAACGAAATGAACGGGTTATTCACTTGCAACCGTGTCGACAACCTGTTCAATTAGCCTCGATCGCATCACTCGAATCGAGGCACTACTGACTCGAGCTGGTTTGGACCAGTTATATATACCCAGAGGGAAAATATACTCGGCTGCGCGATATTCGTTCATCCGAGTCGGCAGGCCGAATCGCATCATTTTTCGTCATCCGATTATCTGCCTTCCTGAGACTCGATTGCGATCGCAATGGACGGCCCTCCGCCCCCTCCCCCGCCGCACGGCGAGAACCCTCACACCACTGACGGCGAATACCGTAAATCGTCCGATCTACCGCCCGGAAACTACGACATCTTCATCGTCCCGCCGCACTCATCCGGCGGCGGCTTCCTATACCTCCCCTCGCTACAATGCCACCGCAACAGCTTCCTCGCCGGCGCTGCAAGCACACTTCTTGTGGTCATACTATGGTCTCTGGTCGCTCCCACCGTCAAAACATGGTATATCGCTTCGGTCTCCAACGGCCCCGGAGGAATGGGAATGATGGTGGTCGCACTTGGTTTAGGCGTTGCTGGTTGGGCATTTGGAATGTCTCAATCTAACTCCCGGGGAGATGGCGACAACAATGGCAATGGCAATGGTAGTGGTGGCCGATTCGGCGGTGGCTTCTCTGGCGGTGCTGGACGCAATGCCAATGACCAGTCTTCCGGTTCCAACCGCAACAGCGGCTCCAATTTCGGCGGTAATGGGTCAGGACATCGACAACAACGAAGCGGAAACTTTGGCGGGGGCCAGTATGGCAACCAGTATGCTGGCAATCAACACGGCACCGAGGCGCCCCCAAACGCGGAAGATGAGGAGAACGGGAAAGAAAAAGAGCGCGAGAGAGAACGAGAAAGAGAAAAGGAAAAAGAACGCCAAAAGGAGAAGGAGAGGGAAGACCGAAAGAAGGCTGAAACGGAGCGCGAACGTGAAGAAGCCAAGCGCAAAGAGGACCTCCGTCGCAAGATGGAGGAATTCAAACGCAAGCGTGACGCCGAAGCCAAGGAGAAGGAGAGAAAGAGGGAACGCGAAGCCATGGAGAAAGAACTTAAGGAGCGTCGAGAGCAATTGGAACGTGAAATGGCTGCGGCTAGGGACAAAGCAGAGAAAGAGGCACGCGAGCGACTGGAGAGAGAAGCCGCCGAGGCACGCGCAAAGCAGGCAAAAGCAGCCGCTGATGCAAAAGCCGAAACTGACAGGCTCGCGAAAGAAGCTAAAGAGAAAGCCGACAAACTGGCCGCCGAGGCAAAGGAGAAGGCTGCCAAGGAGGCTGCTGAGAAGGAAGCAGCAGCCAAGGAGAAGGCGCAGAAGGAGGCCATGGCAAAATTCGCTGCTCTCAAAGAAGCGGCCGCTAAGCGCTACGCAGAGAAGAAGGCCCAGGAGGCCAAAAGCAAGGCCCAGCAGCCTGCGGCTCCTGCCAGCGCAACTAGCGCACCCAGGACACCTTCTCCAAAGAAGCAGCCACCCTTTCCAACCGCCAACACAACCATCGAAGACGATGCGTATTCCTTTCGGCCTTACGATCGTCCACGGCGCCCGTATGGGAAGGAATCTGGGTCTGGTTCTGCGTACTCCGAGTCATCATATGCTCCGTCGCAGTCAACAGCTCGCACGACACCTCCGCCTTCACATCGCAGCACATATTCCACCAAGGATCCTGATAAGATCGTGATCCAGGGTGTTTATCAGTTTAACAATGCCTTCATGAAGACTCCAGTTGCACAATTGGTCTCTGGACAAGGCATGGTGACCGATGGTCTTGTCCTACGCATGACAACAGAAGGTCTTTTCGTCGATGACGATCTTCGTGGCGTCGGCCAACGCGAATGGGACGTCAAAGCATGGACCTTGAAGTTGGCTGAAATCTGGTGTCCCCAGGTAGGATCCAACAATCAAACCCCCAAGCCCGGTTCCAGCAACCCATTCTCTTTCCGTCGCGGCGCATCGGCGAACTCGATGCCCACCAACGAAGAATCCGAAGCCTTCGCCACCAACCTTCTCAAGGTTTGCAAAAACACCTGCCGACTGGCATCCCCAAGCGCCTGCTTCGCCCGGGGCTCTAACGCAAGTGGCGGTGGACCAGTCCAGCCGCCACAGGCTGAGTTCCGGGGCCTCCACATTCTCCGCGCTAGTATTCGCGATCAAGAGGGCAAGAAATATGTGTTTGTCCTGCAGGACACTGAAGCATGGAAGCTTGCCATGGGTCTCCAGCGCCTGCGCGGTGGAGCCCTCGTTCGTGCCTTGGGCGTCTCGGCACTTCCAGTCCCCGAATGCAAGAGCATCCTCGGCGGACTCGGCTATATTTAAGGGATATTTGATGATGGATGGGAATATACAGAAACTGGCTTTATGAAGTCCAGATTCAACATATTTTCATATTTAGCGATGGTTCCTTTTTGATTTTATATATTTTTTTCTTCTCTGCCTGCATACTTGCGCTTTCTCGAGTTGAGCCTCTTCTCTCATTAGCGGCGGAGTTTGCTGCATTCTTCCTACTACGGTACATTCATTCGCTTTTGGTCCACGCCTACTACCCCTACCCCATATTTATTGAGATTCCCCCCCGAAATGACTTTTGTTTTTATGCGCGTTCTTGGTTTTACGAGTACAGTTGACGAGCATTTGGATGTTGATTGGGGACGTACATAGCATATAGTATCATGATTGAATCAGAAACAGTTTCACTTGGAATCAAACTTAATCAAACAAATAATCCATCTCGCAAATACTCCAGCAAGAAAGTCATTCAACCCATCCAATTAAGATATATCTCCCAATCCTCGGGTGGTGCCTCTTTCATGGGCCACCCTTTCCCAAAACGAATATCCACATCATCCACCTCCGCCCTTGCTAGGGTCTCTCTAATCCGCCGAACTTCGTTTGTAGATGGACCCTTTGCCAACTTCCTTCCAAGGTTAGACTACCGAAGACGGTAACTGGCAGGTCCTCAACTTCACTGGGCATGCTTGGCATCCCGTATCGAAGGCAATAAATGTTGAAAAAGCTTTCGCTATGCGATGTTTCCGATTTCACCGGCGATATTCTCCCACTGATGGTAAAAAGGATCTGTCTTGGGGAGCTCGCAGGATTCTTTCAGCTGGTTCAATTTCTCGCCAATCAGTTCAACTGAAAACCCAGGCAAAGTGGAGAGGCAACCTCAGTATGTATTCTTTTGGCAGCTTCTCGCCATCGTGAGAATTCCGGTGGAGGTCAATGTTTCAAGCAAACTAGGAGAGTTGGAATGGGCTCCTCCCCTCCATAATAGTAGGCCCAAATGAATACTAGGCAGAGTCATCTTTTCTTTCCACTAGTTCAATATCGGCCTCCTGGGTGATTTCACATTCTTCCAGGATTTCACGGGCCCTGCGTATGGCTTCCTTTTTGGTATCTTGGTAATCGCGCTCATCCATGAGAGACGTGGTCTTTACCGGGAGTGCGGTCAGGCGAGGTCCGCCGGGCACGGTATAGGTGTTTGAGGAATCCGTCGTTATCAACATCGTACTCGGCAGTCTACAGAGTGTTTCCAGAAGGTGAGTCGAAGGCCATCGAGTGGGCGCTCACTCGGAGTAGTTGATGTTGGCGGATATCTGACATGATAAAACATGGTATTTTCTGGTGTATTCAGATGTGCGCGTTAAGCGAGAAGAAGCCTGAGTGAAAGTAAGAAGTCTAGTTGTGAATGGAGACAGTAGGTACGACTCATAGTATAAGACACTCCATGACGGCAGTCAGAAGGGACTTAAGCCTAATTGGGGACCTGTTCAACATAGAGGATGAAAACTTCCCTTAGGGTCAGACACATTAATCAGGCACTAGTAATACTAGTATATATTGAACTTTCAATTATGATCATGTGTCTCGCTCATCATGGATGACGAGTCTACATCATCTTATCCACAAGGAGAAAAGAAAATTTGCAAATCTAGAGAATAGAATGGAAACCGGCAAGACCCAACTTGAAGCAATAATCACAGCACTACAGCGGTGCATGACGTCTTTTCTCCGGGCTTGAATGATGAAAAACAGAAATATATCTGTCCAGAAACGAAGAGCTCTTCCTCCTCAGAGTTAAAGTAATTGCAAACAAACAACATAGTCGGAAAATCATCAAGATCCCTATAGCAATGAGAATCTCTATGAAAGCGCTCACATCACAGGGATATCAGTCCTCGACAGAATGGAACCCACCCTGAGGCAATTTAGTTTTTGTCTTGCGATGTGGACAAAGCACGTTCTTCATTAACACGCTTTAGCTCCTCTATTTCTATCTTAAGTAAAGCGAAATCTTTCCTGTCCTCTCGCTAGTAAAGAGTGCGCGAAAGAATTTCCAATAACCATCCATCTCAACAGTGATTTACCGCAGCTGGTAGATGGAAACTTCCAAATTCGATACCCCGTTCTGCTCATCGCGTTGAAAATTTGAGGAAACGGCATAATGTACTAGTAATAAGATGGGGAAAATATAAATCAATCTCTCCGGTTTTCAAAGATTCGAAACGAGTTCAAGTTGTTCAAGTGAAGTGAAGTTGATCCAGAAACAGTTAACCAATCGCAATGGTATTAGGTACCTAAATATGTGCCTGGCTAGTCGATGCATTGCAAAACCCAGACCAAGCTCAACCCAAACAGCCTAGGAGGACTATACATGGAAAAAGGAAACAATGGGAGAAAAGAACAGAGAGCTTATGGTGTATGAAGATATGTCCAGGCTCGAAATGTAACAATGGGACACACGGAGCGAAGGCCCTCCAGACAATGGATTTCCAGGAAGGGGGATGGCGGTTGAGGGAAGAAGATGGATGAGGGCGAAGGAGAGAAGGAGAGGAGGATGCGAACTGAGGGGGAAATATCAGGCCGTGGAAGGATCGTATAGGTAAGGCGTAGCCGATGAGTCAAGTCATAAACGCTGAAGGTGAAAAGAAAAGTGTGCAGAGGTAAAACATGTGAGGGTATGATTTGGACGCGAAGAGAAACCAATGGTTTTTTCAAGCTCCCGAGTTCCGGCCCGGGAGGAAACACGGCATGGCATGTAGACATGGCGCCAATAAATGTGAACAGAAGTGCGATTCCAATCGATGGATGAGAATGTCGTGATGTGATGTTAGTCGTGCCTTTTTGGAGTTCGTGTTGACAGCCAGGTCAACCCGTTGGGGTCCAGCCACCTCTTGCTCCAAAAAAATGAGAACTCCAATGTGCTTGGTGCCGGTGTGCGATGAAGAAAGTGAGAAGAGTGGTGCACGGTGTACTGTGCTTCTTCTTCTTTTTATTCCTCTTTCCAGTCCCACACCTGCTTCACAAAGTTCGCCATGTTGACTTTCTTGTTCTTCATGTCCTGCACCCATGGATGATCCAGCATCCGCCAGGGGGTTGCTCGTCGAGGGGGCTCTTTTTCGAGGCTGTGATAGATGTTAGGGATCGTTCCAAGAGTAGATAGCTCTCAATGGTACATACCAGCATTCAATGAAGTACTTGAAATTATCCGACCAACGAATACCATGATCCGGCTCATCCTTCAGCTTGGGGATCGGCTGGCGAACAATGTATGTGAGAAGATCAATTAATCCAGCACGGGGTTGCATCTCGGTTCCGTCGGCTGGGAAGGGGAATCGGTGCTGGGCGACTTCCAATAAAGACACGCCCAGGGACCAGACGTCGGAGGTGATGGTGTATGATTGACCGGTGATACGTTCGGGGGCCATGTAGTAGGATGTACCGATAAAGGTGTTGGCATCGCCCTTTGTGCCGAACTCGCCACTGACACCGAAATCACAGAGCTTGACTTGGCCATCGCGGCAGAGGAGGATGTTGGAAGGTTTGATATCTGATTCTGTTAGCCAAAGATAATCTCAAATTTATCTGGGTCAATGGAGATACGTACCACGATGGATAATCTTTCGGCTGTGCAGATAGGTCAATCCGTTCAGCACACCCTCTGCAACCTTGCCCAAAACCTTTTCACCGGTCCGGCCTCCCAGCTTCTTTACTTCCTTGTAGATACTATCGAGACTTCCACCTTCGCAGAATTCCATGGCAATTGAGATCGTCCCAGAAGTCTTATCCATGAAAGCGCCGTAGTAGCGGCAGATATGCGAGGATGCGCAGTCCTTGTTGAAGTTGAGCTCGCGAACGATCTGTTTCTTGACGTCGGGGTTGGGGTCGGTGGTGATGATCTACAATCGGTTCGGGTTAGCAATCACGGGGATCTTCACAGGGTGGATAGAAAAAGCCTAAAAATGATATGCTCACCTTCAAAGCAAAGACGGTCTTGCCCTCCTTGAGTTTGCAGCGGGTAACGGCGCCGCCAGCACCTTCACCCAAACTCCCCAGCTCAACAATCTTCTTCTGCTCACTGGCGGCATGCCAGCCCTCATCGTCCAAATCCTCCACTTCGAGCGGGCGGCCCTTTTCAAGACTCAATTTATCCAGATCGGGGAGTAAGGAATTGACGCTGGCGTCCCGCTTCATCTGTACCCCGCCCTCGGCATCGGAATACACCGAACTGATGGCGGATGAGGGGTCTGAGTTGCCACCGGTCGGCTCACGCAAGCCCATGGCGAAGTTGAGAGCCGAGTATGAGGAGTTTGCGGACGTGGGGCCGCTGGCCTTCTGGTCGAGCGGAGGTTGGCCATTCGCACCCAGTCCGGAGGTGGACAGAGAGAGCATGGAGGGTTTTCCATTGGGCTTCGACTCCTGGGGAACACTCTGGCTACTGCCCATCGGGGTGGCCAGTTTCAGACGGGGCAAGGCGGGGCGGGAGGGCTGCGGGTGCAGTTGGGGCTGAGGTTGCGATGGTTGGGCGGGTTGCAAGGGCTGTAGTTGGGGGGCATCGACGGAGATTCCATTGTCGGTGACGGGCTTCGCACTGGGAGAAGGTGGAATACCGAGAGTGAGTTTGGGGGCTCGTGGACTGCCGGAGTGATTGCGGTTGCCAGGCACGGGCGGGCGAAGGAGTGGGACAGAGGCGGAGGAAGACATGGCGAGATTGTTCTGCCTTTCCCCGGGCAGGAACAACTCGTTGGGATCAGCGAAGGTAGCCACAACGGAGAAGCAAATGAGAACGAGTGTGGTGGTGATGGAGGGGGAAAGAAAGAGGAGAAGGTTGGCAGTGGGCAGTTTGGGAGGGGAAGAGGAGAGAAAGAGAGGAGCAGGTGACAAGTCAAGTTCCACCCACGTAAGAGTAAGAGGGGAAATGGGAAATGGGAAATGGGACTTTTGTAGTAGTGCTGTGGGATGGGAGAGATAGGATAGAATAGGATAGAATATAATCTTCAAGAGACTCAGCCCTAGAAGAATTGAAGATGAATATTAATAGAGTAGACAGTATTAATAGACCAGAGTAGGGAATACTCTAGGCGGGGAGTACTCTGTCGAGAAGAGAAGAGAAGATCGGGTGGTGGGGCTGTGGTGTTTCAGAAGGCGCCTCGCTGAAACAAGGCGATGGGGAATAGAGAATAGTAAAGAAGAGCTGGGATATTGACACCTCAATAGTCTAGAGTATGACTATGTAGTATGACTGACTCTTAGTTGGGCATATATGCTGGTGTGCTGTCACACAGGTAGACAGGATAGTTAGTACTGCCATCCTATATCATATGCCATGCTGAATTCAAGTTGGGCATAAACGGTGCTGCCTTGGAGCCGCATTTCCTTGCACTCCACCATCTTCACCATCTTTACGGAGTACCATCTTCACATTTCAGTTGCATCATTGCAGCATTGCACACTCTCCCAAAGCCATGCCCGAGCAAGATTGCAGAACCGGGTATCGACATCATCAACCCTCGATATCCCCACTTGCTGATACTGCTGCCATGGAGTCCACAATCCTCCGAGGAAATAGTCTCGGAGACTTCCGAGATTGGTCCTGTTGTACAGAGTACGCCGTACATATTTAGAAATGCAAATGCATCATCAGGACCCCCAACCAAGGATACGGAGTAGTCCATCTAGGGTAGCCTCCCTGTGGCTGATAGATCAGATCCCTTGACAGTGGCTGAGCATCTTGCCAGGTCCAGTCTCATGTCATCATCTAACCCATCCATCCAGGTCTTCAACAGCCCTTCTGGCCCTACTCACCCCTCTACTCCGTACGCCATAATCGTTCAGCTCGTGTCTCATTTCCTCAAGCTCAATTTGCACCACCACAGTTGCACCGCCAGTTGCACCGCCAATGTTTCAAATCCCATCCCAAATTTGACTCTGAGACAAGCCACTCGGCCCACTTCCACTGTCACATTTTTCGGCTCCCCAGATGTACAGCCACACCTACACCCATAGATCGACTCGGAAATTGAACCTAAGTTCATCTTTCCTTCTCTTTTCCTCCTTGCAGCACGTCAAGCTACACGTCTTACGGAGCAGAATAGCCACCGACAAGACCTGGATAGACGTCATCGACTACCTCGAATCCTGCTGCTCTCTCTTGACGCGCGGTTCGAGCGGGACAGCAAGGATCACGATCAGTCACTCACAGCTAGTTAGATTCTGCGCTGTCCGGTCTTTTCCTGTCTTGACTTTCGTAGCCAGTTTCCCTCTGTAATTAGTAAACTAGTCCTTACTCCGTACTCCGTATTCCATATTACTTATGAACTAAGTCCTCAGCCAGGCAAAACAAAGCAGAAATGAGCCATGATCCTGATTAATTCCAGTCTCAACGCTCGACCCTATGGACTCGGCAATTCGACGGATCTCGCCGCAAATAGACAGCCGCTAACCAACAGCCACGACTTGGCAGGGTAACGGCTTCTTCATGCAAGTATCTTGCCGATTCTTTTCCCTTTTCTTTGCCGCGCCCAGCCCTAGTCCCAAGTCGCAATGAATATGAGACTGGTGGGAGGAGAGTGGGAAATACATACTGCGTAGCTAAACTCAGCTCAACTCAACCCTCCCCCTCCCCCTCCTTCACACATAATTCTCTGTCATTGCCGAGTCAATCGCTCGCCTCTCGTAGACTCCGTACTCGTACTTCATATGTACTCGTACTCAATACATCGCAGATCAGGTCGGGTGCTGTCCGGTATGACGCGTTACCGCTGATCGCTTCTCGGCGCGAAATTTCTCGGCGGCAAGCTGGCCAAGACTACAGGGCTGAAAGGCAATGTCATGGAGAGGGGGACTCAAACAGGCTCAAGTAAGATTATCAAGGAGCGACCGTCTTCCACTCGGTTTGGTTGGACAGAGTAACGCCGAATGAGAGTCCGCCCTGAGTGAATCCAATCCTCCTTTAACCAGAGGTGACGATCACTTCGGCTACATAGACGATGTCCCTCACGCGCATCTTGGATCCAATCCAGATTCCGGAGTACACAGTCGGTTCAACCGGTCCACATTTTCCTGGAAAGAAAAGAGACGGGTGAGTCGTAGATACCGTGACTCCGACTCGCTCTCGCCTATCTTTCTATGCTGCGTATTGTACATACCCCGTGCTCGTTTGAATTCCGTGACCCCTTTTCTCAGGAGAAGGATAGTATCGCTTCTGAGCAGCGATCATTCCAATACTCCATACTCTGTACTCCGCAGAGGAATACTCACACGGATCGCACGCCGGCCAGTGTGAAAAGCATAGATCCACAGACCCTATTATTATCCCAATGAACTCTCCTCCCCCCTTTTCAATCGATAAAGCGGTTCCACTGCTCCTTCTCCCGGCTAAACATAGCACAAAGAAGCAGTATGGGGTTTCTCGGGATACTCATAGTACGGAATACGATAGGCACTAGCCAGTGACTAGACCGGTCCAAGGATTTCGACGTTGCGCAAAAGAAGGACCAAAGGAAAGGGGGCGTCAGTTGAGATTCAGATTCAATCCAACGAGATTCATGGAAAATCAATAGTCGAGGAATGTGGAGTCTGGGGCGGCCACGAGGCTACATATGTACATGTATTGCGTCGCATTTGAGGATTGGTCTGGATCTCACAGAAAAGACATTCCGGTCAAGGACTCAGAAGGCCAGGCTTAGGCTTACATTTTGAGTCCCTCTACTCCGTACTCCATACATTCGATTCGTACGAATGCGCTGTGTGCTTGTCTGTCTGCGGGATGGGATGTACTGCTGTATGTAAAACCCCTATCGTGGAGCCTCGCCCATGACCGCGATTAAACCTTGGCGAAAGCACACCACTACCAGTCCTCAATAGCCATTGGCCCTCGGGACTAATGTATCACGACTGAACAAGCGGTCCGACACCGCCAAAGCCGTCCTTCGCGGTCGAGACTCGACAGGGTCGACCAGGGTGCTGATCCATTGCCGCGCACAGATACTAATTCCGGTGCGTGCAGCTCAGGGTAAACAAGTACATACAGTAACCATAACAGGGGCCACAGAATGAAAATGAAAATTACAACTCCCAAGACATGCGTGATGCCAGGGACTAATCTAACTCAGTACATATGTACACAACTGGGTCTGGTCTCTGGGTCTCGGTCGTAGTCTCTGCACTCCGTTCAAGGTCAGACGGACAGGTTCTCAGACCTGCCTCGATCCCCGATCTCATCAGGATCAGGGTCCTGGTCCTGGCCCTGGCTTGGCGAAGTCTGAAACCACGACCGATACTCTGATGAAGGAGGACAGCCACGCCACGGCACGTTCAAGGGACCAAAAACTCTCGCCCAAGCCTCTTTTCTTGTCTCTGGCTCCCCCGCTCTAGTGGCTTGGACCTGGCATGTAAGCTCCGTTAAGCACTTTGTTGACTGGCGGTCTAACCGTTCGGGGAGGTGGTTGCAGTTTTGACCGGTCCCGCTGTGGGGGGGGACTACGAGGGATGTTTCTCCGGATGCAGGAACAGGATGCAGGGCGGTAGTGGGCTGGGCGATTTGTTCAGAATCATAACAAAAACAATAAATTTTTACTCCATAGAAAGATTTTTTAAAAAATACTGGGGCAAGATTATATTGTTGCTTGGTTGCAATGGAACCCAAGAGAGTCATAGGGATCCACCGAACAACAAACAGGATGGGGGTCGCGACCAGAATAGAAGCCCGTAATAGCAATATACACCATCCACCGTGCAAAGATGGAAGCGGAAAGTGGTAATACATAGCAATACAGTAATCAGAGTAAGGCTCAGGGGACGAACGTGATTCGCGCACCCCCGGAATTACCACCGAATGAATCCAATTAAAGCAACCAGCGGACTGCTCTTCACTATGGATATACAGTGGCTCTGGAGCGAACCTCGGGTACCTGGACGGGAGGACAAACCTGGTTGAGATGAACACTCGGAGTAAGGACTTCCGTTCGTCATCAGATGTGCGTTGTTTACGATGGTTTACCGGTGTTGTACGGGAGCCGTGCCCAGCGAAAGTGGCAATCATCCACGGGCTTTTCAGGGGTAAAGTGGAGATGGGACCCACGGGGAACGCCCGCACTGGATAATGGCGTCAGGAACGGGCAGTGGATCGTCGGCGGATTGGCTGTGCTGCGTGGCCTGAAACCGCTAGACCCACCGGACATCGGCTGTGGGAGATATCTAAGACGGAGTAATATGGAGGTATACTCCGTACAGATTGGGAGTATACGATACAGATGACAGTGAGAATGAGATACTCGGTATACTTTGGATATGTAGGCAGGCATCATGAAATCCATAGATATCAATTTCGTACATCCGTACGACAACTCCGTTCACCAACTATATCATAAAGTAAGGAATGTCTCATCCACGCAAACGCCCCAGCAGATCGGCATCACAGACGACGCTAAAGACATTAGTGGCTCCCAAAATTACACACCAACTCGGCGTCACAACCAAACGGGTTTCTCCCCAATACCCCCTCTCATCCAATGACCGACTCCATCCAGGGGTCGCTCGACTCCAGCCGGGCTGTGTGCAAAACAGATGACGGAGGTCACTGGTACCTCAATCATGCGGTGTGGATGGGTGAAGGGACTCGGTCATTGGTACCCCGTGGACCCCCCAACAGCGTCACTTCTTTTTTGAGGGTTTCCCCTTTCCCCTTTTTTTTCTCTTTAGTTGACTCCGTACTATCCGTAACCATAGGTACTCCGTAATTGGGGGGACCATGTTGATCCATGAGGACTAATCTCCCCGTTCATACAAAGGGCCCCTAACTCCCCCGTGGCCTTCCTTTCCCTTTCTTTCTTCTTCAAGTACATTCTTCGTTGCCATCGCATTCAGTCACTCTCTAGACTTCGGTCATCCATTCTTTAACCAACTACCAACACTCTCTTTCTCACCAAAGCTCCGCTTTTTTAAATCACCTTTACGGTTTATCAATTCCATACAATCAAAATGCGTTTCTCCACCGCCACCATTGCCCTCTTCGCCAGCCTGGCTGCTGCCGCCGTCCAGAACGGTGCCGACTCCACTGTCTACCAGACCGACGAGGTTACCGTCATCTCCTGCGCCGCCTCTGTCACCGACTGCCCCGGCCGTGAGACCTCCACCCCCGCCGGTGTTGAGCCCACCACCACCCCCGCTGGTGTCGAGCCTACCACCACCCCCGCCGGTGTTGAGCCTACCACCGCTGTCCCCCCTCCGGCCCTGCCTCCTCTGGCCCTGCCCCCAGCTGGTCCTCCGTTCCCGCTCCCCCCCGCTGTGACTTCCTCCGGTGGCTCTCCCCAGCCTCCCGCTGTCACCACCCCGGCCATGAGCTACAGCTTGACCACCTTCACCAGCTGTGTCCCCACCGTCATCACCTCCCAGGTTCCCATCCCCTCCGCTCCCGGTGGTGGCTCCCCCGTCGGCCCTGGCTCCGGTGGCGTTCCCCACGTTCCCTCTTCCTCCTCCGCTGTTAACCCCAGGTAAGATTTATATCAACCAAACAACCCTCCAATTTGATATCTTCAATTGCTAACTCCTCCCAGCGGTACCTCCCCCGTCTCTCCCTCCGGTACCCCCGCTTTCAACGGTGCCGGTGCCGTCTCCGGCTCCCTCACCTTCGCTGGTGTTGCCGCCGCCGCTGCCTTCTTCCTGGCATAAATCATTCCATCTATGATGGATTACTATCTCTAATTGTGCCCCGCACAACTAGTGTAGTTTAAATGGTTACGGACATACGGAGAAGATACATGGAGAAGAGGAGAAGATTTGTGATTTAAATTTGGGTTCTGGTGATATACCTTGCCTACCTGACCGATACTCGTTACTTGCTTTTGATTGGATATGTTTTATCCTTTTTTCTTTCTGATTTTTGATATACATATTTATTCTTCCTATTCTTGGGCTTCCTGGATAGCTTCGGAGTTGTGTGAAGCGCTCTTGGTGGCTTGAGCACGATCTTAATGTAAACCATGACAGCTTTCACCCTTTCCTGACTTTCCAGTGATTTCAACCCGTAACACCTTTTTTTTCTTCTATTCTTCTATTACACTTACTCTTCTTCTTTTTCAATGTATCCTACTATATACTTTGACTCTCTTTTGTCTACTTAATTTAATTGGACGTGTGAATGTCAATTTTCATTTCGGAATCCAATCTTACTCCTGAAACCACTATCCCCAAATCCCTGATCGCCCCGAAACGGCGAACTCGGCCCCAGATCCGCTTGTTTCATTCCGCTAAGGAACGAGAAGACTCGGCGACAATGGAGTACTATATAGTATGTACAGACGGACAGCGAAGTCTGGAACCAACTCTTTTACAGACTCAAAAATTGCTCATCTCGTCTCGGGCGTCTTGATGCATGCAAATGCGGTGCTCAGAGTACTTGAAACTAGGACCCTGACAGTGTCTACTCGTATCTAACCTACATACCCCCGCGGTCCCTATAATTTGGTCGCGATCACCCAATTTTGGCAAGCAATGCGAAACAAAGTCAGCCCCTTCAATAAACGAAAGAGCCAATCGCGCAGGTCACTCGGTGATATCCGTCGCACGGGTGACACTGGATCTTCGCAATGCATATATATCTGTGGAGGGGGCCGAGGACATTTACACAATACTAGGCCATTGCTCCAGCCCTCCAGGGCTGATAAGGCGGGACTTGAATCTCTATTCCGCGACTAACTTTAATTGACTAGTGACTTTTTGCATTATTGGCCAAGTAACTTCCAGTTGGAATGGTTTCGGGATATTTGAGGTTCATGGGTCCATTCGGCTGAATATTAGTACTACGAGTAGATATACATGCTAAAATATGTATAAGACTCGAAAGTATAAGGGTATATTCCAAGGTTTCTCATATCAGTGGTAGCATTCCACCTGCAGAATTCCAAATTTACATAGCCACATCCAGTGTTTGGAACCGCATATATATATACGTCTGATCTGACATCAGAATACTCAAAGGTGATATATGCAGCGCAATATATGCCCAGAAAGGAAAGGAACAGGAACAGGACAGCAGGGCTTGGTATGCCTTGCAATTTAGATTATAGGGCTCGCGTGAGCATGACATCAGTCACCTGAGTAGGTTAGTAGCCCGAGGCCAGCATAGATTAAATGGGGCCGAAATCGTTGTTTTTCGAGCCAAGCCACTGCGGAGAAGCGCGTGTCCTTATTGATATTGCGATCTGCACCTAGTACGGCCAAGTCAAGCCTGAGTCTTGACACTTACTCGTAGTACTCCGTACTTCACTTGCTAAATATATCCAGCACGATCCTTGGGGTCCAGGGGAAATTGAAAAGTTAGAATTCCAACAATGAAAATCCACGTTCTTCCTGCATCATGATGGATACACCAACATCTGAGAATCGGACATTTTAGGTCACCATCGCGAGTAGAGCGGCCCCATATGCCAATAATCCCACACGGCTCTCTTCCACCGCGAGCATCTTGGCTCGCATCTTCTATCCAAAATGAAACAGCAACCGATATTTAACAGAGAAGCTTTTCGTGATAGTGACATCCTCTATTGGCCGACCAAAAATAGTCGGCCCACTATCAGCCCTGGCGCGGGTCGCGTTTGTAGAGAGAACAGGGGCTATGCGCTAGCAACGAGATTCGATTCACCGCTGGGCGACATGGCACCAGGGTAGTAGGCAATTCGTATGCTTTTTCGGGGCCGTGGCCCCTTCACAGACTGGATGAGGTGTTCGAGCTTTGCCTGAAATACAGGCTCCTCTCTTGTCATAGTGTTGGATGATGGAAGCGGGCCAGAAAAAAAAAGGATGAGGGTCTCAACTTCCCTCGCTTCTTTCCGACCCCCACTTCCACTTCGATGCGTTCTAAAAGTTCCATACAATCTGCCTCGCGATGTAAGATTCCAAATATGGACCTAAGATATTATCGATCGATCCACCAGGTGCTACCGGGTGGGATTGATAGATCTCTAATTGCCGGAGCGGCGTCAGGTTAGCATGTCTCTATTGCTGAGTCGTGTTTAATGGATGGCAAATCGGGGGTGGATTTCGGAGTTCCCGGCCCCATGAAGGATTCTTGGTTGTTTTTAGCACTCCCATGTCGGAACTACACTTATTATGTATTGACTTGGGCCGCCGTGGCCACATCATGACTCGCTTAAACGGCATGGCGCGCTGGAGGCCTTGTAGTTGGTTATTTCCAACTTAACCAATTCTGGACAGGTGATTTAGTTCCTCCTCCTCCTATACATCTTTCCTGGGGCATTTGCTCTTGGTTTCATCTTCTCATCACATTTTCTCCGCACTACTTACAGACGACGATACTCGGATCTTCTCCGCCAAGTTTGGATTTGGGTTCGGGATACGAACCTCGTACAACGATCCACTCTTCCTTGTCTATCAAAGCGCACATCATTCGTGTTCAAAGATAGTAATAATATACTATCTGTTTACATTTTCCAGGACAGAATCTCTCTTAAAGCGGGTCGTTACCTGAACCCCGCGCTGTTTCTCTCCGTGAAATGCCATTTTGCTCGCTAATACCGAGACGGCGATTCCTACGACCAGATTCGTGTCCACGACGACAAAACCTCATGGATCTATCCTCATTAGAAGGCCCGCCAATCGATGACCCGAGGGTGGTCATTACACCCGACCCCATCGATGGCCTTGTTCATCTGCGGTCGCCTACCATAGATTCAAATACAAACCCCAGTCGGCTATGGAGGTCTCTACCACCGAGACCAACCTCCAGAGGTTCCTCCTCATCATATGAGCGCCCGGCAGCAAACAATAACAATAATAATAACAACAACAACAATGGCCATGACCATTCCTATCGCCATAATTACCGACCATCCATCCCTCGGACCGAAACCTCTCTCAGCGAGGGCCAGCTCCGCAGGACACACGCCCAAAGGGGTAGGAGGAGCCCATCACCCGAGATAGACATGGACATCGACCTGCATATGCAACTTCGCATCGACTCAGAGTCTCGAGTCCCGAGATTTAACCAGCGACCCCGATCACCGATGCGGGACCTGATACCTCTACCTCTATTAAGCGCCGATGTCCCATCATCATCCACCCGGCAGCAAGAACGTGGTCGACGGACGCAGAGTTGCTGCCCACTTGTCTGGGTCGAATCGGAGCAGCAGTGGATAGTTAGTGAATCGTATCGCCAACAGCAGCTGCAGCTGCAGCAGCAGCAGGAGGAAGAGCCTCATATGGAACAGAGTCGAGCGCCGGACTCCATTTTTCATCGAACACCGCTGTCAGACCCGTTCTTGGGTCTCAGGCTTGGGTTCTGGTTTCGATGTCTGGGATGGAGCTGAGACTGAGTCGGTTGATTGTCCGCCTACTTATGAGAGTCATGGGTTTAGTCCAACTTATGTCAGGCGACTGGGTCAGAGAGAGGGACAGGGACAGGGGCGGTGGAGCGAGGTGGCGTATCGGATGCATGATGTGTCTACTCCGTACGATAGGAGATGATGGGATGCATGCATTGTACAGCGGAGTTGATGGTTTCTGCGACTATGCGCTTGCTGGGACTACTACTATGCACCATGTACAGGGCCTGCTGGGTTGATCTCTGTCCTGGAGTTTTCATATAATTCAACGGGCGCTAGAGTCGAATCGATGGCTCGAACGAGTGAAACGTCGGGCTTGATGGATTCAGCCATGTTTGACCAGGATCTGTCTCAGGGGTTGACGAGACTTCGGGAGACTAGGAAGTGGATGGAGGGTGGAAGGTGGAAGGGGGAAGGTGGAAGGTGGCTCAGGACTGATTCAATTTCCATCTCCATGGGGATCCATGGATCTTGATATGTGCCATCCACTTGGACATGGATGTTTGGTGCCAGTTTTATGTTAGCGAAGATCTGATTATAATACCCCCAAAGCGAGGGACTTCGGAATCCCAATTTCAATATCAACATTGCATTGCATTATATCATACTAGCCCTGGAGTACACTATGGAGTCTCCCATCGTATCATCCCACTTTGTTCCCACACTTTCCCTCCCACCGTACTTTTGACCTGCAAGTAACAAGTTGATAAGACCAGGGTTTTCCCCTCTTCGTTAGCCAGGTGAATTCTGACTGGTCTGTGACCCCAGTCTTGGGGAAAACAAACTGCATATCGGATCCACTACTCCACCGCAAGTGGAAGGCTCGCGGATTCCTCACGGTGTTTTCTCCACGGCGCAGACAGAACAGGTTGGATAGGCGACCGATTGGAAAAGGTGTCAGTCTGATGAGGGGAAAAGGTGAGAAAGAGATTTGTTATTCGTCCTGGGGTGGTCCAATGGGGGATTGATCAGATTTTTCTTTTCTTTTCTTTTATTATTTTATTTTTCCGTGACTCGATGTCTCCAGTTCTCTCTGGCGCTAACACAGACCAGCAGCTCTTTTCCAGCCTCTGAATATTCGAGCGAGCCCACCAGTAGAAAGGAAAAGAAAAGAATGGATGATCAAGTGTTATAAGTAGAGAGCTGGGGCTAGTCTGCTAATGTGCTCTGCTTGATCTGTTTTGCTTTCTGCTGCCGCGCCCTAATGATTTCGAGTATGGTATAGCAGATGTGAACTGTCTGTCACTGTCAATCAACTCACTGTCACTCAGTCACTCACTGTCACTGTCAACTGTCGACTATTGACCATTAACGAGAGTGGTCTGGGAGTGCCGTACCAGACTATCACCATTCACTGTACGCAAGTTCTTCCACAATTCTACCGCCTTCGTTCGCCTTCGATTGACCCGAAAAAAGGAAAACCCCCCCGACCGCCCGCGCCTCAATGGTTCAACTCGCCCACATTTTCAAGAAAGACAAGGACAAGGAAAAGGAAAAGGAGGAGAAAATCAAGATCAAAGAAAAGAACAAGTACAAGAACAAGAACAATATCCGAGAAGATATTACCATCTCCCCTCCATCATCCCCAAGAGCCTCCGCCTTCGACTCCGCGCGCAAATCGCCCTCCAAAAAGTCTTCTCCCTCTCCGAAAAAGTCCCCCTCCAAGACTTCTCCCTCCAAAACTCGCTTCTCTCACAGTCACTCCTCTTCCACCTCGACCCCGGCTACTTCCTTTAAATTCCGTCGGTCTTCGCGAGACCAAGATCTCCACCCTCTCAATCTCCCGCCCGACGAACTACACCGTCGTCTTTCGGCCATGGCGGACCAACGCAGTTCGATGGACATCGATACCCCAGATGTCCAGATGAAGAATGGTGAGGAGCGGAGTCCGACTCCCCCCTCCACACAAGTCAACTGGCACTTCCGATGAGGCCGAGTCCTTCAAGTTGGCCGGTAACAAGTTCTTCAAGGATGGCAACTACAAGCGTGCCATTGAAGAGTACAACAAGGGTATGCCCTTCCTTTGTGCCATTACCCATTACCATACTCATGCTCACCTACTCCCATTACAGCCCTCGAAATTAATCCCAACTCCTCTGCTTTCCTGTCCAACCGTGCCGCCGCCCACATGTCCGACAAGAACTACCTGAACGCCCTCGAGGACATCGAACGAGCCAACGAACTCGACCCCACAAACCCCAAGATCATGCACCGTTGGTCCAAGATCCTGGTAAGCCTCGGTCGGCCCACCGAAGCTCTGGACGTTCTCTCCCGGGTCGAACCCCCGGCCACAGCGACCGACCGGGCTCCCGCCGAGAGCATGCTCAAGTTCGTCAAGCAAGCCGAAGACACCTTGGCCGAGGACCGCGGAGGCTCGATGGCCATCTTCTGTCTGGACAATGCCCGCAAGGGCCTGGGTTTGGGCGTGAAGGAGCCACGGAAGTGGACGCTGCTGACCGCCGAGGCGCAGCTGAAGATGAACAACAGCAACTCCCTAGGCAAGGCCCAGGATATCGCCATCCAACTGCTGCGCGAGAACAGCCAAGACCCGGATGCCATGATGCTGCGCGCGCGGGCCTTCTACGCCTCCGGCGAGACCGACCAGGCGCTCAAGCTGCTGAAGATGTGCCTCGGGCTGGACCCGGATATGAAGCAGGCGGTCAAGCTCCTTCGCATTGTACAGAAGCTCAGCCGCACAAAGGATGAGGGTAATGCTGCCTTCAAGGCGAAGGATTACCGCCGCGCCATCGATCTCTACTCCCAGGCTCTGGAAGTCGACCCTACCAACAAGGATATGAATGCCAAGATTCTGCAGAACCGTGCTCAGGCCTACAACAGCCTGAAGGAGTACGAGTCCGCTGTGCAAGATTGTACAGAGGCTCTGCGGCTGGACCCCGGCTACGTCAAGGCGATGAAGGTTCGTGCTAAGGCCCATGCCGGTAACGATAACTGGGAGGAGGCCGTTCGCGACTATAAGAACATTGCCGAGAACAACCCCGGCGAAAAGGGTATTGCCGAGGAGATCCGTCGTGCCGAGTTCGAGCTGAAGAAGGCTCAGCGCAAGGACTACTATAAGATTCTTGGGGTTGGCAAGGATGCCTCCGAGCAGGAGATCAAGAAGGCCTACCGCAAGATGGCCATCCAGTATCACCCTGATAAGAACCGAGATGGTGAGGCTGGCGACGAGAAGTTCAAGGAGATTGGCGAGGCCTACGAGACTCTGATTGACCCTCAGTAAGTTTTCTTTTTTGCATCACTACAGACGACCTTGGAAACATGATTATCTAACAATTTGCCTACAGGAAGAAGGCCGCTTACGATAACGGAGATGATCTCATGGACCCCGCTGACATGTTCGGTGGTGGCGGTGGTTTCGGCGGCATGGGAGGTATGGGTGGAATGGGAGGAATGGGTGGTATGGGCGGCATGGGCGGCATGAACGGCTCTCACGTCAACATCGACCCCAACATCCTGTTCAACATGATGAACGGCGGCGGCGGCGGTGGCTTCGCCTCTGCCGGTGGTCACCCCTTCGGAGGTCAGGCTCGAGGCGGCGGCGGCCAACAATTCCCCGGTGGATTCCCCTTCTAAACAAGCCAACCCTAAGAACGCCTATACATACGCCATCTTTCCATAACCCGGAGATCAACAAGAGGCCTCGGACCGAGTCATTGACTTGTTCTTGGCCACGGCCTTTGTTGGCATACCCACCCGGGCCATACGTGGCAAAGCCACAACGAATTCTCTACACTTTTCAAAAGGACAAAGAGCCGGACTACTTGATAAGAAAAAAGAGTATCTCTTTGTCCACTCTTGTCTCATGATCTTGTCAGCTTCAAGAGAAGCGCCCATGATTCCCATATGATAGACCCCTGTTTTTTTCCCGAATTGTTCATGATTCTCATACTGTTCCATTTCCTTCTATTTTCTCTATCTATCTTCTTTTTTTTTGGCTCTATATCTCTCCCCATCTCTCTTTCCTCCCATACTTTCTTCCTCTTTCTTGTATATGAGGGATGGTCGGGAAAGACTGAAATCAGCGCGGTGCATTGTTCTACGGGCTTCCTTCTCTCTCTGCCTCGGAGCGGAGAGAGCATACTCCAAGGCGTTCATTTGCTTCTGGGATTTCTGGGTCCGCTCGTCATAAGAAAATAATCTGTGTACTAAGGCTTCATTTCCATGAGTCGGTTGTTTTTTTCCTGGTTGTACCTTCGGGCCTGCACTTACAGCTGATGTGGCTGCACTAGATATTGGATGAATTGATATTTCATGGCGCAAAATATGTGAGCTTCCTTGTTCTTTTTCGACACCACGCTTGTATTGTGTAGCCTCTTGTGAATGGGGGTACTGTAACGGCGGCCTACTACCGTAGTAGCATACCACTGCCGTTTTGGTATATGCTGCAGCACTGCCTCCATCCTTAGCTATAGAGTTTTCTATCGAACGGTTATATAATAGCATTAAACCCCCCGTTTCTCCCGGTAGGATGTAGCTCGGGTTTCCCGCCTCGCCTTCAGGTGGGCGCATCATAGTTACTAGTGACTGCACGGCTACATAATTAGTCTAGCCGGTCTTGATAACCTCAGGTGTTCGTGGGCATCGAGTGGGGAGTTTCTCTTCACACTAGTACACATTACGAAGTATGTCGATGCAGGTCTACCACTAAGGTTATCGATTGTCCTCGGTACAAATTCCCCCTCCCAGCTAGTTCTGGACTTGGGCCAATCCAAGCTGCTTCCTGCAGGGCCGGCTCGCGTGTGTTACCTTGCTATCATTTAAGGGCCAGCTCGAACTACTTATGCATGGTAATACGCAACATTAATACTGGGCCTTTTAAATAGAGCTGAGTGCCCGTCATCTCGTGAGACCTTTGAAAAGCCCAGTACATATTATTTTCAACGTCAATAACCCTGGAATGTCTTCTGAAATTCCCCAGCCACCCGGCGTTCCTTTACTGGGAAACATATTCGACGTCGATCCAAGCGACACATGGAACTCACTGATTAAACTCTCGAAACAATATGGTATCGTCGAGCCTCCCCACTAGCCCCTCCGAGTCTATATCAAACTTGAACTAACCATCCACCCCAATCCAACCAGGCCCAATCTGTAAAATCAACGTCCTAGGCAAGCAAGTCGTCTTCATCAGCAACGTAGCCCTCCTAGAAGAAATCTGCGACGAGCGCCGCTTCCGCAAATGCGTCACAGGCCCCATCGTCGAGATGCGCGCCTGCGCAAACGACTGCATCTTCACCGCATACGACAACGAATCCATCTGGGGAGTCGCCCACCGCATAATGGCACCATCCGTCAGCGCAGCAACAATTAAATCAGAAACCAGCTTCGCAGACATGGCAACCGTCATCCCAGACCTAACGCGCAAATGGACATCCGGCCATCAAAAGCGCGTCCTCTTCACAAACGACCTAGACCGACTCCTAATGACATCCGTCATGCAATCTTTCTACAACCAGCGCATCCAAGTCCTAGATGAAACCGATAGCCCCGGTGAAAACTCACCACCCCTAATCGAAGCATGGGAATCCATAACAATGGAAGCAATGAAGAGACCCACCCGCCCCAAACTCCTAACAAAACTCCTCTACGCAAAGAAATTCACCAGCGATATCCGGCTCATGCGCGAATTCGCGGCCAACATCGTTAAGGCGAGGGTTAATAATAACGCGCAGGATCGGGATGATCTCCTCCACGCGCTCCTGCATAATGCTGACCCTGTCTCGGGTGAGAAATTGAGCGAGTCTCGCGTTGTCGATGAGGTCGTTACTATGTTTATTGGGGCTGCGACTTCGGCTAATCTTGTCTCGTACGCTTTGTACTATTTGCTTCGGAATAGGGAGGTTTTATCCAAGGCTCGAGAGGAGATTGATTCGGTCGTTGGCGGCTCTACTCCTATTTCGCTCGAGCATCTAAATGATCTACACTATATTGAAGCCATTATTCGCGAAACGTTACGCCTTTCGGCCACGGCGCCTGGTTTCAATATCGAGCCCATCCCGACGGAAGATAAGAGTCCGATCCTGTTGGCCGGGGTAAGTATCAGATACCGCACAATCAGACGATGATATCAGTCCTGCACACCGTGAATCGAGACCCGGATGTCTTTGAGGAACCGGAGAGCTTTATTCCGGAGAGGATGCTGGGGGATAAGTGGGAGGCGCTGCCAAAGGGTGCGAGGAGGGGGTTTGGAAATGGGAAGCGTGAGTGTTATGGGAAGATGTGGGCGTGGCGATGGTCGATTTCTACTTTGGCGAGTATTATTCATGAGGTGGAGTTTGAATTAGCGGATCCCAAGTATGAATTGACTTCGAATGGGGCTTTTAGTGTGAAGCCTTTGGAGTTTTATGGTCTTGTTAGTCCACGGGGGAGGAGTCCAAGGATTTGATCTGATGCGTGGGTTGATTGGTTTTAGGAAGGATTTCGGTTACTCAGGTCTGGATTTCAAGTTTTTTGGAGAATTCCTTTGCCTGTCCATTATGTATTTGGGTATCAGGCGACTTTGCCGAGTGTTTCTTTTGAGATTGACTAACGTGTATGGCTGTTGATTTTGGCCACCCCGGGGATCTGTATTCAATACTAGTACTATGCACCACTTTCATTGCAACTACGTAGTTACCCAAATCAAACAGCACAATCATGGTTTGTACAGTGGCGTTTCAAACTTTTGCAACGCCACTGTCCATAGTACTAGTACAGATATAGATATAAAAGAAGAAGTATGAACAAGGAACCCTGGAAACATCTAAATTGAATATTCCTAAATGTATATTGTCATTGCTATCATAATACACTACACATACATGCACCATCATCCATCAATCACCGATTCACAGGTTCAGCACCAAGAACCCACCCAAGCCCACTAGCCAATCCTCCCGTCACCATATTACTAACCATATCCCTCTTCCTAACTCTTCCCTCGCCCTCATCCTCGGGGGAAAGTGGCCGCTCGCCATCCGCAGAAACATGAACTGGTCCCGCAGCCGAGCCCGAGCCCGAGCCCGCTCCACGCAATGGGAACGCATTCTTATGTAGCGCCATCGCCGCTCCCCTCGCAACCTCAAACAGACCCATCGGCGCCTCATGCGGGTGCGAATGTGGCATTGCGGCACGTGCTCGCGCCCGTCGTGCTACGCGCTGCTGCGCAGTGTCAAAGGCATCGCGTTCGCTATCCGTCGGACCAAAACCGCCTGGTACAGTTGAGAGAGCATTGTCGCCCTTTGCGTCCCAGAGATCTTCTTCTTGCTGCTCGCGTGCGCGCAGCGAGGAGATTTCCTCGTCGCAGCGGCGCCAGGCACCGAGGATTTCAGGGAGCGGGTCTGGCGTCGGAGTTAGGGCTAGAGCTAGAGAGAGAAGTTCCATTCGCTGTGAGAGGTGGGTTATTTGCGATTGGAGGGTTGTAGATGTGGTTGGGCTGCTGGGGCGGTAGCGGCCTGCATTGTAGACAGCACGCCAAGTTATGTCGTCTGGGATTGTGGGTGGTGTGAGGAGTGGAGAGGCTGTTGATAGGGCGCTGGGTGGTGTGAGCCGGGTGAGGATGTAGGAGTAGGCTGTGCCGAAGTCGTTGGATGCTAGGGCGGATGAGATGGCGAGGGAGGCTATGCGGCGTTCAGATGTGACGAGGGCGTCTGCGCCTGTGAGGGGTTCTGAAGAGATTGGGTCGGTGGTCTCGGTTGGGGAAGCGCTTGTTGGGAGGCCTGCGAAGACAAGGTTGCGACCGATTGAGAGTAGGTCGTCAAGTTTGGTATAGCTTTTCGCGTTTTGATCGAGGACCTTTTCAACAAGAGAGAGCGGGTCGTGGTGGACGCGAATGCTGACTGGTTGGAAAGGGACCCCATGTTGGAGAGTCAGAGAGTAGAATGACAGAGCGTGTGTTGCGGCTATCAAAGCACCGATATGTTTGAAAGCTGTCGATTCTGGGAAATGCGGTTGGAAAGCTTGAAGGCTGATGGGTTGTTAGATGTTTGCAGTTCACGGGCTTGGTAGGCTCGACTTACATCTCATAAGCTCTCTTCATCCCACCGCGTGTTCGATTGCCATTGCTTGCATTATCGTAAGCGCTATATATGGCCGCGACCACCGCTTCTTCCACTTGAGTGGGGCTGAGCGGTGATGGAACAGCTTGAGTATAAAGATCAACAGCGAGTTGGTGTTCTGGGGAGAGTCAGCATTGAATGAGAAGACGCGGAGATGATAGTAAAACGTACCTTGAGCACCAAGAAATGCTTTGAGAACCTCGGTTTCAACCGTGTCGCGAGGGACTCTCCAGAAAAGGCCTTGGTGAGTTGATGGCTCATCCCAACCATTGTCCGATTGGTCGGCTTGCCAGTCTCGTAGCCAGAGAATCTGCTCTCGCACGGCTTCCCATTGTTGTTTGGACCGAGTCTGCGCGATAGTAGAGCCCACCACATTCCTTAATTCCGTCAGCTGTAGCTCCTCGCTGCTAAAGAGACAAAGGTTGGCCACGGATCGGCAAGGAACATTATGACCGAGACCGGTCAAAATGCGAAGAGAAAGAAGCAGGGCGCTCAAAAATGAAATAGAGGACGGGGATGGTTGGGTCAAAGGATTATCGCGTTTGAGCAGTGAGTTCTGCATGAGCGAACCTCGAGTTGATGATGAAAGCAACTCTGCATCATAGTCCACAGATGGAAGGGTTGACTGGGTCGCATCCAAGTATGAACATTCTTCAAGGCTGAGCAGCTCTGCAACGCGTCCAAGTACCTTGAAGGATCTCTCCAGGGCAGGTTTGGATGAGTCCATGTGACCGTACACCACGGCTAAACCAGACTGTCCGTACCGGTTCAACAACTCCTTAGCCTTATCCGTTGCTAGAGTTACATCCTGGCCTTCATACCCTCCCATGTCAACGTCTTCCGGTCCGTTCCAGTTTATAAATGCGTTGGCAACAGTGTTGTGATCCACAGAGCTGCGAGACAGTAGCCATTCATTCACATATTCCCATCCGGCGAATTCTGTGGTCTCCGGCTTGGGTGTCCCTTGGATAAAGGAGATGGTATTTTGACGGGCTGCTTCATTCAGTCTGCGCCTCTTCGATCGATTACTACCATAGAGCCAAGGGCCGACGAGCCCTCTTAAATTGTTGACCAGATCCATGTCGTTATTCTCAGTGCCGGTGATGGATAAAAGGACGTTGACAGCGGTCTGATCATCCATCAACTCCAGTGTTTCTAGCGATAGCACTTCTTCCCGGTTGGGATAGTATTCGTAATTGAGTCGTAGTGCCGGTAGAAGACTGGAGACAAGCCATGTTCGAATGGCTGCGTTGTGTGTATAGAAGGGAAGGAGGAGGCTCAGTATGAGGGGTTGGAGGGCCGTTTCGGAGTCGATGAGATGCGCGCGGTGAATAATGAACTGGGTCAAGGGGTCAGAGGAGGCGATCTCTTCTTCCTCGTCCTCGCGCTGGAGGGGTCGCAGACGAAGCTTCCGCACTCGCTTCCTTGCAGCCGATTCGGACAGATCCTGGACGGCAGATGGATCGATTTCTGGGGTTGAGGATGTAATTTCAGTGCCACTAGCCAGATCCTGGAGCACTGGAACGTAGTCGGAAGGTTGTGTACTCTCGGGGAGGAAGGTCAAGATGATGCGTAACAGGCGTTCTAACGGAAAACAATGGGGGTATTGCGCTTGTAGAGCTGGCAGGGCGGCGATATGACCACTTGCACAGAGATTGGTCGCAAGCAAAATGGCATGAGCATCCGATAGCCCTTCCAGAGGAGCCATGGCGATCGGTCGAAGCGCAGGATGAAGTGAGGTGTCCTTGTATTGTAGCGACGTCAACGCCCAAACGCAGGCGGGGCGCACGGGCCAAGTCGGAAACGACCTTCAGAGGGAAAGCGTCGCATCCGCCCGGCACTTCACCACTTCTTTGCCAGTTCTCTGCCCACCACTCTGCCCATTGCTCTCTTCTCTCCTCGACAATGGCTTCCGGCTTCGGTAACAACCTCGGTATGTCTCTTCTTGTGCCCTTTTCCACCCTGTGAGGCGAGTCCGCAGCGGTGTTGGCCCGCTGGGTCATATCTTGCGCAGACCCTCCCACCCTTCCTCCCCCCCGCAACCACCTCGAGCTAACGGATGTCTGTCTGTCTCTAGGTCCTAACCGATGCTTCCCCTTCTGGCAAGATCTCCTCGGTTGCTACGTCGTCAACTCTAGCGAAGGTATCGAGGGCAAGAAGAAGTGCGTTCCGGCTCTGGAGGATTACCACGAATGTCTTCACCACACCAAGGAGGTACGTCGTTTTTCTTAAATCAAGGGGGGATTATTCAACTTGGAGGGCTTGAGAAGAAATGTGGCTAAAATCAGAATCTTGTGACCAGGTTTACCGTGCCTTGAGAATTGCCAACGCTGTCCGCAAGACCGAGGCCGCATCCGCGCGTGAGAATGGCCCCAAGGCCGAGGAGATCCGGAGCCTGGGATTACTGGGCAAGGATAAGGAGACTGCCGCTACATTGGAAAAGATCCGGCAACAATAGATGGGAATGGCAAGGGCCAAGCCGGGACGCGATGGTTTCTTCTTTTGATGCGTGAGATCCTCGGGATTCTACCCCCGGACTATGTTCCGGAGGGTCTGTGACTGTATAGAAATGTTCTGTTTGTTGGCCATTCCGGTCATGTTTTGAAATGATACTCCGGTTCTTCCAAAGGAAACTACTATTATGTCGTTGAGTGGAGGTTTGGATGATGGTACAGCCGTAGCCTGGAGACTAGGCGGGGTCTCAAGTTGATATAACCTTGGAATCAGATAGCAAGTTCCGAGTCCTCGAAGGTCAGGGGGCTGGAGCTCTTTGTGGTGTCGTGGCACTTATGACATGTGACATGTATGATTGATGTATCTAATATTCTCTTCCAAGATTGGAGATATCGCATTACCTCCAGGGCTAGAACCAGGCGCTACTTATATTTTTTCGGTAGAATTGCTCGTAGTTTCGGGGGGCAGTGATCTTCAATACTGGAATACTAGTATATCTAAGTGGTTAATATCTGGACAAGCTATATATTTTGGATTCGACATATTCTCTATGTAAATACTAGCCCTGGAGTATACTAGTACTAGTAGTAGAAGGTAGTGGTATATTGAAAGACAGTCATGGACTTGAAGCTTGGATATATAATTGCAGGTGTGGATATATAGTTCCCGCATTGGCAATCCACCAATCACTATTGGTAGAAATCTGTGATTTCGCACACCATATCTCGCCAGAGCTATAAAATCTCGACCGTTCTCACCAGATCACGATTTTGGTCATGCAAGGCATCAGGATGATTGACTGACATACTCGGGGCCCCTATGATGATGATGGTGGGAATCCTCGAGTCCCCTGAGGCCATCTGGCATGTCTTGGCGCGATCGATCGCCATGAGATGATTTATGATTTACTTAGTACATGAACACTGGTACTCTACATATATCTATCTATGGTTACTGTTTGATGTTAGACTGAACACTACTATCACTTCTAGCAGACCCAGCAGATAGATACCACTGGCTGTCCAGTAACTCTGCTCCGTATCATCACGTAGATTCTCGCCTACCTCACGTGACAGAAAAACCTGAAGTGGAGGCCCAACCACGACTATACCAGATTGGGCCTAGCGCAACACACCCAAACATGGACCGGCGCGCTCAGCCAGAGAGCCCCAATGATATAAACCCGGCTGCGTGACCTCGAATCTGCTCTTGTGTACTGAATCTAATCCTCCCTGCTGACTCAGCCACGGTGCATCGCGGTGTTTTGGGGCGTTGGTCTTCAGGCGTTTGCTTCTCTCATTGGCGATCGCCTCTCTTCTCGACGCGCTCCGTCGCGTCTCTCACGCACCTTATCTCCTGTTCTGTCTCCTCTCACCTTTAGGCGGTGCTGTTCACTCGGCATCAGAGTGACGGCCCGCCATGACTTCCCGGTATGTTCCACTCGCCAATCACGACGCGCCTGTCACATGACTAACCGATCCGCAGACTCGACCGCCTGGTCACGTGAGTACCATTTCAAGTATACCAATAGGTATACCAGTCCTACCCCCCCCCAGCTCAGAACTGACCATCCTCATAAACAGACTCTTAGAGACCGGAAGTACTCAACTCATCCGGAACACAGCTGCTCAGCAACTAGGTGATGTTCAAAAACAACATCCCGATGAGCTATTCAATCTTCTTGGGCGTATCTTGCCTTATCTTCGATCCAAGTCCTGGGACACGAGAACCGCTGCTGCCCGAGCAATCGGCTTGATAGTATCAAATGCGGAAATCTACGATCCTAATGAGGACGACGGGCTACAGATCAAGTCAGCAGCTGACGATGACGATGTGGAGATCAAATCCGAGGTCAAATCAGAAGATATTGCCCCGTCTCTAGATGGATTTCTTCATCTTGACAACCTAGACGTGGGTTCCGTTCTGAAATACGGCAAGCGACTACTCGGGAGTGCGGGCAAGGAGTACGAATACTCTTTGGCATCGATGGACCCTGCGGCGCGCCTGCTCCACCAGAAGAAGACCCTGAATGCACGTCTCGGCCTCGAGGGCGAATATAACGAAGACGAAATCCTTGACAGTATTGATTTTGCCCCCAAACCAGCAACCCCGGCACCTAAAAGGGAATCGTCCAATCCTTCCATTTCTCGAGAGAACAGTCTACATGACCTTTCGTCCCGTCGTGCTTCATCTCCAGCCGAGGCTTCCGCAGGCAAGGAAGATACCGGACTGAGCAAGCGCCAATTAAACCAGCTGAAACGCAAAAACAAACAAAGTGCTAAGCTGGGCGCCAACAAGGTCCGCGTGGTCGACCTTGCCTCTCGACGAGCCTCGGACAACGTCGCGACGCCAGCAGCAACTCCTCACCCAGTCAAGACCGAAAATGGTGACGGGCAAAATGGGGAGACCAAGCCGGACTATTTCTCGCTCGATCCCGCCGCAGATGAGGATAACTCGAAGATCGTCTCTGAATTCAAGGGGCCCATCGCTCCTGAAAAGCCCATCATACAGCCCGAAATTGCCGACCAGGGTGCCGGGTGGCCGCTCGAATGCATGTGTGAATTTTTGACCATTGATATCTTTGATTCCAATTGGGAAGTTCGCCATGGTGCTGCGATGGCTCTCCGTGAAGTGGTCAGAGTGCAAGGTACCGCAGCCGGGCGTATAGAGGGCAAAAGCCGGGAAGAAAACGACAACCTCAATCGTCAATGGCTCGACGATCTCGCATGCCGTCTTCTCTGTGTCCTGATGCTCGACCGTTTTGGTGACTACATCTCTGACAACGTAGTTGCCCCGATTAGAGAAACCGTTGGCCAGACTCTTGGTTCTCTTTTGTCACATTTGGCGCCGAAGTCTGTGCGCCAAGTATACCGGTGCCTCTATAGAATCATTATGCAGAACGATTTGGGTCTGGAGCGTCCAATCTGGGAAGTTTGCCATGGTGGTATGATCGGTCTTCGGTATTTGGTCGCTGTTCGAAAGGTCCTTCTCATAAAGGACTCGAATATGATCGACGGTGTTCTCGAATCCGTCATGAAAGGCCTGGCCGATTTTGATGATGATGTGCGGTCTGTCAGTGCCGCCACCCTGGTGCCTATCGCTGAGGAATTCGTCACATCACGGGCTGGCACGCTTGGCCCTCTCATGCACATTGTTTGGGATTGTCTGTCGAATCTCCAAGATGATCTAAGCGCAAGCACAGGATCTGTGATGGACTTGTTGGCCAAGTTGTGTACCTTCACCCAAGTTCTAGACGCAATGAAGGCAAACGCGGCGGATGATCCCGAGGCCTCATTCGGCAACCTCGTACCTCGATTATACCCTTTCCTTCGTCATACCATCACAAGCGTTCGATCGGCAGTTCTCCGTGCTCTCATGACCTTCCTAAAGCTTGAGGGAGAAGGAAGTACGGATTGGGTGGATGGCAAAGCATTGCGCTTGATCTTCCAAAACCTGCTCGTGGAGCGCAACGAGGGCGTTCTCAAGTTATCTCTCCAGGTTTGGTCGGAACTGCTGAAGGCAATCGAGCACCGTGGGTCCTTCTCGTCTGAAGCCGATCTATCCGAATCTGTCCAACCTCTGGTCGCCCTTACACTTGGTCCCTTCGGTGTTCCTCGCTACCCTATCCCTATGAATACCTCTCTTTTCATCAAACCATCTGGTTTACCATTCTCCGCACCCGCACCCGCACCCGCAACCGCACCCGCACTCGCTCCGGCAAAATCATCGCCTCCTGCTTCTGGCCCAGAGCCTGTCAAGCCAGGTCGCAAACGCAAGGTCGAGAAGAAGGAAGCACCCGTGTCATCAACCCACAATGTCGATGGACACATGTTATCTGGTGACATTGATCTCGTTGGCGCAGACACGATGCTGCGGTCCAAAATTTTCGCTGCTAGGGCGCTTGGTGAATTGATCTCTTTCTGGGATAAGCATGAACTCCCGAGCATTTGGTCCTCCATCGTGGACGGCCTGAAACATCCTGCTTCAACTACACAACTTTCCACGGCGATGGTGATGGAAGAATATGCTCGTCTCTCTGGACCGGACAGCAGGTACACCGGGACTCTATGCGAACACTTGCGACCAATCGTCGAGGGCGAGCGCCCATCCTGGTACTCTGATATTTCTTGCTATCTCCATGTCGCTCGTGCACAGTGCCATTCGCTGCTCAATTCATTCCGCGACCATGCTCACGTCCCGCCCTCACGCCTGCCGGCCCTGGCTGTCGTCGTTCAAGGCGATACCGAGGCTGGCCCCAATGCCTTCTCCCTTGAAGATGCCGAAAAAATCGTTGGTGCTGACTTCGACCGCTTGAAGAAGAATTTGACACCCGCTCAACGAATCACTGCCACCCAAGTTCTCAACGATACTCGTACGACCGCACAGTCTGCGGTTGACGAGGCCCGATCCATGAGAGAACAGCGCGATATGCGCGTTCTTGCCGCAGGTTCAGGTGCCCTGGTTGCATTGCGGGATATCCCTAAGCGACCCGGTCATATCATCAAGGGGATGATGGACAGCGTCAAGAAAGAGGAAAATGTCGAGCTTCAGCAGCGATCGGCGACCGCTGTCGCGGGTCTGATTGAACATTACACCGCAGCCACGAAACGTGGACCGGTGGACAAGATCATCGGAAACCTGGTCAAATACTGCTGTGTGGACACATCCGAGACACCCGAATTCCCACACAACGCTCAGCTCGAGAAATCAATTTTGTCGCTACGCAAAGAAGAAGACCGACGAGACCACCCCGATGCTGCCAAATTCGAGCGTGAGGCCAGGGAAGCCCGTATCATGCGCCGTGGTGCTAAGGACGCCTTGGAGCAATTGGCTGTCAAGTTTGGCGCTGACCTTCTTGAAAAGGTTCCCAACCTGGCTGCTCTTGTCGAGCGTCCTCTCAAGCAAGCCCTGGAAGGCGATCTTCCAGAAGACATCATAGACCCCGAGAATGATCTCGGCCAGGAAGTGGTTGACGGTCTTTCTACGCTACGCGCGCTTCTTCCCAAGTTCGATGTTGGACTCCACTCGTGGGTCACTGGCCTTATGCCCATTATTGCCAAGGCCCTGCAGTGCCGACTCTCAGTCATCCGGTATGCCGCCGCTAAGTGCTTTGCTACCATCTGTAGCGTCATAACGGTGAGCGGCATGACAATGCTGGTTGAAAAGGTCTTGCCTACTATCAACAATGCTCTTGATGTTCCCCACCGTCAAGGTGCCATCGAGTTCATTTACCACCTGATCCATGTGATGGAAGACGGCATTCTACCATACGTCATCTTCCTTGTGGTCCCTGTTCTCGGACGAATGAGTGACTCCGATAACGATGTGCGACTACTAGCAACAACCTCGTTTGCGACACTGGTTAAACTGGTGCCATTGGAAGCAGGTATACCCGATCCTCCTGGATTTTCCGAGGAACTGCTCAAGGGCCGTGACCGTGAGCGGAAGTTCATGTCTCAGATGCTGGACGTTCGCAAAGTGGAGACCTTCCAGATTCCCGTTGCTATCAAAGCCGAGTTGCGTCCCTATCAGCAGGATGGTGTCAACTGGCTCGCTTTCCTCAACAGATACAACCTCCACGGTATTCTCTGTGATGACATGGGCCTTGGAAAGACTCTACAAACCATTTGCATTGTTGCAAGTGACCACCACATGCGTGCGGAGGAGTATGCCAAGAGCCAAGCACTGGATTCTCGAAAGCTTCCTTCACTCATTATTTGCCCGCCCTCACTTTCTGGCCATTGGCAACAAGAAGTCAAGCAATATGCACCTTTCCTCAAGTGCATCGCCTATGTTGGACCTCCAGCAGAGAGAGCAAGGCTACAAGCCGAGATCGCTGATTCGGACGTCGTTGTGACTTCCTACGATGTTTGCCGCAACGACAACGATATCCTCAACCCTATCAACTGGAACTACTGCGTACTCGACGAGGGTCATTTGATCAAGAACCCCAAGGCGAAGATCACACTTTCTGTGAAGCGCATTCTGAGCAACCACCGTCTAATTCTATCCGGCACGCCGATTCAAAACAATGTTCTGGAATTGTGGTCGCTCTTTGATTTCTTGATGCCTGGATTCCTGGGTGCCGAGAAGGTTTTCCTGGACCGATTTGCCAAGCCTATTGCAGCTAGTCGATTCAGTAAATCATCCTCGAAAGAACAGGAAGCGGGTGCTCTGGCAATTGAAGCTTTGCATAAGCAAGTCCTTCCATTCTTGCTGCGTCGTCTCAAGGAAGAGGTCCTGAACGACTTGCCGCCTAAGATCATTCAAAACTACTACTGCGACCCGAGTGAGCTGCAGAAGAAGCTCTTCGAAGACTTCACGAAGAAGGAGCAGAAGGAACTGCAAGAAAAGGTGGGCAGCACAGAGCGCAACGACAAGGAGCATATCTTCCAAGCTTTGCAATACATGCGTCGCCTTTGCAACTCCCCTGCTTTGGTTGTCAAAGACGGCCACAAGCAGTACAATGAAGTCCAGAGCTATCTGTCTGCCAAGCGGTCCAACATCAGAGATGTGTCACACGCACCGAAACTCAGTGCCCTTCGGGACCTGCTCGTCGACTGTGGAATCGGCCTCGACCACTCCGCCGAGGGCGAACTTGACACTGGCGCTAGCTATGTCAGCCCGCATCGTGCTCTGGTCTTCTGTCAGATGAAGGAAATGCTTGACATTGTCCAGAATGACGTTCTCAAGAAGTTGCTTCCGTCCGTACAATACCTGCGTCTTGATGGAGGTGTTGAGGCTACGAAGCGCCAAGACATTGTGAACCGTTTCAACACTGATCCCAGTTACGATGTGTTGCTGTTGACCACCAGCGTCGGTGGGCTGGGTCTTAACCTTACTGGTGCAGACACTGTCATCTTCGTTGAGCATGACTGGAATCCGCAAAAGGATATCCAAGCCATGGACCGTGCTCATCGTATCGGTCAGAAGAAGGTCGTCAACGTGTACCGTCTGATAACGAGAGGCACACTGGAAGAGAAGATCTTAAAGTAAGATTTATCACATGCGCTCCTATCGTTTTATTTTTCACTTTTGCTAACATCCTTTCTACTCCAGTCTGCAACGATTCAAGATAGACGTCGCCTCTACCGTTGTCAATCAACAAAATGCTGGACTAGGCACCATGGACACGGATCAACTCTTAGACCTCTTCAGTCTTAGCGAGACGGCAGAGACGGCAGAGAAACCAAGCGACCAGACAGGCAACGAAGTCGACATGGTCGACATCGACGGTGAAGTCAAGGAGAAGGGCAAGAAGGGCTGGTTGGATGACCTAGGCGAATTATGGGATGACCGACAATACCAGGAAGAATACAACCTGGATTCATTCCTGGAAACCATGAAAGCGTGATGTGGATGATATGATTCCAAATCACCCGTCACCGACATGCTTCAATTCTTCCCGCCTTGATTTCTGGTCATCCTATCCGACAACCTTCTTACTTTTGCTGCCCGTCCTCACCCTTTCATCTGACTTTTGACACTTTCTTCTTCTCCTCTGTCATCTCCGTCCCACGCCTATCATGCCTCATGTCCTCCCAATAACCCACTTCTTCCTCTATCTCTTCTCTAGGGAAATCCCAAGAAGAGCTTTTTGCACGAGCGAACTAATTCTTTCTCCAACACATTCAAGGATGCATTGACCTTCTACTCCGCATCTCCTTCGCACTTGCTCCTTATCCTTTCCCTCTGAATCCCTCAACGTGTATTTCTAGCTTGAATTTCCCCCACCCGACGACGAATGATCTTGCATGTAAATAGAGGAAAGAAGTTTCTCACCGGTTTACAATTTTGATTACTTCGTAGATCTTTCCTATCAACGCGCCTACTTGAACTGCGTATTGAATGAGCTGGAAGCCTGGATTTAACTATTATAAACCTTGGAATGGATGCATCTACGGGAATTGAAGGAGCAGGAAAAGAGAAATCTTTGAAGTCATTAATTCGTAGGTGGCATCAATCTTAGATAATAAGCAGACTGCTGGAAGCGTGGTTGACTCCCCTGTCTCCTGTGCAGGGTCGTTCAAGGAACTTATCGTATCCCTTGCATCGACACTCATCACAACAATGATGAACTTCCAACACAAAGAGCCCCGACGAAGGTAAGGGGAAAATCTCGAAGCAGTAGAAAGACGACCAATAAAAACATAAACATACACCAGACGCCATGATTACGCCCCATGTCCGGAGAAAAGAAACAAAGCAGAAATGTAACAACCATGCTCCGAAAAACAAAACAAAACCTTGAGAAAGAGTCCCCAGGAGCAGGAATTGAAACCGAAAGGTAAAAGTAAGAAGATCAGACAGTGCAAGAAGTAGAAAAAGCGGAGGGTATGGCACCCTAAGAAAGGAAGTGTAGATACAAAAATGTCGGAGCGTAGTGTTCTTGTCAAAGACATAGCAGGACCAGAAGGATATGCCACCGGAATATTAAAACGCAGTTCGCCCACATTGAAACCAAGGGCTAGCGTGGTGACTCGTCCCAATCAACATTGCGCCGTAACTCGACCAAGGCGCAACGCACCAGGCGAGCGCCTATCCGAACTGACTCCACTAAGCCCGTCCCTTTGGCTTGGCGAGCATGTTGAGACGACTCAGACTAAGAACGTTACGAGACTTCTGCCTGGCACTGGCAGGAGTACCCATACGGCCGGAAGGAGTCCGGACAGGAGTCTTAGCAGGCTGGATCTTGACTGGGCTGGGTGTGGCCTTGATTCGCTTGGCGCTGCGCTCTTCAAACTGAGCATCGGCAGGGGGCACATTCTCAGCATTATCAGCACCGTTTGAGTGGTCATCGTCCACCTCATCGCGGTGTCGCTTCTTGTTACCAATTCCGTGCGCAATTCCATGTGTGACGACTGGAAGTTCTGGATAGGCGTTGTCCTTTTCGTTTGCGTTCGACTTGCGGACATGGCGGATGCTTGGCGACAAAGCAGAATTATCATCGGAGGGTTCGGTGGCTGCTTTCGCCTCCGGGGTAAGGGTGGGCAGAGTTGGGTAGACGATATCCGATAGGTTTGAACGCGAAGGAGTGGTCGGGATCTTAGATCGAGATGGCGACGCTTCAGCGAGCTGATGGCGAGACTTGACACTCGGAGTAAATTCCACGTGCTTTTTCGGCGATGGAGTCGGGGCAGAGTCTGTAACATCGCCGCCCTTTGTGGCAAAGAGTGAGTTAGGGTTGAAGTCAGGAGCAGCAGTGTGAGTACCAGCCGCGATCTTGGATGGATCACGAGAGAAGAGCGGCTGTCGTCGACGGAGAATAGACTTGAGATTTCCCAATGTCGGCAAGCTGCTCTTGAAGCGTGGGTTGAAATCAGTGCGCGGAGTTCGTGGGGATGCCAACGCTCTGGTATCGGGCGAGCGAGCAAGGGAGGGAATGAGAGTAGTCTTGGGCGCCTTGAGACTGGCAGATGTGGTGCGTGCCATGGAGGCTCGAGTTGGGGTCATAAGGGAGCTGCGAATCATCGATCGGGGGCGCGAGCCAGCAGGCTTGTGAGCGGTCTTCTCTTGCTCAGTTTGAGTAGTATTGGCTTGAGAGCGACCAGAAGATGCATCATTTGCAGGGTTATGCTTTGCACGCTTGTTGACAGGAGCAGGCGAAGCGACAGTGGGTGGCTTCGCGGGGGATCGTGAGGGAGACGGGTTGGACTCGGTCTCATCCAGTTGTGCCTTGGACTTGGTCCGCTTCAGAGATTTGGTGACGGGTTGGAAGCGGCTAGGGGCCGCCCGGAAGGATGATGCATGATTGGCAATCGAATCCATCTTCTTGAACTCTGCCATGTGCACATCGCTGAAACGTCCGGCCCTTCCCTTCGGCATCGCAAATTTCCGGTCTCCCTGTTTGTGCTCAGCCCCGGTATCCTCCTGCTCAGCGTGCTTCGATTTATCAATTATCATCTGTGCCCTGATGTGGGCAGCTTCGCCTCGAACGCGTTCCATCAGCTGTTTTGCCTCATCGCTGAGCTGAGCGTCCTGGCCGAACTTGAACTCGTATCCGGGGGTGCCAAAGTGACTCGGAGCCGGAGATGCTTTTGATTTGGTAGGCGTATAGTCGGCCATGCTTTCCTTCACCGGATTACCATTGGCATCTTTCTTGATGGGGTTAAAGCCTAAAACCAAGCCCGAGTCGACCTGTTTCGTGGTGCTTTGATGAGCCTTGCTGGGATGCATTTCCTCTCGGGGCGGGCGAGGAGCGGAGCCAGTTGTTGGTGTTATCGCTTCTGTTCGGCGAAGGGAAACAATTGGGGTTTTCTGAGAGCCTTGCTTCTTCGTTACTGGCGTGCGAACAACATGTTGATCATTGGCGGGTGTTTCGTCGCGTTCCTGGACGGATTCAAGTGGGACGGCACTTGGCTGAGGCGTGGACTCTTGAGCCTAGTAAATATTATTAGTCTTCAGAGTCAATAAGCCCAGCTGTGGCGACCCCTTGAGTCCCTGTAGGGGTTCCAATAGTGAAGTGTTGCCGGGTCACTCACCTCTGGAGTCTGACTGCTACGCAAGCGGGCGGAGCGCCGAGGCATATTGGAAATGGTTTTTTTTTTGGGACGAAAAGAGATTCACAAGATCGGGGTCGGTCGAGACGTCGTGGCCCAACCTGGAGAGGGGTTGGTCGTGGGGTCGAAGTGTGTCGGAGTCGATGGTCGTCAGGTGAGGCGAGCAGCCGCTGAAAAGTAAACAAACGCGTTTGACGTCAGATGACTAATCGGAGCTATCAGATCGCAGTTTGCAGCCCTTCCCAATCCATTGTCAACCTCCTTCATTACTACCTTGTATCTGATCCTTCTTCTTTAGAGTGACGGGACTCTTGCTATTCTGAAATAAGAAACAATTGGAAGAATTCAAGTTCTTCAGGAAGTCGATATTGTCTTAGAACAGCGGCGATTTGAGGATTCCGGGCATGATGGACATTACCTCATGGGTAAGGTCGTATTATTCTCAGAGTGATCTTCATTTCGAATCATGTATTTTCCAAAATTTATCAACTCTTTTGTGAATCACCGAGAATGAGCGATTGCGTCTCCAAATGTCTCCAAAAGTTTAATTGGTGCGTGGGGGATTGAAGGCCTGATTTACAAGGCTAGCAAGATAACCACCCGTGGCTCGGTATATTCCATTTGCCTTACCTTTTCCTCTTTCTTCCGTTTCCACCTAATCAGCGCGGAATTGCGTATCGTGCCCCATTACATCAAAAAACTCCCTTGTCCAGGGGGGCATCCAGGGATGAATGTCGGCAGCATAGGCGCAGCGGGACCTGATTCTCGCCCACGAGGACGAAAGCGTGGTCGAAAAACGACATCTTGCACCCAATGCCACTCTCGCAAACAGAAATGCAATCAAGGGCAACCATGCCTGCGTTGTATACAGCGCGGAGTACCACAGCTATGCCAATGGCCGGAGAACGAGGTAGATGACGGAAGAGAACGAGGGATCAGTTCTCAGGATGCAGTACCGGCAACAGGTACGGTTCATCCTCGCCCCTGGCCAGCTACTAAAATATTCGCGGAAAGGAATATTAAGACCACTCTACTAATCTGGATTATTAGTGGACGCCCAAGGAACAGAGTTGGGCCAGCTTTACATCGCCCGCGGTGCTCCCTCCTTCTTTGGCAACTCGTATTTTGGACACCAAGTGGCAGCGAGTATGATCCATGAATCAGCCCCGGACCTGCCTCCAATGAGCCTTTTATCCACAAAGGATTCACTACAGTCCTTCAGAAACGATTCCGGCCCTTTTTCACAAGTATGGGATCTGCTTGGCCTTCTGCCACGCAATAAAGTAACAGTCGATAGACTGATTGAAAGATTTCTAACCGAAATCAACTGGGCCATCGATACGGTACATCCAGATACGTTTAGAAACCAATTTACTGAGTTCTGGGGCAGGAAATTTGGGTTTGATGAAATTGCCGGCGTCGATCTTCGTTGGCTGGCACTACTTTTCATTATTCTTGCTTTCGGTGTGCTTTTAGAGGATCCAACAATTTCCTCGCCGGAAAAGCGAAAAGAGAGCGAAGAGGCTTCTCTCAGATTTTACTGGGCTTCTAGAAGAGCCATTGTCATTTCGCCTTCGTTCCATGGCGAGAGTTTGGACCTTGTCCGGGCTGGTCTGATGGTCACTCGTTATTTGCTTTACACTCGCCAAATAGCGGAGAGTTGGTTGACCATCAGCTTCGCCATGCGAATGGCGCAAGCACAGGGCATGCATATTGATGGGGAGAAGTGGGGTCTATCACGGAAAGCCACCGAGGTCCGACGAAGACTTTGGGGAAACTTGTACATGTTGGACAAGACAATTGCTCTCGCCCTTGGCAGGCCCTACGCGATATCGGACCACATGTGTCTCATAAATCCGCCTGAGAATATTTGGCTCGACGATTTGACAGACGAGCAGTCATCAGTGATCCCTGTATCCACACTGAGAAATCCAACCCGGAGTACAGTCATCCTATTGTGCAATGGGCTGGCCAAGATCGCGGGGGAAATCCAAGACAGGTGTTTTGGGTTATACCCAGCTTCTTATGATGTCGTGACCGAGATGGATGAGAAGCTCCTGGCTTGGCAAAAGCAACTGCCGGCGTATTTTGCCCTGGAGGATCTGGACTTTGCGAAAGATGAAATGCACTCCTTTCTGCCGTGGCATCGCCTCTACCTGCATTCAGCTTTCCACTTTGCTCGGATCACTCTCCATCGACCTTATCTTCTACGAGAGTCTATAACAAATCGCTTTCGTCTTAGTCACGAGGCCTGCATTGCGTCGGCGTCATCCGACCTCAAGATTCGGCTGCACTCAGTGAAATATGGAACAGCAGAAAATATGAGATGGACGCTGGGAACTCACAATATGTTTAACAGTGCGTTGATTTTAGGTATTATTGCTGTTCGCCGCCCGAACGCTCCCCAAACAGCGGCAATTCTGGATGACCTGCAGGAATATTGTGAGAGGCTGAGAGAAGATGCATGGTTGAATGAATTTGGTCTTGCGGAAGTCAAAGTTGTTGAGCTTTGTATTGTCCGCACAAAAGGATTTGCCAAAGCGAGTGACTTCTCTGGTGACAATGAACACGTCCAGCCAGTGGATATAATGCCGGGCATTATGGATCGTGGCAGTTTCCGAGAGGAAAACAGACATAAAATCACCTCGGAAACCGAATTAACTTCGGGTCCCGATGCTTTAAGTGCCTCCCCAAACAACGTGCCTGGGTATTCGCCCGATATGATGTGGCCAGCAATATGGGAGGATCAAAACTTTGCTTTTCCTCAGGCTACGGATCTGGAAACATGGGAGCAAATGATTTCGGAGATTGCATACCATGACTAGTTGGACATCAGATGTATCTGAATTAATCTTCTCATTGAATCTTCTCATATAGAGTGGTAAATTACAGGATATACTTGAAATCAGGGTGGTAGTCACCTCCTTTCTTTTCATATGACCCAGATTGAATGACTTCCTCCCGTTCTTCCGGAGTCATCTTTGCGCGCTTATTGTTGTGATACTTCAAAAGCAGATACATACTGATATTGCCACAGAAAGCAACACAGATAGCTGCAAGAGACACTGAATGTCCAATGACATAACGGCCATTTGTGGCCGACTTATAGATTTGGCCAGCCTGAAAAAAAAATTAGATATGGACCAAGTGGGTAGGATACTCAAAATTACTTACTATCAATCCGGCGCAATTACCAATAGACTGTTGCAAGCCAACAGCCATGGCTCTTTTGTAGTATCCAGCGTGACTGTTTGCATTCCAGGAGACACCGAGGCCGACAGTACAGTAGATTCTACCATTTGAGTTAGAGATAATGCAGAAGTCAAATATGTAGAATGAACTTACCCAGTGACACAAACAAATGTGGCAAAGTAGAGTGGACCTCTAGCATGGACATCTATCCCCAGCATCATTGCATACCCCACAGCCGTGACGAGACAGAGAGGCACCATGAATACTGCCCGCATACGTATCATGTCGGAGAAATGAGCAATGACGAGGTAGAAGACGGAGGCCCAGATATAAACAGGGACTGTGAGTAGCTGCGTGCGAACTGAACTGAAACCAAACCCTTTGATGATAGTTGGTAGGAAAGTGCTGAATCCGAACGAGCAGACATTGACGCTAATTTGGTTGAGAGAAGTCAACCAACTTTTAGGGTCCTTTAGTGTCTTCCAAACTTCCTGAATGTGAAACGATTCTTCTGCAGCATACTGCCCAGATGACTGCATGCGAATTCGCATGAGGGCTTTATCTTCCTCATTAAGGAAGTAAGCTGTCTCGAAATCGTTTGGAAGGAAGAAGAATGTGGCGACGCCGATGACTGCGCTCATAAGACCCTCAACAATAAAGAGCCAGCGCCAACCTTCGAGTCCGGCGGCCCCATCAAGACGAAGGAGACCAAAGGCCAGCCTGGCGAATGTCAGTATAGATAGGTTCCAGGGAAGGTGTGTTACATACAAGCCACCGAATCCACCACTGAGCGCAGCAGATACGAATAGATAAGATATTCTTTGTGCCTGCTCTTCGCGCTTATAAAAAGTTGTCAAAAGCACAGTGAGGCAACTGTGAAATGTTAATTATGACCTAGAATTGGCGGGGAATATCGTACGGAAACAATCCACTCTCGAAAACACCCAGAAGCAAGCGGGTTATGTAAAGACCAGCGGCATTCTTGATGAAACCTGCCGATATAATGGAGGCACTAAAGCCAATAATGAGAGCCGCAATCAAACGATTCGGACGCAATTTCTTGAGCAGCATGGAAAATGGAATTTCGAAAAAGACGTATGTTGCATAGAATAGGGAAACGGCATCTTGAGAGAAGAAATTCATTAGAAAAGGGAATTATTTAACAGAGAATCATGACTTACTGCCAAGTTGGTTCCCAACCAAGCCAATGTCCTCCTTTAAAAATCCTTATTAGCAGAATGCAAGAATTGCGACAATGTTGAGAGCTCACAGGCATCCCGGCAACGGCCGCATTTCTGATACAACAGGTCAATAATTGATCGATCGAACAAAGGCCAAATCGAACTCACCCTAAGTTGCTGCGATCGAGATATGCAACCAGAAAGATGAGCATAACTAAGGGGCAAATAAAGAGATCCAGCTTTAAGACGAGCTTTCGTTCCCTGGCCGGGTCAATTGAGAGATTTCCCAATTGCACATCATGCTCAGATGCGCCCTCCATTTTGAATGCGATATCCGTTTCCTTGTTCATTTTGAAGACGCGTAGGAAAAAAAAGTCATATGCGACAATGAAACAATTCTAGGTCATTGACCCTCTCGGAGCTATAAATGCAAGCGTTGATGAAGATAACATTCTTTGTCGGGAAAATAGTCGGTTTATTCTGGGGATTGGAGAAGGGCGAGATGATTTCCCGATCCACACTGGGGTCACTATCTGGCGTGAGTCAAGTTTCGAGTGGCTCTTGGAGTCTTGCCCCCCGAAGGCGTGGAGACCCGATAAGAACCATTGGAAAGCATTGAACATGCTGTTATCGTAATTATCATCGTCTTGGCATTCCTTCCTAGCAAGGTTTTTGTTAGCGGCAGCGCATCTTGATACTGAGAACTTCTCTCACAACAGGCACTGAATTTGGCTCAATTGCGATGAATCTCACAATTTTTCCTTCAGTATTTCCCCATATTTGTGGGATACTCGGCCTAGTTCCGATGGACGCGGACCCCCGTATCTGGTAGAGCACAAACTCTTTTTCCCCGCGTTTATCATCTTGGCATCGGTAAATTAGTCCTTTAACCCCTTATCAGCCACCTATTTCCCGACGAAATTCCCGACGCCCATTGAGTGCGTTGGGGTAGCTGATAGCCATTTTAAGAGAGCCTTGAGGGTGGTAGTCGATAATGTACTTTGAAAAATTTCTCGACCAAAGTACATCATGGGTATTTCCAACGGACCGAAAGAAAAAGTGACTGCCTCGGTGACTGCTACAGGAGCCCAATACCCAGTAAGCAATTTTCTATAATTAACCACTTGTGTTAGAGCTTACAAAATTTAGGTCTGGAAAAGATGGGTTCGATTTGAGAGCCACGATGGGAAGATTTATGGAGGCGAGCCTGTCGATTTTGACCTTGATGGTAATGATAGTAATCCAAAACGAGCATCGTGATCTGACCGGTTATCACTAGTGGGTCTTGCAATCGCAAACAAGGAAGAAGTGGCCGTGAGAGTAGTCGAAGGAGGCTGTGCGTTGGATTATGAAGCTCAGTTTACCGGAGAGACTAGAGGCATTCAGAAATTATTGTCCCCAGTTTCACAGCAAGAGGCAGGGACTGTTCGATGCATCGGTCTCAATTACAAAGAGCACGCAGCTGAGATGAAGCTGGCTCTTCCAAGCACCCCTACGTGAGTAGCGAGTGAATAAAACTGGGGTCAGCGCTAATTTGATGTAGTGTTTTTCTGAAGGCCGACACCTGCATCGCGTCGGCTTCGGATCCTATCGTATTGCCCTCGAATGTGGAATGTGATGAAGCCGACTATGAAGTCGAGCTTGCTATCATCATCGGTAAACTGTGCAAGAACGTCTCAGTTGCCGATGCAGAGGGCTACATTCTTGGATATGCTACAGCAAATGACGTGACTGCTAGGCAGCATCAAGACAGGACCTCCCAATGGTCTTATGCGAAGGGAATGGTACTGTACCCAAGATCTAAAGAAATGATGATGCGTTGAGCTAACTGTTATAGGATGGATTTTGTCCACTCGGACCTTGTATTGGGTCAACAGAGTTGATTCCGAATCCTGCAAATCTCAACCTTCGCACAATATTAAACGGGAAGACAATGCAAAATGGGTACGCAGACGATATGATTTTCAGAGTACCCGAGATTGTGTCTCACCTGTCAAAGGTATGTGCGATAATATTTATTTACTTGTTAGCTCTACTCACATAGCCACAGGGACATACACTTCGGCCTGGAACTGTCATCATCACTGGAACACCATGTGGAATTGGTATCTCGCAGAGCCCACCGCGGTTTCTCCAGCCAGGCGACAAGCTACGAATTAACATCAGCCATGGATTGGGAACTCAGATCTGTGACATTACAAGGGATTAAAGAGTTCAATACCGACGAATTGCCATCCTGATGGATCATCTGTGTTTAGTATAGACTAGAAGGAATAATCAAACTTGTACGGATAGTATCATTTCATGCAAGTAGAATGCTATGTACAATGCTATCTAAATAGCTATGCGCCGGATAGGCGAAGGTCAATGACAGCCTCATCGGCTGTAGGAGGGCCAACGTACTTCTCTCTGCCCCAGACCCAGTACCAGAATGTAGCAATGATGATGAAGGCGACGAATACAACAGGCGCATAGTTGACGGACTCCGGCGTGACAGGAAGGTAGGACGGCATACAAAATAGAGGAACGGCTAGTAAACTCCATGCTAAAATGAAAACCTGGTCAGTGAATTTCGAGAAAATGTAAGAACACAGCACTAACCCAATGCAATGATATTGCAAAACAGCCCAAGTTTGCCCAGATCGAACTTCCCATTCTTGATGTGCTTACGACCGCCCATGAAGGAAACAGCAATTGGGCATGCATAGCTGACTGTTAGGGTGATGACGCCAACGCCCGAGAAAGCATTGAAAGCAGCAGTGGAGCCGAAGTAGATGAGCCCAAGGGCAATCTCAATGACCATTCCAAGCATCATAGCATTGAAAGGCAGACCCAGCGACTGATTGACCACTTTCCAGTGTTTGGAGAATGGAATACCTCCATCTCGCGCAAAAGCCCAAACCGAACGCGATACCGCTGTTGTACATCCTATACCACATAGAAGAGCAAGCACGGCCAACGGAAGTAGGAGGAGAAATGCACCAGTTGAGTTGCCGATGGCTGATTTGACGATGGTCGGGACTGGCTGACCAGAAACCAAAGCGATGAGAGCTGCTGAATCGTGAAGCACGAATACGAGAGGAATGAGGAAAAGGAGCCCAGCTATTGTGTTCAAGATGATGGTGCCCACGATTGCCCTGGGTACCTGCCGAGATGGATCCTGAACCTCTTCACACATCCTATATCCTAGTAAGCGTGGTGTTTGGTATGGAAATGATTTTGAGAAGGGAAACGCACGAGATCACCATTCCAGTTGAAGAAGTGGCATATGCGGCTTGAAGCAAACCAACACAGAAAGCCCAACCATCAGGCCAGCCTGATTGCGGTTCGAAGTGACCGAAGACATATGCACCGCTGTTCCTGCCATCCTTTGCAATGACCAAAACACAGATAACAATAGCTAAAAGACCCACAAGTGTCCAGAAGATCGCGAAGGTCTGAGTCGTCAGTATTAAAGAATGGAAAGCCTGGTAAACAAACACTCACATCCAGAAGGGGCAACCATTTATTCCCTAGAGATGATACTGCGTTACACAGAAGGGTAATCCCTAGGAAAATGAGAAAGGTCTGATAGGTTGTCGCTTCAAAGATGCCCACCCCGGGGGAGACTTCGAAAACATTAACGCAAGCGATAATGAATTGCGCGGATCCAAAGTTGACAGCAAGAGTGATCATAATATTACCGACCACATAAGACCACCCGCAAATCCAAGCGATAATTCTCTGGTATTTTGGGGGCGATAGCATAAATGCTTGGTAATAGACACCGCCGGCGGTCGGATACACCGATGTTATCTCACCTAGAGATGCGGCGACGCAAAGAATGATGAGGGACACGATCAACCATCCCCAGATGATGTTCACTGGTCCACCACCAACCAGAGGATAGAAGAACGTTGTGGCAAGACCGTACGGAATCGATGCTAGAACAAACGACATGAAAGCCACCTGGAGCGTCGAGCGGTTTCTGGTTAGTTCAGGCTCATAACCGAGCGACTCGAGGAGACCATTCGCCGCAGATGGATCCGAATCACTAATTCGATCATCAAATTTGAAGCGGTCGCTCTCAAAAGGGGGCTTGGGCCCCGAAGAATGAGGCTGGACTGCATCCATCTTGCTCGCCATGGCTAAGCAAGTCCCCCGGGTCGATGCTAGGGGGGTTGATGATGAAGGTCGCGTTGGATCTTCGCGACGGAGAATATCGAAAGGGTTGGATCTGACTCGGACCCCTTTCCACATGACTGGCTTATATACTAGCAATGTCACCGCAACCGGGCGCGCGAAATAACGAGGAACGGGAAAGACTACGAACTCTAAACGTCAGGCAAGAGATTGGAGATAAGCAAATCAGACCATCGCGCGTCTTTTACCCCGCATTATCTGGGCCAGTGTTGATACGGGCGGGGATTGTTTCTCGGAGACGGGTCAGTGGCGCTGACGGGGGCGCAGTCCTCTCTAGGATGAAATAGGGGGGCGAGGTTGCCTATCCGCTTGTTCTCATTGGATCTTGGTCAGCAACCCCCGGAACTGGTCGTTTCGTACCGAGGTTTCTGGATATTCATTACGAAACGACTCTAAGTCCAAGATTCTCTCTGCATTCGGGAGTATTTTCCCTAGAGCGGACTGGATTTGAGATGGCTGCTAAGCGGGATTATTTTTTCTATCGCTATATCATAAGTCAAGCACATACAATTAATTCATGTAGGCTACTAGTAACTTGAAACGCGGGAAGAAAGATGCCTCCACTTTGACTGAGTGGCATTGCCAAACCCGAAAAGGATTACTAGGTAGTAGTAACCCCAACTTGAAGAAGGAACCTTAGAAACCGACACATTATGTATCTCTCAATTGTTTTTCATCTTACGTGTCTAGGGAGCCTTGGACGTTGCGAGTCCTCGAAGGCGTCGCAGTGCAGAAGAAATCTCTGCTATAGTTACTCCGCACTTGTAATTGACAGCCTCATCGTATGTTGACTTGGACCGATCGTTGACAGTGACGGCAGTATATAAATTTACTAGCGCAGATAATTAATACCATGTCTATCTATGCTTATGCGAACTCCGAAATTTGTAGACTGTGAGTACTGTTGCATAGCCCAGTGAGAGGACAAATGGATGTGACTCATGATAGAAAGCAGAACAAATAGCGTTATGGGGATGAGAAAATTGTTTCTTGTGCTGTTACGATGTGAACTCGGAGTGAGATAGTAGGCCGAAAATAGTTTACTTTTCCTAGAGTAAACTGGTTTCCTTCCAATCGCTGGAATGATAGGGCATAGAATCACTATCTTCGTTCCTGTTCAACCTGTGAACTACTAGTATCTATCATAGAAAGCACTGTCAGAATGTAGCGCGGCTACACTAATGCAGGGCGGCTACGCTAATCTATAATCAGAGATCCCCAGAGAGTTTCAGGGGTGGTCGAAGCAATCAGCGTCCTCATAGAAGGTCGGGTTCACGCTAGTGTTTTGTCAAAAGTTTGTATGGTTATTTCCATACACCTCCCCCGATTAGATAGAGGAAGGGGCATTGCTTAAATAGAGAAGAACTCGGGAATTGCCCGTGATGTGGGCCGCAGAGAGTACTTTGAGCCAGGAAATTATGTACATCATGATATCTTGGTGCCTGTCTATGAAAGATACTAGTATGGAACGAGCCGGAGATAGTGGATCTGTTGATTTGAGCAACCTCCACTCTTATTTTTTCTGCAAATAACAGGCATGATGTCATTCTCCTGGCTTCGTATGATAGACGCCAGGCTGTTCTTCAAGAATTGCTATAAAGATTTCCAATTTTTGCTCTCCAATTCTAATTGAGATCATTGGTTTATGGATTTGGGGTATTGCTACCCCATAATGGTTTCAAGGTTTCTTTCAATCATTATATCCAACCAATAATCTTGTGCTCCAGAATCTGCCCGATCCCATGTTTCCCGCACAACGTCTGAGATTCGTTGCATTCGTAGCTTTGGAAGAATTAGACCGAGCTCCGATAACCATAAGCTCACCCTGCGCCGTGCCTGAGCAATTTCTACATCCAGGGTATTGAGACTAGCAATCGCATTCGCTGTCGGGCCAAATACAGAATCATTTGAAAACACAAGATCGCTAGAAATGCAGCACAGAACAACAGGATGCATACATCGGGTTCCCGATGTGGTAGGGATTTGACTAAGAAGAGAAACAATATGCAAGGCTAGGATGCGACGCGTGACACCCCCGGATGAAAATGACATATGCGAGGTAGATGAAGAGAGAACATTAAACAACGGAGGCATCTCTCGGTCAGGACTTTGATTCAGACGTAGTCTTTCGTCAAGAATTTCCGGGAAGACGTGATAAATTTGTAGCAGAGAAGCACAGCGATATGCTTCCGCTAGCGTGATAAAATGAGAGGGAGGGGTATCCGTATCGCCGATGTCGACGGGGCCGCAGTAAGTTGAGAACCCCGTGAAGAGTATATCTTCTTCGAGACGCTCTGCCTTCTGACGTAGATCAACTTCCTCCATGAGGAAAGCGAAATCGAACGTGGTGGGATCAGGATCACCGATGCAGGTACGATATAATATGCGAGCAGCGCGAACCACTCTAGCGGTCTGATAGAGAAGGCTCAATGACTTGGAGAATGGGCCGGTCCATGGGTGAGGTAAATTCTGACCATCAACCAAATATACCGAGTTTTCAGAATCGGGTCTTTCTAAAAAGCTTTCTTCAGTCAAGAGCAATGAGTCTTCCGCTACAAAGGCGGACAGCATATTCCAGTATAGAAGACACTGCTGGAACAACGGGTATTGTTTTGCGAAGGTTGAGTTGGCATCTTGGCAAAGCTGCTGCTGTGTTGTGAGATGGTCCTTCGCCTCTTTGAGGTATTCCAACCCCAAGTCAGCGGCATCGTGCCAAGCCGTAGTCATTCCGATCATGAGAAGAGCCAAGAAATACTCGTCATCTTGGTTATCTCGATGTAACGAGCCCACCCGGGGATTGTTACGCAAGCACGCAATCGCTTGTTGCTGCGTCTGGATTCCAATCGCCTTCATTCCGGGAAAATCATTTGCAAGAGATGCCGCTGCCATACTTTGGATGGTATAGTATATCGCTGCATTCCGGCTCCAGAGACGGCTGACAATAATTCTGAATGGATTCAAAGGCGAATCGAAGGATGACCAAGACTTGCAAACGTAGTCAAAGTAATATTGAACGAGGATAGCAGGCATGTGTATGAGAAAGGATGGTATGGCTGAGTTTTCCAGTCGGCGATGCAAGATTGACAGACTATCTGTATGAGAATTCGACTTGGTGACGGGCATATCGCTTAATATCGGATCCATCTTGGACCCGAGTCGAATTGAAGGATCGATATCCGGTAGCTCATCAAATAATGTCAGGCTGGCTTCGTCCCAGAGGCTTTGTAGATCTTTGTTGTGAATAACCTCATCCTCCTGGCTCTCTGGGGTCTGCTGACCCGGTCCAAAGAAGTGCTCGGAAGTTTGCGTAAGCGGGGTGTTGACCGCTTCGTCATAGTTGTCTTCATCTTTGAAGACATATCGCCACTCGAGGGGCTTTTTCTGATATCCGGGGCACTCAAGACCTTTTCTTGTGCATTCCTGACAGCCCGGCTTCGTCTCGTCACATCTGCGCTGAGGAGTGGTGAGTTAGCTTCTGATGGTCAGGATGGAGCTATCTCAAAGACATAAAAGAAAAAAATAGCTGCGCACGGTTCACCTCTAACTTACTCGCCGTTGCTTACACCTTTGACAGCCTCCCTTTGACTTTGGCCGGCATCGATTGGGGTTCTTCTGCCGTTTTTGTCGTGCTGTTACGACACCGTCGGTTTGGTACATTCTGGGTCCCTTAGGGGAAGGGGAAAGCCAAACAGAAAAATAAAATAAAATTATCCCAGAATTTCTAGGAAACCCGCGCGGTCATGAAGAAGGCACTTAAGTCCTAAGAGCTATTCAGGTGATCGGCTCGGCTTCCAAGGCGTCGCCGTGTACCCCGCACACTTCCGGCTTCCACGAGGCGAAAGTCACCCGGTCCTTTTGCAAGAACGAAAGAAATCTATGACACTAGGTAACTAGGCCTCGAAGAATCAAAAATTTGGTACTCGCCTTGCATTAACGCCACTTGCTTGAAGTTCGCCATCTTATTGTTTTGCTCTGATGTGTTGTCTCGGGGGACAAGCCGGCGCTTCGGCTGCGGCGGGTTCTGTGCCCGTTCTGGGCCATGCAGTCCGCCGCTTTGAGCCCACTGGAGCTCCAGATGAAGTAATCGATTTCAGACTAACCATAGAACAAGCTCCCTTAGAGCCCCGGCTTTGCTTGTTTATCTGAAATGACTCGTGATATGCTTCTCTATGGCTAGACAAGCGATCAGGCTGATCATTTTGACGCCCGAGCACCACTGTCTGTACAAGCGGTGAAGAAGAATGACAACTATACAATTCCAAGATAGAGATAGAAGTTTCCATTCAGACCAGTCGGATTGATCGAGTCCCTCCCTCCATCAACGATTGGATAGGCCATCATCCGTGTCACCCTGTAAGGAAATGTGTAACGTGGGTCGTCGTCTTGCCACTATAACCCCAGGCACTGCGAAGATGCACTAGTGCAGCAGGATTGATGTTATGTGACTCAAACAGACTTCAGAGTGAAGATCATCGGGCAACGGTCCGCCTATGGAGGGCAGGCGGCATATTGTTGAATTGATTGTGCATGTATGTAGTATGTCCTTTGCCTGCTATAGCCCAGGGGTTAGTTTTATCATTCTTGATTGGAACACAGACGAATCATAATGAGCAAGAGCATGCATATTGCAAACAGGGTTTCTTTAACAGATTCAGACTATTACGCTGCCCTCTCAGAACAGACACATCGCGAGAGTTTCTGCTCGACTGAAATACCCGAGCCAAGCAGACTTCAATTTTGAAAGGGGCTGTTGAAGGCTTGCCGACGAGTTCGAAACAGAACAAAAATCACTGTGAAAGTAGAAAAAAGAGCTATTGAAATACTGGGTATAATAGAGATAAGAAGAATAATATACTGCGCACAAGCGCATGGTTTTAATTGAACGCGTGTTGCATTGCCCAAAAGGGACGAGAGACCCCGCAGATTTTGAACGTGACTGACACTCCCGGTATGATATGGATATTTAGTAAGAAGTACAGATATTCCTCTCAATGATACATTTACTAGTAAAAGATGCTTTGACCCCGAATATAACTTTTCACTAGCCGGAAGGAAGTTCAACCGGCACAGCCGAAACGAGAGGGCCTGAAACTTTGGGGTTGAATATTGCGAAGAACCAAGAGAATCAGAGATGCTTTACGGCCCGTCAATAGGCGCGGAGCTCATTATGGAGATCCTCTGATGTAGAAGATTGTACCAGTATCGAAGAAATCACTAGCAGTCACCTCTATCTGTATGCCTGTACGCTCACTGAGAGTTTGAATATCGTATGTTTGGATATTTAATTGGGTAATGTTGATAATATACAGGTGCTCAGCAAAGCATAAGCAGCTCATGTTCGTTCGTAAAAAACCTGCTAGGGACAATCTGCCCTGGCTCTGCCGCCCACACTTCCTCCAATTGGTTAAGCGCAGCTTCCATAACTCCCATCCCAAAAACTCTGACGAGGTCTCGAAGGTATGTACGGGTAAGCTCTTTCTGATGCGGGTTCTGGGCATATACACCGAAAACGAAAACCGGCCATGTGGCTGTAGTTGCGATGGGGGAGGTGGGCGGTAATTGTGATAGTAACGATTCCAGACTCTGGAATGCTTGGTCAATACATTCTTGGGAATTCTCACCGGCAAAGCGAGAGTCTAGAAGGAGAAGAAGGCTTTGCTGATACAGCTGGGCGCAGAGGACTAGTTCTTGCTGATCGCTGCGGGGTTTCCATTCTTCGATTTGGGCTCGTAAGTCGTGATATTTGTTGGTGAGACTTTGTTCTGAGGAAGTAGGCGAGGAAGCTTGAGATGATTCTTCCCGCAGCAAAGCAGAAACCTCTGGTGCTAAAGTAAATAGCTCGTGGGCACAACCGCACAGGACTCCAATCTCAGGACTTGGGGCGGAGGAAGAGATTGTCCAGGTGCTTGGTAACATAATGGATGTCGGAGGGCAATTCGTCGTGAATGATGCGAGGGCAGCGTTGTAAATGTAAAGATCAGTGGCGAAAGATACGATACTGGGTTGGGTAGGGGTGATATTTGAATTTTTCACATAGGCCATCAAATGATGGGCGCCTTCTAGAGTGACTCTGCATCGCTTTAGGATCATTACCCCTTGTCGCCTGGTATACCGGTTAGTCTATGTCCTTACCATGGCAGAGGAATACCTACCTCCAAAAGATAAAATATGAGGACGACCAGCAAAGCTCGCCACGCTGCATCTACACTACTGCCCTGACCGAAAGCGGCCGGCAGCGCAATTCGAAGCTGCTTTAATGCGCTTGTGTAACTTGACCACGTCAAAGATTGCAGATCTGAGTTGAGTTCAGGGAGTCGTTGCATAAGATGAACCCCTGACAGCGCAAGAATTGTATTCATTAGCAACTCATCCCCCAGAGCAACGGGCAGTAGCGTATGAAGAAATGGGTTGGCGCTATCTTGTAAACACGTGAGTCGATTCGCGGTGTCTTTCAGATAATGATCGAGAAGTCTCCAAGTTTCTGCTCCAGAGAGCACTGATCCAGGCACAGAAAATGGAGATAGTGACGCAGGAATGGTGGCAATCGGTAAATTGTGATGCGCACTAGACGAAGCCAAGGCCCACGCGTTTGAAGCGGGTACGGGGATAGCGTTGGAAGCCGCTTGCTGCTGCAGGGTTGATCCTACACCAGATCCGCTGGCCGGTAGACTTGGGTCTGGCCAGACACACCGAAGATCATTGCGCAAGCAGGCTGCGCAGGTGGGCTTCACCTCGTCGCATTTCTTCTTGCGACGCCGGCAGGAGAGGCATCCTAGGCGAGATCGAGCCCCGTTCGTGCGTAACATGGAGGCTGGACAACACTCAGTCCATCGCGGGGGTTTCAAATGCGACGTGCGCCCCAGGGGTCGCCGGTTGATAGTTGATATCACTTGTCAATCACAGTGAGGCAGATTGAAATCCCCTTTTGTTCATCCGGCGGAAATCCGTCTCATTCTGCGGCAGAGCACGTGATCGGGTCATACGTTCTCCGCAGCGCGTCGGGGGTGAATATCGATTTCTCTACAACTAGAACTCCAAGCGAAGTTTGATTCTACGTCGACTCGCAGTGATACCAAATATCAAGGGAGTCCTGTCTCGCGCGCCATGGAAGACCGGGCAGCCCTTGACAGCTTGTTGTCTCGCCTGTCCCTGTGGGTCGACACCGGGACCCCCTTCCGGCCAGGCCAATAATAGCCAGGGCAAGTCTTTCCTACCGAGTTAGAACTGCCTTCATTTGGCCATGGAAGATGCAAAAATGGTACTTATGAGCAGTTCGTGAATGAGATGCAGGACCGTGGGCTTTGCGGGGGGTGATCACTTGAGCCCGGGCCTGCCCGTGCATAGTTGGACACAGTGGAGAAATCGACATTTCAGAGCGCTTACAGCGCCAGCGAGAAAGGATTGGTCCATTAGAAATAACTTGTGACAAAAGGAGAAGTCAAAAAAAGCAAACAGCACGGAAGGTCATCCCGATTACATACTATTATGGATCCTCTGACTGAGGGGAAGGCTTTCGCCGATTCCCCCATATATAACCTTGGGATTCATGGATGGCGACAGAATAAATCTGTGTCAAGAATCAAGAAAGGAAACCCCTACGACTCTCGATAATCCAAAAAGGCCTCACTGCCCCGGTGTAAGTTTGTCTAACACTTTCTTCGACTCTTTTTCCCGCACGAAGCACCCCAGTTTCACAGCACGATGCCCTTCTCACGCTCGTTGACCATCGTCGGATGTCATTCCGAAGGCGAGGTTGGGGATGTGATTACTGGTGGAGTCCTAGATGTCCCCGGAAAGACCATGTACGAGAAATTGGTACATTTTGAGACCAAAGAGGATGGCCTGCGACAGCTCCTTCTGAACGAGCCCCGAGGCAGGGCTTCGATCAACACCAATCTTATTCTCCCAGCTTGCGATCCTCGAGCAGATGTCGGCTTCCTGATCATGGAGAGCGAGGAGTATGCCCCCATGTCTGGGTCCAATACAATCTGTACCACCACAGTGCTCCTGGAAACTGGGATGATCCCTATGAAAGAGCCATTCACTGAAGTGATCCTGGACACGGCCGCTGGGCTGGTGACCGTCACTGCCGAGTGTGAGGCTGGGAAATGCAAGAGTGTCGAGTTCAATAACGTTCCCTCTTTTGTTTTTGAACTCGATTATAAAGTCTTGGTGCCTGGAATCGGACAGGTATCTGTTGACATTGCATATGGTGGCATGATGTATGTTTTAGTGGATGCGGCTTCATTGGGCTTAATGGTCGACAATCAACAATCTCGCCAGCTAGTAGAAATTGGCGAGCGTATCAAGCGCGCTGTTGAAGCGGCATATACACCCATCCACCCCGAGAATCCTGGAATTAAGGGATTCAGCGTGTTAGAATTCACCGAGCCCCTGAGAGTTGAAGACGGATTCAAGGTAGCATCAAATGCCGTTGTTGTTTCTCCAGGGCGATTTGATCGGAGTCCCTGTGGTACAGGGACATGTGCGCGTCTAGCGGTGCTGCATGCTAGAGGTGAAATAAAAGAGGGGGAGATATTCAGGCACCGCAGCATCATTGGCACTGAATTTGTTAGTCGCATTCGTGGGACCACAAAGGTCGGAGAATATCCGGCTGTTTTGCCTACTGTGAAAGGCCGAGCCTGGATCACGAGCTTCAAGCAGGTCGTTCTTGACCGAACAGATCCATTTCCACAAGGATTTCGAGTAGGTGATCAGTGGCACATTCCGCCAAACTAAAGACCGTTCAGAATTGTCAGGATACTATCATAATCAGTACATCAGTCTGTGCGGCAGCCGCTCGGGACTAATGTTTGAGGCTTAATATTGTAGTCTATTGTGAAATAACAATATCCGATGTATCAGAGTGATTTTCTAACTGAGACTCCCAATTCCAGGCTTACGTATGGCACGGTCAGTTTACCCGATTGGGAGAATCTCACTTTTCCGAGCCGAAGCCAAGCTGATCGTCGCCCAACCCCGCATCCTCACCCCGGAAATTGCCCTCCGCGGCTGGAGAAGCTGGAGTACAAAGGTCAGCCAGCCAAGCCTGGCCCAGAATAGAATGGCCACCCCAAGAATTCTGAGTTTGTCAACACGAGTTGCCAAGCGACAAGAGTTCTAGAGGCGTCTTGATTCACAATTCAAAATGGCTGGTCAGAAGGGAACTGGGTCCGACCATGTTGAATATACTGCCAATAAGGATGCCACAGACCAGGTGGTCGGAAGAATGCCGACATTTCTTCTTGCCATGACTGAAGAAGAGAGGGAGCTGATGGAGAAGAAGTTGGTGCGGAAGATCGATGCACGCCTACTGATCATGCTTGTCGTTATGTATATTTTGAACTATCTGGATCGCAACAACATTGCATCTGCAAAGCTCGCCGGTCTCGATAAAGACCTTAATCTGAAAGGAAATCAGTATCAGGTACGTCGTTTTTATTTTTCTCTTTTCCTTTTTTAAAAAAGCCAAGATGTTATGACTGACGGCTCTAGACCTGCGTCAGCATCCTATTCGTCGGCTACCTATTGATGCAAGGTTCGCTCCTCCCTCTCCATTTCTTGGCAGATACATGAGCTGTGTGAGCCTAACTCAAGGATAGTACCTTCAAACATGATTCTGAACAAATTCGGAAAACCATCAATTTATCTCCCAGGCTGCATGTTTGCGTGGGTGTACAATTTCTGCCGCCACTGCTGCTACGAGAAACTTTGGAGGGCTTTTAGCTTGTCGATTCATTCTCGGGTTTGTTGAAGCAGCATACTTTGTAAGGCGCCCTTCCAACCATTCGCGATTTCAAGACTAACGTTAAGAAGCCTGGTTGTCTTTATTTGCTCACAGCATGGTATACGCGTAAGGAGGTTGGAAAGAGAACTGCTCTCTTTTACTGCGGATCTTTAATTTCTGGAGCTTTCTCTGGTCTCATTGCCGCAGGAATCACGCATGGATTGGCAGGAGCCCGCGGTATTGCTGCCTGGAGATGGCTGTTCATAATCGAAGGAGCTCTCACGGTAAGGCGCAAAGTCTATCCAAATGGTACTTCTAAACCCAATCTAATTTCCACACAGGTCTTCGTGGCCCTCTTGTCAATGTTCATTATCCCAGATTTACCAAGGACAACTTCCTGGCTTACCGAGGAGGAGAAGGAGCTTGCCGCCTGGAGACTGGAAGCTGATATCGGTGAAGATGACTGGGTTGATAGTGAACATCAGTCCATGTTCCACGGTGCAAAGCTTGCTTTCACGTATGTCTGTGTAAACACAATATAACCAGAAAGATCACTAATCATGGATATATAGGGATTACAAGACCTGGTTGCTACTTGGTGCAATTTATGGCCTCACCTCCGCTGGGGCTGTCACAACTTTCTTTCCAATGTTAGTATCCTCTTATACAGTTATTTTTTAGCAGAGCTAATCAACATCATAGTGTCATGGCTGGCCTGGGAAAGAGTACTGTCGAGACTCTTCTTCTGACTACACCTCCGTACCTAATCGGCGCAATCCTGGTTATGATTAATGCATGGCACGCCGATAAGACAGGTGAGCGATATCTACATATCGCACTGCCACCCATCGTGGCCATTGTTGCCTTTATTATTGCATTGTCAAATACTTCATTTGCTGGTCAATATGTGTAAGTAGTTCAATGACGGAACCGCGAAATACCTATTCCTATTCTAACCACGTTTTATAGTGCTATGTGCCTCATGATAGGGGGTATCTATGCAGGATATGTGGTTTGTCTGGGATATATTTCGAATAGTAAGCTAAAACAGTAGATACCGATAGGCTAAGGTATTGACACGTCGATAGTTCTGCCCCGGCCTGCCACAAAACGAGCCGCAGCCCTGGCTCTCATCAACTGTCTGAGCAACGTTTGCCAGATCTATACACCATACCTTTACCCCGGTGAGTTATATACTATCGTGTATTGGAAAATACTAGCAAACTCAACTAATATTCCCTCTAAAAGATTCCGCCAGCCCAAGATTCGTCGCTGCTTTTTCACACAATCTCGCCCTGTGTGCCATGACCATTTTCTTTGCAACGATTATCAGAATTGTTCTTGGGCGTTTGAATAAGCAACTGGACGAAGAAGAGGGCACGAATATTGGTCCAAGTAGAGCACAGGAGAACGAGAACGAAGAACATGGCCTACCTGGACAAGCAGTTGTCCGAGGATTCCGTTTCTTGCTTTAAGCCTCTGGCAACTACATGGAGAAAGCCAAGCCTGCTATTAGCCAATAGATTTTAACGAAGTACTTTCTTTCGACTAGCACTACTAATTCAAAGATTCTATTAGATCTTTATGAGTTATCGCCCCTTGAGACATAATTAGCCACAAACTACACATCATTTACGTACCGAGTTGAGCCAGGGGGTTGTTTTTGATACCAATCACTAAAAGTCGGCACGGAGCAAGCTATGACGCTAAAGAGAGTGAGATCAATATTATTGGTGGAAACCGACAATAATTTCCCCGCTTAATAGCTGTGAGAATGGACATTTCGTGAAATGGGCCTTTTCCGGTTGCTTTTCCGGGCGCGCTTTAAAGTCCGAGCTCGGGCCTGTGCGTGTTTTGCTGCCAAAAGAAACACGTAGAATTTAGCCGGTGCTATGTCCCTTTCCATCCATGTTCAGCAAAGCAATCGGATCGTCTCTTTCATTTTCATAGTATGACGGGAATCCATCATGCCGGCGTCGAATTTAAGACGCAAAGTCCAGATAGGAGAACGGATTGTAGACGAGTCAATGAAAATGACTTTCTTTCTCCAAGAATGACGAAGCAATTATCACCATCCGATTTGCCTTGGTGTTGGAATTATTCCTGAGGCCATGAAAACTCCATTTGAATCACAGATTTTTAGACGATCGATACTATATGAAGATTAAGCCAGAACACCATTTCAAAGATATCTCAGTCTAGTCTTATTTCCAGGCCAGTGAGTAAGCCATACCTAGGTAGCAATACACATGAGCATTTATCTCACTAAAATGGATGAAGGAGCTGATAGTCAACATAATCAAAAGTGGAGACAATAAAGCGACCTAGCAGGGGGCGAATGACTCGCGGGGTACCCCGGACTACCTACCCAAGGAACCCTGGGGTCAACCTTGCTTGATCTCTTCCACGCTGATCTCCCTACAGCATACCCCAGGAGCAATCGACTAACTTGAAATCATAAAATTTCGGCCACATGCCCGAAGACAAGTCCATCAAGCGCCGCCCAGGCAAGGAGCGGGTTCGAGTGACGCGCGCATGCGACACATGCAAGAGGTACGGTTTGATCTGAAAATGGAAAAGAGTTGCAATTCTGACAACCTGCCTAGAAGAAAACTTCGATGCTCAGGTACACTACCTTGCTCTCTGTGTTTTCGCTCTGGAATCGAGTGTCAGTACAACGCGGGTTATAAAAGAGGAAAAATTCCTAGCATTCCCATCATGGACCAAGATGAGATCCTAGGCCGATCCCCACAAAAATCAACAGAAGAGAAATCAGAGAACTACCAGTTGTCTCCAGTGGACACTCTTATTCTGCCGACAGAACAGCAAAGTCAAGCTACCCCAATTGCTCAATCCAATGTCCAAGACAGTGATTGCTTTTCAAAAGGCACCACGCTATCTGGGACCCCTGGTTCAATCTCGCCATTACAAGAACGCGTTTCAATCAAGGACAGAATCCAGGCCTCCTCCGGAACATTACAGAACGAACAACAGGTCATCCCATCTCAAACTCACCAAGAAGCAGACGAAATTGACCTGGAAGGACATTATGTTGGGCCGTCTTCTGGAGTGGCCTTCTTGCTTCGAGTGCAAAAAAGACTCCATGAAAACCTTAGATTTTCACCATCAGAACTTATCTTTAATTTTGGCGACGCTCCATTCCCGAATTGCGATCCACAGTTTCTAGTGCTTCCGCCGATTGATGAAGCTCTTATTCTGGTCAATAGATATTTTGAGTTCTCTTTCCCTACTCATCGCTTCCTGCACCAGGCAACTGTGGAACAATGGGTTCATTCATTTTACTCGGGAATCCAGGGAGTAAACGAGAATGTCAGCCGAGCAATCAAGGCTTTGATATTGATGGTCATAGCCCAAGGGAAGCAAAATTCTTCTGGCATGGAAACGACGGCTGGTCAATCAGTCAACAGGTGAGTGACTGCATTTAAATCGCGAGACTTTCTCAGAGACTCGGAGCTCTACGGCCCCCCTAACTAGATGACAGTAATGCTTATTTTGCGGCCGCGGAGAACCATTTATCACAAGAAAAGGGCCCCGTCAAACTCTCAAGCATCCAGGCTCGCTTAGCTCAGTGCTTTTATCTTCTCTCGGAATCACGAATGAACCATTGCTGGAGTCTTTTCGGAACTACAGCTCGTCTGGCGCATGCAATTGGATTGAATAGACGAAAGAGACGGGAGATGATAACAGACTACGTGGAAGAGGAAAGCAGAAAGAGAGTATTTTGGTGCGCCTACGTTCTAGACAACTACATGAGTGCAGCTCTCGGTCGACCAAAGGTTTTCCATGATGAAGATATTGATCAGGTTAGCTTGTGTCGCAAATTCTGCTTTTGAGACCCGTAGTGACAAAGATAACACCCAGGAGCTTCCAGCGTGTGCGAACGACTCTCAGATTTTACAGCATACTATTCTTCCGTCTCATTCACCAAGACAAAGCCTGATGCTAGCCTCAATATACCATGCAAAGTAAGAGAAGACTCGGGAACGAACATTGAAATTGAAATTTACTTAACATTATTAGGCTCTCTCGTTTGATTAGCGGTATTCTACGCGACCTCTATGGAATCCAGCAAAAGCCCCTCGTCTTACAGGCAGAACTTGCGCAAAAGTATGAAACTGAACTAGCCGAATGGAGAGCAGGGATTGCTACTTTTCTTGATACATCCAATGTCGAGCTGCTTCAAATAACTTTCCAAAGGCAGTTCAGTGTTTTGTATCTGGCATTTGAGCACGCTAAAATTCTTCTCTACCGGCCCTTTCTCCTTCGAAACTTAGCATCCTTGGGAAGAGAAAGAAGTGCTGCTCATTCAAACCTCCAGGAGGTCATTGCCCAATTTGTGAGAACATGCGTTGAGGCTGCTATCAAAACAGCCGAGATGTTCAAAGATCTATGCCGGACTAGGCGAATGTATAAATCATTCTGGGTGAGTCTTCCTCGGTCGAATATGAGCACATTAATGCTAAGCCCAACCATAATAGTTCACACACTACAATGTTTTTTGTGCCATCGTGGTGTTGTATGTACACGTCATTCAGAGTTGGTCAGAACCGGATAATGAATACAAACAGTATCTCACGATCGGAGAGGAGGCCCAGCTTGAACTTGCGAAATGTGGATCCCAAACATCATTTGCTCAGCGATATGTCGTTGTGCTGGAGGAATTGCGAAAAGAGGCACGCAAGATCACAAGTCATTATTCGGGCCAGCGCGAATTATTGAGCATAACCCCGAGGGAAGAGGTCGCCGAAGCCGCCATCCGACAACACGCCGAAGGAGAAACACTCCAGCACGCACACGGCCAAGAACATCAAGATCTCGATGGTTGGCTTTCCGAGATGGCCCAAGATACCAGCCCAGCATCCTATCTCGCGGACATGACTGGTTGGGGGGGATTTTGACTCTTTTGTGTTAACCGGGCTGGGAGATTTGAGTCACCTGTTGCCCGGGAATAGTTCTTGATGATGTTCTTGATGAGTTGTGTCGGAAGGCTTGCGCTAAACCTTGGAAGACGGCCACAACGATATCCTATCCGAAACCTCATAAACTAAAGGGATATGTTTCTTCTTTCCCAAGAGCTGTCTTCGGCTGGATGGTCTCCAGAGGCTTCACGGCTTCAGTGCGATCAAACCAGATATATCCGTCAAACTGCTTATGAAGAAAGGCGTGAGAATAATGGGACCCTCGCTCAGTATCGGGCCGATATATCACACCGATGAACCTTTCAAGTTTCTCTTCAGCTGCCATTGCCGCTCGTAGAGAGAGATCAATGCTATCGTGACGAAGGTCAATCAGGAAACTCGGGACGCCGGTCTCATGGGCTACCATTTCCCAGCTTTCAGCCATAGAAGGATTCACATCCATCACCTCCATGTCCTCATCCCACTCATGAGCAGCTGCAACGGTACCGGTATGTGTTCCGCACCCAAGAAGGCAGACATTCTCCCAGCCTAGTCTTTCCCGGCATAACTGACCGATGTTGACCTCGTTCCGACGAAGTCCCATGCTGGTATAACGCGCATCACCGACGTGCGAGTTGTGAGCCCAGACAATCGCTTTATGTCTCAGGCGCGGGTCGGTATTGCATCAGTCGGTGCAGAGTGTCAAACATGTGCGTGTCTCGCATTGTCCACGACGCTGCCGAGCTCCAGTACATTGCTTTGTAGTATTTCTCCGCGTCACGCACCAGATAGGCATTCTGTTTTCCGCTCTGGAATTCCTCTTCGCCGCCGCCCGCTTCTTTCTCAATATATTCCAATCTCCGATTGAGGAGATTTCGCAGAATATTCATAACCTCGCTTTCGCAGTCTTTCATGCCGTGTAGAGAGGCTAGTCCGTATGAAGTAGGATCTTCCACCCATCGTTCCAAGCAACTGTATCGTTTTCTCGCCACCTTGGCTGCTGCGGGGTCTATGCCGTCAAGATAATCGATGACTGCACGGATAGAAGCTCCCATACTGTAAAGATCCAAGCCATAGAATCCTGCGCGGTTTTCTGGTGATTGGCGCGTGTTCCAGTCGCGTACCCATTCCACCAAGTCTTGCATTTCACGGTTGCGCCACATCCAAGTTGGAAATCGTTTAAATGGTTCATGTCCCTTGGCTATACCACCTATACCTGCTTTGGGCCCCGGTCGCATTCGAACGTAGCGGTCGATTGCCTCGGCATCGGGCCAGTCTGCTTCGAGGGCAACCATTGTGTAGCCATGTTTCTGGATGAGTCGTTTGGTGATTTCTACTCGTGCAGAGTAGAATTCCGAGGTCCCGTGGCTGCCATCACCTAAAAGAACAAGCTGTTTACCGGCAAAGGTATCGAAATGGGACGCGAAGTTATCGTCATCAATTGCAGGCAAGGGTTGAATTGCCCGATTGAATAATTCCTGTAGATGCGTCATGGGTGCTCTTGAAATTTAGAGAGAATATCTTTGCATAGGTCGATAAATTTCTAACCTTAGAAAACAATATGTTTGGCGCTAGATTTTTAATGTCAACTTCCTTTAACATTGCGGGAACATTGTTTGGATATTTCCAACGGCGGCGACCCAATGATCTCACACCCAAGTAAGTGGCCAGTCACAATGACTTCACGCCCGCGGAATAACTCAAAGCCACAGATCAGTCACCTGAACCCCTGGGAGTGAGATATAAGTCTTGCCACACTTGACTTCCTGCTGTGGTCTTCTCCGCAAATCATCACCAGAGAGCTAGGGTCGTTTTCTATGCCTCGAATATCGCAACATGGCACTCCCTATTAGCAGCCCATCCCCAAAACTCGATCGCTTCCAGCAAGCTATGGAATCTCTTTATGGGGATTTTAGCAACATCGAAAAGCCTGAGAGCTGGACCCCACCTCAGCGATCGGGGGGGCCATCGTGGACGCTACCTTTGGTCGGACGCATTTGGGGTGATCAACCTGCTGACAATGCACAAGGAGTATTGCCGTGCAGGTAACGACACTGTCAATGATGACCGGTATCTCATCATAGCCGGTCGTTTGATAGATACCGTGCATGATGTCCTAGGCTGGACAAGAGACGGGCACTCGCGACTACCGGGAGCTACGGATGACAATCCGTTGGGTGGCGGACTTCGAATCGGCAAAACGGACGACAATGGATCTGACTGCGATGGACAATATCATCACTACTTAACAATTTGGATGTTCGCGCTCAATCGCATGTCCAAGGCCTCTGGTAATAACGCTTATAATCGCATGGCTGTGCAATTAGCACGGGCGATTCATCCTAAGTTTTTCGTTGATCGGTCCAGTTCCAAACCGCGGATGGTTTGGAAGATGTCTATGGATCTTTCTGCGCCACTTGTTTCCTCCGAGGGAAACTTGGATCCTATCGATGGCTTCGTGGTATTTCGAATCCTGCAAGCTGCGGCCATGGAAGCCGGTGATGGTGAAGTGCTGGCAGAAGAAATCAATGATTACAAACGAGTCATGGAGCGTAAGGGCAAGCACTTTGTTTCCAGCGATACTCTGGATCTGGGAATGACATTATGGACGACGCATTGGTTCTCCGAGAACGAACAATGGGCCCTGAACTTGACAGAAAGATGTTTCGAGCAATTATGTTAGTAAGATTCGGGGCCCTTTTGGGGCCTTCACATTTGAAGCTTGTTTCTGACTTAGCATTTGCAGACAACTTGTTCGAGATTGATCGGTATCTGGACAGAAACCTCAAATTTCGCCTGGCTTTCCGAGAATTTGGGACCTCTATGGGAGCTCAATGTCAATCAGAACATATGACAGAAAAGGAAGGATCCGTCGATCTCAAGACTTGGTCCGATTCGATCATCGCTGCATGGGATCCATATATGGATCTCACGATATCACAAGGGCTCATGCCTGACGATTTGAAACCGATAACTCGCGTTATGTATGCGTCAGCTCTTATCCCGGGAGGTAAGTGCAAACCAGTTCTCTCAAGTGGAAGTGTAACGTTTACGCCATGTACTAAGATCTCCCATCAAGCTTTCTGCGCAGGTTATTTTGGATCAGAACCTGATGCCAAAGTTGTGATGGATAAGAGGGGTGAGTCGAGTGATCTTTGAGCTCACATATTGCAAGTGGAAACTTTCAAGCGATGAAAAGAACTGAAGAATGGAAGATGCCTTGTAAAACAGTAATTGGGCGCAAATGCTATTTCTAAATGCAGGTTTGTTCGGAATGAATGCAATCTATCATAAAGCGATATTATCAACAGGAAAAAATGGATGAACCATACAAATGCTCATACTCCCGGAATGCCAATAACCTCTCTCCAAGGCGCTAATGTTCTCGGGAGAATGTAGACAAAATATATGGCTCCTAGTGCCACTGACAACCCAGTCCACTAAAGAAGCTGTTAGTATGCTTGATATCCAATTTTGCAAAAGCGAAAGAGGGCCTCGATAGCTTCTCACCTTCTCTAGCCACGTATGAAACCAAATAGCCGTCATGAAAAGCATCCACCAGCCAAGTCCGACGACACCCCAGACTAGGCGCAGCGACCAGCTTCTCATCGTCCCAGGTATATCCAATTGTTCACTGGTCGAGGAGCTTGCGGGATCACTCGGCTTGCGGTGGCGGGTTGTCTCGCCGTTAGCTTGCGAGTTCACAGATGGTGCAGTGAAAGCCCCGACGCCGATGGCCTCGAAAGACAGAAGCGCAGTTGCGAGCACCAGCATAAATACATGTCCGCTGATATCATGTCCACCTTTCCAAGACCCACCAGCAGCCTTGCAAGCGACAGCAGTAAACATAGTTTCCAACTGGGCGGCTGGGCTCTCCTCCGAGCCTATCTTGCCAACTTCGTTCAATATCTGTTCACATTTTCCACCCGTAATAACGAAGCTGCGGTCGATAATAGCCGGGCCAAAGAACCACTGTGTCATCAAGTACCATATTGAGGTCGCAAGTACATAACGGAGGGAGGCTTGGAGGATGCGTCGGGGGCGTGTTTGCTGTTGGGTTTGGGAGGACAAAGATCGATAGGCTGGTTGGCAAAGGAGGAGCGAGAAGAAGGCTAGAGTTGTCCACAGCCACCCAATTTTCACAAAGTATACATTGAAGATGTTGTTCTTCCGGGCGAAGTAGTTGACCGGGCTTTCGGAGATGTACAGGTCGGCAGCGAGGGAGGGTGCCAGAGGTCCGGACGGAGAGGATGCGGTCGTATGCCCCCTAGATGCGCGCGCAGTCGGGGAGATGATTGAGAAGATTGATCCCAGCAACAAGGTCACTGGGTATACCAGGAGGACGATCTGAGACGGAGGGTATCGGGGGTGGGCGGGCATTGTTATTGTGGGAGACACAGGGTCAAGAGAGACTAACAAGGCCTGTGTTGGGAGTGTATTGCGTTGAAGGACCTCAAAATTGTATTTTGATCAATGTAGCGACATAACTGAGGGTGATTGCGTAGGGGAGAAGGGGTGAAGGTGTGGAGGGGAGGTTGAAAGGCGAATGAATGAATGAATCCTGATGCCACACTTGGAAGCTGAATGAGATGACATCAACCGCAACTGCCGAGGCATCAACATTAGCGGCCTGAGCCCTAAGGCGGTCAACATCATCATCATCATCACCACATCGAATTTGGGGGAAGCCTGAGATCGATCTCTATTCAAGAACTTGAAGGTAGTATAGGATTTTTGATTCACTTGAATTTTGTATTACTGATGGGCATGCTAGACACCAGATGTATGGTATAGGACCAGGCGAGCTGGATGAGCCGAGCTGGATGAGTTCAAGTTCAAGCCGATGGGAAAAGTATCAAGACACACACTTTCTTCTGCTATTTATCTGCTAGTCCCAATTTTCAACTGATTTAAAGAGCGCGCACGCAGATTATTTTGCTTATCAACATTAGTGGGTGGAGATCATGTTGGATTAACACGGGAAGCCCAGAGCGTGCCAAGCTCATCAACTAGTAGATCCCAGGAAAAATTGCTAAGGATATGTGGAAATTACCTGAAAGGGTATTTCCGGAGTAAAGAATACGGGTCTGCTACGAAAAAGCATACATATGAGGATTGGGGAATTTCTCCACATAAAAAGCCATAAAGTACTGAAAGTATAACTCCTGCACTCCGTAGAGTGTGAGTGTGGTAAAAGAGGGGACAACAAGAGACGGGTCCATCGGGGATTACGAAAAAAGGCATCGAACTCATGGTAGAGAGATAAGTAACAGCTTCCAAGGATAGTCCTGCATCTCCGCTTTTAGTGGTGACCACCGTCCCAGCAGGTCGGGTTCTACGCGTGCAGATTAGGTAGGGAAAATCCCAGCAGATATCCTAGCTCCCTCGCCCAATACATATAGACTGGGCCATGGACATATCCCCCGCCCGGAACTTGAAAATGCGTGATGATCGATCCAGAGGCTCTGCCACTACCCGGGCACGCAATGCAAACTGCTTAGCGCGCAGGAAATATTTTGACGCCGCACACTGCACTACCATTCGATTCGGATGAAATTGAGTGCGTCAAGACCGAGGAGAAACAATGGAACCAGAACCTTTCTCAGTCTGGTTCAGTCCCAGAGCAGCGGTTCATTGGAAGCCAGCGGGTCGGTTCTTGACTTTGTGCGGATCAACGCCCGCGATTCGACTAATTATCACCGCTCTTTCGGGGAGTAGACCCTCAAAGAGCATGCCTGGAGGAACCTTTTCAGTCTGATACCAAACTGTCGGGTCAGCCACTCGTGAAGAAAAGAAGAAAATGGAGCCCTTGCTGGGGTGCGGAGCGCGAGATGCGAAATCGCGGCCGAGATGAGCGAAAGGCGGACCCGACACTGCGGCACCCTAACCAGCAGGTCTTCAAGCCGGAGGGGTCATAAGACTAAAACCCCAGTCGGTGTGGCGGTTGACGCTTGGAATCTTTGGATTTTCTCTCTCCTTCAATTTTTACTGATTGTACCCGCGCTTCTTTCTCGTTTTGTCTCCTACCCCGAGCCCGGCTCACCCGATCGATCCCTGACCTGGCCTCGCCAGATCAGGGCGATTGGCCATGCATCACCAGTCAGATCGCGGCTCGCATGCTATGGAACTCGATGTGCGTTCTCCCTCCGTCTGGATCTAGAGATTCTGTGAAGAGCCGCACTAACCCATTTTTATTTTATTTCGATATACAGCCGTCGGATGCCGACTCAGCATATGATGGCTCGTGAGTCCCCCGGTCGCATTCTCAAGCTTCTAGGGATTTATCTAACCCCTGAATAAAGGATAAGCAATCAGAGCTACACTGAGAGCATCACATCAACTACGTTTGATTACCAGTAGGTGCACATTTCAACAGCTATGCCAGAAAATCGACTTCTAACTTGATCTTGGAACAGATATGAGGTGAATTTCCCACTGACCTAACATTGGAACGGGTGTTAAGAGTAGTAGAACGGTCGCAGGTATCATTCATTCCACGAAGGCGAATATCTTCTGGTACGCAAGCCACTTCCTCAATTGCCGAAGAAGTTTCATTGAACTGACCTTATGGCATAGCCCAACGATGAGCAAGAGCAAGATCGTCTTGATCTAGTCAGTCTGCGTGATTCTCGCAACCCCGAATGTGCCGATGCTAACCTCAACCCCACATCAGAGTCATCATATCTATTTAATGCTGCTCAAAGGGGAGCTATGTCTGGCACCAGTCAAAAATCCGGGTCGGGTACTAGACCTTGGGACCGGGACTGGAATATGGGCCCTTGATTTTGCAGAGTAAGTGCTCATAAGCGATCACCACCAAAAGCAAGCACTTTACTGACTCGATCCAGCGATAATCCTGACTCAGAAGTCATTGGTATGTCAAGATTGTGACGTGCCAAACATTATTTCCACTCAACTAATACAATTCAGGTATTGATCTGAGTCCCATACAGCCCGCATGGTAAGAAACCCCATTCAGTAGATGTTATGATGGAAATAACTAACATGTCCAGGGTACCGCCGAATTGCCGGTTCGAAGTGGATGACTTCGAAGAGCCATGGACTTATAGCCAAAAGTTTGACTATATCCATGGACGAGAGATGGAAGGCAGCATTCGTGACCACGATACATTATTCGAGCGCGCGCTCGAAAATTTGAATCCAAATGGCTGGTTAGAAATGGCCAGCATGGAGGTGAACTCTTACTCAGACGATGATACTCATCTCCAGGCGCCAAATTTGCTGGAGAGTGGGAAGAACCTGCACGCAGCTTCAAAGCTTTTCGGAAAGGATATGTCATCTGTATCAAGCTGGAAAGAGCGCATGGAGAAGGCAGGATTTGTCAACGTCAAAGAAGAAATACTCAAGGTTCGTCGTGATGGTTTTCTAACACCATTAGTATTGATCCGAAAGATGCTTACCTCCTATAGCTCCCTCAAAGTCCATGGTCAAAGGACCCAAAGCTCAGAGAGCTCGGAAAGTACCACCAGCTGAACATGCTTGAGGCTATGCCTCCATATAGTTATGCTCTGTTCACTCGCTTGCTTGGTTGGAACCGCGTACAGATCGAAGTACTGCTAGCAGGTGTACGTCGCGAGCTTAAAGATCTTTCGCTTCACCTTTATACAAACGTACACATTATCTACGGGCAAAAGCCTGGATAACATAAGAATATCTCAAAAAGAAGAAAAAAGAGTATTTAATTATTGACGACACCATATGATATCCCATTTGCAATCTTGTAATGGCATTCCGTACTTCTCTGAAATTAGACCACTGTAGTCAAAATTAGCAACGATATCTAAAGAGGGATTAGCGTGTTAACTTACTGCTCATCAGATCTCTCCAAAGCTCATCCATATAAAATAGGGATGAGATGTGACCTCCAGGAATCAATTTCAGTGTCGCCGATCGGTAATTTTTCAAAAGCCAAGAATTGGTGCTTCCCCCAATTTGATCGCTTTTTGATCCAACTATCAGGATGGGCTTAGATCCGTGCTGATCATCAAGCACCCTTGGATCGAACCCCCAATCGGAATGGATAATGTCCGATACTTCCATGAACCCAGCCCAGTTGAGACAACATTTCATAGTTCCCTTGGCCATCTGGTCAACAAACTCGTCCTCTTTCAATGAATTATTCTCCAGCCAAGATTCCATTGTCGACCTCTCTTCTTCATCCATGTTATCGATGAGCGTTTTATGTAAAAATTCCCGGGTCCCATTCAAAGACTTCAGCTTGGACCCAATAGCGACTCTGAAAATCCATTGAAGTAGATGAAAAGGGATGAATTGTGTAGGCGGCCCAAACGAGAACCAATTTTGCCAGTTGAGTGTTTTTGCATAGCCTTCGTGGTAGCGCAAAGGAGAGAAGCCGGCCATCAGAAGACATCCTGCAATTCTGCGCCCAGCTGGGAATACGTCGTAGCTGGCTCCGTATAGCATTTGTGCTGGGACCGTTCCGTACGATCCACCCGCAATATAGAGTTTATCAAACTCATCTGTTGGGTACAAAGAATGAAGCAGGGCAATCATATCTTTTGCGAGGCATATCTGGTAAGGAACTGAAGTGTCTCGCGTACTGGTGTTGCCCATACCTGATAAGGTAGGGGCAATCCAGTGCGCTCCAACTTCGCGACATGGCTCTGGGACTCTTGGTGCAGATCCAACACTGAAAAGTCCCGTGAAGAAAATAACCACAGTACGAGATGTCTTTGGGCCGTTATGCGCATATGCTAGTCGTCTTCCATCTGGTAAGATCAAGACGTGTTCTGTTTCTCCTGCCACCCTCTCATACTCGGTCTTATTTTCCATTGATGTGTTTTGAACGAAGCTCGCGGGATACTTTCCAAGTCGATCATAGTACGATCCTTCGAAGGTGAGTTAAGTACCACGCGGTCGTTGAGACATGGGTGAATGTGGATGAATGGGAGGAAGCAAAAGGGGACCGCTCGTATTCCAACGGGCTCGGGTAAGAAACCTCGGAATCTGAGTGACACAAGCCACTAAATTAATGTAGGCAGCCAGCCCCACTGCCCAGGTGTAGAATGCGACTTGTAATTCTCAATTTGGGAAGACTGTTCCGATTAAATGCGCAGTCATATTTGAGGCGTTCTGCAAATTCTGTCTGATTTACACATCTGCAGGTGTCTATGCCAAGAAAAATATATTGTGTGATCAATCAAATTTCCGCTTATGTATATTCAAGATCGCTTGTTAACAAAATAATCAGGGTATAATTGTTTAAGTCCGCCGGTCGACGTGAATTTTATTCGCTTCGTTTCGTAGAAAATGCAATTCACAACATTGATTGCCATTTAATGTATGCGGGCATTATCCATCTCAGCAATGATGTTCGAGAGTGAAGTCGACTGATGTAGCCGCACATCGTTGCGTGTTTGTTTCCATCCGAGGATTTGATTTATTTCGTCATTCTCATGGCGTGGTTGGTCAGGGGTTGCCGGACTTCCAATATACTCAACAGATATATTCTCTGGTGTTCGAGTGATGATGATTTTCGGGACTGGCTTCGCAGACTCGGTTTTCAATGATGTCGCATCACCAGGCAACTCGGCAATTATAGCTTGGGGCACTGAATCGGAAGGAAGCTCGATGGGGGCTTGGAGTTCGATGAGGCCTGAGGTTCGCTCAGTATCACCTGTAAGTTCAGGAGTAGGTTTCCTGGCAGCCTCTAGCTCTGAGAAGGATCGGGGGTGGAGTTCATTGGAATCAGGACCAGATTTAGAAGTCTGAGCAGGAGAGAGATTCTTTAGGTGAGTGAAGACTTTATCGAGCCTCTCCTGGTGCAAGATCAAATTGGATTGCTTTTCGTAGGCTTTTAGACAATCCTCATTCTTCCAGCGTTTCTTGTTCGAAGAGGTAATCTTGCCCTTGCGCTTCACCATATCCAGGCGATGCGGCTCTAGGAGCTTTACCAAACTTTGACCTGATTGCAACGCGTCATTTATAGTGGAGTTGATCCATTGATGCTCGATCTCTCCCAGCAGACCCGATTTCGAGTTCCGAAGTTGCTTTGCTTGGTGTAGTTGAAAGAAAGTATTATCCGTCATATTTAACAGCTCTCGGATCTGCAACTCTTGCTGTTGGTCTTTGCTGGAAGGATCGATCAGCTGGTATTTGGGCGGCATAGTGTCTGTTGAGCATTCGGAGAGTGGATGTGCGGATTGTGATGAGTTGGATGATATTGGGGACTCTGATGATTGTGACGATTGCGAGGTCTGAGGTGATTCGGGTACTGTGAATTTTTGGGGCAGCTGTGGATTTGGTGATGATTTGGGCGATGTCAATGGCTGGGACCATTGTGTATTTTGCGAGGACGGCTCGGCGGGTAGACTAGGTTGTTGGTGCAAGGACGAGGGCAGGGATGCCGTTGATTGGGAAGCTTTAATGATTTGGGTTTGATGGTTCTCGAAGGCATTATTCGGTGTGTAAGATAGATTCTGCAGCCGGTCGGTTGACTGGTAAAGCTTAACTGCTGAGCGATTCAGCATCTCTGCGGCCGATTGCCGGCACCGAGTCTTCGAATTTTTCCAGGTATCTGTAGATCGTTGCCATGCGTCCATGGTTGACTGATGGCATCGATCCTTCGAGCTTGTCACTGAATTTGAAGAGCGGTGCCAGGCATCTGCGGTGTTTTGCTCATATCGACTTTTGGTGTTAGAGAGGGAATCAGAGGACCGATGCCATGCCTCCACTGTCGCTTGATGATATCGTTCCTTGGAATCAGACCAGGCTTGTGTAGACCGACGCCACATATCCTCCAGCTTTGTTGACTGCTGACATTTGTTTGCTGGCTGCTGTGGCAGTTCGTCCGCTTGGGTTTGCGCGTTTGCAGTCGCCATTTTGGAAATTGTATTTTGATTTACGTGCGCGGGGGTGATATGGAGAGCGTAGAGATGGAAAACTCGTCGACAAGAAGCTGGATCAAGGCTTCAGAGTAAGCAAGTTTTGAACATTCAGGTGGGTTGCCTAGCCTGGGGCTTGCTGTTATAAGTTCCGAGCGATCGAAAAAGCTCAATCAATCTGACGCCCCTGAGTGGGGGTGTAAGCTTGATTCTTTGGCATAGCACGGTCGGGAGGCGTTTTCTAGGGGCTTAGAGGCCGAAAGGGCCATTGCACATTTATCAGCCTAAGAATGGATAAGGATCGACCTTGTTCGTGAACGGGATTGGCCGGCAATCTGCGTAACGAGCACGCGGGCTGGCGCAGGTTGGGGCCAAAACGGTGGTGGAGAATCTATGCCAAGTATCATTGGCTTGTTCGTATCAAAGCCAGCTTTCTCACAGCCTTGCTATTTTTATCATGCAAGGCGGGGAGGGCGGTTTTTAACCTGTCCATACGAGACCCTGTAGAATCATCGCTGGGGCGCATGCTAACATCTCCACACATGGTTCTTAGTGTCGAATCTAGTATAACCTTGACTCTAGTAACCTTTCTCGGGATTTTTATCAGAGAACAAAATAACACCGAGACAGATTGTTTTCGGTGGATAATTCTATGTGGCCATTTTCGCGTGACTTAGTTGGATGCCCTACGAGATGTTTCATTTCCGGCTTTGTACGGAGTTCAGAGCTTTGACTATTCTTGTATCTCTTCTGCCTACGACAATTTTCGGGAACTTGGTCTGCCTGATACTAGAAATTACATGTTGAGTGGCTGTACATTCAAGTTTGTTACTACTGTTCTATGATTTGTCTCTCTACAGAAAGGGAATTTCTGTGCTTTATAGGATAAAATTACCCAATAGCAGAGATCTTGAATGCTAAATGGAATTCTGCAACTTTGTAATCCAACATGTGAGTGCAGAGATTGAATTGAATTCGCTTAAATTTTCATAAATTTGAAAGGTACTTAATTTTGCATAAATAACCCCTAACACCCCTCGCCATAAAATCTCAGTCCCGATTCCAAGGCTCAACGATCATGATGATTTAAAAGAAGTATATCTAGTCTCTTTCGCAAAACCCCTCTGCCGGTTTGACTATTGAGAGTAGTAGTATTCTCGAGCAGATCCAGACTTATGGTTCCCTTGCACCCTGACAGTGTGAGATTCGCTGTACGGGGGCGGGCAATTGCTCATTGAGTTTGGCTGGTACATCGGGGAATCTTGGACGGAACGGGACTGGGCTTGCTGTGTCTGATGCCCGTTATATGGTTGTTGCTCAGAATTAGGGCCCCATTGTGGATACGCGGCTTGGTTGTTTGGCTGATTTTGATACATGTAGCCGATTTGTGATTCATTCTGGCCTTGGTATGGTTGCATATCTTGATTTTGTCGTTTTTGTTTCTTGTCTTCATGGTCATTTGCGGCTCTATTGACTTATAATTAACACAGTGACCCATAATTAGCTAAGAGACATTACTGACCTTGATGCAGCTTTAATGAGACCGTAACCGCCAGCTAAGGCAAGACCAGTTTTGATAAGACCCATTTTGCTTATAAGAGGTGGAGATGATGGAAGATAGGAGGTGAAGGTTGCGAAATGTCAGGCTTTCAAATCGAAATATGGGTAGTTCTGTTGATGAATAAATCGAGACTTTGCAAGAGTAATGCTCGGTATTTATAATAGCTATTTAATCCAATCCCCTGGTACTGAAGTGTAGTCTTCCTCGGAAAATAGCTCGGGTTTTGCAGATGACGATCTACTCAGCCTTGTTCAGGTGGGGCCACCGCCCCTACTAACCATGGAAATGGCCCTACCTTACGCCCGTAAGGTATTTTGATTTTGCGGCCGCCTAATGAACCTTTTCCCAGCCAATAAAATACCATAGAAAAATGGCTTGTTCCGCGCTATTCCTAAATCTATGCAACAAACCGAAGGCGAAAGCGAGTGCTATCTGGGGCCCAAAACCTCCATTTCAATAAATTTTTATTCCCCGTTCGTTTCCATTGCTGCGCCCAGTGACGACAAGACACGCGCTAACGACATCCCACGCTCAAAAAATATCACAAACCCGAGACCGAGCTGCTGCAATCAAACTATTCTCAAACTCACGGCCGATTACCTTTTTTAAGCCACAAGCCTTTGCGGATACTATCCATGCCACCGCGCCTGAGCCACCGCAAGTCCACTACCGGCTGCCTAAGATGCAAAGGACGGAAAGTTAAGGTGAGCACCCATATTGTCGCTCGGATCATACATGTGCCAATCCTTCTGTAGTGCGATGAGAAACGGCCTCAGTGCAGTCATTGCGCCCGGCACAATGTCCACTGCGAATGGCCTCCACTGACGACTCGCATCTACAAACCTATTCAATCAAAGTCACCAAATGGAACTTCCAGGAGACCAGCCCAACCAAGTCCTGGTCCAGGACTCCCTTCGCCCGGGTTGGGTGCGTTACAGGTTCTTGAACTGCGGCTTATGCACCACTGGACAACAGCAACAGCAGATACTATGAGCTCCGCACAGCTAGCATCTGTGAAAGAGATGTGGAATATATCTGTGCCCCAAATGGCGTTTGAATATGAGCCACTTCTTCACACATTACTCGCGCTCGGGGCAGCGCATCGATCGACACTACTCCCCAATGAGGCGAAGTCTTTGCGCCCAGTCTATCAAGGGTATATCGATTCGGCTCTCCAACGGCACAGACCAGTCACTTCCACTTTGGACGAGAACACAAGCGAGGCCGTTTGCCTCAATGCAGTTTTAATCTCACTCTACACCTTATGGTTACGGTCGGAGCCATCGACAGAGCCTTATGAGCCTCCAATGATGTGGCTTTCCATGGCACATGGAATTCGAACCATCATGAAAAGCGTTTTCCATCAGTTGGTTCGAAACAATTCTCGTTTATGTCCCCTACTTTTTGCACAACCCACACTTTGGGATAAGAAAGAGCCAATTCGTGCATACGAGGGGCCTTCAAGACCATTCCAGTTCCTCCTTGAATATCGTGCCGAGGAAGAGGTTATGGATGATAAAGATACGCAGGCATATACTGTAGCCGTTGAACACCTCGAGAGCCTATACATCGCTATTGATACAAGTGAACCGACGTTCATGATTCGCAAAATATTCATGGGGTTTCCACCGGTAGTATCTCGAGACTTTATTCGGCTGGTTTCTGAAAGGCGACCTCGCGCGCTAGCGATTTTAGGCCGTCTGTTTGCCATGGGAAAAACGGTGGACAATACCTGGTGGCTCCATGGAATTCCCGAGAAGGAAGTTATTGGTATCAATAGCATCATGCCGATTCCATGGAAGTGGACAATGGATTGGCCGCTTAATCTCATCTCCAAGAAGTCGCCCATCAACCATGCTTCCCCACCTGTTGCCGATCGGACGGGAGTAGAGGCTTTCTTTTAAATCACTTCATTGGTATAATAATAATAAACATTTCTATCTCTCAATTCAATATATCCGGTCTACCCTGTCCATTTAGCAAATATAATATAGTGAATCGGTCGCCATACAGTGGTTTCGGTATCTTGTCAAGCAATAACCCCGGAAGGGCTTCTGTTCCGCCTTTCCAATAAAATTCTTTCGTTCCTAACACCGATGCCAATGGAAATTTCTTTCTTTCAAGTCTGCGGGGCCATGAAAATAGGGTGTTGAGCGCCTAGCCTTGCACTAACTAGTTCTACTACCATTATGTATGAAGACTTGGAAATAGAGGAGAAAAGGCACAAGCCGCCAGGGTCCCCAGCATGTCCGGACCACGCTAGGCGTCGGGTTCGGTTAGGTCTCCCTAACGGACAAGTGCCCAAGGATTGGCTAGGCGGTGCCGATCGGTGTCCAGCCTCACAGTGAGCTGTAAGTCAAAATAGCATTGAAAGCTTAGCCTGACCTCCGAATGAATTAAATAGCTTAGCTTGGAAGCACTAGACCTCTAGAATATTAATCTTTCAGAACAAAACGCGTCCTCTCTTACCACAAATTTGATCATTGGCCTGTTTTTTCTCAGATAAATCTTGCTGTTCTTGTGACTTCTATCATGACTTCCTCAACAGAAGGCCTTGAGCTTGCTCAACTTGCTTTCTACGCCTTTGCATCCCTTCCTTCTATCTACTGCATCGTCAAACACGGAAAGGTTGGGCTTTTAGGCTGGCTCTACGTATTCGTCATGTGCGGTCTGCGCTTAGTAGGGAATGGGGTAGCGTACCATGCCCTTTCCACAACGGGTGAGCCCAACAAGGCAGCTTCCATTATCAGTGGCATCGGTCTTTCGCCACTCTTGTTAGCCGCAATTGGTATTCTTCGCGAGTCGTAAGTCTTGATATGTCTTTTCTACTTATCTAGATGGGATTTTAACTATCGCAGCAATCATTCGATCCAGTCGAAATTGCCAGTCTTTCTTGGTGGATTTGGTATGCTGATTCCTCATCTCGTCGTTGGTGGCGGCATCGGACTTGCAGCGGCAAGTGGAAACAACAAAACTCTGCTTGAGGTCGGTCTGATCATTTTTGCGACCGGTTGGATAATGGTTGTTGGGCTGGTGGTACTTTCTGCCAAATCAAACGATCACCGCAGCCGACTCGAGGAGGAGACCAAGGTATGTGATGTATCAAAGGTCAACTTGAAGTCTCCAAAGATCGCCGCTAATATAATTAGCTTCTTCACGCCGTCATGATTGCTTTGCCCCTCATTGGTATCCGCCTTATTTACGCCATCGCAATTGTATTTAAGTACAAGAATGCTGCTGGCGGAAGTCTAGCCGTCCAGGTCATTTTTGGTACTTTACCAGAGTTTTTGGTCATGATTACTTACTTGTCTGCTGGGCTTGTTACTCATAACTTGGCTCGCAGTCGTTACCAAAACAAGCCAGGCCCCGCTTCTGCGTCAAACTATACTTCTGTCAGAGTATAGAGCCATCCATTCTGAGTCTATAATTGCCTTTGGTCTTCTTTGTCTGTGAACTGGAGAGTCGTGATTCTGTTTGTCGTTTCTAGCGGATTTATTAGTTAATAAAATTTATTTTCATTCGTTAGAGTCTCAATAAATTATTTAAAAGGTCTTCCAAGGATTGAATATCCAGACATTAAGCTGAAGCAGTTCTCGACGTGAAGTATACTGTATCCGTCCTAGTACATTTTTAGCGAATATTCGAATTGCGATCGGCCACAACCTCAACTTGCTCCGCAAAAAGGCGTCTCGAATGTAGAATTTACCTAACCGTGCAAATCGATGGCCAAGACCCTTCCTTAGCGTGAGTCAACTGCAGTCAGTCTGAGTTTGTGTGAGTCGGGGGCCTAAAGGGTCAGATCATTGATAGATTGACCAATCAGCATCGCCAGATCTGCACCTCCAACCCACATTCCTCCCAGGCATCCACGATCCTTTCGTGTCAGCGTCACATCTCCTTGAGCCCCCCTTTTAAGGGAGCTTGGTATACATAACCGGGCGTGCTCCAAGGGCAATCTTGTGTACTGTGTAGCGTCTTCACGACTTCAATTGCCATGTCAAACTCGTGGCCGCCGTGCTCAGCGGTAGACCAGGACGTCTTCGGCCCCACCGTTGCTTCTTCCTGCCACCATGGCTTCGATTTTACCCTTTTTTTTGAAGAAACAATATTGACCTTGCTGCCGATATTGCTTGTCTGGCTAGCGGCTTTATTCCGACTCTGGACCCTTCGGCATGCCTCGGAGAAGGTCAATCGATCTTGGCTCTATGCTGCGAAGGAGGTATGACAACCATCTGTTTTTATCGAGATACCCTCACTAAATTGTAGCGTCTAGATTGCTTTGTCATTGAATATAGCTCTTCAATTGATTATGCTGGCTTTGTGGTGTCGAGATTCGACTCCGACTACACGCGCGACCGTACCCACTGGTCTTGTGGCCCTGTTTACCTCCTCCTTCTTGCTCTACTTGTCGCATCTCGAACATATTCGTTCACTGCGCCCATCAACTATCCTTATTCTCTTCTTCGGCTTCACAATAATCTTTGATCTCGCGCGCCTCCGCACTTTGCACTTCATTCCACAGAACCAGCCAGTAACATTCTTGTTCGCGACAAGCTTGATCGGCAAGGTTGTTATCCTGGTCCTTGAATCCACAGAAAAACGCCATTTGCTCAAAAAGGGATTTGAAGGAAGCGCAGTCGAGACCACTTCCAGTATAATCAATCGTTGTCTCTTGTGGTGGATCAATGATTTGCTTTATAAAGGATCGAAAACAACCTTGACAGTTGAAAGCCTGCCTGTCCTCGCTGATGATATCAGGGAATCGTCAGATCCCCAAGACCTCGAAGAAATATGGGAAAGAGGTAAGTCAAAATAAATAGTCTATACTTACTGGGAACTTTTTTGACAAATTTTTTTTTTTCATAGCCAACAAATACAGATCGAACGCGTTGCTATGGACCTTCGCTTCTCATTTCAAATGGGATTTTATTGCGGGCGTCATTCCTCGCCTCGCTTTTACTGGCTTTTGCTTCGCACAGCCATTCCTGGTCGAGCGAGTCCTTGATTTTATGGGTGAGCCGGAGCATGTCAATTCTGACAACTATGCTCGCGGTCTCGTTGCTGCGTATGGCATTGTCTATGTCGGTCTTGCGGTATGTGAACGCCTCCAGAATTCCCGAAAAGGCTCAACACACCTGACACTTCTACCTTCAGGTATCATTTGCCACTTATCACCATAAAATCGACCGGATGGTTACCAAGATGCGAGGAAGCCTAGTCTCCATGATATTTAGCAAGACACTACGACTAAGCAGCTCGGCAGTGTCCGATGCGTCAGCCATCACATTGATGAGTACTGACATTGAGCGCATAGCTACTGGTTTGAGAGATATGCATGAGGTTTACTCGAATTTCACAGAAGTTGCGATTGCCCTTTGGCTGTTGGCGCGATTGCTCAAAATCGCCACGGTCGCTTCCACGCTGGTCGTGATAGGTAAGACGACCCTAGTGGAAGAACTTAGATCAACGCTAACTTCTTTGTGAAGTATGTTTGGCTGCTGGTATCCCACTTGCAATCGCTTCTGGTAATGCCCAAGGCGTATGGTTAGAGGCTATCGAGGAACGCGTTGCAGTCACATCAAGAGTTCTTGGTGTGATGAAAAGTATCAAAATGACCGGCCTGACAAACGTCCTCGCAAACAATCTTCGTGATCTGCGATCTCAGGAGATCAAAACCTCATATGCTTTCCGGCTGTACAACGTTTTGATTATAACTTTCTGTATGTCTGTTCCCTACCTTTGATACGAATACTCTGACATGGAATTCAGCGTTCGCCTCCAGCGCCTTATCCCCAGTCGTTGGATTCGCTGTTTTTGCCCTTTTAGCTCGAGGGGAAGAGGGCGTTACTCTCACAAACGGCCTTGCCTTCTCTGCCCTGACACTTTTCTCCTTGCTTGATGGGCCTATGATTTCACTTGTGGACGGATCAGAGGACCTCATGGCTGTTGTGAACTGTTTCCAGCGAATCCAAAAGCATCTGATGGAGACGGAAAGAGTTGACTGTCGCCTTTCGCACGACTCGCAAGTACCTCAACTGATCGATGTTGCTTTCACGGATGATGAAAGCACCCATCGCCCGTCTTCTGCAATCATTCGTGACTTATCTGCCTCCTGGTCGGTTGACGACGACCCAATCCTCAACGACTTGGATTTCGAAGTCCCCGCTGAGCAAATAACGATGATCGTTGGACCAGTTGGGTGCGGCAAGTCCACTCTTTTGAAAGTCCTGCTTGGTGAAATCCCAGAATGTACCGGGTCGGTCTCGACCACCTTCAAGCATGCGGCCTACTGTAGTCAGTCACCATGGATCACATTTGGCACAGTTCAGCAAAATATTGTGGGTGCATCTCCGTTCGATCAAAGATGGTATGACCGTATTATTCGGGTCTGTTCTTTGCAAGTCGATCTTCAACAGCTTCCATTCGGCGATCAAACCAAGGTCGGTGTTCGTGGATCGCGACTTAGCGGCGGGCAGCAAATGCGTGTGGTAAGTAAACGAGCTTGCATGAATTACGATGACCTTGTCTAAAATTGGATGTAGGCACTAGCGCGAGCCCTCTACTCGAGACAGCCCGTACTAATCCTTGATGATGTCCTAACCGGACTAGATCGAGAAACAGAGAAGTGTATCCTGGAGGCCGTCTTCGCGTCACAAGGTTTGATGAAGGAATTCCGACAGACAGTCATATTGGCAACCAACTCAGGTCCGAAAACATGACATTCTCCTAGTATTTATGCCGACTTGGGCTAATGTCTCGATAGCACATCATCTTCCTTACAGTAACTACATTGTCGCCTTGGGTCAGGATGGATCCATTATCGAGAAAGGCTCTTACGATGAATTGGTGGCTGCAAAGGGCTATGTTAGCTCCCTTGACAGCACGGCAAGCCGAGTGAATACCGAAAGGGCACCAGATATTGTCCTAGATGATGAAACGTTACAGGAGCTCAATCTGCCAGATGACGAAAATGCCGATGACACGAGTCGACAGACCGGAGACTGGTCAGTCTACTTGTACTATTTTCAGCACATTGGCTGGCCCCTTTTGACACTCTTTGTCGGACTGTGCGGTTTTTTCGTACTATGCATGATAGCCCCACGTGAGTCGATCCGAAATTTAACTTGACCGATTGCTAATCTTGAGTTTTAGAAATATGGCTGCAATGGTGGACTAGCGCCAATGAAACGAGGCCTAATGAAAACATCGGATATTGGCTTGGTGGATATAGTGTCCTCGGAAGCTCGATTTTGTTGGCGGCGTTTCTATCCACTTGGTTTGTTTGAGGCCCGTCATCCCTGTGTAACAATCTAACAGCTTCTCAGGGTGCTCGGAATGGTCATTGAACCTAAAACTGCTCATAGTTTCCACGAGGTCTTGCTGGGTACAACTATGAGGTACGTTTGCTGTCACCGGTTTAACTAAAGGGCTACCTAACAGATTTTCAGAGCGACAACATCCTACCTGACCTCGACCGATATAGGTGCCACGACGAACAGGTAAGTACTAGATTGACTGGGCTGCTTATTGTTGCTAATGGAAATCCCGCACTAGATTCAGCCAGGACCTGGAGCTGATTGATGAAGAACTGCCTGAGACATTTGAGTCTACAGTAAACGGAGTTCTCTTCTTCATCGTCGAGGGATTTCTCATCTTTGTCGGATCTTCTTACGTGACGGCCGCAGTCATCCCGTTCTGTATTCTGGCCGTGTACTACGTTGCGCGGTACTATGTTCGCACATCTCGCCAAGTCCGTGTATTGGAAATTGAGTCCAAAGGACCTCTCTTCTCCAAGTTCTTAGAGTCGCTCAGTGGTCTCGCCAGCATTCGAGCCTACGGGTGGAAAGAGCATTATGCGCTTCAGAATCAGATTGCTCTTGATGCGTCTCAGCGCCCGTTTTACATACTTTACTGCATACAGAGATGGCTAAGCCTGGTTCTTGATCTCATCGTGGCTGGCATTGCAGTTGCCGTGATTGCCATTTCGATGTCTTTGAGAGGAAACTCTTCCTTGAATATGATGGGAATCGCTTTGTTCAATATTGTGAACTTCAGTGGGACGTTGAAGATGCTCATCAAGGAATATACAGGGCTGGAGACATCCATTGGGGCTATTTCGAGAATTCGTTCATACGTGAGAAATGCCAAAACCGAAGACCTGGATTCCGAAGTTGAAATCCCACCAAGCCTTTGGCCTCTTCAAGGCGATGTTGAAATCTCGAATTTGTCTGCCTCATATGAGTATGTTGTAAATTTTCGGGGGCTGTGAACAAATTGCTTACTTGAATACAGCACGTCATCGGAACCAGTTCTTCAAAATGTCAATCTCAAGATTCGCGCTGGTGAGAAGGTCGCTTTATGCGGCAGATCAGGCAGGTTCGTCTTCTTTCTGGCTCTCAAAATTACCAGTGGTCAGTACTTTGATATTGACTTTTTTCGTTGATTCAGTGGCAAATCTTCCCTTGTCTCAACTATCTTGAGACTTCTCGATCTCAATAGTGGATCGATCATCATCGATGGAATCGACATTTCAAGAGTCTCTAGGTCTCACGTTCGCTCACGCCTGAATACAATCCCACAAGAGGCGTTCTTCCTGCATGGCACCATTCGTCTAAATGCCAATCCCGAGGGTGATGCAGATGACAGTACCATTATCGGAGCTCTCCAGGAAGTCAACCTCTGGTCGTATATTGAGTCAAAGGGAGGATTAGACGAAGATATGACAGAGGAGCTCCTTTCTCATGGACAGCAACAGCTCTTTTGCCTTGCCCGCGCTCTTTGCAAGTCCAGCAAAATCTTGATAATGGATGAGGCCACCAGCAGGTATGTGGAAGATAATATCTTTTCTTTTAAAGAAGGAGGCCCTCGCTAACAAGCACTAGTGTGGATTCTGAGACAGACAAGCTCATGCAGCAAGTCATTCGTACCCATTTCAAAAATCAAACAATCATCGCCATCGCCCACAAGCTGGATACTGTTCTAGATTTCGATAAAATTGCATTCATGGATCATGGAAAGGTCATCGAGTTCGATGCACCGAAGTCCCTTCTATCGAGAGAAGGGTCGGCGTTCAAGAAACTGTTTGATAGTTTTCGGCAAGAATCCGAATGATAGAGTGGTAAGGTCGCAGACGGCATGTCATACATGGATTAGAAGAGGGTCATCTCTATGTCCTGAAAACATGGATAGATAAACCTTAATTTAGCGTTCTCCTAATTTGTTTATTTTTCTGAAGTAGGCCTACTACTGAACTGAAATACGAACATAAGCTCATCACAAGCGGTAGCCTTGGTGCAATCCTAGTAGCATCGGGCCCGCAAAATTGTATACTACGAACGCATAAAATTGAAGTCACGGATAATATAAACACAGTCCTGCGGGTTTCCCAAGATGGCAAAGTAACCGATGTGGAAGAAACTGGTCCAAAGTTACATGTTGTCGAACATACCTCAAGCCTGACTATCTATGTTCCCAGAGATGGAAAATCGCAGAGACTTTGCTTTTGCAAATTCTTACCAGAGCGGCTTGCTGAATGGCTAGTGGCAGGTCCAACATCACAGATCCCTGACAAGATCGAAGCCAAAATGGTGAAAGTGATGACCAATGTATCTGCCGTCGTCCCGTCCGTTCTGGATGATGTCTTGGATCGCGAGGGTATGGATGAAATCGACGTCATATATGAGGACATGAAGGTTAGCGATGAAGATGACGATGAGGAGAACGAGAATAATGCACACAGCACTGAGAGTCTTGGAGAGCCAACAGCCACGGAAAGTCATTCTCCTACCGAGAATTTCGAGTCCTCGACACATTCTCTGGACTATATAATTGCGAGACAAGCCCCAATGGCTCCTCCATCACCTCGACCCAGTCCCTATCCCCTAATTCCCGTATTCTCGCCCAATCATGCTCTGCAAGATGAGGAATCAGAAAATCAGGATGTTCTCAACCATATCATTTCAGCCGCGCGACGAGATCCTTTTCCTTCAAGAGGGATATTCAACATGGACCACTTGAATCAAGCCCTCCGCGAAGTGATGGGAGACGAACAGTATGAGGGTTTTGACGGCCCTGGGGTGGTGGGTGCATTTCGCTCCAGCAGTCAGTTGGAAAGAGACAAGAAAATCAGGGCGGCGGGAGAACTCTACGTAAATACAAAATTTCCCTAAAATATCTCGATATTATTAATTTCGCTAATTATGTGCAGGCTTTGAGATCCTTAGTAGCAGGCTCGACCAACCTTTGCCAAAGTGGACCAGTGAGAATTGGCAAAGCACCATTCGCCGATACATGACGAGTCATCCCGACTATAATACAATGGCCCCCTGGTACGGACGAGAGACAGCAGACTTTGTCTATAATGATATAGAAGGGGTGTTTACCTCTTTGCTTATTGATCATAGATACTATATTGCAGCCAGCGAGTGGGAAGGCAGACGACTGAAGTACTTTATTAAAGTCAAGACCACAACAAGACCGTTGGGAACTCCTTTCTACATGAGCAAACACCAATTTCAGAGAGTAAGTAAACCCCCGAGAATTTAACATGGGGAGTAGATTTAACGAGGTGTAGATAGGGATGATTAATGACAAAGACTATTGGGAAGTCTATTTGATCCTACGCGTGTTCGATATATCAGGGCCTAATACTGGGATTTGTTTGTACTTCAACCCGGAACGGTTAAGATTGAATAGAGGGTTAGTGTTTACCGGTGAGACGTGGTCGGTTGTTCCTAGATAGTTAGTTCCATTATGATATGCTATAGGAATCAATTTTGTGTGAAGTTTTCACTGCTTCCTTGTAAGAAATCCCTAGAGGTTCTCGAGCTTTGAAAGTAGAGCCGGAGGGCACAAACCTACGTAAAAGAAGTGGATGACCGGGTAAATATTTCCAGCATTTTGGCAAAATGGAGTTCGCCTCAGATTTATTTCACCGACGATTAGCCGTAATGAGAGCAACCTCAGAAAGTTTCCAGCACAGATCCCGTTGAAATGAGTGCAATCGGGCAAGGATCGACCACGTCTCCATAATCTAGTATCTCCATCCCGTGGCGTGCAATTTCATTGCCGGGGACACCCGACCGGGGAATTCCCAGTTTTGCGCCGTCTCCAGTATTCGGGCTAGCGATGCACTCCAGAAAACTCGGGGGTCTGCAACAGTGGGGTAAGACGGTGACATCGATGTGCGTTAGTGAAATTGGAAGGGCGCGTTCCGCCCCAGACCCCGTATTGATCGGTCGCGATGTTTGTATATTTGCCGACAGTGCCGGAAAGAAGATTCGTTGAATACTGCCTGGGGCTTTGACGCAAGACCCGAGTTACATCGGCAAGGAATATACTCTGCGGTTGACTGCAGAGGTACCGTTCAGACCTGATGGACAGGAAGCCGATTGGCCGAGTCGTCGCCCATCCGATGCCGGGGTGGATAGCGTGGGGGAATAAACACGCGGGCGTTCAAAGTACACAATGCCTGAGCACCGTCATCGCGGAGATAATACCAGTTGCATAGTAGCGCACGGCAGATTTTCATAGACGATGAATTACTCGGCCGACCGGGAGATGAAGTCGGCACGAAGTGAAGCATCGGACCACCGAGCAGACCGCCGAGCATAGAGGATCCGCGGCGTGGGCCGCCATCGATCGGTGTGAAATCATCATAATGCAGGCCGGGGCATAGCTCGATTGCTCGGGTGGACAGGCTGAGTACGAACCGCCTGGGCATGCACGTATTGCGCCAGGGCCAGGGCCAAGGACAGAATCGACACCAAAATTAGTGAGAAACCCCTCTCACGGATGACTAGTCGACAACCAGCAAAGTCATCTAGATCGAGTGCATCGGCTTCTCTCAAGCCTGGATCCCCGCACTTGTTGCCCCGGTGGCTCCGGTCCCCACGGTAGCCAAACGCTTGGCTCTGTCGGTGGCGCAGTGCATGTTTGCATTGTACGACACGGGGGGTCACACCGGTCAGGAACGAAAACGAGATGAGATGCCATCAAAGAGAAACGTCTGTGTGGCGATTGTTTAAGTCCGGGCCGTTCAGGGTGTGTAGGATATGCCGATTCGGGTAGATTGGAATAAAGAATAAAGGAACAAAAGCGGGGAGAACCGTGGTCATAATGATCCGGCGCCACGGATGGAAGCCAAGCATACGCCATGTGGGCACCAAAAGGTAGTAACTTCTGGGCATCCAATCTGCTGTTGGGCTTGGTGTACGGGTAAGCCAGCCTAAAAAGAAATCGCATCGCCAAGGAGTTTCTCCTTTAGGAAGGACCAGTGGGGATCAATGGGATGCTGGCTGGGTGCTGAAGAGTTCTGAATGCCCTTCAGTTTGGTCGAAGGCGCAGAGATCACTCCGTACATAGATTGAAGATTGAAGATTGATGGTGGGGGACCATGCAAGGAACTCTGTTGTAGAGGTAGGTCGATGGGGGTGTCGCAGTATGGGATGGTTATGCAGAAGCACCACGAGCTGTCAGACACCGGAGAATTAACGGAAATGGGGAAGAGTGGAGGAGAGAGAGAGGTGGATGGAGAAGGCAAAGAGAAGGTAGCATTGCAGTGGCAGTGGCAGTGGAGATGGAGAGAGTAGACCACCTCCCGTCTTTGTTTGTTGCCGTTGCTGTTGCCGCAGTCTCTCTCCTCTTCTCTTTCGCATAGTTCGACCAGACTACAGACTACAGACTATTGGGAATACCATCTACCATCCCCGGAATGAATCAAATCCAGCCATTCGCAATACTGATACTTCAAGGAGAGATTCCTCGATTCTCCCCTTTGAAAGGCACGCATCCCTCGCGTTCCAGCCACCTTCTCCTACGAAGGGAGTCCCTCGACAAGATGCTCCAAGCCAACCAGCGAGGCTAGTGTGGTCCAATGGCTCAACACTAGTCCATACACAGTTTGATGTCCTTCTGTCGAATATTGCCCATCTGCTCGGTGAAATGCAATGAGCCCAGTCAGCCAAGTTTACAGTGTCGATCCTTTCCCCAACTCCCCGCGTCGCTGAGTGGGCCGATGGAGCCGAACTGAACGTTGCCCCCTTCTTGTAAACATCCCTGCTGCCATTTAAATTCGTCCGGTTTCCCCTCTACCTGGACGGATCAGCACTCGGGTCTCAATTTCTCAGTACTCTGTACTTCTTCGGTACTTGGTTCTCGGCACCCCCGTCTCCTTCACACAGCAACTATGAAGCTCGGTTGGCTTGAAGCCGCCACTTTGGCGGCCGCCTCCGTCGCCAGTGCATCCGTGAGTACATTCATTGCGCTAACTATACCCGTCGCGTTGATTGTTCAAAAGCTCATTGTTGTCGCGCGATCAGGACCTCGCATACTCTCCCCCACACTACCCGTCCCCATGGTCGACCGGCGATGGCGAGTGGGCCGAGGCCTACAGACGCGCCGTGGAATTCGTCTCCAATCTTACTCTTCCTGAGAAGGTTAACTTGACCACTGGTGCTGGGTATGTACTCCCAATGACCTGACTGCTGCACTTGACCTCTCTACACCGGTCTCGGGCTAACGACATTCGCAGATGGGAGCAAGAAAAGTGTGTTGGTGAGACTGGTGGTATTCCTCGGTAAGTCGGAACAATTGAGCCACGAGCGTGAAGAATGAAATGATTGACACGGTCCGTAATAGACTTGGAATGTGGGGCATGTGCATGCAGGACTCTCCCCTGGGTATTCGCGACAGTAAGTTTCTCTACCCACCAGAACTGTGAACTCAAGATGCTGATCTACAAACAGGTGATTACAACTCGGGGTTTGCGGCTGGTGTCAATGTCGCCGCTACTTGGGATAAGAGACTTGCCTACCAGCGTGGTCTCGCGATGGGTGAGGAGCATCGTGATAAGGGTGTGGACGTTCAACTTGGCCCTGTCGCTGGACCGCTGGGCAGGAGTCCCGATGGTGGTCGTGTCTGGGAGGGTTTCTCTCCCGATCCCGTTCTGACCGGTGTGATGATGGCCCAGACCATCAAGGGTATTCAAGATGCTGGTGTCATTGCTTGCGCCAAGCACTTTATCGGTAACGAGCAGGAGCATTTCCGCCAGGCCGGCGAGGCTCAGGGATACGGGTACAACATCTCTGAGAGCGTCAGCTCCAACATTGACGACAAGACCATGCACGAGCTGTACCTCTGGCCCTTTGTCGACTCCGTTCGCGCGGGTGTTGGCTCTGTCATGTGCTCCTACAACCAGATCAACAACAGCTATGGATGCTCCAACAGTTATACCCTCAACAAACTGCTCAAGGGCGAACTTGGTTTCCAGGGTTTCGTCATGAGCGATTGGGGTGCGCACCACAGTGGTGTTGGTGATGCATTGGCTGGTCTCGATATGTCCATGCCCGGTGATGTGATCCTTGGAAGTCCTTACTCCTTCTGGGGAACAAACCTGACCATCTCCGCCCTCAACGGTACCATTCCCGAATGGCGTCTTGACGACATGGCCGTCCGCATCATGGCTGCTTACTACAAGGTCGGTCGTGACCGCGTCCGTGTTCCTCCCAACTTCAGCTCCTGGACCCGTGACGAATATGGCTACGAACATTTCATCGTTAGCGAGAACCAGATCAAGCTCAACGAGCGTGTCAATGTCCAACGTGACCATGCCAGTGGAATTCGCAAGCTCGGATCGGACAGCACTGTGCTTCTGAAGAACAAGGGCGCTCTTCCCTTGACTCACAATGAACGCTTCGTCGCAATTCTGGGCGAGGATGCGGGCTCCAACCCTGCCGGTGCAAATGGCTGTTCTGACCGTGGCTGTGACGATGGAACCCTGGCCATGGGCTGGGGCAGTGGCACTGCTAACTTTCCTTACCTCATTACTCCCGAGCAGGCTATTCAGAATGAGTACTTGAACTACGGAAATGGTCAGACCAACGTGTTTGCCGTCACCAACAACTCGAACACCGAGCAGATTGCCGCAATGGCTTCCCAGGCCACCGTTTCCCTAGTATTCGTTAACGCCGACTCCGGCGAGGGTTACATCAACGTTGATGGCAACGAGGGTGACCGCAAGAACCTGACCCTTTGGAAGAACGGTGAGCAGCTCATCAAGACTGCTGCCGAGAACTGCAACAACACCATTGTCATCATGCACACCCCGAGTGCCGTCCTCGTCGGCGACTGGTACGACAACGAGAACATTACTGCTATTCTCTGGGCTGGTCTTCCTGGTCAGGAAAGTGGTCGCAGTCTCGCCGATATTCTCTATGGTCGCATCAACCCCGGCGCGAAGACCCCCCTTCACCTGGGGCAAGACTCGCGATGCCTATGGCGCTCCTCTGCTCACCAAGCCCAACAACGGCCAGGGTGCTCCCCAACAAGACTTCTCTGAGGGTGTCTTCATTGATTACCGCCAATTCGACAAGGCTGACGAGGAGCCCATCTTCGAGTTCGGTTTCGGTCTCAGCTATACCAAGTTCGAGTTCTCCGATGTGCACGTCACACCCCTCAAGGCCGACAAGTACACCAAGACCACCGGCCGAACCAAGCCCGCCCCTGTCCTGGGCAAGATTGGCGAAGCCTCCGACTATCTCTTCCCCAGCGGCATCAAGCGCGTCACCCAGTACCTCTACCCCTGGCTCAACTCGACCAACCTGAAGGAGTCCTCCGGCGACCCCTACTATGGCGAGAAGGCCGAGAAGTACATTCCCGCTCACGCGAGAGATGGCTCCGCCCAGCAGCTTCTTCCCGCCAGTGGTCCCTCTGGCGGCAACGCAGGTCTGTTCGAGGATCTCTTCCAGGTCACTGCTACCGTCACCAACACCGGTTCCGTCGTCGGTGACGAAGTTGCCCAGCTCTACGTCTCCCTCGGCGGCGAAGGTGATCCCGTCAAGGTCCTCCGTGCCTTCGACCGTATCACCATCGCCCCGGGTCAGAACGCTCAGTGGACTACCACCCTTACCCGCCGCGATCTCTCCAACTGGGATGTCGCCTCGCAGAACTGGGTTATCAGCGATGCTCCCAAGAAGGTTTACATCGGTAACTCGTCGCGCCACCTGCCTGTGTCGATTGAATTGCCATCGACTAAGTAAATGATTGGATGTTTTAAGGGTACGGATGCGGATATGGATGGTCGGATTGGACCATCCCTTTTCTTGAACATGAATAGTTTGTAGATCGGCTTTTTGCAAATAGGTTTAATTGGCGAATATTCGCCTTATGAAGTTTCTAATTGAAATCTTTTCAAAACATTTTCTTTTTCTTTTTCTTTCCATATCCCAGGGGGCTGGACAAAGATCTAGATGTATGAAACTTTAAGTCTGCTTGTGCTGAACCAATCATCATTCACGGGTGAGCAATGAGAGCTTTAAGGATAATATCAACAAAGCACGCGACGTGACCCTCGAGAACTGCCTCGATCTCATGCAGATTTATGAGGATCAAGACCCAGACTTCTTCGTCAAACGTGGTGTGAAAGTAGGTACTGCCCGGCGGTTCGTACGCGACATTGGTCATTGGGTGAATCGACGCGGAGAAAACACTCGCCAAGAACCGATAATAATTTAGATACAAGATACAGTATTATTCGAAACCAGTTATACCTCACATTCTAACATCTTGATACCCGGAAAGTAAATCCGAGATACACGAGTTCTGATTGGGCAGATCGGGGATGCCCCCTTTCCAGACTAGATACCCCGCTTTCCAGATGGCTTCCTAAAACAGTATATTCAAACCACCCACCTCAGAACTTATAGGTCCTTCAATTTACACTTTTTTTATCAGCTACAATCATCATTTTTGAAGCCTTTTGCAGCCAACGTGTGGAAATGACACAATACGCGAGGTTACTATATCAAATTGTGAGGTCTGAGACCTACTTAACATATCGCTTGATGAGAGGCAATGTTGATGCATCTTTCGTCCCTTTCCCTATATTTACGACGGCATCCCTACTCTATAGAGGAGCAGAACTCGATGAGATGCTATATACTATTGCTTGTATGATAAATATTATACTGCCTCTCACGATCGACAGCTAATCCTTCTAAAAAGACGCCATAGCATATGGGTTTCTTTTTGCTTATACCATCGATCTCGCAAACAATGCCGAAGGAAGTGGTGCAGAAGATGAGATCAATAAGCCAGATCGCCCAATTGTATCCAAGATGGCCACTTTAACTGAAATCAAGGCTCGATATTACATATCATCTGGAATATGGCTTATATATAGCCATTTTCTTGGCGTCAAGAAATGGGCTGCAGCTTGGATTGCCGTCGTTTTCATTCATTATGTCCTACGGGCAGCAAGATTTGGACCCCTGAAAGACCTCTGTATGACAGCGGGAATAGTTGTACAGTTAATGGCCTGCTGGGAGATTGGAGGTTCCGATGCCGAAGTCGGTTGGAGCTGGGTCAAACTGATGGGCATGTGGAGTGTTCCCACTGTGCCAATTCAAGATTTCCGTGATGTGCCAGGTGATAGCACATGCGGCCGTCGTACTACGCCGATTTTACTAGGCAATATCACAGGTATCTTCGGTTCTTCTGGATATTAAGATTCTTGCTTACGTCCATCTTCTAAGCTCGCATATACAGTTGCGCTGGACTGATTTATTTTGGAGTGAGCTTTTCACCTTATGACGAAAACATCAGCAGTTATTGACAGATCCTTTCAGTATATCTACATTTTCTCTGGGATTTTGGACTCTAGATACAATACCGCCACTGTAATTGTGTCCAGCATGGTGGCTGCTATCACCTTCGCGCTCGTCTTCCGTTTGATCTTGTTTAGGACAATTGAAAGCGACAGGATCTCCTATAGGTGGTACGTATTTTTGTACGACTTCATGCTGTTTGCTGCCTGTGTTCCTCTCAGAAATGCCTGAGCGTTTCCATGCCACGATATCTATTACACTCGCTGTGACTACCAGCGGGAACACTGTTCTCGACCGCGGGATGTCTTTTTGCCGAGTCGCAAGTTCCAGCAGATATTTTGATGTCGTGAAAGAGATTACCGATTTCAAAATTCTGTGTGATGGAGTCGATCTCGGCGTTTATAAAGTCATGCTATGTTCGCAAGCTCCTTTTTTTCGGGCCGCTTGCACGGGGAATTTCAGGGCAAGTTATCTCTTAAGCCAGTCTTTCTCTCCTCATATCTCACATAGTTTAAACGCAGGAAGCAGCAGATTCTACATTCCAGATGACGGGTGAATCAATTTCGGTCGTTTAAAAAAAATGCTGGACTACTTATACACGGCTGATTTTTCAGAGCTCATTGATGCCAGTGATAGCCCGACAGATGCCTCACCTAAGGTGCCGCTCTTGTGGCCATAGAAGACCAATGTCGGCTTTACAGGCAAGGTGTAGCAAACCTCGCTTGATACCCCTTACAAATCATGAATTAGATATTCTTACCTTGTTCAAATTCAGTGTACTCTGTCTCCCCGTATCTTGTAGCATCTTGACAATCCTAGCGCCCTGGGTAATACAAGAACTCTAGACTTAGAGTTGAAGTCTTAGCTGTTTGTCCGACTGAAGCAACGTTGCTGAACCGGATCATGTGTGAAAACCCGGTCCAGCAACCAGGACATACTTGAGTTTGTAACTCCATCCGCAAGCTTCAACCAATGCTGATTCGTAACACTTGTATCATTGACCCAAGCATTCGAGGCATTAGCCGATGTCAACGAATTGTGTCCATCCCTGTTAGCAAAGGCAAGCATCCGGCCAAGACCAAGCTTCTCAAATCCATCGAGACCAAGACTTCCATAAAGAGTCGTGATCGGATCCCAAGATGGCCGAACAGTCGACCCACGCCCAACATACCACTGATATGCGGCGAGTATTGGAGAATTCGGCGGAGAAAGTACATCCAGGTTTTGGCCGGAGTCTATGTCTCCACCGAGCTCGAAACCCGAATACGTGATCGCGACACTCTTGGGCCAGTTCTTGAGTACGTATGCTGTGCTTTCTGGATCGGAATGGCCAAAATTGTACTCTGAGCCCGATGGATAAGCGCCTCCCATTACAACCAACTCGCGTGTTTTTGCAGCAATCAAGTCGGAGCCGGATAGAGGGCTGATTTCATCGGCTTTGGATTTTAGCACGTCTTTGAGGTTTGTCAGAAAACCGATTGAGATTATGTTCATGCTTTGGTTTGCCGCCGCGGCTAGAATGGAGCGATAGAGTTCGACTGGTGTGGGTGTTGAAGATGCATTTCTAAGATTTCTCGGCCAATTGTTGGCTACTTTGCTTGCGTATTCGCTGTGTCTAAAGTTTATATTAGTTAAGTGAGAATTGTCAAGTGTTGCAGGAGAAACTTACAAGAACTCGTCGTCGTCGAAAAATGTTTCATTCGTCAACGGTCTCAGCGCTGCTATTGGAATTTCACTATTCCCAAAATATGTACAGATTGACTTGATAAAGGTCAGTGTATCCCATCCGGTCTTGCGGGCTTGGATTGTATTACTCACGCTCACTGCCAATGCACCGTACTGTGAGTTTGTGTTGACGGCGACGCCTCGAAGATCGGCAAGTCCACAGTTATGCAATATGTTTGCAACATAAAGTGCACCGACATCGTCCACGTCCCCGAAGATGTCTGTGTCTATTATTATTGGCTGGGGATTTTCTGAAATTGTCCTGGCTTGGGATATATATGCCCGTCCCAAGGGTAGCAGGTATGTAAAGGTGTGACAGAGCTTCATAATGGCTTCTTGTCACACTATATCTCGGGGGAAAGAGTAATTAATTCAAAAGAGCAAGTCTTTTATTTATAACTTATTCTCTCTGGAGTTCCTGATGTCAGTTAATGCGGGGAGCGAATGATATACTACGATCGTCCGTCTAGTGTGGGGGTAAATGTGCGGGGTTTATGGACTTTCTACCATCGTCGCGGTGTTTTATCGGTAGGAACCCCGATGACTTCTACTGAGGCCCTAGGGCCGCAGGCCTGGGGCTTTGTCAGCCCACACTGTTTGTGGTCTTTGTATTGCGTTTGTCCTTTGATAGTAGTAGTATTTAGTGGTAGATATTGCTCTGAGGGCTTTTCCCTCCATCATCATCGATTTCAACCCATTTGGTCCGCTCCCGTCACTAACTTCTCGAAACAGCATGTTGAAATATGAATGGCCGGTAGCTTGAGCTACTCTGAATGACAATGTGACTTTCGATTGGGTATGACTTGCAGCTGGCCACCTGATATATATAAGAATTAATGCAAAGCTGCGGATTGATGCTATACAACTTCCTACCAGTAGTTACTTATTACTATATCTCAAGGTTTGCGATTAAAGATATAGATTATCGAGCAGGACATATACCAGGAGGTATCTATTTTTCACTTCTGACTGTCAGTACTAATTATTGTGATAATTCATACTGCAGGTGAATGATTGTGCATACAAGGGGTGGACCAATCACCAATCAGCGATACAGTTTGGAGATAGCACGATCGATTTGCTGCTGTACAACTTGAGCTTTGACGATAGCGAAGCATTAGCCAATCATTGCGGTTAGGCCCAGTCGAGTGACGCGAACCAATGCGACCTCGCATCATCCGCCTTCCCCGCGTCAGCTGAACTTGAAGAGACGAGGACCTTTGGAGTTCCAAAGTTCGGACGCTTTCCCTTCTTCTCTTCTTCCCCTTCCCCCCCTCATCTTCCTCCCTTCGCCCACAACCCCTCCAAGTCGGTATCAACATCTATCTGGGAAATAAATCAACACCCATCTCTTAACACTCGAGCACTGCAAACATGGGCACCATTTATTCCAAGCCGGAGCCTGTGGACGAGAAGACTAGCGCCTCCAACTCAACTCGATCTATCAAGCAAGAACCCACTGCAATGAGTATGGCATCAGAAACTCGTCTGTCGTCCCCATTTGACCCCGATCCCCCATTCTCTCACCTCTGGGAGCTTTATTGACAACATCGCAGCTCCCCCGCCATATCCATTTCTTGCAGCTCGCGAGAGAGCTCGATCCGTCGCTGTACCTCGTCTGGAGGACTGGAGCGAGTCCCTCTTGAGTGATGCAAAGGTTCGAGCGATTGATCCACTTCCAAAGCGATTCCATACTGATGGCAAGCTCCTTCGCTGCACAATTAGAATCGTCTCGCTATCTCCAACTTCGCCAGCCAACCGTATGAAGCTCTACTCACCAATCGCGAAAGTCTGCAGTCCGATCTACACATCTTCAACCTCGCCGTTCCAATCGAAGGAGCGCCCATCACAAACCAGCGCTCCTCGGGTCGCTGCTGGCTATTCGCCGCCACCAACGTCTTCCGAGTTCCACTGATCAAGGCATATCAGCTCCGCGAGTTCGAGCTCAGCCAAGCTTACCTCTTCTACTGGGACAAGATCGAAAAGGCCAACTGGTTCTTCGAGCAAATAATTGCAACCGCCGATGAAGATCTCACCGAACGCCTCGTCCAGAAGCTCCTGGAAGACCCAGTCAGCGACGGCGGCCAGTGGGACATGGTCGTCAACCTGGTGCAGAAATACGGACTGGTCCCGCACGCAATTTACCCCGATGCTTACCATGCGCAAAATAGCTCCAGACTCAACTGGTTACTCACTGCCAAACTGCGCGAACAGGCATTAGTCTTACGGAAGCTCGCCACCCAGAAGGGAGATGGCCACGCCGCGCATATTCTGGCTGCGAGCAAAGAGCAGTTCATGAAAGAGATCCACTCGATCGTCACTCTCCTTCTGGGTCCGGCTCCAAACCCGGACAAGGAGTTCGTCTGGCAGTACTACGATTCAAATGGAGCCTCCCGCGAGGTGCGACAGACTCCACTGGAGTTCGGCCAGCAGGCTACTCGGTCTCAGACCCGGATACTTTCGCGCACCAGCCCGCCCGTGTCTCCGGGGCGACTCTTCAGTCTCGTGAACGATCCGCGAAATGAATATAACCGCCTACTAACAGTCGACAAGCTCGGCAATGTCCTCGAAGGACAAGCGCTCACATACGTTAATGTCGAGATGGCGATTCTCAAAAAAGCAGTGATTGCCATGCTGAAAGCTGGTCACCCCGTCTTCTTCGGATGCGATGTCGGCAAATTTTCTAATACAAAGCTCGGTGTCATGGATGCCGATCTCACCGATCTCGCTCTTGGATTCAATGTATCGCTCGGGATGAACAAGGCAGAGCGGTTGGCTAGCGGCGAGTCCTCGATGACCCATGCCATGGTCATCACGGCGGTGCATCTTTCCGACAAAGATGAGCCGATTCGATGGCGAGTGGAAAATTCATGGGGTGAAGCGGCTGGGGATAAGGGCTGGTTTGTGATGACCGACCGGTGGATGGATGAGTATACTTTCCAGGCCGTTGTGGACTTTAATTTTGTCTCCGCCGAAGTGCGATCGGTCCTCAAACAGACTCCTCAGGTTTTACCCCGCTGGGATCCTTTGGGAGTTCTTGCTTAGGAGAAACTCCTTGAATAACGCCGTTATGAGCATTTTAGGCCGTATTACTTTTTTTCAAAGACTCCAGAATTTGCATTGATTTTTTGATTCTCTCTCTCTCTCTCTCTCTCTCTCTCTCTCTCTCTCTCTCTCTCTCTCTCTCTCTCTCTCTCTCTCTCTCTCTCTCTCTCTCTCTCTCTCTCTTCGAATAGATTTCGTCCTGAATTACTTCAACAACGCAATATAAAGATAGATGCCAACGCCACGCCAGCACATATAGGAATGCTTATTGAACGGAATTTGGGGTATCCCAGTCAAGCGCCCTCAACCCATTTATGCTCCAACGCTTGACGAGCCGTATCTTTAGACACATGTCACCACTTTCATCACTTCCATCCATTTATCACCTCCTAGCAATGGACGTGACCTATTAGCTGAGAAAATGGCGGAACAATCTTCGTCCATAAGCTTCGCGGCCAATGGGGCGCTCGCAACGCTCAAGTAAAAATTTCGGCACTTCCCAATTTGTCCAGAGGCGGCTGGATAGTTCCAATGTTGTGGGTTCCGGGAGATGCAATAGTACTAGTAGTGACTAGTAGTAACTTGCCTAGGTACTAGAATAAGCCTATACTTGATATGTGTTGTAGTATCTATCTAAGTTTACTATATAGTGAAGTATACACATATCTATACCTGATTACTTTACTGTTCAATATCTAGATGTTCTCTTAGCTTAAGATTTATTGTCTCTTGGTACTAGTAATATAATTAAATGAGAGACACTGCTACTAGTTCCACAGGAATCCTCTAAGTGGGTCTAAACTGGCGTGATGAATTGATATGTTCACCAACCGCTGAAAATTGCAAATGGAAGCTATTCTCACAACTTTCTATTTTGAATCTCTTTTTTCGAGCTTATTAATTAATAAACCCAGAACATAGGAATTCTCATCTTCCCTTCCAGGTTATTAATGTATGGTCCACTGGAACAGTCGACCAAGACAGCAGTTTGTAGACAAGTGGGGACTCGGAGCTAAGATATCCAGAAGCCCCTGTTTCGGAATGTTGTTCCGTGAAACGCTCTGCGTGAATATTTAATTGCTCGTCAGAGATATATGTTTTGTTCCGATGATATACCCTTCTTGCCTAGTCTCCGAATCATTATTTGAGGAATATAGACAGCCCTCGTCCTCGAGTTTCTATCTCTTCCGTTCCTCATCCGACCCATCACACTACCCTTTTTCTCCGAGTCTCTTTCGGCCTCAAGCAAAATCACCCAAAATGCGCTCTGTTTACGCCCTAACTCCATTGGCCGCTGCAATTGGCGCTGTGGCTTCGCAGCCCGCTGATTCATGGGTTTTTGGAAACAGCCTGTTCTACCTTGGCCCTCCCTCGGGCAATTCCTACATCGCCAAGGCCACTTACTCCATCGTGCCGCCGTCTGTTCCCTGGGGGGCCAAGTCCAATGCTGATGACGAGCCTTGGGTTTCTGTCTGGGTCGGAGCTTCTTCCACTGCCGGCGACCAAGATGCCAACCTGTACCAGCCGATCTTCAACTGGTGCCCTGACCAGGAATCTCAGTATGCCGCAAATATTCTTCCACCTTTAGATCAATATTTTGACAATGGTTTTACTATAGGGGCTGCCCTGCAACTGCTCAGGAGTGGTGTGTTGCCGCCAGCACCTATACGCCATGCAAGTCAAACCTCATCTGGTCCTCAGCCGGCGATATGAGCTAACATGTCTTGAATATTTTAGCTGGTCAACTTGGACAGGCCTATGTCACCGTCCCCAAGAGTACACAGGTGGACTTTGAAAGTATGGCCTTCTGGAATTGTGTTCTTACGACCATGTACAAATAACGCTAACCGACGAATTCTAGTTGCCGTCGTCAACAGCAAGGTTGTTCAAACCGTCACCATGAATGACGAAATCATTTCCAAGGAGTCGGACGGTACGTTTTCCAAAATTCAACGCAAAAATTCTCGACCTTCTAATCATTATTTCCAATTATAGCTCTTGATGCTCCCCTCCAGTATCTGTACTCTAGCAACGAGTGCTACACCGGTGCCGGTTCCTGTGGTTCCGTTGATGGATGGAGTGCGTTATCCCCCCTCCCCAACCAAATAATTTCTTTCAAAATTACTTGAGTTGACGCGATATCATAATACAGAAATCACCAACCTTACTGTCACTCTCAGCGAGGTCGATACCAGGTTTGACAGCGTCATGAGCCTTGACAGTGTCACCGATGCCGAGTTCAAGTCCACTGACGGTGGCATTACTTGGCACACCGACCGCATCACTGTTAACACTATCGACTTTGACAGCTCCGATGACACCCAAGTTCAATAGATTATGGAGTACGTTTGGCCAGAGTTGCAAGTACCGCTATAAACATATTTTACAAGCCTATTATTCGTTGTACAACTTCTGAATGTAAATTTTGTGTATTTCGTTCATTCAAATCTATCGATTGTCATGAGGAAATCTCTGTGACCCGATCTAGTAGAATCGGAGTTTTTTATAGTGCCGATCCGATAATGCCTCCGACTCGGAGAAGAGTGCAAATGTTGAACCTTTGGGTGGGATGATCATTTATCTTCCGCAAATATTCTATTCGTAAAAACTCCTAATATTCATACACTACTATGTTTTCATTGTAGATTGGATTTCTATTTCGCTTGTAGTTTTTAGGCTTTTTTCTACCCCCTGCCGGCAATTCTAGGAAACTTACTAGTAAAAACGGCGAACAGTTAATATGCAGTCAGCCACCTATTCAAATCAACTTATCGCCCCTTCCTCGCGCAATAGTCAAACCCAAAACAATCCCATTACTATTCGATTTCTTTTCTTATTTCTAGAACCAATATTGGCGTTATGTAATATAGAAAATGGAATTCAGCTCTCCAAACTTTCCACGGTTCCACCCACGTGACGCAACGTCATGAAGTTGCACCCGCCAAGAAGTCCAAGAAATGCCCAGCCAACTCGAGGTCAAATTTTTTTTCAGTCAGGAAGAGTTCAATTCTGTGATATAATTGTATTCTTTGCATGAGGCTGCTTCGAAGTATTTGAAATGGCTGGGAGTTTCCTCGCATATCATGAACCTGGCAGTAAGTGGCGACGCTAGTCTCAGCTAAATGCGCCGAATTTTGGCTGACCTTCGTTCGATTGCAGTTGTCGATATTTTGATTATTCTGTCCTTCTTTTTCTTTTTATCTCTCGCTGAATGGTTTTCTGCGAAGATCATTCGTGCAGGGATTATTGGTCAAATTGCCGTTGGTATTATATACGGAGAGCCATTGGCCAATATCTTGAAAGGACCATGGCAGGAGACGTTTCTCGCGGTGGGATATATCGGATTGATTTTGATCATTTTTGAAGGTGAGTCGGGATTGCAGCCTCCATCTTCAAACTTGAATTCTATCATTCACGTCATATTTATATTCTGACACGGGAAATTAGGTGGCCTGCAGATACGCCTTGATCTCTTGAAAAAGAACTTCGTTCTCAGTGTTTTAGGGGCCGCCACAGGTGTTTGCTTTCCTATTGGTCTTTCCTATCTTCTGTTGTATCTGGGCTTTGGATTTGGTGGGTTTCTGTTCTTGTCTCCAACAAAATATCTCTTTACTAATGTCATAAAGGTGCCGTGGAAACGTTCATCGCCGGGGCGGCGCTCTCTGCAACTTCACTAGGCACAACATTCTCGGTAATATCATCAGCTTCCAAAGAGGTGGACCTTTCACAGACCATGGTGGGCTCGGTACTTGTCAGTGCAGCTGTTATTGACGATGTTGTCGGTCTTGTGTTGGCTAGGTTAGTGCACCCAGCTAACTTCCGTCACTATATCATTACTCACGTTTACTCGATAGTGTCATCCACGATTTAGGCGGGCTTTCAGATCCAGGAGCAGGAAGTCCTAATCTTGGATGGGTCATTGGACGCCCCATTGTAGCCTCTGCTGCGATGGCGATTGCAACCCCAATCCTAACAAAATTCGTATTCGCGCCTATTTTCCGGCGATGGATCGAGCACACATTTGCAAAATACGATCATCTATCTAACATCACCTTGATGGTCTTGGTTTTATCCGCTTTTATTACTATCGCGGCTTATGCTGGGACTTCGGTTTTGTTTGGTGCGTTTCTCGCAGGTACATTTCTCACTTACTTACCCAGCAAACACCCCGATGGTCCCTTCGTTGTCATGAGTCGCGAAGAAGGGGAGCGAGAAGCTGATAAAAGCCCTACATTTGTTCACACATTCGAGAGATACCTTCTCGACGTTCAAAAATATTTGATGGAGCCGCTCTTTTTCGCCAGTGTCGGTTTCGCGATTCCATTCTTGAAACTCTGGACTGGCAAGAGAATTTGGAGGGGAATAGTGTATTCTCTCCTCATGGCATTTGCGAAGGTAAATCACCACTTCTACTTTTATGGCCTGTGTGAATCTAAAACTCACAACTCATACAGTTCATTGTTGGTATATGGATTCCCATTTGGGAAGCTTTGTATTCAAAGCCCTCATCAACGGGACCGGTTATCGGCCAACAAGGAAATTCCCCTCGCGGAAAGAACCAGCCACCTAGCATCAAGGAAAAGAACCAAGACTATGGTGCAGCATCGATCGCCGGTTTTCTTCTTGGCTCGGCGATGGTAGCACGCGGTGAAATCGGGCTTCTGATCATTGAGATTGGCTATAACGAAACCAGCTATGTAAGCCAGGAAGGTTTTATCACTGCAGTGTGGGCTATTCTTCTCAACACAATAATTGGGCCAATTGCTGTGGGATATCTGGTGAAATTCTATGGTCAACAGATTGGGAAGGGCAAGTGGGGTCTGCAGGGGTTGCCCCAGGAGCATCGAATGATAATAGTCTACGAGAGCAAGCCTGAATTTTTCTCTAGCTATAATATTCGCATCACATCACCTGGACAAATTTCTTCTCTGCACTTGGTCAATTTAGAACTTGAGTCTAAAAATGTATTCGGTCTTTGCTATTATTCGGATAAGATGGATCCTGCCCAGGTAAGTATAGAAGCTGAACTCATAAATGGAAAATATAGAAGTATCAGTGAACCTTGGAATCCAAACTTGATGGAGCGTGTTCATCCACAAAGTTTAGGTAGGCATGTCCACTAGTATATTCAATGATCGAAACTGGAATACAAATTGTATGCAAACTAGAAGCGCTTCATTCATCCGTAATATTTATGAGATAAATTCTTGTTTCCAAGGTCGAAGTCTGCGATAGAGTGAAGCATGTCAACGTGATCAGACTAGCAGCTGATTAAAATCAAACAGGGATCTCGAGGCTCAAATTGAAAGACGTCACGAGCGTCTTGAGGATAACATCATGCCCCGTGTCTTTGAGCAACGGCTGAAGGAGATGGAAGAGCGGCAAGCTGATCGATTGTAAGCGCCATTTCTAACATTGTCTAAACAGAAATTCTAATGCAATCCAAGAAGGAAAATCACGAACAAATATCCAAAAGGGTCTCAGCTGGAATGTCATTCAGCGTCTCGAAAACCTTGATGCCATCAAGAAGCACAACGAAGAGAATGGCCACGAGCACAGTCAATTGCAGAACATAAAGGCCATTACGAAGGAGTACAAATCCGGTAGATTGGACCTGACAGGTCTTGTCACGGTGATTCCCAGGGATTCTGGGTTGAGGGTGTAAGTAGTCTATCAATATTATGAAATTCCCATTGTGATCCTAGCTCAACATGGAACAGGCAGAGAGAACTTTTGCATTTATATACGCCAGGACCGTGCCCCAAATGTTTGGTCTGCCCTTGGTATGTACTACTAGTACATAAACCCCGAATAAGTCTTACGGAATTCACCCAGCTCGCTTCTATACAGCGAACCAGCCAGATTGTACTCTTTTTACGCAAATTGCAAACGACAAGTCGTCTTTAACTGTCAATAGAATAACTAGGAATGGGATTACCCCGTTAGAATTCCCGCGGCCCGCTTAGGCCGCGCAGCCGTATCCTGTTGGCACGCCTTTAGGATCGGTCTCGTCGAGATCCACCCCAGAACGAGCAAATACCCCCGTCAAGGAGCAGATAGCGCAGAAATTCCATAAGGAAAGCATCTGATGATTGTTTCCATTGATACCTCAAGTTGGCATTTCTCCTTTTTTTTTTCCAAATGGGAGTTTATATTGGATTCGAGTCCCTATTATGTTGATCGTTGTTTAATCCGTTTACTCATACTTCTTCGTCTAGCGCGTAACATTCCAGGTACTCAGGTGTACTTACACTACTGTGACGTTCTTCAGAGTATAGTATCTGGTCAAAAAGTCATAAAATATCGTATCATTTCACATTAAAGATAAAGAGCTCTTCTAGCCTGCTTTCAATGCTGTTATAAAAATCAACTGCCACTTCAAAATGCAAGCAAAACAAAACGACTAGGTGTAAAGGGGTAGATAAAGCGGGCATCGGAAATCCACCTTCTTCGACGGAACAGTTCTCAAAGGCTTCTTTCCTTCGACGCTCATACCAGCCTTGACACCATCTCCGAAAATCCCAATAGCCGGCTCCCTCGCCCAGCCCGGTCCTTTGTAAGGATCCTTGGCAAAATCCGCCCAAGCCTTTTGCATTGATTTGCTGACATCTTCCTCAAACTGGGTCTTGTTTGCTTGCGGGTATGTGCCAAAGACAAAGGGAATTTCGGAAGTATGATAAGCACCGTATCCCTTCTCGTTATTGGGAAAGCTTGCATTGAACAGGTATCTCCAGGTGGGGATGCCAGCGAAAGCGCTCTCGTTCGCGTACGCTGCGGATACGCATTGTATTTGGAATTCTGTGATGATGAGAGACAGTCGCTCGTGCTCAGTGTGTGCTCCTGGTGATCCAAGGGGGTATTTGGAAAGGAGCAAGTCGGTGAAGTTGCCGAGGACGGGCTGGAGATATTTTCTTGTATCATTTTGTCCGATGATCGTTGTCATGGCTTCGTCGCCGTTGCTCCCAATAAGGACCGGGACTCGAGCGATCGAAGTTTCATTCTTGGTGGAATTGAGGCGCTTCTGGCGAGGCTTTTTGGCCAACGTGAAATCGTCGCGGACGGGCCCAAAGGCCAGACCACCCTTTGTGGCGAGCTTCTTCAGATCTTGGGCGGGAACGGCTCGAAGGCATTCGATGGAATTTCCAGAGGCGCAATTCGTAGCATTGAGCAGCTTCTGCCAGGACTGCTTGTAGCTCTTGACGGTCGTATCGAACGAAGTCTGGATGGAGTTTTGGCCTGATTCCATGATGGCTGCTCGGAAGGGTACTGGTTCGGGGGGGAGTAACAACGAGCGCATCGACGCTGGATGCTCCAGCGCTCTCTCCCACGATCGTTACCTTGGATGGGTCACCGCCGAGACCAGCAATGTTTCGAGTTACCCATTCAAGGGCAAGTCTTTGGTCCAGCAGGCTATAACTTCAGTCAGCTTATAATTCCTTCGTTGCAGCAAATTGGGACGGGTCATCATACCCTAAGTTCCTTTCCTTCAATGGAAGACTTTCATCAGCGGGGAATCCAAAGGCATTAGTGCGGTAGTTGATGGTAACCACCACTACGTCCTGGTTGGCCGCGAAACTCGACCCATCGTACTGAGGCTCCGCAGATGCACCATTACGAAAAGCGCCCCCGTACAACCAGACAAGAACAGCCTTTGAGCCAGCCGACGCATCAGCCGGTGTGAAAACATTGAGATTTAGGCAATCTTCATCCTCCCCACCCAGCGGGGGTGGCATGTCCAGCAGGTTAAATAAAAATTGGACTGCCGGGCCTGTTTCTTGAATGCAAGCTGGTCCCCATTTTGTCGCGTTATAGTAGGTAGACCAGCGGCCAACGGGCTCTGGTGGACTGAATCGAACAGGCGGTTTACCGAAAGGGACTCCCAAGTATTTATTTACAACGGCAGTCGACGAGGGCAGAGTTGTGGTTGTTCCGACGATGGCACCGGAGTCGATTATCGCGGTGGGGAGTGGTTTCGAGCCTGCGACAATTGCGGCCAGGCCGAGAAGTATAAGGGGCACCATTCCTGTCAGCGCCCTAGAGTTTCCCTTCAAGTTCTCTGTTGGTTCTTCTTCTCTTCCTTTCTTTACTTTTTTTTTCTGTTTGGGCAGGGGTGTGGATTTCCTTCTCAAGTGGAAAGAGCTGCCTTTATAGGGATATCATTAGGTTTGGGCTGGACAAAACTATTTATGCGTCCCGGTCAATAATGCGCTGCGGGTTCCACAAAGGATGCTCTAGTTCCCCCAACGGTTCCCAGGTCTCACTGCGCTCAGCCTCGATAGCCAAGCAGCAGCTACGTCAAGGCAAATTAGGGTGAACCCTTGAATGCCGATTGCCCCGCTGATGCGTAGCCCTGATTTCCACTTCGAACCCCGGGCTAGGCCAATGCGTCCTGAGATCGTAAATCAGTGGGGTCAGAGGGTTCAGATACTCACGGCTGCCTTGATTCTTCTTGGCCCACAGCGGCACATTTGCCCACTTGCGAAAGCTTACTCTTGGCTGGCCAATGTTGTAGGCAGTGCAAATCCAGCACCGTTGTCTGTTCCACGTACTCCGTAGTGAGATCCGGTAACATTGTGATGAACTCGCGGGAAAAAGAAAACATCGTGGAAGACGTGTCGATTTGGTTCGTGGTTCGCTGACACAATACGTCACTGCTCGGGTGTGATTGGCCAGTGCTGACCTCCACCAGAAAAACACCATGTAAAAAGCAACCATCCAGTACGAAGTATGAGGCATAAAAAAAACACTGAAATTGAATGTGTAGATGGATAGCGCTGCTATTCCCTCTTGGAGAACCGATTCTCAGATGCACCCTCGCATATCATATCTGGTGGTGAGTTCCAGCAACTTGACGACGGCAATCCACCACGAACCCCTATTTCCATGAAGTGGATCAACACACTAATTATCGTCAATCGGTCGGTAGTTGACGATTGCAAAGTTTAAGTTGCCGGGTTTGCATTCCGTCGGAGTACTTCTGTTAGGCTGGCTCCTGTTGAATCAAACATTATGGCTGATCTCATCGAGGACTTCAAAGAGGACATTGTTCTGCACCCGACAACCGTCGCCGGTAACCCCTGATTGGAATCCAGACCATAGTCTTTGTCGAATTTCCTCCAAGTCTTTTCCACGAGTATTGTATTGATTGATCAACTCTTCTGCGATGGCGCAGAGAGTGGTATTGAGAACATCGCCATCGACAGGCCCCGATGCCAGATCTCTTTGTCCAGGGGAGCATTTGCATAAGGGCGGATCCGAAGCTTCCCATGTCTTATCAATTGGTTCTGCTGTTTTTTCCGGGGTCTTCTCGGTCATCACGGCCGGTGCGATGGAGTTGGACGTAGCAGGCACTGGCTTCTCTTTGACTGGTTGCGTAGTAGATGTTTTTACATGCTGATGCATCGCAGGAATAGCCACTTTTCCGTCGACAGAATTCCCTTGTTCCGCTAATTGCACGTATTGCTGAAGTAGCTCAGTTGAAATGCCCAATGAATTCAGCAATGTTTTCAGATGTCGGTTCTCGGCTTCCATTTTCTGTAGGGCGAGTCGGTGCTCAATCTCCTTGCGACGGTCCTCGGTCTGAAAAGCTGCTAGTCTTTGCTCCAGTTCTTGCAGATACTCTTGTTTCCGGGCTCTGCTGTTGCGCTGGTTTGCGCGTACTCGCGCCAGGCGATCGCTTTTCTGTCATGAGTGTTAGACTCGTTGTTTGACTTGACTTGGAAATATTAATCCGGACCTTCTTACTGCTGTCCATGGCTATTTCGACAGGTTTAGCCCTTCCAGATATACCCGTGTCACATCGTCCTTGAAATGAGTAATTGAAGTTGATCAAGAAGCATTCAAGTTGGCTTGCCCTCTTCCGTTTGGTAGAAGTCACGTGTCGGGGCCTGTCACAACTCAAACTGTGTGAGGTCACTGGTTCGATTCTGGGGTCAGGCCTTTCTTTTCTTTTTCTTTTTTTCTTTTCTACAATATCTCTCTCTTTTTAACATAGTACACAATATTATACACAGTATATAGTTATACTATATACTCCATACTATACTACTACTTTTTCTGCTGGATCGAGATCATCTCCCGAGGTCCCCATTGGATCCGATCCGGGGAAATGCACGAGCCCCAAGCCCAACGTGGGGTAACCAGAAGAGCCAGCTGAGCCAGAGCCAGCTCAGCCAGAAGAGCCAGCAGATCAATTTGAACTGTGAGAGGGTCATGATACTCCCGGATCCAATCAAATGCCATTTCCAGCGCAGAGGCAAATCATCGCCCAAAGAGTACTCCGTACAGTTGCGGTGTGCTGCATTGGCTTACCCGCAAACGATCACCGCGGGCACTGCGACGACGTCACTGGTCGTCACTACTACTTAACAACTACGAGGACGAGTACTACGAGTAGTACTGCACCGCTAACGCTAACTACTGACTAGTCAGTCACTTATACCTGATGCGAAAGCCCCCCAGCCCCAGCCCCAGCTGCGCGCGCTAAAGCTTAGTGCTTCTTGCCTTTGCGATCTTCTCGGTCGCATCTTCCCTTCTCTAATTGCTAGTATTCCCTGTCATCATCCCTATTATCCCCCATCCACCGCATCCCTTCCCTCCTCTATACGCCATGGTCTCCACGCGACACCATCCGCGCGAATTCCCCTCGCCTGAAAAGGCCTCCAAGGAGCTTGTCAAATCATCGCCTGCCCCGACAACCAACGGCACCTCGCGCAAATGGGTTCACACTCCGTCCGCGGCCCTGACCGTCTGGCTGGTCGTCTCGCTGCCGCTGGTCGCCTGGGATGCGGGCTACGTCCTGTTGCGACCGCATAGCATGCCGGGAGGCCGATTGCACTCCCCCATCTGGACTCCTTATGCGCTTTACGGCACCGTCGACTATATCTACGGCTGGCCCGCCTATAATGCGCACAATGGCTTCACCGCCGCGCAGACCTTTATGAACATTGTCGAGACGCTCGGCTACCTCTACTATCTATACATTGTGTATGCACACGGCTCCACTGTCACCAGTGGTCGCGGCGCGCAGAAGCAGCTGAAGAAGGGCTTGGTGTGGCTACTGGCGGGCGAAAAGGTCGTCGCTGGCAAGACTGGCGCGACCGCGCTTCTCGTCGCATATACCGCCTCTGTGATGACTCTGAGCAAGACGCTCTTGTACTGTACGTCCAACAAGCCATTCCCTTGTTTTGATGGTCGCGTAGACTATTCGGCGCAGTTGATGGGTACTAACCAACAGCAGGGCTCAACGAGTTCTTCTCCGGCTTTGATAACATTGGTCATAACGATGCCGCCACCTTGATCTTCCTGTGGATCATTCCAAAGTGAGTCTTTTTATCGCAGGCAATGTGTGACTTTTGCTAATCCATTTCTACAGTGGCCTTTGGATTGTCTTCCCTACCTATAGCATCTACACTCTTGGCGCGGAGATTTTGAACTCCCTCGAGCAGGCGACCCCGCGTGGTAAGCCCGGGCGCCCCAAGGCGATATAAGCACAGTCGCGACACGATGAATGCCAAATTGCAGCGACATGGACGATGCGATGACCTTGGTATTGGGATATATGATCCAAAGAATGGGAGATGGGGAACGACGGGTGGTAGAATGACGATGTTTAGAAACTAGCTCCTTCCGGGGGCATTATGATATTTTTAACCGCAGTTATATTTTGTTGAATGATCAATAAGAATAAGACCAAATCAAGCAAATACCTTAACACCTTAATGCCTTAAATGCCCATATGATGTCTCCTCCTCCAGGGCGGTGTATAGCTTGCGGGAGTCATGTAACCCAATACGGACTGTATGTAGTACTCTACTATGTACAGTCCGATGAGAAAGCATGTATTATATTCTGGAGTTAGGGGAAGAATGAAGACTAGTTAGCAGTAACGAAGCCTGAATCACCTCATCCTATGCCAGGAACTACCTCGGTATACACGATAGCAACCCTAATGATAGCTCTGTAATATCAGCGTTGCCAGTGGACGTCCGTGCCAAGCCGTCGCCGCCGAACCTTTCCCCATATTTCCACTTCTCTTCTCTTCTCTCCTCACCTCACTTCTCCTCTCCCGACTCTGCGCCTGTCGCACCGACCTCACTCATTTCTCTCCATCTCCCTATCTCTCCGCGCCCCTCTGAACTCGGTCGATCCCGCCAAACGATGCTTCAGGCCCTAGACCTGGGGTACCCGCACCCGTCATGATCCCTCCCGACTCCGACGAGTCGCCATTGAAGCCCTCTGGTGCCGGATTTATGTTCGGCCAGGAGGATTCCACGACGATCTTGGATGATTTCGACACCCAAAGCCATGCAAGTTCCCGCGACCCCGGTAGCACATATCCCGGCGACCCCGCGACGGGTTCGGGCATCGGTGCTGACGGTCACCACGATGATACCACGCAAGATCCCGACGCCGCGAACGCCGGCTCACTCGACCCTGATGGTAAGCCTCCTGTCTGGAGCGAAATGAAGACCAAGGCCGGCAAGGAGCGCAAGCGGCTCCCCCTCGCCTGCATTGCCTGCCGGCGGAAGAAAATCCGTTGCTCAGGCGAGAAGCCTGCCTGCAAGCATTGTACCCGATCGCGGATTCCATGCGTCTACAAAGTCACTACTAGAAAAGCTGCCCCGCGCACAGATTATATGGCCATGCTGGATAAGCGTCTGAAGCGGATGGAAGATCGCGTGATCAAGACGATTCCCACAGATGAGACGCGGGATATGGCCTCCATCGGTAGATCGGTCGTCAAACCCTCCGCCTCGAGCCAGGCGTCTAAGGCCCAGAAGAAACGAAGTGCGGATGAGGCTTTCTCGGCAGAAATGGATCAGTGGTCTCGAGAAGAGCGCCGTCCGCCGCATGAGACATTCCCAATGAATCGCGAGATCAAGTCGACCGACGGTACCGGACTTTTGACCGAAGGCGCCGAGTTCCTACCATCCTTGGAGATACAGGAGCATTTGGCGGAGGTTTTCTTCGACTGCGTTTATGGGCAGTCGTATCTCCTGTTGCACAAGCCTAGTTTTATGCGCCGGCTCAAGTCCGGCTCTGTTCCCCCAGTTCTCATCCTTGCGGTCTGCGCCGTATCTGCAAGATTCTCGACACATCCACAGCTCAATTCCGAGCCTGCCTTCCTGCGCGGCGAGAATTGGGCCAACCCCGCGGCGGCCATTGCTCTGAGCCGACATGACGAACCCAATATCACTATTCTCACCGTTTTCCTGCTCCTTGGACTCCACGAATTTGGAACCTGTCACGGTGGACGCAGTTGGTCATTTGGTGGACAAGCATTGAGAATGGGGTATGCTCTGCAGCTACATCAAGAGCTCGAACGCGACCCGCTACTGGGTCAGAATAATTCCAGCTCTCAGTTGAGCTTTACCGATCGAGAGATCCGTCGACGTACAATGTGGGCATGCTTCTTGATGGATCGCTACAACTCCTCGGGTAGTCAGCGCCCACCTATTGGAAACGAGAAGTTCCTACATATTCAACTACCTATCAAAGAGACCCATTTCCAAATGGAGATCCCCGGTCCCACAGAAGACCTAGACGGCGATGTTCCGAATCCCACCCCAGAAGACGCCGGACAATTATCCAACGCTCAAGAGAACATGGGCGTCTCGGCGTATATAATCCGCGCCATTGTCATATGGGGGCGAATTGTCGATTACTTGAACCTGGGCGGTAAAAAGAAAGATCCCCACCCCCTGTGGCATCCGGAGTCGGGATACACGCAACTAAAGCGACAGATTGAAGAATTCTCGTCCTCGCTCCCAACCCCTTTTACATTTACATATGAGAATCTTCAAATCCACGCAGCTGAGAAGGTCGCAAACCAATTCTTGTTTCTCCACATCATCATCCATCAGAACATGCTTTTTCTAAACCAGTTCGCCATTCCCCTGTCGCCGGGGGGGCCGACCTCCTATGGACATGCCCAAGCCTTTCCTCAGCAATGCTGGTCGGGCAGCCGTGGAAGCTGCCCACCATATCTCCGTGCTCTTTGATCGAGCCTCGGCTTATCCGCTCACAGTGCCATTTGCTGGGTATTGCGCATATTCTGCAAGCACAGTGCATATTTGGGGCATATTCTCGAAGAACGTACAGTTAGAAGCTCGATCTAAGGAGAACCTTCGGCATACCTATCGCTATCTCAACAAGATGAAGAAGTACTGGGGAATGTTCCACTACATGGTGGAAAGCGCCAAAGACAGGTATCGACAATTTGCCGACGCAGCCATCAAGGGATCAGTGGCCGCTTCAAACGGTACTACTCTAGCTCCAATGTTTCAATACGGGGATTGGTTTGAGAAATATCCTCACGGTGTTTCAAGGATGCACTGGGAGGATCCAGATACACGACATAAGGAAACAGGCGAAGATGCAGTGATGGGTCAAAAACCCGATCTACAAAGTGTGGAGGACTTCTTCGCCAGTCTATCGCCGACCCCCCAACCTGTCCTCCCGCGCAAACTTCGCTCGCGCAAGAACAGCAAACTTTCCGACGGAACTCCCAACCCGGATCAGACTTCTCCCACCTCCATCGACGTTACCATGAGCCATGCTCCCGGAGTCCCAGGCAGTGCCTTTCCCCAGCCATCGATGTTCGCACAGAATCGGCACATGCCATTTGGTCAACCCCCCTTTGATTTCAGTATTCCGTCTGATCAATTGCCACAATTGGATCGACAATTTGTCTATGGCTCATTCTCGGATTTCGATCCCAACTCCTTTGTCTCTAACAACCCTTTAATTCCACCCGTCAACGGTGTCGATCCCCAAGCCTCAGATCAATCGCTCTTCACCGGACATCTTGACCCTGGCGCCCCGGCTGGAGCAGGCGAATTCTACCAACCGAGCGCATGGTTCCTTCCCTTCAATCTTGACCCGATCGGCGGCGGCGGCCCACCAGATGGTAAACCACCAGGAGATCCAACTTCGGCTCCTGCCCCAGGCCCCGGAGACAACGGCCCTGGTCCAGTCGGCGATATGTCAGCCTTTGGCGGTGCAGGCAATATGGCACTAGGCGCATATGGACTTGACCTTGGGCCTGGCATGGGACAAGACTCACGACGCTGAACTGATTACTCGTGAAATCTTCAAGGCCATCCCGATGGGGGCAATGGCCTAGTTCGCTTCAACGACTGCGATGTGTTTAATATGTCATAATGGGAGAGGAACGGAAGGAATCGGGTTATCTGATTTGGTATTACTGGCTGGACTATTTTTACCTGCGCATTGCTTGGCTTGATATGAATTGTTAAAAAGCCTGGCGTTTTTTGCTCTCTTTCTTGTGCGATCTTGTCTTTAATTGTACATACTCTCTTGGCCGTGTCTTTTTTCTGACCTTGTATATCCCCTAACGGAAGATTCTTTGGCTTGAGGAATGTATTGGTGCTTTCCTAATTGTTCTTGTCCTAGCCTTGTCCTAGCATTGTCCTAGCCTTGCCCTAACCAATGCCCGTAGTGCCATTGGTGTGGTGCCCCTCCCCACTCAGGACGGCCCAAAAAAGGCAAATCCAGACAGTAAGAGGATCCACAGGAGGCAAAAAAGAAGTTACTGTGCATCATCCGTGAATCGAACACGGGCCTCGTCGATGGCAACGACGAATTCTACCACTAGACCAATGATGCTAGTTGATGTGGAACGTCGAGAATTATGGCTACATGAAAATTCGCATAATATCAAGTGGAGTCGGGCTGACAGTACCGCTCGTGGACTCAGAGAAAAACATTCAGCTAACTCGCAGGGTGGATGATTGCTTGGTTTTTGGAAGATTTAATTATGGCCTGGGCACAAACCAAGAATTCCGGATGCTTTCCAGAATAATAAGTTGTCTGTTACCCACTCGGTGACAGGATGAGGTATACTGTTGACTTCAAGAACAAAGGTTTCAAGCCAAACACAAGAGGGTCTTTTATCCATAGCTCTTTTACTACCCTAAAAGAGCTACTTGTAAAGCTGCCAGAGTCTATCAATTTTAATATGGAGATAAGTAAGTCTCTTCCAATTTGATATATACTTTTCCAATCCCCGACCTGAACTTACCTCGATTAAGGACATCCACGACTCCACGAAGCAGCTAAAGCTGGTGTAGCCCCAGTTGGCCTTGAAATCAATGATTTCGTTGGTCGCATACTGGATCAAATATTTCATGACGCCCGGGGGCGAAAAATAATACTATCATCTTTCACGCCCGATATTTGCATTCTTCTGGCCATCAAACAACAAAGTTACCCGGTCATGTTCATCACCAATGCTGGAAAGCTCCCGGTAAGTGATCTGGAACAACAGCTTGCAGTTTGCAAGCTGCAGTCAAATTTTTCAAACGACAGAATTTAGCAGATATTGTTTTCGCTTCTGATATATTACTTCTGTGCCTAATACTTGTAGGCTATGTCAAATAATCAGGATTTATTTGTGGTTCTTATGGGTCATTAAACAACATTCCGGAGAACGTGAGAGTAAGTTATATAGCTACTGATGCAATTCATCTGGTTATTCCAGAAATATAACCAAAGTGTACGTACGAAAGACAGAAGCTAATTTATTTTAAGTACAACAAGCAGCAGGCCTTCCGATGCCGATAGCCGATAGAGCTGGTGTTGTTTCAAGGGTGCTTAAAGAGGGCCATATTCACTAGTCCTAATTCTCCTACTTAATATCTCCAAGAAAGCAAATATAAAGGGCCGTTATCTGGAACGGCAGCACTGTTAGAACGAATTAAATTTCATAGAATTGCAATATAAATCCTTTGAGTTGGCGTGATTATTCTTTATACAGAATTTAGTCTATAACGAAAGTGATGATATTGCCCCCTTTCCTGCTGTGTTGAATACATACGACCATAGGGTGTGGAGAACAGGGCTTCCCGTCCGCTCAGCCGTACTTAAGCCACACGCCGGCAGGTTAGTAGTATGGTGGGTGACCACATGCGAATCCCTGCTGTTGTATGTTTTTGTTTTTACTCGTTTATTCGTGAGGGTTTGTTTTACTTTCACTTTTAGAGTTCGTCGTTGCGTTATGTGATAAAGGCTTCCTCGGGCTTCGCTGAAAGATTGATAGTGATAGCCAAAGCATTGTTACTTAAATCTCTCTCTTCAGAAGTGTATACAACACTACTTCGTATAGAGACAGTGATCATAGTATTATTGAAGTTTTGTATCAAAGATGATAGAGTAGTAAACAGGTGACTCTATGTTGGCTGGCAATCGAATTGCCGGAATAATTTAATTTGGTAGATACAAACACCTGTCAGCCCACAGTAACCAACTAACTAACCAAACTAACCAAAAAAAAATGCAAAAAAGACGAGGCGGGCGATGTATGGTCTATTATCCGGCTGACAGTATTCGGAGGGATTTGTTTATTCCCTCTGGTCCAAAAATAGCTCAAATTTGCCATTACTTCTGCAAAGAGGAATTCGATTACTCACGCACATCACTTAACCTATATTTTATTCAACGACACAAATACCGAACGCCATGCTAGGGCGGATGAGGAAAATAGGGCTTCGGGGAGTACGAGTACATTCCCCACAGTACTGCACTTGGGACGGAATGGGCCGAACCGAGTTTAGTGTTGTCAGCCCTAGTGTACCTAGTGTATCTAAGGCTGGGGACTAGTAATATGACTGGCTCATCACGTAGGGTGATAAGCATCTTAGATTGCCCTTCCTTCTTAGCCGACTCGTAATCATTAGGCGATCTTATTGTTGATCCTTTCATACTAGTATGCACTTAGGGCCCAGAATTTCACTAAAGCCGAACGCCCAACGCTAGCTAACACTTGAGATGTTTTCTCCTCTGATTCCCCGACCTCCTCCAGAATGAATATCTCATCCCTGAACCCACAAGCAAGAACTCTCGTGGACTGAAAGCTCTCGGTCATTCAGAGCACGATGACTACATCCATCATGCTTGGCTTGGCAGTGTTCCTCGGTGCCACTCCTGCAATGGCAAAGAACACCCGATTCCTCAACTTTTTCCCAGTCTACCGAGACGACTTTATTCAAATCCGCGACGGCCCATGTGCTGCAGAATTCGCCCTAAAACAAGCCGGTGCACAGGTCTGTCGGAGTCTCCTCAATTGCATGCTAGGAAACACAAGCGAAGTGATCAAAGGCGACATGGGAAGTGGGATCGTCGTATTGGGCCTGGGACCAACAATCCTTACATTTCTCGGCTCAGGCACAGCAGAGACAAGTCTTCTAGCGAGGCGCCGACCGCTGCTCGCACTTCTCATAGCATCCGGCTCTCCAGCAGTCAGCCCTCTCCCAACTTTCGTTTACCCAAATCCGATAGAAGAACTGGAAGCGAGAGACAACCACCTTGCTATAATGCACTTCTCTCCTATACAAGCAATTTTCGTGTCGATCCTGGAATATGTTCTGATAATGGGGGCTATCGTGAACGTGTACATAACGGCATTCACCATGGGGTCCTGGAGCATCAACACGATTAGCTGCGATGATCTTTGGTACCCTACACTTTGGGCGATGACTACACTTTTCATTCACATCTTCGGCTCGTGGTGCCTAGCACTACGAGTAAGCACGCCCGGGAACAATGAAGATAGCCGACATCAGGTGAAGGAAAGGCTTTTCCGATGGATCAGAAATGAGCTTACGCCTTGCATTACACACAACAAACTTGATTTGATTTGGAAGTCAGAAAGCTATTTGTTTGTCGCGATATCCTGGTGGACTTCTCTTCTCACAGTGGTACATCTCTTATACGGAACAGTGGCATTCAGTTCCGTTCAATTCATAGGTGAGAGCTTTTATGAACTCTATATCTTAGATTTTATGACTCGCTAATACTAGTCTTCAGGATATGTCGACAGCATACAGATCCTTGCCAGGTTCATGGGCTCCGCTGTGGTCTGCCGCGCGGTTTTGATGTTTGAGCTTGCTGGCATGCGAAACGCCCTAAAATATGAGAGCCCACAAGAGGAGTACTCTCTAGTGCGAGTGTCTCACACTAGGTTACCTTCGAGTCATGACTTCTAATGTTCAATATGACTGTTTGAAAGATATCCACACTAGCAATCAATTAGAGACCCTGATAAAATGTTCATGATTGTTCAATAATTGCTTGTTACTCGAAGAGCGATGTAAGATAGCCGATACATAAGCACTCGAGAACGGGTAGTAGGTACTAATTTCAATCAAAAAGAACTTGAATATTTCAAACAAGAGAATATTGTACTAGTATGTATAATATGGGTTCTTGCCCTGCAGTTTTCTCGTTGAGCAGAGGTAGGTTGGATCACCGAGTTGACTAATGAGAGCTCAATCTATCGCTGAGCCGCACGATATTCAACGGTCCCTGACAAAGCTATGATGCCAGGATAATAAAATGCGAATCTTGATCCATCAGGTGGAGGTCTTAAGGTTGAAAATAATCGGCAATGCGATATGAGCCCGTAGACATCGTGCTCGCTCCAGGGCTCTATAATATCAGATCGACCGTCAACACGGCTTCCTCAAGTCAAAACACCACTAAATGCCTCTCATACCCGTGTGCATCTATGGAATATACTGGCGTCGGACAACGCAGTCTTTCAAAAAGGAGATTGCATTCAGCAAATGATGTCTGGAGGCAAAAAGAAAGTCTTGTGCATCATCCGTGAATCGAACACGGGCCTCGTCGATGGCAACGACGAATTCTACCACTAGACCAATGATGCTGGTTGATGTGGAGCACCTCAAGCTTTGGCCATATGAAGCAATTACTCTCCGATGAAAATACGTAGTTAGCAACTGTCAACACAATCAATAGAAGGAGTAAAGTTATCAAAATCACCCATCAAAGCAAGATTATCTCCCATATTATATAATACCTCCTAGTTTATAATTATGCTGTTCCAATCCAGCTAAAATTTATTCTATATCTTGTAAAGAGCAGTTCGAAGAAGAAAACAAAGAACGAAAAAAAAGAAAAAAGTTTGGACTAAGTTGGGTTATAGCTCAAGCGAAGCCAAGCAAAAAAGAAGATCTGTGCATCATCCGTGAATCGAACACGGGCCTCGTCGATGGCAACGACGAATTCTACCACTAGACCAATGATGCTAGTTGATGTGGGTCTTATAAATTGAGGATATATGATCCATTAATATGTCCAAGCAAGGTGGAGTTGATATTGGGAGGTTCGAGCGCCAAAACCTTGGAAGAACAACCTTAAAATATCAAAGTTCTAGCTTTGGTATTCCATACATAATGGATAATCTATAAACGGGTAATCGTGTGCTCGAAATCAATTCCTCTAGTACTGGACATATTGTGGTATACCTAGTGTGACGATAGGCGAGAGGCTTCAACTTCGTGTGAATTATATATATCGCCGTGATCATGACCAGTGGACTAACCCGAGAGCAACCAAGTTTTAAGGTTGGATCCAAGTCAACCGACCAAGGAGCCCCAGGCCTCCAGCCCTGGAGACTCCGAGTCTACTACTAGCCCCGGGGCCAGAGTCCTCGAGGTTGAGTTGAAATTTGCCCAGGTGAACTTCCGAGTCCGAGTCCCAAGGCTATCAGGTCAGCCCAGGCTCCTACTAGTAGTATACTGGTAGTACTAGTAAGGGTCACAGTCTCAACATGGATACGATCACTAACTTTGAAGCGCTACTAGTAGTACATTTGCACCCATGTACTAACTAGCACGAGAAGATAAGATGGACTTCGGGTCAGACTAGAGGCTACAAGCTTCAGGTTTTCTTCGAGAATTGAGATGCTATGAATTCAATTTCTATAACCTCGGAACGAGACTCTGCCGGCAGGCGCAAAAAAAGCCTGGCACACAACAAAACAAGCAAAGATAGATGTAATTTCTAATCATCCCACGTCTCATCCAGCTGATCGATCAGCCGGTTCTCGGCATCGACATCACCCCGCCCACCGGAGCCCGCTCTCCCACCTCGACCACCAATTGCACCAAAGAGGCCACCGCGAGCGTCGTCGCTCTGACCGGCGCGTTGGTAGCCTCTGTTTGAGCGTCCGAAGCGGAAGCAGCTACCCAGAGACGAGAAGAGGATGACGAACATGTCCTGTAGCAAGAGATGTCGTCAGCAAGTCATTCTCTCAATAAATGATAGCCAGATATAGATTCCCGACTAATGAATCACGCAAGGCAGGACTTTATAGCAGTAGGTATAAGGATGTTATATATTCCCCGCCCAGTGTGCAAAAATCCAGCAGGGGGGAAAAAAAACCCCTCAAAGGACAGGTCTATCGAGCAAATCCAAATAGACGATGCAGATATACATGAAATCACGAGAAATCCGGTCCGATCATGAAAAAGATTGTACAAACTGGGGTCAACAAGACCGGGGAGACGAGAAACAAATTGCGACAGAGAGACAAAATGAAAATGTTTCCTGGATGAGGTTTGAATTCCAGACCAGCTGGGATAAACCTTAATCCAACCGCGAAGTCGGGAGTCCCTTATGCGGATCCAAATTGCCATATCTGGATCTTCGGCGGGGCCGACATGATGCAAATGCTAGCAATGCTAGTAAACTTACTTTAACGAAATCGAACATTCCGGCCCAGAGACTGAAGTTCGGGCACTGGCGCCAACCGCGCTGGTGCATGACAGTTCGTTGATAGGCACAGCCACCAATGAAGTAGGCAGCCACGGCAATGAGCATGCTGCGATAAATCAATCAGTATGGGGCGCATTGACAAGGAGCGTAGAAGTAGGGACAAGGGCAGGAGCTTACATGACTCCGAAAACTCCGCCGGGTCCCAGCCCGCCGGAGTTGGGGTCTACAGCAATTCCACCGCACGCTGCAGAGCTTCGAATCTCAAAGTAGTAGGAGCATGAGTCCATAGTCCCAACAAAGGATGTCGTGGCCTGGTTCGGTAGCGCATCACGATCGCAGAGGAAGGACATTATGGTAGACTTGGTTCGGATGGAAGTATTGGCGCTGGCGGTGTTCCAATCACCGGGACATGGGGAGCCGTTGGTATAATTGAGGACGAGCTTGCGACCACGAAAGAAAGGCTCAGAAGCTTGTTCTCTATCAAAGCGCATAGGTGGTTAGCTTCGCGACACCGGAATCATTCAGTTTGGAGCTCCAATGAGCTCAGATCAACATCGTACCCTATCGAGTATATCTTTCCAGCCTGCTCATAGAAAGCACTGACATTCTGCCACTTTGCAGAATTTACTCCAACGACATCCGTCACATTTTCTAGGACTGGCGCGCAGACGTTGATTGTAAAGTTTGCGGGGTAGTCGTGTCCCCTGGCATGCCAGCTTTCATCCCGAGCTTCCCGATCAACCTTTTTGCCATTCTTCAATTCGGGTGGCGCTAGTGAGATAGCATTCAAATCGTAATAGAGACCGCTGGTTGGTGACCGAGCAACACAAGGAGAGTCATCGTTAAGGTGAGAGGATGCGGACGCGCTGGATAAGCCGAGGATAGAGGACAGCAGGAGGAGGGAGTAATGAGTGGAGGGTAACTTCATGACTGAAACGGTAAAAAGAAGGGACGGGAAAAATGAATGTCTGTAAAGAGGAAAGGAGACCAGCTCTCTGAGATGTGATGTGTAAATGGACCAGGTGTTTCAGGTACACAAATGGAATGGATTGAGTCCGCTGTAGTCGTCTCGAGAGTGTCAGGTGACAAGGTGTCAGGTGTTCTCCAAACGATATGAACCTGCTTATGTCATCCATATTTTTACGGGACCCGCGGACGCGCCTGCGGAGAACGGGAGCTTCCCATCCGACATCGTACGCAGTTCTATTGGAAGGCTTCTATTCGACTTAAAACCCTTCCCCTCAGCCAATACTTGTTGGGGGATTCATCAGCACCTCAATTGAATTGCTCCGTGCTTTACCTCTAACAATGGCTCCAAAGACGAAGTCCAAGATCCCCGTCCAGCCCGTGCCGGAGAAACGGGGCTATGAATTTGGTGGACCGTATGTTTTGCCCTCCTACCCCATTGCGCCTAAAAGGGGGGATTTCTTACTGATTGTTCTTCTAGTCTTGGTGCTTTCGGAATTATCTTTGGTCTTCCTGTCCTGACCTATGTCTTTTTCTTTGTCTGCAATGATATCTCAGGCTGCCCCGCGCCTTCGTTGTTGAGCCCATCCACTCTGTCTCTCGATCAATTGAAACGCGAAGTTGGCTGGCCCGCGGAGGGTATTGCGGGTTTTTATGATACCGAGGTGACTTTATGGACCCTGAGCTACTATGTATTCAGTCTCTTCCTGCAGGTGTTCCTGCCTGGCCAGGTGGCCGAGGGTGTCGAGCTGGCATGCGGGGGAAAGCTCAAGTACAAGTTCAATGGTAAGATCGAGCTCGAATTGTGTCTCTCGCTCAGATATTGGAAAAAGATTGCTAACAAATGTTTGGTTCAATAGCATTCCCCACGGCTATGATCATCCTATCCGGTCTTGCGACAGGTACCTACATGTATGGAGCCGATTTCGTTGTTTGGACCTTCCTGTGGGACAACTACCTGCAGGTCATCACGGCCAATCTCTTGATCGCTTCGACAGTCGCCGTTTTCGTCTACATCCGAAGCTTCTCAGTTCCCCAGCCCGGCAGCGCTAACCCGGAGCTTCGACAACTCGCCCCGGGTGGACACACTGGAAACCCACTATACGACTTCTTCATCGGCCGTGAGCTGAACCCCCGAATTTGCCTCCCCATTCCTTTTGTGAGTGAGGAGTCACGCACCATCGATATCAAGATTTTCATGGAGATGCGACCCGGCCTGCTCGGATGGACCATTCTGAACCTCTCCAATGTCGCCCACCAGTACCGCACCTACGGCTACGTGACCGACTCCATTCTCTTGGTCACTGCTTTCCAAGGATTTTATGTCTTGGATGGCCTGTACATGGAACCCGCCATCATGACCACAATGGACTGCATCATGGATGGGTTCGGATTCATGCTATCCTTTGGTGACCTTGTCTGGGTTCCCCACATATACAATGTGCAGACCCGTTACCTTTCCGTTTTCCCCATGGAGCTTGGCTGGAGTGGAATGGCCCTCGTGCTGGGTGTCACCGCCCTTGGGTACTCGATTTTCCGTGGCGCTAATAACCAGAAGAACCGATTCCGCGCCGATCCCAATGATCCTCGTGTCAAGCACATCAAGTTCATTGAGACTGCCAGCGGATCCAAGTTGATGACTTCCGGCTGGTGGGGTCTAGCTCGCCACATCAACTACCTCGGTGACTGGACTATGTCATGGGCATACTGCCTGCCTACTGGCATTGCTGGCTACACCATTATCGAGAGCATCAGCGCAAGTACCGGCGAACTTCAGAAGCAGGCCATACAGACGCCCGAGTCGCGTGGTTGGGGTATGATCCTCACCTACTTCTACATGATCTACTTCGGTGTTCTTTTAATCCACCGTGAGATGCGCGATGAGGAGAAATGCCACAGGAAGTACGGCAAGGACTGGGCACGTTACACCTCGATGGTTCGCAGCCGTATCATTCCTGGAATCTACTAGAGTGACATGAGTCCTTGGTATACTAGAGGAAAGTTGAAATGATAAAAGTGCAATGCTTAACCCAACACAAACATGCCATTCGTTACGGAGGCTGAAGTCCTAATTGAAAAATTTAGCTGTACAATATTTGCTTGCTTTGGTTTGAAAATAGTGCTACGATAATGGGAAACGATCGCACACTTCTATTTCCACATTGAATGCCTGATGTAGGCTAATTATGTGTACTACTTTTACTAGTATTTAATATTATTCTGAGATATTTTGTATTCAACGCTTCCTCTTCTGAGGGTCAATTAGCACGTCCAATCCCCAATTTTCATCCCCCGAGTTCGGTACCCACCCCTTGAGAACCGCCTTTGCATCGTTCATAGCATCCACACGAACCTGGTTGGGGTCTGTTGAGCCGCCGATTGCTCGTTTGAATTCATCATAGGTAGTCGACTGTAGCACGTGCTGTTGAAATATACCCAAAGAACCATGGTCAACACGGTCCACTTCTGACATGGATAATTCCTCCTGTAAAGGGCCTGGAGGACCATGGCATGCGCTCGGCTGGATGACATTGCGAGCCAGGCCCCAGAGCTTAGCCCGAGAAAGTGAAGAGGCCCCCCCTCGCAAGAGGGGTAGTAGCACGATTCCCTTGCTTCACCCCATTGATGACATTTTCAAACAATCCAGTCTTCGTCTTGTTCAAAGCGGGCAAGGATTTGCTGCCTGTATCTACCAGTGCAGCGCAGGTGTGAGAATAAGACGGCGCTGCTGTCCAGATCGCACTAACGTTGCTGGGTCTATTTTTCTTAGACACAACCGCTGGTTTAGCTTTCTCTGATCCGTCCGTTGACAAAGATGAACTGTCCCTCTTCATCTTGGAAAAACGCCATTGTGACTCTATTTGCTCGGCAGAAACGGAAAGGACCTGGAATGGACGAAATCGATATCCAGCTGTATCTCCTCCTGGTGTCGTGCTCGAGCTACCAGCCCAAGACCGCCCAGCCAGAGCTTTCATTCGACCACTCTCACCAAAGGATCGCTCACACCCAGATTGACTGATTTCATCCTCTGGAAGAATTAGACCGGCTAGGTATGCACTCTCGGTAGGAGCGACGAGACGACTCGTTTCGCACGAGAGTAATGAAGAGACCTGTCGCAGGGCAAGTTTGTCAGAGCATGATTTGCTGCGCGTAGATTCAGCATCCATTCGCGCGGGCTTTCGACGGACGACACCAAGAAGAGAGAAATGGGCTCGGCCGTCTAGCATTTCCCCCTCGGATTCTTCTGGGTTGGATGCCTTCTCTTGCATCACCTCCCATGGCGTGGCGTCTTCCTGGGAGGCCATGCAGAGTTCCATGCTTGCGTCGCCGCAGGGTGCGCAGGTGCAGTACATGTATATTTTGATATCGGGTTGAAGCTCGAATGGTGGCCATTTTGTTGACGTCTTAATTTTGTGGTCTTTGCCTTCCCTTCTGCGGATAAACGGTGAAATGGGTCTATTTTCACACACCGAGTCCGCATTGTCTTTGGCTATTATTTCTTCTGCCAGCAGACTGTGGCATTCTGTTAGAAGCCAGTGGTTGAATGCTCGAATGGCAAGGATCTCTGCATGGCAATCGTGCAGGACGAGCCCTCGGCAGTGTGGGATGTGAGAGGCTGAAAGACATTTGGCCCCGCTCCTATGGATCTATTAGCCATCAAGAATCTTCCTGAGGTAAAAACAGTCTATCAAATAGTATGCGATGGTAAGTTATTAGAAAGACATACGTAATTGTAATACAATGCAGACTCTCGGAAAGTGTATTTTCTCCTATTTAACGAATAAGCACCGATGAAACCATCTAAAATAATAGAGACACGAAAAGCACATACCAGCTACAATCACAATGCCAGTCATAGGAATCCACTCCCTTGATCCATCGGGAAAAATAGATGGTTTACTGCGCGTGGGTAGCGCATCAAAATGCGCATGGACCAGCGATGCTATGCGCGACGGCAATGGCACCGGATCCTCAGACTCGGACATCTCACGCCCTGTACAGGCTGTACTTGAGAGAAAAGGACAGCTTTTTATAAACGATGATAAAATAATAATCTTTGCGTTCGGACGAAACCGAGCGGTCAAATCGTGATTTTTATAGGGAACCACGTGACCCCTCCTCATTCTTTCGATTCCGCCGCGGCTTCGACGAACACCTGCGACTTCGCTCCACGACACTTCTACACTTCTTCCCCAAGCATACCACCTCACATCCCGTACAATGGCCGACAAGCTGCGCACCCTCCAGAACCTCGAGGCTCTCCAGGCCCGTTACATCGGTACCGGCCACGCCGACACCACCAAGTACGAGTGGACCTCCAACATCCTCCGCGACAGCTATTCTTCCTACGTCGGCCACAACCCGCTGCTCTCGTACATGTCTGTTGGTATGGGTGAACCGAAGGAGAAGGTTCGGATAATGATGCTTGAGAAAATGGTTCGGGGAGCTGGAAACCCTCCAGAGGTATGTGTGGAGCGATGTTGAGGAGAAAAAGACTGGCAAGACTGTGTTCACTAACGCTTTCTCGTTTACGACTCTAGACTCAGGAGTAATAAATTCGAGCAATATTTGGTGGTGAAGACCATCGCACTCGTGCGAAATACCCCATTTTCTTTTTCATATCGGAGGAATAGTGATGGCGACTCGATTACGGCGTTTTGACCTTTACGCGTTCATTGCCTGCGACAATGAGAGACATGATACCCACCTGGCAAGGCAAGGCACAAATTGGCGCTGATAGCGCGACATGGAGCTTGGATAATCGAGTTGGATCAAATGGATTGGATATGTCTGGAACGAAGAGCTCGCGACTCGGCAAACCCCCAGCAAACGCTTGCCCTGCACTTAACATCGAACGCGGTGATATGATCGGCTGATGGATTCGGCCACTCGGGGGATAAAATTCGGGACTGACAAGTCGATTTGAAGACTGCGATTGCTTGGTTGTGACCGAGATGGTTCTGTCTGCAGATACATCGACTACGGAACCTGTCGGAACGGTCTGTTTGGCCATTCACTAGGTGAACTAACGGACTACTCGCTTGTTCCGTCCTGGATTGTGGGACATGCGCAAAGATCGAGAGAATCCATGAGTCTTCATAAGCGTCTGAGATACGATCCACAATGGCATACTCTCATCTAGGAGCATGTGGTGTCAATTCAGCTCGGTCGTTACCTAGTATTTTTGGCAATCCATATTCACCAAGCCTTCTATGATCAATGCTAGATCCATTCAATTCACTTCAAAAGAAATGAGACATATTTGTAAAGGCAGGCCTAATGTAGCAGTAAAAAAAAGATAGCCCAAACGCAAATCCACGACGCCCAGTCAGACAAAGATATTCGCTGAACATGAAATTTACCAACAGTCGGCAAATCGAAAAGACATCCCCATTCAATTTCATTCACTCAGTCATGACCAGACGCTGCGGCCAACTTCGTATTCTCCGCCTGCAACGAAGCAACCAAATCAATCCATTTCTGCCTGTCGTCCCGCAATTTAGAAATTTCCTTCTTCAGGTCCTTAACCTCAGTTTTAAGACTCTCCGCCTGAGCTTTATACTTTGATTTCTCCTCTCGTTCCGCTTCCTTCTTCAATTTTTCGTCGGACTTAGAGCTAGACTTTTCGGTCTCCTTCTTCTGCTTCTCTTCAGATTTGGACTTGGACTTCTCTTCCCGACCCGCTTCCTTTTTCAGTCTTTCCTCAGACTTCGACTTCGACTTCTCGGTTTCCTTTTTCCGCCTCTCCTCAATCTTAGACGCAACCTTCAATTGACTCCCCTCAACCTTGCGCAGCTGTTTGAGCAGCTTAGCTTCCTCGCTGAAAAGCTGCGACGCAGCCTTATGCGCAGGGACCGCTGGCTCTGAATTTTGTGGCGTCTTGGTCTGCGAAGATGACTGCCCGTCACTGCTACTCGCTTGCTGACTTTTCTGTGTTGCGGAGCTAGCCGGTGTTGAGGAGCGCTTCTCTGATGGCTTTTTAAGCATACCGCTCTGATCACTGCTATCTGCAAGATCGAAGGCACCCTTCAAGGGTAGGGAGGGATTGCTTTGCGAGGAAAGTTGGAGTTTGTCTAGTTTCGAGCGGATGGTGTCGAGCTTTGCGTCAATTTCACGTTTACGTAGGGCGAGCTTTGCGAGTTCTTTCTCGTGGTGACTTAATTTGCCGGCTTTGGTCATTTTTATGAGTTCGGCTGGGGGTAGATTGTTATGCTCGAGCCCTGGTATATTTCCTTCGGACTGGACTGATGACAAAGAGCCTTGATCTGGCTCGCGAGTCTTCGTTGATCCGGTACCGCCGGTAGAGATGGATTGTCTTGGATGCGATGTTGGCGCTTCATTGGTACTCGCTCTAGACATCTGATTCTCAATTGGCGTATCGGGGGGGTAACTGATGGTGGTGCGGTATGTACTCTGGCACTGATTGGGGCGCAAACCGTTCAATACCAGTGTTGAGCAAGCCAGTGACACTTGCGATTAGGCCGTGGTGAGATTGGGCGTCGGTGTCAGTGAATTCTGATTCCGAGTCTGACTCTGAGTATGAGTGATAGTCATCGGAATTGACACTATCGGCATCAGACTTGGTAGCATCTTGGGATTTCTGACTAGAATTATCAGACGACTTTTTCCCGGGGCTTTCATCTTTGCTTGCCCAGTCAACGAATTTGGCAGCGTCGGCACCGACACTCCTAGGCGTGCCCTTATCCACCATCCATCGGGGGATGCTGCCACCCGGATCACTTCGAGTGACCATAATCCATTCGACGGGGTTCGGTTCGTCCTCGTCATTCTCCAGCGCATCCTTGTCCGACTTCTTAGCATCTCCATTGCTGATCGAACTGGAATCGTTGCTCTTTCGTGGAATCTCACGAATGAGTTCCACGGATTCGTACTCGCCTCTGGTATATCCGTTCTTATGCGGCACATCAGGGTGGTCAACTGGCTTGGAAATCATCATCCAACTCCGGCCCAGCTGTTTAGTCCCACCAACTCGCAAACCAGCTTCTGAAGTAATGATCAAAGCCACAAAGTCTCGCGGGGCAGTAGGTTTGGGAAATTGAGCCGATACATGATAGACCATTACCTGGCCGAGGACAGATCCATCATCATCCTTAACCTCAATTGATTCGACCTTCTCCTCAGCCCCGATTCCGCGAATACATTCATCAGGCGTTTGGCCCTTTTCAATCTTCTTGCGGTTGAGCTTCAGCGTTTCATCATATTCCGACGACATTTTCTCTTGCCATCGCGCATAAGGAAAGACCCTCATGTACACTCCGTCGCCCAAACCACGAACCGCCCCCATCGTTCGCGGATAGTTTCCACACAGTCACGCCGAGAGGGTTGTCCTTTGGCCCGCCCATCTTTAACGGTTTACCCCATTGATTCTGCAGAGCGGTAATCTCCGGATCTGTCTCCTCGACTCGTGCGGCCGACGGCACGACGCGGGCGGAATGTGTAGTAGAAGAGAGATCTCCGGTTCCAGTTCCACCTTCAAGAGGTGGTGGGTCTGGAAGAGATTCGGCGACTAGACGACTATTCTTGAACATATCGCGCACATATTCTCGCAGTTCGTCGGGCGTTTGGGGGACTACGTCCCAGGATGTTGGCTTGAGACATTGAAGGGCATCATGGAGGGTAGCCATGAGGGCGTTTTGGGGAGGCTCGGGTTGGATTGTCTGATTGTAGCACAAACAGAAGTTCGGGTAGTCAGGGTAGGACAGTGAACTGTGTATCCGCAGAAGTTAGTAACTCTGGAGAACAGGTACGCCTTTTGCTTTGCCCCGCCGTTTCACGCCGGAACTAGCAGCGCCACAGCGGTAGATTGGCTGACTAATCTTACCAATGAATGTTTGAATGATAAATCTCACGATGAAGGCGAGATCAAAAGAAAAATAACAGTGCGGTAGGGGGGATAATGCGAGCAGGAGGAGGTGGTTGAGTTTGTAGGAGAATTGCGGAGTAGACGCGGGGGAGTCGGAGGTCGGTGGAAATCGAGAACAAGCTCGATTACGACCGAAGATGCGAGAACCACTCACGCCACAAGGCCAAGTGTAATAAATCGATCTGCTCAGGAGATCAACAGTCCAATCTTCTGAAATACAGGGCAGATATAATTGCCACTTGATTGCAGGTTTGCATGTTGAAGCCTGCTTTGTTTCGTGCGGCCGGGGGTACTGACGTCATTGGATGGTGGAGCATTCAGGCTAGTTGCATTTTTGTTTTTGTTTGTCTATCTCATTTATAAATTTACTTGTGTATTACATTTAAAGTGCTACTTCTCAAAACTTTCCTGTGAATCAAAGTCATATTCAATTGTGGTCCGTCTGTAATTCATCGGCACGGACGGCAGTGACCCAAAAGGCGCAGTAGAGTACTTTGTAGAAATATTATTGCGTCAATACTACTAGTCTGCTCATCTTCATTTGCGAATGTCTAATACCTTCAAGTTTAGAAATGTTGAGACTCTTCTCAAGTTCTTTGTCGAAGATTGTACTGCTTGTCTACTCTGAACTGGTCTGTTGTGTTGCATGTACCTCATTAAGTGACTAGCCTAAAAGATACATACAGATTGACTAAGCTAATAAATAGATGGACAAAAAGCCAGGAGAAGAGAATAAGACAGCCAGCGCGAAGGGACTAGCCCCTCGACTGCAGACAAAAAAGAACGAAAAGATCCGGCATCCGATTCCCGACGTCGGGGCGCAAAGAATGTAGACTCCATCATCCAGTGAAAAGAGTCCCCCGACGACCGAGCTCCTCCGGGTCATAAAAAACCCAGCCCGAAGAGTGTAGGAGATGAACCTAAAGATCGGCAACGGTGGTATATCGATGAATTCCCCCGCGTTGGGAAAGCAGTGCTATTCAAACCATCGTCGCAGGGAGACGGAGGCAGAAGAATGCTGAGGTCACAGACCTCAAGGTGGCTTCTTGCCCGACTCCTCGCCCCCGGATGCTCGCTTCAAGCGAAATAGTGCAACCGGGTCGGACGATGGGATGGCGCACACTCTCTTCGCACGGGGTGATCATCGTCACCTCAAAGCCGAGAAAAGGGCGTAACCCGACCAAACATGTCAAATGTTAGTCAAGTCGCACCAGCCGCGTAGACCATGTCCTAAAACAACCCAATGAAGGGGTGTTTACCAGTCCGATATCCTGTACCGGAAGGAGATGGGTCCTCAGCGAGGTGAAGCAACAAAGAAGGGGGCAGACCGTGACAAAACCAGTCGACGCGGTATAGTAGCCCACCCTTTTGTGCAACTGCTGAATCGCGGCCTCAAGAAATGAAAGACATAACGATGGACATTCCACATCCAAATTCATATCCCGTGCCGCGAGGCAGACCTGGTCTTCATGACATATATGTGGGAAATGAAACACAAAGAGAAAGGAACACAAGAGCCGACCCGCCGCTTCTCGATGCAAAACGCAGACAATAAATAGAAAACAGAGAGAGAGACACGCTGACGCTGGCTGAATAAAACAAAGCATGTATCGTATCAAATCAACAATCAAGAAAACAACCAAGAAAACGCGAATGCCGTTCACAAGAATTATCCGGGAATATTGATGCAATGGGCGAGGTGGAGTATCACAGATGCACAGTCGAAAAGAACGCCGTCAAGAATGCCAAAGTCGGATCTTTTTTTGGTAATTGTGGTTGTCGTTGCCTTGCAGTCACACGAGAAACATACAGGCCCTAGTCACCCGACGATCGACATCAGGGACCAAACAGGTCTGGTTCTGTGGCTGGAGGACGTGGTGGGGGAGCCATTTCCACTTGCTGGGAGGAGTCGACGTCGAGTCCACTCCGCACTGGGAGCTAGATGGTCATGCCATACTGCAGCGGGGCGAAGTTCTCCCAGCCACCGAAGCCGCACATGTTGGCAGCCGTGCTGCAGGGTTGCACGAGCATACTGGGCAGCGGAAGGGTGGAAATGGCGGCAGAGGTGGCGGCCATGCAGTCGTAGGATGGGTAGGGCGCGGTGGTGAAGGGTTGGCTGTAAGATGGGGTGGGCGAAGGCAGCTGAGACTGAGCATCACCGAAACCAATACTAGCCCAGAGATTCGGATTAATATCACCCGTGCTGACCGGGGATGGACTGGGCGGCAATACCTTCCACGACTCGACGTGCGAAGACGGGTAAGGCACATTCTGATGCCACCAGGTCTCCGGGCCTGTCGAGCTGGGCAGCAGAGGGACAGGTCGGAGAACATCCACCACCCGCGGGGGTGGGGGCAATAGAGGCACGAAGAGCGCTGATATCGCAGCTTGGGCATCCTCACTGCGACCACATAGAAGTTCGCCCGCTCCATCTTCCTCGAGACCTTCCAGGGCTTCGGCATCGGCGCGGTAGACGAACTTGTTGGCGGCCTGTACGAACTCCTCTTCTAGCTTCTTCAGCTGAGCCTGTTTACCCGACCAGTCCCATGTGTTGGCGGCAGCATCGACCGAATAGATGTCTTTATGAAAATCCACCAGTGCTTCGATCGTCTCCGGTGTCAGCTTGAATGCCACTTCGTTACGGGAAACCATGTCGACGTGTACCACATAGGCCTCGATATGAATCATCTGATAATTGAACAGGCCTTCCACCAGCGGGTTGTCGTCCCTGCGCAGTTCCGATTCGGGGGGCTTTGGTGAACATCATGGAGCATAGAGTCCAGATGGCATTGCTCGACGACAGGGTTTCGGTAAGACAGCGGGTGTGTTGAGTCACGTTGTTCAAAGGGCGCTTGACTCGGTTGACTCGTTTTAGAGTCGCCGTCAACCACGGTGCAACCTTTCTGGTGAGAACGACATTGGGCGAGGATCGCGGGGCAAACGCAGCTGCCGACGAAGGCAGTAAGACTGTAGGCATTATGAACTCTGTGCGATATGAATGATACGTCCGGCGTTCAATTCTTGGTCAGAAAAAGAGATGTGTTGATAAGAAAAAGCAAAAAGAATATAAAAAAAGGAACGCGTGTGGTTGTTGTTATAAAAGAATGTAGATCGAAGAAATCGTAAAAGGCGACATTCGCCCACACAAGTGATATTTCCCAGCTGCGCACGTAAGCAGATGAAGATTTGGATTGACTGGGCCTTTCAGATCGGAGGTGTGAGTTATCGAAAAGAGAGGATATTCTAAATTAGTTGTGCGGGCGAATGCGCGATAGAAAGAAATTAGATATAACAGGTGAACAGGAGGGAAGAAGGAGAGTCATGAAGGGCATTCCACCGTAGAAGTAAGAAACTAACAAACTAAACCCGGGGTGGGTAACGTAGGAACCGTATTTGGTATCGGCCACTACGAGCACTGTTAGTAGTTACTAACTGGCCCTGGTGGATTGAATATGCAGCCTGATGGAGCCGGTTTTGGTATCGTATAGCCCGTACAGTCGGCCTCTCCGGTGGCAATACTCTTCGGCTTGGATGTGGACAGTGCACAGTTGCATGTATACATTTGCTTCGTACACAATTACAGCTACTTCTGACCATTCCAGCTTTGCTCTACGATCACTGCATTCATTTTATCCACTAATCCAACCCACTAGTCTGATAATCCACATCCACTACTTCTATCTTCTGCAGCTCGGTTCCGTGAAACCACAACCGCCGTGTTTCGAAACAATCAAAACCTTGAATCGCACTGGATTCCCAGTCTCACGGTCTGCGCGTTGCACGTCCATTCGGTCAGAGCCATCTGCAGCATGCCCCAAACTGCAAAAGCTAAGCCCCGATGATCCGCGCTGCGAGTTGACCTGCGGGCCAGCCAAATCCTCCGAATTGCCTATTTGGGTCGCCCGGCCTTGCCTCGCTGCATGATTCCCAAGTTATCTATCCTCTTGAGGGCGAGGCCTCGATGGCTTGCCCTCTTCTCGATCTGTCAACTTCCAAGGTTGTGTCGTCTGGGGACCAAGGGGGGGGACACCTTCGTCATTTCGTATAGACTCAGACATACTACTCCGTACATTCAATTCAATGGGGTCGAAATGAATCTAGAGCCGTCCCATCTCGCCGGTTCAGTCTGGAAATCTTCAGACGCCTTCATGCAGCTAAACGACTCCACAAACCCTACTCGCCCCAGTCCCCGTCGACGCTATCGCACAACAGATGAGATCCCACGTTCCCCAAAGTCAACCCCCTTCTTCACCCCTTGACTACTCCGTACTGGGTTTCAGGACTCTCAATCGAGGGGAAAGGGTTGCAGCAGAAAAGGGAAAAAAAAAAGCAAATGACTCGATGCGATGCTAGATGCGAGAGAGCACCGACTCTTTTTTTTTCTTGCGCACTCTCGTCTTTGTTTGGATGTGTCGACCACGCTAGCCCAGCACAACCATGGACGACCTCAGCTGATGGAGGGTCGAGCAGACGTGGGGCAGCTGGTCTTGGGCCGCTTCAGCACGCGGATTCGCCGGTGGCTACCGAGTCCGGCCGATGCGCGGGCAGCTGAGATCCCTGCTGCGATCTGCGATTGGGCTGAACCTCCCCGGTCCGCCTTCACTAGACTTTGAGGAGGCGCCCACTCCCGTGGAGGTATGGAGTACAGTGTAGTAGTATCATTACCGGTTTTTTCATGCTGCTTTGTGCAATGCAGCTTCTGGAAATAGGAGGAGCCCCCAGCCCTTGCCCTTCCTCCCCCAGGTGATCTCATCTCACAGGCAGCCCCTTTCCTATATCGTGCATCTCAGTCTGTGTCGGGTCCCTCCTCGTGCAATGACTGGTCCATTCCTACAAACCCTGAAGACTGGCGGCATATCAGTTCGGTCATGTGGTCTACAAGATGTAAAGGGGGTGCCAGTGGACAGGACGGAGCGGTTGGAATCGGAGGTCGGCATCATTTACTACTGATACAGGGCATTTACAAAAAATATACCGTAGATAGATTCCGTTATCAACGTACTCCATACGGAGTACATGCTCCGGACATACGGAAGGAAAGAATTTTCATGGGGATTTGCCTTGTCAGTGCGGCGAATGACAGAATGGCAGAATTACGAGTGTTGATGTGTTTCCGAAAATAGGAACAGCCCCAGCCATCGCCACAGCCACAGCCACACACTAGCCACGTGTGGAACACTGCCACTCTCCGCCACGTGGTCACGTTGCCACCAGCGGGGCTGTGGCTGATGCTACCGTTGGGCATCGGAGCCAAAATATTGGGTCAACTAGTATTTACTAGCATGCAGTAATTAATTAAACATATGCTTAACTTATACATTTCAGCGCTTAAAACTCTGCCAGTGGGCCAACTTGCATTGTGACCCAATCAAATTCCGGAGAAAATAGGGCTATCAAACAAAAGCCTCGGCAGATCCGAAACTCATCGTCCCCCATCACTTACAAAGCCAATATAGGACTGCCATAAAACCCCCACCAACTATTTCTAGAATACCACTAGCCTTGGAAATCGTCATTGCAGAATCCCAACAGCTTTCTATGGAAGACATTATGAGTCATAGTAATTCTGGACAAAGACGGTGAATTTGAAACCGAGCTGCCGTAGATCCTACGCCGCCGATGCAGATCAAGTTTGCAATGCTTTACTCTGACTTGTCCCATGACGAAGCCGGATATGCAATTAGATCGAAATATCACATGGCTTTCTTTGAGTCACCAATCCCGACATTCAACTTGAACAATGGGCTCACCAAATATTTTCTGTACGATCTTCGTTCGTATCTAATCCACACACGGCATAAGCCGACCACCCCACCGTCTGAAACCCACTGCACGGTAGACCACCGCCCAATGAGTTTCAAAGTGCAAGATGCGCCAGGAAATAAGTTGCAAAATCGAATCATGTGAGCGATTTTCTTTTTCTCGGGCAATGATAATGAGGGGCAAATGCATGGGTGAATGTTCCGAAATCGGCACTAGTCATTTACTTCTCGGCCATGGAGGAGTAGTCTTGGTAGTATACAGTAGCAGTAGTAGGTCTTGTGATGAGATCTCTGATCCCCATGAAACTAACTCTTCTACAATAAACTACTCCGATAATACCCCACTTGGAGATATCGATCATATGGTCTAGCAAAATCTTGTTTATCTGCAGGTTGCAAAATGTACATGCTGGCGAAGATCTTGTCGACGATTTACATCTGCCTAATACGACTATTATAGCCGATATCTCGGCATTTTACAGAGCCGAAGGGTAATACCTAGGCAGAGGCATTATCTCTTTCAGAAAGGATGAGAGAGAAAAAAAGAACAACAGAGGGCTATAGTCATCAGACACGGTACGAGTGTTTCACTTACCGCGACCGACAGAACAACCTACACAGTCGACGTTGAGGAGGCCCAGTGTGGATAGTGACTCCCAACAAAAATAAAAACAAAATCTCACGAAGATGCTGAAATTTAGGGCCATCGACATATGTACATGAGCATATGTTCCGACAGAATGACGCAATCTAACTTCTCAAGAAGGCCTTTGTTGCGACCGATTTGGGGGCTGTGATATTTTTACAACACCGGCGCTTATTCTCACGATTGGGCCAATGAAAGCCCACTCTACCATCGTTTGACTTTCCTCTTTTTCATGCCTAGCTCCCCACATTCCACACCGTAGAACCGTGCTCTTGAGCGGTCTGATCGGAGACACTTACGTATACATCCTCGAAGATTGAAACATCGATGGGGCTGGGAAGCTTTAGTTTCTCATAATGACGATGAGGTCTCAAAGTGCCCACTTAAGAAGTGATTGTTGAATGGTGGGCAGTGTGGGTGGCCTCACTGGTATCCATAAATACTCGTAGTATGATTACCGGCTTTATTATTTGCCATCGATACGGTAAGCTCGTATAGACAGAGTTCCATGCCATTATGGATGGGGCTGCATTGTTTCTTAGACTTTTGTTCTTCACTTACCACTAGAAGATGATTACTTTTATGCCAAAATATAGGGCTATTGTCTTACATCTCAGTGAGATACATCTTGAAGCGGGGGAACGAGGCAGCACTTAGAGACAGTACATTTAAGATGTTACTTCTTTGTTTCGTCACCCGATATTGGACTTCCCGGACGCCAGTCTCATCTTCAGACATTACTTTTAGCAGCTAATAATTTTGATTGTTCAAACTTGAAGAAGCCTTTGTTGACAAGAGATGATTTGGAGAGACCTAGCTCCACGGTCTCAATCGGATGCCCGTACCATTGGATTTCAGGGTTGAAAAAAATTATATCTTAGTATTTTCAGAGAAAGCATTGCTGTGGACATATATAGATTGTAGTTTTACTAGGAAATTGAAGGACTTCTACTACCCATGACCATTCCACCATGTTCGTTGAAGACGTGCTTGCAAAAGTCAGAGAAGGAACTAGAGTCTTCGACGGAAGAATGATCAGTCTCGAAGACAAACCCCTTCTTTTCGGAAATATGCTTGAGTGACAGGATTTCGACTTCTATACATCCAGGGGAAAATTCGTCTCGCAGTTCTTTACTCCAGCGACCAACCTGGCCCCCGCAATCCTGATATCCAGACTATACCACGTGGCTGTGAATTTCGAGAATTATAAGATACTACTAGCACACCAAAGCTCATACGCTTGCTTTTCTGAAAGGTGTACATGCATTATCTATAGTACTACGCGACACAGCTAAACTGATCGGGTGCATGGGATCTATATTACCTGCAGCTCATACCCTGATGTTCATGCTTAGTTGTCAGATTGAAAGATTGACACTGCATTTATCCAGAGGAGGATATTTATGCGGTGAGAATAGACAAGGAAGCGGAGGTTTAAAATATGAAGTGAACTTTTAGACCTACCGAGAGTAACTTGGATGCAGAGGAGATGCAGATAACACTTTCCACATTTTGGAACTACCTCCAATTCTCTATGTCGAATTGTGCTTGTCTTCTAACTATGCAAGCCATGACATTTATTTTAAGGAATCCAAATTACTTAGTCACTGCCAAAAGTCAAATGAGTACAGTCCATTGTGTGTGAATTATAGACTGCCGAGAATATACGGACTCTCTAGTCGTACAGTGTGGCTCAATCGTAATACCTGGAAGAAAACCCACAGCTCTACTCCATAGATATTGAAAGCTTACGTCTACAGTAATTTGGTGTGATTAGTATCACTACGAGGGAATAATAATTGATATAGCCGCAAACTATGAATGTGATTGCAATAAAGAAGAAAAATAGAACCCTGCAGGGCAAGAGAAATCCTGGGAGAAGTTGAAGACTCGATCTTGGGCTCCCTAAAATGGAGTAAAGTATTGAAAGGCCGCAGTAGCCTTTTCTTAATACAATTGGCTTCTTCACTGAGGATTGTTTCAGTAAATTGAGTGTCATCAATTGTCTGCGGTGCTCTTCAGGTGGCTACTTTGATATTAAAATAAGTGAAGATTTGATGCGATACAAATGCTCTACGAAAATGTATGGCGAAACGGCCTGAGCCCACCTGGACAGCAGAAAGTCGCACTTTATTTTTCGAAGAAAACAGGAATCACTCTAGCCATGCCAATGGCAGTATTTATGTGATTGTATTATATACCTAGCATACTAGAAAATCCTCAAATTATTCTAGAAATTCACCGCCACTTTCCTTTAGTAAAAGCTGATATTCAGGCTCGAATTGCATATACATTGCTTCTGGCGACCCCGTTCCCTTCTTGGTGTATAGTGCGGTTTCAGGATCAACAAGGGTTTTCTTCAGACCCCTCGTGGTAGCACCAATTGTACCTGGGGCAGTTGATGCCTCCACTAGTAGTTGTGCCTGACAGGCTCTTTCTAGTGCAATGAAAAATGCAGCTGCCTCGGCTACTGTATCACCAGCAGTGAGTAGGCCGTGGTTTTGCATTATCAGATTCTTGTTGTTTGGTCCAAGGTAGTCCGCGATACGTTGGCCCTCCTGCTGAGCGAACACAACCCCACCAAAGGCTGGGTATACAGAAAGATCGTCGTAGAACATGCAGGAGTCTTCACCGGAAATTCGAAATCAGTACCAAAATTGAATCATTGATATATTGAATGGATATTATACCTTGGTTGATCATATCAATTGACTTTCCAAATGTACTCCATGCTCTACCGTAAGGACTATGCATATGACAGGCAGCATTGATATCAGGTCGCCTTTGGTGGATTGCCGAATGGATCATGAAACCAGCAGCATTGACTGGTTTATCGGCGCCATCTACACGATTTCCATTCTCATCAACACGTACCATGTCTGATACCTTCAAAAGGGCAAAGTGCACCCCATACGGATTTATCCAGAATGTCTGTGGATCAATGGGATCTTATAAGGTTAGCTACTGGCAGAGACTGAAAGTGGCTGGCTTCGTTGGTATACCTCGGAGGCTAATATGACCACTGCTCCCATCAGAAAATCCGAGCTTAGCAAAAATGCGAAAGGCGGCGGCCATTTGACCTAGTAGCCATTTTCGCTCTGCCTCTTTAGTGGCAGGTCGTGGAATATGATGAAGTCTTCTGACCTCTCCATTCTCGGACCTTTCGGTATTCAGAGCCGAAGAAGTTGCTGTTTTGGCTGTAGTCGCGATCGAAGACATACTGTTGTATTATTGTTTTATCATGGCAGGACTGAATTCGGAAATAAGATGACAAGGCTGAAAATGATGACATCGGCTATTCTCGAGAGGGGAAGCTTAACCCCGCAAGAATGCGCGCGAGCATGACCTCTCACCCGCATTCTCAGAAATCGGTGAGGTTTACCCCGTGTATCTCGTCCGCAAAATTGGGAGGTACTGGCTAGAAAGGGATAGAGATCTTTCCCGCGGCAAAGCAAAAGCAAAGCTCGCGAGATTTGTGAGAGAAATCATCTCAAAGAGGGGCAAACTGACCATGAACAGCAAGCCAGAAGACCGCATACTATTCTTCGCGGGTAGTTTCAAAAATGCCGTCTTTCCTCGACCTACCGCCCGAGATTCGTCTGATCATTTACACCTACTCACTAAACCCGAACGAATATGTCTGTGGGTATCGTCAAATAGAGCTTCTGGCCGCCGCCGAAATGGACCGTGCTCGCGGTCCTGTATGCGCCTACCCACGACCTTACATAGAACGACATACACCAACTATTCTCCTGATCAACAGACAGATCACTGCGGAAGCGCTTGAGGTTCTCTACAAAATACCCCTCAACCTCTATGAGACGCCACCAACGTATTTCGTTATGCGAAACATGGATATAACCGAGTTCATCAGCGAGCATCTACTTCAGAAAATCCAGCATGGCATTCTGAGAATGGACCATGCCCAAAAGTTCCATATTCTGACTTTATTGGACATATGGGGTCAGAGTAATAATTTGCAATCACTGCATGTATATTGTTCAAAGCCTTCGCCGGTTCCCAGAGGTCATTGGAAGATTGTGAAACAAAGGGTGTGTCTCTCAACACCAAAGACCTCGCATTACCTAGATATTTCATTCTGACAATCTTGGAAATTAATCAGCTTCGAACATTTTCGAATACTGTACCGGTCATATTCCATCGAGTCGAAGACCCGCTCAAAGCAGATAACTTCGAAACAACGAACCCTCCGAGCAACTGGGGCAGACCACCTCGTATCGGGCCTCCAACAAGTCCTACTTAGAAACAAGGAACCTAAAAAAAGCAAAGCTTCATATGAAAATAAGCATCTTCCATGGATCGATCGAGTGAAATCTTGGCGTGTCAAAATACGTTATGCTCGAATTACCGAGATCGATAACGCCCGCCAACCGGAGCAATTATGCTCTTCTTTTCATGCGCATCAATACAATATCAAACATGCTTTTGAAAAAGATAATTGTCAGATAAAAATCATTGATAATTTGACCTACCTAGGCATTCCTAAAGAAGATCACCCAAGTTAATAAAGTAGTTCACCAATTGGTAATTGGTAATTTTGGAAGAGATTGGATCAACCTCCCTTCAACAACGAAGCTATCAATAAATCTGCAATACCACTCGTTATTGATAGGAATTACTGGTAGATGACCACAAAAGTAACCCTCGGGTTCTAAACGAACTCCGAGGCCTTAAATCCCCGCGGCGATCCTCGCGCTAGCAACGCTCGCGAGGAGCGAAGGGTCCACAGAGTGACAAGTCTGCCCCGCTATTTTGGAAGCGAACCCCTGCAGAGGCGCTCCTGTCGCGTGTGGGGGTGTTATGCAGCCACCCGAGAGTTATTCAAATTGCAAACTATAGTTCTGTATTCAAAGAAAGTGTGGAGGTTTTGGCACAGTTAGATTTCCGAACAGGCTGGCTTTCCAGTATCTAGGTCGGGACAACTGCCTATTTCTAGTTCACAGGACTTTGAACTGGTACGGAGTACTAGTACTACCTAGGTAGTAAAACATCCATGCCAGAATATCATCAACATATGATGATGCTAGCAGTGTAGATCGCTGTTGGAACAAACTTGGCAGGCTAAGACAGGAATGAAAATTCGTCAATGTCACGGTGAAGGTGACGTCTGCAGTTAATGATCATCTCATCGGGCCTTATTTGGAGCGCCGACGTCTTCCTAAAAGATCTTATCGGTTAGACGAGAAGGTCAGATCTCGATTCGGAAATACTGATCAACACCAGTTCGTAAAGGATCAGCGTTTCAATAGCACACATAGTCCACTCAAACTGTGCCCCAAAGTAAGCGAACGGGTCTTCAGGTACCCGTTCGTTCTCATTAGCCAGGAACATGGCTATCCGTGCCGATCTGCAAGGGCACGGGCAGCCCCGGACCCTGAACCCTTTAAACGAAGGGCAGACGAACTCTTGACGTCGCATTCTTCCCGTTTCCCCATTAGACTCCCCCGCAAGACCAAGCCACTAACCTCGCTAGTCCACCAACCCCATTGGACAAGATCAGAATCATGACTTGGATGGAGCCTTTCGCTTTCGTTCCCGCTCAAATATCTGGAGGCCTCGCAAGAGTACATCCACCCATGAGTATCTAACACGGGTCGAAAAGGGGAACTACTCCGCTAGCAAGTGCGAGTGTATGTTCGGGGACTGACATCAGAGCTATCAAAAGAGCGTAAAGATTGGAAATGCTCACATGTGGAGATCAACCGTCCTCGGCCTAATCCATTTCCTGCCCCATGAAGTGAATCGGTGAGGAATAGCGTCTGATGGCATAAAAGGAGGTCTCCCAGATATGGAGATGGCGGATTCTCGTGAACGACAATCGCCGGCAACCGCTTCCATATCGTCTTCTTCCTCTGCTGTGTGTGTGCAGCCAAGATGCGTTTCTCTGTCGCTTTCATCTCGACCCTCGTGCTATCTGGCACTGCGCTGGCTGGCCCTACCAACCAGTCTAGTGCGAGCGAGGCCGGACCGGATGCCACCTCCGTTTCGAATGTTCAGGATAACGTTGCCAAGGCTGCAAATGCTGCTCCTAGCACATCCGAGACCCCGGTAGTTCACCAGGCAGCCCCAACGGTCGATTCCAGCAGTAACAAGAAGGAGGATGATGTCGTTGCCGATACGCCTTCTCCTAGCTCTGTTCTGTCATCCCAGAAGAGCGAGGATGTCCCTCAGAACACGGCAACAAAATCCGCCGACTTGGTCGACCCGAAGAAGGATCCATCGAACATTGAAAGCAGCATGCCATCGTCCACAGGCTCTAGTTCACAGACCGCAGACTCAACTGGTACAGCCTCGTCGCATGCATCTGGTAGCGCGACTGGTAGTATGACTGGCAGCACCACTGAAAAGTCTGCTACAGATAAAACAGCCACGGTTACTCAGTCCGCCGAGCCTTCTGCTACCAGCGGCGGCTATGCTGATAGCGATCATGCGGATGGTGATGATGATGGTCGCCTGCTTTCCTTCGATGGTACTTTCCTTGATTCATTCAAGGACTTCGTGAGCTTCCTGGAGGGTGTTAAGGGACTTCTGGCACCGACTCTCCTTGGGGATATCGAATCATTCTTCCACCATGTTGCCTATCTCCTCGATGACACGACCACAGACCAGACTAAGATCCTAATCGAGACTGCCTCTAGTCTTTTGACCAAGAGCCTGATCAACAAATTGAATGGTTTGCTTGACAATGCCAGCGAGCTCTTGACTAAGGACTTTGTTCATGAGACCAAGAGTCTTATCACCACCGTTGCCCCGGTGCTTACACCGGAGCTGTTCAAGGAAATCAACGGTTTGCTTAAAAACGGAAATAACCTGTTGAGCCCCGAGTTCGTGAAGGAGACCAAGGGTCTAATCAATACTGTGGCGCCTGTAGTGACCCCCGAACTTCTGAAAGAGGTCAACTCTTTGCTCAAAAACGGCAATAGCCTTCTCTCCCCCAGCTTTATTAAGGAGACTAAGGGCCTTATTAACACCGTCGCCCCTGCTGTTACACCTGAGCTTCTGAAGGAGGTCAATAGCCTTCTCCAGAACGGCAACACACTTCTGTCACCCGAATTCGTCAAGGAGACCAAGGGCTTGATCAACACAGTTGCTCCCGCTGTAACCCCTGAGCTTCTGAAGGAGGTCAACAGCCTTCTCCAGAATGGCAATAGCTTACTTAGCCCAGGCTTTGTCAAAGAAACCAAGGGTCTTATCAACACAATTGCTCCTGTCGTTACTCCTGAACTTCTCAAGGAAGTCAATAGCCTCCTCCAGAACGGCAATAGCCTGCTTAGCCCTGGGTTCGTGAAGGAAACTAAGGGTCTCATCAATACTGTGGCTCCTGTGGTAACACCTGAGCTCCTGAAGGAGGTTAATGGTCTTCTTACCAATGCCAATGACCTCCTCACTGGGAAGTCAGTCCATATGATCAACGAACTACTTATCAACGCGAATGCCCTCTTGACCCCATCGTTCGTGAAAACGACTGGTGGGTTGATTAATGGAATCTCACCCATGATCACTCCCGAGCTACTGCATAACGTCTCCTATCTTTTGGGCAACGGAACCACCCTCTTAAGCCCGAGGTTCGTGAACGATACTCGATCGCTGGTCACTGGTGTTGCGCCGGTCATCACTCCCGATCTCTTGGCCAAGGTTGGAAGTCTCCTCGGAAACGCAAATGAACTTCTCTCGCCGAAGTTTGTTAATGAGACAGAGACTTTGATCGAGGACGCATCTGATGTAAGTTTTCGCTTCTTTCAGTAACCTGTTTATTCTCTCATTGCTGACTTCTTTTTCAGTTGTTGCCTCTTGTCGTGAAGTTGATTGATTCGTTGTAAAAGCGCGAAGGAGGGCTTTTTTTTCTCATGTTTGCTTTCCGTAATGTTTAAAACGAGTAATTAATCACGGTAACTCACGATGATATCTGAGTACGTTAATATGCTTAATACGATTTAATTGAACGATACTGGACTACTCTTCACGACATTAGTAAGCCTATTTGCACTGTAGATAGTGTTGGGAGCTGCGCGACGAAGGACGAAATATGAAAGTGGTGGAGGAGAAAAGATTGAGAGAGCAAACAACCTCAAACAACCTATCTAAGGTATGACATGTCAACCTGGATGCCTAATTACTGTAGTGGTATAGTCGACATGCTTTCGATCAGCACGCCATGCATCTTGAGGTCGTGAATGGCGGCATGAAAGTCATTTCGACTTTGCAAGCAGATATGGATGGATAGAACCACACTTCTTGTCGTTCATGCTGACATATGCGACAAATGCGTCGGTGTAAACGTCGATATTCGGATATTACCAACACACAATGTCAAAAGAGTTTGTGCAACTGACACGTTGAATATAGCGCTACTCCAGATCCAGAACGTTCATTTCTTTCCGACCTAGTAGGCACTGCATCATTCCAACTCCCGTCCTCTTCCATAGCCTAGATATTGCTCTGCAATTGACAAGACTCAGATTGTATCCCATTGAATGGTCCGTAGGATTAACGATGACAGAGTCCGGCCAAAATAGTCTCGAAGTTGTTCGGTGGTTGGCGACAGCTGAACTTGATGATATTCTGCCGTTGCACAGTAGTCAGCTCGCCGTTGAAGACATGCCCTGTCTTAATTCAGGCGATCTCGGCAGGGATGTAGATCCTGACGCGACAAAGGTGGGTATCGCCAGACCTTTTCGACATGGAATGTTGGCTTGATGCAGGGCCCAAGAAGGCGGCCCAGGAATCAGCTCGGCAAGAAATGAGGTCGGAAGGCAGAGAGAGGACTTCGCTTCTCCGATGAGACTAGGGCGCCAAGATAGCTATTGTTTCGGCTTCTTGATGTTGTCAAGCGTAGCCAAAGTCCATCCATCTCATTCAAGACGGGATCTCCGATGCTTTAACCTCTTGGTACTTGGAGACCACCTTCATCTCGATATCCCGCTCCTTGACCTTTTTGTCCATGGCCTTTTGAACTTGTTCCTTCTTCTTCTCGGCCTCTTCAATTTTCCTCCTCGCTTCTTTCGCGGCCAGTTCCTGGGCTCTCAGAGCTGTTTCTTTGGTCGGGAATTCCTGACGCAACTGCTCGATCTCCGTGCGAATATCTTGCTCTTCTAGTGGTTGACAAGTGACCGGATGATACTGGTAAATCGGAAGTGGTTCACCCGGCAGCTGGACCTCCGGGAGATCGGGGTGGATTGGGGTTGTTCGGATCGGAGAGTCGAGAGGGACAGCCGAGACAGTCTCGGAGGGGGGCGATGGAAGGAAAGGCTCGGTTTTGACCATGATTGCTGCGTGAATATTGAAATCTGAGGAAGAAGGATGGCGAGAGAGGAGGGGCCGCCTTGAGGAAAATGGCGGGGAGTGTTGCGAGAAGTATGAAGGGAGATAAGTCGGAAGTCACTCGGCGACGACTTTGGATATTCTGCCGCGGTTCGCCAGAGTCGTGCTTCACCGCCCACGACATCACCATATGCGGGGAGACTGGACGACGACATCAAGGAAGATCCATTAATGCTCTTCTCAAAATCACACCTCAATATCCAGATAAATCACTTGGGGAGGCTTTAAGTAGGCCAGTTGTTGTGTATTCGACGTATGATAGTGGGTGCGCAGATCCCCATACGAGTCGACTTATCTCATCTTGAAGACTGCTTGGCCACATACACTTGAGCCACTATGCAGGCTTTTGGTAAGTTACAATTACTCTGCTCCCTGGGCATGGATAGCCACATTTCATATCTCAATTGACCTGGCTGACATTTGACACTTGCCAGTCCCGAAAAATAGGAGGGTAAGCTTCGGAAGCCCCGGAGATGAAGCCACTCAAAACTAATCCGAATACATATATAGCCCCGATTTGAGCTGGTATTGAGGGTATGATTCCACTATCTTGTCATATGACACGTATATATGCTGACATTATCCCAAGATAAACGACATCAACAATGTTCCCTTGAGCAATGGCGTTACGTATGTGCGATGGCGCCTACCGTCAGGAGTCTCAGCAGAGCATCAGGGTCACACAGAAAAGGCGACTCTCAGTGACCATCGTGCATACTGGAATTATGAAAAGGTCCTCCATGTGAGGCTCACTATCGACAGGGCATCCACACTCCAGGACTGCGAAATATTCTTCGAAATCATTCAAGAGTTCCACTCTTCAATAGAGAAGAATGTGCTTGGAAAAATCAAGCTCAACCTTGCTGAATATGTGGATAAGGTTGAAGAGGATGAAGGTGTCGTTAGAAGATACCTTATGTTCGACAGCAAGGTCAATAGTACCGTTAAGATTGGGATTGCGATGCACCAAACGGAAGGAGATCGAGGCTTCACTACGTATGTCCAGCGCCCCGGATCGCTTCATCCTCTTCAATTGTTTAATGCTAATCTGACACAGGCCAAATCTGAAATCGGCCACCGTCTTTGGAGGAATTGCGGGCGTGGTTCATTCTTCCGAGCCAATAGACTCGGATGAGATCGGCCAGATGCCCTCGATCAACACACAAAGCAGAGAGACTGCCGACATGCAAGACCTATATCGAAGAACCCTAGCGGCCTCGTGGACGTCTCGATCATGCGACTTGCCTGCCGATAAACTAGTTGAGGAGCTGTTCTCAGGCAGCTCCTGTTGGAACAACGACGCCCACAACACTGTCAATGGAAGCTACGTGGGGCCCGACCATCGGGATAACTTTTTGGACCCTGAAGCTGGGGCCCGACAGTCACGCTCCGGCAAGAGATTGTCGCCTAGCCTATCACCCGGATTTGAGAGGCGACCGAAGAGCACCTCAAGTAACCACTCCCGCAGCAGCTCGAAAACGCCAGACTCTCGATCTACACTGGGCAATGCTCAAAAGGGCGGCAGTCTTGAACAACAATTTTATGATGGGGCAAAGGGCCGTGGTGGGAAGGGACGACATGCTGAGCATGAGCTGTGCGAATTCGATGTGCGAGATGATCTTCGAAGTTGGGAGGTTGTCTCTAATAGGTAGCATGAGATAGCAACAGCAAATATACCATTCAAGTTCTGTCAACTTGAATCTTGGAACTTGAAGTTAGTAGTACTAGTAGTAAATCCAAGGATACCTAGGTATATATCCACAATATTCGATGTAGACCACCGATAGTGGATTCAAGTTATTCAAGAACCCTCCGCAGTCCTGGAGAATACCAAAAAAAAATACCCTAGATAGGACATTACTACTAGTACCTACCTAGGTAGTAGTTATTAGTAAACTCCAAGGCCAAGGTTGTTGAACTTGAAGTTGTGATGCTGCGGTGCCCCACACATGACGGACCCCCAACTTCAAGTTGAACCTTGGGGAAACTCGACTTGACGTGTAACCGGGCTCTTTCTCTCTTTCTCTCCCAACTTGGACCTGTCATCCCGCACTCCGACTCTGAGTCCCCTTGTCAACTCCCTCGGGACCGAGTCATAGATAGTTCAACTTCGATCCGATCAGCGTCACTTGGCCATCTTGCATACCATCGCTTTGCTGGAATCTCCGAAGTGCGCGGTGTCCGCCCGGCCCCGCTACAACATCACTACAACACAACCCCAAGCTTTCCCCTCCCTCAGGATGAAGATCATGCGCCCACAGTGATTCACGCTTTAGGCATGGAGCGAACACGGGTTGCTAAGGTTGGTGTCTCTCATGAGAATCTTAAAGATATAGCCTCACCGATACTAACCATGCCTTCTTCCCAGGTTGACAATGTGACCTTGGCTCGCCGTGGTGACCAGGTCGACGGCACCCTTCACCTCACCCCACATCACCTCATCTTTTCCCACGTCCCCCCCGGTTTCCAGCGAGGACCAAGCCAAGGGCGTGGCAATCAGACCGAAGGAGCTTTGGATTACCTACCCCATCATCTCATTTTGTACACTGCGACCGGCTCCCGCGGCCTCCCGCCAGCTCTCCTCCATCCGCCTGCGCTGTCGAGACTTTTCATTTGTCTGTTTCTACTTCACCAGCGAGAACAAGGCCCGCGAGGTTTATGAAAGTATCAAGCAGTGGACCTGTAAATCTGGTCGCCTTGACAAACTATACGCCTTCTCCTACCAACCGCCTCCTCCGGAGAAGGAACTCAACGGGTGGGATTTGTATGACCCGCGCAAGGAGTGGGAACGGCAAGGAATCCACAAGGAAAACTCCGGATGGCGCCTATCCGAAGTCAATACCAACTACGAGGTACGTGGTACAGTTGGCATGGGCCAGGCGAAGAAGATGACTCCACATTACTTACTCAGATCGTCGATAGTTCTCCCCAACGTACCCAGCACTGATCCCGGTGCCCTCGGCCATTTCCGACAACACCATCAACTATGCAGGACGCTATCGTTCAAGGGCACGAATTCCAGCCTTGACCTACCTACACCCCGTCAATAACTGTAGCATCACCCGAAGCTCGCAACCCTTGGTTGGTGTCCGTCAGAACCGCAGTATTCAGGATGAAAAGTTACTGGCTGCCATTTTCTCGACCTCTCGTTCGGAGCGCCCGTTGGCTGGCTTCGCTCAGGCAAGCATAGAGAGGGAAGCATCTGACTCCAGCCAGGAAAGCACGGAGACTTCACAAAGTGACCGGGACATGTCCAATGCTGAGGAAATAGAGGATGATATGCTAGCTGCTACCCAGGGAGACCCCGAAGAGCAGCGTGCGGTATACGGCGCTCAGCAGTCGAATCTCATTGTGGATGCGCGTCCGACGGTGAATGCATTTGCTATGCAAGCAGTTGGACTTGGCTCGGAGAACATGGACAACTACAAATTTGCTACGAAGGCATACCTAGGGATCGACAACATCCATGTTATGCGCGATTCCTTGAATAAAGTCATCGATGCACTAAAAGAGACGGATGTCACTCCTCTGGGACCGAATCGGGATCTGTTAGCACGAAGCGGGTGGTTGAAACATATCGCCGGGATTTTGGATGGAGCTGGGTTGATTACCCGGCAGGTTGGCCTGACACATTCCCACGTTCTCATTCACTGCTCTGATGGCTGGGACCGGACCAGTCAGCTCAGTGCCTTGAGTCAAATCTGCCTGGACCCGTACTTTCGCACCATGGAGGGCTTCATGGTTCTCGTGGAGAAAGATTGGCTGTCGTTTGGCCACATGTTCCGACATCGATCTGGCCATTTGAATAGTGAGAAATGGTTCCAGATTGAGAACGAACGTATCGGGGGAGATGCCAATCGTGGATTTGGAGAAAGTGGTGGCGCAGGAAAGGCAATTGAGAATGCGTTCCTCAGTGCCAAGGGCTTCTTTGGTCGGGATAACAACAGCCGCGACTCTTTACAAGACTCGGATGGGGAGCTCCAGAGCTATGACTCCGACAGCCCTGCTGCCAAAAAGCCCAGCTCGTCTCCTCGTTCTGCTGTTTCCGAAAAGGAGATGACGAAGGTGAAGGAGACGAGCCCTGTATTCCACCAGTTCCTGGATGCCACCTACCAGCTTCTTTACCAGTATCCCACCCGCTTCGAATTCAACGAGCGCTTCCTCCGACGCCTTCTCTACCATCTCTATGCGTGCCAGTTCGGAACATTCCTCTTCAACAATGAGAAAGAACGGGTGGATACCCAGGCTCGGGAGCGAACTCGGAGTGTATGGGATTATTTCCTTGCCCGCCGGGAGCAGTTTACTAACCCGCAATACGACCCCGAGGTGGACGATCATAAGCGGGGGAAGGAGCGGTTGATCTTCCCCCGAGCCAGCGAGACTCGATGGTGGAACGAATCATTTGGTCGAGCGGATTCGGAGATGAATGGGCCTCGACCGTCGGAATCCTCTCCAGGATCAGGACGTGAGAGTCCCAGTGAGAACCGTGCGCCTATTGTGACAGGCGTGGAGACCGCACAGCAGTCCTTTATGCCTAGTGCAGCAGCATCTGGAATCGCGGCTGTGACATCTGGGATCTCCAATCTTGCGGCATTGAAAAATGAGTCTCCTGAAAAGGAAGCGAGCAAACCTAAGCCGATGGAGGTGGAAATGCAATAAGATTACTATTACTATGGATTTGGTCTGGAAGATTGAGGCGAATGGGATGGAAGATGTGGAAGATATGGAAGAACTGGATGGTGTATGTTACGCTATGAATGATTCAATAAGCAATACACATGCCTGGTACTACACACTATTACTGCTGGTCTAGCTATAGTTAACTGTAGGCATACTGTAGGCATCTGTACTAGCCTATAACTAGTTAGTTAGCTGTAGTTATTTAGTTAGTTACCTGTAAACGGCTTAGTCATCGGCACCAAATGGCCTAATGGATCAGGTGTCAACGCTAGACCGCTTTGGAGCACTTCAAGCGAGCCCTAACAGCCCAAACGGGCGGGAAGCCCTACAACCACAGCACAGTCCCCACCACTAACCCAGAAATCTTTAACGACCATCACGACCTCGACCTCGCCCTCCCCCGTCGACCCCCTCCAATTCCAACAACCAGGAACGCAAAAATGGCCGCTGTTCAGGGTGCTATCTCCAAGCGTCGCAAGTTCGTCGCCGACGGTGTCTTCTATGCCGAGCTGAACGAGTTCTTCCAGCGCGAGCTGGCTGAGGAGGGATACTCCGGCGTCGAAGTCCGTGTCACTCCCACCGTCACCGACATCAGTACGTTTTTCTCGCTCGAATTACACTCCGTTGGTGGGATCTGGATACAATCATGAAAGAGGAGGGAAGCATTGCGTTTTCAAAGTGACCCGAAAAAAGCTTTTGAATGCGCCGCTTGGAAGAAAACATCAACGATTTCGATTTCGCCTAGGACCGTCGATGCTAACCGGTGTCTCCTCTCTAGTTGTCCGTGCCACCCACACCCAGGAGGTTCTTGGTGAGCAGGGTCGCCGCATCCGCGAGCTCACCTCCCTCATCCAGAAGCGTTTCAAGTTCCCCGAGAACTCCGTCTCCCTCTACGCCGCCAAGGTCCAGAACCGTGGTCTCTCCGCTGTCGCTCAGTGCGAGTCCCTCCGCTACAAGCTCCTTAACGGTCTGGCTGTCCGCCGTGCCTGCTACGGTGTCCTCCGCTTCATCATGGAGAGCGGTGCTAAGGGTTGCGAGGTTGTTGTGTCCGGAAAGCTCCGTGCTGCCCGTGCCAAGTCTATGAAGTTCACTGTACGTCTACACCGAGATGGAAATGGGAAAAAGCGGTGGGAACCGAAGCATTGGATAGTTTTGGACCTGGGATGACGGGGCCGTATTGGTCGCATCGGTCAATTCTGGAATATGCTCCTCTGCTCGTCTACCCTACGCTCTAACCCTCCATCTCATCTACCTTCCCGCGATCCGTCTGCGACAAATCAACTAACATCTCCCAGGACGGTTTCATGATCCACTCCGGTCAGCCCGCCAAGGAGTTCATCGACTCTGCCACCCGCCACGTTCTCCTCCGCCAGGGTGTCCTCGGTATCAAGGTTAAGATCATGCGCGGTTCCGACCCCGAGGGCAAGGCCGGCCCCCAGAAGACCCTCCCCGACTCGGTCACCATCATCGAGCCCAAGGAGGAGCAGCCCGTTCTGCAGCCCATGTCCCAGGACTACGGTGCCAAGGCTCTTGCCGCCCAGCAGGCCGCTGAGCAGCAGCGTCAGGCTGAGCAACAGGCCGCTGAGGCTGAGGGTGCCACCGAGGGTTACGCTCAGGAGTAAAGGAAAAGAAACTTTGATTAGTTTTTTCTTTTTTCAAAATATCTACTTCCGCCCACCTTTCTCCCTTTTCCTTCCTGTTCTAACCTGAGCCAATACTCTCTACCTCACGTCAATCAAAACTACATGAACACTTCCAAACTTGCCTTTTTTCTTTCTTCTTCAGCTTCGGGATGCATTCTCTGGCGTGATGTATGATGATTATTACGTCGAGTAATCTCAATCATGATTGGAATGAGAGCAACTCTAGTTGTGAATAAGGACGTTCCTTGTAAGCTTTATGTCGTAGGCGAATGAATATACACAATTGTTTATCTTGCGGATATTAGTATCCTACTTTAGTACTCGTAGCCTACGACGAGGATTTGGTGTCGAGAGGCACCTGGGTATTCAGGCATAACTTGAGTTTGCAGGGTCCACCTCTGACGTATGGTGGGTGGGTGGACTACTACTACTAGTACTACTAGCGGTATGTATACGAGAATCTGCTATAGTAGCAAACCACTGGCCGTGACTGCCTGGGTAGAAGAGCTCTGCACACAATATTTGGAAGAATAGCATGACAGGTAAATAAAATATAGTTATAAAGTTTCTTTTATTGCTTTTGTCATCTCCACAGCTCTAATCGAAACATGCTCAATATCATGATGTATCTCGCGAGCCCTCCATCGTGTCATCATCTATCTGCGTCAAAGTAAAGGGAAAGGAAAATGCCCACAGCAACCCAAGTCTACAGGAAAGGCTCGATGTTGATCTCCAGGGTGCTGACAGGATTCTTGAGTTCGTACTTCTCCAGCACGGTGGGGTGCAGGATACCGAAGGAACCGACGACAAGATCCTTGCCGCCGATGCGAACGTGGACGGAAGCAGCGTGACCGGGGAAATAAGTGGGATCTGAGAACTGTTAGTAAAGTGTATATAATAATAGTAGCGCGCGCCAGTTTAAAAGACCTACCATCCAGCTCCTTGATGTAGTACGATGACTCGTTCATGCCGACGTCCTTGGCGTCCGCTTCATTAGGGACGAAGGCGCTCCGCAGCATGGCCAGAACACGGTCCATGAGACCGTGAACAATCTCGAAACCGCTGTTACGACCGTACCAGGCGGCAGCAAAGTGTCTCTCGTTGCGGGATTTGCGCTCCAGTGACAGGTCCTTGAAGGCAACGTCGCTGACCTCGAAGATCTTCATGGGCAGGGAGTGAGCCTTGTTCTCACGGATGGTCTTCAGAAGACCCGGGAGAAGGCTTGTGCGGACGATCTGGAACTCGGTGGTCTTGGGGTTGGCCAGCCTGACGGCAGAGCTACCATCGTCCTTGCGGTTCAACCAGCCGAAGTTCTCATCGTGCGAGCAAAGGATCAGAGGCATGACCTCGGACCAGCCGGCCATCGCGGCCTCAATGCGGATCACGTCGGACAGCTTGTTGATGGGAAGAGGCTGGGCGATGGTGCCGGACTTGCTGGGGAAGGACTTGGGGAGCTTATTAAAGCCGTAGGCGATAGCAACATCCTCCATGATGTCGCACTGGTGGAGGACATCGGCGCGAGTGGGGGGGGATCTCGACGTCAATGGTGTCAGGGTTGTGGGCGGAAGGTCTGGCGCGGAAAGACATCTTCTTCAGCAGAGTGCTGATCTCGGAGGGGCTGAGGTCCAAGCCACAGCATTGGTTGATGTAAGACACTTCGGCCTGGGCGACACGGGGGGGCAATGTCAGGGGTGATGCGAGTCTGCTGGTTGTGCTCGGAAACAATCTTGACAGGCTCAATACTATCAATGGGTCAGCTTTGGAAATTCTTACTCGGTATGGATAGGTCAACTAACACGAAAGGCTCCGTGGTGTATTGAGAGAACATGGTGACCATCATACGGTTCACAATCTCAAGCTTCGTTTGGTCAGTGGCTGTCATCTCGATGAAGATGTTGGTAGTGTCCATAGAGATCTTGGAGTGATCGCCGTTGATGATAGGAGGCAGCGAGCAAACGGTGCGGTTGGAGTCGTAGATAACCGGGTAGACAGGGGAGTCACGGATGATGTTCAGATATTTACCCAATTGTTGGTGCTTCTGTTGAAAATCATCAGTACGGTTCAATTTCTGGATTTTTTGGGAGTGGAGTTTTAGGAGGTACATACCTCGTAGAAGGCCATCAATTCTTCTGCGTCCATCTCTTGGGTCTGGTTCAAGGGAGCGAATTTAATATCCTTGGGAGGGAGGGCCTCGTAGGTGAAAGGGCCCTTGACAGTGTCGAGGTCGTGAGTACCAATGGCAACCAGAGTTCGTTGACGGGCCAAGTTTTGGTGAAGTTTATCTTGGAGCGCAATGAAGGACTCATAACGGGCCTTGTCGAACTTGACTCCGCGCAGGATAGCACCAGAGATGTAGGGTCTGATTCTTGTGGTCTGTGATATAGTTAGTATGTGATGTTGTATTCCCTGGAATCCAGAGGACACTCACGTCTTCTTTGACAATAATTTCCTGCAGTTCAGCGGGTTGAGACAGCTTATACTCGGGCAGGGGTTTCCGGCCGAGGAAGATATTAAGCATCAACTGAATTCCTTCAATACAGAGCAAATCATATCTGCAAGGTGGTTTAGTTGGCGAGTTCTCCATCCACGATATAAATATGTTCGGCATACCGGTTGGCGGGGATCTCGATCTTCAGTTGCGGGGGCTCCTGCACTCCGTCGACAATGGGTCGGTCCTGGTCGGTGGTCTATATATTCTCAGCGATTGTCACTTGGGGGTTGATATGGTGTATTGTCTTGTGGTCCGTACATCTTCGTCCAACTCAATGCCTAATTTTGCTTTGATTAGCCCATGCACCCCGCCGACGCAAACTTTCGGAAGAAGGGCCACTCACCGAATTCGAAACAGAGCTCGTCGAATTCTTCGGTAGTATATCTATAGCCACGCGCGAGAGCCGTCAGAGGAATTCGAGGGTATATAGACTCGGAGGGGAGTCGTACGTTTGGCCCAGCGCTTCGAAGAGCGCGGCCTTGTCGACCGAGATAGTGGGCATGGCGAGGGGATCTCGATGCGAGGCGAGGCGATGTGATCTGGAGGCAGGGAAAGAAGAGACGGGTTAGTCTGTGAAAAGAGTAGACCGAGCCAACCGGAATCAAAGTAGGATCACGACTTACCAAAGAGGCGACAACAGTCCAAACAGCACGAGGGGCAGCGATGACTCCGATCGGAGAGAAAGTGGAAATTCTGCGGGCAAGCCACACTTTTTTGCATGCGCCACAGCCACCCCTCTTTAGTGACAGTACACAACACTCAATACCGTATTGTCACACTCTCCACAGTGACAGCGTTATGTAGCTGTATGTAATTTACAGACAGCAAAAGCTGGCAGCTTCACTGCTGAGGGCAATGACAATCATTGCTGCCCATCGCAATCGCGAATCGATCGAGTTTCCCATAAAAATACCCTTCAGTTCATCTAGTCACACTACTGCACCCATCCTCGACTCATAAGCGGTGTGTACCCTTTTTGCTCCCCTGCTATTCCCATCTTCTTCTCTGCTTTGCACTTTGTTGCTAGTCCTTAGCCCACCCACCCCACGAAACCCAGTCCCAGTCCAAGTCCTCCCGGGCATATCCCCCTTCTCACTCCAAAACCAAACTCCCCTCCTAAACCCCCCCCCCCCCTCACCACATCACCACCTCCCCCCCGCGATCGGATCTGACATTTCCAACCTCGAACTCAGCCTCTATAGCTATTGAGTACATGGTCTCGACCTTTTTCTCTCGCCGATAATTTCTCTGTGCCGGCGCTCCCATCCAAAAAACCCGCCTCGATATCTACCTTTGCTGTCTAGGACCTGGGACCGGCCATCGTGCACTCCCAGACACCTCCTCCCTCTCCGTTTCTACTTTAATACACATCCCGTCTGTTCACAATGGAGGGTCAAAATGAGAATGACGAGCTCTACCCCATCGCGGTCCTCATTGATGAGTTGAAGGTACAAACAAGCTCCGCCCTCCCCTCCACCGCTGGAGGGGGAAATCCTCTCGTCTCAATCCAAGCTTGCTCACATTTGCCTAATCGCAGCACGACGACGTTCTCCTCAGACTCAATGCTATCCACCGTCTATCCACCATCGCCTTGGCCTTGGGTCCGGAGCGAACCCGCGATGAGCTGATTCCATTCCTCGATGGTCCGTGACCGCCCCTCCTCCTCCTCCGACCCGGACGCGCGCTAACCCACAACCCTACCTAGATTCCGTTGAGGACGAAGATGAAGTCTTGACAGCTTTGAGTGAAGAATTGGGCAACTTCACGGAGCATGTTGGAGGACCGGAACATGCACACGTGCTTCTGTCTCCGCTGGAGAACCTGGCGGCGATCGAGGAGCCGCTGGTTCGAGAGAAGGTGGGTGATGCAATCATCGGATCAGGTCCACTATTTTGTCTGTGGTCTAATGTTTTCTTTTCTTTATTTTCGTTATAGGCCGTCGAATCCCTCAACAAGGTCTGCGAGCAGCTGTCCGAAAGTCAAGTCGAAGAGCACTTTGTCCCCCTGGTTCTGCACCTCTCGAAAGCGGATTGGTTCACTTCCAAGGTCTCTGCCACAGGTCTGTACTCTACACCATACCGGAAAGCCAATGAGGCACTTCAGCAGAGCCTCCGACAGCACTTCGGAAACCTTGTACACGATGAGACCCCCATGGTCCGCCGGCAAGCGGCCAACAACCTCGCCAAGTTCGTCAAGGAGATGCAGACCGACGTGATTATCGATGAAATGATACCCCTCTTCCAATACCTCGCCAATGACGACCAAGACAGTGTCCGTCTTTTGACAGTTGATATTCTCATCGCGATTGCCGAGGAAATTCCCAAGGAGCAGCAGCCTAGCCACGGCGTGTTGCTCACTTCTCTGCGAAACCTGTTTGAGGACAAGAGCTGGAGGGTCCGGTATATGGTTGCTGATAGATATGAGAAGGTTCGCAAATGCTCGAGAGGCCCCGGCAGTCATGGAGTAATACTGACTTGAGGATGATAGATCGCCCAGGCCGTGCACGAGGAGGTTGTCACCCGTGATATGGTGCCCGCCTTTGTTAAACTCTTGAAGGATACCGAGGCTGAGGTTCGGACCGCCATTGCTGGCCAGATCCCCGGTATGCTTCCGTCCCACTTTTTGTCCTTGCGGCCTTAGGCTTGGGCTAACCTTTTGACTAGGCTTCTGTACTTTGATTGATCGCGATACGCTGCTTAATGAGATTATGACTAGTGTGGAGGATCTTGTCTCGGACCAGTCCCAGCACGTCCGGGCGGCTCTTGGTACCCAGATCAGCGGCCTGGCGCCGATTCTTGGAAAGGACGAGTAAGTCTTGTCCACTTGCAGCTTTTGCAAATATCCAAGTGGCTAACCCTTGCCTAGGACTATTGCCCACCTTCTTCCCATGTTCCTTCAGATGCTCAAGGATGACTTCCCCGACGTTCGTCTGCACATCATCTCCAAGCTGGAGCAGGTCAACAAAGGTACGCTCCACGTCCATAGATCCGCATAGCAGTCGTCCCAATCTAACATGCTTCAGTCATCGGCATCGATCTTCTTTCCCAGTCCCTCCTTCCTGCTATTGTCCAGCTGGCCGAGGACAAGCAATGGCGCGTGCGCCTCGCTATCATTGAATACATTCCCCTTCTCGCCAGCCAGCTTGGCGTTAAGTTCTTCGATGAGCAGCTCAGCGATCTCTGCATGGGCTGGCTCGGTGACACCGTCTTCTCTATCCGTGAGGCGGCCACTCAAAATCTGAAGAAGCTCACAGAGGTTTTCGGCGTGGATTGGTCAAAGGAGTCTATTATTCCGAAGGTGATGGCTATGGGCCAACATCCAAACTATCTGTACCGCATGACCACCTGCTTTGCCGTTTCTGTCAGTCTCCCCCTTTGGCCCCTGCAAGGAAATACCCGACTAACTTTACCATAGACTCTCGCCCCTGTTGTTACTCTCGATATCATTGAAAGCTCCATCATCCCCATCTTGGATCGATTGGTCACCGATGAAATCCCCAACATTCGATTCAATGTCGCCAAGTCTTACGCCGTTCTCATCGATACCTTGCGCCGTCTCCCGGAGGACAAGACCCTGGTTGAGGTGGAGAAGTCCGGAGAGACTGTTACCCCCTCGCCCAAGAGCCAGGAACTCATCCAGCAAAGAATCCTGGCCAGCTTGGAGAAACTGCAGGAAGACGACGATGTTGATGTCCGATACTTCGCCACGACCGCGGGCGGTAACCAGGAGGAGGCCATGCAGACGTCTCCTTAAAGCAAGTTCCCAGGAGTGGTGGAACTCACATGAAGTAGTAGTCTCTTCGGGAAAACCGATTTTCATGTGCGCAGAGCAGATGACAACAGAACCACATAACAATTGGGGCATGGCCATCCTGTCAGCTTAGAGAATAGCCAGCTTTGGGATGAGATGTCTTTGATGGCGTTTTTAATGTAGAGGTTTTTTTGCGATCCATACATAACCCGTCTATCCCCAGGTAGTCATAAAAGCAATTACGGCAGTTTAATTAGTTCTTTGTTTCGCCAATTTGTACGGACTTGTAGATGGCAGTTCGCGCGTTTCTGCCCTGAGCCAATCCCTGAGCCAGTCACCGCGCGTCGTTTGTCAGCGAGCCTCGTCTGGCGCGGTGACACCTTGCACTTGCACTTACACTTACACTCAGCGAAGCTATCTTTGTCCTCTAGCATTTACGATATTACTGACAGGTCTTTGACATGGCGGTATTTAATTGACGCAAAAGCATCCATTAAGATCGTCAAAGCCGTACATATCGTCCTGATTCGAAGATATTCATCACATATTGTATCTCCAAGTGCCACATATCAGCACTACAATCGCACTAGACAAGAAAGCCAGTCTAGGTGGTATACACCAAACAAGATGTCATCTTCATCATGGCCCTGGCATTTTATCACCGTCTCCGGAGATGATAAGATTCGCCGTCGCGAACTACTCGACATACGTGGCTCGTACGCGCAATGGTCTGTGATCATCGTCATGTCTGTGCTACGGGTCTATCAAGCATGGGTCACGCATTCTGCAGCCTCTGCGAATGGTACTGCTTCATCAAGGCCACGCCGAGGTCCTGCATCCTGGTGGGATCGTCCTTTGGTGACAGGCTGGATCGAGACTCGGAGACAATACTTCGTATGCGGCCTGTGGTTGCTGTGGTTAACTGGTCTTTCAATCTGGAATAGTGGCGAAGGTATGTTTTATCCATCAATCGCCCTATATCTATATCTATCTTTGTCTTCAAAGACAAGGAAAGGATACCAACTTATACTGCTACAGATTACCTCCATCTCACCAAAGCCCTTGCCCACGTCGCACTCTCCCAGGTCCCGCTGCAAATCTTAATGTCCCCAGCAGCGTACATCTCCACTTCAAAACCATCTGCATCTTCAATCTTCTCGTATCTCACTTCCATCCCCCAAGCAACAGTCACCCCTTACCACCGTCTCTTCGGGCGGGCGGTGATCTCACCTTTACTCTTCGCACACGCAACTCTTTACCTACTCTTCTTCGTCCAATCCGAGCATCCGGACTTCGGCATTTTGCTCTTCAAGCGCGTCCGTGACTTTGATGTGCAATGTGGTCTGCTCGCAGTTAGCATGACGATTCTCCTACTGCTTTTCGCGCGACCTCGTGGTGTCGCATCGAAGGGTGCTCTCGGGGCGGGCTCCATGCAGGAACGCAGACGCCTATTCTATTATGTCCATGTCTTTTTGGTAGTTGTCTTATGTGCTGCGGCGTATTGTCATGTGGCCCAGGCGCAGAAGTATATGATTCAAGCGCTGGGTGCTTCTCTGCTGAATGGGGTGTGTTCTTTCCTGTTGGTTCGATGGGGAGGAAGGTCTTGATTGGTGCGATGTGCATAGTTGGTAGATACAGTACCCCTGTCTTCAAGGTATTATAGTTCGGCAATAGGAGGCGTTGTTGGGAAGTCTGGGCCCCATCATTTATCAAGGATGATCCACTTAACACCCTGTTATTCGGAGTTTCTGCTTATTCGCTTTCGACTTTACCGGATGCGTGGATGAATACAAGCGCTAATAACTGACATATAGTACGGTGCTCCATAAGCGCAGTGTGGTCAGTAGTTGTACGAGTATATAGGGGGGATTTTACTTGACCGTCTTGAAGGCTGTCTGTAGTAACTTCCAAGTCTAAAATTACTAGCGTTCCATATACAACTTTGGACAAAACTATAGTACTACAAAGGGTTTTAAACCCTAATTATCTACTATTATTGCCTATCTTCTAATATCAGACTAGTAGCTACCTAAGATAGAGTAGATTAGCCAATCTATTCCATCTTAGGTAGCTACTACTAGTTGGGTTCAGCCACCAGCCCTTACAAGTCCTGAACTACCGAGTAAAACCAACATGACAAAACTGCCTATATGGACAAACTCCCAGTGGAGGAATAACGTTGAAACAGCGTTTCACTAGCCCCGGGCACCGCACCTGTTCAGTGCGAATCCACTTTATACCAGACAAATGAGACTGAGACAGCCACATTGAAGGACCGTTCTTGGCAGTCGGATGACACGCCGAATGTCCCAAATAGTCCACCTTAAACATTCAATCTGATGAACGCCTTGGCCACCGGTTGGACCGGATCAGAGCAGAGCAGCGTGGCTGCTAGTATGGCAGGGTTCATATAAAAATTGCCGATCGCGCGGTTTTATCTACCCTCCGCCAGAAAACAGTAACCAACCGACTATACTCCGGCAAGATGCGCGGGACTTTCGCTCTTTCTCTGTTGACTCTGGCGCTGGGCGCTCAGGCGGTGGTTTCCAAGTCAAAGTTGGTGACTTATGTCGATGTGCTGGCACTCGATAATGCTTTTAGTCCCGTGGAGGCGGCCTACTGGACTGGCTACCCTCACCATCGCCGAACCCCCTTTTCCGTCTCGCCTGATGGAAAGTCAGCGTATCTCGCATATCTGGATTCCAGTGGGACGGACGTTCACGTTCAACCGGTGAACCCTAAGACTTTCAAGGCGACGGGTACAAGTGTTACCGTCACCGGTGGAAAAGAAGGTAAGAGCAGTTTCGGTTTCGCAGATATAAGCTTCATTCTAGAAGATAAAATATAAGACTAACAAGACAAAACTAATTACAGCTGGCGGTCTTGTCGCTCAGAACGATGGTTTCGCCATCCTCGTCAACGAGGCTATGCCATCCGGCACTACCAACGCCCCTGCAGACAACACCCCCGTCGCGGCTCTATACCGATACACCAATGGCAAGCAAACCTGGAAGACCTGGCTCGGTGGACCAGGTGTGCACGACTCCGAGGGCCGCGCTGCCTCCCCCGACATGAACGGCGACCTTGTCTACTCCGCAAAGGCCGGTCTCTACGGCGCATACTTCGTCGTGACCGACTACTCCGGTGACGCCTCGGGCCACTTCGGCGACAGCATCGAATACGTGACCGAAGACGGAACACTCAAGACCATCGACGGTGCTACCAGCTCTTGGGGATGCAGCCATAACACCGGCATTGCATTTGAATCCGCCGACGCTGCTCCCTTCGCGAGTATATGTGCCGAGGACCAGGGTGCTATCTGGCTCAACACCAAGACGCAGGGTATGACGAGTGACGGAGTCAAGATCTCGAACGAGAATACCACCAACGGTGGTGGAGGCGAGGCTATGGGTGGTATGTCCGGTAGCTACAGTGCGCTGGCTCGCTTCGCTGAGACGAGCCGGTATGTCTTTGCTTGGGTTTCGCGTGGTGCGGTCGATGTGACGCAGAACGAGTGGATGGGTGATGGCTACACGAATGTTCAGAACCGTACCAATGGACGCAATGTTGCGTGGTCTCTGTTCTCGGATAAGTACACCAAGGTTGGCGCTCAGGCGACTTCCAAGGTCGGTACTGAGGACGGTGATAGCCAGGTTAACTGGATTACTTCTGGTGATAATGACTGCTCCAATGCCCATGCTGCTACTTTCGGCCCCGTGAATGGACTTATTACCTGGGAGGAGATCTCGAATCCTACCTGTGACTTTATTGCTATGGGTTGCCGGGGTGAGTTTGCTGGTACTCACTTCCAGCAGGTGAACAAGGAGGGTGAGAAGGTTGGTGTCTCGTTCAAGAGTGATAATGTCTATGTTGCTGGTGACATGGTTACTTATGATGCTGGACTTTCGACTACCAAGATCTGCTGGCCGTATGTGAGCATGGATTGGGACCTTTCTGAGGCGGTTGCCTACGGTGGTTCGACTACTACCACCAAAAAGATTAGCTTTGCTTGTCTGAGTCGTTGAGTTGGGAGATGGAAATGAGTACCAGCGTGTTCAACCTTTCGCTGATGTCTCGAGAATTACATGAGAGTCCGTGGGTACCTAAACTTCCTTGGATGATTGAATAGTATTATTACTAGTATCAAAAGCTTACTTTGGCCTCAGAAGTCGTGACATTATGCCTATTAGTACCTACTACTACAGAAACACAGAACCGTAGAGGTTAAGGTTATAGTATGTTAGTATGGTAAAACTAGAAGCTATTCCCATATCTCCGGTCGCAAGAACGGTCAACCTGGTTACGTATGGCTACTCCTTCAATTCCTGCGACGGAGGTAAAAACTTATAGAACTTGAACACGCAAATCACCCCATCACTGCCTCGAATATATGGCACTAGTATAACTTCAAGTTGAAACTTCAAGGTGGTGTTTGGCTAAAATGGTCAGACTGCCCACTGGCTGCCCTAAAGGTGGTTACCCTCATTAAAAAGCCCTACCTACCAGGGTAGAAAAAGACATATATTGTAGGCTAGTTCAAATTACAGTATTAGAGATAAGTAATTAGACTCGGAGTACTTAGGGTTGCTTAGAGAGCAGCCTACTAGTAGGGCAGTGAGGGGGCTAACTCAGAGGCAGTGTTACCGTCACCTGTATTACTACACCTATGCTTCACTCACCACTGGTCTTGGTACTAGTAGTAGTCAGTGTTCAAGTTGTGATAACTATCATCATGCCAAGACCTTCGATCAGTAGGGGAATTTTGCCTCCGCAAGTACCTATTCCTAGTAATTATCGCCACCCGGGCTAGACAGAGGAGAGAGAAAGAGAAAGAAAAGACGGGATCCCATTTTCGTTGATCAAACTGGAAATATAATGATTATTTGATAATCAAAGGAGAAAAATAGTATTGTTCTCGTCGAGAGTCAGGAATGGGGAGTTCTTGGCAACCTTAGATAATACCAGCTCACTAAAGATTGATTAGTACGGAGTAGCATTTACTGCCACCGTTAGAACCATCGCCCCCGGGCCAGACTCACCCTCAAACCAACTTCACTCTCTCACTCTCCCCCACATCGCGGTCAGGCTTCCCACTCGCTTCATGCCTTCCACCAATGGCATGATGCGCTCTCATCGATTGACTGTCCTGCTCGCGATCGTCCTGCTCGCGTGCTTCTCCCTCTTCTACCTCCGTCCCAGTTCCATTCCCGCCGAACCCATCCCCGAACCCCAAGCCAACCAGCCTGCCCCCGAACCGATCAGACACCCTCAGCTCCATCCTGGCCAGACCTCCTACCCCCCCCCGAGAAAATACACCCCATCTCGAATTTGATCGGAACTGCGCAGCAACAATTCGACCATGTTTACTCTCGCCAATCGAAGACCCTGGCCGACGCCGTGCAAGAGTACAAGCGCCGCTATAAGATGCACCCTCCGCCACACTTTGACAAGTGGTTCCAGTTTGCCCAGTCCAAAGGCGTCCAGATGATCGATGAGTTTGACTCCATTTATCATAATCTGCTCCCCTTCTGGGCCGTGAAGCCCCAGACAATCCGTGAGCGCGCCCGTGAGGCGCTCGGGTTCGACAACGCCATGCTTGGTCTTTTGATTCGCGATGGCAAGGTGTCCCTGACGGATGGTGGAGGTGACGGGCGCAAGTGGCAGCGCGAAGCCACTGCAGGTATGATGAAGGACTTTGTGAAGTACCTACCGGATATGGACCTAGTATTCAACACCCATGACGAGCCCCGCGTCGTGATTCCCGGCGAAGACCTCCAGCGACTGGTGCGAACCGCGACGGACCAAGCCATCCCTGCTTCTTTCCAGAAGAATTCTCCGACCAATTCGTGGTCTCCCCGTGCTGCCAATATCAACAAAGGCGACCGCTTTGATGAGGTGCGCACCACTCGCTTCAACCGATTCGCACACCAGCCTACCTGGACCAACTCTCGCATCTCCTGCCCAGTCGACAGCCCTGCCCGATCGCTCGACGAAGATGCGCCAGACAATGAAGACTCCTATGCGCTTGGTGAAATGGGGTTCATCTACAACACCACTGCCTTCTCTGACATTTGCCTCAGCCCCTCCTTACGATATACCTACGGATTCTTCGATCGCCCGAACGCTTTTGATGTGGTGCATGATTTGTTCCCTGTCTTCTCCCAGAGCAAGATCTCGAGCTTCCAGGATATTCTATACCCTAGTCCTTGGTACTGGGTGCAAAAGGTGCCATACCAGAAATCCAAGGATTACTCCTGGGATGCGAAGACAGATCGGATGTACTGGCGTGGTTCTACCACTGGCGGTTTCTCGCGCGCTGGTGGCTGGCGCCGACAACATCGGCAGCAGTTCGTTGACAATGTTAACTCTCTGACTCCATCCAAGGTTCTGGATCGCCAGCAAGATAACTCGTGGGTCTCGAAAGAAATCACCCCCGATGTGTACCGTGACAACTTTGATGTCAAATTCACCATGATTGGCCAATGTGATCCCGACGACTGCCACGCCCAGCAGGAGTACTTTGAGGTGGTTAAGGCCGCCGGCCAACAAGATGCCTGGGCTCACAAATTCTTGGTTGACGTGGATGGCAATGCCTTCAGCGGTCGGTTCTACGCGTTTTTGCTCAGCAACAGCTTTGTATACAAGATTGCTCTCTTCCGCGAGTGGCACGAGGAGTGGCTCAAGCCTTGGCTGCATTATGTGCCTCTCGGCCTGAAGGGCAACGAATACACGGAGACCATGCGCTACTTCACCAAGGAAGAGGAAGGCAAGAAGGCGGCCTCTCAGATTGCGACTCAAGGCCAGCAGTGGGCACAAAAAGTGTTGCGGAACGAAGACTTGGAAGTTTGGTTCTTCCGTCTACTTCTGGAGTAAGTTTTCCTCAACCGTATTTTTCTATTTTCTATTTTTGCTAACTATCTCCTTCAAAGATACGGACGTCTCGTGGATGACAACCGCGAACACCTTGGCTTCTCCCTTTGATCGCCCCGGCCATCTTATAAGCATTGCATCTGTATATACCCTAATTTTCTTATTTTGCCCGACGACATTACGGTCTCCTTTACCTTCTCCCTCTTTTTTTTTTTTTTTTTTCTTCCACCCCCTTGATCTGGGTTGCTACGCAGTCGCCTTTCCCAATTTGTGTTAATACCCTTCCCCTGTTGCTTGATGGTGGGCTGTATTTGGTGCCGCGTGGATACCATTCATCTAACTGCATATGAAAAATGGAATTGGCGTTCCCTTGGACTCTCGTTATATCCCATGATGTACTCGAAAGTAAATACAATCCCTTGAAGATGGGGTTTTAACGGACTCTACTCGAAAGTTCAAAATTATTCTAATCGAATTATGGAACATTAATAGTTGCATTAGACCATTTGATATAGGAAAATTACTAGTACTTGGGAATCACTACTTTTACCCCAACTTTAACGAAAGAAAACCCAGAGGTATACATGTCCCGACCCCCCAGGATAAAAAGACCGAATCAACAGACAGAAAAAAAAGGTATCACTTGCGAGAATTGTCAATCAAAAGCCGAACTCCCTCCGGCCAGCCGGAAGCCTCCGCCATCTCCAGAACCGTCTGGCCCGTCTCATCCTTTTGCTCAAGATCGACAGAACCACCCTTCTCAATCAACAGGCGCAACAACTTCAGATCCCGATCTTCAATAGCCTGCATGATTGCATTCCAGTCACGATAACATTTATTCGGATCGGCACCTTTCTCAAGGAGTAATTCAATCATGGAAAAATCCCCATCATCACACCGACGTATCGCCTTAACAAGGGGAAGATGTTCACCAGGAGCATTTGGGTCAGCATGACCCTCCCCGAGAAGAAAACGAACAAGATCTGCATGTCGCTCGCGTAGCGCCGTCGTCAATGGAGAAAACACACCACCATTCTTCCACTCTATATTCGCGCCCGCTTCTAGGAGAAGCTTCACGTTTTCGAGATGATTCGCCTGAACCGCCTTCTCCATGACACCCTTATGCGCGCCTAGGTTTTTGATGCCCGGTAAAAGCAGACGCAATAGGGCTGGCGACTGAACAGCCATGTATATGGGCCAGTCCTGGCCGCGGACGTTTGGATCTGCGCCGTGCGCTGGCAGCCATTCTAGTACCTCGGGCCGATTATCGCGGATTGCCGTCGTTATGGCTGTGTGGCCTGATGCGTTGCGGTCATTTGGGTTGGCGCCGCCTTTTTCGACGAGCCAGTGCATTGCGGTTGAATTGTTGAGTTGGACTGCGCATTCGACTATGCCTGGGGGATTGTGCAGATCAGCGCCTGCTGCGATCAGTTCTGGGAGGAATCCGAGGCGGTTGTGAGTGATGCATTTCCATGCTGGATACTCTGATGCCATTAGATTTGGATCGGCGCCGTGGCTGAGGAGGAGGGTGATTATATCTGGGCGGTCGTCGCGGATGGCGGAGCATAGCGGGGTGTATATCCCATCCTTTTTGGAATTGGGGTCTATGCCAGCTTCGAGTAAGACGCGGACTGCGTCGATGTTGTTTACGCTTGTCGCCTGCTCCATTATTCCTGGGGCTTTGCGGATGTCGGCGCCGCGGGCGAGTAGGATGCGTAGACAGGCTGGGCGATAGACAGCGGGCCAGAGAGCATGTTCGGGACCTGGGAGATTTGGGTTTGCGTGGTGATCTAGTAGCATTGTCACGATTCCTGGTTGGTCGTCATGAACTGCTTCGCAGAGCGCTGTTTTGCCGTGGTTGTCCTTGCGGTTGGGATCGCAGCCGGCTTCAAGCAATATTTGAACTAGTTGTTCCGGGACTTGCTTGCGGATTAGATCGATCAATAATGTTGTGCCGCTGGGGGTTTCTTCATTTGGATTTCCGCCGTGGGAGAACATGAACTGTGCGAGCTTGATGTTTCTTTTGTTGATGCTGCAGCTCAGAGGTGAATCTAGCTTCTCGTTCGCGCGGTAGTTTACATCAGCACCGTGTTTCAGCAATAGCATGGCTCCGTCCACGAATCCCTGTTCCACCGTCAGGAGGAGGGGTGTCTTTCCTTGTGGTTCGGCAATATTGGGATTGGCTTCGAAGGCCAGTAATAGCCGCAGGCTTTCGATATCCCGTTGGTTCACGGCCTCGAGGAGTGGATAGAAGTCGCCCTCCTTGTCTGGCGACACCCCGCTATTCAAGAGTTGCTCAATTGATGCATGATCGCGCTCCCTCATCGCAGAAGACAGATTATTCCGAATGGTCGACGTACTTCCACCCGCCATCTTGCTGGATAAGCGGGGAGGCAAAGTATCTGATTCACCCTCATGCCGTATACTGGTCTCCGCGACGGAAGCTGGAGCGCTTGTCTTGGCCGGCCGATACGGCATCGATTGTTGTTCACGGGGAGCAATTGTTTGAGGCTCGCGTCCAGGTTGAGAGCTCAGGAACTGATTGAGAGAGAGAATGGAGGATACATCGTCCCCGTAACTGCCGCGGTCCTGTCGAGGAGAAGTTCCCTGACTATTTTCTTCAGATTGGTATTCCTTAGGTGCACCCCGAAGGGGAGAGGGATCTTTTGAGGGCACAGAGGGTGAAGAGCCATCGGAATCAAACGATTGAGTTCGGAGGGATGGCCCAGGCCCGCTATTATCAGAAGACGCAACTTTGTTTATGCCCATGATCGAGCGGCCTTTGGAGATGCGGTCCAGCGCAGCGGCCAGACTAGCGTAACCAATGCCCACCGACTCCTCCGGCTGTACCTCTCTGAGGGACCAATGGAATGCCATACCGCTGATCTGGAGGGTTTCATTTGTCTTCTTCAAGGACTCGTGGATGCGCTTCAGCTCATGCGCCGGGCGATGCCATCCCCGTTGGAGTTTCCCTAGTGTTCCGCGATGCTCATATTGAACGAGCTTCAAAATGACTTTGTCCAATTGTTGGAATTCACGGTATGCGACAACGAATTTCTTCTCCACTTCATCGATGATAACCTCCGGCAATGCTCGGTTGGCGGCGGTCAATTCAGTCACTCCGGTCTCAATGGCCCACAGAGTGCGACAGGTGTCAAGGAAGGTGTGCGAAAGTTCACGAAAACCATCTGGTAACTGCTGGGTAGTGCTGAGATAGTTCAGCATGTGCACCGAGATTTGGTTGCCGAGTTGGGTGGCTGAAGCCGAAATGGTGCGGATTGCATCCTCCGCCTGCGACGGCATGGTGATGGCAAGAGACGAAAGACGTGTTCGTGAGGCAGACAGAGCAAGTGTGATGAAAATGAGGAGAGAAGAGGGAAACCCAGCAGGATCACACTACTGCTTGAATCTGAATCAATGGGGTCTAGAACGGTGGGTCTGGGGCCAAACACTATACTTCTCGATGATAGGATTGTTGGCCTTGACCCTGGTCAAAACAATACAAGTTGTCATCTACAATTGTACCTAGAACATCTAATCAAGTAGGCAAATGAGATAAATGAGTGGAATAGCTGACTGATGAGCCTTATATAGAAGTCAATTGGCAACTTTTTTAAAAGAGATACTGAAATTTGTGACTGGAGTTAACGTTCGCAGGTCGGTTGGAATGATCGATTTCGGGGCCACGAATGCCCCACCTCAAAGTTAAAGATCGCAGTGAAACCCCCCCCTGGGCGCAGTAAATCCTCCTAGGAGCACGTAATTTCTCCGTTGGTGCCCAGCCTCGGCGGATTTGGGGGTTCGTAGGAGCCTGTCATGGAGCCTTTCATGGAGTGTTAAGTTCAATGGATCCTCCCAGAATCCTGCCGGCTGATTTGCCATGGCCAATGTGAGCACGGAAAATCAGGTTCGTGGCAGAGCTAAACTCACATCTGCAGATAGGATGTAGTGGGCTTATGGCCTAACCGTAATCCCATTGGTTTGGGTCGATTAGACATGTTCTATTGGTCTGGCTATCAGGGACTGTACCACTTGAACTGGCCAAGGCTCACCAACTCCCGAATCTTAAATTCGAAACGTGATATCCAGACTTTCGGCTTAGTTAATAGTATGAGACATTTAAGACTCGTGGGGATTATAGACAGAAATAGTGGTAGAAAGAAGACCAGAGACTTCATACAAAAAACCGAATGCACCCGAACATAAGTCAATCGAGAACATTTGTAGAGAATCACCGATCCACCACCATGTGGAGTGGGGCGATTCATGGAACTGTTCTGGACTTACAGAGCCAATTCGGCCAATCAGAGACCATAATGCACTCGACAATCTGAAACCTCATTGCTATTCCCGGATCGACGATCGGCAGAATTGACATGACTTTTTTCTTCCTACCGACCAGTTCGGAAAGAAGATCCCGCCGTTAGTCCTCAAGCGGCTCCACTGTAACATTGAGCGGCTCGAAACGGGCATCAGCGCAGAAATGGGGTGGGGGCGAAACAGGGGTTCAAAACAGGTACGTGTCTTCCTCTGTTAGGGAGGAGATGCTCTGGAATTTTTCAAGTTATAGACATAGCGATCAACTTAAACTACTAGTACTCTTTCAAACACGCTTGAAACAACTTCATAACCTTAAGCAAAATCCTGACAAGTCGATCCTTGTGTGCTGTTGTCTCAAACCCCCCCACTCACATATAACTAGCCCAAGATTGAAAACGGCCGAAATTGAATGTCTCAAAGAGCGCTCGCACCTTTTGAAAACCGGCTCTTCAAGCTCTGTCGAAGTTTCGAAATTCGTTCTATATACCCCGTCGGTAAAAAGATACATTCGGAAAATTATATAGTGAATAAACCTCCAGTTGGTATCGGTGACGGGGGAACTCGCGGAAAAGGACGCATAACAGCATGACCAAAGTGAGAAACGCAAGTAGATTAGTACTACTAGTACTGACAACCCAATGATAACCCAGTCGATTGTACATTAAAGCAATCCAGTTCAATAAAAGAGCATCGGCGAAGTATTAGAAAGTAAACACTAATGACTTTGGAACCTACTCGTAAATAGTGGAAATACGCCTCCAAATGCAGATCGTGCGAAGCTGCTAGCCGCCAAGGCACTAGCCGCATAGGAAGGTGTTATGCATCCACCAGGAACATGAACATACCTGAAAATATCCCGGGGCCAAATTGGATGGTCCTTGAATTGATCTGTCGGAGCTACCTATTAAGTATAAAGTTCATCCGAGTCGTTTAGTATGATCCAAACCCCTACTAGTAGGTACTAGTACTAGTACTACTAGTCTAGTAGTATCGACCTGAAATCTAGCGCTGCCGATGGGCTTTGTATGATTTCCTCTGGTAAATAATTTATTGATGACACCACACTCTGTCGTCTTCAAGTTATCAAGATAATTTGAATGAAGCTACGTTCAAGTTCGGAAACATCACAGGAGGCCTTCCGCTTCGGTCTCTTCTCTTCTCTCTTCTCTTCTCTCTTCATACTATCACGTTCACTCTCGTCCTTTTCATCTATTCATGCAGCAATGTCAACAAGACATGCCATACTCCATGCAATGTCTTACCTATACAGGCTAGACTACGGTATATCGGGAGAAGTTTCCACCGATCAACCGAGGTCCCGTGAACTTGAAGATCTCTAGCCAATCGGAGGTAAGAAGTAGCTGAGTCTCGCCTCCACCTAACGCGGCCCCACCACTACCAGCGGCAGGCGCAGAACAGACGCAGAGCAGACGCAGGCGCATCCTTTGATAACGCGCTCTCAATCTATCCATTCTCCACTTGCCTTCTTCCCTCTTCAATGCTCTGCTTTGCTCTGACATCTAAGGTCCGAAGTTGCCTCGATCATCATGGCAGTCACCCTAGGTAAAGTGGTGGCCTCGGTCGCCGTCTTTGCATATGGCATTTTCACTGTGCTGCTCTATGCGGTCATCGCCATGAAAAAGGGTCTCTGGTTCAGAAAGAGAACAGAGAAGGAATCTCTCGAACTTCAGATCGGTATGTCTTGGGATAGTATCTCAGAAGTTGCGACTCTCCCCTGTCTCGTGGTCTCAAGGCACAACCCTCATAATGTCAACTGACGCCTGATCTACGTAGCGCGTGATCGCATGTGGAACCTGACCAAGGAGTACTCTGGTCTTTCCCACCACTTCACCACTCTTACCAGTGGGCTCAAAATTCACTTCATGAGCAATGCAGCCCCTGGCTCGGCAGCGGCATTGAACCCGGAGAAGCCGTTGGTCATTCTCATTCACGGCTGGCCCGACAGTTGGGCCATCTGGCGATTCATTGCCAGCTCGTCTAGCTTACAAGAGGCGGCAAATCTCGTCGTTATTGACCTACCTGGATTTGGGGGCTCGGGGCGACTGGAGAAATACTCCGCGACGAATGTGCTCGAGGCGTTGACGGAGCTGATCCTTACGCTTCGAACTAAATATGGCGTGGATAATGACTCCGAGTCGAGCAAGAAGCGAACTATCGTCGTTGCACATGACTGGGGCTGTGTCCTATCGATGCGACTGGCAGCCGAAGCCCCGGCACTCGCTGACCGGTGGATTTTAAGCAATGCGCCCTTGGTACGTAAAAAAGAAAGAGGAAAACAAAAGGATGCCGGTACCATATTCCGAGGAGATAACTTACCCCTGATTTAGGTCAAGCTAGTCGAATCTAACATCGGCCGGCTATTAACGTCGGCGAAGAAGATGTTTAGCACCGCACTCAACTCCCCTCTCTCCTCTCGCACGCCCGTGCTGCAGGCATTCCGCACTCTTGGCCCTGTCATCCGCCAGGCTGGCCTGTCCGGTTATATCTTCGCCATGCAGCTACCGCCCGCAGGAGTCCACTACTTCTTGACCGGAGGCAACAGCTCTTTGATGGTAGCCATTCACCACCGTTCTTACGGAAGCTACAAGCCCACCTACTCAGATAAGGCCGACGCCATGTCCAACACGATGGGTCCCTCGCTCGCGGAGTCGAAGCTACAAAATGCAAAAGGCGATAGCTACCCCGAGGGAATTGATTATAGCCGTGAATTTTCCAAAATCTTCGATATGGCCTCTTACTACCGCCAAGGCGCCGCGTCTGCGCGTTGGCACAAGTCCCTGGAGACGATCACCGGGCTGCATGGTATCGCAGGCGACGAGAAGCTCCGCCGGACCAGCAGCGGAACGGGTGTTTTCGACGAAGGTGTTCCGGGAGTTCTCAAGGCCCCCTCGACTATCATTTGGGGTCAGAAGGATATTGCGCTGGACCCGCATATCTGCCTGGATGGCATTGGGGACTACCTCGTGAAGGATAGCCAGGTGGTGATGTTGCCACGGTCGGGCCATTGGACTCCGATCGAAGTGGAGAGTCGTGCAGCTCTCGAGGCGGCGATTCAGTGGGCAATTGGGGGTGAAAAGGGGGATGTTGAGGCTGCGGTTCAGGCTTCGTACCCGGATGCCACGATCACCGTGCGTCGCTGAGGTCTGTGAGTGATGGTAATCATTATGGTGACCATGGCATGATAATTGAAATCGACCCATGGGCCCCGCCCATTTGAGGGATTCCAATGGTTTTGTTTATGCGCGGAGCTTCGTAGTGCGGAAGGGGGCTGGGGAGGCATCTAGCCCTCCGGTCGGGTTTCATGGAAATTGAAGCGATATCTGATATTGTTGAGAGGGTAAATTCGAATTCCAGCATCCAAGAAGAATACCTTAGCTACAAGTATGTACAACACTGTCTGTGCATAGCCATAGCTCCTCCTCTAGTAAGCTTCTCCACGCGGATCATCCGAGTGGATTTTCCCGGTGAGGAGACTTCCCCATTCAAATTTCTCCTCAACCTTGCAACGCCAACGCTCGAGCTTCCCCCTCTTACTTTTCTCGTACTTTCACTTTCACCTCCACTTTCTCCTCCCTTTCATCAATTTCTACCATCCACATCTCCCCTTCTCCCCTCCCCCTAATTGCACCGCCAACCGCATCGCGTCGCACGATGCACTGAGGTCGCTTTCGTCCAGGTACCACAGCTGCTCGACCAGTTCTCCACCAGCCCGAACTGACATCGCCGGTGTTAAATATAGACCCGCGTTGCTTGTTCCTGGTTCCTGGATCCTAATTCCTGGTCTTTCCTCTACCCCTTCTCAAGCGGGCCAGTGATTTGAGCTTTCATCACTGTTGGGCTGGAGGAGAAGCCCGTTCTCTCTCTCTCCTTTCTTTCCTTGTCGTTTCCCTTTGCGTCGGGTTTGTCCCCACTCACGCAATGGCTTCCGAACAGAATGCCGTCTACTGCACAGTAAGCCAACATTTACCCCCTCCTTCTGGTCAGAAAGGTGTGTCGTACTCACGGAGGCAAGCTAACGTCGCCATTCCCTGGATAGCTTCTGCTAAGCGACAATTACCTGCCTGGTAAGCAATGGGCTGATCCCCGCGTGGTGTGGCGACTGCCGGCGGTACATTTCTGATCTATTTCCGTTTTAGGGGCGATGGTCCTGGCGCATTCCTTGCGTGACAATGGAACAAGAGCGAGATTGGTGGCCCTCTTCACACCGACTACGCTTCGACAGGAAACAATCGACGAATTAAGGGTATGTGTCTCATCTAGCTCAGGAGTGAATGGCGATGTTTTTTCGACGATCCTCTCCCTCCTACCAAGTTACTAACCTCCACTTTAACAAGACCGTCTATGATGAGCTGATCGCAGTGCATTCTTTCGTCAATGGCCGACCCGCCAACCTGTGGCTGATGGACCGACCGGACCTCATCGCTACCTTCACGAAAATCGAGCTCTGGCGTTTGACCCAGTTTGACCGAGTCGTATACATCGACTGCGACATCGTGGCCCTGCGAGCCCCCGATGAGCTGCTTGCACTGGAGGTAGATTTCGCTGCTGCCCCGGACGTAGGCTGGCCGGATTGCTTCAACAGTGGCTTGATGGCTCTCCGGCCCAATATGCAGGACTATTACGCCCTAAAGGCTCTCGCGGAGCGGGGGATCAGCTTCGATGGGGCCGATCAGGGTCTGTTGAATATGCATTTCCGTGACTGGCATAGACTAAGCTTCACGTACAATTGCACCCCCAGTGCAAACTACCAGTACATCCCCGCGTACAAGCATTTTCAAAGTACCATCAGCCTGATCCATTTTATCGGGTCGCGAAAGCCGTGGAATATGCCCAGGCATGTGGTCCCGATGGAGTCGCCGTATAATCAGCTGCTCAACAAGTGGTGGGCGGTCTATGACAAACACTATCATCCCCAAGCTGTGAGTGCTTCTATCGCACGTGCAGTTACTAAAGCTGATATTTCAAAAGGTGTCTACTCAGCAGCTATCCCAAGTTCCGCAAGAACCAATCGCCATACTGCGATCGTCAGATATAGCCCCGAGTGGTGCGGTTCAGATTTGGCCCGAGCCTCAGCAGGTCCATCATGTTCATGGCCATGGCGATGGCCGTTCGGATAATATCGTGCTAAATGAGCAATCATCGTGGCAGCAACACTCCGCTGAGGAGGAGTCGCACGACCACGGTGCAGCACAACAGGCAGCTCCCCCAACAGATAGACCGGTGTTGAGCATAGTACCACAATACGTGCGCGGCGAAGAAAATGTTTCGACTTATGTTCCCTCACAGCCTAACCCACCGGCGCCTATTCACCATATCGAACCAAGCCTTGAAAGTCAACCGGTACATCGCGAGCACCACGAACACCACGAGCATCACGAACATCATGAACACCGTGAACCGTCCCATGATACAAGCCATATTCACCATCCACAGCCTATACCACCGCCCCCGATTACTGAAATTCTCCACCGACCCCCATCGCCCAAGCCCGAGTCTCCCAAATTCGAAGCACCAAAGGCAGAATGGGATGCCGAACGGTAAAATTGCCCCATCATCCTTCTGATACAATGCTAATGCGTCTTAGTGAGCCACCACCATTGAACACGAAACCCGAAGGAATCAGCCTGCAACAAAAAACCTACACTATGTCCGAAGACACAAAGCTCTTCCAACCTCCCCCTTCATACCCCGAAGCCCCGAAAAACATGTACTACCAGGTCCCCGCCACAAATCCCACTCCACAAAAGATATCCCAGATCTTCCCCTGGGAACGCCATGCCGCCAGACCAACCCGCGTCTTTGCACACGAACAATCTCCTCCCCCCGCTGCTGCATCTCCCGAACAACCATCAACCCCAGATCCTACCCTTCCCAATCCAGCCCTGGCAGCGATCGACATAACCCCAACCCGGATCCCATTCGAACCCTCGGCCGAGTCGTGGGATAGCTACTCCCGCTCCAACGCCTGGGACGAAGACCCCTCAATCCAGCGCTACATGGAATCAATCCAAGCGGCACGGAAACCAAAGACCCAAATCGTCACCAGCGACAGCGCACAAACAAGCCCTGACAACCAAGCGGCCACTGCAGCTCACCACCACCGACCAAGCTTCCGGCTAACGGACTTCCCAACCGAAGTCGAGCGGCCCAGTCTACCCGTCACTCCGGCGCCAGTCGAACGACGGTGGTCTGCAGGCAATGATGGCGATTCTACCTCCGCCGGGACATCCTTGCTCCCTACTGCTGAGGGTGTACCGGCTCAGGAGGACTGGGTGGGTGTCACGGTTGACGCGTTCTCCCAACTCCTCAACGCAACATACTTATTTTGGCGCTCTACAGAATCCCCTAGCTCGTCTCGAAGAGCTTCGTCGGAGGCAGTCCGTGGGGTTGGGGCTTCCGGAGCAGTTTAGTGTTGGGCGGTGGTCTAATTCTAGTGAGGAAGGGTCGTGATACTTCCAGCGTACCCCTCTCTGACAATCTCTTTCTTTCTCTCTGTGTGTATCTGTTTTGACCCATTTTCTTGGTCTCTGAGAAACATTTTTGTTCATCTTTGCTGCGAATACTCAATTTGCCTTACCGGTTCACTTTGTACATTGCATTTGCATTGGGCTTTGAAAATTGATGTGCATCTATCGCATCTCCTTTTTGTTAATTCTCATTCGTCATATTCAGCATCTCATATCCTTTGGTTTGATTTGATTTGCTTGTGTTTTCATTGGCATGTCATTGCACGGAATGCATGATTTTTAGCAACGCTTTACTGGTGTGATTGCAGTTGGAATCACCAATATTCTTTTCCACGCGTATAAGCTGCAGTAGTTAGTATGTACATACTAGTAGTGAAGTGGGCCATGAACAGACGAAATGATTTTAAAGCAAGACCCGATAAGATGAAACTGGCCACAAGGCGATCATACGAGTGAGGCGAGGGCAAGGACGAATCAAAACCAAGCTAAACGGGAGATCTCCACGGACACGAGACTAGGTACGGAGTACTCGTAGCTAACGATGCAGACATTGACCTGCCTATTTAGAGTGTGTGTACCCGACACCGACGAGCCTATAAGAGAGCACGACGGGGCGGATTTCGGAAATAAAACCACAAAATCACCAACCAGAAATGCTTATCTGCGCCTCCGTCGAGGGGCGGGAACTAAGACCAACTAAGACCAACTAAGACCAAACCTAAAATCGGATATCCGGTGAGTGAAGGAAGACCGAAGGAAGACCGAGACCGTTGAAGGAATCGGGCTACTCCCGAGCTGGCTCAGCCCATAGGCAGCCATGTAAACTTGAAGGGGAGTATAACAAACATAATAAATAACTACTACTCCGTAGTATTTCTCCTAGTAATTAGGTGAGCTGACGATCTTCCCCAGGCGGATGCGGGCGGATTCCCCAGCTTTGCCCGACTGCGGGTTGCTCGGGGTACATACAGGTTGCTAAGAAAGCATATTAATAATTTGGCGTAAATGGTCGGGGTCAGGGCTGAGAATGGGCCCGGAGAAGGAGTTTGAAACACTTCGTGCCCAGGTGGAGATGAGAGGGGGGTTTGGGGAGAGCAAAGGCAAGGGTTGGCCCAAGCAGGTATACATGCATGCATGTATGAAGCTGCCGCAGCAGAAGAACAACAATACTACTCATACTACAATACCCTGCACTGTCCTGCCCAGAACGGAGCAAGTTATTACCGTCTTGGCTTGAGTAGCCGCGTGTCCCGAGCGGTCCACCAAAAGAGTTGAAGAAAACTCTGCCAGCCACGACCCGAACTATACAGATTTTCGGTAACTCCGTCCCGAGGGTATACTTTAAGTCCTTATACACTACACTCTGGATGATGCTGCACTCCAGCATCCCCAGCATCCCCAACATCCCCAGAAAATGCAAATAAAGTAGCGATCCGAGGGTTTTCCCCTCATGGTACGATCACTTGTGGCCAGATCTTAGGGGGGCGCGTTACATTGGGAATTTCCTCAAGGCTCCAAATTAGTCACGATGCGGAGAACCGCGTGAATTCCCGGCATCATGATTGGTGAACCGTCCGAGTGTCGGGCCGAATGACAGAACTAAACCTCCTCTGTAGCCAATGACACCTACACTATCGAATCTTCGGCGGGTCTTCCATGGGTCCTCCGGTCCCTCTTTTTCTCGTGTCTTGCCTCCCATGAGTCCCATCTGGGGGGGCGAACTAGAATCCCAAATGCACGGAGACCTGGGGTCTCTCCGAACTTCAAACTCAATATCCATTTCTCTTATTAATTGCTTGCTTCCCCATCTTTTCAAGTTCAAGTTCTCGTTCCCATCTCTTCTCTACTCGTGTGGGCTGTGCATCGTGCGTTCGTGGGATATATCTACTACCTCCCGAGGCCTAGTACTTCGCCAACTGCACTTCCTCCCCTCTTCCTTACCACCTTCACTCCACACCACAACTTGAAGTAGTATTCACCATGGATACCGTCTCCCCCCAACCCCCGTCATACGAGAATGACAAGATTGGAAATGGCGAGAACAAGCACAATCCAATCTTCGATGAAGAGAATAATTTGAAACCTGAGCATGGCGAGGTCTCGGACGCCTTCGGTAACGAGGAGTTCGCCGAGATCAAGTACAAGACCTTGACCTGGTGGCAATGTGGTCTGCTGATGATTTGCGAGTCCGTCTCGCTCGGTGTTCTGTCGCTGCCCTCTGCCGTCTCAACTCTGGGCATGATCCCTGGTGTGATCCTGATCGTGGGCCTCGGTCTGCTCGCGACCTACACTGGTTACAACATTGGTCTGATGCGCGAGCGTTACCCGCACATCCAGAACCTGGGAGACGCTGGTGAGATCCTGATGGGCGGTTTTGGTCGTGAGCTCTTCGGCCTCGGCCAATTCTTGTTCTGCATCTTCGTCATGGGAAGTCACATCTTGACCTTCCGTGTGATGATGAACACCATCACCGAGCATGGCACTTGCTCGGTCGTCTTCAGTCTCATCGGCATGCTCATCTCTCTTGTTCTGTCGATCCCCCGTACCATGAAGGGCATGACCTGGATCTCTTTTGCTTGTGAGTCCACCTGCACTACGCAGTGGTACAAACCCTTAATCTATAACACTCATACTAACTAATATCCAATCAGCCTTCATCTCCATCTTCAGTGCCGTCATGATCACCATGATCTCCGTCGGTGTCGAGGCCCCTCCTACCCGTGTCATTGACGCCACCGTCGAGACAAACCTGTACACAGCATTCCAAGCTGTTTCCAACATCGTCTTCGCCTACTGCGCCCACGTCGCCTTCTTCGGCCTCATCGCCGAGATGGAGACCCCCAGCGACTTCAAGAAGTCCCTCTTCATGCTTCAGGGCTTCGAAATCTGCCTTTACCTCACCGCCGGCGTCGTCATCTACTACTACGTTGGAACTGACGTTTCCTCTCCTGCCCTGACATCCGCCGGACCCCTCATGAAGAAGGTCGCATACGGCATCGCCATCCCCACAATAGTCGGTGCCGGTGTTGTCAACGGCCACATCGGTCTGAAGTACATCTACTTCCGCCTGTGCGCCAAGTCCGACCTGATCCATCAGCGTAACTGGAAGTCCATCGGCCTATGGCTCGGACTCGGTGTGTCGTGCTGGATCGTCGCCTGGATCATCGCCGAAGCCATCCCCGTCTTCAGCAACCTGAACTCGCTCATCTCCGCCCTGTTCGCTTCCTGGTTCAGCTACGGTCTCAGTGGTGTTTACTGGCTTCACCTGAACCAGGGCCAGTGGTTCGCGGGCCCCAAGAAGATCGCTCTGTTCGTGTTGAACACCGCCATTGTCGGCTTTGGTCTTGCTCTTTGCGTACTGGGTCTGTACGCTTCTGGTACCGCTATCCACAATGATACCAGCAGTGCTAGCTTCACCTGTGCCAACACTGATACCTAAGTGCCGCTAGTCGGCTAAGGTTGGCATGGGCTATTTCCCCCTTTTTCACGATTTGCTGTTCGAATTTATCATCCGAACTGTCTACTTGTACATAGATCACATTTACTTGCATTGCTCGGTTCTAGCGTACCGAATAGATTACTGGCTAGTCAATTGCATTGCTACTGTTATTTACTTTCTTTTCCCATATGATGTAGTGGACTACTCGATTCAACTGTGTCGTGCGAGGATCGGGTAAAATACAATAATATGGGCGCTAGGATTTTCATGGGCCTTGTATAAATCTAAAATAGCCAACGATTCAGAAACCGAGAAAAGCTATACACGGCTGAATCAGTATCCAACATCACCCTTCACCACTCCAACTACAACGCTTGGCTGACCATCCGAGTTCCAGATACCCGACTTTCCAGGGGACAGTACACCATTGGGGTCAAAATGATCCTTGAGCCCTTGCAGACATCCGCGAAGTGCCCCGTTGTTAAAAGTGAAATGACCAGCAACAGAATCCATGTAATCAACATGAGTTCGATACTCCGTGAACCCCTGCCGAGTGGTGTCATCCAGGAGCGACTCATACAACCGGTCACATCGAGCCGCTTCCTCGGGAGTGTAAACCACCAACTCAATCCCAATAATGTAGCGACCATATACATGGAAGTCGGCGAAAAAGTCAAACTGGGCGTCTATGGTCTTCTTCTTAGCCCCCAGATACCAGGAATAGAGTTCGTGACCGGAAGGAGGGAAGACAGGTGAAAAGCAGATGTGTCCACCCCCACGCCCACGATATGAGAGCATTTTCAAAGGATTTAGAGTCGGGAGACCACTGTGTGGAATCTCCTCTGCGCCGATATCGATGGCGCTCACATACTTCCTGGCCAGTCGGTGCGTTTCTTTCGTTCTAAGCTGGACGCCGTCGTATTGGGAGAATGTTTCCGTGATCACATCCCACGATGCATGAACCACGGACTTGGGTCCGTAGAGAGAAAAGGAGGCTTTCCAGAACCCGAATTTCATCATCTCCTGTCCTTGGGCCAAAGTAGTCTCTGGGATACACCCTTTGCCAAAGCACGGGGATATAAGGCTCTGCAATGTGGGACTTGGGTCAAGTATGCACTGGCGGAATAGATTCGAGATTGATGGGGAGTTTTGAATAATGTTGCGACGCATCAGATCGGTCAAGGTATTCACCAGGAAAGGGAGGTCTGCTTCGTTCTGTACGCTAATATCACACCACATGTAGTGTTCTGGGGCGGGTGTGAGATGGATTCCAATCTGGGTAACGATTCCTGATCAGAAAAGGAATTAGTATGTGAGCTTCAACGTCTCCGCCTAAAAGAAAGAGTTGAAGAAAACCAACCCAAATTAGACTGATAAAATAACCCATCAAGTGCTGGTCCGTATCCCCTATCATTTATACTAATTTAGCAAGTTCAACTTGAAGATATCAACCAAAAAAAGAATACACTTTCATTACCCCTTGAATAGTGGAAATGTTATATTTCCCTCCATAGCCCCCATGCCAGTTCGTAGAAGCTCCCCATTAGGCAAGACAACCCCCATACCACACTGGTTCTGGCTGTGTTCGCCATTCGGCGTATAACCAAACCCACGTTCCAGTGTGTTCCCTACAACCGATCCCCAACCAATAGCCGGAACAGATGGCCATAGGTCTATCTTTCTCTCATGTATATAATTGAATAGGTCGAAGAACGACACCCCCGGCTGCACAATAGCATAAGCAGCCTCCTGATTGACCTCCAGGATTGAATTCATTCGATGAAGATCGAGTACCATAGAGCCGGATACCACGGGTGCTGTTCCTCCATATCTGTCAAAAATAAAGTTAGCCGTAACATTAGCCGTAACATTGAGGGGTACAGAAAGAATTGCTCACCCTAAATTTTTTCCGCGGGACACAGTCCACAAGGGTAGCTTGTAGCGATTGGCTAGTCGGACTATTGTCTGAATCTCCTCCACCGAGCCGGGTCGCACTGCACCGCTCGGTTGGCGACTGTTATTTGGGCGCAGTGAAAACGGATCTCCATAAATGGTTTTTTGATCGGGGCCCTCTAATGCGCCGGGTGTGGCATCGGAGGAGAGGTTGTCGATGCCAACGATGTCGCTTAATTCTGCCAAGATTGTTTGGAAGGTGCTGGAGTCGATACCAGGGGGGAGAATGGGAGTAAGCATTGCGTTGGAAACATTCTGTGAGTATAATGTTTCCGAAGTGTGGCAGGTGGAAGGCCGAATAATGAATTTGAGTCAAGCAGGATGGTGAAGGGAATTTTATTTCTGTAGTAGATGGACCAAGCCTTGTAGGTTCAATGGTGCATAAAATGGCAAGTGCATAGAGTGGCAAAGTTTATAACTAACTAGAACAGAACCCGATGCAAGGGCAGGTAGTTTGGGGGGGGTGGTCTTTCATAGTCCGGCCGTGGATACTGAGTAGTATGTGTCGGGGCTAGATCCCCGACTATGGCCCTCGGGTAAGTCATGGGCGGGGAAAGTTCCGACCCATTGCTCAACATAGGGGAACACACCCGGAGCAAAGAACTTTAATTACTGATATCTTTCAAACGGACTCTTGAAATTTATTCATGGACCGAAGCCGTGTTCAAGGGCGGCATCTCGTCGGGGATACTCCCGGACTGGGGTCGCCCGGCGGGGATAGCATCCGTCGGAGGAGAATAAATACAGACAACTGTAGTCTGTAGGAAACACTGCACATCTAACTCCCATTTGAATATATCTGTTGCCGCCTGCCTTATTTGATCAGAAGAGTCGCCATGGCTGGCCATTTTCGCCAGAATTATGTTTCAAACAGCTACCCCGACTTACCTCAATTCAGTGGATTTATGAAGCCATGTCGGTTCGAAGGAGAAGTCCAGAACGTTGAAGTTCATGGTTCTATTCCTCCAGAAATTAATGGAACATTTTATCGAGTCATGCCCGACCCCAAATTCCCTCCATTTATTGAGAACGATGCGGTGTGTCTTAAAAAAGAATCGACTGATCTCTGTTGCATGCGTCTAATTTCTGTTATTAGTGGTTTAACGGCGATGGCTGTGTCAGCGCATTCCGATTCCACGATGGACGGGTTGACTTCCAGCAGCGATTTGTTCGAACGGAAAAGTTCGAAAGGGAACGTGAAGCGAATAGGGCTCTAGTTGGCAAGTCGCCCTGTACCCACGGAGTAGAATAACCCAACGACGGGAAATTAACGGTCGGAATATAGGCAAATACAGAAACAAATACACCGATATTGTCAGTTTTAAAACCCGTACCACCGCCAATACCAATATCATCCATTTCAATGGCAACCTTTTAGCATGTAAAGAGGATGGATTGCCATATGCCATGGATCCTGACACACTGGAGACGCTTGGACTTTGGGATTTCGAGGGCCAACTGGAGAGTGCCACATTTACTGCGCATCCTAAATTCGACCCGGAAACAGGTGAAATGGTTTGTTTCGGATATGAAGCTAAAGGAGACGGCACGCCTGACGTGAACTACTACACCTTTGACAAAAACGGCAAGATGCGAGAAAATGTCTGGTTGGTGGCTCCAGTGGTGGCGATGATCCATGATTTTGCCGTGACTGAAAATCATGTATGTGTTTGGTATGCTATCTCTTCAGAAACTTACAAGTCGACGCAGGTTATATTCCCACTGATCCCGCACACTTGCTCACTAGAGCGTATGAAAGCCGGGGGCGAGCACTGGCAATGGGATCCTACGATCCCCTGCTACTTTGGAGTTCTTCCACGTCATGGCCCGAAGTCAGAAGATGTCAAGGTAAGTCTTGCAATCATACGAGCGCCAAAATATTCAATCTCTGAGATGGCGTACATCAGTGGTTCCGGTCACGAAATGCCTTTCCGGGTCATGTCGCGAATGCCTATGAGACCGAGGATGGTCAAATCACTATCGATCTCCCAATGAGCGAACAAAATGTATTCTTTTGGTGGCCAGACAAAGACGGCAATGCCCCCGCTCCAACTGATTTATGCAGTCAATTGAGTCGATTCGTATTCGACCCGCGCACTGATGATATGGACCTGCCGGAACCTTTAATACTTGCAAAGGCAGATGTCGAATTCCCCCGAATTGATGATCGCTATTCCATGACGAAACATAGATATTGTTTCATGAATGTTATGGATCACAATATGGAGACGAACTTTGCGGCCATTGGACCCGTCATGGGCGGGGGCTATCCGCTTTATAATGCGTTGGGACAACTCGACCTCAGCACTGGCGAGATGAAGAAGTACTTTGTTGGCGGCCAGTCTATGGTTCAAGAGCCAGTGTTCATTCCCCGATCGAAAGCGGCAAACGAAGGCGATGGTTACGTCATGGCCTTGGTTAATCGATACGAGACGATGTCTAGCGATCTGGTCATTTTAGATGCTAGAAGATGGGAGCTCGTTGCAGAGGTGAAATTGCCATTGCGGCTGCGGGCGGGCTTGCATGGAAATTGGGTAGACGCAAGTGACTTGGCTCGATAGTTTTGCCCTTCGTGCTCATCCATGGGATTGTCCACTTTTTGTGCGGGATGTGGGGTATGAGTTATGCTGGAAAATCGGCATTTACATTGGACGTCGTATATGAAGACAATTGCTCAATTGTGATAGGGTAGATGTTCTATCAATGAATAAGAACAAAAACCGAATTTGGCACTTCAGATTGTGGCTTCATTTGCATAAAGCGGCTTGAATTCATCAGCAACTTGAGTCAGTCATAATAAGCAGAATCAAAAATGATGCCTTTGTCCGGATATCCGGGTCGGCAATGCTCCATACATTCAACTAGCGAGTCACGAGACCTGAAATCGTTGTTTGTGAGCCGTCAAAAGCCGTTGCCTTTCTTTCTTTCCTTGTAATCAAAACTCAAATGCTCAAAGCACCTCAGAGTTTATTGAGGGTCATGAGCGTTCTGCAAAATCACCTCTTGCTACACATCTTTGTATTATCTTGGTACCTGGTCGGTAATGGAGGGGGATACACCGGCCAGAAAGCGGGTACGCATCTCCATCGCTTGTCAGACGTGTAGGACTCGCAAATCTAGGGTATGTGTTTCTCTGCTCTTCAATATTCTAATCTGACACGCCGATTCAGTGCGATGGGCAGCAACCTAGTTGCCAGCGATGCCTGGACATAGGAGCAAAGTGCACATATGAACAACCGGGGACCCAGAGTGTTGGGGAACAGTAGGTTGAACCCCGCCAAATAATTCTGATTTGAGCTATGCAGGGGGAAACATCCACTGACTTCCGTAAAGAACAGTTTCAGATTTGCTGTTGAGAATAGAGGCATTGGAGGGAAAGCTCCAGTCCTTTACCGATCCTCCTCAGATTGGTGACACCCCGCCACACAGCGAGCCCACAAGACATGAGGCGCCCCAGATGTCTCAGCTCGGTTCCAGAGACCACGATGATGTGGATGGAATGGGATCTATTGCATTATCAGAGAGTGCAGATACGTCTACCTTCCATGGTGAGAAGTGCAGGCAGTATTTAAATGGCATACTCTCAAAATTTTAACCAAAAGAACTAGGACCATCTTCCAATTTGGCATTGATTCGGCGAATTTCACCTGCTCTTGCTCACTATAGCGACCATCTAGGGATTTTATCCAACGAGCATAGGCGAATTGCGGCCACTGGTTCATCCTCCGCCCAGAGAACGCGAGGTCAAGATCGGGTTTCTCAGGACATGCTGAACGTCCGTGCATCAATTGCTTCCAAACTCAACTCGCCTATATCTCTATTGCCGCGACATACGGAGATATTGGCAGCTTTAAAAGAATATTTTACAACGGTGGGGTCATTTTTCCCTTGCATTGATGAAGAAGCATTTTTTGCGGCATACTCAGAGCACCGTAAAAGTGAATTCCAAACTGCGCGTCGCTCATGGCTTGCTTTGTTGGTCATGATGATTTGCCATGCGAACAATACAAGAACAGCCAACTCGCCTTCGGGTCAAATTGAGAAAAGAACCGAGAACTTGTTTCAAATTGCGCTGGCATTTGCAATGCCGAACTTGCTCTTTGAGGCGAATTTAGAAATAGGTAAAGAGAAAACAGATGAGCATTGAAGTTGGTGGAAATTCGTTGACCTCGGTTATAGTGCAACTGCTTTGCCTGACGACATGTCACCTTCAGAGTCTCCCACGATCTTCTCAAGCGTGGACTTTTCATAGCCTTGCAGTAAAAGCCTCCATGCAAGTAGGGTTTCATACAATTGAGTCATCTGCCAGACTACCTTCGCTAGACAAAGAGATGCGAAAAAGGACTTGGCATTGGTGTGTGGTCAACGATGCGTATGTGAACCTTCCCACAAGACTTCTGACTAACTACTAACTTGAAATGGGTGCAGTATGCTTAGCGTTACTCTCGGTCGCCCCCCTCTCATCACAAAGTCTCTCGCAAATTTGGATATGCCACAAGACATCAGTGAAATCTATCCCTCCATAAGTCACAGTGCTTCAAGAACTGCTCTATCCTCATCCTTCTTTTCATCCATAATGTCAGCTCATCCATTTCGTGGCATTTCCTTTAACTGACCATAGCAGCAAACTATCGCGACTCACTTATGACATCCTCAGTTGGCTATTTGAGAACAATAAAAGTCTCAAGGATGATCGTACTGTTTCTCAGTCCCTAGAGCTTTCTTTTCGCAGTTCGCAAGCTTTATCCGAATGGCTTCAATCTATCCCCGTGGAGTTACGACCAGATCCTTCACTAGCCCCAGACCAAAAACAACGTTCAGCATTGCTTGCTCAACGATTTAAGACCATGTTAGCGTTTCGCTATTATGGTGCCTGTGTTTTAATCCAGAGACCAGTTATATTGTCCTTTCTAGAATTCCAACCAGGAAGGTCTAATGCAGAAAGTGACTCTCTCCTTCTGCAGAATGCAGGGCTATACTTTTTGAAGCGTTGTGTGACAACATGTGAGCAATGCGTCGTTCTCGCTCAAACCGTTGTCAATGAAGATCGCGGTGAAAAGGTTCTTCTAGGAGCATGGTGGATAACGTCATTTTACAGTAAGGCCTTGAATTATATTCAGACGCTAAACAATTTCCCAAGAAATATTCTAACTTACTTAATTCCACAGCCTTCCAGGCCTCAATGATGCTTGTTGCCATTATTTTGATATTACAGAAGCCAGAATTCGCAAAGGCATTGGATGTCGAGGGGCAGCGGAGTATATGGAGTTCCCTGGAAAGTTCGAAAAATGTGCTTGTGTACTTGGATAACAACAATCTCGTCATATCTCGATGTCGAGGATTTCTAAATGCTCTTTTAGAAACTATTTCCTTCTCGCATGACTCCAGCTCAAGGGCTGGACGAGGTCGTCTGATCCCAGAGAATGAAATTTCGAGCCTTGGGATTAGACAGCATAACACCACGGACTTTGGGTTTGATGCACACTCGCTTGGAGATAACTTTGACTTCGAGGCGTTTGCCAGAGAATTACTTGGTCCAGAACTGGAGCTTCTAAACGGTACCTAAAGGCCATAATGTCCCGAGAAAAAGGAGGTGTCAACAATAGCATAATCCGAATAGCACTGGTTTGATGGTCTATGTAGCGTTATAGCTCACTAGCTCCGCGATTTTCTGTCGCATTACATAATAGCTTTCTTGGTATAATTTGCACTACGACCAGTAGTGTCGATGTACCTTGAAAGCTGCCGAACGATTCGAATAAATTTGAGATAGACGTACGGAGGCTTGAGATGTTGGCTCAGATGTTGGAATCAAGCATTCGAGAAAGGCGGCTATCTTCGCAACGTCTGGCCAATCATGGCCATGAGCTCCGTAAAGAATGCGTTCAAATCTGGCGAGGAAGACGGCAAGGGGATCTGTGTCCTGCTTAAGACTGACAAGGCGACCTTCGGCTTCTGAGACCTTATTTGGGCCATAATAAACACAAGAAAGTCGGCGAAGGATCGAGTTGTGGTCATAGTTGCCGGATACTTTGGAATATGCTAGCTGTGGAAGCATTATGGCTTGTTACTGTCGAGGTTTGAGCAAACGTAGTGAAAATAATACTAGTACTAATTATAATCCATTATATCCACTGGCAGTTTGCAGGGGCGCGCAGGATGAGGTCTACTACTAGTAGCCACGCGAGGTAACGTTTCATGGATTCATTCCTTGAAAGATGATGCCCAGGTAGTGCTACTACTCAGTGGCAGAAAGGGAGAAAACTTGAAATATACCTGTCTATTACTCTAAAGATTTGAAACTCAAAAAAGAAATACTATGTGCCAGCTCTTGGCTTCAATGACCAGCTGCCTCTCGAAACACGATCAGAGCAAAGGATCAGAGCAAAAATTGATATCATGCAAGATATACATTCAAAAGAAAGGTGTGAGCAAATGCAATGAGGCCGAATCAATGAGTCGGAGGTTGCCATTCCTTATTGCTTTTCAAGGTCGGTCGGGCGTTTGCCGCGAACAGAGTAGAAATTGGACATCTTGATGTGATTTGACTTGCCGGTTCTTTCATCGTAGAGACCACAGCCGTGGAGTGAAGCGCTGGGTGGTGTGTAAACTGTCGATTGTCAGCATTCAATGTCACACGAGTGATAAGGGAAGGGCTGACGATGTAGAGAAATGGCAAAGTTGTCCGAGTCGGGATTGTAGACGCGGTGAAGGCCAAGCTCGAGGAGATGTCAGTATCAATGAAAGCTTCGAGGACTATCCGGATTAAGTACCTTGTCAGACATGTAAGTGACTTGGTTTTCATGATAGGTAGTGTCTTTGGTTACGAGGAGCGGAGACGTCTCCCCCGTCTGATCCTTTCCTCATCAGGCCACGAATAGAGGGTCTCCTGTAGTTTTCCTTTCAGGATCTGTTGCGAGCATAGTCAGATAGGCAATTTGAAAGCCATTGTCTGAATGAAAGATACCTTCATCACGCAGTGTGCGTTGGCATGGTCGTGAATCGCACTTCCCTTTCCGGGGGTCCAAACTAGAATGAGCTGGCAGTGATTATTAGTATTGGAATACGAGCGGAATAGAGTAGATTGAATGCATTAAGCACTTAAATGTATTTGCTTACCAAGTTACTCTTGCCATTTCCCTCATCAATCAGGTTTCGCGTATAGGCTCTGCTCGCGTCCCCCAGGGCGAATGAATGCCATTCTGATTCATTCGAAACATATTTATCCATCAATTTCTGGATCACCATCGGATCAACATCATCCGAGTCCAAGCCTGAGCTCGGCCCCAAGACAGCACTAAGGTCTCGCACGAGTTTCTCGAAAGCACTCGAGTCTAGGTCAGAGACCGACGGTGAGTCGGCGGGCACATTGAGGTACGGCATTATAAGATGGCGAGGTTAAAGACTTCCACTTTAGAGTTGAAGGGTGTCTTGATCGAGCCAGCCGATCAAGATGGAAGGATGTCGCTATCGGTGCCGAGATTGGAATCGGAGACGGCTATAAGTAAGAATATCAGGATGAAAGGAAGAACGAGATGACGCAGTCGCGGGAATAAAAAATGACAATGAACACTGAACAGTGGAGTATCTTTCACATTACTTTGCATCTCCATTGATTCATGATATTAGTAGCATTGCATTTAGGATGAATTGTTTGTTGTGTAGCCAACCCGATTGAGGATTGGATTTCTGCGATTTCTGCCTGAGGCATCAGATGTTGTGATCACGACATTCACGTGTTATAGTGCCTGATTTCTCAGGCACCCTATGACATAATGGCTAAAAATCTGCCTGAGGCCTGACCCCCGCCATGACTAAGCCATTTTGAGTGCCACAATTCAAAGATTGCGGTCTCCGCAAATTCATCATCGCAACAAAAAAGGCGCCTGCTCGAAACTTTCAGGGAAACTCAAGACGAGAGAGTTCCCTGCCCATCTCCGACCCCGAATTGGTCCCATACACCCTCTCCCTCCGACGATTTTAGTGTTTTCCAACCGCAAAAATGGCGACCACAATCGACAAGGTTAGTGCGATGTCTCTGTCGAACCCTTAAATTTAGGGTTGTCGAGGGATGAATGGTCGCTAATGTCTATTTCCATGCTATAGATCAAGGACATTGAGTCCGAGATGGCCAAGACCCAAAAGAACAAGAACACCTCCTTCCATTTGGGTACGAAATACTCGCTAAACCCATCTACACTCCTCGACGGACTCGACTGACAACTAGTGAAGGACAACTGAAGGCCAAGCTTGCAAAGCTCAAGCGTGAGCTGTTGACTCCGACTGGAGGCGGCGGCGGCGGCGCCGGTGGTGAGTGCTTTTCTCCCGTGAATGTCTTGCATCTATGTACCCATGGCTAATATGGATACTCCCCAGCCGGTTTCGATGTTGCGCGTACTGGTGTTGCAAGTGTGTAAGTTAGGCCTTCAATCTACCGCACACATCAATAGCGATATACTAATCCATTTATGCAGTGGTTTCATTGGTTTCCCCTCCGTCGGAAAGAGTACCCTCATGAGCAAGCTTACTGGACAACACTCTGAAGGTAGGTGATGGACCCGAAGCAGAGGAATATATTTTTGTTTGACATGACTGACATCGCTCTCCAGCTGCCGCTTACGAGTTCACAACTCTTACGACTGTCCCCGGCCAAGTCATGTACAACGGTGCCAAAATTCAGATTCTGGATCTTCCCGGTATTATTCAGGGTGCTAAGGACGGTAAGGGTCGTGGTCGTCAGGTCATTGCTGTGGCGAAGACCTGCCATCTGATCTTCATCGTCCTCGATGTCAACAAGCCTCTGGTTGATAAGCGCGTCATCGAGAACGAATTGGAGGGATTCGGTATTCGTATCAACAAATCTCCTCCCAACATCAACTTCAAGAAGAAGGACAAGGGTGGTATCGCTATCACCAGCACCCAGCCTTTGACTAACATCAGTCACGAGGTAAGCATTGCATCACCAAAGCTTCACCAACACTGCGTCGGAATGGACTGAGCTCACACAGAAACAAACAGGAAATTAAAGCCGTTATGAACGAGTACAAGATCTCTTCTGCCGACATTGCCATTCGTTGCGATGCCACCATCGACGACCTGATTGATGTTCTCGAGGCCAAGAGCCGAAGCTATATCCCCGTCGTCTACGCTTTGAACAAGATCGACGCCATCTCCATTGAGGAGCTGGATCTCATTTACCGTATTCCCAACGCCGTTCCCATCAGTTCGGAGCACGGCTGGAACATCGACGAGTTGTTGGAAATGATGTGGGAAAAGCTCAGCTTGAGGCGAATCTATACTAAGCCCAAGGGCAAGGCTCCCGACTACACGGCCCCTGTCGTGCTCCGGGCTTCCGGCTCCACTGTGGAGGACTTCGTAAGATAACCACCATGCCCATTATGCGATGAAAACATCATGCTAACGTTCCGCAGTGTAACGCCATTCACCGCACTATCAAAGATCAGTTCAAACACGCCATTGTGTATGGCCGCTCTGTCAAGCACCAGCCGCAGCGAGTTGGTCTCGCCCACGAGCTTGCTGATGAGGACATTGGTACGAAACCGTCCCCGATGCACAGAATCATCTCCGAAAATATAAAACTGACCACATCTATAGTGTCGATTGTCAAGCGGTAAACATCCATACCAACCTTCTTGCCCGTCACAGTCTGCATTTCGAGCGAGCAGATCCAAATCATGCTGGGAATGTGGCCGGCGGTCTGGGGCTCGGATGCCTCTACCCCTGGGATGCTGACAGGCACGGGGCTTCTGGGCCATAGATCCCCGCCAAACGCCACGGAAGGCAAGCGCAGTTGGACGGCACGAGCTGTTGTCGCACGGACAACCAAGCTCATCGAATGGGGTGGCGAGATCTCGCAGGGCTCGTGGAGGGGAAGGGAGATTGAACTTCGGGCTGTGAGCAGCAAGCCCAGACGGGCCGCGCATACACTGCTTGCTTATTGCGATGTTCGTTCCTAACCCGTGGTATCTACTCAGGGGTTTGAGGCGTGACCCTGACCAAAATTTCTTTTTCTTTTGCTAGAGGCCCCGCCTGGTTGGTGAAGGGCCCAATGAGTTTGCTTTGGCCACAGAGGCAACAGGGAGGGGTCGAAGTATCAAGGGCAACCTCATTTGCAATGCTCTCGGCAAGGTGTCCAGGTTTGATTGATTGAGTCATGTTTTTCTTTTCTTCACCATTTTATGCTTTATTTCCGGCTCACTATGTACGACCTTTGGAGCGACCGGTTCATATTGTTATGACTACCCATTCTTTTTTTCGCCATTGTCGAGGATGTGTTTGTCCTTCCCACCATCATGAGCGACAATCCTTTCAATAGAAACAAAAGAGAAATCCAATTCAAATGTTCTAGATCAAGGTCTTTATGGCGAAACAGGCCGCTTTTGCATACTCTGCGGTACAGGCTTTTTTGACACCCACCCACCACCAACTCCCCACATTCATTTTTCAAGGCAGTGAAGCGACCAGTGGTACCTCGTCCCTCCTACGGATAGAGCGATTACAGATGGAATAGTTGATATTTGCTTTTGCTGCCCGAACAAATTTCTCCCGCCTCTGTAATATCGATCCTGCAACCATGAACAAAGAACAACAAGCCACGCTGCATCCTCGGCGACTCCCCCGACATACTACTAGTACGGCATGCATTGGAGTAATGCCAGAGAGCCAATAGCCAACCCGGTATATACTAGCGAACCCCCGCTTACACCAGGACAGGCCGATATTCTTATCGGCCCCAGCTGGCACGCAGAAATCAGGCACTACGCGCATGCGCATACGAGGGTCAGAAGTACCGGCTTGCTAATTCAGATTGATGATTCTGATCCCCACGCCAATGCTAATGCTAATACTAATGCCGGCGATTTGGTACATACCCATTGGATGGATGTCTGAAATGCACTATTCCCGAGCGAGTAAAAGGAGCTTCCTATACGGAGTACGGAGTAATTGGCATCTCATCTCATCCCATCCAGCCCTCGCGAGAAAAAGCCATCGTCCGTGACCTTCCCTTCCCAGCCCTGCGCGTATTCCACACATGGAGCTCTTGTCATCAAAGCGACCCTTGCTAAAGACTAATCCCGAGAAAGGAAAGTAGGTTGCATGGACTTCTATTTAGATATCTTGACTCGCCACCGAACTTCCTCGGCGTTCCGCCTGGGGTTGGCTCGATTTGGTTTCGACGAGGCTACCGAGTAAGGGGCCCCTGTCAGCAAGCCTCCGGGTCTACTCTCAGAGTAGTATAGTAAGTCTAGACGGGGCGATGGCCCTCATCCCTTTGGTCGATCTGCCGATGCAACAAGCCCCGAGCTTTGGTCGAGAAGAGTCGAGACGCAATCGATTGGGGGATTGAAGACCGGTCAAAGCTCCCCTCGACATTTTAGACAGCGGACCAAAGGCAATTATGGTGTGCATACGTACGTACATCGCGGAAAGGGAAGGGAAGGTAAAAGGGGCTATGGGGCGGAGGAGGATCTCGACCCGGTGCACTGACCGGTGCTAAATTATTCAGGAGATGGATCACTTCGAAGATTTGGCAAAATCGTGGGAAGCGCTATATTCGGGGGGATGCGTATACCCGTCATAGCTTAGAGGGGGACTAGGCGCTAATGGCTAAGGATTACGATGGGAGAATGTTGGGATCCGATAGGGTCAGTTTCGTGTAGAAAAGAGGGGATGGAGGGGATGGAGGGGGAGAGGAGGAGAGAAGGAACATCGAAATTGGATCTGTCAAGCCTCGCACGTTGTACCCCTGCTGTGTGTGTCCCTGCTTCTTCTTCTGCCCTGCTTTGACTCGGTACCAAATTTGGATCGGCATGTCAAAAGTACTAGGCTCGAGCTTTACACACACCTTTCTCTCTCCTCGTATGCTTTTCTTTTTTAGCTGCTGCTGAAGGATATGCGCACGACGGGATTGACGTGCTGCATCCTGTGCAAAAAAGGGTAAGATGGACAAGCGAACAGACCCATTTGGTACGAAATGAATCCATGGGTTGTGTATGGAGTATGTTATAGTTGAAGTGAACAATAATCCACAAACATACATACAAGAGGGCCTAGTATAGAAGCCGGTTCCTTCGAATCCATGGTTGAAGAAGAGGGGAAACAAGCGGTGAAAAGTCGGTCCTGTTAGCGATTTAGCGATCGTATTGAGAAGGATTTTGTCGTGATGAGACCGGGGTTATGTGTAGTATGTAAATTATCTGATCAGCTCCACTCCATTCCAGCCATGTTCACAAGTCATGCAGTACGAGTATATAAACGATTTACAGTAGATACAGATAGGATGATTGAGCAAGTTCCTCGCATCACAAGGGAACCACAGCGGAGTCTCGCGGAGACCAAGTGGAGCACTGGCAGCGCCCGCAAATCGCCGATCTCGATAGCCCAGGCCTCGGGGGCACGATCTGGTCCGTCCGCAGGTGGGAGATCGGCAGAATGGACTACTGCAGACCAAGTTGAATTTGCTAACCAGCCCTAGTACATGTAAGTACCCCGATACCCGAGATGATACCCTAGGGTTCCCCACCAAATGCCTTCTGCCCGGTGTGTATACGGAGTCCAACCCACCTGAAGTTTGTACATGTCTGTACATGCCTGTACACATTAGTTACATATTACCTGCGGTCTATCAGGTGACTGTATTGACACCGATCCCTTCTCGTGGTCTCGTTGCATTGCATTGCAGCAGCAGCTTCCCCAGGCACCGCGCCTGCATCTGGGTTATAATTTCGGTCCATAACCAACCAGGATAGCTAGCTAGCTTGATCCTCTCCAAGTACGGAGTAGACTTTCTCCAAAAAGGCAGCTCCTACTGCCACATTATGTCATGACAGACAGCCCATCACTGCGTAGTAAGGTTGGTTCATCCTTCGGTCCCCACTCGATCGACAGAGCGCGGTCCGGACGAGGTGAATTCGAACCATCCTTGTCCGAGTACCTCCAAAATGGGCGTGTGCTGCCGTTGAGAGCTCATGCAGATCGGTACCTGACTCGAACCTGAGCATCCTGGAGCATCCTGAGCATCCACCCACCCCGGCCCTCTCCTAATGCGCTTGTGTTCCCTCGCAGGCTCGCACAACGCGGTCAAAGAAATCCTCAGTGGGAACCGCCGAAGAAGCAATTATTGGTGTCTCTGCCCGTCTATAGGATGCCGGTGATTTCGATCCTGACCGGTCTAGACTTCTTTCTTCTTCTGCTCCGAGGTGAGACCCAGTCGCATTGTGGACGAAAGCCACCCCCTCATGGCTTGCCCTAATCCTTCCCGTCAAGACTGGATAGAAACTGGTGAGATCATCCGAGATTTCTCCCCTTCTCTGCTAGGAAATGGCGTCAGCCCACACTCCGCTGATCTGATGCGATTGCATTCCCAACCAGTGTTTCTCCCAGACAGGAAGCGATTTGCGGTGGATTCGACTCTTTGCCCTCGTCCTTTCTCCATTCCACCCGTTCGCCTTTGTTTCCCTCGACAATCCACGTTTCTGACTGGCGCAAACTAGCAAAACAGCATTATTAATGTATTTTTTTCTTTTTAATAAAAAAAATTAATCTAGACGGCAGCACGCAGGATGATTGGTGTTATCGTCGAATCATTGATTACTCTAGTGTTGCTGGTGGTTCGCAAACTCCCCTGGTCGTCAAACTTGAGATAGTACAAAATTTGTCAGACCTCTTCTTCTATTGTCGACTAGACAGGGCCATCCCCATTCTTTCCGATAAAATTTGCTCGAGAATTTGGAAAATAAAAAAAAGGAAACGACCAGGCCGATTTGACACTAGCATTGCCTCGTGGTGAGGTCGAACAAGTGGGGAGGGTGCATGAGATTCCTTTTTGCTTCGCTCGTACCGTGGAATTTATGCGACATAGACCGTATCCAAATGATTAATCTTAATCCCGATCAATATGAGGACCTTTATGGACAGGACTCCGGAGTACTACTGACATATGACGGTTTGAGCATACATACAGGTAACTCTGTTCTTAGCCCTGTACATACATACTAAATACAGACCGATTTACGGCAGATACCGCACTCCATACCTTTACCCCCCCCCCGTCTCCAACTCTCCTCTCTCTCGCTCTCTCCACATCGTTCCATGGGACGCCTTGGGAGCATCATCCGTGCAGATTTGCGAGACCGTTCTTTGACAGTCTTGTTTACTGAAGGTTTCCGGGCCGGGGAGGACCGCTGTGGGTCGCGGGTGGAGCAGAAGCAGAAAATGAGGGCTGAGCAGTTAGCGCCCAAACACTCGCATCATGGAGTTCCTCCTCCTGGTCTAAGCCCCCTCCCCGCTCTGCCCTGTGATAGGGCAGAGACTTGCAACTTAGTTCGGCCCTTGTATCAATTCCGTATTGATCACAGGCAAATGGAGGCGGGGGATTCGCTCAGATGGAGAGGATCCATGCTGCTCCTCATTTGCCTATTAGCCGTGTCATTTTTCGAGGATGTCTGATGCGTTCGGATCCTGGCAGAAAACGAGGGTGATCGGCACTGTCCTTCAGAGATCCCTCATACTGTATTCGGCAATAGTCCCTGGGCAAAAAAAAGGGAATTGCTTTGCTCGTGGGATGCGCCCCAACCCCCCCAACCCACACCCTACCATCTTCCCATCTTCCTATCCCGTGGCCAATCTGACTTTCGAGGATCTCCAGTTATGAACGAGATCGTGCTTTTACAAATTTCATTCGCACTCCCTCCCAACCTTCTACTCCGTTTATCTTGAGGTCCTTCGCTACACTTTCTTGCTTGGTGCACCGTGCCCTCGCCAAAGACATCACGCGGAGTGGGCCAGAGCCTATGGTTCTAGGAGATATTCCCTCCATCAAGGTCATGACATGACTCTTGGGCCACTTCAGGTTCCATTACAACCGTTGAGCTCCTTCCGAAAAGTGGGCGCGATGAAACGATAGTCGGCACTGCCGCAATCGCCTTGTCCACACCCACTGGCAGACTTGGTCCACACTGATCGTCCTAGCCTGCGCTATGTATGCAGCGGATGTCATGCGGTCTTTAGGTTCAGCGGTTTATCGATCCGCTTCCCGGCCCCCAGCAAATCATCACGGATATCTGCCCGTCGAGTGAACCTCGTCTGCTCCCCGCGGATGATCTACTGTTGCTCCGATGGTCCGATTAGGCCCATAGCCTCGACGTGCAATTTCGTGAAGCGAGGCTTCCTCCACCGACAACGGCCAGTCATGGTGACAGACTGACCGCGAGGCAGGTCGACCAATTTTGTAGACCTAGAGGAAAGATCGAATACAAGACGCCCCCAGGAGGCCCGGCCCCAGGTGGTTCCAAGGAACCTCGCAACGTAGAGAGAGGGTCATATCTACTCCGTATTACAAGTAGATACGAGGGAAAAAAATCCGTATTCCATAAAAGTATAGATTGGGTATCAAGCATGTCATAACAATATACTCCATACCCAAGCGAATCCCGGCCGAGTTCGGAAAGCGAGGGGGGTTGGGAAGGAATCAAGGTCAAGCGAAGCCAGCAAAAAGAAAAAAAAAAGAAATGATAAAATAAGAAATATCCCGGACACACCTTACGGTAGAATATCACTCAAAGAAACACTTCCCGCGTTTACTCTCTATGTATACTAGAGAACAGCCTTTCTGTTCTTTGACAATACCTTTCCGTGTAATACACAAACGGGCCTACCGATTGGGCCGAACGGACCTGAGGAGATGCAACCCCTGCGCAGCCAATATATCTCACTCTGGACCAACCAGGCGCCGTTTCTTCCTCTGTTTGACAGGGGTGGCTTTTTTTTGGAAAAACCTCTTGCGTGAATATTATAATTTCTGGAAAATAAAAATAAAAATAAAATAAAACAAAAGATTTCTAAGTCCCATTCCGACCAGCCTTTTCTTTGCACCGCGACCAATCACACTTGGGATCGGCTGAATTCCTCTCGGCGCAAGAAGGTTATCACTTTTCTCCGGAGTGTCCCCTTCTCGTGCCAGTTGCAATTGAGATTCAACTCGTTCTGTCAATCCACGCGACTTTTTAGGATCTGCGCTCTTAGTAGCCCTGATTTCCTTTTAACTCCGTCCATTGCCTTACCCGCATTTCGCACCTTCTCCCCTTCTTTACCTCTTGCATATCTGTATACCATTAGGTACAGCCCGACTTCTCTATCCTCTTGCGTCTGGGATAGTTTCTCGCTGGCTCCGCTTTGCTAAACGAAACCCCCCTCCCTCGCTTGTGGGAACTGTTTGCAATCAGGAAAATCTATCACACACCGCTACCGACAAATCTATACAACTCTTGGTCGTGTGGTGTGGAATATGCATAGTCCCTCATTGTCTCACCTCTAGATTGTCGCATTGTTTCCAACCTCGGGGAAAGTGGATTGTTTCTCTTTCCTCCCAGGAATATTCATTGTCTCTTTGTCCCAAACTGAGCCTATCAGCTCTGGGGTCATAGGAAACCCGTCCCCCAAATTAACATATCGTCGCCATGGAAGATTCAACTGCCATGGAAACGGAATCCCACCACGCCCCAGACCGTGAATTTACACATTCGCCCTGGGTGGAACTGGGCACTTTCACTTCCCCTCAACACTCACCGCCGATGCCCGAGTACAGTGGTTTTGACTATGGTCACTCGACAATGATGGGTGTTGATGCGTACGGCATGTCAATACCGCCACCCTATGCTTCGCTGCCGCTACCCTTGCCCTCGCATCACTGGCCCAGCATGATGACTCCACCAACACCTTTCCAAGAAAATGGCTTACCTCCGGTCCCGGCTCCAACTTCTGTTTCACCCTCGGCTCCCGCGCCTCCGGGTCGCAAGTCCTCGACGAGTAGTACAACGCCGCGCAGGACGCTCACCGACGATGATCGTCGCCGAATGTGCATATATCACGAGCAAAATAAAACCGCCAAACAAACTGATATTGGAGGTAAGATTGCCATTTCCCGATTTGGTCACTTGAGTCTGTGAAACTGGAGCTAGGGCTAACTATATCGTGCGCAGCAATGTTTGGTGTGGAGAGAAGGTAAATCGAATTCTGGTCGCATGATCAGATCTTTCTAGTTCGCACGACTAGCTGCTAACGTATCATTTCTAATATAGTACTGTATCCAAGGTCTTGCGCCAGAAGGAAAAGTATCTAAGCCTCGATGATGGTCATCGCTCACCTATCAAGCGAGCCAAGGGTAGAATCCCTGATATTGAGAAAGCCCTTTCCAACTGGGCCAGGAACTACCAGCGCCAGGGGTTCTCTTTAAATGACGACATGATCAAAGAAAAAGCCCACTTCTTCGCCGTCACTTGTGGATGTCCAGAAGGCAAGGAAAGGGTGATCACCAAAGCCTGGCTGGATAAATTCAAGCAAAAGAATAGCCTGATGGGTGCGAAGGCTCGAAAGGGAGCCCGCAGCAGCTCCAATAGCCCGATTCGTATCAATACCGACTTAATGAGCGAGTCCCCCCTTAACAGCCCTACCGGCCATTCTCCGTTGTCTGCAACTGGATTTGGATCGCCTCTGTCACCAACCCATAGCCTGGATGGCGTGAAACAGGAGCCGGTCGACGGATTGCCTGAGCTGTCCGGTGGCTATCAACATGGCCACTCCCAAAGTACCACTTCATTGGACACAACCTCTACAGGAATGACCAGCCCATCATCGACATTGGTTTCCGACAGCCCTTTTACTCCGACAAGTCAATCTCGCCTTCTATCGTCGGCCGGTATCCAGTCCCGACCACGCAGCCAGACATTTCCCTCGCCCCCCATCGATCCAACCCTGTTGACAGCAGACGAGTCTATGGACCACAAATGCACCAAATCCGAGTCCCAGCAACAGCGATCGGTGGCTATGCTCGAGTCACCCTTGGAGCTGGGAGACGAAGAAGGCCAGGCCACCGTTAAGGGTATCAATCCTAGTAAGATAGTTAAGCGCAACCGCAGCAACCCAGAGATCAAGACCAAGTCGATGCAGCCCCCATCCTCGCTGCCAACCCCCAAGTCTACTGTCGTATCACCGATCAGCGCACCTGGCTCTCCGACCCAAGACGAAGCACGACAAGCCTTGGAACTCGTTATGAATTATTTCCAGCACCAACCAGCCGGTCTTCAGGCACAGGAATATGTTACTATCGGCAAGCTCATGGAGCGTCTCGAGCTGGCTAAGGCTCAGCATAACCCCCACATTGGTGGACTGACGAGAATCGACGAACATGAAGATTCCCCTCGCCTCACCAAGAAGCGGAGTATTCACAATCTTGCTTGATGCGTGTCGCCTTTCAAGCCACTGGCATTTTCCTGCTCCCATAAGCTCCAGGGCTCCATCCAAATTCCCCACCATTCCTTCAAATCTCCCGCATCTATCCTCTCTTTACTACATGCATTTTTTGGCTTCAGTGATTCCCCCACCCATCTTGCTATTTATTTTATTCTGGCGGCTTGTTCTTCTTCATCTACTCCAGCTCGACGACTCTATCACGCTTTCTATTTACTGTTTTTCTCTGCCGCATTTCATTATTGCATTCTCAACTGTACGAACCCAACACACCCTTTCTTTCTATGCCGACTCGCGTTGGAGAAAGAAACAAAACTTGTCAACAAACAGATCTACACATACCAGAGGGCAACCTCGCATGCTTTGAAATGGGGTTTGGATTTGATTCGGCGCTGCAACCATTTTCTGTTTTCTTCTCTTTACGCATGACATGTTCCACTCCTCGGTCCAGCAACTTCATGGTGACCTGGATTATTTATGGTTATTCTTGGATTTGGAAACGGAGGAGACCGGGTTCCGTTTCATCCATCGGATTGGTACCAGCAGGGACCATTACGGAGTTCGACCTTCTATCTTGTTCAGATTTTATCTCGTTCTGGTCTTCGTTCCTCCCATCCTTCTCGCCGTTTTTATTTTACCCCCTTTCCTACACTCTGGCCCACTCATACTCATACCCACATACATACCCACCTCGATTGACGTTGTTTTTTATATTCCTTCTACTTTCCTTTTGACATACCACTTTCCTTACGCTCTTTCCTTCCTTTTAATTTCATTTCCTTCGGGCTCTCTGTTACAATTCTCTTTAAACTGGGCCGCTCGCGCGGAAAGAACATAATTTGCTGGGATCTTCTAGTACGAGTCCAGCCGGTCATCCACTGTCAGATTAATCCTGTTTTTGATTACCTACTCTGCTCATTTTCTCCTCCATCATCCTATCTCTCTCTTTGCATTTTTCCTCCATCACATTGTCGGCAAAACATTGAGTGTTCACCGGCATTGTGTTCATGGCTTGATATATTTAGTCCTAGTAATATACGATACCCCCAGCCCCTGAATCGAGTGCTACTTGTTTCTCTACGGCTGAACGCGTACCCATCTCATACTAGGTAGTAGCAGCGAACTAGCTAGTGTCCAAAAAGGGGTTGGGTAGATATTAGATTAGGTTGCCCTTCATTAAAGTATATTCGCAAGGTTCCGCGTAATGCAGGAACACCCAAAATGTACTCCGTAGTTATTGAGTTATTGAGTCAAACCTAGAACCCACCAGGAACGGGGGTCACCCCCCCGATCCTCCATGAGATCCAGAACACTGCGTTCCGTCATTTCCGGTAGAACCTTAGACAAGACCGTCTCGATGATCGAATAGATCAAATGCTTGTTACAGTACTCGTCGGCGAACAGATCCAACAGATCGTCCTCGATAGTCTCCAGAAGATACAACTCTTCCAAATCAACACTATCTTGTTCGCCCTCTCGTTCGTCGACATGCAGGCGCTCAGTCCCATTCTTGCCACCACTTATCCTCGAGCCTGAAGGCGTGGAGGTCGACTTGGCCCCCTGAAACGATCGGGGCGGGACCCCACATTTCTCTTCATCTCGTGATGTGGGTGGGGACGGTCTGATGGTGGTGAGGGAGGACAAACTACCACTGGCGGCGCTGCAGGAACGATCACTGCTAGAGGAAGTCGGAGCGGCGAAAAAGGTTCGTGCGACGCTGCGTGGGATCACGGCGAGGAGACTAGCTGCACATCGCCGCTTGATAGCGGCGATCTCCGAATTAGGGCGTGCTAGGTCTTGCTTTTTCTCCGATCCCGTTATTGGCGTCCCGCTGGCAGGAGCTTTGGCCGTGTCGACTGCCGAAAGAGATGCTGTCGGGATAATTGCTATTGCCGGCCCTGGGGATGATGTTCGCGGAGCGTGAGTGCCGCCACCGCTAATAATGTTGCTGTTCATATCATTATTGCTGTTACTTTCGTGATCAACTTGGGTAGTCGCAGTGCCCTTTCCTACTTCTAGGATGGGCGCTGAGGAGGAGGATTTTGGGGTCGCAAGAGCTTTGCCCGCCGAAGACTGCACGGACGCCTGCGGAGTCGGAGCGGGCGCTTCAATGTTCACAAAGGGCACACCCAGAGATTGCGGCCGGGCATTGGCTGGGAAGAGGGCTGTCCTTGTTGCGAGTAGAAGGTTGGGCAACAAAGTGGGGGTCAGGACGTGCTCCTCAATGGTTTCTCGGAGAAATCTGTGGAGTCAGTGAACGATCTCAAAAAAAACAAAAACACAAATATCACATATGACATCGGAAGAGCCGAGTAGGGAGCGAGCAGAACCAAAATCGAATTCCAAATAGAAATGAAAATCCCTCGCGGCGACGGTGGAGTGCCAGCAACGTTGAGGTAGCGTCATGCGGTCGGGGTGTGTTTTTTTCCCGTTTTGTTTGCCCATTGCGAGGAAGAGCTTCATCCCTCCCGCCATTTTAGGGCGATTGCGAAGTGGGGGAGGCGGAGCCCGATCGGCCCCGGTGTGGAAGACGAGGAGCTTGGGCCAATCCTGCTGCAACGGGGGTGTCAATCCTCGACGAACCAGGTCCCTTAATGAGTGGTAAAAAGTGAGGCGGGCGTTGCTGCTCGTCCCGTCTTTCCCCTGTTACTTTCGCAGTTTCCCTCTCAGATGCAGACGCAGACGCAGGAGTAGAAGCAGATGCTCTCCGGAGGCGGATAGACATCCCAGCAAGCCGTACCTGGCGCACAGGCGGGCATATGCGCCAACCTCGGTCGCAATGCAGATTCGAAACCCCATCTGCGACGAATTTCGCTGATTGGATGCCTGACGGGAAAATCACTAGCCTCGGCCAAGAAGTCTTTCTTCATGCAGGTGCCCAAAGAGGGATGGGCCAACCCATCCATCGCCGCAGGGGATCGGCATCAGACGATTACTGCTCATGCGCGATTTCGATTCCCCTCCTCTTCTGCTATGCTCAGAAGTTGAACGTGGTTCGGCAGGCAGAAAACTCTGTTTTCCCATGCTTTGCTTTTTCGCGTGGGCTGCATTTCATTTCCCTCTTAGCGGCATGGCTGAGTCAAGCTCGAATCGGATGTCAAGAAAAAGAAATGCTGGCTTGGCCGTTCCAGAGAGTGATTCCCAACATCAATCCACTTTCCATCCTCCACACCCCAGCCTTCGCGACATGACGAAAAATAGGGAACAAAGGGAACGCGGCACGGAAAGGGCCGGGCCCCGGCGCTATCACACCGAGAGCAAAAAAAATGAGACGCAGGAGAGAAGAGGATCCCTGTTTGCAAATCGCCCTCGCTCGGACCAAGTCGAGGCAGCCAATCTGATCTCGGATTCGCCGGTTTTGTATGACCGTAACGACGGTACCGCCAGTCAGACACACCGTAAGGTGACCATACCAATTTGTAATAACGGTAATCAGGTCAAGTGATCGATGCAGTATGCGAGCAAGACGCTTCGCCATCCCACTATGACTCGCACAGGGTGACACTTGACTCTCGTAGATCGCAGTTCGGAGATCGCACCGTTGCTCCACCGTCGTGAGTTCATGCGGTCTCGGGAGGCCCGAGCCATAAGGGGCGTACACAAGGGCAAGACAAATACTCCGGGCTTATACAAATATAACAGAAATGAGATATAGACTTACCTGTCAAGGACACTGTCTGTGTCACCGAGCTTACCCGGGCCAGCGAGAATGAGATGTCGGAAGAGTGCGAATAATCCGGTCAGCCATGGCATCCTTTCGGAAATGCCAAGTAGCTGTGATGCCATGGACGACAATCGGTAGTCGAGAACTGGGCGCTTACCCGCGACGCCGTCTGACGACGACTCGATCCTCCCCTTCTGGGTCTCTGGCGTTGCAGCGGGAAATGAAACACTGGCTCCGTGCGAGGCTCCCGGTCCTGGAGAGGATGCGACGCGGAAGAGACCCGTCACAATGAAACGCAAGGCAACGTAACCAAGGTATATGCCCTGGAGGGTATTCCATATCCAGGCCGTAATTGGCGACTGGGTGGGAGGTTGGGACTCTCTCGAGTCATCATGGAGTAGTCCAAACTGCTCCAGCCGACTACTGGTAGTTTTCCCCGATGAACCAGAAGCCTGTCCAGTCCGACGGTTCTGAGCTACAGTGAGCAATTTCGTTGTCGTTTCCCAGAGGAACCTTCCTTCGCAGATGCGACCAGCAACCTCCTTTCCCAATATCAGATCGGCTATCACATCGCTCACTAGGGTGCGGAGGCTGCTATTCTCGAGATCTTCTGTTGGCAGTAGTACTGCTAGTGTGCCGTTGGCTAAGAGCCGCCGATAGATAGCTTCATTCTCGTTTTGCTCGCCTATGGTATCTGGGTCTGTCGGATCCGGGACTGGAAACAGACCAGGATGAGGATTCAGTTGATGGTAAAGAGCACGATGTGACGTTGAAAGCCCCGAAAGATGCGACTGTTGCCTTGCCTGTCTGTAAGCTAGATATCATACCACGAGTTAGCATTTGCGTTCATCCAAGCCATGCAACAGCAGTGGTAGAGACCACCAGAATAGAAATAATCCATGAACTTCAAGAAATGGGTGTCTCACAAAGTATATGTGCTTCCACTAACACCGGGAGGTCATCCAAAACCAGCTGTGCGACATCGATCTGGCGTATTCTCTGTTCCAGGGCGCGGGTACAGTGTGCCACGACCTGTAGGACCTCATTGACAAGTGCCTGGTCAGGGGTGATCTTGGAGTACCATGAGTACAGAAACTCTCTTATTATAATAGCGATTAAGGCGTATAGCTGACGGTCAACGTCATTGGAGCTCGTGAAGGGAGGAAGTAGGTCTTCTGGAGGCGGTGGAGAGGATGCGCCGTGGTTGCTGGTCTGCGGACATAGCACGCGTCGAATCAAGGCAAGAGTAGCCTTCTCGCTGGTGGCATCAACCGAGTCCTCTCTAGCAGAGGACTTTTGTGTTCGCAGCCTAGATGAAGGTCGTGCGAGGGGGGGTTGGCTAGCTAAAGGCAGCGCAGTCGACCTGGAGCTGGAGGTGGTCGGACCAGCCTTAAGATGGGAAACTGGCTGCAGACCAAGGCGCGGAGAGTCTGCCATATCATTGCAGGGCCCCGTGTCTCTCTTGGAACCAGTTCCTTTCAGACGAGAACACAGCGTGCAAGGGCGTCAACCCCTTCTGGAAAGCACCGACGTGTCGACGTTGTTGTCACCGCGAAGTTGGAGAGGATGAGCTGGCTGCCCGATTGGGGTGTTAGGGCTTAGGGTCTGAAAAATAAAAGGAGATAAGGCAAGATAAGGGGCTTATCGCAGTGCGGGGATCGCTGACGTAAGGTTACCTTACGGACCCTATGCGCCGCTTTGACAATGGAACAGCCCGGGGATATTTCCTCTACTCTTCTAAGTCATTCGGACATTCACTATGACAATCAATTCTGGCGCAGATATGCGCACCCCGGTGTGGCTGGACTGTGATCCTGGTAGGCATTATTCTATATTCGTTGTATTCCAGATGACTATGACCAGGACCAGAAACTGACTCATGAAAGGACACGATGTAAATACTGCATACCTCTTGATACGTGCGCCTTGACTGACTGACATAGGATGCCTTCGCCATATTGCTTGCTGCGCACCACCCTTCATTAAATCTTCTAGGCATCACTACCATCCATGGAAATGCCTCGCTAGAAAATACCACCTACAATGCTGGAAGTATATTAGAAGCAATTGGACGGCCGGAGATCCCCGTCTATCCTGGATGCCGCAAGCCATTTTCTCGACCTGCCCTACATGCCCCTGATATCCACGGTAAGACAGACCTGTTTCTGTTATAAGATGCTCTACTACCACTGGGTAGTACTCAGTACAAGCCATGGATTCCACTGGTCTCTAAATATATACTACGATGGATGCTGATCAATCCTCGTCAACAGGCGAGTCTGGTCTCGATGGTACGGATCTCTTGCCGAAGCCATCGCAGCCGCCAATCATCGATCATAATCCAATTCTGGTCATGCGAAATGCGCTTCTTGCCCAACCCAAAGGTACTCCGTGGGTTGTTGCAACGGGAACTCTGACCAACGTGGCTTTGTTGTTCGCAACATTTCCCGAAGTGGCGGAGCATATCCAAGGTCTAAGCATTATGGGTGGTGCCATTGGTGAGGGATTCACGGATGCCCCCATGAGTAGACTGCCCGGGGAACAGTCTCGTATCGGAAATGTGACCCCATGGGCCGAGTTCAATATATACGTGAGTTCATTCGTTTGCAACATTATCCAGCCATCACCACATACTAACACATACAGTGCGACCCTGAGTCTGCGGAATCCATTTTCAGCAACCCTATCATTGCCTCGAAGACATCAATTGCCAGCCTGGACTTGACACACCAGGTTCTGGCCTCACAAGAAGTGCAGACGCGCATTTTGCATGGATCTAGTGATTCGAAGGCCCCGACCGTCATTCGACAGATATTTCATGATCTGCTTCTATTCTTTGCTTCAACGTATGAAAAGGTCTTTGGTTTGGCCACGGGGCCTCCGCTCCACGACCCCCTCGCCGTTGCCTTTATTCTGTCGAACCTGAACCCTGCATTTGCCTCGAGCCACCCCGACCAGGTGCTCAAGTTTGATGATAAGGGAGGTGAGCGATTCGACATTAAGATCGTCACAGATGGCGAGCATGGCGAAGATGTGTCTGTGACTGGCCAGCTGGGGCGATCCATCGCAACGCCTGCCAATGGATCCGGAGTTGCCATTCCCAGAGGTGTTGATCTTGATGCGTTTTGGCATATGATCCTCCAATGCGTACAGCTGGCAGATGACTGCAATGCTGCGCGGCGGTCATGAACTTGAAGTGTTCTGTCTAAGTGAGAAATGGTTTAGAATATGTCTTGATATTTAGAAATAAATCTAGAGCTAGATGATATTTAGATCATTTTCAATCTGAGAACTCTGTACAGCCCAAATTTGATATTTGCCGCTTTCAGGGAAATACTAGTATATACAACTCCAACAATTCGGACTAAATCCTTTCTATCTCGCTACTATGCAGTTTGCGCTTTATAACCCACTGGCAGATCCCAATTTCTACCACTCCCGAATAGATCCATCTGGTCCGAAGAACTCCTTAGGCTGCCAGGGCTCCGTATTCTGGGCCACCTTTCGCACGACTTCCTCATCAATCTCAATCCCAATGCCCGGCGCGGTCAACGCATCGACATAGCCATCTTTCACATCAAAAACCTTGGGATCCTTCACGTAACTCGAGATATCATACTCGCCAGCCTCTGTATTATAGTGAATACCGACACTCATCTCCTGGATAACGAAATTGGGAATGGAAAGATCGACCTGCATACAAGCAGCCAGCGCAATAGGCCCCAAAGGGCAATGAGGCGCAATTGCAACATCATAAGTCTCCGCCATAGAAGCGATGCGTCGGATCTCAGAAATACCACCACAATGGCTAATATCCGGCTGGAGAATATCGACACTGCCGTCTTCCAAGAACCGCTTCACATCCCACCGACTGAAGAGTCGCTCTCCAAGAGCAATCGGGCAAGACACCTGATCCGACAACTGCTTAATTGCCTCTGGGTGCTCCGAGAGAAGTGGCTCTTCCAAGAAAAGAGGATGATGTGGCTCCAGCGCCTTGGCTAGCTGCTTAGCCATGGGCTTGTGGAGACGACCATGGAAATCCAGAGCCGCGTCTAGACCAATAGCTTTGATAGCTTTAAGACGCTCAACACTGGATTCCAAAACGCTTGGAGAATCAAGCCAATTGACATCCTCGGTGGCATTCATCTTGATTGCCTTGAAGCCCTGCGCAAGGCGAGCTTTTCCCGCAGCCGTCACGTCCGAAGGACGATCACCACCGATCCAGGCATAAACAGACAGCTTGTTGCGAACCTTTCCTCCGAGTAGCTGGTAGACGGGAACACCAAGTCGGCGGCCCTTCAGGTCCCAGAGGGCAATGTCGATTCCGGAAATCGCAGACATGAAAACAGGGCCACCGCGGTAGAATCCCAGACGCCACGCCATCTGCCAGATATGTTCGATATCGCTGAAAGAATATATATTAATTAGTGTTGTTGTATTTGGGAAAGGATGCAGTGGTTGAGACTTACTCCGCCTCATAACCCACGAAGCGCTTGCACAAGGCATTGAGGGTGCCCTCCACAGCTTCGGTGTGGCCTTCGAGAGTACTCTCACCCCAACCATATTGTCCCTCCTCATCGGTGACTTTGACAAATAGCCATCGAGGCAAGACTCGGAAGTATTCAATAGTCTTAATCTTGACCATTGTGTTGGAATATTTGTAGAAGGATGCGTAGTCAATGTAGATTCTCAAGAACGGACAAACGAAGTGTGAATTAAGAAAAGAAAATTAGACAGAAGCTTGACGAGGGGCACAAAATCTGGAGTTTCACTCGGAGTTGCTCCGGAAATGTCGATGCCCACACGGATTGCCGAAGCAAGTGGCCCGGCTCCGAGTGCCACGGCCCCCGCAAAATCCAGGGTCTCGGAGTGGGCCCCAACCCCGGAATCTAGTTACCTCAATTTGTGTATGGGGTGGTGAATAGTCTCCCTGGAGCTCACCTAGTGCTTTAATTGAGGGAAATGTGTATTTATTATATGATCAAGTAGTATATATGCGCAATGGATCCCTAGTATCTACTACCGAGCTAGGTTCAAGTTTGAGACGAGACCGTGGAGACATCCTCCGACTATGAATCTTTTCCGGCTATAGTATCCGAGAAAGCTGCGAATAATCGGCCCGACCAGGAAATAGTAGTCTGAGTTACCCGGAGCGTGGGAGTGGGGTCAATCTGTAGATTCTAGATATGAAATTGTAGGAAATAACTAAATTTAGAATTTTTATCATTGACCAGCCCTAATGATTACGAATGGTGGCCCCTTTCTCATTCCAGGTAGAAGATAAACTTGAATACTATTCATTTGCAAGCCCTGGAGTGCATATTCTTTCGCACTGATCAATTTTATCTCAATCAAGTTCTACTCCGTGCTAGGTGTATACTTGTACATTCATTTTCTGCCAGCATCAGTCCGTCCGGATAAAGAAGCGGTGAAACCCACTAGCGCGGGAATTCTCTGAGCAATAAATTCGGCCCGGCAACTTCTCCCTTTCTCTTTTCCTTCTTCTTCTCCATCTACAGTTTACATTACGATGTAAATCAAATTGGGGCTCCACATTGTGGCTTGCTGAAAGATTTCCGAAATGCTTCGGCCTTCGTGGGTTTCTTTCCGTTCCCGGCCCTGGAGAGTGAAGACGCTTCTCTTTCCTAAACACTCTCTACGCTTTGGTGTTTCCCCCTCCGGGAAGCCATAGGGTGTTGTCGGGGAGAGGGCGTCACATACTGTTTAGATGAATGAATCAATTTTCACTTTTCAATGAGATCTCTTCATGAACGTTTTTCGTCCTTGGTCCTCTTTACCAATTTGGTTGCGCTTTCAGCCATTGTGTGGAATGAGGACGGCTAGATTTTCCGTAGCTCGTCCACTTGGCGTAGAAAGATATTTGGAATTCTAAACACTCGTCGACATGAGCAAATCCAACTGTTACGAGTTAGCAACCTTGTTCATGTACTGTGATGGTTGTGGCCCAAAAGATCCACCCGTGTCTCGTTGATGACTTTGTCTACAGCTGCTCATATTCTCAAGCTTTAACGAAACGGCCCATCAACATCTCAAATCTTAGTATATCACTGAATCTATCCACCGACTATTGACATATCATCTAACTAACCAGTATTGCTATCATAAAAGCTATTCGCCGTCCACCCATTAACAGCACTATAATCCGCCAACGGCGAAGTACCATGAAGCGTCTCATAATGGTGACGCTGACCACACTCCTTCAACTTCTTCGACTCAGGATGCACACAATGACCCTTCATAACAGCCGCAATATTCCTTCCCGCATCTCGGCCCTCAAACCAAGCACCATGCAAGAAGCCAAAGTAAGTGGGACTGGTAGCTTCACCCGCAAACCAGAGACGATCCGCATTGGCGCGCAGGTTCTGGTGCATCTCCAGTGTTGTCGACGGGGGCCAGTTGGAGTAACTACCGCGGGACCAGGGCTCTTGACTCCAGCGTGGGTAGAGGAAGGAGGTTGGCTCGGGGATGTTCTTTTCCGGCCACATTTTGCGGAGAACGGCCATTATTTCGCTCTGGGTTTGTTCGTCGGATTGTCGCTCTGCGCGCCAGGCTAGTTCGTTGGTGACGGTTACGAAGAGGATGTTCGATCCTGGTAGGAACTCGGGCATCGAGAGCGATTGGAATACCGGGTACCAGCCGCGCATGACTGGGTCTGCGTAGAGGAAGTATTGGGTGTCCGTTGGCCAGAATGTCTCGTTGAACTGCATGAATATCTTGGTGTAGGTTCCCATGGTGAATTTCTGGATCGCGGTTTGCTTCCACTCCGGCAGGGCCGGGGTGAACTTTACGGCGTCGCTTTGTAAGACGCCGAGGGAGAAGGTGCAGATTGCGTATGCGGCTGTGATGCAGCTGCCATCCTTGTTGTGGATGGTGACGCCGTCCTTGTGGTATTCGATCTCGGTGATCTCAGTATTCAGGTGAAGGCGGGGGTCGTCTCCTTTCAGGAAATCGGAGGCCATTCCCTTGATGATCGTGTTGAAACCGCGTTGATCAGTGACAAAGTTGTCGTGGTCGCTGAAGACGTTAGAGGTGAGATTGTCTCCCGCGCAACCGTAGACCAGAGAGCTCTCTAGTGGAGTGAAGTTGTCCTCGAAATCTGAAATTTATTGATTAGCATTGAACTGACTGGCGGCAGCTATATGTCAAAGTAGAGGCCGAACGTACCCCATTTCCACCAGTCGACAGCCTGAGCCTCCATATCATGCTTCTTGGGGTTCCAACCAGCCAAGGCCATGCCGGTCTGAGCAGTTTGATCTTGCAGATTTTGAGTCAGGATTTCTCCTGCCTTTTGATTGGCGATCTCATACGCATTATCATAGTCATCGAGAAGCTTGCTATAATCAGAGTAACCATGCTCATTGTAGGTCGAGATATTATCATAGTTCGAGTAGTGAGTCTTGAGGTTGTATTTCTGGGCCTGTTCAAATCACAATATTAGTCTCAAATGAGCATGAGGGTGTAGACCTAGACATACCAGAGTCCAGATAGGATTTTGCGGGCCGCCGGGGTTTCCAAGTCCTTGAACCTATTTGCCAACTTGTTAGCTGGCAATCACCTAGTTACTTCACTTGAGATGCGTACCCAGTTTGCACCCATCTCGATAGTATATGGCTTCCCATCCGGGCCTTTGCCAAAGGGTTTGTGCCATGCACGACCACCGATGGTGTCACGATACTCGATAATCGCAAAGTCGTGAACCGAGGCATTGGTTAAAGCTTGCTAATAATTGTGAGTAAAACCATCCACAATGCACACAAATAGTTCGTAAGCGAATCTTACAGCAGCCGAAATACCAGCAATTCCACCACCCCTACGAAATAGTGTCAGTGTCAGTATCAGTCAAGAGACAGCTTCATCCCAGCCAAAGGCAACTAGTGCGTGTCTTACAGAATCGCAACAGTGGTTTTCTTGCACTGTGCCTGGTCCTGATCTCTCGGAGAATGCGGAACACCCAAAGCTGGCTGGATCGACCAGCCAGCCAAGGCTGCCAAGAAAGGAAGATGGTGAAGCTGCATTGCGCTTGGATGAGTCAAGCGGGGAGTAATTGGCAATGTCAGCTTCGAAGGACGCGGAGACAAGATCAATAAATAGTCCTGCGAGACCTTGCTCCCTTGATGTGCTCAACGGCCCTCATACTGCAGGAGGGTATGACGAAAAGAGTAAGGCGTGATGCCTGGTGATCGACAGGGTCATGTAACACTGCACGATACGATCCGAGGTCATCGCAGGATCGGGTAGGTCCACGCGGACGATGTGGTCGCTTATCGCGTGGCTGAGATCGGCAGCGCGCGACTACTGTTGCCTTTTGGGAGAGTTTACGGAGTAGTTGTGGAGTGAAGAGGCCCCTAGAGAACACCCCGCATCCCCGGATTGAAGGGACTGGGTTGGAACAATGGGGAAATGGGGAAACGGGGTGGTAGTGGTTCTCATTACGTGAAGATTGCGAATTAGGCTGGTCCGCACAAGTAACTACAAGCGAGAAAACAAATGGCGCAGCGAAATGTGAGGAGAATATGGGGCTGCCCTCTCTGGGGAAGTGGATATTGCTGTGGACACGGAAATAATGGAATCAAATCATGCTTTTTCATAGATAAGACAGAAGCGGCTTGACGTAAACAAATGTCCCTGGAAGAAAGTAGAATCCCCACCCAAAATGTACAACAGTCGACCCGCCTGGGAGGCCGAATAAGATATCCAGAAAAAAAAAATATGCAACGCCACCCAGCTATGCAAAGAACCAATCGTCATGTGAAATGCGATAGTGCGTATATGTTCACCACAGAATTGAGGCGCATTTGTAAATCCCGCCGCCGATGGAACGGCTTTTCTCGCCGCTGAAATTGGAAGGCAGAGACGAGCAGACCCAAGGTCTGGGGCAAGCTCATCTAGCGGAAGGTATACGATGGACGAACCATTTTCGGAGTCTCTGGTTTCAGAGACAGTTGTTGATATGGGGAGCTGCCAGGGTCATAATATAGCCCTTCAATTTGTCCATCCTCTCGGCGAAGAGAGATGTAGTAAAAACCGGAAATAGTGAGACCTTGACGCGAGTCGGTGGGGGTGATGAAGCACCGCTCTGTTCGGAAGATTAGTATATTTCGTCAGGTAGTATCTGGTGGGGGGAGGTGGAAGAGGGCTTCGGCTCACCTTTCCATCGCATCAGGATCCACCCCTTAGCCAATTGCTCGGTGATCCACTTCCTGCTCACCAAGTTCTTAGCGATTTCGGAATCCGTGAGGTCCTTGAACGGCTGCAGTTCTCGCCAATATGTGCTGTCGATATCGGCATCCGCCTTGAAGTTCTTCGTTTCTAGTGTATGTTGGTTGAAATCTATGATTTCACCTTCTAGGAAAGTGACAATGTGTGCATCATGAGTAGGCGAAGTTTTGTCGGGGATGTTGTATGCCTCCATGGTGCCCGACAGAGTCATCTCGGTGTGGTTGATGTTGTGGATTGTGACCTTGACAGGCCAGTTCTCTTCCCGGTGGTTATTTGCAAGGTATCGTCGTCCATTAGTGGTATATACGTTGATCCGAGGCTCGTCGCCACCGTTGACAATGACCGGGTCGCCGGGGGCCCGAGGATTTGACAATCGCTGCGAAAGTATGGAGCCTGTATTCGCCGCGCGCTGGCAACCCGAGAAAACAACACCAGGTCGGAGCCAAGAGCATGTGGCCGGTGGGGCTATTGTGTTTGTTTCCAAGATGAAATCGCTGTCTTTCCAATGGAAGTTCTCGAAGAGAAATCCCGTGGCAGCAGCGGAGGTAATGCTCTCCTCGAACGAGCTTGAATATCGCAGACGATCCAAGTAGGTGATTGTATTCTTCAGTAGTGTGTCGCCGGGGGCTGCCGAGTGCAGTTGCCGATGCGCAGATGCGCGAGCACGCAGGTCGGTATGTGTAAGCGGCCTGGTATTATCGCCACGGTTGGAGGGTCGGTATCGGTAGGCTCGCGATGAGGAGGTTGAGGACGAAGCGGCTGCACGGTCGGTCTCATCAGAGTCTTCGTGCGACCGGTTTGCATATCGATCCAGCAAGTAGTTCTCCAGTGTCCGAGTTCGCGACAGCCTTGGTTGTCGTCTGGCTGACTGTAGCAAAGCCTCCATCGTCGCAAGTGGCGGGGTTCTTAGTCGGCTGCTCCCTTCGCCATGATCGTCTCCGGGTCTGATAGGCGGGGTGCGACCGGTCGCTTCGTGTCTTCGGGAACGGCTAGACGATGCGGCGCGGTCCGAGATGGCATGGAGGAATGGTTGGATCTGGTCATCGTCGGACTCCTCGCCATGCCGGGGATCTTCTTCATCGTCGGAGCCCGGAGCCCAGCCATAGAGCGAGCGAGGATCTGACCGGTGTGTTTCGTAGTTCGGCATGTTGGTGTTGGTAATATCTTCTCGCTGACGGCGGACGATGGGGATGCGACGGTTGATCTCGACTGACAGGCGCAAGTTGCTATTGTGATCGGGGTCGTCCACGTCCATGCGGTCTGTTTCATCAACTGGCCGAGGGTGGGATGTTGGATCTCGACGGCGACGAGATCGACTGAGGGAGGTTTCGGGTGGGTGGTATGGACTGTAGAGGAGGGAGCGCGAGCGGAGGAAGTTTACATTCTCGTCATGAATGTTATCGTCGTCGGTAGGGACCGGGGAATCCGTGTGGGACGATCGCGATGACGATCCTCTTTGGGGAGAGGACTCAGACTCGGGGTGGGATGTCGGGGCAGTAGGTGGCAGATCAGGAGTTCCGTGCTAGTGGGAGTTCGGGTTAGATGAGCTTCATCGAGGGGAACTTTTGGTAATCAAATCAGGAGTCATACCGATGCCGAGTTGGGAGGCGGCATCCTCGGAATTCGCGCAGTAAGGGGAACGTCCAGACACAAGGTGTGTCCAGTGGTAGTGCAGGTGGTAACTGGAAGTCCTATGGAGTAGTAGTAGTAGTAGTAATCCAAGTCGGTGGATAAAAGGCTTCCCCAAGGCCCAAGTGATGCAGTGCAGAGAGTGGAGATGGAGATGCAGATGGAGATGATAATGGATTTTCCCCGGAGAAGAGTTGACTCGCGCGATTGTGGTGGAGACGCCCAATGACGTCCAAACGGCTTCCCTTCCGCCCGGGAAAGTCACTTGGGATACACAGAGAGCTAGGAAATTCAAGCCACTGAGGTCAATACTAGTACTTATGGAACTTCTCGTCGGGTTGATTTTCGGATGGAACACGGTAATCTTCGGGTGGTATACATTCTGGCCCTAGTAGGAAGAGGCCGCCCGGGTGGCCTACTACTAGTACTAGGTACTGGGTCCCTGTATAGCAAGACTGTAATATACTAGTAGTTAGCCAGTTCAGCATACACAACCCTTGGAAAGCATATCACAAACGAGGATAGATCGATGAGTTTCCAAGAGGTTGGAAGAAGCATGGTGTATATCAGATCAACCTAAATGGAAGCCTGCTAGTAATGGTGCTAGTATACCACTTCTCGGCGTTAGAGGGGCACATGAGAGCAGTCCATAGACAGTGCATTCCAGAAGCTCGATATTTGCAGATAAGGTTCTTCCAGGATCACCGGAGGGCTCAGCCTCAAGAGATATCCTATCAACAATGTGAAGCGTAAATGGCCACAGTTAGCGAGAGGCTCATGGAGATATGAGCCCTCAACCTTTGCTCGATTCCTTTCGTCAATTCCTGCTTTTTCTTATGCCACCCGCATAGAGAGGGTCTTGGAATCGGCAAAATTGAAGGAAGCCGAGACATGGGACCCTGGGCACATCGGCTGATCCGACAGAATACGAAAGATGATACGTCTGTCTCCTCTGTACCCCGCATTGATATACTTTCAACTGGCTTAGATCACCCCACCTTTGAGACTTCGTTTGTTAAGAACATCGATAAGCCAAATAACGTCCATACTTTTGTAAATGAGAGCTGTACGGCCCCTCTTTTCCTTGCAGGTTCGTAACTCGAGCTACCCGACTATGGCAGGCGGAAGCGAAGGGAGAAAAGAGCACAAGGTATAAAAGTAAGAGAAGGAATGTTCTGCAAAGAACGTTGGTCGAGTAGTGACTTACATTTATTTAGACTTTTGTTGGTATTGCTACTGAACACCCGTCTTCATCTAGCCATGATATCAACACCCTTAGCTACTGGGGTGATCGGAGTCGCGATTATCTTTTTCCTTCATTCGATCATCTCTCCTCTTTTGAATGGACCGCTTGCTCGAATTCCGGGTCCAAAAATATATGCACTAACGAAGTGGAGACTTGCACTCGATGACTGGAAAGGAACACGCACCTGCCGCATCTACGAAATTCACAAAAGATACGGCCCCGTCGTGCGGCTAGGTCCGAATGAGGTCGCGTTCAACAGCCTTTCAGCGTTACGGACGATATATGGTGCTGGCAGTGGATTTGAAAGAACTTCATTTTATAGCATGTTTGACGTATACACCAAAAAGAATCTCTTCACTTTTGGATCGGTCCGGGAACACTCTCAACGGAAGAGGCTCCTTGCTCATGCATATTCCAAGTCGGCAATCACCAAGCGATCGTCCACTATGATTGAAGAGAAAGTACTGGACTATCTAAATCTGATTGAGAAAGACCCCGAAAGCGCAAAGGAACTTTTTTCAAGTCTGCATTATTTTTCATTGGATTCAATCACGGATTTTGTCTACGGAAACTTCGGTAGGACGAAGTGTTTGAAAGGGGCAAACCGTGACTTATTAAATGACATATTGGATACCGATCGCCAAAGGCTGTCGTGGTTTGTTGTGCATTTGCCATCCTTCACGAAATGGCTCTATTCCACGACTGGCGCGATGGAACCTTTTCTACGGAAACTATATCCAATGAGTAAACCGACAACATACACAGGGATTCGTGCTCACGCCTTGGACGCTTGGCACAGTTTCAAAGACTCGTCAAACGATAGCAAAGAAGCGCAGCAATATACAATCCTTGGTAATTTGTGGCAGAGCCATAACAGTCTGAAGGATAATGGCCTCGACGATATGGAAATTGCTTCAGAATGCGCGGACCATCTCCTCGCCGGTATTGATACGACATCGGATTCTTTGATGTTCATGATTTGGGCCCTTTCACGACCCGAGAGTCTGAAATTCCAGCGGAAACTCCAGGAAGAGATCCGATCGATGCCCGCAGATTTGTTCAACGCGGATGGAATTGCTTCTGTCGAAACATGCGACAAGTTGCGATATCTTGACGCCGTTATTAAAGAGACTCTGCGAATTTATGCGCCTTTGCCTGCCTCGGAGCCTCGGAGCCTCCCTGCCGAGTCAATAATTGATGGATATGCCATCCCCCCTCGCACCGCTGTGAGCATGTCGCCGTATTCCATTCATCGCAATGCTCAAGTATTCGAAAACCCGGCATCGTTTAACCCGGATCGATGGTTGGGCGAGGAGGAAGATGTTGCTGAGTTGAATAGATGGTTTTGGGCTTTCTCAAGCGGAGCAAGGATGTGCATTGGCATGCAGTAAGTAGACATGGACTCATGGGAGATTTGGTCGCGGAATCTAATGGTCGACGTACAAACAGTCTTGCGATGGCCGAGATGACAACCCTGGCAACAGCTTTATACAGAAGATACTCGACGTCATTGAAACCAAGCTTTCATGGCATCTCCCCGGGGGCAACCAGTCGATTTGAAGTCCTCTCCGATGCCACGCATAGTAAAGTTGCGGTATGTTCAAGGGTTTCCGATAGGGTTTCCGATGGGTTATAGTTGCCTCGAATTAACTTTGAGCAGGAGCACAAATGCTATATCTCCTTCGATAAAATGTAGAGCCCAACCGAGAATACTGCCTTTGAAGATAGCTTCTCTATACATTATTTAATTCTGAGAATAGAAATCAGCGGAAGAGGTTCATCGCGAAGTCCTAGAGTAACTATTCAGTTGTTACGTGTCCGAGAGAAAAACGTGCATTTTTGGATCAAGAACGGATAGAATCGACTACGACAGAAGAAATGAGCTCTCTTCGGGTGCATGTAAACCATGTTATTTAGTATCTGTATTTAGACCCAGTTCCAGAGTATTAAATGCGCAATAGAGATGGCCTCATCCTTGACAGCGGCTGCGGCAAGTGGGGCTCTGTGTGGCCGAGGAACCTCACATCCCACATATGTGGGTCGGCACTGGCAATCCCCATTGGCGCAGGTAATATGGGTCTTATCAATCTGTATACTTCCGGGACTACACTTTGTACTCAGGAACAGATTCTCGGTTCAAATGCGCACCAGGGCTCGGGTTAAGCCATAAAGCAACAATTTATCTATGCGAGCATGCGGCGAAGTACCCGCCAAGATAATGATGGTGCTTAGTATGGTGCTCGAGCGGCTGACTATCATATGTGGTGAAATGATTAATGATTTTATTGCTCGAGTGGAAGCAAATGGCCCGGAGCAAGCACCCATACTGGCAGCCACGATGGATAAACAGCCTCTGTCTTTGGGAGATTATGAGATTGAAGGTGGAGACTACGAGATCATGATGGGTGTGTTGGTGACAAGACGGCTTTTGGAATTGAAAAGTTTCCTGGTTCGCCTGAAGACTATCGGCTCTCTCACCCGACGGGCACACCAGCAAGCACGAATGGCGCGCATTGATCAACATATTCAGGATTTATTTCGAAAACTCACCTCCGTCTGTCCTCTTGTCACAGAGATTGCTGGTCGATCGGAGAAAGAGTGACCTCTTCCAGGGTCACCGGCGGAAAACGCATAGTTTGCAGGATAAAAAACTATGGATAACGAGTAATGAATCTGTACACTGACTTCCAAGGCTGTAGTATACCACTTTTTTTCATTAATAGTCTCTTTTATGAAGCTCCAAGTGACACATGTCCACATCCAACTTCAACAATCTCTTGAAGAGGTGCTTACCGTTGTAGTAGTACCTTCGGAATTTCTGGAGTTCTTATCTGAACTATACACGTAGCCCTTTGTTTTTGTCTTTCTTTTCTTTAAAAAGAAATCAAGTAGACAAGTCGAGCAGAACCTAATATTGCCTCCATGGCCGCAATCGACCCAGTGTTCCTGCCAGGCCGACAGTGTCCTAAAATTCCTAGTGTCCCCATATAAATTTAGACCTGGCTAGTACATCATGGTAAGGCCATTTTACCTAAACAAATTGTTTGATCCTAACCACTCAGGGCACTGAATATAACCGGTTAGGATACAAATTAGGATAATACCCCTGTCCCTAACATTCGCTATCTATAAAGTAGGGAGTTCTGACATATCAGCACCTACTAAGTACTTCCTGGCCCTGGCCCAGATATTCTACAGATATTTACACAATAAGGTATTCAAGTGTCAAAATTGTATCGGCGCACTCATGATTTTTGATAGCTGTCGGCCCGGCAGTACTGGATCGATTGCAGCTATGGAGTGCCGTAAACTACTAACCAGTAAGTCGAACTCTAGAGCTGAATTTTGATAAAACCATGGAGAGGCAATTGAGCTATGTCCGGGAATTACCTATTTGGGTAAAAGATCAACGTAGACCGTATATTTTCCAACCACAATACATCGGCTCAACCTGGAATCAGTACTAGTAGTCATAATATTATATAGCGACGAAGCTATCTGACAGTAATTCAAAGGGATTCCCATGCTTTCTTCCGATTAATTCACGCTAAAAAAAAATGTTGACGAGCTGGAGCTATCAGCCGAGCAGTTTGTTAGGTACTGTTGAAGTAGCGCTTGTTCTGGTATCCACCACCTACTACAACTAGCTTAGAATCAACTCAACTAATCACAGCAAATTTAAGACAGCGTGCTACATCGTCATACGGAGTGTATACAATCTTTTCTTTCACCCTCTGGCAGGGTTTCCGGGCCCCTTCCTAGCTCGCGCGTCGCTGGTATGTTTGCTTCATTTCCCACCCTTAGGATCTTACGCTCACGCACCAGTAATAGACATGGAGAATATATCATTCAATGGGTGGTCGTTTCCATCGAGCAATCGACGATCAGCATCGACGATATGGTATGCCGCGGCCGTATCCTTGCTCATAATTTATTCTCTTCCTGAGTTCTGACCTGCTTGGCTAGGTCCTGTTTTTCGGGTCTCGCCAAATGAGTTGTCATTTGCCAGTGTCGGATCGTGGAAAGAAATTTATGGTCACCGTCACAGTGGACAACGCCCTTTGGTCAAGAGCAAATTCTATGAGATATACGGTGCCGGGTTTGACTCTCTATGCATCGGAAGCGAGCGAAACCCGGATAAGCACACTCGCATGAAAAAGTCTCTGTCGCCTGCTTTCTCTTTGCGCTGATTGGAGGAACAAGTGGTTATTGTTAGTCAATGCGTTGATCGCTTTATAGCCAGGGTCGGAGAGCCTGGCCTGAATACAATGGGCTTGAATATGACTAAATGGTACGAGATGGTGGCATTCGATATCCTTGGAGAGTTTGGTGAGACACACTGACTTTTTACCACTCTTTTTTTACCACACCTTTTTACTGTTAGCTAATTGATGCTGCTTTCTCCCTTCCGGAGACAATAGCTTTCGGTGAATCATTCCATTCTATTGAAGATGGTATGAAACCCCAATTCGTCCCCTAAGCTGCGCCTTTGCTTCTCTCGTAAATTGACTTGGAATATTCAGGAAAGCCACACTTTTGGTCATCATTAGTTGAGGATCATTTATATTTTATCACTGTCGCAGACAATTTCCGCCATTTTTCTGTGGTTGCTTTAATGGCCAAGCTTCTTTCCCCTATTCTGGACGACATCCGAAAAAAGCATACCGGATACACAAGGAATAAAGTGGCCCGGTGAGCATTCATTCAAGTCTGAAACGAAAGATATCAAATACTGAACTGAATACACAGACTTATTAATTCGTCCTCAAACCGCAGGGATTTCATGGCTAATCTTATTGGTAAGGTCGAGTCAAATGAGATGGATCGGGAAGAGCTCACTGCCCACGCTTCTACCCTGGTGTTAGTATTTCATGTCATTTCGATGTGGCTTTGGCTTCTGACGCTTAGAAACAGAATCGCTGGCGGGGAAACAGTAGCGACCTTTCTTGCTGCGGCAACCTTTTATCTCCTAAGAAATCCCGAAAAGTTGAAAGATGAAATCCGCGGAAAGTTCAAGACTTACGAGAAAATTGATCATGTTGCTGCGCAAGCTCTGCCTTACTTGCAAGCCGTTATCAGCGAGGGACTACGTATCTATCCACCCGGCTCCCAAGGATTTCCTCGAGTTTCTCCCGGTGTTTCTATCGATGGGGTGTGGGTTCCTGCGGGCGTAAGTAACCCCATGCCAAATATGCCCCACGCGAAGCTGATTGAAACGGCAGACGGAAGTTTATACAAGTGCGTGGACAGTGACACACGATGAGGCTAACTTCCATGATCCCCACACTTTCAAACCAGAACGGTGGATTGACCCAGAATGCACTGATATTAAGGAGGCCAGTCAGCCATTTTCTCTTGGCACTCGAGCCTGCCTTGGGCGAAAGTAAGTCATCATCGTCCCCACGCAAAGCAGCATCAAGCTTCCATTCCCCTCATGGCCAAGCTTATTAACCAATTTTTGGCAGTGTCGCCTATATGGAGGTCAATCTCATTCTTGCTCGAATGATATGGACGTATGATATGACATTGATCAACAAGTCAATGGACTGGGAAGCAGAGAGCTCTTTGCATGTCATGTGGTCGAAACGTGAGCTTATAGTACAATTTCATCAGGCGAGGTCATAGTTAGTGGCTAGATCAGCTTCTGATCGTCAGAATAACACTCCCTGGCAAAATTCCGCCAGTCGACTGTCTAAGGCTGAAAGCAATAGCAGGATCCTAGAGGGGAGTTGATTGCCTAGTACGCTATACTAGTGCATCAATAAGGCATATGCTGCATTGTTGTGTTTAGATAGCACTTTCCGAGGTTGGATTTATTGCCAGGTGTGGCATTCCTTTTGAGTTTTTTTTTCTTTGCTTGAAATTGAGATTTATTTTCTGTTTTGGTTCGTTCCACTTGATTATGCACAAAGTTATTTGAAGAATTTCTAATCTTTGAGTAACAGCAATCGGCGAAATTCTTTATTAATTACCGTGACGTCAAGAGCGGGACGAATGTCAAGGCTCTAGCATCATGTTATACTAAGGTTCTAAGGTTATTGACGAATTCTATTGAAGAGAAAGTGACAAAATAGACAACGCTTCGACGAATAGCAATGAAGGAGCCTAGGTGGCTACTTCATGAACAAATGTCGAATCAGCCTCCAGAACTCCGTTTGAGCCATCTACCTCAGAAATGCCAGCTTTCTTATCTGTAAGGTAATCGGAGTTATCCGCCTCCAGTATAGCTCGTGAGGTGTCCGCCTCAAAAACACCCACTTTCTTTTCGGTGATTCCATTCAAAGGGGTGCTGCCTTCGACCTCCCGTGGGGCCAGGCCAGTACGGTCGAGGAGGGCACCAGAGCCAGATTTGGCCTCTTCGATCTCTCCACTGGAAACCTCTTCGAAGCGAGCCTCCGGTTCCGGAAATCGCCAATAACATAAGATAAGCCCGAAAAATGACCCTTGAACAAAGACAAATTGGAGGATCTCCTCGATAGCAGCTGTGGCTATGCTCACGTTCTCTGCAGACTCGGACTGGGCGGTCTCACCGACAGCCTTGAGATAATATATCACATCCCATACGAAAAATAAAAAGTTCACGCCAAGGAAAAAGCCGCAAGCTGCGATGAAGAAAAATGATGACATCTATTCAAATGGATAGTGTCAGATGCTGCAGAACATTCAAGTGGTCCTGTTTTTCCAAGCCTCATAGCGAACGTACCTTTATATTGACCTTAGATGAGCCCCGCGATGTCATGAGACCCAGGTAGAAAGCCCACCCGACAATCTCCCAGGCGCTCAGCCAGAAGAGAATGCATCGGGCGCTGTCAATCTTCCCCCAAACATTGTACTGTTCGGTGAAGATTAACTCATCATGAACGGTGGAGTTGATGTAGAGTACCATCCAGCTCCACTCAATAATGACGAGTGCTGCGAAGAGACCCACGATCACCCAATGCACATATTTGATGGTTGAAGAGACCCTGGTGCTCATAGTCATGATACGCTCTTGAAATACATGGACAATCGCATAGAAGACATAAAACATTATACAATATGAAGCTTGCTCGAAAAGCGCGGAAAGTAGTGAAGTGATCAAATACCACTTCTTGGTCGTGGACACTGTGAGCCCGAAATTGCAATAAGCAAACATATTGGCCATAGAGCTGTTAGGATGGTAAGTGATTCATTCAACACTTGATTAGGACCAGAGTCGGGACTTACGCCACCATTGAAAACATGGCTGCCAAAGTAGCGATCAGCGGCATAGGCTTGAGGACATAGCTTCTTGACCTTTTCAAGACATAAATTAAGCTTGAGAGAACAAGCATTCCCACAAGCAGAAGAAATGCAAAGGCTGCCTTAACAGCGATAAGGCTCCTATCCTGACCAGTTGCAATGCCCAGATCCACAACAGTATTCCAGTCATCATCGCCCCACTTGCCTGGGCCAAAGCCAATGTCAAGGCTGGAAGACATGGTTGACCACTCTGTCCTCCGTACTCCGTCTGCCAAGATAGTTTGGAGCAGCTGGTAGGAGTTTATAGCTGACTACTGATGTGTTGAAAGGTCAAACTCAAATCAAAAAGAAAAGAAAAAGGGGGGGGGGGGAGGAAAAAGCTTCATCCCGTGTCGTGGGGGCCATGCAGGTTGTTGTCGTGGCCATCAATTTTGTCTCCACTTGATCGGTCCCTATTTGACAGGACGTGAGATGGGATTCCCATGAAATCACTCCCCATTCGACGAACATCTCAATCTGCCTGATTTAGTTAGCAAGCAGGATCAGATAGCTCAGAAGTGTGCTCATTTTGCAGCATAAAATCCAGCGCACCGGGCTAAAATGCGCGTGCACTTTCTAGCCGAATCGCGTCTTCCGCCAATGCTGCCGGATTCTCCGTTTCGTCAATTCAACAGCTCCTTTGAGGATTCAAATGTGGTATTTTACAGGTTCATATCTCGCGAGAAGAGATAAAAAGAGGGTAGACTCTGCTCTAGACAGGTATACGGGGTATTCGGATATGATTCCTGCATCAAGGATAGTTATCTTCCTGCCGCCAGTTGCTAGACTCGGCCGAGAAACACACTTCATCCGAGTGCTTCGAAGCCGCCCGATAAGCTGATGGGGCATGGGATAGAGCTTGCAGTATAACAAGTTATACACTGTTGATGCCGTGAGTGCAAAGTGAGAGACCAAGTTGGCAACCTGGAAACCCGATGGTAGTTGGCTTGCGAGAAATGCTGACTCATCAACTTTCCCTGGCCAACAAGAACTCCCAACTCACGATATCGAGCAAACAAACATAACAGCACAATCAAAAATCGAAGAACCACCACTCTCTTGTTGAACCCATCGAATACACCATTTCCACGACTTTGGAATGTACCAGTCGTCACCATGAAACGAATCATTTCATAACTCCAGAGATCCCGCTACGCCTCTCGACAAGGAGTGCCCAAGATGAGACTCCTCATAATCCTATCTCAAAATTGCCACCGAGTGAACCCAAGATCTTGGTACCCAGTTTGAGAACAGAAACATATATGAGCGACGAGCAAAACCCGGAACCACGCAGGACAAGTGCCGATGCGACCCTCAATCTGCCAAGAAGAGAGAGCATTGGCGGATAACGAAACGCGGCAAGATATCGTGGGGAGAGATATACAATGAAAACTAGCTACTCGGCTGCTGAGGGACGCAAAGCTGCCAACGAGATACTAGTACATATGGAATAGCGAATTCGACTTTCAGGGATTCTTGAGCTCCCCGTTAATCGTCAGGGACAGAATGCGGTGATGGTTTACACTTCAGCCTGATCGAGTTAACCCGATATTCTACCGACATATTGCTGATCGCCATCAAGGTCTCAGTTTGACGAGGCGGAGCAAAAAAGCCTCATTCAGTGACTAACGCTTATCATCCTATGCTTGGCGAGAACCTAAATCACACACAGCCTCTCCGTGCCAAGCAGAGCCAAGTACGGTTGGAGATGATCGGCTTAGGGTATGCTCGGAAGAAACGGTACGGGTCGTGAGCCGAGACTTTTATTCGTTCTTTCAACCGAGTTCACGAGCGACTTACTTCTTCGGATATGGATAATTTATCTCATAACAATACACTTGCCCCCGTGATCGGCCCGTTGAGAGGGCCCATTATCTTCACTGCAGATGTGCAGTTCACAATGGAATAATAGAAACAAACGCATTTTCGACTTGGCAAAATACCAGCAACTCGAAATGTCCGTCGAAAAAGTTTAATTGTTGCCCAGTCAAATGTACTACCAACCGCGATCCTATACCAAGACCCGATTTCACTATTTTGCCTCTTCCCATCTGGCATCTTCGGGTGGTGATACCAATCGGAGAACCGAAACAGTTGGAAATCTTGTACATAACGACATTCTGCATACTCCAACTATGCGTCTCCACCTCGATCCACCTCAATCCACTTCTTATATGCCCGCCCCGCAGCAAACTACATTCTCATATTTTTGGACGAAACCTTGTTGCGACAAGAGCTGCCAAGGAGATCAATTCAGGGTTTATAGATGCCTAGAGTCTCGGAAAGACAAAAACCGGATGACGCAACTACCGACAGCCCTGGAGTGATATGTTATATAGTCCTCAAACTACCAGGCTCTCTGCTGAAAATACCAAGAAAAAGATCACGAGTTTATACCGAAAATGGGTCTGCTCCTTAATACCCTCGCGATCTCGGCATTGGCTGTGACGAGCTATGCCTCTCCGCTCATTCATGCCCGAGCCTCCAACACATCATATACCAACTCCAACGGCTTGAAGTTCAACCACTTCGATGCATCTTTGCCTAATGTTACTTTACTAGCAACGGGTAAGCAGGCACTACTTCCATAATGTTAATTATTCTCCTAACATGAATATACTAGGCGGCACCATTGCCGGGACAAGCGACGATAAGACAGCCACAGCAGGCTACAAGTCTGGAGCTTTAGAAATCAACCAGATTCTTTCCAAAATTCCCGAGGTCTACGACATTGCCAACGTTAACGCCGTTCAATTCGACAATGTCAACAGCGGCGATATATCCTCATCCCTCCTCCTGAATCTGACGCAGACGTTACAGAAGACCGTTTGCGATGACCCCACAATGTCCGGTGCCGTCATCACCCACGGTACTGACACTTTGGAGGAATCGGCATTCTTCATTGATGCGACAGTCAACTGCGGCAAGCCGATCGTTTTCGTCGGTTCGATGCGCCCATCCACTGCCATTTCCGCCGATGGCCCCATGAACCTCCTCCAAGGTGTTACTGTGGCCGCAGACAAGCAGGCCAAGGATCGCGGTGCACTTGTTGTTCTGAACGACCGCATCGTTTCGGCTTTCTTTGCTACCAAAACAAATGCCAATACCATGGATACCTTCAAGGCTTACGAACAGGGTAGTCTCGGCATGATTGTTTCAAACACGCCATACTTCTTCTACCCGGCCGTACAACCGAACGCAAAGCACGTCGCAGATGTGGATGACGTGGATTCGATTCCCCGGGTGGATATCCTGTACGCGTACGAGGATATGCACAGCGACTCGCTTCACAGTGCTATCAAGAACGGTGCTAAGGGTATTGTGGTATGTTCTCTGAACGATCCCGGATAACTGAGGTTTGGTGCTAATGAACTTAGATTGCCGGTGAGGGCGCAGGAGGCATCTCGACCGAGTTTGGTGATGCCATCGACGATATCGTGTCGCGGACTAACGTCCCCGTCATCTTGAGTCATCGCACTGTGAACGGCGAGGTTCCCACCGCTGATATCACGGGTGATACTGCGAAGACTCGTATTGCTAGTGGCCTACACAACCCCCAACAGGCGCGTGTTTTGCTTGGGCTGTTGCTAGCAGAAGGCAAAAGGTTCGACGAAATTCGGACCGTATTTGGGAAGGCTACCTTTGCTTAGAAATATTATTTGCTGGAAGATTAGAAAAGCAATAATAATGTAATCTTGGTTTGATTCATGAATTGCCTTTAATTAGAATCTGCGGGCCACGTTCTATAATGATTCTCTTCCGCTGGACTTGGAACGAAGCCTTATCCGTTTGACAGCAAGTCCTGCCACGCCGAGGCATTCCGTTGATTTGGAGGGCCCCATTATAAAATTACAAGAATATCTCGTATGAATAATTGCTCATTCTGCTCCTATCACCGCAATCTCTCATTTTCTGGTGGCGTGGTATTCCATCGGCCGGATCCGACCCGCTTATTTTGATCCCCGCACCTCCTCGTCTGGGGAAGGTCGATTATTTAGATTCCATCCCATTGCCATACTCTCTCCGGGGTCTCTTTGCTTATTTCGATATTAGGCAGCGCTTCGCCGAGACTCTGCGCTACTATGACCTCCAATACTACTCATAGCGAGGGCCCTGATGCTGTCACGGCAATCTCGCCAACCGATGTCGAATTAGCCCCCATCACCAGTCACAGCAAACAGGATGATCCATTCCTGGTCGCATTTGCTGAGCCTTTCGATGCAGAGAACCCAAAGGACTGGCGGACCGGTCGTAAATGGGCTGTTACCGATGTGCTCTCTGCAACCGGCTTCAATCGAATCATGGTATCAACGATCATCGCCCCAGCCCTATCCACAATCTCTGCAGAATTCGACATGAACTCCGCCGAGTCAGCGATGGCTCTCTCGATTTATCTTCTTGCAACAGCGTTCGGTCCACTCTTTATTGGCCCTTTGTCTGAGGTCTATGGTCGCAAGCCAATCCTCCACGCTTCAAATGTCTGGTTCCTTATCTGGAATATTGCCTGTGGCTTCGCTAGAAATAAAGAAACGTTGATCGCCTGTCGCTTTCTCGCCGGCTTTGGCGCTAGTGCCATATACGCTTTGGCGAATGGTGTTTTGGGCGATGTGTGGCGACCCGAACAGCGCGGGCGCTCTCTTGGAGTGTACATGCTGATTCCCTTGCTGGGAGCCGCTGTTGGTCCGATCATCGGTGGCTTCATGGCGGATCGTACGACTTGGCGCTGGATGTTCTGGGCAACATCTATCTTCCAGGCAGTTATGATTCTAGTCTCTTTCACGGCTTTCCAAGAGACCTATGAGCCTTTAATCCTGCGCCGTCGTGCAGAGCGAATTCGCGGGGAAACTGGCGACACGCGGTATTACACTGTTCATGAACGGATCCATGCGAACAAGTCCGCGCTAAGGATCCTGGGACGCGCACTGGTCAGACCTGTCCGGCTTCTAGTTTCTCATCCTATCATTCAAATCTCTTCGCTCGTGTCGGCATTCTACTATGGAATTCTGTACATTGTTCTTTCTACCTTTTCAGATCTATGGATTTATCAGTATCACCAATCGGTGGAAACCAGCGGTTTGCACTACATCGCAGTTGCATTAGGCGAGATTGTGGGGGCTCAGCTCTGTGGAATGCTTATGGACTCGCTCTACCATCGTCTCAAAGCCCGTGCTAATGGCGAGCATACTCCTGAGCTTCGAACGCCTTCTGTTTTTCCAGGTGCTTTTATCGGGCCGCTTGGCTTGTTTCTCTATGGCTGGGCAGCTCAGTATCGCCTCCATTGGGCTATTGTCGACCTTGGTGCTTTCATTGCAATGCTTGGCATACAGATTACAGGCATGCCGTTGCAGGCATATATCATGGAGGCCTATCCGGAACATACAAGTAGTGCCGGGGCCGCTTCTCAGTTTCCACGCAGTCTGACGGCATTCTTGTTCCCTTTGTTTGCGCCAACTATGTACAAGGTACTTGGATATGGGTGGGGAAACACTACAATTGCATTTATAGGACTGGTCGTCGGACTGCCAGCTCCTTTGATTCTATGGTATTACGGTGCAAGGCTGAGGGCCAGGGCACAAGCAAGCTATTAACTTGTGGTATGCGGCAATGTAATAATATCCCTGGATCGAATTAAACTTATAACAATCTATCAATTTTGTAAATTTACCTGAACATGTTCGAAAGTCATAAAACTTCCCAGCATTTGCTTCTCCTTTCATTTGAAAAGCTTACTTTTGCTTCGCAGTAAAGGACCATAAGCTCTGAAGACCAGTGGTATCGGTATCATAGCGGCAGCCAGGCAGCCAAGTAATGTACAAGCCCATTGAACACCCATGTTTTCAAACATCTGAGTTGTGAAAAGTGGAAAACCTGCCGCCACAGTAGAGCGGAGAATAATATTGGCAGCGACTGTCGACGCGGCGCTATTCCAGAGAGTCAGCAAATTCACAATTCAAGATTTTCAAGATCGGAAAACCCAACAGAGGTAGATATGCATCAACCAAGTAGTTGAAACAGGGAAGAAACACGCAAAGAACGCCGAACCCAACAAATATCCCAGCGACAGTAGGTACTGCCCAGTGTATCTGTGGATCATAGCCGGTCCAACCGAACCTGTTAAGATATTAGCATTCCTAAATTTAATGTATTATTTAGGGTTCAGTGGATGAGGTGCAAGCTCACCAGAAGATTCCGATTGTAAACACGGGTGCCCCAATAAGCGGAGGGACGAGACGCCATTCAGGTACAGGTACGCCTTTGTTAGCTATCAACTTCTTTGCATAGCTGCCATGCTCCAGCAATATGAACGTCAGTGCCAGTAGTACTCCGACAATCAGGCCGATGAAAGGTAATCCACTGATTCCGGGCTTCATTCCATACACATTTTCAAAGACATATGGATATGCCTCCAGCAACGCGTAAACAAGTCCATAGATAAAGGACATGTAAAGCGAAACGAGTAGAATAATTGGTTCAGTCAAAAGCATCGTCAGTGGGCGAGTGAAGTATTTCTTGGACATTTCGGCAAAATTCACTTCCATCCTTTCCTGTCTCGCGTGGATTCCCCAGATATTCGTTCGACGCCGCATTTTCGCAGCCTTAGTCATAAGAAGTACCGGTGCATAGGTCTCACGCAGAAATACAACCGACACTGCGCCTGTAAAAAGACTGACGATAGCCGGAATGTAAAGAGTCCAGCGCCATCCCAAGTAACTCGTCGCAATAAACCCACCAATAAAAGGTGCACTAAACGGGCCGACGAATACAGTCAAAGCATAAATTGAGATAGCAATGCCTCGTCGAGTGTTGTCGTATATATCTGCCAATACTCCTGGGACGACGGTAAGCTGGCTCGCACCACACATACCCGCAAAGAAACGACAGATGAGAAGTGTTTGGATATCCTTGGCAACGGCAGATCCGATGGTGAATATTCCACCGGCGAGCAGAGCGATAGACAAAGGCAATTTCCTTCCGTAAAGTTCAGAGGCTGGAGCCCATATCACTGGCCCTGAAGCAAATCCTAGAACATAGAGCGTTGTACCTAACTTTCCTACTTCAGCTCCAACGCCGAATTCCTTGCTCGCGCTATCGGACCCTGGGGCGAAGATGGCGCTGGCTAACGAGGTTATCAACGCCCCTGAACAGACCAGCACAGCAGAGAAAAGTCTAATTAAATAAATTGTATTAGAAATCCCCCTGTGATTTTATGCATTATGTTTGCTTACTTGACGGTAAATGGCCAGTTGTAAGGATGCGATGGATCGTCATCTCCGTCAAAATCAACAACATAATCTTCCAGGTCAGGAAGGGGGCCTGGCAACGGTCTGCCCTGTCCCATGGAGACCTTTTCATCCATGGATTGTTTCGCGCCAGATTCCTCTCCGCTGAATTGGGGTCCTGTCGTATTAGCTGTGACCTTAAGTCGTGAACCAGTCTGGTTGTATTTACCTTGAGTTGATAGCTATGCACGTCACACACGGGTTCAGTCTTGCGGGCAAGTGAGAAGGGTTTTGGCATATCTTGTGCTAAGTGAATGTTTGTAGCTTTCATGGCAAGCTCAATAATGCTATTATGCCCTTGTTGAAAGATGCCCGGGCTGCCTGCGGATGTTGCGGGATTGCGGGATTGGCGGGACTAAGGGACTAAGGCTTCGCCTTCGAGCCCCACCAAAGAACTACGGGTACCCATGTCTGCTGCATTGCCCGCATGTGTTTAATTGTGGGTAGAATTAGAAACCAATAGACTTGTTGTATTGTTTGGATCCGATTATCTAGAAAGCGAATTATGCAAGTGCGGTGATAGTAGGGGGATGGCCATGGTTTTACCGCGATTCGACCATAATGCATGTGGTTCTTTTTTCAGATTAGCTACAGCTATTTTATCATTAAATTCGGCCGAATTTTTTTTTTCGAATTTAAATAAGAAGAGTGAGTTTCAATCCCATGCATTGATACATAAGCCTAGGTAGATTCGCCCATGAAAGGTGGAACATCAATCATATCTGCATTCAAAAACTGGTCCAAATCGATTCTTTGTAGCCCAGGCAAGTCTGCAACGAGAGCGCCCAGCCAGTTGAACTCCTCGGCACTAGGGGTCGGCTGAGATAATATCTCTAATTGGGCGGTTTTTTGGGTACTGAGGGCCTCTCCTAGAATCGCTATATCATCCTTCCTACGCTGTTGGTGTAGCAAGACCAACAAGCAAGCCGCGCTATACGCCTCTCTCATGGTTTCGGTATCATAGGGAGATGCGACCAGCCCGAGAGTTGACATTGCTTCTGGGAGCATCGAGAGTGATGGGCGCGTGTCTATTACCAAGAGGACGCAGATTATATGGAATGGAACATTGGCAACTTGATGCCAAGGCGTGCAGTCCATGACCATGCTTCGTGCGCAGCTGAGACCTTTCTCGAGTAGTTTGAGTACTCGATCTGCAAGACCAGGCGATATATCTAGATTCTGGGTATGAATCCGACGAAGAATGCAAAGAACAAGATTACATTGCGCCATGACAGATGGGGGCTGGGTATGAGTTCCGTCTAGTAATTTGCCCAGTGTCGTCGCAAGGTCCGCCTCATCCTTGGCTCTTCCCGGGTCGAGACTAAGAGATACGGGGAGCAGACCCAAAACCTCTGCAGTATAATCACCAGGTTTGGGTGAAGGTGGCAAAGGAAGATCATCTTTCTGGAATGAGACCCGTGAAAGGCCTAGGTCAAAGGATGTCCAAACATTCAAATGATGTGCAACGCCGACGAGGCGTCTTTGAAGATCCGGATCAATCTTAATGCTGGGTGGAAGAACTGAATGTGACTCGGGGTGGAGACCTGAAGCTTCCAGGAGGTGCATTAGTGTCGAGCTCGCCATCCAAGTAGAATGTGGCGAGTCTGTCATCCGAAGATAAATCGATCTGAGTGCCCATCCGTTCAAAAGATCGATTGATGGAGGGCCCAATAGGTGGTGCATGTCTAATGTGGAGCGTGCTGTGCGAATTAGATGAACTTCAGTGATGGTGGCATTGCGCTGCGAGAACAGACAGCCGAGGGCACCCACGCCAGCTATGACGCTGTCGAATATATCTGGTAGAAGGGGCGATTGCCATCTTTGGTTCAGTCGCTCGAAGAAGAGTTGTTGGTCAAGAAATCCATAACATGGATCAATCTTCTGGAAGTAAGTTAGGGCTAGCGCTTGTATATGGTCCAGCGATGTAATCTCCACGATCGGAAACACCGAAGATGCAAGGGGCTGGGCTGATAACTGCCGTGCTCCAATATTCCACCCGAATAAGTTGAGCTTCGGGGCTTTGGCCGAATCGATCTTCAGTCCCAATTTTCGGACAAAGGCAGCGCCTGAATTGGCCTCCAAGCGGCGGACTAGTCCACTGGGATCCGGCTCAGTGGAAATATCTCCCGGGGGATTGTGCGTTGGTGGAGATGCAGAAGGATCGGGTGATAGATGGTCGACATTGTGAGACTTCCTCCGCCGAGCCTCATAGTGGCACTGGTAACCCCATTCGGTGCATGTCGTACATGGGTTACCACCATCGCACTTCCTCTTGCGTTCCCGGCAGGGCTTGCAGGCCAGACGTGCTCGTTTCCGTTTTGGGGCTTGGGCGTGGGCTTCCATGTTTGGGTGGAGAGAGGATGAAGTGGAATGGAAGGGAAGCATCGGATCGTGCGGAGGTCGGGCGGTAAAGGCGGCTCTGGCGGAGACGAAGACAGGCAATGACTTCATCCCTCAGCTTCCCCAGTCTTCACTTCTTCAATTCCTCGGTTCCTCAATTCCATATTCACTCTTGATTCTCTCCTTAATGCATGCCTGGCGTACTTATTAATACTCTCCGTTCAATCTGTCCAAACGTTCATCAAACACCGATTATCCAATTCTCCCCCCAGCCAGTATGGCGACTAAACTCCTCTCCCGCTACCCATGGGCCACCAGCCCGTTCATCGTGGGCGCGCCAATGCGTGTCATGTCTGGACCAGCACTTGCCCTGGCTGTCTCAGGTGCAGGTGGCCTGGGATTCATCGGACCCGGCATTAAGACTCAAAACACGCACGTCGACCTTGAAGAAACACTGACCCTGATCCGCAAACAACAAACACAGCCATCCAGCTTCTCCTCACACACTTCATCATCATCTCTTCTCCCAGTAGGTGTCGGTTTTCAGCTCTGGGGGGACGATATTGAAATTGCGACCGCGGCTATCCAGAAATTTAAGCCCTGCGCTGCCTGGTTATTCGCACCCCGCGACGGTCCGGAGGAATATGATACTTGGTCGCGCAGGATCCGCGAGGCCTCTCCGCAAACACAAATATGGATTCAAATTGGCACATTGAAAGAAGCAAAACAATTACTCCAGATTTCCGAGAAACCGGATATCGTTGTTGTCCAGGGGGCAGAGTCAGGCGGTCACGGCCGCTCAGAAGATGGGATGGGCATCATGACCTTGTTTCCCGAAATTGCGGACGCTATGGAAAGTAGCCAGATTCCACTTCTAGCAGCTGGCGGTATCGCTGATGGGCGTGGGGTTGCTGCGGCACTTTGCTTAGGTGCATCGGGTGTTGCCATGGGCTCTCGGTTCCTGGCTTCTAAAGAGGCCCGGATTAGCAAAGGATATCAGGATGAGGTTGTGCGTGCGACAGACGGCGCGACAGCAACGAAACGAACCTTGCTCTACAATCATCTCAGGGGCACTTTTGGATGGCCAGCTGGATACAGCCCCAGAACCATCATTAACCAATCTTTCGTTGAACATCAAGCAGGCACCCCATTTGAAGATTTGAAGAAGCGCCACGATGAAGCTTTGAAGCTGGGTGATGCGGGCTGGGGGCCTGAGGGAAGACTTGCAACCTATGCCGGTGCCTCGGTCGGATTGATTCACGGTGTTCCAGCTGCCGAGACCATTGTGCAAGGCGTCCGGAAGGATGCGCTACAGAGGATCAAGTCCCTTGGCTCTGTCGGGCTATAAATCTTACCTACCATTCTTGTAAATTGACCCCCAGCTTCACAACACTCATAGCATGATCGCGAAATTAATGCCTTTCGAATTCTCTAGAATAAATACAGTGCCAAGTAATATGCGCGTACAGAAATGGTCGATCAATGGCGATCTCAAGTGGAGCTCAAACAGGTGACAGGTCGACCACCCTTTGTAAGACCTTTTGATGGTCAGCCATTTATTTCTTTCTATTTCAGATATCTACGGTCACGGTCCAAGTATTTTCGAGTGAAAATAATGTTCGATGTTTCATTCGGTCGAAGATAAAGAAAGAAATGCTAGTATACCAATATATAGAGAAGCGAAAGAATGCTCGTACAGAGTAGAGCTAAGCCAATAGATAGACTCGGATCTCGCATCCAATTATGGAGCTCTCTCCCAAACCAAGAGGCATCAATCCACAATTTCAATTAGGGCATTGGAACCCACTTGTACTTTGTACGTAAATCCAGTTCCGAGATTTAGTTGGACTCCTGGAGGGCGGCGCAGAGCTTGTTGCCCTTCTGTATTGGTGATTTGTTAGTGTCGAACCCTGACTCTCGATAATTTACAGCGTAACTTACAATGACCTGGCAGGTCAGCTTGTTGAGGCCCTGGCAGTCGGCATCAGTCTGGCACTCATCGCCAGTGACACCGCGCTTCTCCTTGGGCGCAACACAGGTGCTGTCGTGACCGCAGACAAGGCCTTTGATGCAGTCTCCGTTCAGCTTGCAGGCATGGTCAAGTAGAGCCTTTGAGTTCTATTAACCATAAATTAGCTTGAGGGTATTTTCCGCTTATTTCATTTACTCACGCCACGCTTGTCTTTGGGAGCGATGCAGGTGTTCTTCTCACAGACGAGGCCATCGCGGCAGTCGGAAGAAGCGTGGCAGAAATGCCCCAGGGGAACGGCGTCCTGAGATAAGAGCGATGTTTAGCTCGATTCATGTCAATATTCAACGGATCTTTTCTCAAGAGATTCTTACCTCTCGCTTGTTCTTCGGGGAAAGGCAAGTGTCCTTCTCACAAACCAGACCCTTCGCGCACTCGGAGTCCTTGTGGCATTTTTGGCCCAGCTGGGACAAAGGCGACTAGACTGAATGTCAGCTCATCCTTGTAATCATGGGTCGAACTAGAAGCCATGTCATCACTTACATCCCGCTTGTTCTTCGGGGCAACACATGTATCATCCTGTCCGCAAACAAGGCCCTTCACACAGTCACCATTGATTTTGCAAGGTTGGCCAGACTCGGACAAGGTCTTTATGCAAATTAGTATGGGATATTCTTTGATATTATTCTCAGATTATGGCGAATCACATCGCGCTTGTCCTTGGGCGCAACACAGAGGTCCTTATCACAGACAAGTCCCTTCACACACTGAGAAGTCTGCTTGCAATTCTCGCTCAAATGGGCGAGAAGGGCATCGCGCTTATTGCGGGGTGCAGCGCAGATATCCTTAATGCACTCCAGGCTGCCCGCACAGTCACGTCCGATGTGGCAAGCCTGTCCAAGCTGAGCTAGAGGAGTGTCGCGGGTGTCCTTGCTGACAACACAGTTGCCAATGTTGTCACAGTGCTCGTTAGGCTTGCAGTCGGCACCGGTCTTGCACTGGGGAGCCCATTGGGCCGGAGAGGCGACAGTAGGTCCAGCGAAAATGGCGGAGAATACGATCGAATACTTCATCTTGAAGGTTGTTGATAGTAAAGGTTTCAGAGAATGAGTGTATAAAGAGAGCGGGAATTCTGATGATGGTAATGAGAGTGAGGTTGAGGTTTAATGATAGCCATATTTTGATTGATATTTAGAGTAATTTATACCCTCTACTCGCTTTCTCCCTATTTACTATCTAAAGTCTCGACTCGGGCCATACTCCTCAACCACGTACCACTTTTCTGTATGACGCGTTGTATGAAGCGTTTCCAAGGGGTGAGGTCGATAGATTGACACGTCTCCGCCCACGCCCAAGGCATACCTGGGAATCAGAAATGGACATGATCATCATACCTTGAAGAATCTAGAATTAAGCTAAAATCTTTATCTTCGAAGTCTGGAGATTCTTTTGCCTTTGGTGACGACTCAGCCTGATCAGTGGGTTTTCAATGAAACCATACTAGTTAGTTAGATGAGCGCGGATATCCATTATGTACACTTTTAGCTTTACAAAACATCAATACTGACTGACCCGTATGATTCAATTATGTTAGTCTATGAACTAAATATATTCAATCTTCCAAGAACGCATGCCGTGGCAAAGAAGAGACAAATGGACAAACCCCATGTCAAATGGTTGAGATCTGACTCGAAAAAGCGCAAAGCGAGTAATGTACTCCATATGGAATACAGGAAATTGTCACAGCCGCAAGGGCTGACCTTTAGTTGAGTTGAGTGTCGTTGATTGGGAATCTAAGTCGCCGGAGCTTATTTTAGAATGCCGATCACCCTCACGAGCCGGGCTTTACCCTACACCATAATGAGTACATCGATCCGCAGTCTATTGATGCCTTGGAGTCGGGGATCCACCATACGATCGACAATTGAGGTACGTAATTCCCCCTTTTACCGACTATTCCCCGACGTATCCATGTTGGTGACCGCCATTATCTGAGGATTACTAGTAATAGATTCTGTTCTCTAGGACAAGAAAGAACTTGCCAACTTTCAGAGGGTTTGGAGAGCTACGAATCTGGTTCCTGGGATGCAGGTGTTTCTTTTGACCCTGCCTTGATTATTCTTACACCTTTCAAAGAAGCCACATATAACAATTTGTGGGAATTCGATTTCTTGGAGAGTAATATAAATACATTGAGGTGGGTTTGTTCAAGAGTTATGCCGGGCAGCCTCCCTCGAGAAAGACAAGCTAGACCAAAGTAGAAAAGAAAAGGAGCCTATCCCATCGACCCAAAAATTTCCATCATCCACATATCATCAAACCCATTCGTTGGTAAAGGTTCCAGAGCAGAATTTGGCGCCACAAAGTTGCCTCCCAGATCATTTGCTGGCACATTCGGGTACCAAATTTCCATAAGCTTTGGCTCCCAGCCTTGTTTGATTGATTGAGTCATCTTCATCCCTTTTTCGAAGATGTTCCATTCTTCATTTTCCACCTTGAGAGAGTCTGCACATGTCTTCATGCCATAAGTGAGACGATCGAGGATTTCAAGTATGTTGGCTGTGTTTCGGACCATGGTTTTATCCCAAGCCGGGTCGTCAAGTGTCGATAATTTGTAAAGAGTCACCAGAGCTCTTGAGAACTGGAAGAACATGGTGAACGGCATACCCAAGTAATCCTCACCTGGAATGGTGATCCAAACATCGAACCAAGACTTGGCTGCGTGAAGGCAAGTACAGAGACTTTCGAGTCGATGTAGCTCTGGAGAACTTGAAGAAGAGACATCCTTGAGGGCAGTTTCATGAATAATAAACTCAGCCGTACTAATATATAGCAACACCGTATCTAGAATAGTAGGGTAAGCTTCAAGTTTGTGTCTCAGTTGTGGCTGAATAAACATACTTAGCTGTTTGAGGTGCTGCGGAATTTGCTCTCTCACAGAGTCCAACTGTGCTTGAAAAGATTTTGTATACAGCAGCGATGGCAACTGGCCGTCTCCATCTCGTCTATGATGATGCACTTTATCCATCACCAATTGGATCTTGACCAGGGTGACCAGAACTTCGTCTTCTGGGCACTCTTTGGCATCCAAGAGAACCTGTAGGCTTTCTTCCATGTGAGGCGTCCATCTGAGTGCGTCGATCCTAAACATTGTCAAAGCAACACTGCAATCTTATGTTAACTTAGCTTCGCATTCTTTCTGGAAGCACGGACAAACCTAGATGTCAACAAGAAGCAGCCAAGCGCGGCTCTTCGTTCCTCAATAGTCCTTGTAGTTGAAATTGGTTGTTTCCAACCAACGGCACATTTAAAAGCCTGCATCGTTGACGGCTCCTTGGGAATTTCCTGGTTGATTCCGAGATCACAGACAAGGCCCATGACCACGTGTGAATAGAAATTGAGAAAAGGACGTTTGGTATATGTGGTCCTAGAACTAAAGTGAGTATATTTTGCACATTTCCCCGTGATTTGACATCTAACTCACCAAGTGATGAATATCATAAGTCCGAGCAGCATATCCATGTTTGGGGCAACCTCGACGAGAATCTTTTGGTGAATGATATTCGTAATCTGGGCAAAGACAAGTTCCCTCCTATCAATTGCAGGGGTCAATACCGCCATTATAGTCAGCCAGACAAATGGCTTCTCCACGCGGAGCTGTTGGGAAGTCATATGGGAGGGTATGTGAATAAAGGGAATGAATCTCATGTTGTGAGTGCGGAAGCTCCCGAGACTTTTCTCGGCATCCTCTGGAGTAAGTTGAAGCGAGTTGCAAACATCGGCCATTGAACAATCAGTTGATGATGACGGCACCGGCGATGGAATCCCAGGTGGGGTGACCATGGGGTGGTCCGTCTTAGACAGATAAGATGGAGCATTTCGAGCAGGCATGGCAATCGAAGTGGCGTTGTCCCAATCCGCGGGCATACCAGATGTGCCGCCAGTAGTTTGGAGTAATGATACAATATTATCAAGCTTAGCTTCAAGCTGTGCAGTTCTAGAAGCCGAAGATCGGCCATTTCGCTTTCGCACTGTCGGCGATGGCCGGCAGTCCTTTTTCAAACGCTGGCATCTACGAGGCCATTAGTCCATTTGACGAAAGTGATGTGATCTCTCGACTTACCTTTCACAACCATGTCCTCTTTCCAAAAGAATGCATTTGCTTTTAGCGCGAGAACAGTTAATACAAGCCCGGCCATACGGTGCCGGGGTTCCACTCGGGATGTGGTTGACGTCCATCCCGAAGCCCGACCGTTGGATTTCGGGATTCAGGGTAACACAGTAAATGGGCAGAAGAAATATCTGTGCGGTTTTGTACCACCAGAGAACATTAGATATTCAGGCACGAATATAGGCCGTAGCGAAAAGAATAAAGGAAAGTTTCCCCAACACCCAACGAGTCATCCTGAAGGAACGGCGGGATTGGAAAGAATCGAATCGAAATCCGTCCGAGTCTGGGGCCAGAAAGTTTATGACTAATCCCTTTATATTCTACTCTCATACTACCAGTAGCATTACTTCTCAACCCTCTGCGAGACCTACGAGCCAAATGCGCATGGATGCATGGATGTATGAATACATGCTTAGCATTTTTTAATTAGTCTCATCTAAAAAACTAGGGCCCAAATTCCATCTCATATTATAACTGAATGACTGGTGATTTATAATCCCCTCGTAAAACCCGATCGGCCGTTCCTCCGTCTCACTTACATCGGAATTCGGGCTGGGGGGTTCATTCAACCCCGTCCCACAATGGCCAGCCCTCCAATCAACAATCATATCCCCCTGTAGTTTAGAAACCTTTGCCTACTTTTGATACCTAGAGGGCTTTGTTTTCTGGGGCTGTTTTAGAGGGGAGGAATTTTATAAGTCACTCCCAAAAATCTCGCAACATCGCAACCTCATTCACCTATTTATTTATGAGGTCCGGTCGCAAAATATAATATTCACATTGATCTTTGGCTTAAGCTTTTCAACATGGGTGCCAACGACTTGGCCCCTGTCAAGTCCTCAGGCTTGACCCACGATTTAGTATCCGTCTCCCATAAAGTATCTAAGGAATTTGAGTCTGGTTCTTCTCGTCCGTCTACAGACGGGACCCCAAGAATTGCTGATGCATCTGGCAAAGAAGAACAAAAATACTTGACTGGCGTGGAGCTTTTTTTGGTCGCGGGTGCAGTTACTTTGGTTTGCTTTTTAGTATTACTAGACACTGCCATCATTGTCACAGCATGTCTTTCTTCCACCCCTTACTACCGAAAAAATACTAACCCGTGTCCCGTGCCTAGGCTATTCCGGTAATCACGACCAAGTTTCATTCACTTCAAGATTTGGGTTGGTATGGTAGCTCTTATCAGATTGCGAGGTATGTTATCTCCGCTCCATTCAAAAGCCCGTGTCTACCCTAGGGTACTCCCAGATTCTTAACAGTAAGCCAGTGCTTGTCTGCAGCCTCTCACGGGTAGAATCTACACCAATTTCACTTCCAAGGTATACTTCTGCACCTAAGTATTCAATTTTAATTTTATTTCGCTCCGCGTTGACACGGGACTAGTGGACTTTCTTGGTTTTCTTTTTTATTTTTGAGCTTGGGTCTCTTCTCTGTGGTATTGCTACATCATCGAAGATGTTAATTGTCGCCCGAGCGGTTGCTGGAATAGGCTCTTCTGGACTGATGAACGGAGCATTAACCATCATCTCAGCATCTGCACCAATGCACAAGGTTCCGGGTAAGCGTACCCGCATGGAAGATTAGACATCTTATTGACATTTACGAAGCTCTTTTTGGCATGATGATGGGTGGTAAGTGGCATGAATTAGCCCAGCGTTGCAAGTTTTTGTTGACATCATATTCTAGTTTGTCAACTAGGTGTTGCTTTCGGTCCACTAATTGGAGGTGCTTTCACTGAATATACTACGTGGAGATGGTGTAGGTTCCTCTCCTTCTTTGAGAGCTTTCTTGGTCATCTAACTCCTGTTTCATACAGGCTTCTATATCAATCTTCCTATTGGCGGCGTGGTTGCGTTGATGCTCCTCTTTATCGAAATTCCTGATCAGGTCGCCAAGCCATCAATCAAATCATCATTTGAGACGATCACGCGGAAACTTGACCTTATTGGTTTTGTGCTTTTTGCCCCAGCCGCCATACAGCTCCTTCTTGCCCTTGAATATGGGCAGAATGAATTTGGGTGGAAAAGCGCAACCGTCATAGGTCTCTTCTGTGGTTCGGGTTGCACTTTTCTCGTCTTCCTAGCCTGGGAGCATCATCAAGGTGATAAGGCCATGATACCTCTTACCATGCTAAGACAAAGAGTAATGTGGTCGAGTTGTTTGGTCATGATAACTATATTTGCGATGGTCCTCACTGCTTCATACTATCTACCGATTTACTTCCAGTCAATCAAGAATGAGTCGCCCACCATGAGTGGAGTGTATATTCTTCCAAGTGTTTTATCGCAGCTAGCCTTTGCTGTGATGTCAGGCCTTCTCAGTCAGTGAATTGAACGATAGATCTATCGGCAAAGCTAACAGTGTCTCTACTAGTTGGGAAGCTAGGATATTATCTTCCGTGGGCCATCTTTTGCGGGGTGGCTACTGCCATCGGCAACGGACTCCTAACAACACTTTCCCCAAACACTTCCACCGGAAAATGGGTCGGTTATCAAATACTCATAGGTGCAGGTCGGGGAGCCGGATTTCAGATTGTAAGAGCTTCCCTATTATCTCCATGCCAATGCACGATGTGATGCGGATGGATCGATACTAATAACCATTCAACACAGCCGCTCATCGCTATACAAAACACCCTTTCACCAAGTCAAATATCTGTTGGCATGGCGATTCTCATGTTCACTCAAACTCTTTCTGGTGCAGTGTTTCTCACATTCGCGGATGTCATTTTCTCCTCAGGTCTCAAAACACTGATTCCCCGAAATGCACCAAATGCCGACTTGGCCGCTATTATTGCCGCAGGCGCCACTGGTATGCGTGATGTGGTATTATCCGATGACCTTCCGGGCGTTTTGAAGGCTTATGCGGGGAGTGTAGACCGCGTTTTCTATATGGCTGCTGCGCTCAGCGTCGTTTGTGTGGCTTTTTCGTTTGGAATGGGATGGAAAGACATTCGGAAGAAGAAGCCATCTGGTGAGAAAGTCTGATCCTGGACTCAAGATCCGGCTCTCAGACCTAGTATTCATATGAGAGAGTTTTTAATGATATACATACTAGTTCGTACTTTAGAAGCATAATATACATGACAATCTTCACTCCAAATTCATCTCAGCCCTATATACGAGTTTGAGAGACAATGTCTGTTAGTCAGCCTATCTCCATAGTTAGCTTCCTTCTCACCCCCTACACCTCACACCCACAATGATATTACATTCCACTACTTCACATATGACTTGATAAGGATTGATACATAAAAGCAGGTTGACTAAATTCGTAGCTCCTTCTTCCACTGGTTTATCCATGATAAGTAAATCGTCACGTCAATGCTCATTCTCCTGGCCTTGCCCTCGCGAAGTAAGTTGCTCGACTTCAGAACCAGCTGCTTTATATATCCCTAGTGATTCCCGTCAACGAAACAGTTAACTACAACCAGCCTGCTCAGATGACCTCAGCCAATGCATCCGACAAGAAATTAAACGTTGCTTCGTAGTGACAGCCAACAGGCCAGGAGTAATCTTGCGCCTACGTGCAATTTAAGAATACATAGTAGAATGGTGTGAATATACCTCTCCTCAGTTAGTTATAATACTGGCTATATTTACAGCCTAAGTTGGAATTCTCATAATAGCGGTTATCAAGTAGTAGAAATTTTCATTGTAAAATTTGATCTGATTTCAACTCTATACAGACTCCAAAGGGAAAATGTTGATATGTTTATAATCAGTATCTGGAAATGGCCGCAGACCAAATGCGATCCGGTTCAGATTGACTTTTCTTTGTAAGTTGCCTAGGGCATCTATGTCGCGGTAATCCTCAGTTTCGATATTCTGAGGACGCTCTGGGTGTGGAAATATAGTAATCGCCAGGCTAGAGCTTGTTCCACTCAGTGAGTATCCACTAGAATCTATATTGATATCAAGAAGATGGCGCAAGTGATACATTCGTAACAGGATATGTCGCCATGTTCCGGAATTCAGATAGACACGCGAGAAATTGATAAAGCTTATTCTGTCGACGGATTGATCAAGAATCGTAAGAATCTGGTTGTTTGAAAAGGAAACTCCCATAAGATCGAGAGACCGCAAGGACAGGGAAGATGGGAAAGTGAGAACGTCAATGTTCAGAATGTTGAGACTGTTTATTGAAAGCGATTGAAGATTTGGCGCCATTTCAATCATTTGGAACATTTGAGTGGAATATCTGCTGTTTGGAACAGAAGTATATTCTGGTAAAACCGGACTTGCCCAGTGTCTCCCACGGTTTTCGTCCTGATGATCTGTATACTGACAAGTACACAGCCCGAGATATCGAAGACGTGTCATATATTTTGCAATGGGGATCTGCACAGGACTGCTTTGGGTGGGGAAGAAACGTCTATAATCATATGTGATCGGGAATTTCACTAGTAGCTCTTGCAACTTTGAGAGCGGCACATATCGTAATATTAAGGCAACTGCATCCATGTACTTGTTTCTGTGCTCCTGTGAAAGGCATTCAGGCGGTTCGTGAAACTCAAGGGCCATAAGGTTGCAACATTTCATCAAAGAAAATGAGAGAGATCCGAACAGGTCCTCAATATAGAGAGAGTCTGCACTATTGGCGAAGGAACAAGGATTTATATCTGATTGAAACCCGATATCAATCTGGTGCACTTGCAAACAGAGTGGGCTTTTTGCTATTCTCAATAGTCTTGTTAAGGATGAAACTGTTTCAGAAGTGCTGCACCTCACATCGATATGCCGGAACAACCAGGGTGCAACACTGCGACATAAGGATTTATTTACAAGACGTAAGGCCTTGAGGTCCTTCCGAGTATGTGTGCTAGCGACCGAGTAATGCCTTGCGTCGTCCCACAAATATTCGAAACGATTATGGTCGAGCCAGACATAATATACAATCTGTCGAGATAGTTAGCACCAAGCCCAAGGTGGCAGGGGGAAAGAATTCACTCTATCATATATCTCTGCAGGAATATGCATTGCTTCTTCCTTAGCAATTTCTGAAGTCGTGCTAATGAGGACAAAAGGAGAAGCTGGGAGTGGCCAGCCAAGAAAAAGATACGTTGGGCATGAAAATTACCTTAATGCGGGGTAGCCCAATTCTGTCTGGCAGAGAAATTACGTCGGCTCAGGTGTGGCACGTGAGTTTTTGTGTCCGGGTACAACGTCAAAATAATATAGTCTATAGCTCTTAGCTGCAAATCATTGGAGCGCTGAAGATCCGTGTCAGCTTACTGGACGGTTCGGGTTCCAGTCGTGCTCCGGGACCAGAAACAGATACAGAGTCGGTATGTGTGTGTGTGTGATACAGAATTCCCTATTACTTAGTAATCTGATTTATAAACACTAAGACCTACTTATAGCTTATACTAAAATAAGTTAAAATAGGAACCTACTAGATTATTAGGTTTAACCTATTAGGTTTTAGGTCAGTATCTCCAAAATAGGTTATGGCGATGCCTAGATAGGGCTAGGTTAAGACCTATTTGAGTGGTACTATATATTGTATACCCAGTATATAGGTATAATATATCTAAAATATTATCTAGCAGTAGGATTATATAAAGGGCATAGCGACAACTGTTTAATTAGGGCTAGGCCTGTATGCTGTTTACAATAATTCCTATAGCGCAAACTCCCCTCGTATTTGACGATGATGAAGTTCATTGCAACACTTCCTGAGTTTTCTATAGGCCATCTCACATCGAAACCTCAAATCATTAACTTCGAAGAAACAGGTTTCTATCATGCGTTCATGTAAATCTCGGTCTCGGTTATAGGTCTCTCACTATGATGAAAGACTCCAGGAGTATCAAGAGCAGGGCTAATTATAAAAGCTACTTGCTCCCAGGTCTGATATCCATGAGCTGCAAAGTATACACTCAATATGAAACCCGCCTTTCTCCTTTCAGTGAACTTCTTTACCAGTTGCTCATTGGCACTGGTCTGCCCCTTCTCTCTTCTGAAACGAGCTGATCTTCTCAATCCGAGGATGAAGCTGCATATGATAGAGTAGCAGCAAATCCTTCCTCCGCAGAGGATATATTCCTTGAAAGACACTACAAGATGTCCTATTCTGCCAATTCCGGAGGTTTAATCGGACCCAGATCTTCCGATGGTCTTGTGGACCTTCCTCTTGGAGGTGGCTTGTGTACGTTTTCCGCAAATAACTCCTCTTTACTGAGTATAGTGCAGCGGCTGATAGCTTGCAGTGAATTGTGTTCTCCAAAGTCTCACAGGTCCGCTGCAAGACTTGGATATTCCAACCCCGCAAATCATCGACTTGAAGGCGATTCCGGGTGATGACCCGGATCACCAATTCCAAGCCCCTGGCCCGACCGACGTGCGTGGTAACTGCCCGACGCTGAACACTCTGGCAAACCATGGATATCTTTCTCGAGATGGTGTAGGTTTTTGATTTCCCCTCGCTAATACCACTTCCTGCGGCGAATACTGACCGTACTAGATAACTTCCTTCGCCGAGGCCGCAAATGGTATCTCGATCGCATACGGCTTCGACTACCCGTTGTCGGTCTTTTTATCTGCCTTGGGCTTAATGGCAGGCGGCGATCTAATTTCTGGAAAATACTCAATTGGCGGTGCTGACTCGCGTGTTCCTAATACTATCGGCCCTGCTGGGGGCATTGATAAGCATGGAGTCTTCGAAATCGACGGCAGCATCACACGCCAGGATACATACTTCGGGAACAATGCCAATTTCATCCTGCAGCGATGGGAGGAGTATGTGAAAATCGCCGACCGTAATGGTGGACTCTTTGGGGCACAAATGCAAGCGGAAGATCGACTGAGTTTTCAGACTATCAGTCCTATTCGATTTCTCCTAACTAAGATGTCAATTTCCAGGCTCTACGGTATGATAACTCGCGGGCCACCAATCCGGAATTCTTCGCGGGTGTGAAATGGTTTGCAGGTAATTGAAGGTTTCGGGCAACAAAATCGATTTCCCAGGTGCTAAGAAAAAATACAGTTTCTCACGCTGAACGTGTCTTTGTCTATGAAGGACTCACGAACGGGACTACCCCCAACAAGCCCGACTATGCCAATATCGCTCCTTTCTTTCTCAACGAAACTTTTCCCGAGAACTGGTACCGTCGTGGAGAGGCGTTCACACTGGCTTCCACTTTGGCCGAAGCTCTCGACCTCTTTCTCCTGCAGTCGCGTGAGCTAGGTGCGAATGAGGGACTGAATAATTTCGTTCCACTTGAGCTTGATCTCGGTTCAAAAACTGTTCCTCAATTGGGGTGCTTCCTAGTTGAGAATATCTTTGACGTTGTACCCGATCAAGTTCAGCCTACCATTGCTGATAACTATGAGCTATTCGAGGGATTTGTCAAAGGCATTCTTGCACCTCTGGTCACGAATGATGGTTTCTTCAATTGTCCCACGATTAATTTCGTGAAGCCAGGTGAAAATGCGGATCATTCGGAGAATGGAAGTCAAAGTGCGCATGGTTCTCTGATTAATGGTGCTTATCCCGGCATTGGCATCATAAAGCCAGACTCTGAGCCGTCTTATATCAATTTGGATTTTGGGAAATCTGAAAGTAAACAGAGGGTAAATGAGATATCTATTGACAGGTAAATTTCTAATATAAATTTCTAATAGAGATCTACCAAGTCTTGATTACCAGGGTGTTTGCTGAGTCAAGATTCAGCTAAGTAGAGCAATGAAAATTTAATATTACTACAGAGTACGAAGTATGCAAGGGCTTGACTGGCAGATTTTATTCGTAGTAGGCTTTCATCGTATCTTACGATTTATCCTAGGCTTAAAGAAGTAATATGATACGCAACTAAAGCTAAACTATTGCTAGAATTGTGTTTCATCAGCCAGTGCACTGGCAGCTTTTTATGTTTGACCTCAAATAAACCCCAGGCCACTCTAATCGTTGCATTTATCCAAGCATCAAATTGAACTTGAACTTGAACTTGAAAGTTCGATGCCGAGCAACCTTGGGAAGGCTTCGAATCACGTCCGGGATACCTACGTGATTAACAGAAGACGATATAGTTTCGATCCACCTCAACTTACATTGAACTACCCCGATTTGGTGAATGGACGCCGTAATATCGAGCGAAGACTTGTAGGTGGTACGCAGGTATTCCAGAAACGAGCGTTGGATCTTCGTCAAAAGAGCTAGAAAAATGCATTTAATGGGATTGTTGTGAGCATTCGACCTCTTTCTTCGGTTTCCATAGTAGCCAAAACCACCTTTTGTGCCCTCTCAAATTCGGTTCATTATGCCTAATATTATCCCGCCATGCCTTACAGAATCGTGGCGCACAAGGCAGTCACAAAATAGAACTACTTCTACAGGTTGAAGATAAATTGTCATCACATCATGGTGTTTGATTTGTTTTGATTGCATGCCAAGGCAGACAGAAGCCTAGAATAGATGCCACAGCACGGCTCTCCCGAGTTAACGGGTCACAGCGCAGGGTGGGACAAGTTGAAGACTCGGGAAAAAATGTCTAAAGATTCCATGCCAACCGGTACACACCAGTCAAGCGCCAAAATGCTCCATTGTTTCTTCCTGATATCCTCCTCTCCGTTATAAAATAACCTCCCGCCCATAGAGCGAACATCCAAAGAAGCCGTCGATCCCTCCTAGACCATTTGCACGACTAGTCCATTAGGAACTAATCTACTGCTCGGTCTGGAAGTAGTTGAGCAGGACAGAGCGCTCCTGGGACTCTTCACCCCAGTCCTTGACAACGACGCAAGAGCAGTTGACGACCTTGCGGGCGTTACCCTCACGGTCAAGAGTGCCTGTAGAGGAAAGAAATGTTAGTAAATTGTTCAAATTTCCAACAGCGTTCGATCAAATCTCGTTCGATAGTGACAGCGCGGGGGGGGGGGAGGGACAAAACGTACAGAGACCGACCCACTCGCCCAGCATCTTTCCATCGGGAACCTTGATGAGGGGGATCTTGTGCTCGGAGCACAGAGCGACGACAAGCTTCTTGTAAGCCTCCTCCTCGCAGCCCTCGTTGAGGACACACATGTGAGCCTCACGGCGGTCGAGGGCCTTGGCAGCCTCACGCAGACCACGGGCAAGACCGTCGTGGATGAGGGAATGCGGAGGACACCCTTCAGAGCGTCGAGGACGGACATCTGGCCAGAGCCAGCGTCGGCGGAAACCTCGACCTCATCGGCGGCGGCAACAGGGGGGGATCTCTTCTCCGTCCGACTATAAAACCACGAGCGGTTAGTTTATCTGCGCTTGTCCGAGATCAAGTTTTGCGAGGTGCTTGGAGCTGCGACCGTCGAGGTTCTTTGCGTGGAACTCGATTATGGGAATGTTCAATTGTGTGCTCATGCTCATGCCCAGCTAGGATTCCAAGGCCCCGCTTACTTGCGACGGCGAGCTTGAGCGCAGCACAATTGCTTTTCCAAATCCAGTGCATGCAAGTCCTTCGACTGGTCTTCGCTTCAATGGCACGCAAGGGCGACGGAGGGGCGTACCATTTTGATTGCTACTGTTGGTTTTGGGTAGCGGGTATGTTCAAAGTCGGATAGTCCTCGAAGAGTTGTTTTGGGTGATGGGAATTGATTGGAGAGGCGCTAGGAAATTTTCGGTGGGTTTCGACTTTCCACTTCGGTTGTGTGTGTGCCCTATATTAGTCATTCCAGTCACGTGGTGCACCCCCGCGATGGGAACCTGACCTTCTGCACGTGACTTGTGCCAGTAAATAAGCAGGAAATGAACATCGCGATATCTAGAGTGTATAGTAGATGGAGGAGAAACAGAAAAAGTTAAAAGTAATTGTTTGCTCGTTTCAGGCTTAAGCTACCGAACAAAATAAGATTCGTTACAAGAACGCAAGAGGTATCATAATCGTACAATCAGAATCCGCCTTCAAACCTCGCCCGCTAAAATTCAAACAAGCCATGGCCTGAATAGCGAAGACTGAGAAGGAAACTAGAAGTATGTACCAGGCCGAGGCAAGCTATGGCCATTCAGTCCTGTGGAACCATTGGTCTCGGTCGCAGGGGTGCCCGAGGGGTGCCCATTGACTTGGGCGTTTTCCACCGCAGTCGGAGCCTCCGATGGCTCAGGGTCGATATGCATGCTGAGGAAATTCAGGTCGAGACCATTGAGATGCGGAATGTGTGGAACGAGGTCTGTGAAATCAGAAAGTCGAATCCAGAAAATATGCTCCATTTCGAAGTACTTGGGCCGTGTGTCGCAATCCAGCTGCATGATCTCTCCGAACGATGCGTTGCGGTATTTGGGGTCATCGGTGTAAACCAGCATCCGGCGGGTGCATCGCCAGAGATTCATGCGCTGAGTTTCAGTTGCATTTCGTTTCTCCCAGCTAGCATCTATGGGGAAGAGGTTAGTTAATTTATCATCATTGTGGGAGAAGGAAAGACGACACTCACATTGAGAGAGTTGGAGGTCATTGGTCGCCAGCAGGGGTGCAACCAAGTAATTCGGGATCCATTTCTCATCCGCCATCTCTCCGACACAGTTGGGCTCGAGTTGCCGGGTAGTCGCCGTGACGAGAGGCATGAAGTTCGTAAGCCAGGAATGACTTCGAGCGCGGGGATCATTAGAGCCCACGAAGTTGGCGGATATGCGAAGGCGGCCTGGCAGAGCATCCCGACGTCGTTGCTCCAGGGCCTCTTGGTCGCGACGGATCTTCAGAAGGCGAGCTCGTTCTTGCTCCATGCGCTTTTGGCGCTCGTCTTCAGCTTGTTTCACGCGTCGCTGCTCGGCTTCCTTGCGCTTGCGTTCATCTTCTTCGACCTTAGCACGGGCAGCTTGGGCAGCTCGATCGGCTTCTTCCTTAGCAAGACGAGCACGTTCCGCCTCACGCTCCGCCTCACGTTCGGCTTCCCGTTCGGCTTCACGCTCTGCTTCGCGTTTGGCCTTGCGTTTGGCCTCACGTTCCGCTTCTTCTTCTTCTTCGCGACGTTTTGCTTCGGCCACACGTTCCTCTTCGGCTTTCTTTGCCTCCGCCTCTCGACGCTTCTCAGCTTCTTGAGCTTCGCGCTTTGTGTTTGTGGGTACCTCAGCGACTGAACTTGCAGCGGGCTCCTGGGGTTCGGTCTTGACTGCACCATTCTCTTCTGACGGTGCGTCATCCGGGGCGTGTGAAGGGGGGTCTGGTTTCTTCAAGGGAGGGCCAAGTTTGCGTCCTGGGTCATCACCACGGGGGGGTATCATCGGGGTGTCGACGAGGGTGAGCCTTCTCACTGGCACCTGCATCCTCCTGTTTCTTAGAGTCACCGTTAGGCATATTTGCGGACTTCTCTTCGGCAACAACGCGTCGTTTCTTTTTCCGTTCGGGTGATAGTCGATCACTTTCTGTGTCGCGAGAGCGAGATCGGGGAGGGGAGGCGTCGTCTGCACGGATGCGCTTGAGGGAGGAGTTGGTTTCGGAAAGGGTATCGTGTCGTGATTTTGGTGTCTCCTCACGACCAGAAAGAGAATCGGACGAAAAGAGACTCGGTCTGCGGTCACGATCCTGAGGGCGTCGCCCTGCGATGAGGCGTCTCTTCTTCACCTCTTCACTTCGAGCCACACCACTTGACTCGCTGCCTCTACGAGCAGAAAGGCCAGTTTTAGGCTTGACGGGGTCGGTACGTGCCGAATCATGATCGGAGCTGGCGAGAGCATCACTAGCATCACGAGCAGACGACTTGGGCCGGCTCATCTCGCGCGCCTTCTCTTTTTCACGTCTTTTCTCCTTCATCACTTGCACCTCCTTGGCAGACCGTGGGCGGTTGGCATTTGGACTTTCAACGGATTTTTTCTGTAGAGCCACGGGAGAAGATGATTCTCTCCGCGATGATCGTTTGTCGTCCTTCTCTTTGGGACGCGCTCGTCGTGGTGAAGGCAGATCTTTGCGATCTTTCTCAGAGCCTCCAGCCTTCTCATAAGCGGCCTTTAAAATGTCGTACTCTTCCTCCCAATCCTCACCTTGCCGGGCCCGGGAAAGCTCGTGGTAAGATCGGTCTTCGAAAAGTCGACGAGTAGGATTAAAACCAGGTTGAGAAAGAATTAGACTGATAACATCAGACTTGCCTCTTCCGATCGCTGCGAGCATGGGAGTATTATAGCCTGGCTTGTGGCCGCGCAGGGGGTCAGGGTCGGCATCGGCATCTCCCATCGCGTACATGAGGGAAAGAACATCGTGATGACCACCCTTTGCAGCAGCAATCAAAGATGCGTTGTCGGCCTTTTGCAGGATGTTCAGGATACTGACAACTCCCACTTCGTCACCCTTAGCAGCAAAGTCTCTCAGATTTTCAGATGTCGCCTGGGTCCACAATAAATCATTTCTTGTTATCTCACTTCGTCCAGTCTTCCGGCGATTCGAAGCACCACCTAGTGGTGGGGGACTTCGTGAGGGACTCGCAACCGATGCTCGTCTTGATGAAACCTTGGTGTCTGGACCGATCTGCTCCTCGGATCGTCGACTGGGCCGTAAGTTGGCTTTCGCGTCGGCAAGTGCTTTTCGGATCTCATTGTACTCGTCCTTTTCCAGATCTTGTGGGACTAATTCGTAGGGTTCATCTCCAGAAGCATTCACGGTGCGGGGGTTTGCTCCCGCTTCAAGTAGCAGTCTCACGACTTCAACATTACCATTTTCCACGGCGTCAATGAGAGGGGTGTCTTTGTCGATATTCTTGGTGTTAATTTCGCAGCCAGCGCCCAACAGGAACTTGACGATTGCGCCTTCTCCATTCAGGGATGCGATTTGAAGAGGGGTGTTGCCAGCGTTGTCGGGGATGTTCAAATCCTCAGGACGTTCACCGTGGCGCATGACCACTTGGTCATACTTTCGATCGGCACATGCCCTGGCAAGAGGTGTCCGGCCACTTTTATCGCGTAACTTTTTGGGACCCATTTGTTTCGCAGGTGAAGCAGACGCGCCAACTCCAGAACCGAGTCGACGGAGGTGAGTACTGGGCATGGGAGAACCACTGGCAGAGGAGGATGTTGATTGTCGATCTTCTGAACTTTGACGTTGGAAACCGGTCAACGGGGTAGGTGCCTTCTTCTTAGGAGGAAGCTGCGACCCAGAGGCCGAGCGTTGATGGGAGGAGCGAGTTGGAGAGACGGAACGAGCATTAGAAGAAAGTCGAGGGCGAGGGCGAGGGCGAGGGAAGAGACTGTCATTATTCTTGAGTTCGCGGATGGTCGAGCTGGCGTGGGAGTCGCGCCTGCGCTCTCGTTTCTCATCCACGCTGTCGCTGAAACTTCGTTTTCGATATGGCCGTGGCCTATCCACATCATTGGCATTACTCTCCGTTAACACCTCTTTCGTTACAGAGGGAGGATCATCCGATTTTTCAACTTTCACGACCGAGGGGGGCGAAGAAGGTCGATGGGACGGGCTGGGCGATCGGGATCCTCGAGAATCTCTGGAGGGCCGGTTTCCACGGTCGGCATCGATGCGCGGCCTTTTGCGCGAGCTTCCATCGATACCATCGACAGCCTGACGAATAGGGTCGTGTCGAATGTGCTTCCTCTTCTTCTCTGGTGATAAGGATTCTCGTCCTGACTGGATGATCGTCTCTGCCTCCGAATCAGCCTTGGGGCTTGGGGGACCCTCTAGCTCTTCCTCCTGCTCTGCCATCTCCGAATCCACGGGTTCCAAGCCATTGCTTCCACCATTACTCGTCCGTTGTGAGGGTGAAGCTGGAACGACCTCAGGCTTCTTAGGGGATGAAGGTCCTGGAGCGTCCGTCTTCACCGCAGCGAGGGGATTCTGGTCGATATCCAGGACAGCGGGTAGGGAAACCGCCTCAACATCACTCATAGCGATAGCACTCGATGTGTAAGAATTCCGATCGTCATTTTGGGAGGACGCGACAGGCCAAGACGACCGTGGTCGGCAACGCCAGCAATGATGCGCAGACGCTGATCACGGAAAGAGTGAAGGTGGTGGGAAATAGCAAACCCGTGCGGCGGGCACGAGAGAATAGTGGTAGAGGGAGAGTTATAATATTATAAAGGCGAAGGAGAGGAGGGCCCTAAAGAAGCAAAAAGGGAAAAGTAATAAGAGATTCAGGGAGTGGGAGAGAGAAAGGGTGGGAGAGTAGGGGAGAAGAGGGAGAAGAGGGAGAAGAGGAAGAGGAAGAGGAAGATTGGACGGGGGGAGAGAGCCACCCAGCAGTGGCAGCAGTGGCCAACAGTGAATCATCCACCTTTCTCTCCTTCTTCTCCAGGGCTCTCCCACTTCCCTGCTGCGACCTCTCTCTATCTGGGGCTACTCTGCTAACTACCTCCGCCTCTACCTCACCCTCTGCACCCCCCAATACCACGCTACCAAATTAGCTGCCTTCAGCGCCCCGTTCTGCTTGCACTAGGGAGTACCGAGTCCTCTCCCCTATTTTCGACCCGTCTGCGTGCACTGCACTAACACACGGGCCTTCTATTCGACGCCCATTCCGGACGAAAGCAGTGGCTCCACTGCAGTGGCGATCCCTCAATGCGGCCACTCAGCTTTCACTCAGCTTTCAACTCGTGCCATCCATTGAAGGAGCTGCAGCTTGGAAGCCTGTTCGATTCGGCCTGAAACTTGCCTGGCTCCCTTTTTTGTTGGAGCCGGAGCCCTGACGATTTAATCGTGCCCACGGTCTAGTGCCCCAGTGCTCCATGCCAGTGCCCTTTATTTGGCCCATGGGACCAGGATCGGCGGGGGGCGCCGCTCTCTTCTCCACTGGCCAGCTGGGAACCTCGCACAGCAGCTTAGCCATGACACAACTTTTCTCCATCCATCTGTCATGGCCTCCTTCCTCGCTCAAGGCGTTGATGCCGTCCTCGAGGCCACGGGTATGGATGCCGTAGATGCTTTGCGCGCCTTCTTTCTCCTCGCCGCCGCCACGGTATGTGATGAAAATCTGCTTTGGCTGTCATGCCATGTCATGCGATGCGCTGCTCTCTCCCTCGGAGCTTCTGTGGACACATCTGGTAGCTAACGAATCTTGACAGACCATCTCCGTCAGCATCCCCTCCTCCCTACGCTCCCGGTTCCTTGTCTATGGACCGCGTGCGACCTCGACCGACTCTAAGCCCCAATCCCGACCGTCAGCGGGGGGTGCCTCAATCTCCAGGCCGCTAGACTATCTTGCGACTTGGCGAGTACCGCACAGTTACTTCACCCAGTTCTACATCGCTTCGGTGGTCTCCTCGGTATTTTGGGCCATCCAACTGCTATGTCGCGGTACCTTATTTGAGGCCATCTCCTCGCGGGTAAGCGAGGAGCATCGGGTACAGACCATGTCTCTGACCCAAGTGCTCGTCTGCTGGATTCTGTTGGCCATGCAGGGTTCGCGGCGACTGTGGGAATCAACCTCCTTCGCAAAACCCTCCACATCCAAGATGTGGTTCGTACACTGGCTATTGGGATTGGCATTCTACCTTGCTGCTGGGATTGCGATCTGGATTGAAGGATCAGGTATGGGAAGAAAACAATATTAAAAAATCCTGAAGGCGAATTGACCCTGCTAACCATCGACTACAGAGGCACTCATGAACTTCAATCTCACCCTTGACTACATCAAAATCACCAGAGCCCCATCTCTCCGAACATTCATATGCGTCCCGCTTTTCCTAATGGCATCCGGAATGCAGCACGACTGCCATCACTTTTTGTTCTCTCTTGAGAAATATACTCTCCCGGACCACCCGATCTTCCGCGCCGTTGTATGTCCGCACTACGGAGCCGAATGTGTGATCTATCTGTCGCTAGCATTTCTTGGTGCTCCGCGGGGCCAGTCCGTGAACAAGACCTTGCTGGCATGCTCGGCCTTTGTGGCCGTCAATCTTGGTCTCACTGCCCGAACAACCAAACAATGGTATTTGGAAAAGTTTGGCGGGGATAAGGATGACCTCGAGCAAATCAAGAGTCGATGGCTCATGATACCATACATCTACTAACGACAATTATGAAAAAAATATGAATAGAACGATCATAATCTCATTAGAAGAAATCAACCCTGATTAATCCGACTGTGTATCGAACAAAACAACACATAACATCATTTCCCACCCAGAAACTTCAACGTATTCCCCATCTTCGCAACCTTCAACACATCCCGATAGGTGAGACTAGTCCTTGTCTGCCGATCATACCCACCGATCAAAAACACATCCTTCTCCCGCAAAAGATCCCAGTTACAAACGGAATGAGGCCCCAAGTCCTCATCCCTGCTCGTTTCTGCAATGCCATGCAAGAACTCCGTGTACAGCAGATCTCTCGTGATGAGTAAACTTCGCCTCTCCTGTAGAATGCGGAACTGTGGCTTTCTGCTATGCGCGTGGTCACGTTCACGTTCTCCGCCTTGGTGCTTCACGTCCACGTTCTTCTCGTAGATATCCAGCACAATCGGCGCTCCCAGGCTCACTGTTGCCACGAGCGGGTGGTAAGCTGCCCCGTCCTCGTGCGGCATGATGCCCTGGCCTGGATGGTATTCATTGATGAGTACATGGTTTGGTGCGCCGTGTGGAGCACTCTTGAAGATACCCAGTGCGTTGAATCTCGGCTCGATGATGGGGGATTTCATCCACGGGGGCAGGTCTGATTCCAATAGGGTATTTGATTTTGTGAGGGCCGATGGCCAGGTTTGAAGTCGGCGGTGTGATAGATGAGTCCAGCGTGGCAGTGGTGCTGATGCTACCTGCGGACCAATGTCAACTGGTGTGATAAGTAAATATAGAGAGTGTGGGAAGTGTAACGAAGGCTAGATAGCCACCTGAAATAGATCATCAACTTAGGAAGATGTGCAAATTAGAAAATCACACCTTCTGTAGTAGGTACTCCTCTTCATCCTCCGAGATGAAATCCGCGATGTAGAAAGCCTCCCCGGGCAACGAAGTAATTCGAGCCGTTTCAAGATCGCATGCCATGGATCTGACCTGGTCGTATTAACACCTCATTCTCCGAAACAACTTGAACTTGAAAGTCTGGAGGTGAAAGAAGTTGAAGTAGAAGTAGAGGTAGAAGTACAAAACCGCCCGCAGTGAATCCCACGTCACGTCTCTGCCTGAGGCGGCCACCCCACCTTCCACCCGCGCAAACGCAAACGCAAACACTTTAAACACTTCAACAGCTTCCCCGAGCTTGCAAACAGCAGAGCTACTATATCTCCCCAGAAAAATCGAGCATTTTGGATCTCAAATACAGCACTTATAGTTTCCAGAACTCAGTTGTCATGGCCCCCAAGAACAACAAGACGGCCGGCAAAGCCAAAGGCAAAGACACATCCGACGACAAGGGTAAAGGAAAGGGTGGATTGAAGGCAGCAACTTCTATCAACGCGCGACACATTCTGGTATGTATTTTCCTGATTTGATTATGCCTGCTTGGGGTGTTTTGTAGGCGGACAAATCCCCGGCCATGGGCAAATCAAGCTGCATCAGACAATATCTAACCTCTTATACAGTGCGAGAAACATTCCAAGAAAGAAGAAGCGCTTGAAAAGCTGCGTAACGGCACAAAGTTTGACGAGGTAGCCCGTGAATTCTCAGAAGATAAGGCTCGACAAGGTATGTTACTTTCGACATAAAACCCTTCCTCGGCACTTTTTGAGTGCTCACGTTACTTTTCAGGCGGCGCTCTCGGTTGGAAAGTTAGGGGAAGTCTTCATGGAGACTTTGAAAAGATCGCCTACGACTTGGAACCTAGTACGACCGGTAATCCTAAATATGCAGAGGTGAAGACTGGGCATGGATATCATATCATCATGGTGGAAGGGCGGAAGTGAGGTAACCTGTCAGATTAAACTTTTTATAAGCTAAAATTCGATATTGCATACAACGGCAAGGATTCTAAACGTAGAAGACAACGCACTTTGTGGTATATGTGGTATATGTGCACTGTAGATATTATCTACGTTTCTCCAAAACTAGGTACTGCTATTCCCGATCTCAAGTCGCAGATGTAGCTGCAATAGGAGTAGAGTACACCTGGGCAACGGAAACCACAGACAATAAGTCCTTCGCGTAGCCGGCTGCAGTTGCTGCAGCGTATCCTTGCCAAACTTTGTTTTTGTGTGAATCTGCATAGTCACAAATACCTCGTATGACCAAGCAAGGAAAATTATCCATGAGTCCTGCTGCTTCCATCTCAAAGCATAGAACATCAAACTCCTCCGCTAATCGATCCCGTGTCATGCCATGCCGAATGACCTGGTTTCCCGAAGCGATAAGCCCATAATGTATCTTGGGACAGCTGGTCGATCGAGGAGGCCGTTCTATCTTTCTCTCCGGATCGCATGCCTCGCATGTTGCCGCTGATCCGAAATGATCATACTCAGCCTCGAAAAGCTGATCCTGCTCCGAATCCAAACAAGCATAAGACGACCTCATCGATGGATTTTTCTCCAACATCTTATCAATATGGTGGGTTATCTTGTTATCGGCGATTAAGTGCTCTGTTCGTAACCTCGCTATTGCCGCAAGAAGAGCTGGTGGTGGTTTGTTTAAGCTTCCTGTCATTTGAATTCGGTTTCCAATGTTTCTACCAAGATCGTGCTGTATGACCCCTCCAAAATGACCAGTGGGACTGCTGACAACAACATCCCCAAGCCGCATATCAATCTTCTTCGAAGGCACGCCTCCACCTATGCCAACCATCAAACCAATTCGAATTCGTCTGAATGCATAGAGGATATGTGTGGCTACCACGGCGGCTGAGGTGGTGCCGTATACGTTGTGTGGCAAGCAAGCCAGTACAATGTTATGGGGACCAATCCGTCCTAGGATATACTGATTCGTATCACTCGGATGGATTGGCAAATCTGTGTGAACTTCCTCGAGCATCGCTTTCGCTGCTGCCATCTCTATCGGCAAAGCGCATATCCAAGCAACGGTGTAGTCATCGTGGGTACGCTCGGTATTTGAGCTCACCTGTCGGGCAGTGTCAGATTGACCAATGGTGCGCTGTATCGGGTTGGATGGATTTCGGTTGTTCTTGATGTTCAGTGTCGTCATCTCATCATTCAGCTTGGATGCAATATCGTCCAAGTGAAAAGTGGAAGTACCAGAGGGCGTGACTATGCGAGATAAACTATTCACGTGGCCCTGTTCGATCGAGCGAGCAAAGCGAAAGCTTCTGTTTTTTGTCCCCTGAAGTTTACCGTCGATCTGAACTGCTATGGAGAAGGGCTGCATCTCGTGCTGGAGGATGAGTGCAAGACGCAGCCCACCACAGGATACCGCGTCCTCCACCAACCACTCTATTCTTCGAGGAAGACCACTTGAATCCCCAGCTAAAGGCCATAAGAACCCCCCTTAGTGACCAATCAGGCTCAGTACATGGGTTGAAGCTTCTTCCCGGTATGAAATTACTCGTTGGGGTCATGAGACTACCATGTTGGAGGGAGTAGGATACATCATGCTCAACAAAACTGCCAAAACTTTGAGCGATCACCTTCTCTCCAATTTTTTGGGGTCCAAAGTAATCCGTGATAACAGGACCCAGCTGACTGCGAGTTGTGTTGCTTCGATCATGAAGATTCAACGACTGAAATGTCACTTCGACCTTTGCATTGGCAAGGTAACAGTCCTTCGGCTGGCTGATCTTGACATCCAGATAGAGCAGCCAGGCAGGTGAAGCCGGGTCCTGCCCGATTATACCCCATCGCGAATTAGGTAAGAATGAGCAGTCAATCTTAACCTTTCGAACCTCCATGTAGGCCAAACTCTGACGGTGTTGTTGCAGCAGGCATCGTGTATCCTGTTGGTACTTGTCGACACGGTGCTTCAATACGTAGCGGCTCCACATAGCGTTTTCGGTCTCATTTCTATTGCTCTTTCGGGAACAAAATTGCTTTGGTGGAAGGAGAAAGTATTTAGGATGAGGTTCGTGATCTGTTTGCGTCGCTAAACCCCGCACGTAAGCACGATCTACCAATGGGCTCCCAGGCTTTGTGATTAACACGTTAAGTAGATCAAATAACCCCTCACCTTCTTGAACACCTGGGCAGTAGTTCATCCCTACAGAAATCAGAAGTATGGGGGAACCATCCGAGCCTGTGGTTCAAGAGACGACTCCATTCTCCTTAGCTATGGAGGTGGAAGAAGATATCGAGCAAGAAATCGAGAGCTTCGTGCGGTTCAAGCGACGAGGCGAATACTTGCAGGCACAGGAGCTTTTTCAGCAAACTCTCTCCAGTCACCTCACATTATTTCCGGTCATTGCCGAGTACGCAGATCTACTTCTGGAACAAGGAAAGTTTCGAACTCTATCAGAATTTCTGGATATCCAAATTCAATACATGGAGTCGATGCTTGAAGAGGAAGAAGTGGAATTGCTATGCATCATGAGATCCCTCGTCGGGATTTATACGATGGGAGCTTTGCGCCCAGCTCTCGAGCAAGCTGAAATTACTTGGAGTTTTCTCTGTCGTCGGAGATTCGAGGTGTCTCCTGGTACACTTCCCGGCGATGTGGAGGTAGGATCTAGTCATGTTTCATATTATTGAGCTTATTGGGAGATATTTCTATACTAGTATATTGACACCAGCAGATTCACATTTTCGAGGTCTACATGAAAATTCTTGTCTTTGCTTTTACCACCTCTAACTGGGTTGGGATCAATGACATGAAATGCCCATGGGTTCATCATTCTCACGGTCGTTGCGAATTTGTTCGGTGGTATGCAATGCTATTGGAAAATGGTCAACTGTGGAATGCTTCCAATATCCTTGTCATTCTTTTGAAGCTACTTCCATCATTGGAAACCCAAGATGTTGCTATCTTGTTCAGAGAAAATCCCTTTGGCGACGTGCGGAACTTTAAACACTTGGTTAAATGGAGTGAGACAAAAAACTTGCTCACATTTACCGCTAGCTTCAATCGAGCACAGGCACTCCTTGATCTTACCCTGGGGCTATATAGGCAGCGTGACGACGACGACTACGAAAAGCTTTACGAAATTGCACTTGCCTACCATTTAATTGCGGAGGACTTGGTTGGAATCATATTTTCTGACGGTTCACTCGGCCTAGGTAACGCCAGATACACAATTCAGAGAATGGCATTTAAGCAAGCTTCAAAAATCTTTCACAAAAAAGTTCCGACGAACTATCGCACTGTGGACCTTCAACACTTCTCTCAGAATTTGCTCCGGCAAGACATGCAATGCTATATCATATCTCAACTGCGGCTTCTTTTTGATCGCCTCACTGTTTCTTCCAATCCATACATCTCATATGATTTGAAGACTCTTCTTGATATTCAATTGCATACTCAAGGAGATTTCACAGGCTTTATTCGTACATATGACCTAGTATGCTATACCCTATCACTTTGCGATTTTCGGAAAGTTGCAGCATGTCTCTCTAGAAAAGCTTCATTGTCGTCAGAGATTGACAGTTGCCTACTGCATATCGATTCAGCAAACCAAATTTCTGCTCTCTGGCAGTCAATGCCGGCCTTTGCAAAAATGCTTGGGGCTAAGATGGAGCATGCCAACCAAAGTGAGAATTCAAAATTTGAACTCTTCGAGCTCGGAAAACGATTAATTTGACTAAATATTATGCAGAAACTTCAAAAACGTTTGATATCCCGCTTTATCAGTGGGCAATCTATCGCAGCTCACAAGATTTGAATTCAATGCTCAGAGAACGTGGTATCCTTGAAGAAAAGCTGCCGCTCTACAAGGAAATATCCCCTCAAAAATCCCGACAAAACTTGCCAGTTATTGAGTGGGATCTCAAGAAAATCGCCATGTTTGCCAAATTGATAAGTGACAAGCAGCCAGCTCCAGACCCCGGGGTCTCTATTTTAGGTGCTCAAAGTGTGACACTGGAGAGAAAAGCATTATTAGAGCAGGAGCTCGCTGAAGCCAAAGAGGAACTCGACAGGTACATTATGAATATGGCTGTTTCGAAAGACTCGAGATACTAACGATACTAGACTTAAGCAAGAACGCGACAGGTGGTGGCGGGAGCACTAGCCCCCGTCTGAGGCCTCCATGCGGACGTGCTTAGCTAAGGCTACTTAACTAAATACAGAAGCCCCGAGAAAGCAACTCTTGGCCCTGATTCTGCACAATGCCTATCAAAGCTGCCATGGAACCCCATCCAAAGGTAACGCTTCAGGTTGGCCGGGAGAAAGAGGCCCACTTGAGCTCCGGTCTCTGTGGCTCTGGCCAGTACATTGCTCCTGAGGAGTACACCGAGAAAGAATTTTATTCTTCCGTTGCGGACGTATGGGTAACTGAATTGATTTATATGGCCATGCGCACTGGTCAATCTCCGTGGGGGGTCTCTGGCCAAGATGATCAGTTTCATAAGCAGTATCCAGAGCGTAGGCATAAGAGGGGATATTCACCAATAGAGAGACTACATCAGGTAAGCAGAGGCTCACTCAACTGAACAAAGCTTATAGGATAATTGACTAACGACAACCTATTTTACTCTCTAGGCCTCCTGCCGCAACGTGATCTATGCCATCCTGGACCCAGACCCGTCACGTCGCATCACTGCTTCACAAATACTCAAAACTGAGTGGGTACGTCAAATCAAGCTATGTGCTGCTGGAGAGGAAGGGCTTTAGAATAATCTGGCTAGACGAAGCGGTATTAAAGAAACATCAATCGGAAGTATGATGACAGTTACTACCCAGTAGATAGTGAGGATGAATTGTATTGCTCGTATCTACATCCGTAACTCCGACATAGAACAGAAAATTAAGAAAATTAAGAAAATAATACAAAGGGCTTTAATCTACTGCTGTTTCTTAGCCGCCTCCTTCTTAGCCAGTTCCTTCGCCTTTTTCTCCTGTTTCTGGACAACAGCCTCAGCCCCGATGCCACCGAACACCAGACCAATACCCAGCCACTGACCAGCGGACAAAGCATGGCCGAACCAGAAGACACTCAGAAGCATCGTCAACATCTTACGCGTAACAGTCACCGTTACCAAAAGAAGAGACGAAAAGCGCGACAGTGTGTAGAAGATAAAGAGCTGGCCGACAGCTCCACACGCAGCGAATCCAAGAACATGCTTCAAGGCTTCGGGGTGGCGCGCGAGGAAAGAGATTGAAGAGTACAGCTCCGTCTCGGTGGAGGGTGGGATCGGGATTGGGAGTATATTGTGCAGGATACCGCCCTGCGAGAGATGCGGCATTATGAGAAGGTATGCAGCCGTCAAGACGGTGGAGAGCACGTTCTGCGCAACCATCATCTGGGGTCCCGTGAAGCGGGTGTACAGCTTCGGAGAGGAAAAGACATGGTCTTGCGTTGTGTTCGTCAGACCGTCGAGGAGTAGATTAATGGACAGCAAGAAAATGCCCCACGCCGAGGAACCGGACTGCTTCGAGGCTGAGGCGGCGACTTTCTTGCTCGTGCCTGGGTGGTGCAGGGTGAAGGTTGCCACGCCCAGCGTCACGAGAAGAACGACACCGTACTTATACAGCGGGTATTTCTTGCGGAAGATTGTCAGGTGGAGAAGCATTACAGGTAGGAGCTTGCAAGACTTCGCGAGAATGAAGGTGAGGTAGTCGATATGAGCAAGACTGGCATAGCCGAATGGAGATGCGAGGGACGAGGAAATGCTGACGAGGAGCAGGGGGAAGAGAATGCGGCGGGTCGGGAAGGGGGAGGGTGTTTTCTGGCCTTTTGGCGTAGAGAAGAAGAGGTAGATGAAGCCCGTGATGGCAGCGAACGAGGACTGGACAGTGTTCAACACCAGGGAGTAGGTGAATCGCTCAGTAGGGGGTTCTGGTTCGGCGGCGGTTGCGGCGTGAATGGGGTAGGAGGTGGTGGTGATCGCCTCTTGCAAGACGCCCCAAGAGAGGCTTTTATCTATTAGTTACCGGTAGTATACTTGAGTTCGGACGAATCACTTACAATGCGGCGTAGATACCGAGAACGCAGATGAGAAGCTGGGTCAAGCCTGGGGTATCGACCTCCGGTTCCAACACAGCTACAAGTTCCTTAACAGACGCGCTGACTTTGGCATCCGAGCCCCCCCGTGCTTCCATTTGTGTTCTTCTCGGCAACTTCGGGCTCATTAGGGGGCATATTCATGAGTGAGGACGAGGGGGCTCGCTGGAGCGGCGTTGTTTGCTTTTGGCGGCCCATTGTGATGGACTTGGGACGGAGACGGAGACGAAGGATGGAATGATATGGGGACAAGGCGCGCGAAATCAATCAGATATGGAAAAGAGAGGATATATGCAACACAAGAAGCAGAGAGGGGGTAAATGAGAGGTTTTCCCTTAGACCCTTGGAGCTTAAAAAAAAAGATGATGCCATGTGTTCTTAGTTCCATCTTATCGATGCGCAGATCACTCCGGGCCCCACTCCACCGCGCCCTGCAGAACTGAGAACTTTTACAAGAAAAGGACCTATGGATCTTCAAATATTCACGAAAGAGGGGAGACAATTTCATTTTTGAGTCCAGGCCATATTTCACAAATCATTGAAATGCAATCCTCTCGGAATTGAGGCTTCCCACTGTTCTACATTCGATATACAGCCTATACTGGCAGGCGGTGTCTTCGAGCTATTATATAAAGAAAGCGGTGTCCATCAAACTGCTGGACATCGGCAAACTTTCTGCGAAAACAGTCATCACGAGCAGCAACCCACCACCAGGATCTTTCACAAGCTCCGACTCCCCAATAACAACCAACAACAGCTCAAAATGACAACAAAACGCATCGAGAATCCCATCCCCGAGCTCTCCCAGCTCAGTGAGCTAATAGACTCAACCTCCGCCTCTACAAACCCCCAAGCAGCAACAACCCTTCAAATCCTGCACAACCTCCAACATCAACACCTCTGGACATCCCTCCAAATCCATGCATCCCCCTCCAATAGCACAAGCTCAGGGCCCCAAGAATCCCGCCCGCCATTGATCTCCGGTGTCCCCCCAAGCCGCGTATACACCCACCCAGACGAACAACTATACATGTTAGAGCAGGGTCTTCGCGAAGACGATCTCCGCCCAGAAAGACTAGTTGTGATCCCCACCGCGCAGGGCCAGAACTGGTCTCTTCGCCGTATGGCTGCGGTTTTCGATGCACTTGATGAGATCACAATTGCCGCAGATGATGAAGCGGACTTCGAGACGCGGCCGCCTGTTGAGGGTGACAAGGTGCAGAAGCTGGAAGAGTATTACCAGCGCAGGGAGAAGGCCAATGCTACACTGGAGTGGGGCTCGAAGCGAGTACTTTTGGGTATGGTGAATAAGGGGATGGGCGGTGATGGGACGGTGGTTTATTATATTGTGCAAGGGGGTGAGGTCAAGCCTCGACAGAACTAAAGTCGAGGAAATGACGATGCCTTACACCTCGCTCTGCCTCGCTACATTGTGTGGTTGGTATGTGAAGTGGAAAAGGCAATTGGCTTATTTTTGAGTGTTGCTCTCGAACATATTTGCTAGAAAGCGAAGGGTCGGTACCAGTATGTACACCGACAATAGATCCACGAAGCACGCATCATGGCGTGGCCGCCGGGTATTATATGCAAAGGACAAAGAGCTGCAAAGAAGTTTACGTGCGATGGGGTTCCAGGGTAGCGGAAGGGTGAGAGCCTCAAACAAGCAGATTTTCAGCACCATTCTGCAGGGCCTGCTCTTGCTCCAAACGACAGCTTGAGCAATACCTATCGTACCATTCCGTCACGCTGCCGGTATTTTCAGCAAAGATGCGCTCTGCTTGGGCTTGTGCGCCTGCTTCGCCCTGTTCGCTATTGCCACTCAGGAGAAGTTCGACCTGCCGACAACGTCGTAGCTCTTCGCGGAGCCAGCGTTCCCATTCGTTCTGAACGACTTCTTTCTCAATGCTGTTCACCACGCGCAGAGCAACAAGAAGATTGTATCGGTATGTGCCAAGACGTTCACGCGTTTGCTGGAAGCGCTTAGCGGCGCTCTTGGCCACTGCATCTCTAAGCCCGGAGGTGCTGAGGGAGAGGGGGAGTTCTGAATAGCGCATGGAGTTCTCGTGAAACGTGCTGAAACACGTGCTGGCGTTTCCGTTGCTGGGCCAAATAGTCGTGTTGGCAATTGCCTCGTCGATATCTTGGATGTAAATCGCCTTGCTCATGACCAGGTTCGGCTGGACTCCGATTCGAGCCATGAAATTGCTCGCGTGTCTCTCATGCCACCAATCCCAGGTATCGCGAGACGAGTAGAATCCATTCATGAGCGCACTTGATATCAACAAGACTAAGATGACTTTGTGGGCGCTCACGGTCTTCCAAGACCAGCGCAAGATGTCAAACGACGCCAACAACAAGAAGGAAATGGTGCTTTCCATGAAGGATAGGAATGTTTCCAAAAGCAGCTGGTGCATAGTCCGCTGGGTTCGCCGCTTGCGAGGCTCCAATTTCAAGTTGACCCCAACTCCTGCAAAGTGGGAAACGCTATTCTGACGTCCAACATGGCCGAATATAGTGATAGCCTTCTTGGTGCGACTATGTGCACCAAGGCGGCGGACCTGGTCGTTCACAAGGTCGACGAGATCTAGGGCATCTTGTTCGAGATCTTCGCTCGCTTTCTTGCTGATCATATCTAGAACAAGAACATTAGGCAACGTTTGAATACATGTCAGCAGAATATGCACTTACTCTTTAGTCCGAGTGGAGACTTAAGCCACTCGACCTTGGTGTAGATAGCAAGCTTGCTCTTGGATTTCGAAACGAATGTGATCACAACCTTGCTCACCAGCCGGAAAGATCTTCGGAATGGTAGATGCCATGGTGTGCGTTTGTCAGTAATAACATAGCACAGATGATCATTCAAGACATCAATGATTTGGTAATCCAATATGTCGTTGTCATTGCATTGGCCTAGTCGAACAATCTCGATCAGCACAATTCCCTTCTTGTTCATTTGAATGTACTCACCTAAGGCGTTCGTCGTTGCGATCGTATAGTTGATGTCTCGCCTAAGATGCCGGGATTCGTTGCTCGCCCAAGGCCCTTGTTTGATATCTGCGGGAGGAGTTAGTATTGATAGACCGCATAGTAGACACAATTTGGCTGACCTCGAGCTTCTCGCTCATGGAGCAGAAGCTGCCAAACAGCACTCTTGTCACCGAAGAGAATGTGGAAGAGAGCCTTAGGGCTGATATCCAAAATCTTCTCGACTGCTAATTTCAGATCGCCCTGGGGGACATATTCGACAGGTTGAGTAGGGAGTCTGAATTTCGGAAGGTTCTGCCCACGACCTTTACCACCATCAAGGTCAAGATCCTTGTCGATGTAGATCGGAAGACGTAGATCCTTCCCGTGTCCGTGGGCAATAAGATTGTTGTCACCCTTAGATTCCCCAGGGCCAGAAAGGTCTTCCCAGCTATCTACGCTTGAAGACCTTTTCGTGGGCCCACTGTCCAATTTTATCAGATCGCTGATAACATTCTCCACGCTCAGGGGCTCAACTGCAATTGATCCTTGAATCAGGTAGCTGAGACGTTTCTGAAGCAGCCGAAGAGGCTCCAGGAAAGTCTTGATTGCGATCCTTCCAGGGGTGTCACTTCCCAGGGGAGGAATTGTGTGCAGGAAAAGGAAATCACAGTCTCTTCCTGGGGCCGCTGTCACTTCTTTGATGCTCCCCAATGAGACACTGGTTGTTAGCACCAGTCCAAAGTGGTGGCTGTAGAAGTAAATGTTTTCGGTAGTGACATAAGCTCTGCCAGGGAACTCTTGTTGGTCGTTTGGACTCCAAGTTGCCCTAAATACCAAGACCAAGGACTCTTCTCGTTTGACATCGGGGAAGAGCAATCGGAACTGAGAATCCTGAATTTTCAGCTGTTGAGGGTAGTTAGCAGGGTACTGCTGTGGAGCAACACCCACAGCGGCCTCCACGGCAGCCTCCAAGGCAGCTCGCTGGATCTTGGATGCATTTCCATCCAGGCTCACTGTCTGTCTATGGCGTGGCCCGCTCGGCTGCCCAGAGATTGGGGAAACAGTCGGTTTATCTGGGTGCACAGCAAAAGTTCGTTTAGAAGAATCACTCTTCGCCGACGAAGGTCGATCTGATATCGATTCATGGTCCCCATCCGGATTCTCTCGTTGGAGCTTATTGATGAAACCCCAATTCGAGCTACCCCACAGATTGGCCATCATACCACTAGGCATGCCACCCGTGCTGTCAACGTGCCCTAGCCCTATCCCCCTTTCATTACTCACGACCACGGCAGCTTTACTCATACTTGTTGGAGCAGGCGGATTTGCAAGGGTAGCAGGTGCCAGATTTGCCCCAGGTTCCTCAAGATTGCTCAGGCTGCGACCCCTATGTTGACCATTCTCGGCCAGATTGACTGGAGCAGCGCCAGCATAGGGAAGAACATTGTGGCTAGCCGAAATAAGACTTGCTATTCCACTTGCAGGGCCGGGGATGGAAGGGGACGTGGGCGCCGCGTTATTAGACTTGCGATGAAGATCCAGCTTCTGAATGATTCGATTCGTGTGTTCACGGGCGTGATCTCTGGTCGATCCCTCATGGTCCAAGCCAGTCAGTCTGCGGCCTCCCACATCGGAGCTCTTTCTGAACGCATCGTGATCAGGAACAGGCAAGGTTGAGCTGCGCTCGTTGCTACTTGGCTCATCGGCCGTGTGGGGCGTCAGCGAATCGGTTGGGTCTGCTGTGAATTCCGGCGCAGGAGGCTGAGAGATTGAAAATGCGGGATCTTGGACGGTCACTTTGCCGGAAATCGACATATCAGTGCTAGAAGGATTCTCCAAGGCTTTCTGCTTAGCAGCCTCAATGGCACCAATCCACTCCATCAATTCCTTTTGTGTTTCCGCCTGCAGGACTATGGTGCTGTTCTTGGTTTTGACCTGGAAACAGAACCGACGTTCTTCCTGGAAAGCGGGACGGACGCTGCACAGCAACACGCCGATCCGTTCACTCTCTTCGACACCGCCAGTCCGAGCGCCCTGCACAAGGCATCCGATGATACCATATTTCAAAAAAGCCCATCGTCTCACCCATACTGTGCGAGTTGGTTTTCCGTATTGGGTGCGCAAATTGACCCAGCCTTGTTTTTCTGGTCTGGCGTCCTTGCCCATGTTCAATGTTGACAGTGGCCGAGATCCGAGATACGGGACTGTGGAAATGGAGTAATCCTCAAGTTCACGAGACGGCCGCGCTGCCACTTCCGCAGCTTCCTCGATTTGTTTTCTGGTTGCAAAAAGTTCTCGCTTGGAAGATCTGTCACTGGCCTCCATTTCGTGGACCCAACCCTTGACACGGTCCATCTCATTCGACCACTTCGAGAAGGTCGCGCTATTATTATTGTGGAAGGAGCGAAATTCGCGCCATTGGTCGTAAGAAATGCGAACTAAGAGCCGGTCCAGTGCATTGCGAGTCTGAGGGGCCTGGACCGAGAAATCGAGTGACGTCTTCAGGTAGATCTTGCGGGCTTCATGCAGCTGGAAAGCTTCCTCTCGCAGGGCGGAGGTTTCCTTGGACTTGGACTGGGCAGCATATCGGGCTTGCAGATAGTCGTACGACTTTTGCGCGTGTTCGAGGGCTCGGCGGTTCTCCTATATCGATGTCAGATCCACATCAAAACACGGCCCCAAAGCCACCTAATCGTCCCGGTCCCCGGCGGAAATTACCTTGAATTGTCGCAAATCTTCTTGAATGAAGGCTCGGATAGGCTCGGCGATCATCGATTCCATCTTCTTTGTCGTCGCAACCAATCCACTCCACAGGTCCTTTGAGCCTTCCCCACATCTCCTCATCGCCAACAGAGTGTAATCATGATCAACAACGGCCTCGGAGATCACCAGCGGGTGCGTGGAATAGGAGAGGAAGCTGCCGACCACGCTTTCCAGAGTGTTCAACTCGGAGGCCAGTTTGGTCGCAGCTTTGGCGTATCCGTCAAGCCATTTCTCGACGAACTCGACCTGATCGCAGAAGTGGTGGGTGGTAGCGCGGAAGGTTGGGGAGTCGAGGGCGGCTTCTTTGAGACCAACCGGCCTAGAATAATAAACATAGTATTAGCATTGATAGGTTGGTCCCGATACGTCTAGACATACACGACGCTCACGAGCTTCCCGACTGGGGGTAACGGGGTGGTTGCTTGAGTCGACATCTAGTGCATGCCTCCACCATACACTCAGACGCGAACAAGAAAGAATAGACACTTGAGGTGTGTCAATCGAATATTGGTTGGCGAAGTGAATGAAGGAAAGGAAAATATGTCTAGAGAGAGCTTTCCAATGTGCTGTTCAGTTGAAGTGAGACCCTCCAGCCTGGACTAGACTGGACTGGACTTGGACTGATGATTTAATTGGCTACGTCAGGGCGGGTACATGAGGAAGTTCAGGCAGTCAGGCAAACACAGTCAAAGGCGGTGTGCGAATTTTTTTCTTTCTGCCGAAACCCGCCCGCAAGGTCTGCCCAGAATTGGAGAAGAGTTCAACATTCAACACACTGAAACAATGGAGCCTCCTTCGAAGAAGATGCGCAAGCTTTTGGACGATGATAGCTCAGACTCCGGCGATGATGCCGGAGGTGTTTCTCTTGGAAAGTCGCCCGAGCCGGGCTTCAAAGTCAACGCCGAATATGCCAAACGGTTCGAGTACAACAAAAAGAGAGAAGAAGTCGCGAAACGTAAGTTTACCAATGGGCTTTGCTTTGTGTTTATTTCTTGTCGTTTGGAATATACTGATTAAAGAATTTATTATACAGTGGAGGCAAAATACGGCAAGTCCAACATGGGCAAAGCCAACGAGCCATCTGACGAAGAGTCCTCCGACGAGGACGAGGATGAGGATGGAGAGCTAGCTACTAAGGCTCTTGACGCTGAGATCCTGGCCACCCTCAAGGCGATCCGATCCAAGGACCCAGCCGTGTACGACAATAATGTGACTTTCTACACCAAGTTCGACGAAAACGCCGATGCCGCCGATGCCGCCCCCAAAAGAAAAGAAAGAGAAGACGATGACACTGCACGATTACCACCGCGAGAACCTGCTGAAGGGACTTGACCCGGCTGAGGAGGAGGACGATTCTCCTAGAACCTTCGCGCAAGAGCAGGCCGACCTGAAGAACGAGGTTGTCAAGGCCATGCACGAGGGCTCAGACGATGAAATGGATGATGCGGATGACTTCCTTGTCCGCAAGTCTGGTCCCGAAGAGCTCCCGGAGGAGAAGGTCGAGCTTGATATCGAGAATGCCGACAAGGACCCGGAGACCTTCCTTTCCAACTTCTTGTCTGCACGCGCATGGATCCCCGAAGGTGGACGAGAGCTCAATCCTTTCGATTCGGACGACGAAGACGATATGAAGCGGGCAGATGCTATGGAGGAGGCCTATAATTTCCGTTTCGAGGACCCGAACAAGCTCAACGAGGTGCTTGTCACCCACGCTCGTGACACTACAAACGACCTTTCCGTCCGTCGTGATGAGAAGAGCGCGCGTAAGAAGCTACGTGATGCTGAGCGTCAGCGCAAGGAAGAGGAGAAGAAGCTACGGGAAACGGAGAAGAACCGTCTCCGTAAACTCAAGACGGAGGAGCTTCAGACGAGGATCAACGAGATCAAGGAGGTTGCCGGTATGCAGGCCGAAAACTTTACCGATGAAGACTGGGCTAAGTTCCTGGATGGCGCCTGGGATGGCGAGGAGTGGGAATCGGAGATGCAGAAGCGATTCGGAGAGGGTTACTACGCCGGCAAGGACGCTTCTGGCAAGAAGCACCCCAAGAAGCCGGAGTGGGATGACGATATTGACATCACAGATCTGATTCCCGAATACAAGGATGACGATGATAACGCCAAGCCTACCATTGAATCCGACAACGACGAAGAGGAGGGTGATGGTGAGGGTGAGGACTCTGAGCCTAAGAAGAGTAAAGCCCAGGAGAAGCGTGATCAGAAGCGCGAGGCCCGCAAGGACCGTCTTCGCATTGACGAAGCGGTTGACCGCAACCTTGACCTCGACATCACCCTGCTCCCTGGTGCCACCAAGAAGAATGCCACTCGCTTCCGCTACCGTGAGACCTCACCACAGAGTTTCGGTCTAACTGCACGCGATATTCTCATGGCGGATGATAACCAACTTAATCAATTCGCCGGTTTGAAGAAGTATGCTGCGTTCCGTGAGGCCGAACAGAAGGCCAAGGATGAGCGAAAGCTGGGCAAGAGAGCCCGGATTCGTCAATGGCGAAAGGACACATTCGGCAATGAGGATGGCCCTGCTTTCGAATTTGGCTCTGGCAAGAAAGTCGAGGAGAAGGAGGAAGCGGATGGGGATGAGACGAAACTCGACATTCGCGAGGGTGATGGACGGAGAAAGAAGAGAAAGCGTTCGAAGAAGAACTAAGCGCGGGCGCCAAAAGCTGTCATACTGTCAATAACTTGTCATTGGGAAAGTGGAGTTTATTCAGGTTTATGTATCTATTTGAATCCATGATATTTCACGAGGACTTGTGCTGCTCTAACCCTGGACTATAGAGCTACTAAATAGTACCACGGAGTTCAATTTACCTACTACTAGTAGTACTAGTAATAGGGTACGGTAGTATAACTATCATTTGGACTGTACTAGTATTTTTCTATAAACACTGTATCGTGATCGGATACCGTATTGAAAGGGGCAGCTCTGTGGCTATCGCCATTATTGTGCCTGCCAGAGGTACCTAGTATGGTCCTCGGGAGTCATGGTAGTGGTACTTAGGTAGTAGTATTAGTTAGCACCACCTTGAACTTCAATATATATATTCAACATGCCCACCTGCACTCGCACCCAGTGAGCAAGGCCCCCCAGGGGTCCAAGCCCGCTACTACTTCATATGTAGCATCGATCACTTCTATCAGCTAAAGCCTGCTACTACCTAGTACTACTACTGGTATTTACTGAAGGTGCACATTGCAAATTTATACCTGTAGTAGTATCCAGCATGTGAAATACGATATACTCAAGCCCATAGTGGACTGCAAGTGGATCCACCCCTGGCCTTGTCGGCGGTACATTGCGCATGCGGCTCACCTCCACTGTAAACCTTGTACCCGGAACATAAATAGCAGCATAAAATGTCTCATACTGGACTACGATTGGCAATACGAAACCCCTACATGCAGTACGGAGTCCCGAGGACATTGATCCGCCCGAAAGGGTATCACATCGTCTGCAAGGTTACTACGGTAATCGTATGCAAGAGATACGAACTAAGCCGATCGAACGGGTAGCTAGTAGCATGTAGGTCACGACTAGCATATGTATCTATACTGCAGCTGATAGCTGGAAACAAGTCTCCGAGCTACCTAGACAGACAGCTGAAATTGCCTCCGCTGCACTAATCACGAGCAGGTGATATCAAATTCTTCCGGCTAGAACGAATCTACTGAGAACAAAGTATGAGTAGTACTTCGTACTCCGTACGGAGTGTCCTATGCCCTGGCTCGGGACAAGAACCAAGTTTCTGGCCCTGAAATTGGCCAGGACTCGGATACTCGGGGGGGAGGAAAAAAGGAGGTGCCCCGTGTGGAGGCCCGGCATTGGCTGGGGGGCAAAATACGTACCCATACATGGTGTCCACCTACCGCGCTTGGGCGCCGTTGCTCCGGACTACGCAGGGTTTTCAAGGAGGATGAGGAAGAGAAGGAGATATTGGGAGAATTGAAGATTTTGGGGAGAAATTACCTGGGTAAACTTGGGGGTCAAGGGTGTGTTTGTAGATCGAGAATATACAGAATAGCCATTTGATACAGATTCCCTCCAAGACATTCTTCACACCCAAACAAGCCACGTCGCACGGATTGAAAAATTTGCATGGCAGCGATCGGGAGAATTCGGCCTGCCGGGCAGACCAGAGACGAGCGATACACGGGCAATACGATAGATTACGGTAAAAAAGAACCTGATTGGGTGTTAGTGGCCTCCCGTCGCTTCTGCCGCTGGTATTTTTGTCGCCCCCTTCCGCCCCGGCACCCTTCTTCTTCTTCTTTTTCTTCCTCATCCCCATCTTTCTTGACACTCCCCATCTCCTCTCTTTTTTTTGTTGTCGCATTCATCTTTTGCACAACCTTTCACAATGGCTACCGGTGATGTTAACCAGGGCGATAAGTCCGCTTTCGGCATGCCCGTAAGTTCTACCTCTTTCTTCCCTTTGCCCCTGCCATCACATCCCGGTTTTTGCGACTCCATCAATTCGAATGCATCATCAATCCGATTTCGATATCCATCTTCATCGGAAGATGCTTCGAATTGATGGACTCTGCTCAACCGGACAATGGCTCATGGGAGCAATTGATCAATGTTTGAGAGGATGAACATGCTGACGAAAATTTTTTCACAGGGCTTCGTTGTCGACTTCCTGAGTACGTACAACACCTTTAAACCTCCGGTCTTCACATCGGATCCACAACAATCAATGCACTCCATGACCAGCTACTAACTGATTCACAGTGGGTGGTGTTTCCGCCGCTGTCTCCAAGACCGCTGCCGCCCCCATTGAGCGTATCAAGCTCCTGATCCAGAACCAGGTTGGTCAATCTTCAATCCATCGAATCGCTACTCGCCATGGACATTGCAATGAAATACCTTCTACCCTCTGTTGCGATTCAACCGACTGGCCTTTCACCTTGATGTGATATCGCCTCGGTAGTCCCGGCTTCAGCAAGGGTTGAAGAATTTTTTTTCGCGTCCGTGCTCGGCAGAAGTCGCGTTTCTGTCGATCGGTCACTAATCCGATTTTTTTTTCCACCTAATAGGATGAGATGCTCAAGGCTGGTCGTCTGTCCCACAAGTACGCCGGTCTCGGTGACTGCTTCAAGCGCACCATCGCCGATGAGGGTATGGTTTCGCTCTGGCGTGGTAACACTGCCAACGTCATCCGTTACTTCCCTACCCAGGCCCTGAACTTCGCTTTCCGCGACACCTACAAGTCCATGTTCGCCTACAAGAAGGAGCGTGATGGATACGGCAAGTGGATGATGGGTAACCTGGCCTCCGGTGGTGCTGCCGGTGCCACTTCCCTCCTCTTCGTCTACTCCCTGGACTACGCCCGTACCCGCCTGGCCAACGACGCCAAGTCCACCAAGGGTGGCGGTGACCGTCAGTTCAACGGTCTCGTGGATGTCTACCGCAAGACCCTCGCCAGTGACGGTATTGCCGGTCTCTACCGTGGTTTCGGTCCCTCCGTCTTCGGTATCGTCGTTTACCGTGGTCTGTACTTCGGAATGTACGATTCCATCAAGCCCGTTCTCCTGGTCGGCTCTCTTGAGGGCTCTTTCCTCGCCTCCTTCCTGCTCGGCTGGACCGTCACCACCGCTGCCGGTGTTGCCTCTTACCCCCCTGGACACCATCCGTCGTCGCATGATGATGACCTCCGGTGAGGCCGTCAAGTACTCTTCTTCCCTCGATGCTGGTCGCCAGATCGTCGCCAAGGAGGGTGTCAAGTCCCTGTTCAAGGGTGCCGGTGCCAACATCCTGCGTGGTGTTGCCGGTGCCGGTGTCCTGTCCATCTACGACCAGGCCCAGCTCCTGCTCTTCGGAAAGAAGTTCAAATAGATAACTCGCCCCTAAAGCGGATTATTTAAACACCTGTAGTCATACTGGGGATGGGGATGATACCCTGCTCGGTATAGCCGGGTGATGGGGAAGCAGAGGTTGCTGGACCTGCAAAAGATAGATGCGTCAAGAAATGGGTCTGGGGGATCTTGAAGCATAGAATGGTGTGATTCTTCCCTTTTTTGTACCCGATGTACTTTACTGCCTGCAAACTCTTTTTCTTTTCTTCGATTGTACATGATCCAGTGCATTTGTAAACGAACTTGTAAACTGTAGTCAAAACACGACATTGAGGCCACATCTTCTAATATCTGCATCACCTGCGTTACTTGTCGTGCAACACTATTCTCCAAGTGCCTGATTCTCCTTATCCTTCTGCCTGGGAGCCAGATCTGGCTGTTTAAGATGTTCTGGCTTCATCTGGATATCACGTAAAGGTAGTATACTATAGTACATGATATGGGCACCATTATTCACCTGGAAAATAAAATTATTCAACAATTTTATACCCAAGTGCTCCCTGTCTTGATCGACAATAACAGTTCATCAGCTCTCCACGAAAAATCCCAAAGCGGCGACCGCCCCACTGCGGCAGGCGCATGACGTTTTGGGGCTTGAGCTCCTTGAAGCTCCTTTCTCTCTCTCTCTCTCTCTCTCTCTCCTCTTTTCTTCAACTCCTCACTATTCAAAATTTCAAGTCAAAATGTCCGGCATACAGACCTACACATCTGCGCCCCTCAATTCCAACAAGGAAGAGGACTCTACTCCCACCCAAGCAACCACCTCAAACCTCGAACCCGCCACCGCAACCGACGCTTCAACAACAGCAACCACCGATCTCCCAAACCCCTCAGCACCAGCTACAGCCACAGCCACAGCACCATCCTACTCTCCCATCCCTGCACCAGCGCAGAATGCCCAGCCAGGCGCCGCTCCCAGCCTCCCAACACCAACACCAGCATCCGCCACTGCTGCCCCATCAGCAAACTTAACCGGCACTCCAACAACCACCCTGCCACCAACCTCGTCCTCCCCAGCACCACCTCAACCCGGCGCCGTCCCAACCGCAACACCTCCAAACCAACAAGCACAATCCCCCGTACCCCCCCCACCGAAGGCAGGCGAAGCCATCCCACAACATCCTCCCACCCACCCAACAGGACCGGCGCAGGCACAGGCACCGCCGGCCGCATTCACACAGTCCTACTCCTTCCACCGCTCCCCACAGTCCCACCACCCCCCAAACTCTACCTCGTCCCCCTACGCAAATCTATATAACCCCCCCATCTGGCAGTTCGCAGCCCGGTCTCCCTCTGCATAGCGGTGGGAGTGGTGGTGGTGGAGGCGGCGGTGGTGGCGCGGGGGATATCTTCCCTGACGAAGAAGAGGGATTTATGGGAACGGCTAGGTCGTGGATGCAGAGTGCTGGGACGAAGTTGGCGGAGGTTGAGGCTGAGGTGTGGAAGCGGATTAATGATGCACATGGTAAATAGGTCTGACCGGTGATGTGATGTGATGTGAGTTGGAGAGGGTGTCTGGAAGCTTTATGCTTTTTTTTTCGGAATTATTATGTTATGTTTCGGGAGATATGATCGGGTTCATGGTTTTTCATTTGGGAAATTTATTGCTTTCTTGGGGGTAAGAAGGAGGCCGGCGTTTTTGTTTTTATTGGTCTCTCCTTTCGGGCGGAGGGGGCTTTCTCTTGGTTTGGGTGGTGAGTGCTTCGGGTCTAGGAAGCTTGATTGAAATTTGTACATGGTCATGCGTCTCCGCTTGAGTCTTTGGCCTTTGGTCCAATCACTCCTCAGCTCGGCTGGTAAATGTTATTCTACTTTGATCTGAACCTTGGAAATATGGTATAGAGCCCGGAAGAATAAAATGATGCAGAGTCGCACTGCGAAGCCTCAATGACAGCATATTCTTGATCTCCTCTGCACTACGTGTGCCTCCTTATGCATGTATACTTCCAAGGTTGTCATGGCACCCTCCCTGCCTTCTCTGTCTGGGCACAGCTTCAGCTTTACGTGATAGCTCTACGAGATGGTACATAGTAATATAACCTACGAACTTCAAGTTCCAAGAAATTCTAGTTATATCAATGTTCCTCCATCAGGATCGCATGCCCAGGTGTGATTACTAGTAGTGAGTTTCGCCAATCAATTTACCGAATATCATGAACTTGCTCCTCTCACAACCTTCAAGTTGTCCTCTCTCGAAATCAAGTCTGGTCATTCTCCCTACATCGCAAAGTCGTCACTCTACTAGTAGTCAATATATATTATTTGGAATGACACTTATCTAAATTGAACATTGAAGTTTTCTGACCCAATTCCTCATTAATAGCATGCTAGTTCAGGCCTCCTCACTAAAAGCAGGTTGCCGCTATGTGGTACTTTTGTAGCGACCGCTAGTAGGTTATGTTGATGCAGAGGATGGCAAATTCCAAGGTTTGGGGCTACAGAGCTCTCATTTGGTTAAAGGCTTACAGCCACGGTTAGATAGTACATTGAATACATTGACAGGGCATATAATGCTGCCCAGGTGGACTTTGATGAACCTTTGGCACATGATATCCAGCTGTGTTGCAAATTGAATGCTACTAGTACTAGTGAATCTACGGCTACGAAAAGAAATCGGTCCCAGAAGATTAATAAAAGGGTGTTCAATTCAAAATGGATATCCACTATTTGGATTTATCCCTAACCTAAGACAGACAGACACAAACCAGTGCCCGTATATATGTACGTATCCACAACGGCGGACTCAATTCCAAACATACCGGGCACACACAACCCAGACGAGAAGAACCAGGAACGAAGTATCAAGGATAGAAACTCTCAGTAGAATCAATTAAGATGACCGAGAACCAACCAGAAACAGAAAGATAGAGCCAGACAAATCCCACAAAAGAGTGAACGTGTATGCCAGTGCAGTGCAATGAAGACGACCGACAAGCTCGTTTTCTTCCGAGATTGAAAGACATTCTGTTCATGACCAGGATAGAGTGGAGTGCTCAGAACACATAAGATGAGAAGTATGAATCCGAAGAGGAAAATATTAGAAAAAAGTGTAGGTTCGAAAAGGGTCGTGAGAGATCCGATGGGTATGGTTGAAGCCCCGGACCTGCATATGCAGAAAAGTGATTGCGGAAAGTAAAAAAGAATAATCAAGTCGAAGGGGGTATTTGTGCTTTTCACGTCGCAGCAGGGTTCAGTAGCCAGCAGGGCTGCGGTGGAAGTGCAAAAATAATGGGAAACGCAGAAAGGGCATTCCCAACGCCGTTGTTCCCTCCAAAAACCATGTCGTAGAGCATGTCAGGCGTCAATGAAGATTGACATGTTCGGCATGTCTTTTCTGATGAAGACACAATCGTAACAAAAATAGAATAAAACGAAGAATCACATCAAGAGTGGTCCGGACCAGCCTTGGCAACCCAATTATAGGTATAAACGACAGGGAAAACGTGTAGCCCCGAAAACTCAAGAAACTCCGTGAACGAGGAAACCCAAAACGCCGATCATGAATGTGGGTAGAGAGGCTTTACATGGAGCCCAAGCGGAGTAGCGCCTCTACCGCGGCGCGTTCCTGAGTGTCAAAAGTGCGGGGCGGCTTCGCGTCGGGAGTGGGTCCGCCGCCAAAAAATCCAGCAGGAAGAGGCTTCGCTCGAGCTGCAACATTGCTGCGAACGAAAGGACCGCTACCACCACCTCCGTTGAACGAGCGGGCGCGCAGGGCATCCGCACCGATCTGAGCCCAGTCTTCCTCGTCTGTGTCTGTGCCTTCATCGAATTCGTCTTCCTGCATCTCATCCGGCGCTTCGGAGGAGGAACAGTACTCCAGCCCGTCTTCGCCGTCCAGGGACATCTTGTCGGCTTCGTGTTCGAGCATGTCGCGGTCTCCAGGTAGGTAATCCTCGGTATACGAGAAGGCGGCGGAGTCCATGCCAGGGGCATATGAATACCGACGATCGTTGACGCGACCTTCGATTTGCAATCCACGTTGCTGGAACGAGCCTACAACGCTGGAGGGGGGGCGAGGAAACGTCGAACGAGCGTTCACGCGGAGACTCCCCACGTCGTCGCGCGTCCCAACGCCCCCAGCCGATTTTCTCAAAAATTACATCGCCGTTCGTCCCACCAGCCTCGCCGCCATTCCCACGGCCTTCAAGCGCGGCAACAACCAGACGTCGTGCTTTGGCAGGGGGGATCCCTGAGAATCCCGGCACAGAAGTTGTCAGGTGGCCCATGACATGACGGATGGCCAGAGGACCCTGCGAGAGCAAGATCTCTGGAAGATGGTAACGCGCCAGCATGGCCGGGGTGATGGCACCGGCGCTATCCAGCTCGTGGGCAGGCTGCGGCTGGTTCTGACTGTTGGCATGTTCGACCGCGTCTTCCAGGTCGATGTCCGAGTCCAGCTGCGGCACCGTCGACAGAGGCGAACCGGGCGACAGCGCGGCGCGATGTTTGAAGGCGTGTGGGGGGAGAGTGGGTGAGATGGAGTTGGGTGGCGTCGGAAGCATGGCCGGTTGGCCAGGACGCAACGAGGCCTTGCTTGGGACGCCCGACCGGGGCTTGGGGATGTCAACGGAGGCAGTCTTGCCAGCAAGAGCCATAGCGATGCTGGAGTTGGTTTGCGATGCCATGATGGGTGGTTGAGAAGAGATGAAATTTGTCTGTGTAGCGCGCAAGGCAAGGCCATATATGAGTCAGACGTGTTCCTATTATACCCTTTTGCGACGCAAGCCGCGCCACGCGATTGGAGGGAAGGGCGAGTGGCGACTAGCCGATCCGGGGGAGATAACAAAGGAGAGAGTTCTGGAAGGCTTACCTCTTTGCAACAAAGAGACAAAAGAAGAGTATGTGTGTGTGTGGTTGTGTGTGTATGTGTGTGTGTGTAGGTTGCAGGACGACCGCACGACTGACACGAATACGCGACACTTGGCCGGGGGAGATTGCGACGCGCAAGGGGCAGGATGACTGATCAGGGAGGAGATCAGCGATGTGATAGGATGTAGCCAGAGAAGTTGGATGAAGTAGATGTGAGAGGAAAGGAGGAAGAGGAGGGAGAGGAACTGAATAAGAAGGCAGGAGGGGTACCAGTATGACAGCAGGTACTCCGTGCGTGTGTGGGAGTACTCGTACCTAATGGTGGTACTCCATAGTGAAGTACCCAGTGTACTCCATCCGGTCGTACTGTAGGCCAAAGCCAAAGCCAAAGCCAAAGCCAAAGCCGAAAGCCAGTGAGAGGAAGTGGGCCTTGCTCGTGCGGGCGTGCGGACACTCGGGCGGATGATTGGGGCCGGGCACTTCCGGGTCCATTTTATACTGTAGTATGGTGTATACATTAGAGTATACACTACGGAGTATGTACGATATAGACTATATCTATATCTCGTATGGCTATATCTACTCGTAGTATGACTATTAGAGTACCATATAATAGTACCCTAATTAGCACTCTAACTCTAATACTGGACAGGAGTATTCTCTTTATCTAGTAGCATACCTCAAAGTAGAGTATACTAGTACATCCCTGTGAGAATCAGGGAACGGAACAGGGAATGGAATCCCAGGAATCCCACTGGGCCTCCTCCTCCACTCAGCGATCGAAGATGTGCAGGTGCACAGGGCGCAGCCCTAAACAGCGTAGATAGGCATGGGTCCTAGGGTACCCAAGGACACCCTATAACCGTGGTCCCTGGCTACTATGGGACTCTTCTGTAGAGTACTGATAAGACACCCTTTCGGCACGTGCAGCCCTGTCCAATCAGAGCCGCCATGGCATACCTGTGATCTTCTACACAACGCATTCAGGTGCCACCTTCTCTTCCTCTAGCACGGAGTACAACGGAACTCAAGAAAAAGACTCATCGCTAACTTTTTCGCTTCTCTTCCCCCCCACCCCACTGAAGTCTTCATGATTTCATCTCTGAAAAATGCCCCCTCAAAATGCCCCTCTGTGCGCGCCGCAACTCTCGAGTGGGTCTCCTGATTGATTCTGGACTCGCGCACTGACGTCAAATCAGGGGTGGAGGCCTTTAGGGCCCAAGGGTACTCCGACTCTGTACTCCGTACTACGTGTGGAGAGTACTTGCAGTTTACGTTCACGCTCAGCGGAGGTATCGGTACATGTACATGTACATGTTTAATGCACGCACGCGGGGGCTACACAGCCTATTACTCGCGCCATGCGCTTGCGAATTCCATCCTTCTTTCGTGCCTGGTTCGCCGCATTTAGGTTGATCAGCCACCCCGCGCAATACGCCGCGCAGTCTTGCGTTGCCTTCTCCGGAGTGCAGCTATACCTATACCCACTCTCCTATAGTTACTCGTACTCTATGAGTAGTACGGGTACACTCTCCTCAATTCCGGCATGTTGCTCGGTGAACCAAATCCTGACTTCCGAGGGTATGCCGGGCCACCACCGCGCCATTTCTACGATTGGGCCCCCCCCGTCGCATATGAAACCCCTCGATTCGTGTCCCAATTGCATCGACTGCCCACGACTCCATAGTAAGACAGCGTAGCCACTCGCAAAAAAATAGCAGCTGGTTTCTCGGCTTTGTTTGAATGATGACGATGCCTCTTGGCCCGCCTCACCATCGATGAATTGTTGTTAGGTGGGGTTAGCTAGCCCGTATTTCAATATCCACAATCCCACAGAGAGGGTTGCTCCTGCCTTGGTTATTCAAGTATCTCCCCTGTCGTCTCGGGCGAAATCTGGATTGCGCGGTGGCTTTGCGACATGTTCGGGCCTCGGGGAGGGCGTTGCGTAGAGTTGCCCCGCATCAACGCACTGTGATTAAGATAGGAATGGGAGGGGTATAGGTCTCCACACAAGGAAGTGAAAGGAAATGTGCAAGAATGGAGATTTGCAATTGACGTATGGTAATTAGTTACCGATGTCTGCAAGATCAAATTGATAGACCGTCACCACACATTGTGCATAGGGACAGTGCACAAGAATCGCCATTTTCATGCAATAAATCCGACCACGAGGTACTAACACATGGAATACTTACAAACTTGATCCTCGACAACCGTCATCAGCCACTGCCATCAGAAATCGGTCACAAGGCTGCTGCGATACCGGACGCAGACGCAGGGGCCTGTCTCCATCGATCGCAAGTCACTTGTACCTGAAGCAAGATACCCGACCGAAACTAGGCCTAGTCTCGCATGGAAGTTTCGTGATATACTTCCATCTAATTCGAATCACTTCATCCAGCACAGCTTGGCCAGCTAGCAGCTAGCAGCTAGCAGCTAGTAACTAGTCCCCCCCTCAACTCCGACCCCAACAGCGCCATTCGTCTTCCTAGCGTCCAATTGATTCAACGCCTCCAACCTCCCAACTTCCTCAACTAACCCCGCAAATCAAAAGAACCCTCACTAAGCTCCCTTTCATTCCCCACAAAAACGAAAAAAAAAACCCTTCCTCTTACCTCGGAGATTGACCATCTAAATACTTGATTTCACAAGGACTGGCCAGGTAGGAACGAGTCTCATACTGCGCCAATTTTTCCGCATCACCCTGGCTCCGCACTCGATACGCAGCACCCTCAACTCTCTCACCTTCGGAAGAGGGTAGTAAAGCGGGGTATTGTCCCCCTCCATATCTTGCATCGAAAGCCTTCTAGATACGTAGGGCGGAGCTCGGGCGTGGTATCTAGTTCTAGGATTTCCACTAGCATGTACGGGTCGAGGAGGGGTCCGTAGAAGAGATAGACCCCCTCCGGCACTGGCTTCCGGGTCCCTCCCATCGCTACTGGAAAGTGCGTCTCTGGTGAGACTGTTCGAATCCGCGAAGTGAAGGAAGATAGCTTGGAGCTGGAAGCTGGGGGCGGGGGTGGAGGAGGTGGAGGTGGAGTTGATTTTGTGGAATTTGTTGGTTTGCGATGACATCGTGCTTCTTTGAAAAAAGGAATTGAATTTTGCCTGTTTGTAGTTGTTGACAATGCTTTGCGTCTGAGTCACTCTCAGGCAGCCTGCAGGCGCATCTCACTCCCAGCCACTTCAACTTCTACCTCCAATCTCTCCGGCTCAAGGCGAATATTCCCCGGACAAAAAGCCTTTCCAGTATTAAGTATGGTTAAGCTTCGTTCTAGAAATTCAATCTATTTCGATCTATTGGACCGGGTGAATGGATCGTCTGGCTATTTAGATGGTCGCATTTTCCCGGCGCGGGGATGCCGTGCCTAAATTGGTAGAGGGAATGTCCTCAGGGATACTTCATAAGATGAAGGTAGGATGTGGATCCGATTTGCGACTCGGAGATATCTCGATGTTGTAGCTGGAAATGTTACTCAAGTTCTTCTCTCTCACTTATCTACTGGTGACCACTAGAGCGGTGATCAGCCCAGGTTCGCTGAATTCTGATCTTTCAATTCTTATTCAAAATGACTTACAAGGTTGAATTCTACCAGTACCTACCTAGACTATGAACATTCAATGACTAACCTTCATGGCTAGAAAATGAAAGCCCATGGGCCGGGTCGGGCGTCTTGCTTCTGGACCCGATGCCCCTGAAAAAGGCAATCCAAAGTTGCCAGAGCCTCGGAGAGAGACTTTGGTCCATTAAAGCAGGATTCTCTGATATTGAAAACGATCTAAAGTATCTAGTCTATCAGAAAGATAAAAAGAAGAGCCAGCGATATTGGATTGCCTCCGCACACGGCACACCGTCAACAATAGACGTCAACGGCAAAGTGAAGAAAGCTTCCTCCGACGAGAATTTACCAGTTCTCTGCACCCAGACTGCCCCCTACTCTACCCTTACCTTTCAAGATGTCAATCCGTCGTGGCAGATTGCTGTTCGCTCGAATAACGAGTACATCACTGGGTATGTGAACCTTCTTGCATCAAACACTCTAAAAAAGTGTTAACAGACTTAGATTCCGCGATCACTTGAGTTTCCGCTTCCTCGGTATCCGATATGCAGATCCCACGAAAAGATGGAAGTATTCGAAATTGCACAAAGGAGCAAATACCATGGTCTCCGCTTTGAACTACGGGTCTACTTGTCTGGAATCGGAAGACTGCTTCTTCCTCAACGTCTGGACACCCTATCTGCCCCGTTCTGAACACTCCCCGAAGAAGAAACTCAAACCAGTCATGTTCTGGATACATGGTGGCGCCTTCACAAGTGGATCAGGCAGTGATACCCTAATGGATGGAAGTAACCTCGCATCAAGAGGTGATGTCGTGGTGGTGACTATCAACTACCGACTGGGCACACTTGGATTCCTGGCTCTGGATGACGGAGAAACAAACGGCAACTATGGTCTTGCAGACCAAATCACTGCTCTCGAGTGGGTTCGCAAGAATATTCGGGACTTCGGAGGCGATCCTGACCGAATCACTATATTTGGTCAGTCGGCCGGGGCTGGGTCCGTAAGGGCTTTACTCGCATCTCCTCGAGCTCGGGGCAAATTTGCCGGCGCGATTATGCAAAGTAACCTTGGTGGTCTGGGGTATGGGACGACGTATTCCAAGTACTACACAATTGCGGAGGAGATGGAGGCTGTGGGGAAGGACATATTGACCCTGACGAACTGTACGAATGTTGATTCACCGGTTGAATGTCTGAGAGCGCTTCCTGCAGCCACCATTGCGGGTCTTGATGCAGTAGCAAGATATCTCGTTGTGGATGGGAAATATCTTGAGACTTCGCAATTAGATCTGACACATCCCGAGGCAACGGCAAATGTGCCTCTCATGATCGGCACGATGAGAGATGACGGAGCTGCGATGATTGGGTACCCCACGGCGAATGAGACCATTCAAACATTCTTGAATAGTTACGGGATTCCGTCAACCGTTCTCAGTGACTCAGAACTATTTCCAGTCCCTTCCACTTCGAACAAAACGCTCGACATTTTCAACACCACGGCCCACATCGCCACGGATGGCATATTCCGCTGCGTTGATCAAGCCACTGGATATAGCGGTTTCGAAAATGGAATCTTTCCAGAGGTGTTTTTCTATGAATTTAATCGATCATATCAAATGCCAGATTGGTCCCCCAACGCGCCAGTATGCGAGGCACCCATCACATCTCGGTACCCCCACGGCGACCCAAGTCAGGAATACTTCAAGTGTCATTCGGGAGAGTTGTACTATGTCTTTGGCAACCTTTTGAGGCAGGGACGTCCCCTGCGTGATCAATTCGATCTTCCATTTGAGCAGTATGTACTAGATCTGTGGACAAGCTTTGCTCGGACTGGTCGGCCGACTCCGGATTTGGGATTTCTTGAGGCGAGAGGATATGTCAATACTACTCGACAGATTGAGTTGGCGGGGGAATGGATGCCATTTAGACATGGAGACTATCGACTGCATCGTCTGCAGTTTCCCTCTAAAATGGTGGATTTGGATGAAAGGGAGCAATGTGAGGCTCTGCAGTTACCTCTGACATACTATGAGTCTACCTAGTATGCTAGTGTGTATATAGTTAGTAGTTCCACACCACAACCTTGGAATTTACCAAGCCAACACCAAACTTGAAGCCAGTTTAATTTGAAAAAAAAGAGTATTAGGCCACCAATAAGCCCGGCCATTTTATTCAACCATATTATTCAACCATACTAATATCACTATACTATTGTAGTCCACGTGATGGCACATCCGATCTTATCGCTTCCGAAATCACCAACGGGTCAACCCTGGAAGCTGCCACTGCCGAGCCGGATCGCTTCTTTTCGGATCTGCAATTGCGGGGTCCCAGCATTCCCTCATCCGCCTTTTAAAATATTGTCCCGTCGGCTGATGAACGGTTACCACCCGACGGAGAGATCCCGATGATCACCGTCATATATAGTCTGGTAGTTCCTCCTCATGGCCGTCCCCGGGCTTGGACGAGATTTCGATCGAAGTTCGTGTTCGTCCTATTTCCCGGGTTCGCCACTGCCGATCTATTCAAACTTTCCGCGCAACCTTAATCGTGCTCAAACGCAGACTGTTCAATTCGAGAGGAAATTTGAACAATTCGCAAAGTCGCGGATTAGAATCGACGAGAGAAGTCAGGGTATCTGAGAACACTCGGCTGGGTTATCAAATTACATCATCGACATCAGAAACGAAACAATATCAAATCAAAGATGGCAAGCAACGGCCATTCTAACGGTGCCGCATACTCGCCCGTTCTCGAGACTAGCCGGATTTTCTCCAACTTGTGCGAGCAGTCGGAGCGCCTGAGTCTACCATCAGAGGTTCTGGCCAACAAGGATCGAGTTTCTTTCTCCACCAGTCACAATGAGATCTACTTCCCTATTCCGTTCAAGGAGACCGAGACCCTGGCGGCATTGAAAGGTATCGAGGGTTCTGTGGCTGCTGCCCTGGCCGATCTGCGATTTGGAAGCGGTGGACAACCTCGTGGTGTCCGCGTCAACCTGGAGGGTGCCACGGCATTCGGATGCCAAGCGTACATGGCCAAGGTAGATGGATTGTCGAAGTTGGATCCGAATGTGAAGTCTAAGCTCAAGAGTATGTGTGGATCTTTAGGATCTGAGAAGTAGAAAATTGGCTAATAAATTACAGATACGGATCTGTTGGCTGCGCAATCAAATGGTTACCGTCGTATGTCGGCTAACCTGTACAAGACTAAGAACCCGGGCGAGTTCTACCACATTCACGGTTCCTTGGAAGCCAGTACAACATTAAACATGATCGGACTCGAGGGTCATCGACCTGACTTGACCGATTACGAAGATGTTATCAAGGAGATCGAAAGCCATGTCCAGAAATACTCCGTGGCCGAACTGGAGGAGATGAACAAGGAGAGGCGACAGGCCGGTGTGCCTGCTCTGAAGCACGAGGACTTTATCAAGACCCCACACGTACGTCGTTCAAATATATCACGCTTATTGGTGGGTACATACTAACAGAACAAAAGGGCAAGCTCAACGTCGAAGAGCCCGCGTGGAAAGTCACTCAGCTTCCGGGGAATATCGCCCCCACTCCATTCCCTGCCCGCCGTGCCGGCAGCACCAAGATCTTGGAGGGTGTCAAGGTTCTGGAGATGTGCCGTATCATCGCTGGCCCAACCGTCACCCGAATTCTAGCCGAGTACGGCGCAGACGTCCTGAAAGTGACCAGCTCGAACCTGTCCGATGTGCCATTCTTCCAGGTTGACGGGAACATGGGCAAGCATGCCGCCGACCTGGACTTGAAGACCGAAGCCGGACGCAAGGAATTCGAGAAACTTCTCGACGACGTGGACGTCATCGTCGATGGATATCGTCCCGGTGCGCTGGAGAAATTGGGATACGGACCACAGGCTATGGCCGCGCTGGCCGAGAAGCGTGGAAAGGGTATTGTCTACGTGAATGAGAACTGCTTCGGATATGAAGGCGAATGGGCCGGACGCGCTGGATGGCAGCAAATCGCCGACTGTGTATGTTGACTTCTCAGAACACAATCGCGAGTAATTAGTTACTCAACGCTAACTTTTTTTGAAGGTCACCGGTATCGCGTGGGCACAAGGACAATTCATGGGCTTTAATCACCCCGTCGTCCCACCCTTCCCCATTTCCGATTACGGCACAGGCTGCATGGGCGCCATCGCCGCACTATCCGGTCTTTACCACCGCGCCAAGACTGGTGGTTCTTACCACGGCAAGGCCTCGCTGATGCATTACGATCTTCTCCTTTTCGCGGTGGGCCAGTACCCTGCCGACGTACAGGAGGAGCTGCGCGCAGCCCAGCCAGCTGATTTCTTCAAGCTACGCCACTGCGACAGTGTGGATCGCATCTCATCTACTGTTCTCAAGGGCATGCAGACACGTTTCCCGCACCTTTATACCCCGGCTGGCACCGAGACGGAAGCGGGGCGGCCGGCTTTGACTGAGAAATGGTTTTCGCGTGCGTATAATGCGGATGTAGAGGTTGTGAAACCCATTGCTCTTGTGGAGGGTGTGGATAATCAGTTTGTTCGGGCAAGTCGACCCAATGGTTCCGATAAGGCCAACTGGGAGGACTTTAAGGTTAATGGAGAGGGAGAGGGAGATGTGAAGAAGTGCTAAGCTTTGTTGCATTTCCATTAGGATGAAAATATGAGCAGCCACGGGGTAGTGCATTGTACATAGATTCAAGTTGCATATTATGATTAAGTTTCTAAAGACGTCATCTGATGAGCATAGCCCACTTGTACTCCGAAATAAGCATCCGAGTGCTAAAGCCCGGACATACCAGCGGGTAATCGGCTGTGCACCGTCGGAAGAGAAGCAGAGTACCAGAAGCTGTATGCTCTCATATGCCGATTGAACAAGCTCAACTTCAGCAAGCGGGTTTTGATCACCACTACCAACCGTCCGGAGATTCGGAAAATATAATCCAAAGCCTACAATGAAACAATTCTATCAACAAAAATCTGCAGTACCTTTTCTCTTCCAATGTGTATGGGAGTGTGGGCAAAAGTATCCAGTACGATAAGATCGGATGCGGCACCACCGCGTCGGACCGACGGCCCCTCATGATGAAATGGACGTGAAGGACAACAGCAACATATATCCCATTTCCAACCTCCATATACCATCCATCCAAATCATCCCATCACTTTAAATCACCTTCTATCTGAATTTTACCGTCAAAAGCAATAATGTCATACAAAATTGCCTACGACACGGCCCGCGCACCCCGCGGGGTGCAGCCCTCGTCGCATTCATGGAGGACTTCTACCGCACCAGTGATACCGAGTCCCTGCACGAGAAATATGTTCAGAGCTTCACAGAAGATGCCACGCTGATTATGGGCCCGAAGGAAGCGAAGGGTGCGAGTGGTATGTTTGAGATCTTTCAAGTTTCCTTTATATATCTGTGTCGGATATGCGACGGCGTACCTAATGCGACTCGGATGAATTCGTCACGTCTATATCGGAGATTCCCCGTAGCTCCTAGAAAGGACTCGGAATATTTCAAGGACAAGCTGCTAATATTACTTAGAAATCCTGCCCCTTCGCCATGGTCTCTGGGCACATGTCGCATCTCGAAAACACACGCCGTCGCGCATCTTTTTCGGCGGCGAGAACGAGATCATGCTCTACGGTGGCGTGAACTACAGACTCAAGGCTGATACTGAGAAAGATGTGTACGTGCCCTGGGCTGGACGGGTGGTATTTGCTTCTGAAAAGGATGGTGAGGGTGTGAAGATGCAGTTTTATCAGGTTTACTTGGTATGTTCATTGCTATGGATTGGTTGTGTTGAGGTATACTGACTTGATATAGGACCCTTCGGCCCAGTCTGGCAAGAAATAAGTTATGTGATTGCATATAGATTCAAAATGAATAGTTCCATACCAACTACAGGCTCCCTGGGCAGTAATTGTGCAGTGGAAAATGTGTCTACCAGAGTTGCTCATGAGGGCAGTCTTACATAGTACCAGACCGTAGAGGATGGTTGTCTTTACATCACAACCATGAGCTCACTAGGTACTCTGGCATTCCGAGGGCCACTACAAGCTACAGCTGGCCAGGAAGATAGAATAGTTTTAAAGTGTTTAGTCAGACATGCTCTTTATTTCCAGGAGACCGCGAGAGAAAACAGGAACAAAGACGCCGTGGGTTGGTCGGGTCAAAGAGGCGAGGGAGATCAACATGGTATGAAAGGAAAAAGAAACCCTGTCTCGTCCTCTCTCTCTCGCTCTTGCTTTCGCAATGGAAGCCTCCTCATGCAAGGAAAAAGTACCTCTCCGCATCTTCTCTCTGCGCTAAGCCCCGTCTGGTCGTCATGGGAGTGGATGATAACAGTTGAGAGAAAAAAAATTGTAGAACAAACGTTAATAAAGGAATCATCGGGACCTGGCTCCGAATTTTTTGTGTGATGAATCATTTCATTTCCCACCTGCGACTAGTTGTCACCAATTTTTGATGTTTTGTTTTGGGTATAAACTAGAGGCACCGGTCAAAACGACCCCCCGAAACAATTAAGCCCTTGCGAAACGTTTACTCGTCATCCGACTCCTCATCCTCATCGACGGTGGTCTTGGCGATACGGTCCAGATCACGCTGGCCAGACTGGGTGATGCGGCGACCACCCTTGTCCTCATCGGTCTCGAGGACACCGATCTTCTCGAGGGACTGCATGACCTTACGGTCAACGGAGCCGGAGGCATCGACGTGGTGAGCGGGGCGGGCACCACGGTTCTTGGTAGAACCGTGGACCTTGCGGAGGCGGCCAACACCGACGGTCTTGCGCATGTAGATGTGGCGGGCGACGGCAGCGGCGCGGACGTAGTACCTTTAGAAATTTGTCAGTTCTGAATTTCGATATCTGGCTGGAGATATGGTGTTGGTTGGTCGTACCAGTCGGGGTCCTGGGGAGGAAGCTCGTTGGAGGCGGAGGTCTTGACAGTGTCAACCCAGCCAGGGATGGGGAGCTTTCCCTGACGCTTCAGGAAAGCAGAGTAGGCAGCAATGAACTTCTGCGCCTGTAGGTGAGAAGAATATTGTTAGCGTTGTGATTCTTTCGATGGTATCAAAACGTGTTGGAGACGGGTGAGGATGAGGATCAGCATGCGTAGGTTTTGAAGATGTCGGGTTCTCTTTCTCGTTGTCAGGCAGTTCCATCTCTTTCTTGTCGTGCGTGCATATTCGTGCATTCAGAAACGAAGATTTTTCCGTTGGGTGGTTGAAAAGGCATATCACATAAATTGATCATAACAGATCGATTTGTGTGGACAAAACCTTTCAACGTAGTTCCCAGACAGCAGTATCTTCCTGACCAAATCCAGCGAATCCAATAGACCAGCAATTGCGAAGCCCAGTATATTCCTTTCCGATGCCTCCGAGAACACAGAACCCGTCCACATAACACAACGCACACCGACCCAGACCCCGTGGGATCGAGGGTTGATGATGATCATCAGGGCCCTCTCAGCGGGCGGAGAATCGAAGGACACTTACGTCCACATCGCGAACGGAAACACCACCCATATTGGCGACTTGTCGAGGGGTCGAAGAGGGCGTTAGGGATGAGAGATGGCGGAAGTCGTGGGCAGAGTCGAAGTCGAAGAGTCCAAAATTTCGAGACACACAAACTCGTCCCGTTTGGCTGGGGTCTGTGTGCCGTGGGTTCGCTTAGCCTTTTCGGGCTAGCCGTACCCTAAGCGGTCACATGACAAAACATTTTGGTGCCTGAATGCCAATAGCTTGATGCCTTACGGGTAAGGCTACAATATATTCAGGTATCAAGGCCAGTAATTTGGATATGAAAGACTAGGGTAGATTCCAGCCAGGTCAATACCAGCAGTGTAGTGGGAACTGTATTATGAACTAATGTCCAACTCCCATGTAATAATAGTAAAACATCTATCGCTGCAAGAAAAGAAATCATGTCTCATGGCCGAAAGTAACAATATGAAATCCATTCCCATCCCATTCCATCCCATCCCAACCCAACCAAGCCATCGCATCTCTACCCAAAACGCCGTCCTGAATGAATTCCCTCAGAAACTCAATGAAAGAAGAAAATAAAAATATTACAGTGTAGAATGCGTCTCATATTACAAAGTAGGCGCTCTCTTCAGTCCCACGCAATACCTCACGAACAGCGTATCAATGAAATGACCATGTCGAATGCCCGGTGGCCGGCACCGATTGAATTCATCAATCGCATCCTGAACTCCATACCCCAGTCGCTCGATGAGGTAGCAGACGATCAAAAAGCCAGTACGGTTGTACCCGTAGTGGCAGTGCACACCGACGAGCGGCCGGACCGAGTGCTCCTTTTCGTCCGCAGACGTTTGCTCGTCGATATCTCCCTGAAGACGATCAACAAGAGCAATAAAGTCGCGAGTCTCGTCAGGAGTAGGAGGGATCTTGGAAACAGTTGGTTGCTTGCAATAGCGAATGCCGCCTGCTTCCAGGGTTGCAGGATTGTACACGGGGCTCTCGTGGCTGATGTCGATAACCGCATAAATCTTGCCTTTATACTGGGCAGAAAAACAAACCGGGTTGTGCTGCTCGTCTACCTCGCGAAGCATCTTCAGAGCGGCAAATGTGCTGCCGATGGGCTTCGAGACTGGAACAACCTTTTGCCACTTGGCTAAGTTCTTGACATCCCACTTCCCCGATGTGTTGAGGTATTGGAGTTGCCAGCCAAGGCCGAGTCGCTTATCAATGTGGGACGAGAGGAAATCTTGAATGATTCCCGCGAGGGTGCGGTAGGTAGCTCGGTCGTAGAGCAGGGCATGAGAGGCTGGTGCTGGCAAGATGGCAGACTTGACTAGTCGCTTCCGTTCGCTAGAGGTCTGATCCACAAGTGTCTTTTCCATCTCGCTGGACTGGATGCCATACGCCTCATCGTGAGCGCGTTGATCGGTCGGCGGTGTTATCTGATCGTGAACTTGCGATGCATCGGGGATAATGCTGCCCCCAGCAGTATCGATGCTAGTGTGAGACGAGGCATCGCCAAATAATTTCAAAAGCTTTTGAATTTCAGCGGGCTTCGTGACTGCGTCAGCCTCGCCTGCGACTAGCAGGATTGGCATACGAATGCCAGTCCAAACTTTCTCGCCGGGCATACCGCCAACAGCCTCTCCAGTCTTGTAAGAAGGAAGAGTCCCCCATGCCATGCGACGCCAAACTGGCGTGCGGCTTTGTTTATTATAGCGAACTTGAAGGTCTCGGGTCTCCGCATCCGCATCGCTGCCCACCATTCGCATCACGCTGGCGCTTTGTGTGCCGCCACGGCGGTCCCAGCGACGCCACAAATCAAAGATCGCACCGGGGATGTGAAGAAGTCGACGAAATGATGTGGCATCTTCCGCAGAAGGAGGTGTTGCTCGAGGGCACACTGCGATAAGGCCGATGATATGATTTTTGAGGCTCTTGCCAATGGGCGAGTTGGAAGAAGCAAGCAGGGCAGATAGAGAGCAACCCAAGCTATGTCCGATGAGAATGACCTCTTGTCCAGCTTCACGATCTCGATGCCGTTCGATCGCTACGACCAGCAGTTCGGCTAGGGCCTCCACCGTGTAAGCGTCCCATTCCGTTGGCGCAAACTTCGACAAGCCACAACCTGGTAAATCGATACCAAAACAAGATCCAATGTTTGAAAGACTGGTAAGGAGATGGTGAAATTGCGCAAGCGATCCACCTAATCCATGAACGAAAACGAGGAGCGGGAGGGGCGAGGGTTTGGTCGGAAGGCGACTCAGTTGTGGGTGGGGACTGTAAAAAGTTCGAATCGCCGGGTAGGATGCTTTAGAGGTCGTGTAGGAGACGAATTCGGTGAACTTCTTAAGCAGACCAGGATCGGTTTTGGCAGCTGCGACTGTGTTAGAAAATTTTTCTTTTTTGATCACGCGGGTATGCTCTGAATTCTCTTACCATCAGAGCTTTGTTGCTGAGGCTCCGCCGACCACTCGGTCGCCTTAGCCTGGCTAGGATCCATGCCATGGCGCAGCGACCCATTGCTATCATAGTCATCATCTTCGTAATCATCATCCGACGAGGTGAGGGTCTTTGTGGATTTGTTTGATTTGGTGGAGGAAGGGTTCCGCGCCGAGCGTTGCGACGACGAGGAACGGCCTTTGGGAGACCATTTGCGTCGAATAAAAGAAGAGACGATGCCACAGCCTACCATGGTAGCAACGCAGGTAGCAACACAGGTAGAAAGAAACACGATTTGGCTCCAATTTAGCTTGTCATTGCGATAGATGGAGGAAAAGTAGTTTGCGACGGATGTGTAGGAAGCGCGTTGTGCAGCCAGGAGTTGTCTCAAGGCCGCAATGCCGGAGCGGTTAAGCGATTGGGAGGTATGAGATAGGGAGTCGTAGAGGCTGGAGGCTGAGGAGGAGCCATCGGACCCCATGGCTTCAGCCTTTTATGTCGACAGGTCGAGAGTCGAATCAATCGCGGCAGGCGCCAGTTCCGGGCAGAGGCTCTCGGCCCAAGGCCGATCAGGAGATGTGCACGCGCGGGCAGCGCGGGTTCTGCTTGGATTATTCGTGATGCCAATGAGAGACGCTCGATCGACAACGTTGAAGGATACCAAGAAAAAGCAATAGACTCGGCCAGTCACGATGGCGGGTCGTTCAGCGTGGGGGGAAAGAACGTGACTTGCGGGTGGAGACCGAAAGGCACCTGACCTTCTAGAAGGAAACAGGGGTTGCTATTGTTTATCCTGCTACTACTTATACTATAGCCACTATAGATTACTCATGGAAACTGGATTGAGGATGAGAATTTGATATTCTCTCCTATCTCATTCAAGCAAAGCCCCCCTAACTACCCAGAGCAAAACATCGCTCGACAGAAGTCCCATTGTTGCCCCACCACTGTGGCATTGAGATCTGCTTGCCAGACCCGAAGAACAGGAAAATAAGCAACATGTTCAAGTTGAACCCTGCATCAAACGCAGCTGCAACCAGATAGTTGTAACGCTTCCACACTTCGAAGTGGCGTCGATAAGCCCAGTACATCGAGATATACGCACCAATGATGGCCGACGTATATCCGGTACTGACATTACCGTAGAACATCGCTAGACCTCCAAAGAAGATACTAACGTTCCACAAATCAATTCGAAGGCGCGGGAAGAAGCGATGAAACACGAAAAGAATCGGGGGAATGACAGCTCCCACGAGGAAGGACCATGGAAGTGGCGCCATCTCGGCCTCGGCGAAAAGTCGTTTGGGTCCGAGAACGGCGTACTGGATCCCCATCGTATTCTGGCTGACAAGTTTCTGACCAGTCCACTGGTTGAGAGGGTCACTCTTTTTGCCTGTCAGGAAATCGCCCTTGGTGTCCATGACCCAACGAATAACTGCATAGTTGATGGGAACGCCCATCAACGTGCCGAAGATTTGCGAGAAGAACACCTCGCGCGGCGGGATGTGCATATAATGGCCGATTTTCTGATCCTGAAGCATGTACTGTGCCCGGTACCATGCATCTCCAGCGATAGAACCGTAGATCGAGGGACCAACTGGGTGCTGGTGGCCGGAGCCAGCTTTAGTGTGCACCATGTAGCCGTACATCAACTCATTGAAGGAACCGGTCTCAAGCTGATAGTTCGAAATGGCATATAGCCAGGCAAAAGGGACCACGAAAATCGCAGCACTGGCCAGTGCCACAAACATCGTCCAGATGGGGATGAAAAGATATCCACACGCGATACTGGTGATCAGAATGACGAATCCCACCAAAAAGAGTGTAATATACCACCAGGTTGGGATTTCCTTGTAGTTTCGCTGGATGACATTGAGCCGATCATGGTATTTGTAGTGAATTCCTTCTCCTTGTGTGGATTGAGCGTTTTGGCCATCCTGGGCATTTTGGGCATTTTTGTGGTTTGCAAAAATCTTTTTGAGATTGCTGCTTACTTGGGTGTAACCGAAGGTGAGGATCCAAGTAATCGCCGCTGGGAGCTTTGCATAATCGAAAAATGTCGACCACACGTTCTGAGTGCCCATGTACATTGGACCGTACTCCTGATAGGCGGTCTCGTTGAGGTTGAAGCTTGGTGTGAGCACCTTTGCTGTGGGGTATTGGGTTCCATTTGCCATGAACAGATTGTTCGACATGAGACCATGCTTGAAGGATCCGAGATTTCCCCATTTCGCCGCGGGTAACAGGACCCAACAATTGAAGGCAAATGCAAGGAACAGGATGACTTGTGTCCACCAGGGAGTAAGCAAAATGGAGGACCCGTTCCAGTTGATGTTTGACCAATCCAGGGATAGGTTGAGGAAGCCCATACCGCCCAAACCAGACCCGATGAAATTAGCAATGGGATTCCGAGGCGCAACCCAGCAAAGGAAGGCCAACGAAGACGTGAATGGAAAGACATATTCGGGCAAAAATTGCCAGAGAGTCATTCCCAGAAGAGAGAAGAAAAAGAACTTCATCTGGCGCCGAGCAAGACGCGACGTTGTGTCTGTTCGTCGAAATGTTTCGAACAGGGTCGTCTGCATCAAGGCTTGCGGCCAGATGTACTCTGGGTCTGGGAGAAGAATCTGGCGCGCAAGAGCCGCGAAAGCATATCCGATCCACACGATCGCGAGCATGAAGAAGATTGCAACTGCGGGTTGGATTCTGTTGCCGTACCATAGCTCGGCTAGGACGATCGAAGCATAGCCCATATTGTAGGTTGCACCAGAAGCTGCTGTCACCGTGACCAACACATGCTCCTTGATACTCCAAGGTCCAGGATTCAGACTGAAAGCCCCAGCTTGTCCCCGGAACCCGAATTGTCCAAGCCGGTAGTACTCGCGCAAGGAAATGGCCGGCATAGTGACAGGCGATTTGGACGAAGAAGACCGAGTAATTCGCACTGGTCGTGCGGAAGTAACTCAACTGGGATAGGAAGGCCCCAGGAATAACGAAGATAACCGCGAGAACAAAGTAGCGAAAAGTGATAGTAGGTAGAGTGGGGTCATCAGTCAAGTTGATCAACTGTCGCACCTGCAGAGGAAGCGCAGCGATTTCAGGATCGTCGTGACTTTCTTCTTCAATCGCCAACGTCTCAGACACCTGCACCTTCTCCGAAATGGGCAGATTGTCGCCAGTCACTTTTGGGGTAGAAGAGGTATCCACATGCTCTTCGCTTGTTCGTTCTGAGGACTCGCTGGCTGGGGCTGGGTGGTGTCGTCGTCGAAACACCCCTAGAAGAGCCATTTTTGCGATAGACGACCGGGGATCGTCTCAGCAATGCTGGAAAGGGCAGACGGCTAAGCGGTAGTGAGAAAAAAAAGCAAAGCAAAAGTAAAAACAAAGCAAGGGCGCACCTACATTTTCAGCAATGAAAGCGGAGTAACCTCGGAATGTAAAACTGATCGTGTGTACGGCGTATCTTTACCAGCTTCTGTCATGGCGTGCGAGCTAAAATCGGCGACCACGGAGGAAGCCAAGTTCTTAGAACGCCTCTCGACAAGACCAAACCAATCACATCAAACGATGTGGTAACAGGGCGCACCCTCCGAGAGCTTGGATGCAACAAGATCATCTGTAGCGTGGATGGCGTTATCACGGCCTTGTCCCATTCGGGAAACGATCCGAACTTAGCGTCAGCCTTGATTTGATGATGACCGAGGACCAGCAACTGTTTTCCGAGCTTTGTAAAGACTGACCTAGATGACACAGCTCATGCGACAGTTGAAGTATATTTGGACCACGTATTCACTACTTGTGATATTTTTAATATACCAAAATTGTCGCTTTGAATCAATTAACCTAGTGTTCCGAATAACGCACTCTCATTGGTCGAAGAGCATATTAGTCCATACATATATCACATCGTGACGATTACTAGGGTATGGGAGATAACCAGATACTAGTAGTATATATTAAGATGACTGCTAGTGCTATGTGGTGAAAATTATTAGGAGTTTATTGCACACTAGTCAAGCTGGACGTCTTTGGCAAAAGTCAAGGTTATCACTTCCGCACCAAGTGGCTACTGCGGTTTTATTGCCATCTGGCGACCAAGATATGCCAAAGATGTCTTCTTCATCGATTCGGTCGAGTATCAAGAGGAGTGGTCCCAATTTTCACTCCCGGAGGAGACCGCCAAAATCCAGAAAGGTATCTCCTTCTGGTAGCACGATCTAACGATGCTATTCTTGGACTGAAGATCAGGCATGAAATGTAGACCTGAAGAGGGGACTTTTCAATAACATCTTTATGTCGACGTAGAAATCTAGACGCATCTCGGACTCGGTCCAAGACTGACGATAAGCCAGTTCTCTTCTGTAAAGATGTGAGTAGTTTGAGCGTTTTCCAAGACCTTGCTTTCTGGAGCTCCTCGTAGACTAGAGCCACCCATAAAAAGGTGCCATGTGCTTTCGCACGGAGATGCTGGTAAACAGCCCCGCGGGTTTCTGAACTGTACATCTTCTTCCTAGCCAGTTGCTGGATCTTCTCGTCGATATAAAATGCAACCGCTTCGGAAACAGATTTCTCGTTCAGTTCTAGAGAGAGCCTAATCTTCTCATTTGTGCAGTTGAGGTGTTCCTCGATTATAGGTGAATTCCGACCAGACTCGATCCATTTGATTGGCAAGGAGCCGGAAGATGATAACCCAGAAATAAAATTCAGCAGTTTTGGCATATCCGTGAGACACTCGTCAAGTGCGTCGATGAGAAAGTAGGTGCGGCGTAAGCTTGGATCTACCAAAATATCCGAGAGAATTCCAGTGAGGGATTGCCATGTAATCGTATTTTCGAATAATTGCTTTCCTGCTTGGTCATAGCGCTTCCTGACATAAGAGAGAAGCGAAGGCTGCTTCTCTGTGACCAGATAAATAAGGCCCCGAAGTACTGAAATCGCACTGTTGATACGCTCGTCTGTAGCTTGACAGAAGAAGAATGAGATATTTGCCTTGTCACCCATATCACGTTCCAATTCGTCAATTATCCCGCACATCTGCATTGTCTTTCCTTTTCCGGGATCGCCCTTGATCCAAAGGAAATTGATCCTGGTGTTTGCGTGCCATGGCTGGTAGTCTTCGTTGTCTAAGACCTAACGATATGAGTCCTTGAGAAGACCCCCCTTTGTTTGTTCAATCCGCTTCTTGCCGTCGTGAGGATTTGTTGTGCGTATATCACGAAGACATAAGGTATCATATAATGACTGTGCTTCCACTAGTCCGTACGAAGTGCATGGCCTCGTTAATTCCAGCCCATATCTGCCTCGCGTTGATCATCATCTTATATGCGCCAGAATGAAAATGATTGGTGATTTTGCCATGATTCTGGTTGGTGACGCTGCCATGATTCTGTGCAACCTGAGACCCGCAATTTGCGTCCCCGAAGGTTGCTTGTTGGTTCATCGTGGTCCAAGTTGGCCTCAGCTGAAGGAAATCCTACCCCGGCCCCTAACTACCCCACATCATGCGCTGGCGCCAGCTTCAAAGCAACCAGTTAAATGGAAAGTTCACACACCCTCAGCGAAAAAGATGCGAGACCGAATAGTGAATCTCACAAACATGCACCATATTTCGAATTTTATGACAAAGGTAAACCTCAAGTCCACAATGGGTCTATAACGAATCGGGTAAATGCAGCAACATTGAGGCTGTGTGCCCGGTGCCCTGGTATGCCCTGCGCCCGACGATCTCAACCACGACCTCGAAATTGCTATAAAATAAGGATTTCCGCAATTTCCAAGCCACACAACCCGATTCCATCACAAGCAAAAATTATGTATCTGCGAGGATCTCCATATCATGCCGCCCGAGCGCGGAATCGCAAACCCAAACGTACAACATCGAGTACCAGCCAACAAAGCCAGCGACAAGAAACAAGCTCAGTCGCCCTCACTTCAAGTCCATCAACATTAACATCAACATCAACATCAACATCAACATCTCAAAGAAGAGAGGAAGAGCCCCCCCGAATGGCCGGACAACGCCAATGATCCCCCACCACCATACTCCGAATACCCTCCTACCACAGACACTACTCACACGAGCTCTTCCACCAAAGCCCCCGAAGCCGAGGCTGCAAAGGCTGCGACGAGGTAGATCAATGGCAAAACTCCCAAGAAAAAAGATCCATGTACCCTAAAAAACAGAAACGATGATACCATGTCAATCCAATACCACAACCTCCAGGCTACTAGTAATTTTTATTTATACTCGCTATACGACATCTAAAACAAATCCGTCATAGCACCATGCGACGCATCCCCAACCAAATGAGCATACTTAGCCAACACACCCCGAGTAATCTGTGGCACAGGGGGGCGTCCACAACCTTCTCCGCTCAGCAAGCTCTTCATCCGAAACATCCATCGACAAAGAATTCGTCTTCGCATCAATAGTAACCACATCCCCATCCTGAACAAGTCCAATCGGCCCACCAACCGCCGCCTCAGGTGTGATATGACCAACAATGAATCCGTGACTAGCACCCGAGTACCGTCCATCCGTAATAAGCGCAATATTGTTCAATTTCGCCCCCATCAGCGCGGCACTGGCCTTCAATTGCTCCGGCATACCGGGTCCACCCTTCGGTCCCTCATACCGCACGATAAGAACCAGGTTCTCGCCGCGCGGGATCTTGCCCTCGCTCAGCGCGTCATTGAGCTGACGCTCCTTATTGAAGACGCGCGCTTTACCTGTGAAGCTGAGACCCTCTTTACCGGTGATTTTGGCGACCGCACCACCCGGTGCGAGGTTGCCGCGGAGAATTTGGATGTGGCCGGTCTCCTTGATGGGGTTTGTGAGGGGTCGGATGAGAGTTTGTTCTGTTGGGAGGGAGGGCCAGGATTCTACGTTCTCGCGTAGTGTTTTGCCGGTTACGGTGGGGATGTCTCCGTCCAAGAGACCCGCGGCAATGAGGAGTTTCTGGACCGAGGGAATACCGCCGATCTCGTACAGGTCGGCCATGTAGTACTTCCCGCTCGGGGAGAGATTGGCGATGAAGGGGATTTTATTGCTGACGCGCTGAAAATCGTCGAGGGTTAAGTCGACGTCGGCTGTGCGGGCCATGGCGAGGAAATGTAGGACGCCGTTGGTGCTGCCGCCCAGCGCCATGGTCATGACGAGGGCGTTCTCGAAGGATCGTTTTGTGAGGAGATCGCGCGGTTTGATGTTCTTCTCGAGACAGATCTTAATGGCATCTGCGGCCCGGACGCACTCGCGCATCTTGGATGGGGATTCAGCTGGGGTTGAGGAGGAGCCGGGTAGAGAGAGACCCATTGACTCGATGGCTGTGGCCATGGTGTTGGCTGTGAACATGCCGCCGCATGCTCCGGCGCCGGGACAGGCGTGTTTCTCGAGGTCATCCATGATCTCATCTTGGGTCTTGCTGGTGTCGCCGCCGTCGTCGGGCTGGCGGAGTGTATTATAGGCATAGGCGCCGGCTGCCTCGAAGCAGGTGGAGATGTTGACGGGTTTACGAAGGTGTTCTGAATATCCAATACCAATGGTTCCGCCGTAGATCATGATAGATGGACGGTTGTGACGGGCCATGCCCATGACGACACCCGGCATATTCTTGTCGCAGCCGGGAATCGCGATACAGGCGTCGTGGTATTGGGCGCAGGTGACGGTCTCCACGCTGTCGGCAATGATTTCACGGGTCTGCAGGGAGAATCTCATACCTTTTTGCAAGGTCAGCGGATGATCCAAACTTTAGACGATAGCTAATCGCGCAATTGCTTGACTGCTCGTTGGAGAAAACACACCGTCACTACCCATGGTAATAGCATCTGACACGCCAATGGTGTTGTACTGCCACCCAATCATACCCCTCTCCGACACAGACTTCTTGACGGTCTTCCCCAGGTCCATCAAATGCATATTACATGGGTTGCCCTCCCACCAAACGGAAGCAACGCCAACGTGGGGGCTTTTGGCCATGGCATCCTTGTCCGGGACGCCTGCGGCGAAAAGCATAGCCTAGAGATTGTGTCAGCATGAAGCCCGGGACATCAATTGGGGGTTTATATTTCGGTTGGGACGTACTCGAGCACCGGGGAAGTCATGGCCTCGTGTGATAGTCGATGAATGACGATTGAGTGCGGGGGAGCCATCGGGGTGTTTGGCGTCGGTGGGCAGACTGGGGAAGTTGATATACCTGGCTTCGGCCAGCTTGGGGGGGTTGAGCGGGATCCATGGTGGATATTGACAGGAATGAAAATAGAGAGTGGAAAGTCTGCCAATGGCAATGGTACTCAATTTAAACAGTTCATGGGAAGTTCAAGTTCCCAATTCTCTGGGGCTCGCAAAGAAAGCCGAGGTGGAACCTCGCGGGGCAGTGGCCAGTCACCGTGAGGGCATTGCTCAGTTGCTGTGGGGATACAGTGTCTATACACCTGGGCAGTATTAACTATGCTAGTAGATATGGGATACAAGGTTGACCCTACATTTATTGCTTAGATGAGATGAAACTGTTGGCCAGATTTGTGAGATTACTGTACTTTATGTACTTTATGTATTTTATGTACTATTTACTAGATTCACAGTCCTCGACGTCATCAGCGGAGAGGCGGAATCTTACTATCCCATTTAATCCCATGGGATCCTAGACAACTTCTTTCTTCGATATTCAGTCTCCCTTTCCGGTCCATATCACCGTACTCATCTCAACATGACGACCGATATCCGAATCGCCCAACTAATCGGCACTCTGGGCTGCGGCATCACAGCCGGCAAGCAACCTCCTGCCCGATCCATACAGACCCTGCCAGCTAACAACACACTTGAATACGAACAGGTGGCATGATGTGTCTCTCAGTGGTTACAGTTCCCGCACTCTCCCTCCCTCCCCGCCATCCTCCCTCCGCCACTCTTCCAGAACACGAATTCCCCGCAACCCCGGTCACCCACCTCAGTCGCCAATGGCTTTACGTCTACGAGCGCGGCAAGAGTATCTTCCCGCCTATCGCCATAGTAGCTTCTACGGCAAACGCCTATCTCGCCTGGAGGCTGTATGATGTCCGGGTCCCCGAAAGGGTGGGCTGTAGCTGGAGCAGCCTGTATATTGCGGCCATCGGGACCACTTTGGGGATTATTCCATGGACATTGACAGCAATGAAGACGGTCAACGGCCACTTGAAGGCGCATGCTGTGAGGGATGATGCTTCGATGGCAGAGGGGAGTGGGGAGATGGTTGTGAGTGCAAAGGAGAAGGCTATGCGGGCGAAGCAGGATGAGCAGGTGCCAGGCTTGATGCAGGATTGGGCATGGCTGAACTTGTGCCGGGCAGTATTTCCGCTTATTGGGGGTGCGATTGGTTTCGCCGGGGCGATTTGTATGGATTCTATTTGAATGAAGGTAATGAGCAAAAATAGTAGTCATGGCAAATAGTATGTATATTTCATTATGTACAGGAAGTTTCTGGCCGAAGTGGTGGGTGGGTATCGATGAATATCTAATGGCTGGGTGCAGTTGACCCTTGTCAGATGATATAAACACTGCGAAAGCGAGTGATCGTGGGGTGAAAGAACACTTTCACTGCTCAGGGGTGTGCTTCGGATGGCTCCTCCTCGGCATGATGGTCTTCGGCAGGTTCTGTTTCCTCCGTGGACCATTCGCTCGAGTGTTGAAGAGCTTCATCCGCAGTGATCTCTTCTAGTGGACTGGATTTTCCAATAGCGGTGCCGTTCTGTGCTGCCACTTGGGAGTCATCGCCCGGTCCGTCCATAGCGAACCCGACAATCTTGCCGGTGCCTGGCTGGGACCGAGCTTCTTCCAGAACATCGCCATTCCAAGGCTGGCATTTCTTAACAACCTCACCGCACCGGAGACATGTCCAGCCCTGGCCCTCTTCTCCCTCTAGTTTTTGTACAATACAAACGAAACAGTATATGCACCCGCAAGGAACGGTCTCGTATGGGTTGGTGATGTCGGTCTGGGAAGATCCAGAGATGCCACCAGATGATGCTGATGCTGCTAGAACTTCAGTTTCTGTGGTTGCGGCTGGGTTCTGATCTCGGTAGCAGATAGCGCAAGTCCGCTCCGGAAGGTGGCCGAGCTCTCCTCGCTTTTCTGTAACTTCGTCTTCATCGCCACTCGACTTGAAGGCATTGAGTGTCTTTTTCCATGCGCGAGCTAGCCACCTCTTCCATCGACTGATGCCCACTAATGGCAATAAGAAGAGTAAGAACTCAGTAAAGGCGTGCCAGACCAATTGCCGGTTCAAATACTCGAATGAAACCTCACGACTGGCCTGGGAAGATGGAGGTGCAAGGCGGATGCGGAGAAGGCGGTCGACGAGGGTGCGGTAACGGCCGTTCACGAGGAACACGAGGAATGAAACGAAGGCGGCGATGGAGTGTGACGTGGAGATGAAATCTGTCAGACGTGACAGCATTCGGACTTCCTGAGATGGCTGAGGAGCAGTGTCAGTACCGGAGAATACCCAAGTCAACGAAAGAGCTACTAACCTCTTCATAACCACCTTCTTGTCCAATCAACCAGCTCTCCCACTTGTTCCAGGCATAGCGTCCACCAACAGTCAGCAGGCCGTACGCCGATTTCTGCCATGTTGTTGGAGGAGAGAGAACAGGTCCCGTGCTGCGGCTATCGCTATATTGTAGGCCCTGTAGGGCGGCGCCATAGGAGGCATTGTGATCCCACATCGAGAGTTTGAAGAGGATAGCTCGCAGCGCAAGTAGGATTTCATGTGACCACTCTTCCCTCATTTGAGGCTATGGTTGAATGAATATTAGCACTCCAGTCCAAGTTTGACTTGATATGATCCACCCGGTGTGTACATACTCCGAAGTATTTGAGAGCCTCGCCAACCTGACCCTTCAACAAACCGAGCAATTCTTCATCTAGTAGCTCGGCATCCACCTGGCCAACTCGAAATGCTGGTCGCGTTCCATCTCGATCTTTCACGTTATTCCATAGAGACCAACCGGCGCCCGGGACGCGGTTCAGGGGATACGGAAGGCGTTGAACGTTGGCCGAGTTGATCGGAGAAGCCCGTTGCTGTTCCGCACGGCGGGCACGCGCTTCTGCCTCACGGAGGCGGCGGCGCTCGAGCACCCGCTCCTGTGCAGCGGCGAAGTTTGACGAGCTCATCTCGAAATCATTATGTGGCGGATTGAAGGGTGGCGTGAAAGAAGATGAAGCGTCTAGAAGATGAACGGGAAGCAGTCACGGCGTTTCGGTTCCCCGGACTGGGAGCCGAGGTTAGATTCACGTGACTGGGGTACCAATAGAAAGGAAAAGTGGAGACCAAAAGAGGTATGTATACTAAGAAATTGGAAATATACTTAAATTGGAAGAAAGGGGCAGAAAGATGGACATTAAGGATCTTATGTGAGAGAGTATAAAAGGGTGGCAGCGAAAGGTATCTACTAGTAGGAGTCACCCTCCTATACTAGCAGGTACCTTTATCGGGGTGTATTCTACAAGGTTCAAGTTCTCACCTAACTCTACCAAACTTAGTTAGACTTGGACTGAATTGAGCTAGCTATGTAGATTAGAATGCAGAGGATCATCAGCAGCAATCTATGTAGTAATTTATTCTGTCTTAGTGGGTAAATTCGCAGCTGCCTAGTAGTACTTTGTACGGATAGTTACATCTAGTTACTGTATATCCGTACTCCGAAATTTCTGCCCCACCATCATCGCATCGCATCGGACCGCACCACCCTTCCGACTCGGACCCTTCCACAAGGTGACAAGGTCTCAAGGTGAGATTGGGGGCCTCACGTGCTCCGTTCAAGCTTCTAGTGTGTCCATGGCAAGTCTTAGCGTGCCAGGCACCATTCCTGGTGACACCTTACCGACCAATCAGAGCCCCCGGATTGACAGCGTGCCACATGGGGAGAGTATAGATCGAGATCATTGGGTTCATTCCGACTTGCATGGAGGGAAGACATTACACTAATTCCTGTAGTCTGACTTTACTGACCTAGGGACCTTGGTAGCAGTGAGACTCAATTGTTTTTCAAGTTGTTTTATACCATTCCCCCGCCTGCTTTTCTCGGAGATTTCTCTTCTCTCTTCGTCCCTTCCCATCCATCTACCTCTTCGTATTTCAGCCAACCATACTGTTCGTTGAACGAAGATCATAAAATGAAAACCCTCGCAACCATCCTCGCCGCTGCCATCTTGGCTCGCGCAGAGTTAGCTACCACATCTTTGCCCCCTCTGTCAGACATCAAGGCTGCTGCCGCTACTACCCTGCCCGAATCCCCTACCTCCGACGTCAAGGGCCTTGCCTTTAACCGGTTTTATCAGGTCTGGCTCGAGAATATCGTACGTGGTACTTCAGAGCTGCCGTTTTAATCCCATTCCATTGACATCAAAAACAGGACTATTCCGACGCCGAGTCCGATCCTAACCAGGAGTGGCTGGCCAAACAGGGTATTCTGCTGTATGTGGAAGCTCAATCCTTGCTTTTATGTTATATCAATATATCCTAACTTCAAACACAGTACCAACTTCTATGCTCTGACCCACCCCTCGGAGCCCAATTACTGTGCCGCTGCCGGCGGTGACACCTTTGGAATGGACAATGACAACTTCAACCAGATCCCTGAAAATGTCTCCTCCATTGTTGATCTTCTCGACACCAAGGGTATCTCGTGGGGCGAGTACCAGGAGCATATTCCATACCCCGGCTACCAGGGCTACAATTACTCCAACCAGAATACTTACGCACCCGACTATGTCCGCAAGCACAACCCGCTCATGCTTTACGACTCGGTCGTCAAAAACGAGACCAAGGCTCGCCAGATCAAGAACTTCACGCATTTCGATGAGGACTTGAAGAATAAGAAGCTTCCCCAGTGGGCTTTCATCACTCCCAACATGACCAATGATGCCCATGACACCAACATCACTTTTGCATCCAAGTGGGAACGCCCGTGGGTTGAGAAGCTTCTGAAGAACGACTACTTCATGAAGGACACTCTACTTCTTTTGACCTATGATGAGGATAAAACGTGAGTTGAACACTTGATCTTCGTATAATAAGAAGAAGAAAAGAAAAGAGAAAACAGGAAGTTAGCGACTAACTACTGTATCAAATAGCTACATCCACAAAAATGGAAACCGGGTCTTCTCTATCCTCGTCGGTGGAGCGGTACCCGAGCACCTGAAGGGTACCACGGACGACACCTTCTACACTCATTACTCAACCATTGCCTCCGTCAGCGCTAACTGGGGACTCCCCAGTCTGGGTCGTTGGGACTGTGGCGCCAATCTGCTGCAAATCGTCGCCAACAAGACGGGCTACGTCAACTACCAAGTCGACACAACTAACCTGCTTCTGAACGAAACCTACCCTGGTCCAATGGCAGATGGTGAGTACGCCAAGTTCTCCCCCGAATGGCCAGTTCCTTTGACCAGCGGCAACTGCTCTGCCGGTCACGGTATTCTCGACGCCGTCAAGAAGACTTATGCTGGAAAGGCTGCGACTTATAACTACACCAGCCCTTACCCATGGAACGAGAAAGTCGGTTACAATGATAAGGTCACTGTTAGCAAATCCTCAAACTCCAGCTCGGCCTCCAGCAGCCCTTCTGCGTCTTCCACGAAGAAGAATTCCGCTGCCGTCGTGAGTGTCTCTAGCTCCCTGGCTCTGACCGGAGCTCTGGTGAGTCTTGCCTCTTGTTTCCTTTGAACTGTCCGCGCGTTGTCGCTACATACCACGGAAACTCCGATAGGCACACAGTTCACAGGATATATGGGATAATGACTCATACATTCCCAGCTCGGTGGCTTTACACGTCTCTTCATGAATTTTGTAACCCAATTTGTCTCTCCTGGCTTTCGTGGGGAAGAGGATTAAAAGTGGAGGTGTTTTGTGGAGTTTTCAACGTTACGAGTTAGTGTCTACGAGTAATGGTTTCTTATGCAATCAATAGCTTAAAATTGCGACATTCATTCATGACAGATTCAAAAGAGCCAAATCCCACTACCTAGAAAAGCCCAGCCGATGCTCCACTAGCCTTGATAATGATCGACTTAGTCTGAACAAAGTTATCAATACTATATAACAAACCTTCCCTGCCGGTTCCACTCATCTTATACCCGCCAAAGGCAGCATCCTTCGCATTTGTCGGACTAGTACAGTTCACGCCAACCGTACCCGCCTCCAACGCCTTTGACAAGCGAATCGCCCGATCCAAATCCTTCGTAAAGACAGAAGCATAAAGGCCGAACTCAGTATCATTCGCCTTCCGAATCGCCTCCTCCTCCGTCTTGAAGGTATTAATCGCAACCACGGGACCAAAAATCTCCTCACGCATCACCCGCGAGTCCTCGGGGACTTTTTCAAAGATAGTCGGCTTAACGAAGAAACCATCCTTCGCATCACCGCCCACCGTGAGCTCTCCATCCTTCTCGCCAATCCCAAGATACTCTTGCACCCGCTTATACTGCAACACATCAATCTGCGGACCCTGCTGCGTCGCCGGATCAAGCGGGTCACCAAGCGCATACTGCGCAAACTGCTCGCGGAAAAGCGCGGTGAATTTCTCCGCAACGCTCTCCTGTACGTAGATACGCGAGTTTGCGACGCAGACCTGTCCGCTGTTGAAACGGATGCTGAACTGGGTCTGGGCAGCGGCGGATTCGAGGTCGGCGTCTTCGAAAACTACGGCGGGCGATTTGCCGCCTAGTTCTGTGTGCACGTGCTTCATGTTGGACTTTGCGGCTGCCGCTTGGATCTTCTGGCCTGTTAGCGATGAGCCGGTGAAACTGATGCATCGCACGTCCATGTGCTCGGCGAGGGCGGCGCCGGTTGGGTTGCCGTGGCCTGCAATGACGTTGACGACGCCTGGAGGGAGGCCGGCTTTTTGGATGAGTTTTGCAGCGGCGATGGACTAGATAGTTTTGATTTGCTTGGGTTAGTTGTCATGATTTTCTTGTGAAGAAGGGAAGGAGTATGCATAGATCGGCGGCTGAACATACGGTCAAAGGTGCCTTCTCGCTACTCTTCAAAACAACAGTGTTACCAGCTGCCAGTGCAGCGGCCATTTTCATAGAGAACATAACCAGTGGGAAGTTCCAGGGGATGATCATGGCTGCCACGCCATACGGCTCTTTGACAGTCAGGCTCAGCAGTCCCGGCGTGTGGGTGCTTGCTGTACCCTGGACGTTCCAGCCTGCATCCGCAAAGGACCGCCATGTATCTGCGGACATCTTCCCATCGACATATTGGGAGATCGGGCGTCCCGTACAAAGGGTCTCGAGGCGGGCAAGTTCATCGTTAGCCTCGATGAACAATTCGGAGACTTTGCGGAGATAAGCCCCGCGTGCGTCGACGCCGAGGTCTCGCCATGCGGGGAATGCGGCGCTGGCTGCCGCAACGGCGTCATTGACGTCGTTGACATCGGCTTCGTGGACTGTGACTGTTTAGCAGGGGACTCTGTTGTAACTAGCTTGGTTATTATCATACCCTGGGCGACGACTTCCTGGGTGTAGGGGTAGACGACATCGAAAGTCTTCTTGCTGGACGATTCACGGAACTGTGCAGCGGATTCGGAGTTAGCGTTGGCTGACATTGGGGAACAGGGGTATGTATGTAGTATGCACCTCATTGTTAATGAACAAGCGCGTTTCGATAGGTTCTGATCCTTTGGCCGCCATGATGGACGATTGTAGTGCGGTATCAGAGTAGTATGCTGTGCAAAGACTATGTGAAGCAGAAGATCAGCAGGGTATCAGCAGAACGAGAAATATTTAAATATTAAACGAAAAACCCCTCCCAGTCGGAAGTCGGAAGTGCTGCAGCTTCCCCCTCCTCCCCCTCCACTAGGACTAGAACACTTGCCGCCGTCAGCTTGGCCCCCGCACTTACTGTATCCGGTTTCTTCTTTGATCAAATGAAGCTACCACTTCGACGAGGTCCCATGCAACGGAGTGGGTGGCGGACCTTCATTGGACTGTGGCTGTAGTTTAGCTTGCTTAGCGTCTATCATGACCCTCTTTTTACTGTGGATCCAGGATGGCTGGGGCTTCCAGCTTACGATCGCCGAGGCTGCCTGGAATTGAGCTTTGACTTCGTACGGAGTATAGAGTACGGAGTAGGGATTACGGAGTTAATGATTCATGGTTCAATGTCAGCTTATACCATACACCTCCCCATTGGGATGCCTGAAACGGTGCAACTTCGGTTTATGATGATGACAAATGCGTTTTACGAGCAGTGGTCGGTTAAACGGTGACCTTGTTCGTATTAGGAAAGTGGTCAAGATTTTGTATAGAATGGTTCCGTACGTACGTACCACTATATCGACCAAGTTTTAATGTGAATCCAATTAATCCAATGCCTCGACCAGTTCGCACATGGAAGGCAACACCATGATATACAGCATACTAATCTATATAGAAGAGTAATACTAGTAGTAAAACCAAGTGTAGTTGGAGTAGCTGGAGTAGTTGTTGTGTAGGGCAGGTGGCCGGAGGCACCTTCCACGGGCAACCAAATTGAGACCTTCAACCCTCAACCTCATCCAACTTCATTTCTCTCCTCCTCTCTCTCATTCACCCATGCGAAACTAAAACAGAAAAGTGAAATGACATTTCTCATTTGTCCCCGCTGGCGCAACTTCCATCCGCCTTCTCCGTCCGGCGTAGCTCCATCCGACCATGATGGCCCGCTTGCTGCGCAGGAAGATCAGGAAGACCAGGGCCAGGGCCAGGACATAGGTACGTACGGAGAAGCCCGTTCATGAGGACTTCTTTAATTGGACCAGTCCCTAATCGCGTCTGGTCCAAGAAGCAGCACCTTCTGTCCAGCCCGATAATGCTACCGAAGAAGGTGAAAAACAACCTGAGAGCTTCTCTCATCGTCTGCGACGCCGTTTCTCCCGAGAATCCAAGACACCCGCCGAGGATCGTGATACCTCGAAGCTCGGATTTCCTTTCAATCTAAGGTCCATCAAGTCCGCACCCAAAATAGGGCTGAGACTCGGGCAGAACCTTACAACGTTGGGCAATCTTGGAAGCAGTTTGATGAGCGAAAGGGCATACGACAGCGATGCACAATTCATTACCACTCCCAGTCGCGCTGGAAAAAGTGTCAGGTCTCCATCGGCGAAGCCTTTTCGAAGAATGGATCTGAGTGATCTGATCGAGCGAAGTCATGAACGAAAATCCTCAGAAAATCGGAGTCCTGCTGCTGCTCAAGAACGGAACATATCCAGTCTCTCCTACCAATCTACAACTGGGAGGGATTTTATATCTACTCCTACCACCAGTGTGACATCTTTCCAAGGTCATCTTCGTACACCACAGGAGCTTCGTCAGGCCTCAAATCAGCAACTGAATCCTCTTCAAGCAGAACCGGTTCTAGGAGAATACGACATGAACATCACGTCTGCAAGATCCCTCCCAGAACTGACCCTCACTATCCCTCGGTTGGTTCCCTCATTTGCAGCAACACCTGCCACCATCGCCATCCCGCGGCCCAATGGCGATTCGGGGTCCCTGGCTGATTGGAAGCAATTTTTGCATGAAAGCCACCAAGTGTACAGCGCAGCATTTTCGGAAACTCTGCCCAATCCTTCCACGGATATCTTGGTTAAGAAGAATCGACAAGCACCTGCCTCAGTTAGATCTTTTACTGATCCACGATCAATACACCTTGATGATTTGGGAATCTCGGACCGGCTTGCCTCGCAAACGACAGCTTCCGGCTCGATGCCTCGGTTGATTCACCAGAACGAATTTGGTTTCTTCGTCCCTCCATCACAGGAAAATCTTCATCCTCCCAAAAGGTCTGAAGCCTCAGCAGTATCAGATGTTGGCTCTCCATCCCCAATCCCTGGAAAGGGTGATTTCTGTTCATTCTACTCGCCACAGTTAGGCTCCATTGCATCTAAAGGGTCTCCTATGAATTCACAGAGAAGTGTGAACAATCTCACTATAAGCAACTCTCAGATCAAAGAGAAGATTCCGAATGAGAGTGAAATTGTTCAGAGCAGTCAGCTTCACGAGAACGGAGCTATACAGAGTAAATTCCGCGAGCATTGCGAAAGCCCTGATTCTGAGCAGGCGCAATCTCACAATATTTCAAATGACCTCGATAAGGTATGCCAGCCACGCAAGATCAGCGTCGGTTGGATGTCCGAAGGCCGAAGGGTAGGCTATGGCTACAGTCCAGTGCCCAGTCAGGACGAACCACAAGTTCAAAATGAACTTGTTTATCACTCATACCGCAAGCCCGAGCCAGAATCCAAACCCGAAGTTATGCCGGTAGAATTCAATCAAATCGACTACCAAAAGCCTTCAAATGATAATTTCGAGTCGACGGAAGGCTTCACTCCAGAACTAAGCCCAAGCATGGCTATCAATTGCTCAGATATAAACCATCCCAACCTGCCTCCAATTCCAAAGGCCAAGGCATCCGAATACCCTACGCCACCATATCTCCGGGCCGTGCTTGGAAGCCGCAGAGGTCGAACCGATGACCCTTCATCCGCTCGGATTCGCGAAGGCAGCTTCAAAAGTCTACGGGCCCCAGAACTGCCTCCAATGACACATATCGAGCACTGTCAAGTCCCAAAGAGCTCGAAGTATAGCAACCAAGCCAACGACTCTTTTGTTCAGCGCTGGCCCCGTCTCAGCCCACCTACCAAACAAGCTGCCATTGTCTCAGGTGATAATGCTGATGACGATAATCCAGGATTTTTTGACCTCGGCGATCAATACCACGTTCAAGAGCCTTGCTCTCTCCAACCTAAAATATCTCGAAGCGAAAAATGGGTCCGGCGTTTCACTCGCCGCCGAGAGAGTAGGCGTGTCTCGAATGCTCAGCTGCAAGACTCTTCTCAGAGTTCCTCGGACCAGTATGAGGATTGTGTGTCGGATGATCCTCAGCGAAAAACCACGGAAGATCTGGCGGTCATGTACCAGGACTGTATGGATATGCCCGGATCCTTTGATGGTAGCCGCTGGGCGAGTCGGAGAAGCCGAATGCCACTGTGGGATGCGTGCACTGAGGGTCTCTGGCATTCAGCGTGATCAAAAGCGAAAAAAGAGTTGTGCATCACGTATATTCAAGTTGAAAGTGTGGTGTTTTGGAAGGTATATTATCAGGGACTACATTATTATTATTGTTCCAGGAGTTAGCAGAATGGAGGTCGGGGGCGTTGTTAAAAGATTAGATTATAGATAACTCCCAGCAGAATGTCATTAATCGTACAGAGGTATCGAATCGAAGGTCCAGTCCCAGCCCTGCGCCTAAAAAGTGTAGATATGATACAGTGCAAAGGGTAGAAACAGCCAAGTTAATCACTCAACCATCTACCTCCGCTGCCGCTTATTGCTCTTGTCACTAACAGCGCTGAACACACTAGCCGACCTCTTATGATTACCATCGTCCTTCGCAGCCTCTTCGGCGTTCTCACCATCGCCACCCTCCCCCTTCTCCCCGCCTGAACCCGCTGCTTCAGCAGTAGAACCCAGAACGCCTGTCCCATCTTCCGCCTCAGTCTTCACCTCCGGATTCTCAATATCCGTAGCCGTAGTCTCACCAGCAGCTTCTCTCGCCTTGCGTTCGCGCTCCGCCTTGGAAGCTTCAAGAACACGAATCTCGCCCTCGACCTTCTCGGAGACCTTTCGCGCTTCAAGAAGCACATTGACGGACTGGATGAGTTTCTCAAAGGCCTTGCAAACACGCTCCGTAGGCATGAACAGACGCACGGGAATCTCGAGTTCTGCCAGTGCGCCGGCGAGCTTTTGCGTCTGCACGTTCGACTTGGCCTGCGTGAGTTTCTGGGCACGGTCGCTGCGGAATTGGACGCCGGCTGTGACGCGCTCGTGGTGCTGAATGCCATACCGGGATTCTTCGGCGGCTGTGAGTTGGCGGACCACGGGCTGGGTTGGGGGAACTGCGGGTCCCTTTTTGTTATTGTTATTCGCGGCGGCGGCGGCGGCGGCGGCGGCGTTGGCACTGGGCGTATCGCCGCGGCTGACTGGTCCTCCTGCTTGTGTGGGTGTTTGGCCGGCGGGACTGGCGACAGCACCGTCGGGGCCGAGGATGGAACGGCGTTTCTTGCTCTTGTCTGCCTGAAGGAGGGTTTGGAGGAGTTGGGAGAGACCTTGGCTGGACTGGTACATGGCGGTGTTTCCGACGCTGACGGGGACTTCGAGACGTGAGTAGAGTTCGCGGCGCTCGGAGATGAAACTCTGTTCGTTGCTTGTGATGCGCTTGAGTTCTTCCAGCAGCATTGCTTCTTCGCGGACTTCGTCGGCGGTGCGGTTGAGTTGGAGAGCGGCGAGTTCTTTGCGATCTCGTTCGCGGTTCGGGTCGAACTTGAGCATTTTCTCGTGCCATTCGAATTCGGCTTCGGACATTTCGGACGGTGGGTGCTCGATTGCTAGCATTGTTGCGGCGATGAAATAGTACCGTGCTTTCATGTGCTCCATTGTTCGGACTGTCTTTGCGGGAACGATGGCATTGCCTTCGGGTTCGGAGTCCATTCGCGGTTGATATTCGTAGCGATCGGCGATGAGCACCCAGCGTAGGTCGTACTCAGCGACCAGGTCCATCAGATAGTCCGTCTCCTCGCGAGTCCACTCGTTGTTGCGGAGATGTCGGCCGTATTCGTCGTCTGTATATCGGCGCGGCAGCTGTGCTTTGACATTGTACTTGGCGAATGTATATTCTTGTTCCAGGGGCTTAGTATCCTCCTTGCCCTCTTCCTTCGTCCCATCCACATCCACATCCATCTGTGTTCCCTCCGGAGCGGGTTGTCGCGCACCCTCATGCTTCCGTTGCCAGTGGTTCAGGACCAGGTCATCTGATCGGGCTCCGTTGGTGAAAGGCGACATGCGCCATTGTCGCACACGCAGCTTGTTCAGCAGTTTTGGACGGCCCTTGTATTTGTTCTCGTTGATCGCAATCGGCGGCGCCCGCTCTCCCAGCAACGCGTATAGTTCACGGGTGATACCCTCTGCCACAGGCATCAGTTATAGGTCATTCTCTTAGGCTAGATTCGGGATACACACCTGGTCGCTTCTCAACCACTTTTTGCTTCTTGTGAGGTCTGGGCTGGCTCTCAGCCGGCAGATCCAGCATATCGCGAACATCGGCAGCGGCCGCCATGGCGAAAAGGGTGTCTCGTCAGACACACGACAATTAAGCGTAGAGCCGGTGTAGAGATTGGGGGCAAAAGGTAAAAATGAACGATAATCTTGAGGGGTATCTTAGATGAAAGGGGAGACGAGGTCGCCGTCGCGATGAAAATCAAAGGCGCGGCCAAGGGAGCGGCCGAAACCAGCAGGCGGTGGAGGGCAAAGCACCCGCGTGTTGACTTGACCATCTGGCATCGTCAGGAGTATTGGAATGATCGTAGTATTCTCCAAGGCCAACCCCAATTGATCCAACCTCAGCCATGGCCTTCCAAGCTTCGCCGTCATGGCTCACGGCTGCTCTGGCCATCTTCTCCTTCTTCTCCATGCTCATCCCCGCCAACGCCCTGTACTTCTACGTCGATGGCCGCCAACCAAAGTGCTTCTTCGAGGATCTACCCAAGGACACCCTGGTAGCCGGTACGATACACCATTCCGCTTATTTTCAATGCCTTCATAGCATTCAGCAACTCTGACTAACGTATTATTGTTTCCAATGAACAGGCAAGTTCGACACCCAGGTCATCAACCCCAACACTGGCGTCTTCGCCATCGACCACAACCTCAAGGTCCAAATCACCGTGGAGGAGACCTTCGACAATGACCACCGCATCGTAAACAAGCGCGAGAACCATTCCGGCCGCTTCACTTTCTCCGCCGCCGACGCCGGCCAACACCGTATCTGCTTCATGGCCGACACCGAGGTCGCGACAACCGGCTGGTTGTCCAACAGCCAGGGTGCTGTCCGGGTGACCCTGGATATGGCCATTGGCGAGACAAGCAAGATTGAGACCGAGGACAAGGACAAGATTAAGGATATTGTGCAGCGTGTGAAGGATCTGAACAGCCGACTGCACGACATCCGTCGGGAGCAGGTGTACCAACGGGTGAGTAGTTCCCCCCCCCCCCTTCTCTCTCTCTCTACCTATGTGTTTGGCTAGCTTGCTAGGATCCATTACTATATCTGGACCACGGGCTTTTCTATCTACCTAATTCGCGATGCTAATGAAATCATTTACTAGGAACGCGAGGCTGAGTTCCGTGACCAGTCCGAGACCACCAACGGTCGTGTCGTACGCTGGACTCTAATCCAACTCGCCGTTCTGTCCGCCGCTTGCGCCTGGCAACTCTCGCATCTGCGGTCATTCTTCATCAAGCAGAAGCTGACTTAATGCAGAGCCCTCGATTGGCAGTTGTTTTGTTTTCCCCATTCTGAATGTGTTTTAAGCCCTTTTCTTTTAAACTACAACTTGCATCTTGATTCCAGTTCTTGTTGTGCCGCACACGACCAGTTACGCAAATATTGATCAACCGTCCTTATATGAGACATTTGATTCTTTTTTTTTTTTTTTCCTTTTTTTGGAAGGACGCTGGTGATGCTGGATGGGATGCCTTTGCTCTGGTCTGACTGGGGCGTTTCTGTCCATAAGGCATGGGGTTTACACGTTTCACTTAAAAAAAATAGGGAGGTTGTAGCATGTCTAGAACCGCATGGTCAGAGCGGTGCTGATTTTGATAATGGATGTAATGACAGATTTTATTTTTATTCCTTTTTGTTCATTCAGCTAGCAGTACTTTGTACGTCATAACTGTAGAATGTCATGATGGTAGATAAGATATTCCTTGATAGATATATCAGAAAAAAATACCTTTCCCTGGGAAAGTTTGAGGCAGAAAGGGTGCGGTTGGGGGTCATCAATCATTATGCCCAGGGCAACGGATAATAAAAATGTGTAAAGGTGAAAATGCCCAATATGGTATATGGCATGTGAGAGAACAAAGAAGGGCGGGGCAAAATCAAAACACGCCAAGATGAACAATGACAAGATTCCCCCCTTGCCAGATCATGGCGAGGGTCGTCTCGAGATGCAAGGTAGACCTCTTGGGTAACCTGAACAAATAACGCAAAAAAGCAACGCAGGCCGTGCAAAGGCAAAGGCCTCCAAGGGTATATGGCAGTATTTTCACCAAAGGACCATTCACAAGAGGTTCTCAAAAAAAGGGTCGACATGCTTCATATCAAAATGGATTCCTAGTTCCAGCAGTAGGATCACTTGGACCACCACAGAATCCTTTGATGAGCCTTTCAAGATCGGTAAGTTTGTATGGTTTTGTCATGTAGCCTTTGATTCCCACTCTCGAAGCACGGTTCAGCGCCTCATCGGTGACATCGGCACTCACGGCAAGAACGGTGGGAGGCCGTGGTGTATGTATCGCGCTTATCGGAGGATCCATTTCCATAGTCTCGGGGTTCTCGACGGTAGTCACAGGATGGAGTCCATTGACAGGGAGAGCAGATTTGGCATGGTGGTCGGTTACCATCTGTAGAATTCGAGATGTTGCCTCGTAACCATCCATTTCGGGCATCCAAAGATCCATCAACACTACATCGATCGGTTTGATCTCCACCGCAACTGGCGGGGCAGGCATATTCATCTCGACGGGGCTAGTTTCTGCTGGATTTGGGGCTGAGCCTGAGGTAGAGAGGATATCTTGAACGATTTGAACAGCCTCCCTGCCATCCGCGGCCTCAAGTACATCGCGATAACCGAGTTTACGGAGCATATTCACCAAAACACGTCGGTTGATGCGATTGTCCTCTGCCACGAGAAATCGTAGGGGATGCTTCTCTCCTAGCTTATTGTCGTACGTGTCACCAGAAATATGTCTGCGACCGGGTTGGAAATCTGCCGGCTGTGGGGGGGGTCGGGCTCTGAGATGAATGGCCATCGGCAGTACTTGGGGTCGGCTGTTGCAGCTGGCGATTTTGAATGACGGAGGGAGACATCGAGGATGAGGACTGGGCTTCCCAGACAAAGCTGCTGGCGCTCCCATGTCGAGAGTGATCATTGATTATGGGCGGGGTCATCATCCTCTCATTTGGTGTTCCAGGGCGGTTGTAGGCCTCGCGTTGGTTCACGGGGATTCGGATCTGGAACACCGAGCCTTGATTGGGCCCGGTTGTCGATGACCTTACACAGATCAGATCACCTCCCATCTTTCTTGAAAGACCCTTGGCCACCAGGAGGCCAAGCCCCAGTCCATCTTTGCTGCGGGTGGTCGAGGCATCCTGTCGAGCGAAGGGTTTGAAGAGACTGGGCAGAAATGCAGCTGGAATCCCAGGACCAGTATCACTCACGCTAATCAGAACATCATTTTTCTTCTGGTCGACAGTCGCACACACAGCAATTGTGCCGTTGTTTGTAAATTTGATAGCATTCAGAAAAACACAAGAGATAAGTTTGGCCAGATCTCGGTCATCTGCAAGAAGGGTGTCGGGTAACGCGGGGTCAACCGACCAATCCACAGTTTTGGTAAAGATCAGGCCATTCGAGGATCGAGACCGAATCTCAATTTTCTCGCCAAACTCGGTCGCGTGACTGACTGCTGAATCAGGCCGACCACCAACGTGAAGTGATTCGTTAATGACCAGGCGTAGAAGATCTCGCAACTTGGTGAAACGTAAGGCCGAGCTCCTATTCACATTAATGCCTTCAAGGAGCAGATGGGGCGCTGAACGTCGGGTAGAAATGGACGGATGTGGATCAACCATGTTGGCCATAACCGCTTCTATCTGAAGTGCGGGGGTAGCATGAACGATCTGGTCGCTCTCGTGGACGGCGTTCTTAACTTCTTCACTGCGGGGTGAGAGCTCTTGCCGCGAAGATGCTGCTCGCGTTCTCTGTTTCCGGGCTGGCCGGGTGGACATGTCGAGAGGGAGACTCCGGCGTCGCTTGTACGGATTCAGAGCGATGTTATTTCCTTCGATGAAGACGCTCGGTCGGCTTTCCGTCAAGTCCACCGGTGGAATAGGATCCATAAAAATCTCATTCTCCTGCTCCCGCTGCGGTGTCTTGGGGACTTGCATGTTAAGATCATAAGCATGGACCACATTGTCGGCCGCTTCAACAGCACGCCGGGCACTATCTTGGACCATCTCAATGCCTTCCTTGAGGGCTTGAAAGATGCCACCGGACTTCACGGGAGTCTTGCTCTCCATGGCCTCGCGCACCGTGGCATGCATAACATCCAACATACCGACGACGCCTTGCATCGGGGTTCGCAGCTCATGTGATAGACTGCGAGCGTATGGTTTGAGGGGTTGTGAGGTAAAATCGGGGGTGTTGGGTTGGTGGTCATTCTGCGAAGCTTGAACGGTCGCAGAGTGGAACTCGGGAGTCTCAGATTTCTCATGGTCGGGGGCGATTTCTTGCAAGGACAAATGTTGAACAATCAGGTCCTCCAGGGAATGCAAGACGACTTCAAGAAAAGACCATGATAGATTTCGGCTTTTGAGTCCTTCTTTGGACCACATTAAGCCCAGGTGCGCCCGGCACTTGCCAGCCGAAAAAAGTGGGATGGCTAGATACGCCTCCGCACCAAAGGGCAACTGGTCATCTCCAAAGGAAGCCAGGGATTTGAGGTTTTCAGGGATCAGGCACGGCCTTTCGTGGTCCATATGCAGCAGAGGATTCCCGCCGGCGAAATACCGGTCTCGCTGGAGTCCCACATTTTGGTAGCCATCGTTGTAGTAGAATGCAGCACCGAAGATGTTGGGTCGTCGACCCCCCCAGCTCGGGCATGGGCTCACCACCATGGACACGACGGGCGACAAAGCCATACTGGGCCTTGCTGATGGAGGTGATATCCTCCATGAGCCGTTTCCAGAACAGCTCGGTGTCGGAGGTCCTCAGGCCCTGCTTGAGGGTGACCAGATGTTCGATGGCGGCAGATTGGAGGCGGTCATTCCAGCTTCCGGGTGATGAATTGTATTGCATTTCACCGTCATCACGTACGGTAGCGAGACCATCGGCGATGCATTCGGACTTGCAAGAGGGGAAGGACATGGCGGGTCGAGGGTGAACGGGGTTAGAGACATCGGACTCGGGGGAGTCGGACATAGTCCATGTGGAGGAGGGAGGAGGTTTAGGCACGATCACTTGGTTAGGTAGTCGGGAGGGCCAACACCATGGCTGGATCTCACCGAAGGATCGAATCGAAAGAGGATTGAAGGTCGAACTTGAGGCAAGTTGAAGGTGAAGCAGGAGGGGGTGGGAGAGAGGGGATTTCCGGGCTCTAGCGATGGGGCCACCGGGCGGTCTAGACAACTGGGCTGAAACAGGAGAGTTCGTGGGTCAGGACAGGCACTGATCCGTTATGCTATGGCTATACTCGTAGGCGCATAGGATTAGAAGTTGAACTTCTGGTCTTCTGATGGGAAAATCTGAAAATGAGGATATAGGATATAGGAAATCGGCCCAAAGTACGAAGCAGGACCTATCGAGGGAACAGAGTCTCGCTTGACAGGGAAAAAAGCACTGCACGATCGGCGATCTAGACCGGCCCTCGTGCATGAGGGCTGCGTGTACAGTACCAGTGCCAGTACCACTCGCCCCAGTGGCTTTCGGGCCCCAGACTTTGGAAACTTTGGAGACTTTGGAGGCATGAACCCCTGCAGCCTCGTTTGTTCGTGACGCCCTATTGGCTTTGTTTTTCGGCAGGTGTCCAGCTGGTTACCCCAATCCCCCTATCGCCTTTGGGGATCTCGCTAAGGAATTGTTCATGGTGGCCACTGCTCAGGACATTGGATACATCTGATTTATCTCAGTACCGTCTGTCAGTACTGCCAGTGTACATGTACATACTAGTGCTGGACGGAATATGCATACACCATATGTACATATGTACATATGCAGGAGGATTGGAATCCGGCCTATCCTATCATTTCAATTCCTCGGCAAATGGGATTTCTCAACGCAGGGTCTAGCGTGGTCGATCGATCGCTTCCGTCGCCTATGAGAGTCGTCTATCTCATCTGTGTACATATAGATATCTCGGGTTCGGATAGCCCTGGTGTTGCATGCTCGGGTGAATGCCCGATCCTGTTTTCCGATAGGCCTGGGCCTGGGAACCTTTGAATATATAGTTACTCGTAGTACTAGTACAGTAGTAGGGCACCAGTCTAGGTACCACCTCCCGAGGTCTTCAAATTTCAACCTTGGAACTTGAAGTCTTTTCTCTCTCCTTTAAGTATTTCTGGGAGCTCACTAATAGAAAGACATATTAGTTAGTAGGTAGTACCAACAACTTGTTACTACTCTAGTACACTTGGTGTGCTAGTAAGCTATCCGCATGTAGTCATGCCCTCTCTAGATAGAACCACCTGATCCTATCAGACAATGGAAATTTCCCCATCAAGGAACCGACAGATTATGTGAAGATACTCATGCTAACATGCTAACAGTAGTAGTATAATATGGCAGTCTCCCTGCAACTCATACCTTTATACCTTATACTTTATACCCCGCAAGCACCGGCGACCGTGAAACCGAGGTAGAGCCCCACCAATCATCCCTTAAGGGCAAGCTACACGCCGAGCTGCAATGATTTCACCAATTATACTAGAATTAGTAGCTCGTGCTATAAAACATCCTCCCTTCTCAGAGTGAGGCTTCGAGCTCGCAAGGAAAACCCGGCACTTGCACAATGAGCAAAATTACCCCCTTCTCTATTAGTGTGCCAGACGCACAACTTGATCAACTACGTCACAAGCTCGATCAAACTACCTTTCCCGATGAAATTGACGCTGTCGGCTGGGATATGGGTGTCCCGCTCGAAGTAATCCAGAGACTGATCACCGTTTGGCGGGATACCTTTGACTGGCGGGCGCAGGAAAGGAAGCTGAATGATCAGCTGCGCCAGTTCACAGTGACCATCTCTGTTGATGGGTTCGGGGAATTGGAGATTCACACTCTACACCATCGAAGTGGAAATCCCAATGCGATTCCTTTATTATTCATACATGGGTGTATGCTTGTTACCTACCATTACCACTTGAATCGGAAACTCATGGATATCATGGCTAATCTGGTCTACAATATTAGGGCCCGGTAGCTTTCTAGAAGCAACAAAGTTGATCCCATTGCTCACAAAGAATGGCGAAGGACCGGTTTTCGATGTCATTGCCCCCTCGCTTCCAAACTTTGGATTCTCCCAGGGCGTGAATCAGGTATGCTCATCATGAGCCCATATCGTCCTGCCAGCTCAACAGAGTCTAACCAGAAAGCAGAAAGGATTCGGCTTGGCCCAATACGCCGAGGCTCTTCACAAGGTCATGATAGCCCTAGATTACGAGGAATATGGTATCATTCCTTTCCCACCGCCGCAGTGTATCACGAAATATCGCTAAACTAACACGATCAAGTGATCCAAGGAGGCGACTGGGGCAGCATGATCGCCCGTACTATGGCTCAATACTACGCCCGACACATTCAAGCCATCCATCTAAACTTTATCCCCGTTAAGCCTCCATTCCCTTGGAAGAATCCAGTTCGTTTCCTGCAGTCTCTCGCGAGCGTGCCTTTCTCCGCAAAAGACCGTGCATGGGTTGCTCGCTCGATGGACTATCTCCTTCGCGGCAACGCATACATGAAACAACAAGAAACTCGACCACAGACCCTGGGGTATGGGTTGAGCGATAGTCCCATTGGACTGCTGGCTTGGATCTACGACAAGATGCATCTGTGGACTGACAGCTACTCTTGGACCGATGAGGAGATCTTAACCTGGGTAAGCGTGTACTATTTCTCGCGGGCCGGACCGACAGCCTCGACACGCATCTATTATGAGGCTTCGGCCCCGAAGATTGATCCCTCGGTATCCAAGGCGGAGAATGGAGGAGGGGGAGGAGGGGCTGCTGTCAATTACACATCGCTTGACGATATCATGACTGCCTGTGCACCGTCCAATGTGCGATTCGCGGTGGCTCAGTTCCCCAAGGAGCTCGTTATGTGGCCGATGGCCTGGTATCATATCATTGGCAATGTGGTGAAGGAGAAGGAGTTTGATCGTGGTGGTCATTTTGCTGCCTGGGAGGTTCCTGAGTTACTTGCGGGTGATGTGAAGGAGTTCATGGGAAAAGAAGGACCGGCCTTTGGCGCGGTTCAGGGTAAAGAGGGTTATTAGTCTTGGGAAATTCGAAGATGCGACGTATGGGAAGGAAAATGTATTTCAAGATATGAAAGGGAATACATGGAAACTATTATGACGTGAATGACGGGGACTTGTATTATCATGATGGAAGTATTGAGAAATACATGGCTACAAAACGAAACCATGATTTCGAATGTCGATTGTTCTCGCGTCAAAGTTGCAGTATTCTGACCATGGTTAACCGTCGACGGCACATCATTCAGTGAAGACCAGACGCCGAAATCTGCCCTCAAACCAGCAGAAAGCCCAAAGAAACCAATTTCATCAGTGTATCCTTTCTTAATCCTGTCGTCCCTTCAGTAACCGCTGGGTCACCTTGTCCTTCTCTATGATATAAACCTGGGCACCCCAACCGGAGAGGGCGTCTCGGTCCACGGCAGCCAGGAGTGCTTGGGAGATGGTCTCAAAGAGATCCTCGGGCGACTAAAAAGGGACAACACACGTTAGACTAAAAGACAAAGCTCTCGGGATATATAGTAAACGTACCAGATCCGGCTCCCACAGACCCTCGCAGGTACCGAACAGCTGCTCGCTAGCTGTTCCGCTAACGATGAAGTCCTTGGCCAAGTCGATACAGCCGATGCTGTCGAAACCGCAAATGAACGGCTTTCCAGTCGTTTGGTTGATACCGGCAATCACAGGACTGATGAAGAAAGGACCGAAACGCTTCTCGTACAGCGATGAGCTGACCAGGTTGGCCAAGGTCTGGGGTGCGATATTGCGCTCCTCGCGCAGACGATACATGTTAACCTTATAGCGGAAAAGATCAGAAACGGTGTTGACATCGGTGGCGAGACCGGTCAGGCCGAGATAGGTTGAAGGCGCGTAGTTGAAGATCTTGGGGAAGTTGTTGGAAACTGTCAGGGCTTGCATGCCCAAGCGGAGGTCGCAAGCGATAGCGACGCAGTCCTTGCCCACCATGGCGACGCAGGCACCGCCATCTATGTAGAAGTCAGTATATCAGTCGATTGTTTATCTAACAAGATGATCTGTCGTACTGATGTCGAAGGGGGAGCCCTGATGATGGAAGGAGGTGGTTAGCTTGAGGTCCAGCGGTCACGCTCGAAGTCCGGGACAGGGACAGATTTCCCTACCATTGTTGTGGTTTCTTTTGGATCAATCCAGTGGGTCGGTCAAAAAAGAGGGCTTCAAAAAGAAGAAATAGCTAGAAAAGAAGGGCTGGTGGTGGTGGGAGGTCGGGGGTGGAGATGGGGGGAGGTGAGGTTGATGACGGGGGAGCTCTGAAGGACGCGAGAGCAGCTCGGATGACGCCGCACCGCTGCCTGTTTGGTCGATCTCGTCCTTCGACTTCGTTCCATTTCACCCCACACTTTCACCCTCTCCGATTCCCACGAAGTTACTCTACCCATTTCGATTTTTATTCTATTTCTTATTCTGATACCAAGTCCCCAAGGGCCCAAGCTCAATACAGTGCCACCATGAGTGCCCACGTCGTAGTGATCGACGTGACGGCCAGGCGGGCAACGGTCAAGACGACCCCCTCCAAACAGATGACAGATATATTACAAGAAGCATGCAGGAAACTTGGATATAACTCGAGTCAATATGGACTGAAGTGAGCCCACAAAGACCCTCTTCACAATCCCTTCATGAGCCATTCATCCTCAATACTAACCAATCTCATCTCGATAAGGCACAATCGCAGACAGCTCGACCTGTCTCTGACCTTTCGTCTCACCGGCCTAAGTACAGGCGCGAAGCTCGAACTTGTACAGCTATCTAAATCGCCCTCGGTCGTCACAGTTGCTCTCCAACTCCCAGAGTCCGAAGCCCGTGGGGCACCTAACGGTCGTATATTGGACAAGTTCCCGAGTACAACAACTCTTTGGCTGGTACTACGCAAATTTGAAGCAGGTGTGGCAGGAAGTACGTCGGTGAGGAACCTCACAGCGCGCGGAGTGCCAAGCGCTTCGGCTGGAGATGGGGATTCTGCACGTTTGTTCTATGAAAGCCCAGTTCTTCAGATTTTGGACCGTGAACTGTCAAGCTTTACCGACCTTCAAAAATCACTTGCTCAGCTTGGAATCAACAGTGGTAACATTCTCATGAGATTGAACTTTCGACAAACGGAGGAACCTATAGAAGAGGCGATGGTTAAGATTGGCGAATACTTCAAGGCATCCGGGGATGATACCCCAGCCCCAACTCCGAACCAACCACCCGTTCCATCTGCCGCAGAGGGACAGAATGAAGATAGTCCGGAGCCTGCCCAGCCTGAAACGTCCAACCAGTCAGCTGCGCCTGTATCAGCTGGCCAAAATGAATCGCCTCCAGATGCCCCTCCTGTACAACCCACTTCAGCTTCAGTTTCAGGCCGATCAATCACTGTCTTCTCCCCACCGTCAGCAGATACACCGTCATCCGCTCAAATACCCTACAACGAAGCAGACTATATCCCTTCGGTGGAGCATGCAAAAGCCCATCAACGACAACTGAATCAATCCTCTCGCAACCAGCGTCTTCTGACCGATGCCGAGCTTGCAGCTAAAGCAACTGCAGAGGAGAAACGACGCTCGGGGATCAACGAAGTGGACGTGAAAGTACGCTTCCCAGATCAGAGCCAGGTGGTATCTAAATTCGGACCTGAAGATACTGGAAAGTCGCTTTATGGATTCGTCCGTAGCTGTCTGGGCCCAGCATACAAAGGCGAGAAGTTTGGTCTCAATGTATTCGTCAATGCGACACTCGGGCGCCCTGGACATTCAAGGGCCATACCCGAGTCTGATAAGCGCTTGATCAAAGACTTGGGGCTGGCAGGTCGTGTACTTGTCAACTTCACCTGGGCTGATGCTACAAGTGAAATTGCCCAACAACGCCGCACAGATCTTCTACGCCCCGAGCTTCTTGACCAGGCCCGTCAAATGAAGATTGACCAACCTTCGGAAATTGCGGAGGAGCCTGCAGCGGAAGCCTCATCCTCCAAGGCCACGGCTTCTAGTGGATCTGGGGAAGCTACGAAATCCTCCGGCTTGCGGAAGAATGGCGGTGTACCTAAATGGCTGAAGTTACCTGGAAAGAAATGAGCCGCTCGGACGAGCTGGGTATTTCTATGAGTGATGTGGATGATATTGAATGACATGTGACCGAGTGATGACCTCTCAATGCATTGATTGATAGACCTGGAAGCCAGACTTAGCCGAATGAATGTATTTGAGAAATACCAGTGACTGAAATAGGAGTCTATCCATTTCCTGAATAGAAAGAACCATTTCGAATGAACCTCAACTAGGCGTATGTTTAAATTGACCGGATGCTGGTTGGGGTGACACGACTAGTCGTCCCGGGTCCAGAACAAAGGAGAGCCCAGGGCAAACCCGATAGGAACAAGTTCAGACCATGAGAGACAGTCTCCAACGTGACTACGAGCAGCATGCAAGATATGAATAAATTGAACAAAATAGTTTTCATTATGGTTTCTCTTCCTAGTCAAAGGGAAGGGATCCCACTTTTGCCATCCCCATCATCCACCGGAAGTCACAAAAACCCCGTGTATTCCGATTCCGCAAGGCCATGCGCTAATAGGCATATGCGAAAGCTTTCTTTTTTCATTCGTGTTCCCTTGCGCGCGCCAGGTATTCGAGTCGTTATTCGAAGATTGGAAAAAAAGTTTTAAACGGAATGGAGCATTTAGTGGCCCTGGACACGGCGGGCCTCGGCGATGACGCGCTGCATGTCCTCAACCTTGCGCTTACCGCGGACGAAGGTACCGAGCTGAGTAGATATGTTAGTGTTGGGGTTCGTTGGGCAACGCTTGTGTTTGTCTGTTGCCGGATCGAATGTGGCACATGTGATTGGAGAAGATCTCTGGAGGATGTAGACGAAGCGCAGGAATCATGTGGACCAGCCCGTTCCGATTTCAGATATTATCCGAAACCGAGCGGCAACTTCCCAGATATCCATTGCGTTCTGCACTTCCAACAAAAGTCGTCCACCAAATGACCAATTCGACCGACACAGATATCAGCACGGGGCAGAATAGACGTACGCGCTTCTTAGCGAGCTTGCGGGCACGCTTGTCCTGAGTGTTTCTCAGGAGCTCAATGATGCGGCGCTCATAGGGGGCAAGGCCAACGACCTCACGGGCAACCTCACGGACGAACGCAGTGCGGCGAGAAGACTGGCCCTTGGTACGGCTGATCTTGTTCTTGGGGGTGTTGAGAGGAGTGGTTTTCTATAGTGGAGCAAAAAGTCAGTCCATCTGAAAAAAAAATTCAAGGTCCGTTCGCCGTCACGTCGATCCCTGGCACTGTCTGGTCTATTGGCCGTCGGTACTGTTTATTCTCATTTCGAGGTTGAGCCGGGGGTTCATGTCGATGGTTGTGTTTTGCTTTCTTTTCCATGCTCGTCTGATCAATCTTGAAATTTTGCTCCACCGCAATTCACGTCGATTGTTGATGCATTCCTTCTCTTTCCTTGACCTCTAGTAGATTGCGACGGTCCTATTTGATTCCCTTGACGGGTGCTGAATAGACTGGCGACCATTTGACGGAGAACCCTCGGCTCGAATCGACTCGGGGCAAAAAAAAAACTTCGATCGGAAAAGACCAGACGACGGGGTGACGGGATGACGGCAGGGGAGAGATAGAATGCACGTACGTGGCCACTGTTGGTGCCAACAATGATACCGGTGCGTTCCTGGGCCATTTCGACGGTTGGTGGCTGGACGGGTTGGCGGTGGTTGTCGTAGGAAGGGAATGAAGACACTCGTGTGGAAATCCCCTAGTCTTTGCGGAACCGCACAATCGGAGTCTTGGCGGGCGTTGGTCCGTAGGCGAAGGGTTAGGGCTTAGGGCAAGTCAGCTGCCGTTCCCGCAGCAGCAGCAGCAGTTTCCAGTTTCCAGTCACGTGATGCATATATACTACTGTGGGTCCCCTGTTCCCAATTAGGATTAGCGTCATCATCGATAAGATTAACTTACCCTAGGGTAGGGTACCTTATACTTCGCGTTTCTCAGATTAACGAGGTTTTGCTATGTCAACATATAAGAGAGCATTACACTACCAGAAGTGATCCTTCAGGAGCTACTAGTTAGAGCCTAGACTAGCATTGGAATAGTAATATCTGTCTCTGCCAGTTCTTTCATGCTTCTTGTCAACATGAGCCAAGTCATTTAACTACATACAAACACGCTCACAACTTCACCGCCATCACACCTTCGAGCGCCAATGACCAGCTCTCCATCAATGTATGACAGGAAATTTCAAGGCTAGACATGTCCAGGCCCTTCTCGAGGGTATCCTGTAGCTCCTGATCATACTTGTCAGACTCATTTCCATACAAAATCGAGTCTACCAACAATCCAAGCACGCCCGGCGCAAGAATATGCGACTTCAGAGAGCGGGTGTTAGCGCGAATCAGTTCAAACACCTCAGGTACGAGGGCAGATAATCGCTCAACACGCTCCTTGGGCAGCTTGACAACCTTGGATACCTTCCGAGAGGCCAGGGAAGTCAGCTGCGATGCTGCCTTGAGAGACTCGAGAATCGTGAAAACGGAGTGCAGATATCTCCAAGTAGGACCAGCTGGAGCCGCGGGTTGGAGATATAAAGCAGTCCTCGTGATCAGAGGGGAGACCTTCTCGTCATCAAGGGTAAGGTCACTCTTTTTCAAGTTTAGCCAATCCTCCAACTTGCCAAGTGCATTGTCAACCTCCTCGGACGACGTAACCTTCGAGCCCGCCATGAAGGTTGCTACCCTGAGTAGCTCCCAGTTAATCGAAGCTATTTCTTTCTCGATGGATGTTTGATCCGTTGCGGTATCAGAGGGTGTGCTGGCGGCGGACAGATCCATCTCAGGGGTTAACGGCCGCTGCACGGCGACTCCTTTCAACACGCTAAACAGTTGGTCTGTGACCTGGGCTGCGACCAACCAGTTTGTCTAAACACGATAGTTAGCTAACATTTTCGGAACTCCATCAATATCGTAGGTAGCATACCATTGGCTTTGGGCCTACTCGTAGCCGCTCTTCGAATTCAGGTTTACCAGGGAACTCGCAGTTCATGTAAACCGATGAGTCACGTTGATCCGCAGCCGGAGAGGTATCGCGAGCTATTTTGAATCAGTATTTGCATGAGTATTTGAAAGGCGTCGTTACAACTAACCAATTTTATCCCACATTACGGTGGAGTCCCCTCCAACCAGCCGTTGTGCGCGACGAACGTCCAAGGCATACATCCTGCGGCAGATGCTCTTAGACAAACGGCGCCCAAGCTCAACAAGCTCTTTGGTATGCACATATGCGCCCTGGTTCAGGCCACTTGTTCGGTATCTCGATGTGGAAATTTCGGCGCCACGGTAAAACTTGAGACCTGCGACCAATGCCGATTGCGGGTCAAAATCCTTGTACTCTGCGCCTTCAATGGGAGGAGCAGAATGAGGGTGAATGCTCGCAAGACGGGTGAAGAAATTATGAGCAACGGATTCGTATTGCATGTGCTTGATGGACATTTTACTGAACATGCTCAATGCCATGGAGCCTGCCCCAAGAAGAGAGTAAATTCGGAGCAGGAAGAGTTGGGCCGGGTAATTGTGTGGTGAGCTTTGAATTAGATGCTCCAATATCCCAGAGGCCCGAATAAGAGCCGTCTCGGGAACATGAGCCTGGTTTTGTTCGGTGCTTTCTGGCTGTAGGATGGCCATAGCTGCGAGAAGGCACAAGTCATCTCTAGGCTGGCTCTCGATTGTGGCAGAGTCGTTGTCTGTCGATTCCGTTTTGGTCTGGCGAGAGCTACCATAGAGTTTCATGCATCGCGCAATAAATTCCTCGATAGTTTTCTTTGATGTGTTTTCGGGGGCTGATATACACAGACAATATTCCAGTTTGAGAGCGTTGATTTCGGGCACCAGGGTCTAGAAAACACTTAGTTTCGATCAGGCAACGATTGATCAACACGGGAACTTACCTTGCCCCCTTCCTTATTGTCTCGGATATATTTGAGCATCTCCTCCATGCCCTCTTTGTCCTGTCCTACAAGCTTTCGAACGTCTTGGAAGGCATAGAGCTTATGAATATGGTTATCGATGAAGTGCCGGCAAACAGCAAGCCCGTCCTCGCCGCTCTTTTCCAAACCACAGTTGACAATATCGACACGAACTAAGCAAGCATTTCGAGATTTAGGTGCGAACTCGAGAAACTGATCGACCAGTTTTAATGCCTCTTTGACGATTCTAATGGGTCATATATGGTCAGTCCGATGTCGGGATTTTTCTTGAAACTCCATGCACTCACCCAGGTTTTGTCGAGTTTGAAGTTGCCTCGTACAACAAGTTCCAAAGATTCCAGTCGTCAAGCTCCAACAACTCTTTCCGGCGACGTTCATCATCGCTGGGAACCGTCAAGAGGCTCTGGACGAAAGTAAATGCCTCATCCCACATATTTCCTGCACCCGCAAAACTGGCCATTTTGAGACCGATGAACGTTGAGTCCCCTCGAACGATTCGGGAATGAATTCCAAGGTTGTCACTGTCTAGTATTTGCAAGGCTTCCTCATGGCGACCCTGTGATGTCAGGATTTCAATGAGTAGACGAAGCTCTTCCGGCTTTTGAATAGCTCTAGGCTGGCTCAGGAGATCTGTCTAGAATGGATGAAAGAGGTTCATGTTAGACATGTAAAGCCGAGGATTAAAGAATTAAGCTTACCGGCTCAACAGGAACATCAGCCCCTGCCTTGGAGATCATGCGGTATGATAAGGTTCCGAATAGCTTCTTTTCCGCCTCGGAGCTTTCATCGTTGACTGCCACCATATGCGTCAGGAATATGGCCCAGAAATAATATGCCCGGTTCTTAGGGAAGTTCTTTTGGAGACTCATAGCGGCCTGAAGAGAAATCCACCACTGGTCAGTACTCTGAGCGAAACTTTGGATGTTGCGGTCTTTTGTTCAGACTGACCTTCTGCGCCGACTTCCAATCGGAATTCTCATAGGCAAAGTTGAACCATTTCGTCTGAATGTTCAAGTCGCGAGGGCTCGCTTTCGCTGCCCTTTCCCAGAGACTATTCCTGATATCCCGATATCCGTCCAATCTTTGCAGCGATTCGAACAAAATTTCTAGAGTTTCTATTTCGGTGATAGCTGGCTCCGCATTGCACAACTCGAGTGTCTCGGTAGTACCGCGCTGACGATGGGCTTCATCCGCATGTCTGAGGAGGATTTGTGCTTTCCATGCCTAGAGGACATGTTCTTAGCCACATGTGGAGAGGTGGAAGAGTTTAAAGCCGAGTAAGACACCATGAGACTCACCTTTAGAAAACGAGTATCCTCGCCCTTCTTCATGCGCTTCTCAATCAGCTGCAAGGCTTGCTTCAGATTCTGCCCGTCAATAGCATCCTGAATCTGGTGATTGCGCCGGGAAAACACCTGGTCATTGGCGGGCGCCATGGCGACAAAATTCCGATGGGGCTATGATTAGCCAGAAGAGCACAACAGACGACAGTTTCCCGTGCTGGGACACAGCAGATTAGCTTGAATGTGGGGGAGTACAGGTACTTTTCGTGGTCGGCGTTGGCGGGGAAGCAATTCACATAAAGGCGGTGTGTTGTTGGTGGGGGAAGGCACGAGAGACTGTTACTATCTACTACTAGTCACCAACTACTAGTAACTAGTACTCTCTACTTTCCATTGAACTTCCAAAGTTCCAATGCTCCGAGTCCGAGTACTACTAGTACTTCACTACCTGCTGTTTGGATTTGTTGGAAATTTACCCATCCTGCTTATCATTATCAGTCCTTGTCGTTACTACCCGAACTATATAATTACCTATTAACTAGGTAGTAGTATGTCAAGTCTCTTTCATGGCGCAGATATACTTCCGACTCAGAGTTATGATCATGCTGGCCCTGGAGAACTTTTTAAGGTTGAAGTTGGACCGATGGAATGAATTAAATAATAATAATAACAAAACAGAAAATCATCAAGGATTATACAAAAGGCTCCTCGAAAGTCCCTTGGACGCCTTGAAGGCCACAAATTGCCATAGAAGATCGCTCAGAAAAGATGATGTGCTTGTCAAGGTATGGGCATTGCGAATAATGTCGAAGCACCTGGACATGAGTAGACTTGCTTAATTGTTGATAGCGATTGCAGTCCATGATTCATAGCCCTCGCAGATCAAACTTGGTGTATATCATTTGGTTGTGCCTCAATCGGACTGGTTAATTCCTTTCTTCTGATTCAACTGTTGTTCAGTTAGCAAGATGAGTCTTCCATGCCAAGATCTTTGTATGATATGCCCCAATAATCAAAAGCAAGTCCCGAGTAAAGGATGCAGATGAAAGAATAGTTTCGAGGAATAAGTGGACTTACCCAGTTCTTTTTGCAGTCACGATATGCTCTGGAAACACAAATAGTCAGCACGGGTTCTTTGGCAATCAAAGACCACGACGGGGAACCAAGGCGAAGACAAGAACTCGAGCCAAGATTTGTGCTGAGGCAATAACTCTGAGGGAGAGAGGCAATCCCCGAGATAAACAAAAGAATAAACATACTGGAAATAGTCACCACACATCTCGCGATCAAAATTGTTGCGCTTCAAGCACTTTAGACTTCGGTCGGCGAAATCTTGACAGGGGTCGTAGAATTCGCTCGCTGGCTTACTAGAATGACGAAGTCAACATTCCGTTGGCTTTGAAACCATTAGGATGACATGACGAAGGGATTGGTGCAGATAGAGACACGTTAGTTGCCCTGGAATCTTGCCAGCGCCGGCCGGCAGCGCGGCGCGGTCCCCTCAGGAGCTCTCACTGCCACGGAATAGCACGAGAAGGTAAGGACTCACTCGGGACCCTAGGCAAGAGATCTCTAGAAGAAAGATATACTCACTGTGTAAATTTGCGCTCTGCCTTCTTCCAGGTCTTCTCGGGCCCTTCTTCGGGCGTGGATCCTTCCGGCATGATTGCTCTTGTTTCGATGTCCTTGATCTGACTCGAAATAAAGGAGGGGAGGAGAGGGTCTTCAACGGAACAGAAAAAGCTCCACAAACCGAGACCCGGATGAGTTGTTGAGGGAGGCTGACGATATGCCGAGGATTGATTGGAGATCGGAATGACAATCTTGCTCCGCGAAGAAGTGCGGATCCGGTCTTGGCGTGGAGCCGCAGCTAGCTAGTATGTCACTTTATGTGAGGATGCTCAGATACTCACCGATCAAGGTATACGTAGATACCAGGCAATGTAGTAGTATGGGAGCAGCTCGACCAAAGTAGCTTTAGAAGAAGAAGAGGAAGAAAAAGAAGAACAAGAGACGAAGCTAGATACAGGTGAATCCCTAAGTGGATGCCATCCGCGTAAGGCATCAACAATATCAGTAACAACCCTGGTTCGTTACACTTTACATACTACTACTAGTAATGCTTCCTCCTGCAGATTATGATTGCGGATATGGCGATTACCAGTAGGAAAGGGCCTATCTTTTAATTCGGGATTTTATCATCCGTGGATCCGCTTGAAAAAAAGGAAGACGGTTGTTTAATTTGTGAATGTATTCCTAAAGATTTTAACGTACAACTTTGAAGGCAGCGGAGCATAGATTATTATTATTGGGATCCTATGAAATCGTGAGATCCGCCCTGTTATTTTTGATTATCACGTGAATCGATGTATCACATTACACAGCATGTGGTGTCCAAGTGTTAAAACGAAAGGCTTATTCCAGGCGCAAGGAGTGCGGGTGTTGTTCCATATTTATGTAGTAGGTTGTCGGTGTATGGATATTCGAACTCAACACTGGAGGCCACACTAAGAGCTGGGTGAGATCAGATAATGTAGTGGTATGAGCAAAAAAGCAGCATTTGACAATATTCAAGAGACTGAAATCCTTCATGATCCTTCATTGAATGATAAGTGAGATGACGCAGGTCACATGTTTCTGTCCAGGAACCGATGACATAATCTTATGCCTGAGGCACTTATTGATTATTGACAACTGCTTTGTCCCCTATTAGCTTACTAGGATCGGAAGAGAATTTCTAGAATCAAGCCGTTCTGTTTCGCGAGACTATATTTTCCACCCCAAGGGCCCATTTAACTTGCCTTTTGGTTGGGACTGCCTGATGGTACCCATTTAACCGCGGTCATCGCCACTTTTGGGAAACTTTTCCTCTCCACCCCACCGCATCCTCACGGGTTTCGCGCCACGCGCCATAGCGTTGTCAACGCGACCTTATCTATGCTCCAGCCGCAGTAAAAGATTGTGCATAACAACGGTCTTCCAGACCTGCAAAATGGCGGGTGGAAGCGATGCTGGGACAGAGATATCTGGGGTAGGCTTCCTCTAGCCGTTGCCAGGACCACAAGATTAATCGCTAACGCGTCCATAGCTTGTCAATACTTTACAGGGACATGTCGATGATATCCGAAGTCAACTGCAATGCGGTATCTGCATCCGTCCTCTCTACGAGCCCTTCACTCTTGCCTGCGGTCATACTTTCTGTTACTCGGTATGTTCTCCATGCCCGCTCATTACCGACAATGGGGTTGCTAATATTTACAGTGCTTGGATTCATGGTTCGCCGGGGGTAAATCGAAGAGAACATGTCCGGATTGTCGAGCACCTGTCAAAACACAGCCTGCGCCGGCATACCTAGTATGTATCCACTGGGAGATGTTTTAATATACAACGCTAACGGTTTTTTTTCGCTATTTAGGTACGGACAGTGGTGCAGATGTTCACGAGCCGCGCGGAGCTTCTCGATAAAGGCGAAACTACAGCAGATCACTTAACACATCGAGAAGAGGAGGCTGGGAGACTGGATAAAGATAAAGCGAATACGGATTCGCAACACGGAGGTCTTTTCAGAGGCCTGTTCAAAGAAAAAGTGGCATTACTCCCGCCTGTTGCCGATTTGGATGATGGAGTCATGCGCTGTCCAATATGCAGCTGGGAGCTTGGCGATGATGAGGCTTGCGCGGGCTGCGGATACGAATACCACGGAGAGTCAGACGGAACAGACTACACGGACGAAGACTCAGACCTCAGCGGCACAGAAAACTATGACTCACTCATAGACGACGAAGCCGATGTTGACGGGTTTGGGGACATCGAGGATGACGATCCGGTTTGGGGAGGCTTTGCGCCCCCAGGCTCTTTCCCGCGGGATCTCGCAGCCGCTCCTCCAGCTGGGATAGCGTGGCACGATGGCTTCCCTCCTTTCTTCCAACCGGGCGCTCCATGGCCGCCTAGGGGGGTATGGACCTGCTCCACCTCTACCTCCTCCACATTCCGGGGTCATACTTACCGATCCGAGCGAATATGACGAGCACTACATCGATGAAGAGAACGAGTACGATGAACAGGATTCATTTATCGACAACGAGGAGTATATGAACCGCGAAGACGATGGCTCTCAGTCTGAACACTCGACAGTGATGGGATCTGGCAGTGGCTGGCAGGCTGGGAATTCACAAAGACCCATCATTCTTGATGACACCATCTCAAGTGACGAAGAGGAAGATGAAGAAGATGACGATGAGGACGAGGAAGACGGCGTGGTCCGACGACCTTCCCGTCGTCATATTGCAAACTTTTCAAGCGACGATGACGACGACGACGAAGAAGAAGAAGAAGAAGAAGAAGAAGAAGAAGAAGAGGAGGAGGAAGAGGACGATATGGACGAGGATGAAAGTAGGCTCATGGGCCCCGGAGGACCATGGGGAATACCCGCTTCACACGGAGACACATATCACGAAGCTCCCTCATCACCAACGCACACAGAGGAGACTGATGACGAAGAAAACCCAGAACTGGATCTAGCCCCTGGACGCCGGTACTATCAAAACGTGGTTGAGGACTCCGAGGAGAGCGAATCGTCAGATCTGAGTTCCCCACCTCCACGTAGGCCTACTCGGCCGGTGGGAAGTACAGGTGTCACTTTTGGAAATACGATCACCATCGACGACTCTGATGAAGAACAGCCAGTTGGCCCCGTCAGAAGACAAGTACAAAGACGGCAACCCAGGTACTCGCCATATTAAGCGGTAAAAGCCCATGCCAACGGAGGCCCCGACCTTGCTTCCACATTACCCTGCATTCTCCGGTGTTATTTCTTTTCTTGATTTTAAATAGCGCGGCGCCCCGGATACATAGAAAGTGGATCGGCGCTCTTTTACTTGCAAAACTCGGCCTTTGCAGATGAGGTTATCGGACTCAACTGGCAGTGACTTGCATGGCTGGTGTTTCCTATCTTGAAAAAATTCCTTGGATTACCTTCCATCCATGGCTTCCTCCCCTCCTATTTCGTCTCCTGCAGTTCCCCTACCATGGCGCCTACTAGCACCTCTTTCTCTACTATATATGCCATAGTGAGGTGGAGGTGGGCTGTGAGAATACTCTTAATTCAACCACTCGATGACAGCTTTTTACCAAAAGCATACAATGACAATTATATCCATTACGTGAAGCTATCATCCCGTGTAGTACCTAATGGTAGTTTGTAGATCCATGATACTACTGTACAAGGCAAAGCCGTAGCCGAATCACGTGATAATATTGTCAAGCCATCCTTATTGTAGCTCAAAGAGAATACATGGATTGTATGCTGAATTATTTTGAAATTGAAAGTAACTGGATAGTGGTGTTTCCGCAAGCAACTTGAACAATTCAATTAATTGGCTAGGGAAGAGTGATTAATCCACGTCTAGTAGTGAACTACTACTATGAGCACCGCCTTAGGCAGAAGCCACTCAGATCCCTGCGTTGTCCTGCCACCATGAGCTTCATCATACCACCATCCCGCAAGCCCGATCGCTTGCAGGATGCTCAGACGCCCCGGAATATCCACATCATTGAACCCTTTTGCCAACAGAAAGCTCCACTTGTCAATCTCGCCTCAGTTCTCTTCTGGACAAGTGAGTCATCTTCATCTGCCAAGCAGACTGCGGGACCGAGGACTTCGTGATAAATTCTTGATTCGCCAACCTTCTTTCTACTTGATTTCTCGACTCTCGTGTTCCATCAGATTAGCGCACAGCTGCCACAGCAGAGACACAATGCCTTCTCCTCAGAATTTACCCTATGGCCTATGGAAGAGTCCGCTCACAGCGGAACGCTTGGCCACCTGTAGCATCTCTCTCCATGAAGTGGCCGTGAATGTTCGTCATAAAAGCTTCAAATTTCACGCCCATAACTAACAATAAACAGGAAAATTCAGGTGCTATTTACTCGGTAGAATGCCATCCAACCGAAGATGGCCGCTTCGCTATTGTAGAGCATCTCAATGGTCAATATAAGGATGTTCTGCCCAAGGAGTTCAGCGCCCATGCTACCGTGCAAGAGTGTGGCGGCGGCTCTATCTCAATGAGGCCAGATGGGCAAATTTTATTCGCGGATGAGAGCTCTTGTAGCATCTACATGTTAGATCCGGCCACAAGCCAAGTCAAGCTTATCCACCCGGCAGTCGCGGGAATTCGGTATGCTGAATTCAGCACCCATCCGCAGCAACCTCAATGGATCATTGCAATCAAAGAGGACCACCGAGAGGCTACTCCCGAGACTCAAGCAACCCATGTGCATAACACACTGGTGGCGATTAATCTTGAATCTGGGGAGGAGACTACAATCGCACAAGGCGACGATTTCTACTCCCATCCTAAATTTGATGCTTCTGGGAAGTACGTTTCTTGGATTCAGTGGACTCATCCTGATATGCCGTGGACTGGCACTGTCTTGCATATGGCGGAATGGACAGATGGATCATTGACCAATGTCACACGCATTGCTGGAAAGGCACAACATGAAAGTATTGCCCAGCCTAAATGGGGTGTGGATGGATTGCTATATTTTGTCAGTGATCGAACGGGTTTTTGGCAGTTATACTCGTTCAACCCGAAGGACCAGAACCCGCGATACTTATCACTCAATGGCTATGAAAAGTCCGAGTTCGCTATCGCCGAATGGGAACTTGGAAGGTATGTCTTGGAGCATTGGTTTCTCCTGATACTTACCTCTGACATCTATACAGCTCTACATATCTTCTACTAGATGAGAAGACGATCGTTGCTACAGCTGTGACAAATGGCACCAGCAAAATGCTCCTCGTCGACACTAATACTCTGGCTGTCCAAGATCTTAATCTTCCCTACCTGGATATTGGACACAGGGCAAATGCTATCTACCGTGTCTCATCAACAAGCTTTGCGGTTGTTGCGTCCTCAGCGACATCCCCCCAGGAATTGGGTCTTGTATCGATCAAACCCTCTCTTGACGCGGAAAAATCGGTCCTCACATCAACCGCATCTTTTGAATTGGCACCCGAATACGTTTCTCAAGCGACGGAGTATATTGCTCCTCAAAAATACGGCCCCATCTCCGATGGCGAAGTGCATATGTTCTTCTTTCCTCCTTGCAACCCAGAATTCCAGGCAGATGAGAGCAAACTCCCTCCAGTTCTAACATATGTCCACGGAGGACCAAATGGATGCTCTTTCCCTGCCCTAAACTTGGAAACCCAATACTGGACTACTCGTGGCTTTGCCGTTTGTGCAGTCAACTACACTGGATCAACTGGATTTGGACGCGAGTACCGCGAGAAACTGTCCGGCCACTGGGGCATCGTTGACGTGGCGGACGCTGTCAGTGCCGTTGAATATCTTGCCGAGAAGAAACTTATCGATAAAAATAGAGTCGGTATCTATGGCCAAAGTGCCGGCGGATACTTGACTCTGCGGGCTCTACACATGTACCCTGACGTCTGGGCGGCGGGAATCAGCTCTTACGGAATCAGCGATGTGCGGGCCCTTCAGGCAGACTCGTACAAATTCGAGAGTCAAGATGTCGACCGCATTCTGCTAGGAAAGACTGCACCGGAAGACCGAGCACGAGTGCTAAAGGAGCGCAGCCCATGCCACTTTGCTCAGGACATGAAGGCGCCGCTACTGCTACTGCAGGGAACGACTGATATGGTGGTGCCTTTGGCACAGGCACGCATGATGGCTTCTGCTATGCAGGAGCAAGGACGGGTCGCCGAAGTTGTGGAATTCGAGGGCGAGGGTCATGGATGGGTTGGGCAGAAAGCTATTTACGAATCCTTCACTCGGAAGGAGGAGTGGTGGAAACGCCATCTTACTTAGCTTCGTTCTCATCTGTCGCAGTTGTAAACCATGGAAAAACTTTGCAATTTATTAATTCGTGCTCCATACGAGTACGCAGGATTTGTTGGATCTTTACAAAACAGGCTGGACTTGCCTAATTTGTCTACAGTCCGATGTGCAGATCCGATCCAATAGGCTGGTGCATTTTCAGATTCTTCCCAAATGACTTCTATTGGTCTCTAATTACTAAGGTTAGGGCTCTTGCATTGGTAAATAGTAGCTATTACGCGGCCAACCCCTCGTTTGTTCAAAACTGGCGACCCTCGTACTCTGTAGTCAACCAAGGCGAGAAGCCAAGTCAAATTAGGTTACAAGCTCGGGGAGCCCCGAAAGTCTGTGCTTCAAAGCAACCAGGGATGGCCCGCTCCTTGTGAGACACCTTTTTTCTACTTGCTTTTTTTTCTTCTTTTTTTTTTCCAGATACGTCTGGCAAGATGAATATTGGCATTAGTGAATTACTTAATACATACGCAAAGTCAACTCTTGGCCCCCTTAATTCCAACCACCCCTCTCTGAAGAACGAGGTGCAGTTTAGATTGCGCAAGCCTCCACTTTTGGCCTCGGCACCACGATAAGCCAAAGTAGCCTTCGCTCATCCACCACTTAGATGGTGTGATTCGCTCGTCTCCGTCTTCGGCAGCTCTTGGCATAATAATATCTTCGGAGGAGCCAGCTGTTTTGTCTTTTTCTCTATCCTTTGGTCTGCAGCAAGGCGGCAGAAGCGACAGCAAAAATGGCTGGGGTATATGAGGACCAGGAGATCTCCAACAAATCGGCGAATCAGTATGTCACTCACGATGTTGAAGACTATGTGCCACCAACCACAGATTTGCCGTCTTTCAGAGCTGGAAGTGCCGATGATGGGCACATCGTTTCTCAGCATGAGCAACAGAACCTGGTTCGAGGCTTAGGGCAGCGCCATATTCAGATGATTGCGATCGCGGGTGCAATCGTAAGTACATAGCCTCCAACAAAGGTGGATTGTCTAAGAAGTCACAATGTCGAATAATTAACACCCAAACAGGGAACCGGTCTTTTTCTTGGTCTTGGTGGCTCCATCGCTACGGGTGGCCCATTGGGGGCACTTCTGGGCTATGTTTTCGTCGGCTCGGTGGTCTGCGCCATTCAATTCGCCCTGGGTGAAGTTTCCGCCTTGCTTCCAGTAACCGGTTCTTTTGTTCGACACGCAGAGCTTCTTGTTGACCCGGCACTATCGTTTGCTGTTGGTTGGAACGTTGTTTATGGATGTTTCATCAGTGTGCCTAGTGAGATCAGCGCTAGCGTGGCCTTGATCCAGTACTGGAATACCGATATCAATGCGGCAGTCTGGGTGACTATTCTCATCATCGTGTCTGTCGTGGTTGCCATCTCATTCATTCGAGTCTATGGTGAGGTCGAATTTATCTTTGCTATCTTGAAGATCCTTCTGGTCATTTTCGTGGTCATTCTGGGCCTCGTCATTGATCTGGGCGGAGTACCAGGCAAACCGCGCTTAGGATTCCACTATTGGAAAGACCCGGGCCCTTTTGTCGAATACATATCCACCGGATCCTGGGGCCGCTTTCTCGGTTTCTGGGCTGTCATGACCAATGCAGTGTACTCCTTCGCTGGCGTGGAGTCGTTGGCTATGGCTGCTGCGGAGACGAAGAACCCGCGCCACAATATCCCGAAAGCCTGCAAACGAGTTTTTGCTCGAATCATTATTTTTTACCTTGCTGCTGTCTTGGTTGTGGGTATGCTGGTATCTAGTGGGGACGATCGCCTCACTGGCGATGCTATGACTGCCGCGCAAAGTCCTTTTGTTATTGCTGCCGGTGATGCGGGCATTAAAGCTATTCCTTCGATTGTGAATGCTATATGCCTTACATCTGCTTGGTCAGCCTCCAACCAGAGTATCCTTGCTGGAACCAGAACCCTTTACGGTCTTGCGATCAAGGGTCACGCCCCTCAGATCTTTCTTCGAACCACCAAGTGGGGTGTGCCGTATATGTGCGTCTTGTTGCAGGTTGCCTTTTCTTTCCTGGCATACATGTGCGTTTCCAACACCGCCTTGACCGTTTTCTTCTGGTTTGTCGATTTGACCGCGGCCGGGACTTTGGTATCTTGGATTGCCATTGCTCTGAATCATATTCGTCTACTGCAAGCACTGAAGAAACAAGGAATCTCGCCAGACCAGCTTCCTTGGCATAACCGCATTACTCGTATGTTAAATAGACGATGCCTGCCTACTACTATGTCTTTTACTAACAATTGAACAGGATATACTTCCTGGTTCGCCCTGATTTCGTGCGTTATCATCCTATTGACGGGTGGCTTTACCGTATTCACAAAAGGAAAATGGGATCCAGCATCATTTGTATCATCATACCTGTAAGTTCATTATTTGCAGTCTTGCTCAATGGCCAAACAAACGACAGCTGACCTTCTGCTCAGCGATATCCCGCTTGTTCTGTTTGCGTATGGAGGCTACAAGCTGGCCCGCCGGACTAAGGTAACACCCTTAGAAGCCGTTCCCATCAGGCAGGCCCTGGAAGAGGCCGAGAATGACCCTGAAAATGTGCCAATCGTGAAAGGAAATAGCATATGGTCGAAGCTGAATATATTGTGGGGATAGGACCATCCGAGAAGATCATGTTGCATCGAGATACCCTTATTTCAACCATAGAGTGTTGACGAGTCATGATTTCGGCGTATATTATTAACTAATTATAAATTGAAAGATGTTTCATTGCAAGGTTATGAGATGACGTCTTCCACGTTTCATCCTGATTGCATGTAAAATACTAGTGGTTATTTACTTGCAGTACTGTCGACGAATGCAATCAGCCTGAGGCAACGATCTATAAATGTAGTGCTGATTCATCCGGTGGGCCCCGCCAACCCTGTCGCTCGGGTATTGAATGTCTACAAGTAGTAATTGGATCAAGCTCCATTTGGCTCAGCTCTGGTGCTCTGGAGCATCAGCCAACTTCAGTTGTGCAGTAAACTGGACACTGAAGTTCCCCCCCTTGAAGTTGAATATCCCGTCTACATCAAGATACATAGCCATACCCCGGCACGATATGACTCGCGGATCAAAACTCTCTAGGGCCTGCAGGAATTGCCGCACTCTCAAGAGCCGCGTGAGTGTCCACGGGTCGTCTCGTCCGTTATCTGGTCAATGCTGACTATTATGCTTTACATGTATCAAGTGCGACCAAAAGCTTCCCGGCTGTGGACAATGTGTTTACAGACGCCAAAAATGTGAAGGGTATCGAGATGATTGGGAACTTGTCTTCAGGGACCAAACTGACTCTACCGTTAAGCGGGCCAGGGAAAAAGGGGCCAAAGGGGCAGCGGTGGCCTTGACCTGGACGGAGAATACATGCTTGCCTCAATCCAGTGTATCGAGTCATTTCTCTAACGAACCAAATGTCAACCATTCTCTTCAGATTATTAAATACCACGGTGAATCACAGTCATGGGCCCAACCACAGACTCACAACCTAGCCCACATGATCACCCCAGGCCCGATGAAGCGCGACCAGTTCAGTTCGTTCTATTTGAAGAGCTACTTCCCTCACACAACGGGCCCTGGATGGGATTTTGATATGACGTACTCTGTTTTTTCGACTCTCTTCGCGCTACCCCAGAAAAGCCAGATGCTAGATATTGCCTTCTCTGCATTGTCATGCGTTTTCCTTGGCAAGAATCACTCCGATCAACAGATATTGCAGTACGGCCTTCGGCTATACAACCATGCAATTCAGAGCATGTCAAAGGCAATTAGCCGCAAGGATTACAGTCTCGATATTGTTTACACTTGTATTGTCTTTCAGCAGATCCAGGTAAAAATGTTATTGCCTTTGCCGAAGCTACTAGTACTGAATTCTAACTAATATTAAATCAGTCTCACTATTGCCCACATGGGCTTGATGAATGGCTCGTTCATCTTGATGGATTAGGCGCTATCATGAGATATTACTGCCCCGGATCATCACTGTCGGGCCCGATGCTCTCTTTCATATATGGGCATCACCTAAAGCTAAAAACGGTAAGAAATCCCTGCTCGCTGATGCATCTACTATATTATCTAACCATGACTCTAGGTATTTAACGAGTTTATGCATCTGTCAGAAGAGACAATCACGTGGCTCAAGGAGCCTAGTGAAGAACCCTTGTATGAATTGACTGGGATTCTTGCGGAGTCTTCGCGGATCTATACCGCAGCCTACAACACCGATATATCCGATTATATTGCTTTTCAATCCCTCCTAAACGATTGTCTGTCACTTGAAGAAAGCCACCTGGATTTTTTCCTTAGAATCAATGACAAGCTTGACGGGGACTGCCTGTATATACCCGGGGTGAGTTGATGTCAGATGTACCTTCAACGGATGATCTATTTGGCCCTGCATATCGTTTCCCATTCTTGAATGATGCTCTCTTACATTTGTACTTTTGGATATCGATGTCCTTTGTCTATCCTGTTATGCGTCATTGCCAAATTCTTGCCAATGCCGATGTGGCTGTCCCCTCACGACTTAGCGATATGCCTCGTTGCTTCCGGCCCGAAGATGACTCCATTAATGGAGACCCACATGCTTTATCTACATTCTACATAGGCAAGTCCGCTAGATGTCTTCCATTCTTTGGGCAAAAAGGTATGAATCCATGGGCTGTTAGGTATGCGATTCCTCTTGCAACCCATGCTTCACGGGTATACACCCATGCCAAGGATTGGGAACGGTTTCTTTGGGCTCGAGATGTTTTGACCTGTATGGAGCATTTGGGCGACGACTATGCTGCTCGATTTCGTGAGATATGGAGTGACTACTGGTTTGATGTTAACAAAACTGATCCCGTTAGAGTTTTGGATTTTAGTCAGCTTGCCAAGGGCCTACAAACGCAAGGCCTTATCGGTCAAGGATATAGAATTTGAGAAGAACTACGATATATGCGTTCTATTTCCATAGTAAACAAGCGCGGTAGTACGTAATTTCACGGCTTTGCGTCATATCATGGAAGATAGACAGGGCTGGCGTGGGGCAGGGCATCGCTCATCTCTATCCTTGACTGTGAATGGTCGTGCTAAGATCATTTAAGATCATAAAGTGGCAATGAGTGAGTACTACAGGGGAGTGCAAGATAAAATAAAACCAGACAATATCCGGTACGTATGTGAGGTGATAAAATACATGCACGGATCCGACTCCAGGACACCACAATGCTCCTAAATTCATCAATCTCTTTCCCGAGATTGTAAGACAACCAAAAACCTGGAAACTTTTATACATCGGCCTCAGCAGCACTGGGGGAGATGAATGGGACCTCCAAAACAACAGCGCCATTGCGACCTTCAGGGGAAGCCCCTTGGGAGTAGTTATTGGCGTAGCACTTCCACCGGCCCAAGCGGTGCTCCTTACCAACCGCAGCAACGATGCACAGGCCTCTAGGCTCAGTTTCGAGCTTTGATTCGGCCCTGGACTTGGTAGCCGTCAAGCCTTGTTGTTCAGATTCCGGGCGACGCTCGAAGACAGCAATGTCGTTGATCACACCCTTGATCAAATGACCTGGTTCCAAGTTCCGGGTTTGTGTTTGCTCCTCTGTGTCCATGTCATCAGAATTAGAGACGGTGCCAAGCTCAAGTGACTTGCTGAGCTGCTTCGAAGGCGTGTCAGGAGCGGACGGGTTGGGGGTTCCGCGTCCAACAGGGCCCAATGGAATGATTGTCCTCTTGTCGTCTGAAATCTGCCAGGCGCGAATCCAACCATCCCACGAACCGCTAAGAACAATATCGGTTCCTGGAAGAGAGGTGAGGGCAGTGATCCAGCGTGGCATCGGGCGCATGTGTCGTGCGTTATGCGCGGCGGTTTCCAAGTTGGCTTCGGGCGATAACTCATCCAATGGAGGGATACAGTCTAGTCCATGTGCAAGGGGAATTGTGTAGAGCGGCTTCTTCTTGTGGACCGACCACAGTGAGATGCTGCCGGAGTTGGAGCCAGTGACGAAGTGAGTAGGCGGGAGAGGCGCAATACAGTCAAGATGGCTTTCATGGTAGGGAGCTTTCTTAGAAGCCCCGCCACGGAACACAAGCTGTGTTTCGTCGACAACTTTCCACAAGCGTGACGTGCGGTCCTGTCCGCCGACAGAAACACACTCATCAATGGTCATGGCTGCAATCTGCTCAATGCCGGACTGGTGTCCGAACAAGGTTTCAACATAAGCATGACCAGCTCCGCTGATGGACCATGTCTTTATCGTTCGGTCGTATGAGCCGGAGAAAAGCTGCTCTCCAGAGCTCATAGTTGAGATGTGCCGGGCGAATGACAGGCAGCTAACGGAATCACGATGTTGAGTAAATGTTCTGGCAGGTGTCAAGGTATCGGCGTTCCAGATAATGAGCTTGTTATCAGCTCCACCAGTTGCAACAAATCGTCCAGAGGGAGATACGGCAACAGAAAGAATGCTTGCTGTGTGGCCCTGCTCCTCGCCGGTTTCGCCAACTTTGCGTAGGCCGCGAGCGTAGCTCATGCGCTTTGGCTTTTTGCGCTGGGGACGTGGAGGCCTTTTGGAGTTTTCATTGGATGCAGCAGCATTCGGGTCATTAGGAGTCGCCAATTCCCACTTCGTGAGAGTCTTATCTTTGCTAACGATGTAGACGAAGGGCGCGTGAACGGCAATAGAAGTACTGGTCTGGGTATCTGAGCGGAAGAAAGAATGCGCTGCATCGGGGAAGGATAGTTTGGAAGCGATTCGGCGAAATGTACGACCCTTGAATTCATCCTGTAACTGTTTTTAGTATTCGCGGACCGCATGAAAAGTCAATATGATATCCACGTACCACATCCTCTTTCAATCGCTCAGCGATCAAGTCTCTATCGATCTCTGCCGCATCGAATCCAACTTCGTCAACTTCCTCCCTGACATTGTCGAGGTAGCGTTCTGCGAGTTTCAATCTTCGATCTCCAGCCGTTTCGCCATCATCCGAGTCGGACTCGGAGTCCTCCCCGGATCCTCCAGAGACAATTCCATTCTCATCTTCATCCAAATCACTTCCTGAAATAGACTCTTCCCGCTCCTGAGCGCGCCGACTTCCTGCGTCGTTCTTTGCATCGACACCTCGTTTCTTAGTTGTCGGGGCCGTGTTGCGGTCGTCTCTCTTGCGCTTGCGTTGGGAAGCGGGGACGGTGAAAAATGAAGACATGGCGATCTTCAGAGGCGAAACTTCACTTCCGCAGTAGAAATTCGCGGGCTCAAATCCCCGGGCTGGAAATGAACTTGGAGTGGTCGAGTCTGTTGCGCGGATTCAACTTTTTTTTTCGGGGAAAAAAAGCGCTCTAAGCGGCGGCTTAGTCATCAGGGTAGCTGCTCTCTCTCTGAGAGCTCCAAGGCGTCAAGCTCGCCGCGCGGTCATCATCCAACCACTCCTCTCCTCATCGCTGCTTTCTGACCCTCATCTTTCTTCGTTTTCTTTGATTTTACCAAACCGCAGACATGTAAGTCCACTACTTGTGTACCGCTCAATATATCGACACCATCTCTGACAGACCACGCTTGCCAGGGAGGTTCTCTTGGGTATCACTGGCAAGGACTTTGTCATTATTGCCGCATCAAAGGCCGTAATGCGAGGCCCGACTATTATTAAGGCGGAGGATGACAAGACACGGCAGCTCAACAAGCACACCCTCATGGCCTTCTCCGGAGAGGCTGGAGATACCGGTGAGTAGCTGAGATCCGCAACTCGACACTACCAATGCTAACGAATGGCTTCCCTCTAGTGCAATTCGCCGAATACGTCCAAGCAAATGTCTCTCTGTACACGATGCGCAACGACACCGAACTCAGCCCTGCCGCCGTTTCTAGCTTTGTCCGAGGAGAGTTGGCACGCAGCTTGCGGTCACGAAGCCCTTACACAGTCAACCTCCTGCTTGGAGGAGTGGACCCGGTGACCCAGGAGCCAAGCTTGTACTGGATTGATTATTTGGCCTCGTTGGCTCCCGTACCATATGCCGCCCACGGCTATGCCCAGTATGTTTGATCGGATAAAACATGACCATCGGGCGACCATTCGGGCTAACCCAATTAGATACTACTGCCTTTCCCTACTCGACAAACATCACAACCCGAACATTTCTCTTGAGGAAGGAATGAAGCTCCTCGAAAGGTGCACAGATGAGCTCAAGCGCCGACTACCGATTGACTACAAAGGAGTATGTTTGACTCTTCAATTCCCCAGTATAGGACTCTACTGACTCAATATTTAGGTGTTGGTGAAGGTCATCACCAAGGATGGAGTCAAGGTGATGGATTTCGATAATGATAGAGTTGTGCGCAGTGCTTAATGGTCGACATGTCGGGGTGTTTGTTGTATCATATCCTATGACGTTTTAACATTGATTACGGGATGAAACTCAAGATGTAGCGCAATATGAACGTATACAAGAAAATTCACGTAAAACTCTTCAATGCAGAGCACTCAAACAGACATGCTGCTTCCTAATATCGAAGGAACCACTCCATACATAATGTAGATTGTCGTTGCATCGGAGCCCTGACCGGCCGCTGCGGTGATGCTGGTCTATGTTTGACCTGTTTGCAGCCGTCCTGAGCTTGCGGAACTGAAGAACCTCAGCATTGAAAACCATCATCCACACCACACCACCCCATCGCCATGTCGAAGAGACCAGCAGAGCTTCCATTGGACCAGAACTCCGTTGGCTCGCCCGCGTCGAAAAAGGCGCGCGTGGAGGACGAAATTAAAGACGACTCTCGCGGCAGCGCGACGCGCGCGCGACGACTCAGTGGCCGGGAGCAAGAACAAGACGATCGCAATGGCTATGACATCCTCGCAGCGGCCGATCTAGAAGGAGAGGAGCTGCAGGAAGGTGCACAGGATGACCTGGGGTCCTCAGACATAGATGAAGACGCTTCCGCCCTCAGCGCCCCGAAGCGACAGACTCAACCAGTAGAAGGTTATGGCGACCTCTATCTCGACACGGTGAACCGCGGAATCCTGGACTTCGACTTCGAAAAACTGTGCTCTATCAGTTTGTCAAACATCAATGTTTACGCATGCCTCGTATGTGGTAAATACTTCCAAGGCCGCGGCCTCAAATCTCATGCCTATTTTCACGCTCTAGAGATCGGACACCATGTCTTCATCAATATGGGCACTAAGAAAGTCTATGTCTTACCGGAAGGCTACGAGGTGCAGAGCAAGAGCTTAGACGATATCAAATATGTGGTCGATCCACACTACAGCAAGGGCGATGTTACGAAGCTCGACAAAGAGGTCATCGATGCCTGGGATTTATCAGGATCTCGATACCGACCAGGTAAGATTGTTTCTCCATGTTGAGTCTTCATCAGCTAACTCTCGATAGGATTTGTTGGAATGAATAACATTAAAGCCAACGACTACCTGAATGTCGTAGTTCAACTTCTGGCACACGTCCAGCCAATCCGCAATTTCTTCTTATTGCACGACTTTCCTACACCAGGGACACCAGAGATCGTACTTCGCTTCAGTACCCTGGTGCGCAAGTTATGGAACCCAAAGGCATTCCGATCTCATGTGTCTCCTCATGAACTGCTGCAGGAAATTTCTATGAAGTCTGCCAAGCGCTTCACTCTCAGCGAACAGTCAGACCCTGTTGATTTTCTGTCGTGGTTCCTCAACACTCTTCATCTCTCTTTGGGCGGCTCGAAAAAGCCGTCGCCGAATCCGACCAGTGTGATTCACGCCGCTTTCCAGGGCCGCGTCCGAATTGAAAGCCAGGATATTACTGCGCACTCCGATACCCAAAATGCGCGCCTGGTCTTCACTGAATCCGGCGATATCAACAGCAAAGTCACCCCTTTCCTCGTCTTAACGCTTGATTTGCCACCCACGCCACTATTCCAATCTGTCAACAGGGAATCCATTATTCCGCAGATTCCTCTCACAACCCTTCTCAACAAATATAACGGACTCACAGCTTCCGAGAAACTTGCCCAGCGTGTCCGTCACCGCCTCCTCCACCCTCTTCCACCATTCCTCCTCTTCCACATCAAGCGCTTTAGCAAGAACCGCTTTGTCTCCGAGCGCAATCCAACTATTGTCACATTCCCATCACCAAACTCTCTCGACATGTCTCCCTATGTCGAGCCAAATCCTGAAGTTTGGCCCCCAGGAGAGCCAATCATGTATGATCTTGTCGCAAACATCATCCTTGATCCCAGTATTGCTGCGCCCGGAGCCACTGAGGATTCTGTACAGAAAGGCGTCAATGCGGCATCTGGAGAAGGTGGTTCTTCTGCAGGTGCTGGCGCGGGCAGTGAGAAGGTCTCTTGGCTGGTTCAGCTTCATGATAAGGCCATGGGTGCTGAAAACAATCGCCAGCAGGGTGGCACTGAGGGAAAGCAGCAGCAGCGTGGCGCCGAGTGGCTTGAAGTTCAAGATCTGTTCACTAAGCGTGCCGAGAGCGAGACTCTGTTTACTCGTGAAGGTTACTTGATGGTTTGGGAGCGGAGGAAGTCCCCTGGTAAGAAAGGAAAGGGACGTGCTTGAATGTGAATTTTGGATCAATGGATACGCTTTAATAAAAGATTTTCAGTTCTATAATGAAACTCTAGGTCTTGATGGCATGAGGAGTCAGACACCTTTTCGTGACACCCCTATGGTGAGTCTAGTGTACCAATAACAGTATGACGATTTACGTTACCCCTTTTTTATGTATCATCAAGCCAATCGTAGAAGGCATGGTATGTATTGAAACGCTATAAAATAGTACCCTAAATGCAATGCAATAAGTTGCTCTTTTCATAATGTGCCCCAGCCGCAGAATTTCCTCCCAATTCTCATTGTCGAGCCAACCAGGAACCCCCACACGCCTGCTCTCAAGGCAGCCTGCATGCCTCTCATGAGTATAAGTCTACCAGTATAAGCACCGATGTCCGCCAAGAGACCCCACCGAACCATAGATTCAGGGGATGGAGGTCTGACAACTGAGCTGTGGAGGAGGCGTGTGTGGCGAGATAGGAGTACGCCAGCGAACGGTGGCACAATGATTCGAGTGGGGCAAGAATGAGATTGCTCAGAATCGCAGCGAGGTGCGATGCAAGTGAATCCACAGGGTGAGCAGAGAGCAGAGTCACTCGGTGCGCATTGGACGACGGATACGCAGAGGGTGCTGGGATTTGAGAGGTAGGTGCGTCAGATTGCTCTATCACCTCGGATGAGAGATCTTGTGTAGCTGCTATAGCTGCTGAAGGTGGTAAGGGATGAGCATCAACGTGACTTGGCTCTTCGACGCCATCTGGGAGGATGTTTTGAACGACAGATTGCGAGATTTCGCCCGTGGCATGACCAATTAGTTCTCGGTTTATCGTTTCACCGTCCTCCACGCTATTTGGAAGTTCATTCTCAATCAAGTGCGCATCATGTCCAGTTGCAAGTCTCGGTTCTGCGGCGATGTTCGAAGGGTCATCTTGAAAACCCAAAGTTGGCGATTGTGCCGCTTGTTGCTGAGCCTGACTGAGAATCAAAGCCTCCAGAAAGTCGGCAATTGACCGACGATCAACAGTAGATGAGCGGTGCAGACCAGCATTGTTGGCCCCCAATCTCGGAATATGTGAACTTGAGACGGAAGCAGGGTTACGCGCACTTCGAGTTCGGTTGCCGAGCAATTCTAGTTGCATCGTAATGATGTCGGAACTCTGGTGAATCAATGAAGCCCTAACCCGGGGCGAGGTCGGGGGCGAGGTCTCCGGGGATGATGGACGCGAAAATAAAGTATTTGAACGAGAATTTCGTCGACCTCTGGATGTGACTTCGGCTTGTTGTGAGTTGCTTGGCAGGCTTTGAGTGTTCGAAACGGTCGATTGCGATGGTGCGCTGGTCCGTCCTATAGTTGCCATTTCAGAGAAAAAGTCATTGCTCATCTCTCCTGGAGATTGAGACATGCGATTTTCATTCGTTAAAACCTGGGGAATACCGAAACGCATCTCGCCATCGTCTAGACTTGCCCCCTCAGGAAGAGTCGCAAGTCCTGCTTGCCCAAGATCAATGGTGTTTCGACGCGGCATAGGCCCGGGGGGGTCTCAGTAAAGGGAGCTACGAGCCCATCCTCTGTGTGGTCATTTCGAAGCTGTACCTCCTCGAGCTCGTGCCGAAGTGATTCGATCGAATTTCTGAGGTTCTCTATCCTCTCCTGGCTGGAAGCTTCCATAGCTTGCTGACTAGACGCATTGCTAGAGAACAGCCCAAATAATGAGAACACCCATTCTCGGAAAGCAACAAGCTCACATTGCATATCTTGGAATAACGTGAGTTTAGCACGGCGAGCCTCTTCGTCTGCGCGCCGTCCTAAGGTTGGCACCACCCATTCAACCAGATTCTCTTCGAAGGCAACCCTGATTGACAGCTCATCCGCAAGCACCGGCTTTGGTACCTGGCGACGGATCAAACGGTAGATACGTTCTTCTAGCGCTGGGCGCAAGTAAAATGCATAGATGAATGTTAGAACCCCCCGGTGAAGCTAGCAAGCGCAAAAGGAAGCTGGCAATAGCAGGGGCAGAGAGGTCCGTTGGGAGGTCTGGAAGCCTTATAAGAGACTCCTCTCCAAAAGGAATGAGTAGTCGAAGGCTTGGTATGGATTTCGGTGGGATAATGGAAAGTGTTTGGAGAATTGAGTACATGTAGGCCTCAACGGATAAAACTAGAAGTGAGCTTCTAGCACTGAAAGGAGACGTTAGTATTCGTGAGATAATTGCCGAGGGTAGGAAATACTTACATGAAGTATGTAATTATAGATACCGCACGAACAGCCAGCGAGAGACTGCCATTCCCTGTGATGCTCACAACGTAGTCCCTGATCGCAGTCCATGTGCGCTTCCAGGGATTGTCGCGAGCAATGGCCAATCCACTCGACACCGCCCATGCGGGGATTCCAGCGAAATAGAACCCTAGAATCCCAGTTGTTCCTCGTTCAGATCGTATGACATCAAGCAGTGCAGCATGTGTGTAATGTCTGAACGTCTGTAATATAGTGGTGCGATTGTCAGTCTATATCTGGTCTCCGGGGAATAACGAACATCCATACCTGTATCCTTCCTGTGAGAGACGAAGTCCACCAGGACCCAAAGAAAACAAAAAGTTGATCAGCAGTGGTAATCACCAGGCCAAAGTCATTCTCGGCCGTTATCTGATTGATTCGTTGCTGTTCATTGGGAGAGCTGGCGCTGCGGTCCTCGCCACTGACGACGATTCCCATTGTAGAGAGAATGTCATTTTTAGCTTTTCTGAGTGCACGTCCGAGGCTTTTAGATTCTGGATTCACTGGATGTCCACGAGAGTCATATTGCTGCATATAGCTGTCGGCATGGATATGTGAGACTCTCCGCACGGGACTGGACGGGTCAACGGCAGCAGTCTCTGGTGGCTCATAAGGCGACCGGCCCTGTTATCAGTCAATAAGGTGACCATAATAGCGTTATACTGGAATACTGAAATAACAGCAGCATTGTAGAAAAGGGTTTAGACATATGGATTGTGTTGGCCTGGGAGCAGCTTTATGTTGACTTGCTATACCACCAAGCAAACGAAGAACACTCGGAGAAAACAACGCGCATACAGTAAGCCGTAAGGAGGCAAAAACAACAGTATGTCCAAACAGGATTCAAGAAAGTAAAAGCATAAAGGTCAAGCTTACCAAAGCTAGCCGGTTCAAATATGCCTGTCGGCCCATAGCGATGACCCCAATTGGATTCTCATCTCACAGTAGGGAAATGGCTGTGTCAGCTGTGAGACTACGACTAGCTCCAGGGGAATTGAAGAGAAAAAGAAGGAAGTTCGAATATAGCAAAGAGAAGATGAGTTGCTTCGAATGGCGCAGCTGGGAGGAAGGGAGACCACGTGCCGCGATGCTTATCTTATCGGGGAAGTGCAAATTGTGCAAACACCAAAAAAAAAGTCGCCCCGAGCTTTTCGCATCTCCGACCTTCAAGTGGGCGGCGTGCAAGGGCCGGTGATTATACACCATGTCGAAAGCAATCGTGAAGACCACCTTCGAGGCATCGAAGACCCTCCAACCCATCTACACTGGTGGAAGCACCGCGCTTGATGCCAGTGGCCGCATCTTGCTCAGTTGCGTCGGTGAAGATGCGAACATCGTTGACCTTGAAACTGGCGACCAGCTCGCCAGTTTGGAAGGAGTGAGTTGAACTGCGCTTCCGCTTCTGCTCGTGGAAATTTTTAACCAATCGTGTTCGAATAGGATGGAGAGATCATTACCAGTCTAGCCAGTACGTTTACTTCGAGGTTGCTCTAAAGTTTCGAGATGCTGATAATTCCTCTAGTCACACCCTCTGCGTCGCATGCGATCGTTTGCTCGCGTTCAATGACTATGCGCATCTATTCGCTTTCTCCCTTCGATTTTGACGAGAAAAAGACCCAGGTCATCGAGGCAAAACTCGCCCGCACCCTCAAACCCCACACTTCGCCTGTCGTAACAACCACAATTGACCGCACCGGCACTTTGCTAGCAACTGGTGCTGCGGATGGATCCATAAAGGTCCATGATATCAAGGGTGGATATGTCACGCATACTTTTAACGACCGTGGCGTAATTTCGGCACTGTGCTTCTTCGAGGTTGAGGTCTCCGATAGCAATGTCAAGTCCTCCAAGAAGTCCAAGAAGGTGGCATCTGGTGACGACGAAGATATGGAAGATGCCGACTCAGCAGTTGGTTTCCGGCTGGCTTCCGGTAGTGAGGAGGGCCGCGTCCGCGTCTTTGACCTTCATAAGAAGAAGGCTGTTGCCTCGCTCGACTCTCACGTTTCTCTGGTGAGAAGCTTATCTTTTTCTGCAACCGAAAACGCCTTGCTCTCGGCTTCCCGTGACAAGACGGTTATCATCCACGATGCTCGCACTTACAAGCAACGCCGAATCATTCCCGTACTGGAGTCCGTCGAGGCCGCTGCTTTCATTGCAGACAGTGGAGTGTGTGTGGTGGGTGGTGAGAATGGCAAGTTGAGGGCTTTTGATGTCAACCGCGGCAGTGAAATCACAGAGGAGCAAGAGGCAGGCGAGGATTTTGAGTCCGTCATTGCCATTCAGTACTCTCCGGGCATGTCTTTTGCCATGACTGTGCATGCAGACCAGACAATTCGTCTCCATTCCCTTGAGTCTTTGACAAGCTACAAACCAGGATCAACCCTAGAGCCATTGACCATCATTCGACGTATCTCCGGCAATGATGACGAAATCATTGATTGTGCTTTTGTTGGCCCCGATCGATCAATGCTTGCGCTGGCTACCAATACCGAGAGTATTCGCATTGTCTCTGTGGCACCTTCTGCAGACCGACCTTCGGCCGACGGTGATGCCTTCTTCGGTGCTGATGTCGCTTATCTGGATGGGCATGAGGATATCATCATTGCTATGGACGTGGATTGGTCCGGGCACTGGCTTGTGACTGCTGGCAAGGACAACACTGCCCGGCTCTTCCGTCTCGATCCTAAGAACTCGTCCTATACCTGCTTTGCGATCCTCACGGGTCACGCTGAATCCCTAGGCGCCATTGCATTCCCGCGTGCTCCCCCGCCAGTTGAGAGCGCCGCATACAATGACCCGGTCAACCACCCACCAGCTTTCCTCGTCACCGGCTCACAAGATAAAACAATCAAGAGATGGGACCTCGGAAAATTAACTCCTCTCAAGGATGACACACCTCACAGCCCCAAGGCAATTTACACGAGAAAGGCCCACGAGAAAGATATTAATTGCATTGATATCGACTCTACGTCTACTCTCTTCGCCTCGGCCTCCCAAGATCGTACTGTCAAGATCTTCGATGCAGATGAAGGATCAGCAATCGGCATCCTGCGTGGACACAAGCGTGGCGTTTGGGGGGTGCGTTTCTGCCCAAAGAACACCCCGGTCATCAACACCGATGCAGGCACCAGCACAAATAAGGGTATCATCGCTACTGGAAGCGGTGATAAGACAGTCAAAATCTGGAACTTGGCCGATTACAGCTGCCTGTTGACCTTGGAGTCTCACTCAAACTCCGTATTGAAAGTTATTTGGCTTCCTCCTCCACAAGTCTCCAAGTCACAGGTTGAAGACGAGGACGAGGACGAAGAAGCTTCTGCCCAGAAGGAAAATGTCCAAACACGACCCCTGGTAGCATCAGCCGGCGCCGATGGACTTGTGAAGATCTGGGACGTGTGGACTGAGGAGGTGCAATGCACCTTGGATAATCACACAGACAGAGTCTGGGCACTTGCCACTCCATACCCCTCAGGCTCTCGCGTCAACGCCAAACCCACTTCCTCCAAAATTAACTCGACCCCCTACGCTCTTGTTTCTGGCTCCGCAGATGCTACAGTCACCTGCTGGACCGACACCACCTCTGCCACCTACACCGCTGCCGTGAATGCCAATTCCGAGCGCATTGAGCAGGACCAACAACTGCAGAACTACATTCGCGCTGGAGCGTACCGTGAGGCCATTACCCTGGCTCTGCAGCTGAACCACCCTGGCCGCTTGTTGTCTCTATTCACTTCTGCCATTGATGCAGCTGACAACCCAACCCTTTCAGATGAGGAGCGGGAGCGTTCTACTGGTAGCTTGACCGGTAACTCGTCCATCGACGAGGTGTTGCAGACTTTGGATTCAACAAATCTGCGGACCCTGTTGCTCCGTCTTCGTGACTGGAACACTAATGCCCGTACATCCCGGGTTGCGCAGCGTATCCTCTTCGCTCTGTTTCGCTCATACCCTGCCTCCACTTTCGTGGAGCTCGCTACGCAATCCGTGCGTGGAAAGAATGGCGGTATTGCTGCGGGTATGAAGGATATCCTCCAGGCTTTGGCGCTCTACACGGAGAGGCACTACAAGCGTATCGAGGAGCTGACAGACGACAGCTACCTTGTTGAGTGGGTTCTTGGCGAGATGGACGGTGGCGTTGGTCTTGGTGGAATGATGAGTCTGGATGAGGGAGAAGCTGAGCATGAGAAGGACATTATCATGTTGGAGGCTTAAAAAAAAGCCTTGTATTTTGTGTATATTCATGGCGCCTTTGCTTTTGGGAGTACCATGGGAGTGGGATAGGATAAAAGCCATCTACTTTCTCATATAGATTCAAATTTCATGTCCATTATTCTCAAAATTGAATGTTTTAAGTGCCATATTACTAGCACACGTGGCAAACGGCCAGGGTATCTCTATCTAAGACTGTTTCTAACATCGTCTTCTCAATTCGCTGCACATGCCATATGGCTAATTCGTGATATACAAGGGGGTTGATTCGCTCGGGGCCAAATCAATCGTCCCGGCGACGCCGATGAGAATCGCGGTCACGGTCACGATCGTGTCGGGATGAATGAGACGAGCGGCTGCTATATCCATCATTGCGGTGTCGGCGAGATCGGTCTCGGTCATAGCCTCGGTCTTTTCGATCTCTATCGTCATCGCGAGCTCGTCGACGATCCCGGTCCGAGTCACGAGAAGACCGGTCATCCCTTCGTCGGTCATCATCGTCATGTCTGGAGCGTCGAGAGGACGAATGGCGGCCAGCAGAACGGCTGCGATCACGACGCGAGGACGAGGACCCAGATCCGGACTTCCGATCGGAACGTTCGTCATCGTAGTCCCTTCTGCGATAGTCCCGATCCCGATCATTATCGCGCCCACTCTTCTCCAAATTTCGATCTCGTCGTTCTTTCCACTCATCTGCCTCGGGCATGGACTTGGCCTCTTTCTTCTTATTTGCGAGGTCCTCCTCTGTGATGTACTCTCCAGTGTTCTTGTTCCGCATGGTGACAGGCATATAAACACCCTCAGTGTTACCATCCGCGTTCTCTTCCCCTTGTTTCCTTGATGCCTTACGCATTGCTGATTTGCCCCATGCACCAAATTCCACCTCTGCGCCCTTCCCAGAATCCTTCGCTCCAATGCCTAGAAACCCGGCACGGCGCGGCGGGACACGAGGCTCGTTGGCTTTCTTTGTGTTTTCAGAAGAGCCATAGTCGCCTCTTCCAATAGTCTGGCCATCCTTCCACCCCATACCTCGAAGAAGCGCCGCGCCGAATTCCTCGACCGGAATGGCATTGTATTGGTCAAGTGTAGCGGGTTCGGGTCGCGATTGCACATCTATCTTGAAAGAGCTCGACTCGTCATAGCGGCCGAATGCTTCGTCCTCCTCATCGTCGCACGCTTTCGAGGCTTCAATGACAAGATCTGATCTCCTTTCCACCTCGCCTGTACTCTCCTTTATCAAAGCCTGGAGCGCAAGCTGGTCGTCTGTGAGGGGCTTGCTTTCCTCCGCCGGTTTCGCGTCCTCCATAGGCTGATAGGTTTCTTTCGTGGGAAGTGTGTTCTCATTTCCTGTAGATTCTTTGGCAAAGCTTAAGCCATACGCCATGCTCGGTCCCTCCGTCTCCACGGCACCTCCTACGGAAGCTTGTCCATTCTTCTGCGCTTCCTGCATAGCTTGAACTTCGCGGGGAAGAAGGTTCTTTTTTCCCTTCTTCGTATTGACACCAGGCCGATCACGCCAGTTATTCTGGCTTGTGACCGGAATAACGAGCGGCTTCTTCTCATCACTAATTGCTTGGCCGTCGATGGTGATAGCACCGCCGGTATGGGTGTCGAATCCGGAGACTTCCTCGTGGACTGGGGGCTGCTCATCCTCATCGGAGGATTCATCATGGCCGAGGTTATGCGGCCGGCGTGGGAGAGAGCGGGCCTTGTTTGCTGAGGACTCAGGGCGACTGCGAGTCGATTGGAAGCCAAAGGTGGTTTTCGCAGATGGCGCTTTCGAACTGGAGGAAAGAGGAAAGGGCTTTGATCTACCGTTATTGCGGTCGCTAGGGGCCTGCGACGGGGGCGGCATCGTGACAGGCAGCGTATTTCAAAGTGGGTGTAGATATTGAAGGAAGCCAAACGTCAAGATTTACATTTGGTCTTGAAGCTCCAGCCACGGGCGGTGGCGAGGCTAGTATTTCGAGCCTACTTATGCGCTTGATCCAATCTAGCAAGAATGTGGATGCCTTCGGGCAATGGTCAAGCGGTCGTGATGACCACAACGCTCAATGCGAGAAGCTAAAAGAATTTTGCTGTTTTGAGAGGGTATTCTCCTTGGGGTCCCGGTTCGATTCCTGGATACCTCTTTTTCTTATTTTTACTCCCTACTCTAAGTACCCGGATATACTCCCGGATGGCACTCAACGTGAGAAGCTGAAAAAAAATCCGGGCCTCGATTTTCTTCTAAAGGGCATCGCTGGATGTTTCTTCCTTGGGGAGTCGGGAGTCTGGCACTCGAAATAGGAAGCCACCCCCCTCAAGCCCATCGCCTAGAACAAGACCCTTCTTACTAGCTCTACAATCTACCAGTAGAAATGGAAGTAGAAAGACTCGAAACTAATCATACAATTCATGTTCGTCAATTCCTGGGTTATAAAACCGACCCAGAGTTTTCGCCATCCCATGGATAATACATGCCCAAATCCAGATATCCAGCGCTGGTAATATTGGAGCCAGCGCTCTATCTGGTCCATTAGATTAATGAACACGGTGAGAGTTCGGACGTGAGAGGCAAGAGGACAACGCATGCGGTGGAAAAAAAACGATATGTGAGGGCATCGGAGGCAGAGAGGGTGTAAAACAGAAAGAAAAAAAGATCAGAAGCGCCGCCATCCTTGTCCACCAGCGCACAAAACATAGGCAATAAATCAAGATAAGACGGGTAGGGTCAAAAGGTATTTACAGTTGAAAAGGAAAAAGGGGGAGGAGGTAGGTAGAGGTGGTGACAAGAGGTTAAAGATCCGGGGGAGAAGAAATATGCCCCTTTAGCTGCTCGCTGTCTGGGCTGCTGGGGGGTGGGGGCTCTTGCTGGAGCCCTGCACCGCTCCCGCTTGTGCGCTGCCGCTGCGCTGGGTCTGGGGTGTTGCACTCCGGCTAGCTTGGGGAACGGCTCCGTTCATAGCCGGGGAGCTGGTGACATTGACGCGGTTCTGCTGGTTGGCCTGCGGGACTCTCATCATCGGAGAGAATCCCTGGTTTTGAGGGACTTGCATGGCAGGATTACTATTAGGCACGCTGGGCTGCTGAGGCGTTTGGAAGTTACCGTCGTGCGGAACCTGATAATTGTTCTGGACATTGCTCATACCACCTGCCGCTGCGTTCATAGCGGCCTGTTGCGACATACGCTGCTGTTGATACTGGTTGAGTCGGTCGGTGGCCAGCTTGTTCACTTGCTCTGCCGGTAGATTGGGGTTGGCCCGCTGAATCTGACTCTGGAAGGTGCTGATGGTCGGAACGACACCACTGGAGAGTCCATTGGGTTGACCCATGCGCGGCGACGGGGTGGACACACCCTGCGGCGTGCCGCCATGGAAAGACGGGCTCTGCATTCCGCCCTGGGCTTGCATAGCGGCCATGATTGCAGGATTGTTCGGTGTTCCGTTCACATTCGGCATGTTCAGATTAGGGGAATGGGACCCCTGCGGTGCGAACTGCTGATTATGGAATTGTTGTTGCGCTTGCTGAGGCTGGCCTGGCTGGTGGGGAACCGGTTGTTGCTGGCGAGACTGCAGAAGGCGCTGTTGTTCCTGAAGCCGGTTCGCTTCTCGAATGACTCGCGCATTATCAGGAGAGGATTGCATGGGAAGTCCAGGTCGCGCGCCAACTGGCTGCTGCATCTGATTTTGTGGCATCATCTTCATCGCCATGGGATTGGCTGGGAGTTGACCATTCACCGGCGTTGTCCCATTCGGCATTCCCTGCATCGGCTGTGGGCGAGCTTGATTAACTCCAACGCCAGGCGCCATCACAGCGGACGCTCCGTTCGGAGTCCCGTTGACCATTCCGGCATTTCCAGTATTAGGTGGCATGTTGTTTGGAGATCGGCCTTGACCGTTCATCATCTGCTGCTGCGTTTGCTGCTGGAGCTGCGGTTGATTCGGTACTTGTCCACCCCGTTGAGCCACAAGACTTGCTCTTTGCTGTGCGATCATTTGCTGTCGGTAGTGCTCTTGGCGTTCCTGCAGCTTCATCTCACGATCATACTTGAGACGACTAAATTCAGCTGGCGACGAGATGGGAGGCTTTGGCTGGTTTGCTTCATTTGCTTTCCTGAGTGAAGCAAGATGAGAAGCATGTTGCTGCTTTTGCAACATTGTCTCGCGTTTCTTTGCCAATTTACGCATACCATCCAGCAACGCGAGATGTCGGGAAGATCTTCTCCTATCCACCCGTAGAGGCTGGGTTGTCCGACGACGGATGGGCTGCTGCACCTGCCCATTATTAGCCGCCTGCTGCTGCTGCTGTTGCTGGGCAGCCTGTTGTTGAGCAAGAACTGTTCGTTGGGCCGATTCAAGTCGCTGATGGTAGGCCCGGAAGTACTGAGTCTTCGACATGTCCGCCGGTAGACCTTCCAGTCCTACCCATCGTTCGAAGCACTCCCACGGTGTTCGTCTCTCGGCTCCAGATGTGAACAAAGATGGAGGAGTCAGGCAACTTGAGATAAGGGACCAATTGTAGGAATACTCCTTGACCAAGCGGCGAAGTTCGTCGTCTTCGGACACTGTCCATTGCGAGGAGTGTCGTGATTCGAAAAACCCAACCGATGGCATCGGATGTTCTGTGGGAGGACGGAACGAATGACCAGGATGAATGCGGTCACGGATATGTTTGTTCTCGGGTCGAAAGAGGGCAACATTGTCCTGTTCTGGTGGCAGCTCCATGAAACGAGTTTCCAGATTAGATGCATACTGAGTATAATCGTAGCGGCTGCGTTTGCGGGGGCGCTCCTCATCATGAAACTTGATTTTGGTCGACGCGAACTTCGATACGGGAAGAATCTCCGTTTTCCAGGTGGAATCGGGTGGCTGCTTGAAATCTGGTAATTGCGTTTCCGGGCCAATCCTCAGTGGCTCATAGAGCGGAAGCTCGTCCAATAATTTCTCAGCGACAGGGTTCATTTCGAGGGAGAAATTGAATTCGTCAGATCCCAAAGAGAATATAGCTGCGGGGGCAACGGTGTCATGGATGTCATGTCTTGGCTCATCATTGAAGCCATCGCTAACTGACTCTTCTTCGGCAGATGGAACCAAGTCTGGGGTAGGGTGTGATGCATCCAGGGCTTCATCGCCTGCATCTTCGGAAGGAGAAGCCATGCCTGCTTTGGGCGCATCTTCTGGTGCTGAGGAAGGTGAAGGTATCTTTGCGTTCACGCGGAGCAGAGCCCGGTGTTCATCATCGCTATTCACATATTCCGCGCACCAGTCAGCGCAACTCTTCGCTGCTGCTAGTTTCCACTTGCGTTCCTCGCGGAAATCGGTACGCATCCATTTCATATGATCCAAAAGGATGTCCATATGGGTACCCTGCCGGGGAGGCTCCTGTGATCGCTTCATCTGCCGTAAAGGCCAGCGATTGGCATTCTGAAGTCCGTAGATACGGCGTAGTGTCCGACAGTCCATTTGCTCCTGGTATTCGAGGAGATGGTTGGAGGTGCTCAATGTCTTGTGAGCAGATGCCAGGAGAGTGTTAAGATTCGATCCTCGTGGAGGTGCATAGGCCCTGTTCAAAAATAGAGTAAAAAGATAGTCTTGCTCTTCGTTGAGTTTGGCGACCGCATCTCCAGATTCCGAATGAGCGAGGTCCAGTGAATCGGTCTTGTCTTGTTGAGACAGAGTCTGTTTTGGGAAAACAACGGTGGATACTCTGGTTCTCTCCTTTTCCCTCTCTTTTCGGTCCTTGAACCGCATCCGCGCGACACTGTCGGGAGAGGCATGATCGCTTGTAACACTGGTCTTGTCATGTGTATAGCTTCTGGATGCCTCACCAAGAATTTCGGAAACGGACTTATGGCGGATGGCTCCGGAAGAAACCCGGGTTGTCATACGCTCTGGTTGAGGTTGATCTGATTGAGTGGGTTGGATTGATACCGGTTTCTTGGTGGAAGAGATTTCAACCGCATCATCGGAAACCTGTGTTCCTTCAGGGAGACGCTCATTTGGTGAGATAGCTTCCCCGGACGCTGGCAGTTTCTCATCAGAGAGAGTTGGCTCAGGAACCTCGGTGCTTGTGTCTTCATCAATATCCATCTTTTCCGTATCTTCTGCAGCTTCAACGTTTTCTTTGATAACTTCATTTGACAACAGCCCATTGACACCATTGACACCGTCTGCTGAGGTCTGCTGGATTGATTGAGCTTCCTCCATTCGTAGCTGCTCATCCGGCGTAGAGGGAACCAAGGCCGCGCGAGACATTTTACGGTTGTGTTTCGGGCTCGGACGACCAATCTTTCCAGCATCAGATATCTCCTCTCCGGGGCTTGTGACAGGTGAGCCGGCCGTAGGGACAGGAGTATTATTGGAGTATGGGTCGACAGAGGACGCAGGAGAGAGGGGTTGTTCGGGAAGAGATGAGCCTAGGGTAAGAGATGGTCGTGAATCGGGCTTCTTTCGGGTATGCGAGTTGGGAGGAATTTCGAGGGTCGGGGTCGCGCTTTTCGCTGCAGATTTCGCTGCACCTGAAGAGACTTTGACCTCTGCTCCATCGTGATCCTGGGAGCTTAGAGGAGTCCCAAGCGCAGATGCGCTCGCCTTAAGGTCGACGCCGGTGAGCTGGGACAGCGCGGCCGGAGCGGCTCCTTCAATCTGTTGAGAAACCTTTGGTGAAGCTGCCGGTCCGGTAGCGTCGGTCGGTCGTGTAGCGTTCACTGGAGTCGATGCGACAGCTGGAGTCGCGGTGTCGGACCGGGTCGCGTCCGCTGGTCCTTGTCGGTTAGGGCCGGTAGGGATCGAGGGAATGTGGCCGTCGACTGTCGGTGGCGGCGTGATACCAGTGACCGATTGTGCCTTTGCTTCAATGGCTACTGCGGACGCGACAGCTTTTCTTCCTGGAGAGCGCGCGCGCGCGTGGGTGGGCGATGGTAAAGTGGATTCGTCGAAGTAACGACCTCTGTGCGATATGTGAGCAATGAACAATTAAGCCAAACAATAATTGCCCCTGGAATTTGCGAGGGCAGAAGAGAGGAATCTAAAGAAGGAACTCACTTAGAAAGGTCGTTGGCGTCGAGGAACGCCCGTTCTTTTTGATTATATAGTGAGTCGGCGGTCGCGCCCTGGAAGCCCACGGTCGCATAATACAACTCGGTCAGTTTTCGCTTGCGCGACAACAAACAGTTTCTAGGGCCATATTAGCGATAAATCCATCGAAACTCGACCCGGAGAGATCGATAGACAGTTTTTTTCGAATTAATACTTACGCGATCTCATCGTTCTTAGACCGGAGAAGCTCGTCGCGGAGCATGAGGTCTAACTTGGGAACACAGCATCCGATTAACGCGGGAAAAAAGGGAATGGATTGACCGAGGTCATTCAGATCGAAAAAATCGCTGAAAAGGATGGAATTGGATGTGGTTGTCGCGTAAAGCGATGGGAGGTAGGAAAGGGAGGACTTTTCTGTACGGGTTGACACGGGAAAGAAACCGCTTTCGAAGGGAGATTGCGTCCAGAAAGTGGTGGTCGTTGGTATTGACTGTAACCGTATGGTAATTGGTTACTACTTGCCCCTTGCCAGAGTCGTTCCAGTATAGGAGGAGAACATACCTAGGGTATGGTTTGTTACATTCGAGGTCTATTCTATGAGTATTGGGGGTATTTGATTGAATATGGAGATATTATACTATACTATTGAAGTTATTGAGCATTTTCTTTGAAAATATAGCCCAAATCTGCTCGAAATGCTGGCATAAGTCGGGTCATTGTATGTACAGGTCTAGTCGATCAGGAGGAAAAAATCAGACCAAAAATACATTATATCTATGTGCCCCTGCTGGGTAAACTAAGCAGAGCCTCTGGGGTAAATTTGGAGAATAAAAGGCTGCAATGTATCGTGTGCATCGCCTGGAGGCTGCTTGTGTTGCCAGCAAACTGGCGAGTCAGACGCGGCGGTAATGTGTAATTCACACTTTCAAACATTCCTCGAGGCCGCTTGCGATTAGATTGGTGCCTGAGGCATAGATCAGGCACATATTAGTTACCGCCATATGGCTAAGGCTATAAGGCATTAAGGCACCAATCCCTATCAGTCCGATAGAGACCGCAAAAAATTCCAGTTGGATCACGGCTCAACTTTTTTTTACTCCCCCATCAACACTATCACCTACACATAATCATGGTCAAGCGCAAGCGTACCGATGCTCCCAAGGCGGGCAAATCCACCGAAAGTCCTGCCAAAACCGCCAAATCAGCCCCAACACCTTCTTCAGCTCCCGATGCGGCTCTGACAGTCCAAGTGGTTACCGGTTCCTACGAGCGAGTGCTGCATGGTTTCACCGCCGGTATTCCTGCATCCTCCTTGAGCTCCATGAAAGAAACGACAAAGGACTCGGCCCCCTCCGTTCAATGCGTCGACAGCTTCTTATTCGAGGCCCATGGCTCCGCAATCCGCTGCCTGGCTCTCTCCCCGCTCCCGAAAGCCAACGAGCAAAATCAATCCGTGATCATGGCCAGCGGTGCTACTGACGAGCGCATCAACCTGTATTCTCTATCTGCTGCTCCTCCCGCAATCAATGATGACTACCCCACCGTGCCGACCCTGGCCGGAAACAAAATCCTCGAGAACCCCAAGAACCGCGAGCTAGGATCGTTGTTGCACCACTCCGCCAGCATCTCTAGCTTGAGCTTCCCGTCTCGCAGCAAACTTCTTGCCGGTGCCGAGGACAACAATATCTCCGTGTCCAAAACCCGGGATTGGACTGTGATCTCGACCATCAAGGCCCCGCGCCCCAAGGTCCAAGGCCGTCCAAGTGGTGACACAGCACCCCCGGGGGCTGAACCGTCTGGAGTGAACCACTTTGCAGTTCACCCTTCCATGAAGGTGATGCTGAGTGTTGGCAGAGGAGAGAAATGTATGCGATTGTGGAACCTGGTCACTGGAAAAAAGGCCGGTGTCTTGAATTTCAACAGAGATATACTACAAAGTGTGAGAGAAGGCAAATGGAGCAGTGGTGAGGGCCGCCGTATCGCCTGGAACCCTGCTGGTGAGGAGTTTGCCGTCGCCTTCGAGTGGGGTGCCGTAGTGTTTGGAGTTGTAAGACGCCCATATGACTCCCTGTTTTACATGCGTTTGGATGCTAACTATTTGCGATAGGATTCGGAACCCAAGTGCAGAGTCCTTCCCGAACCACGAAGCAAGGTTCACGAGATGAAATACGTTCCTCGATCTGCGGAGAACGACAAGACCGGTGATCTGCTCGCTGTGTCAACCGAAGATGGCCGCGTTATATTCTATTCGACTACTGAGCTACAACAGGTGGAAGACGAAGAAGAGTCAAAGATCCCCTATGCCACCCCGGTGGCTCAAATTGGTGGTAAACAGGCTGGTTTCCCCGGCCGTGTCAAGGACTTTACTGTCTTGAGCCTGGAAGGTCAGGCTAAGGACATTCGCGACGATTTCTTGGTTGTCACCGGAAACAGCGAGGGAATCGTGCGAATCTGGAAGGTCGATGGAAAGAATCTTGCTACCCCGAAGAAGACCAAGGGTTCCAAGAAATCCAAGGACACCGCTATTCCTCAGATTGGGAATCTCGTGAGCACTTATGAAACCGGCAACCGGATCACATGTCTGGCTTCCTTCATCATGTTGCCAGCAGAGGATCCATCGAACTTGTTCGACTCGGAAGAAGAGAGCGATGAGGAGGAGGAAGAAGAGTCGGATAGCGATGACGAGTAAATTGCCCATGGACTAGATACCCATTGTACTGTTAGAAACGGATGTATCCTTAAGGTATAAAAAGTATGAATGAAGCTGATTTAAAGCTTAATATTTTTCTAGCACTAATAACATGTGAATATATGTAGTAAACTACTATACTAGTAGTGAGTGTTACTGACTAGTCTAGTACTAGTGACTTTGTACCAGTACTCCGAGATGTAATCGAGATGTAATTAAAGATGATCTCCTGGCGGAGGCCGTCAGGGCAAAGATTTTCGATTTTCCCGTCCCCAATGACTCATGCGCACACACCATAAGAAGTCAAGGTGATTAACACCGTGAACAGCCAGTGAATTAGAATCAATTCAACAAAGAAAAATATTGTAGGCATAGAATTCAGTGTGCCCCGTGCCTTGTAGCCTCTGTCGGCCAACTGGTCAAGCACAGACACCGCCCGCTCGCTCTCCACTGCACAAAACCCCCCCACCATACCATTCTTCCATTATCATATCGCCCGCAAATTTCGTCCGGCTCGACTCTCCGCCCTCCACTCTCCCATCACCCTCTCTACCGTTCCGATACATCGAGCCTGTCGAAAGCCGCTGCTGTCGCGATCCCGAATTTTTTTTTGCAATATGGCTGCGAACGGAGACTTCTCGGATGAGGACCTCTCTCAGGCCGGTTCCCCCGTTGTCGAGGCTCAGAATGCCCAGGATTTCGACGACCAGGAGCCTCTCGATCAGCCTAAGAAGTCAAGCATGAAGAAGAGCGCTCCTGAACCCAAGCCCCCGCGCCCCGAGCTTCCTCCGCAGTCCGACCCGGCTACTCTGGATGTGTCTACTTTGACACCCTTGACACCCGAAGTCATTGCCCGTCAAGCCACTATCAACATTGGCACAATCGGTCACGTCGCTCACGGTACGTTCTTTCTACAATCTGCCTCCTCTCGCTTTGCCTCGTGACTCGGGTGTTAATTTTCAATCTCCATACAGGAAAGAGTACCGTCGTAAAAGCTATCTCCGGAGTCCAGACTGTGCGATTCAAGAACGAGTTGGAGCGAAACATCACCATCAAGCTTGGTTACGCCAACGCCAAGATCTACAAGTGTGACAACGACGCTTGCCCTCGTCCGACATGCTACAAGAGCTACAGTAGTGATAAGGAGGTTGATCCTCCTTGTGAGCGCGAGGGTTGCGAGGGCCGGTACCGTCTGATGTACGTACTGATTCATTCAACTCGAGGTTTGAATTGTGGGATCTGACCTGGTTTTTTTAGGCGCCATGTTTCCTTCGTCGATTGCCCTGGTATGTCCAACCCAATTCTACGTGAAGATAGTGAGTTGAGCAGATTTGCTAATCATCAAATACTCTAGGTCACGATATTCTCGCAAGTTCCTCCGTCTTCAACTCTCGAAGACTCTCGCTAACCGATTCTAATAGATGAGCACTATGCTTTCAGGTGCCGCCGTCATGGACGCTGCCCTGCTCCTGATTGCCGGAAACGAAACCTGCCCCCAGCCCCAAACCTCCGAGCATTTGGCCGCTATCGAGATCATGAAGCTCAATCACATTGTCATTCTGCAGAACAAGGTCGATCTGATGCGAGAGGACAACGCGCTCCAGCACTACCAATCCATCCTCAAGTTCATCCGCGGTACCGTCGCCGACGGCTCCCCCGTCATCCCCATTTCTGCCCAGCTGAAATACAACATCGATGCGGTCAACGAATACCTTGTAAGATACCAAAAGATCAGATATCGTTTCATTGCAGTTGCTAATGCCTTTGAAGACCTCCCACATCCCCGTCCCCATCCGTACTTTCGACCAGGCCCCGCACATGATGGTCATTCGATCCTTCGATGTTAACAAGCCCGGTGCTGAGATTGAGGAGCTCAAGGGTGGTGTTGCTGGTGGTTCCATCCTCAGCGGTGTCCTCAAGCTCAACGACGAGATCGAAATCCGCCCCGGTTTGGTCACCAAGGACGAGCACGGCAAGATCCAATGCCGCCCTATTTTCTCCAAAATCGAGTCTCTCTTTGCTGAGACAAACACCCTCAATTACGCCATTCCCGGTGGTCTTATTGGTGTTGGTACCCGCATTGATCCCACTCTTTGCCGTGCCGATCGTCTTGTTGGTTTCGTTCTGGGCCACCGCTCCAAGCTCCCCGCTATCTACACCGAGATTGAGGTCAACTACTTCCTGCTCCGTCGCTTGCTGGGTGTCAAGACTGCCGATGGTAAGCAGGCTAAGGTCGCCAAGCTGGCTAAGAACGAGGTTCTCATGGTCAACATTGGCTCAACCGCTACTGGTGCCAAGGTTGTGAATGTCAAGGCCGATGCCGCCAAGCTCAGTCTGACCAGCCCCGCCTGCACGGAAGTCGGCGAGAAGATTGCCATCAGTCGTCGTATTGACAAGCATTGTAAGTGATCGCCAATCCAAGCTAATTGCTGTGCATCAGATACTAACAATCTCTTTCTCTCAGGGCGTCTGATTGGTTGGGCCAACATCGTTCACGGTGTGACCCTCGAGCCTGTCCTTAACTAAAGCTGTATAGCTTTGATGACGTCTAGTTCCGAGGGATAATCACTTGGTTTGAGATGTGTCGCTTTAGGAGAACCAGAGTTTCCAGCGACCAAGTCTCAAACCGCCGACCCTCGGGCTCACGCTCCGCGGTTTTCAATCGCAGAAAAGTTTTACGGTCACGACGAGTCGGAAAAGTGATGGCATGACATTTACAGATTCCCCCCCGGTTGAATAGAGTGGAGGTTTCCGCAAAATCCTATACTGTCTCCTTGGTCAATTGTCCGCCTCGGGCACGTCTATGGCCCCCACTCGGAAGGGTCCAAATGACATGTCGGCAACAGACACGAAGGACGACTTATTATTGGGATATGATTCACGTGATTAAGAGAAGGTTTATTTCTTTCTCTTTTGTGTGTTCTAGGGAGTTGATTTTGAAGAGGTTTTCTATTTTACATGTTTCAACTGTTCCATGCGTGCATATTTCAAGTCCTGTGTAGAGATATATAGGTTTTGCGACTCCAAAGAAATCTTGGAATGTAGCCACATAAATTCGATTCTTTAGGCTATACGAAAAGTGGGCTAAGTGTTCAGTTTTCAGCAAGGGAATATCAACCCATTTGTAGTTAATGATTGCAATTGGCATGAGTTCATGGTTCCTAAACAACTTGAACTCCAGGGATGTTTCTGCAGGTGGACGTAGTACTACTAGTAGTGATCGCCGGGCGGTTCCAGGGCTGCGAAGCTCGTGTTGATCTGACTAAGGCGGCTCTCGCACCGGTTAGTTAACACCTAAGTAGCTTCTTTGATCACAACCCTCCCTTGACATTGTCGCGCGGTCTACATCATGTGGATTCTTGAGGTAAGTTTCTCAATTCTAATCAATATTGGACATTTCTTTTGCAAGGGGCCCCTCTTGAACCCATTTTCCTAACAACTGCACTTCTAGCAACTCGCGCGTCTTCTCGACAGGCCGCTCTTCCCTTGGAAGAACGTCCTCGTTGGCTTCTCCGTCGGCCAGTTCGTTCTGGAGGGCCTTCTGACCCTTCGTCAATATAAGGTGCTTCAGCGTACCAAGGCCCCCAAGGTTCTGGAGGGAGAGGTTACCCAGAAGGTCTATGATCAGAGTCAGGTAGGGCTATTCGAGCTTGAAAGAGTAATGAAACACTCACTAATAAACAATTCTAAATCCAGGCTTATGGTCGCGCAAAGGCCAAGTTCAGCATCTTTTCCGGTCTCTACGGTCAAATCCAAAATCTTGCTTTCATCTACGGCGATGTTCTTCCCAAACTCTGGAGCGTTAGCGGCTTGCTGCTCGCGCAGTATCTCCCCGGTCGGTTCCAAGGCGAAATCTCGCAGACACTCGTATTCATCTTCGGTTTCAATATCCTCAGCACTATCCTCACGCTCCCGGTCTCATATTACCAGACCTTCGTGCTTGAGGAGAAGTTCGGTTTCAACAAGCAGACTGTTGGTCTCTGGGTTACGGATATGCTCAAGGGCCAGATGCTGGGCATAGTTCTCGGAGCTCCCATCATCAGTGCCATTCTCAAGATTGTCCAGACGACTGGAAACTCGTTCTTCTACTATCTGTGGCTCTTCGGTGTCTTCCTCCAGGTGTTTGCGATTACTATTTACCCCATCGTTATTCTGCCGCTGTTCAACAAGCTGTCCCCTCTCCAGCCCGGTGAAATTAAGACTGGTGTCGAGAAGCTTGCCGAGAAGCTGAAATTCCCGCTTTCAGAGCTGCACGTCATCGATGGTAGCAAGCGCAGTGCCCACTCCAACGCCTACTTCTATGGTCTCCCCTGGAAGAAGCACATTGTCATCTACGACACCCTTCTTGAGAAGAGCGAGCCACAAGAGGTGGTTGCTGTGCTGGCCCATGAGCTTGGCCACTGGAAACTCAGCCACACCACCAAGCTCTTCGGGATTGCCCAGTTCCACATGTTCTATATTTTCTCTCTCTTCTCGGTCTTCGTCAACAACAAGTCTCTTTACCAGTCCTTCGGCTTCATCAAGGAGCAGCCCATCATGATTGGATTCCTTCTGTTTTCCGATGCTCTTGCTCCCATGGATGCCATTGTCAAGCTGTTGATGAACATCCTGAGCCGCAAGTTCGAGTTTGAAGCTGGTGTGTTACCCCAAATGATATTATCTACTCCCTCAATACTGATCTAATTTATTCTGCAGATGAATTTGCCCAAGGCCTCGGATTCTCTGATGAGCTTGCTGCCTCTCTCCTCAAGCTGCAGATCCAAAACCTGAGCACCATGGACGCTGACCGGTTGTACGCCAGCTACCACTACTCACACCCAATCCTGACCGAGCGTCTTGCTGCCCTTGGCTGGCAGGGTGGAAAGGTCACCAGCTCCAAGGCCGAGGATAGCGAAAAGCCCGTCAAGGCCGCTGACCGCGAGCTTTAAATCGGTGGTTGCTTCATTGGTAATGGCCAACTCGCAATTATTAAAATTTACGTCGAAGTTGGGGGCGGAGCAGATGATGGAGGCTCAGTAGAGCAAGAGGCTCGAGGATTCCATTGAGCTGGATTGAGAAAATGGACGCTTTCAAATATCTATCAATACAACTTTTTTCTTTTCTAAAAAGACACTTTTGTCTAGACATGAAATGCATGCAGATATACAGGAAGCAAGCGAGCTTCAATAGCCGTGGCTATAAGTCGAACACCATAAAAGGCGACAGGGACGAAAGCAGAAAATAAAACAGTAGAAAAAACTCCAGCCCGATGCAACAACGCCCATGGCTCAAACAGATCCAAAACAAGACAATCAATCCGAGTCATCGTCCTTCTTGTTCTTGGCCTTCTTCTCGGCCTGTCGTCGCTCCTTCTTCAAGCGCTTGCGCTCTTCCTTATCAATGCCAGACTGATCTTGCTCCTGCTCCTGGAAGGCCTCAGCCTCGGTTTCGAATTCGGTATCCTTCATCTCAAGATCATTGTCGTCGTTCTCGTCCTGGTTTTCGTTCGCAGTCACACCAGCGGCAACATCCAGGTAATCTTCGCCAGGGTTGTTCTTGGCAACGGTCAAATCCCGTCCAAGGACCTCACCAGCCAGACCGGCTTGCACACGCTTCAGATTGTGGAGAATGAGGTTTGGCGCCGCGGCGGTGGTGCGGGAAACGGGACCATGTTCGCTGATGCTGGCATTGGGCTGTAGAGCTGGGTCTTGAGCTGCGCGGTCCAAGTAGGCGGCTAGGAAATCGTGTGCGGCGGATTGACTGATTGACTTGGTGCTTTGCACAGTGGTCGGAGGGAGAGATGAGGGGCCTTGGGCGGACATTTTTTTTTATGGATAATGGCCTGCAATGGCCGGTTGATCGAGTTCGAAGGGTTTGCTGAAGACCGGTGATTTGTCGTCTGGAGTTTGCGCTTTTTACTGCAAGCCTAAGACCAAAGAGAGTCTTTGGTTAAATCAATTGGGAGTTGCTCGGCGCATCGCAACAAAAAAGTTTCGGTGGCGCTAGTCCGAATCGGGTATCATATACTCGCCCATTAAAGGTGCAGTGTAGACAATATCTTCGCAAGAGAATATCATAAAACAGGAGAATTGGAATGATCACATTTCTAATTTAGCCCATATTCGTTTTCGAGCCCATAACCAATTTATAATAGCATGCTGTTGCTCTACAGTATTATCTAGGCGGACCCGCGCCTGCGGCTCCGCGCTTAATTTTCTTTCAACTTCCCGACACCGCGCCGTGAGCATCACTAAAGCCTTCCCAGCCTATCCTCAACCCCAACGACACCCGAGTTAACCCTCCTTTTCAAAATTCGGGCCATCATAATGCTTGGTTTTCGCTGCAGGGCTGTGCCCTCCATCCGGGCCGCTGTGTCCACTCCCCGGTCCCTGGTGAACAGGTACGCATGAACTCTCCGCAACATCAAATACCCCAAGCACGGCACTAACGAAAGCCCTCCACTCCAGTGCTAGCCCATTCACACTCCAGACCAAGGCCACCAACTCTGCAATCGTCTCCGCCAGATCTTTCTCCTCTTCTCTTTTCTCCACGCCGGTCCGCCCCCAACAACTACAGACCTTCTCCCGACTCCCGTCCACAAGCACTCCCACCACCCTCTCCTCGGTGTCCTCGCTGCTTTCCCAGCAATCACAACAAAGCCGTGCCTTCTCGGCAACCGCACACCTTGGCGTGAAACGCAACACATTCAACCCCTCGCGACGAGTACAGAAGCGACGTTCCGGATTCCTGGCCCGGAACAAGTCCCAGAAGGGTCGTCTTGTCCTGATCCGGCGGCGTCTTAGGGGACGCAAGGCTATGAGCTGGTAAATTCACCTTGCTAGGAAAGTTTTGATAGTGGATGGAAGCATATTGGGGGGGTTTGAATGCATTAAAGAGCATGGCCGGGGGGGGAGCTTGTCTACAAGTTGATAGATCGATGAAGGTGAAAGCTATCCTTGGGGTCGGGCAGAACATGTCAGGTTAATTAGACCTTGTACCATATTATCTCTTCTTGAGTATGTGTGAAATTATACGCAATTCAGCAGTCTTTTCTTCAGCAAATCGGATCTTCTTGTAGATGAGGGATAAACAGAGTGCTTGGTTTTACCTCAGAATCCGTAGTCTTTTTGATATTTCTCCTCCTTATTTTGGTATTTCTCTCGCCGAGGAGGCTGGGGCTTCACATAGGGTTTGCCGATGGCAAAGCACATTATGGAGGTCGGTGATGCAGTGTCGGATATCTTGCTTTAGATAGATTTGTCCTGATAGAAGGGCAATTTGGTTCGTCTCAAGGAATGAAAAATTAAGACCAATCGTAGTATTGAATGGTTAGACAGCGCCGGGCTTTTCTTACATGGCAAGCCAGGTGCGAAGATCAACTGCCACGCCTTGCACAGCCGCCCTGCGCGGACTTGGCTGCTATCATTATTGCCCCATCTCCCGATCCCGTGGGGGCCATCGAGGTTTACGTATTAGAATATTAGATAAACTGGAGAATTCATAAAAGCTTCAAGCGTGGGAACCGCCTTGGACAGCAGAAGTAGGCTGGTAAATACTACCCTGCATGCGATATATGCGTATCTCCGTGGGAATTGTATCAACGTGTCTAACTACTACCAGTTCAATGCGTCTAAACGTTCAAGACATTTACTTCTCATCTTCATCACTCTCGTCCGAGCCAGATTCAGAATCTTCCTCGTCATCTTCGTCTTCGTCTTCGTCATCTTCCTCTTCCTCTTCCTCATCGTCACCGGCCTTGAAACCATAATCGTCCTCGAATTCCTTCAAAGCCTGGACCTTTGGTGTGAAGCCAAATGTCTCAAAGCCTTGCTTGAGAGTCTATTCACAGATATTAGTACAGGTACACCGAGGGAATAAAGAACTCTGGTGTCAGAAACAACCGAACTTACCTCTTCCAGAACAGTGCCGCAAGTGACAACAAGGTTGGTGGTCTTCGGCTCAAAAAGCGGAAGGATAATCTCACGAAGAGCACCCTTTACCTCATCGACACTGATACCACGGACCTTCTTCAGCATCTTCTCCTTGTAATCGCTAGGCAGGTTGCGCACAACCTGGCGGATGAAACTGCCTTGGGCGGCAGTGCCAGCAGTCATCTGTTCGTTGGCGTAGCCCACAACGATGCTGCTGATAGCGCCCTCCAACATCAGGGGGTCGAAAGGCGAGGCACCAGATAGATGATCCTCAACAATCTGCTTGCTGGACTCAAATGCCTTGTGCGCATTCGGAGATCGGTACACATCGAAGTTCACGAAGCCAGTGTCAATGTTGTGGGCGAAGTTGGTACCGTAGGCCAAACCCTTACCACGGACTGCAACCCAGAGGGGACCCTCAACAGCGTTCATGTAGGCGATGGCAACGAGCAAAGCCGGCAGGTTGGGGTCGTCATAGGAGTCGAGACCCCGGCTAGTGGCGTAGGCATAGGAAGAATCGACTGTCGGCATAGGAACAATGTAGGAAGAACCACCAATGGTCTTTCCTGCATCACTTAGCAGAGCCCGGCGGTTCGTGATGGGCTTCAATTCGGTGCTGGTTCCAAGACGCTCAGCAAATGGCTTCCAGGATGAAACGGGCCGGGGGAGCTTCTCCAAGTCGGCAACGACAACGACACGGATATTGTCAGGCTGGAAGAGCGACTTGCGGATTTCTTCCATGCGGCTCACAATCTCCTCGGGCTTGTTGGCAAGAAGACGCTTGACACGCTTGAGGTAACGGGCCTTCACTAGGGTGCTACGAGCCCGAGAGATGGACTCCTCCGCGAAATGGACCATAATGTGCACCGCCGCGAGCATGTCGTCACCACTGCGCTTGGAGTCGGGCACATCGGCCAGTAGCCTTGTGTTAATTGCTTGAAGTCTCTCGACATCGAAGATAGAGTTCCAGCACAGCTCTTGAATCCACGCAATGGCAGTCTCATACTTCTCAAGTTCGACCTGGAAGGAAACACGCAACATCTCGGAGTTACCGAGGCTTCGAGCAGTTTCCATGGCATAGCCGACGGTGTCCTTCTCAAGCTCCACCACAACCTGTTCAAAGTTGATCGTCTTGCCATCTCGCTGGACAGGTATGTTGAAGAACGCCTCAGTATAGATTGAAAGCAGGGGGCGTAGTTGAACGGGGACGGACTGCGCGGAGATGAGGACTGCCATCTGCACGAAGCTACTTTCGATGTGCTCGAAGTGGATGAAAAGAGGTTGATCCGAATGATCAGCATCCACGATCTTTTGGATTTTGTGGTCTGGTCGTCCAGCCTTCAGGGCAGCGCCAGATCGAGCCGTGGTGGTGTCCATGAAGTGAATAGACTCGGTTCCGGGTATAGCGAACTGGGCCAGAATCTCCTGGGGGATCTCCTTGTCGTTCTCTGCCTTGGCCTTCTCAAGCTTGTCGGCAAGCTGCTTGAGTCCTTTCTCGCCGAGACGCTCCTTCTGCGCAGTAACGCGGGCCTCTTCATCGGTCTTGAGCTTGTCAGAAAGTTTTTGGGACGGGACGCCCAGAATCGTAATGTGATGAGCATCGGCAATCCACTTGTTGATGAACTCCCGCCACTGGTCCTCGGTCCACTTTCTAATCACGTCGTACTCCTGAAGAGTTGCTACATCTCTCAAAGTCGAGCCATCGCGCTTTCCATACAGGAAATCAGTGATGACATACTCGGCCAGAGAAGAAGCATTGCTCTCGGTGTTAAATTTCCATGTACGGCACTGGCGGTCAATGCACTCGTTCATATATTTCATATCCAGGGCCTTCGTCATTGCCTCCTTCAGGATCTCGAAGAACCTCTTGTGAACCGAGGCAAGCTTGTCTGTCTCAACGCTCGTCATGGTGAACCTGATCTCCATACTAGGGTGATCATCGGTTGCATAGTAGACTGCGCTAGCAATTTGCTCTTTCTCAACAATGATGTTCTCCAGCAGAGAAGCAGATGATCCAGCCAGATATAACAGAGCGACGTTGAGTGCACCAGCTGTGAAATAATTAGTTTCTCTCTGGAACTTCCAACTATAACTCGGTACATACACTGGATAGGGTCATTGCAATCCGGACCCAAGAATCGAATCTCAACTTCACCGAAATCCTCATCCTCTTCAGGGAATTCAACAGTCTGAATGGTAGACTTGGTCAATGCAGGCGCCTGCTTGGAATCCGTCCAGGGTCTCTTGAAGGGGGCGTCAGGGCGCGGGATAACGTCCAAAATCGTATCTTCAAACTTGTCCAAAATTTGCAGCATATTGTTCTGGTCCACCTCACCAGTAATGACCAGACAAAGGTTCTTGGGCTGGTACATCTCACGGTGGAATTCCCTAATCCGCTCAGCTGAGAGGACACGAAGTTGTTCCATCATTCCGCCGGTCTCATAACGGAAACCGACACCTTCGGGGTAAGTGGCACGACGGGCCGCCAGGTCAATCAGCTCGGCTGCGTTGTTTTGAACACCTTGCATCTCGGAGTACACCACGCCAGCATCATTTCCAGCGCCGTCAATGTGGTGAACTTCGGTATAGCATCCCTCATCAGTCAGGGTAGGAGCAATGACATGCTCGAGGTAGATAGGCAGGATGCGGGCGAAGCCCTCCCAACCTGCTGTATCCAAGGTGTACGCTGTGTGGTCTGGGGCAGTCCAAGCATTTGTGCTGGAGTAAACTCGGGTGGCCAGCTTGTCCAGAAAGCCCTTGTACTGGTAGTTTCGAGATCCCATAAAGCAAAGATGCTCCAGTGTATGAGGGGCACCAGAATCATCGTGAATCTCGGTAGCCAGTACAAAATAACCATTTACCTTGGGACCTTTCTGGCCAATGACCACCAC